TCAAAGTTATGTGATCTGGGTTACAAGTGGTATTTAAGATCTAAATTTAAGGAATTGCAATAATTTTGTTAAAATAGCAGTTGAGACAAAAACACATACAGTAAGATACAATATGATACAATACAAAAAATGTGTTGGACTAGGTTCATTGTGTCTTTTTTTGATAATTTATGATCAGATGTTGTTTTATACAGACACAGGTGACACTCTGAGGAAGACTGCTGCCAGCACGTCGAAACATGTCAGCGAGGTGAATAAAAAACCTGTGTCTGTATAAAACAACATCTGATCATAACGGTACAATATGATGCAATATGATACAATACCTCAAGATACAAAACGATACAACCAGATAGAAGAAGAGAAGATAAGATATGATACAATACAATATGAAATGGAGCATTGTGATATGCTAAGACACAATACAATACAATGTGATAAGATATGCAACGATATAATACGATGTGATAAGATATGATAGGATAATAAGATATAATACAATACAATATAATAGGATAAGGTTGAATTTTATTTATCCTGAGGGTATCTGCTGGTAAATCTGGTGCCAAGATGCTTCAACATTTTTATACAACAACAACAATAAAAAAAACACAAAATGCATAATAAGTTATGGAGTGGATGAACATTAAATTGAAAGAAGCCCTATTTAAAACATGAATGGGACAAGTTACAAAGGAAGCCGCAGTATTCACACAGAGCTTTAAAGATAATGGACTGATCAAACCAATCAGTACCATTTGAGTAGAGAGCTATACAGGGATTTTTGGTTGTGGTGAGAGGCCCTAGAAGAGATTAGCATGGATGCAATTGCAATGGTAAGAAGAGCTGGTCTAGACCAGTGGTTCTCAACTGGTCTCATTCTGGGGCCCACATTTTCTCATGGTCCTTAAGTCGCGACCCACATTTATAGAATTCAAACCAAGCAAATTCATTTTTTATAAGAGAAAAACTTTAAAGACTCTAATCTTTAACATAAATCTACTTGTTTTATTGAGTAAAGTGCATTTCAGAGACAAAAAAGGGGACAACATGAGGATGACAACTACTGAAGTTGCATATACAGAAAAAATCAAATATCTAATAAATATCACTTTAAATATTTACTTTTTTGACCAGCAGTTCGAGGCCCATCTTGAACGTTTCCGCGACCCACTTGTGGGTTGGGACCCACCAGTTGAGAACCACAAGTCTAGACCATATTCTTCATATTTACAAAAACCTATCATCAAGATTCTGTCTCTGAATTGTATTATTATTGTGACATGTTCTGCTGACCTCTTGGCCAGGTCACCCTTTCAAAAGAGATCTGGATCTCACTATGGTCTTATCTGGTTAAATAAAGGTAAAATAAAAAATAAATAAAAATGTTGTTGGATCAGACCCATTCTGCTCCTACCTCTACCTACTGTGAGTGTAACACTCAGCAGGGTTTAATAAGTCATGGTGGTTTTTCTTCATATTTTAATATACATTAAAGTATCAAATGCATACCCCTTGTTTCTGTTGATATCAACCACTAAAATCTCCCCAATCTGCCTTTTTTGGAGAAACAACAATCTATTTATACTCTCAGACTTGATGCATCAGTTAGACTGCTCTAACAAGCACAAAGACATGATGACTTATATCAGACAAAGACTAAAAACTCACACAGCAGACAACTGACTGCTGACACACACACACACACACACACACACACGCACACACACACACACACACACACACACACACACACACATGCTCAGAGTGGCTGCTGCTCTGTTATCATTTCTCCTCTCTCTGCCCATGACCTCAGAGCCACATGCAAGCTATTTCTGTTCAGTTGCTTCTGGCTGAAATGACTTCATGTCTGATGTGCTTCAAACAGAAAGAGGAGAGGGCCATATCACTGTGTGCATGGAAAATACACTGCATTAAAACATGATGCTTTAACTCTTCTGTGAACTCGAGCTGGTTGGGGTTTGATGCACCAGAGGTAAGACTTTGAAACTTTTGGAAAATCCCTGAAGGTTGACAAAATCCTTCTCGTTCCACTTCTCTGCCTTATTTAATCTGCTTCATGTCTTCACAGGCTGCCTTTGTCTTTGCAAATCTGAATTCACTTGAAATCAGGAGTTTGAAACTTGTCTGCGTGTTTCTGCCCTCCACATCGCTCTTTCCTTGCATGGGGGAGTTGAAGGCAGGTAGGTCTACAGACATGAGTAATGTGGCTCAGACTGACTCACACGCCAAGACATCAGCCGTCAGCGCGGAGCCAGCAATGACACAAGCACAAGAACAAACACACACACACACACACATACACTGATTATACACAACACACAGGGAGGCAGACTGTGTGGTGCCGACAATGTGAGACTCAGCCATGCGAGCGGTCGTCATCATCACCTTATATGAAGTGATCATTATTGAGAAACTGGAAATGAATCCATCACGGATGAGATCAGACTGCTGACTGTAAAAAAGACTGTCAGACACATTTACTCTGAAAGCTCACACACATTTGCTCATGTGCATGAAGTGGATAAATGCACTCAATTTTGGGATGGAAATGTGATTTGTAAAAGCATTTCATTTTGAGTTTTCTGCAGACGTACTTCTTATTTCTAACAAAAGACTATGGAATGAAAAAACTTTAGATTCTGGGGTGCGAAAATGGTCTGTATCAAATCTACTAAACATGCATCCAATCTTCTTGCAATGCAATTAGGTAAACACACACACAGACTTCTCATTGCATCTGTTGAACATTTATTATTCATACAAGAGTAATGTGAGGTGTCTCCGTTTTAATGCCTCCTAATGGCTTTTTGAGTTACCACTGCCAGCTATGAATAAATCATATCAGTCATGGTGCGGCCAGTACCTCCCTCACCCTGCAGCACTGAGCTCCTCTGCAGGTGTGTGTGTGTTTAGGTTTGGGTTGTGTGTGTGTGTAGAACAAGGTGAGCAGGATTTTGACAAAGGCAAATCTCAGTTGCTAATTTGAAATGACAAAAACCACTTCCGAACCACATCATGAAGCTTCAGCAGGTGGGTTTAGTAAAGGAAAGGCCACAGGTGAACTACGCAATGTCATCTGCTACAGTAACTCTGCAATAACACAACCTTTGTCAGGCATTTAAGGTCTTTTTAAGTATCATCAGACCTTTTATGCACAGTATTTTCAATATTGTTTGAAAAGCACATTTGCTTTGATTTGTTTTGTTTTATTTTATTGGATGCATCAGTGCTTATTCTGCAGAGCATGCAATGAAAAGGGACATTGTAGTTTCAAAGCTTCATTATGCTTTAAGGAGCCATATTTTGAAGGAGTTTAAACAAATGCAACCCATAACGAGAACACAAGCACTTCTAAGCCTCATCAACAACCTTCTGTCTGTCTCACCTACATATAAAATACAACCGGTTTGAAATATCTGTGTTTTTGTCTACCTGCTCCATCTCTCGGTTTGAGCTGAACTGCCTCTGAGCTCTCTGATGCTCTGTCTCTGCTCTCTCTGTGATGATGTGAGCGGGAACATATCGACCTCTGGATGGCTCAGTATTGACGGACGGATGGATTTCAGGAAGTGACCTTGGCTCACTCAGACGAGCACCTGACCAGAGCGCGTCTCGTTTTCCCACAGAGCACCTCTCTGGCACCAGCTTGAAAACACACTGCAGACTGAGCCCTGGTTGTGAGAGGTAAACAATGTGCGCTGTGCTGGTCTGAGGTCAGCACAGAGTGGACAGAGGTCATTGCAGTTATGCTGAGATGAGGTCATGAGTTTTAATGGGAGTGTGTGACATGAAGATGGGTGTTAACTGATGGTGTTATAAGAGAGACTGTCATGGCAAACAGCACAGACGGCTCTGCTTTAGTTTTCATCAACTGAGCCTGAATCAGGAAATTCAACCATAATCATGGAAGTCAACATTTATTAACCTGCTCAATCACCTTAACCCTCATGAAAACCAGAGACCAGGAACTGTTCAGAAAGATTTACTGATCCATCAACTGCTCATGAGCAAGGCTTGAGCAGGATTTGCAGTGCTCAAATTGCAATAAATGATTGCGATTCTTGACCTTACTTACCGTTTACTTTGAATAGTATCTGTGAGACAATAATCACACTGGTTGGATAATTCAAGTTCATATTTCTACAGCAAAGGTTCAAAATGTGTTTAGGTAATCATAGTTATTTGATTAAAACATGCAAACAAAAGCAAATGACTTGGTTAGATCTCTCTTTTATTCCAAAACTTTTGGGATCATCTTGATTATAAATTATTTTATTTTAAATAATTATAAACCCATTTACATTTGAATTGATTTTTCTCATTAATATTTGTACAAAATATTGCAAATTTTAATTTGCAAATGTCTTGAATACTGGCATAAGAGTAAGATTTCTACAGAAATATATATATTTTTTTTTATTATTTTAATATTCATAAGGTGATAAGTCATGATCCAATCCAACTGTTTCCCAGTCATTCATTGCAGTCAGAGTTAAAATACTACTACTACTACTACTACTACTACTGATAATAATAATAATAATGATAATAATAATAATAATAATAATAATAATAATAATAAAACAATCAAAAACAGTTACCATGTCTTGGACCTCTAAAACTAAGCTTTGAGTGAACGCAGACCGCCCCCGTGTGGTCATTTACAGCATTACATCAAGGTGAAGAAGTCCACAGCTTCCTGCCAAACACACTGTAACTCCGCCCTTCCCTAATCTGATTGGAGGGCTGCAGGGCGCTTGGGTGTAAAACAGCCAATCGTGTGACTCTGCCTGCTGTTAACAGGGCTCATGCTCAGGATGGCCTCTCCGTCACCTGTGTACTCATGTTATTTATAGAGGATGAAGAGAAGCACGGAAGAGGGAGAGAAAGAGGACGACAGAGGGATGAGAGAGGGCGAGACAGACAGGAGAGGGAGAATGGAGTAATGACGTCCACACGTCTTGCTCTAATGGTTGTTCAGAGAGAGGCAGACAGACAGAGGAGGAGACAGAGGAGGAGGAGAGTCAAAGTATTGATCTGAGCTTTGAAAACAGCGTCTGTGTAATTAGTGGTTAAATTTAAAGGAGGAAAATGGAGGGATGGGAGGAAAAACTACATAAAATGTGGGGTCGTATGTTAAAGTTGAGGCAAGGGCACCTGATGTGCTATGAAAGGCTGATTTCATTTATATCTGTTGACAGAGCATCTGAAATATAGAAAATGGTAAATTGATAGAGGGAAGGGGTTGGTGACTGGCAGACCAGTGATACTTTTGACTCATTGCTTAGTCATTGAAATAAATGAAAAAACTACTCTTAACTATCCTCTAAGCACCACTGCTTAGCAAGTCCATAGCAGCTTGCTTTTTATGCCCCAGTCTGTGATGAAATGTCTTCTTGCCTGACTAAGATTTTAGAGGGTGAGGACATAATAAAATTCCCCCTCACCTTTGTTCAGATTGTGTCTTAAAACAAGTAGAGTCTTAACAGCTGATAGAGTATAATAACTTTTGCACTTGTTCTCGGGTCATGTTCACAGACAGGGTCAGTACACATGAATGCCTTCTTGTTGAGATTCACAGCCTTGGATAAATCTTTTCTTGGCTTGTGCACAAAGGTCTTTCAATTCTGTGCTATAAAGGTTAAAAACTACAATGGGCTCTCTAGAAGCAGAGACATGAGCAGATTTACTGGTTAATGCACTGGTGGGCGCTGCAGGTCAGTTACTTGCTAGACTGGCTGTGAATGTGTGTCATATCACCACAGTATAAAGAGTCTGATTCCTTAAACAAATGCAAATAATAATGGAAAGAGAAATTATTGAAGGCTCTGTCTGTGTCGATAATGCCATTGTTTTGGAAAATTTCCCCTAAAATTCTGCAGTCATTCATTTCACCAAAAGTCTATCACTCATATGGCTCAGCTGAGTTTATTAGATTGTCTGCAGGACAGGACAGGATTGCTGCATACACTCTCCTGGGTTGCTCTGGACTGATGCTACAGATGGTTGGCTGCTGCAGACCTGCCTGATTCCAGCCGCATCGTTTTTGATTGTCCACCTCAGGCCCTGAGCTCCTTCTTCTCTTCCTCCCCACACCAGCAGCGGCTTGGTGGCTGTCTGGCATGAGTCTGGTCCTGCTCAAGGTTTCTGCCTGTTAAAAGGAAGTTTTTCCTTGCCACTGTCACTCATGTTTGATGAGATGGGCCAAATCCCATCTTCGGTTGGGTCTTGATAATTCATCAAACAATGAGCGTGGTCTAGATCTGCTCTTGATCTTTGAAAAGCGTCTTGGGATGACGACTGTTGTGAATTGGCGCTATATAAATAAAATTTTATTTGATTGATTGATTGAGGATCGCACTGGCAAAAATGTTGTTCCTGACTCATGAAAGCAAACATGAAAATGTCCCTTTCTTATAAGGTCGGGGTCAAAGGCTGTGAGCAAGATACATTCCTTTGGCGGGATTGTACAATGCTACAGAGGAAAAATTGTATCCTTTATAAAAAAATATCTCACATGGAAGATTGTTTTAACCACTTTAACCCCTCTGACTCATCTGCTGATCCTTTGGTGACAAAGGTTGGAGGAATCAGTGTCCCAGTAGACTGCACATTTTATAGTTTATTAATGTGTTGTACAAAACCCAGTTCCATTGAAGTTGGGAAATTGTGATGAATGTAAATCAAAACAGAATACAATGATTTGCAAATCCTTTTCAACCTATATTCACTACAAAGACAAAATATTTAATGTTCAAACACATAAACTTTATTATTTGCAAATAATAATTAACTCAGAATTTCATGGCTGCAACCCCTGGCAAAGTAGTTGGGACAGGGGCATGTTTACCACTGTGTTACATCACCTTTCCTTTTAACAACACTCAATAGTTATTTGGGAACTGAGGAGACTAATTGTTGAAGCTTTGAAGGTGGAATTCTTTCCCATTCTTGCTTGTTCAACAGTCCGGGGTCTCCGTTGTCGTATTTTACGTTTCATAATGTGCCACACATTTTCAATGGGAGACAGGTCTGGACTGCAGGCAGGCCAGACGAGTACCCGCACTCTTCAATGGAATTGGGTTTTGTAATTCCAGAACTGAACTGATCATGAAAACACAAGACTGAATCATGTTTCTGCACGTTTTTTTAAATGTATTTATTTATTTATCTTTTGGTAGACATGCACAATTTCGATCCTCTGTTTCTTTTTTTCTACACTGCTCACTACATATCCCATTGCATCTGTGTTCATACAGCCCTGCGTGACGCGCATTTTACGCACAGCAGATACAGAGTGGGTCGGGTCTGTGTTTACTTCCGGACTCGGATTTAGACTTGGCTCAGACAGCAGCAGCACCAGTGGAGGTTCAAGCTGTCAGCTATTACGGTAGCCTTACAAGGCTTCATGACAGAGGTTACCGGGTTGACCAGCGGCATCCCAGCGGACGAGCCACGCTCAGCACTCTGCACACCGGACACCTCTTCGCCGGGCAGCCGTGCAGCGCTGCCCCGCTTCTCATCTGCTCTCCTTCGTGCTTCAAAGTCAGTCAATGCTGTGCTCCCGCTACCAGCTAACAGGCTGATCTGACTGTGTTGCTGCTGCCACCGCTTCATGATCTTGGCTAGCTGAGGATCAAAACAAGGACAATCACTCAAAGTTTAAGCGGCGTTTGCGTTTGACCGGCCAGGACCCCGCAGGGAGGAGAGACACGGGCCCCGGGGGAGAGCGACGGACTCTGGGGTTGGACGCCAGGACAGCGAGGGTGGTGGCTGGATAAAACTAGGGGGTCGCCTCCAGCTCCTGGTGGATTTATCCCCTGCCAGCTAACGTTAGCTAAGCTAGCTCCCAAACAGCGCCATGGATTGGTTAATGGGGTGAGTACACACACAGCTAGCATGCTTAGCCAGCTTACTCTGCTGTGTCAGGTCAACTGCGCAGTCTTCCTCATTTCTCCGCGCAACACCTGACACCACTGCACTCAGCATTAGTCAGGTGAACTGTCGTGTTGAGGACTGTTTAGTGTCCACTTTAATTCAGAGGTGTAGCCAGAAGCGGGTAGCATGTTACCTAGCTTAGCATAGCTTTGTGGTGCTAGCTTGGTAGCAGGGCTGGCATCGGTACACCCTCCTAATGTTACCCGGAGCCAGGCAGTATTTTTGGGCATCTCTCTGGCCCGCAGCTATCTACCCTACAATGGCAGCGTCCAGATTAGGTAGTGTAAATATATCAGTGTAGACCGGTTAGCTGAACGGGGAGCTTATTTATAGTAATGATTAAAGCAGTAAACGGGCTAATGTTAGCAGGCTGTCAGTGCTGCTAACGCGGCTGTGCCCGGGGTGAGTTTATTCCCCCTGCAAGGTGCGCTGGCAGACTTAGCAGCCATGCTAATCTAATGTTATCTAATGTGCTAGACAGCAGACTCCGGTGTCCAAAAGTTCCCTTCAGGAGATTAAAGCTCTGATACTTGAGCGAAAAGCAACTTTATATACATATTTGTATAACTTGGGGTGCACTGTGTAATATTTTATTAGCTGTGACACCTGACAGATTGATGGTTATACTCTACTCTGTCTTTGCTCAGTCATGAGACATTAATGGTTAATACTTCTGAATGAGATGCATCCGTCTTAGTCTGACACCTGCTCCAAAGCCAGAGTCTAGTGCCATGAGCACTGTATTTAGGATTAACCTGTGACATCTGTGTAAGTGATCGAGGAACTCCTAAAGCTGATCGGCGCAGTCTACTGCTATAAAGTCAAGATTTGTTTTCTTTGCATGCACAGAGTGTTTGTTATGCAAACTTTAGGACAATGGATTGTCTGCACAGAGCATTAGTCACATGAGCCTCTAAGTGAAGGAGGAATATGTGTTTACAATTCCTTTCATATGCACACACTTTCATTTGAAGTATGTGTATTCTTAAAATTTCACTTCACATCACATTCTTTACACATCTTAAACTTTGGCTTTGCACGTTAAGGTGTGTCCCTGCGAAGTTTGTATTTTTGCTGACTGATTATCAGGTCTGTACGAATCTGGGCTGAGGAAGGGTGGAGGCATGCTGTCATGGGTGACTCTGCACACACTGACATATTGGCTGGGAGATAAGGACGAAGCCCCTTGCTGATACCTCCAAAAAACACTGTTTATTTCCTATCACCTCTGTTAAGATGTTTTATTTAATGTGTGTGTCTGTCAGTTTGCAGGATAGTTGAGAAAACACTTAGCAGGCTTCAGTCATAACTGACTGACTTTATAGGCCAAGTTAAGAGAGACAGAGCTGATGAGTTTTGGGTGTGGAAGGCACCACCTCATTAAAACATTCTTCACTATCTCCTGAGGCATATTAGCAACAATAACTTTCCTGGCATTGCTTGAAAGAAAATAAATATTTTCTTGGTTATTCCATATTGTGAGTTTGAGTGATACCGAGGAAACTTGTCATGTGTTTTTGGTGCAGTTTTGCTGCACACCACCCCTTTTCTGTGACACTTGTTTTCCTGGTTTTGCTAACTGGTTCTTGCAATGACTTGTCTAAAGTTGCGTCAGGTCTCTGTTGTAAATGTGATTTATAGGTCTTAAACTCCTTGTCCTTCACCCCCTTCTCAGTCACTCAATAATGATAAGTTTTGCCCAAACATTCGCAGCTGTCACACCTGAACTGGTTTTACTTAGTGATCTTTGAGGAATCCAAAAACAACACCCAGGTATGTCTTGGTGTTACAGGAGGTGAGGAAAGCGTTTACCTGCCTGTTTTTTAACTATCAGAATTAGAGAAGTGACTTAGTGGTCTTCATTTAGGGGGGGAATGGATGATCAATATATGTCTTTCTTCCTCGACTCAAAATGCTTTTGAAATACATTTGGCATTCAACTTTTTACACCATACAGATGGCAGATGCCACTAATCCCACTCACACACTGCTGGCACAGTCAACTGGGGCAGTTTGGGGTGCGGTGTCTTGCCCAAGGACACTGGCCAGTGGGACCTGGGATCCAACCTCCAACTATGAGAGACTGCGAGACAACCAAGTCTACTGCTAAGCAACATCAATCCCACAGTCGTTTTGTCTTAAAGGGATATTCCGGCGTAAAATTGGAGATTTTATCTTTGCCTGATTTCTTCAGTAAAGAGACTAAACACAACTCACCCGCTCTCTTCCAGCAGCCGCTTGTTTGTACGGAGACCTCGGGAGGGCGAGTTCATCGCTGACTGCAGCGGGGTGACGCAGCTCAAGGAAGAACATTTTATGATTTACTGTTGATGAAGTTAGGTGCTGTTCTGAGCATTATTTGTGGCTATAGATTGGCTTTTTGGTTGAGCACGTGGCTCCTGAGACCGCTGTGTATTGCTATCGTGCGGTCGTTGCTGAAATTAGTATAACGAGAGTAGGGCTGAAACGATTACTCGAGTAACTCGAGTAACTCGATTAATAAAATTCCTCGAGGCAAATTATATGTCTCGAGGAATCGTTTAAATCCGGAACCATGTGCAGCGCACGGTGTTTGACACGGACGGTTATTTCTGTTGCGCAGCAGCGTGCTCTTTCCGCTCCTTCCGCTGCCGCGCGTTTCATACACAGACATAATAAAAGATAGACCCGCATCGGCCGCTACCACGAATGGGCGCTGTCGAGAAATGCGGCCGCCATCTTGGTCCGGTCATCCGCCTCACTCTGCACCGCTGTTTAACCGGCGGAATGAAGTCTGAGCGCATTAAATGAATCATAGTTCGCTCAATACTACGGGTCTATCCTTTTATTATGTCTATGGTTTCATAGACATAATAAAAGGGTAGACCCAGCTGGGGGCGCTGCGCAGCGAGAAATGCGGCCGCCATCTTGGTCAGGTCAAGCTTCCCATACGCTCCGGTCAATCATATTCATTCATTCAGCGATGCCGGAGCACTGTGCGGCGTATTCCTGTGCCAACAGGCGGACAGCAGAGAACAGGGCTCAAGAAATAACTTTTCACAGTTATGATTAAACGTTTTTTAAACATTGCACTTGACTGTAGAGTCATTTGTAGGCCAAAGAGGAAGACTATCGGTCAACTCCAAAAAGGAAACAGCATTTGCGAACAGCTAGCTTATTCACAATAATAGCAACTTTGGTCGATTATCAACAGATTTGCATTAGATTGAAAAACTTTTGTTTGAGAGAGGTTCTAAGAAACGTTAAGAAATAAAATAGAAAGAAAAAGGAAGAAAGTGAGCTCTGTTTTATTATCTGTTTTATTAAAGATTTCTTTGTGGTGATCTCCTGTTTCATTTTGAAGATTTCCTAAGGACAAAAACTTGAGGAAGAAGTGGGAGATTGCTGTTAGAGGGAGAAATTCGCAGCAAGTGATTCCTCTGTGCTGTGTAGCCAACAAGCAAATTGATATGTAGTTTAGATGCTGTCCTGTCATGCTGTTCTTGTGTTTAAATCTTTTTGATATGTAGGCTATATATTTGTGTGTATTTTCCAGTTATTAAAATAGTGCTTCTATATGACATTATTTGTGTGTGTCTACAAATGGATAAATAAAATTAAACTATATAAAAATTTATAATCAAATCAATATATATTGAATTGGCCTATTAATACCGCCAGTTATTAATAATTATTGAGACATAGCAGGAACCTAGTTCTAAACCTAAATATATCCTTGATTAATTGTTATACTATAATACAGCCACTGCTGCCATGTTCTAAAATATCATTTTATTCATTCTGAGTGTTTGAAAACGCCAAAAAAAAAATATGGCCTCTATCATGCCTCTTTGAATGGCGTTTGCAGAGAAGAAAATTACGTAGTATTGAGCGAACTATGATTCATTAATGCGCTCAGACTTCATTCCGCCGGTTAAACAGCGGTGCAGAGTGAGGCGGATGACCGGACCAAGATGGCGGCCGCATTTCTCGACAGCGCCCATTCGTGGTAGCGGCCGATGCGGGGTCTATCTTTTATTATGTCTATGGCGCGTTTGGTTCAATCATGGAGGGAAACGAGGACAGACAGAGAGAGGAAGAAAGAGATGACACGCAGAGGAAACGGCAGAAAGTGTCTAAAGTGTGGGACCATTACACACTGAAAAGGAAAGAAAACGCCGTGCAGTGCGTTCACTGTAAGGCGGAGTTGGCGTTTCACAACAGCATGTCGTCAATGCTGCAGCACCTTAAAAGAAAACACCCGGTCCATGCATTAAGTCCGCTCTGAGGCAAACGTGATTCAATGCAAAGTATTACAGTGAGAGCAAAACATTTCTTATCCGATTACTCGATTAATCGACAGATTAATCGATAGAGTACTCGATTACTAAAATAATCGATAGCTGCAGCCCTAAACTAGAGAAGCAAGCAGTCGGCAACATTCATCTCTCGAGGGGGTGTCTAACTCGGTGTTACCGTGTGTTTGACCCTGACTTAATTTTACGTCGGAATATCCCTGTAATCTAAATGCACACGAGAAAAATGAATCATACTTTTTTATGAACTGAAGTTAAAGCAAGATATCCATCGTTTATTACTACAGTTGTCTGTTTTTCTGTATATCATGACTTTGTGTTGTTTATCTGCAGGATAAAGCAGCACATTGTGGACTGTTCATTTGTGCAGGCGTGTATGTGAGCTGAATGTGTTGGAAGTGAGCAGGCAGTGTGTATCACTGATGGAGCGGAGTCCATGAATGAGTTAACCAAGCATGTCATCACTCTGAATACAGACCTCAGTTGAAGGACGCCGCGGCCAGAGAGCGATTGAGGAGAAAAGAGAGAGAGAGAGAGAGGAAGAAGATGAAGTGAGGAGGAGTAGTGATGAAGGCAGCTGATTTGGAGGAAAATGTGCAGATGACGAGAGGGAGTAGTGATGAATGAAAGAGGCGAGGAGGAGGCTGATCTAAGGGGGGGAGTGAGGTATAGGAGACGGCATTTTTTGTGACCGGCAAACAGGATGAGAAGGATGGAGGGAGGGGATGTGAAGGCTCTTGATGGTGTGGTTGATTGGGGAGAAAAATGGGAGAATTGGTGGGAGGTGGAGATTCTCATGGGAAGGTTGAAGCTCCACAGGAGATCCAGTGGAGGTCTGTAAGAACATAGCAGTCTACAGGGGTACATGCTGTAGATAGAGTGAAGGTGATGTAATGGAAAGGGTCTCAGTCTGACACCTTTTATTTTCACGGCGAAACACGTCTTTATGTGTTTAAAGCTGGCTTGATATGGAAACTATATTCATTCTGTCTGCATGCTGTAAGTTTATTTTGGGCAGGGAGCATTATTTCACAGGCTGAATGACCTCATCTGTTCAGAGTCCGAGTCAGACAGGACGTTAAATCAGTGGGAAGATGTGCGACGCCCAAATGTGTCTCTTCCTGTTGGGTGAAATGAGCAGGCTTTGACAGATGTTTAATCCCCCTGCTTTTGAGTGATGGATTGGTAATGCTGAATGAAGAGAGCGAGAGAGGATGGAAACTACAGAGCGCTAAGTGGGGCGCCGCTTAAGGCAGCCTGACCTGGGAGAGAGACTCAGATTTAATGTACACTTAGCTCGCATCGCATCACCTGTGGCATAATGGTATACAGAGAGAGAGAGCATCATTATCCTACAACATTAGATTAGTGCAGGTAATGGTATAGAGCAGTGGTTCTCAAGTCCAGTCCTTGACGCCCACTGTCCTGCATGTTTTGGGTGTTTCCCTGCTCCAACACACCTGATTTAAATGATTAGCTCGTTATTAAGCCATTACAGAGCTTGATAACGAGCTGATCATTTGAATCAGGTGTGTTGGAGCAGGGAAGCATCCAAAACATGCAGGACAGCGAGCCTCGAGGACTGGACTTGAGAACCGCTGGTATAGAGGATTACAGAACTGATGATGGACCTGCTTGTTTTGCTCTCTCATTTTGTAAAAGACTCATTTGAGATCTGGTAGTTTTTTTGCTCTTGTATTAATCAAGACGACTGTTTAGAACACGTTTTCTGTAATGAGCAGGACCCTGGTGGCCAAAATCAATACTTTATCAAGTGCATTTTGTTTAAGGTGTTTCTCTTCTTCGGAAATTGTTACAAATATCCTCAAACTACGTCTTTAATGTCTGTTGATGTGTGCATGTGTCTTTTACTTTGACACCTCTTGCTCATCTACGTGTCAGTTACAAAGTCAGAAAGGAGCGTGAAGATGGCGTCAGCTGATTGGTGTGGTTGCTGATGCAGACGGGAGATTTTAAGCCAACCACTTATAGATTGAACTTCCTCTACAGAGTCTGCTCTGTGTCATCACTGCGACCTCCAGAGTAGAAGTGTCCTCTGCCGCTGTCACACGATCACTGTCAACAGGTGTTTGATAGCTCATTTTTTATGAGCATGAACGTTGTTTTTCATCTGAGCGGGGCTTCATTCTCCATATTAAGCTCTCATATCAAGATTAGAGCACAGCATGGCCGACAGAGACCATAGTCAGTTTCACATCACATGATCCAGAGGTCATTTTTAGTTACTGAGTGTGCTCATATATTATTAGAAAAGTGAAGTGGTAAACATCTGATACTTAGGGCTCTTGCAGCGACAGTTTTGATTGTTTTTACTAATGCAACATAAATAGGATTCAAATTGAAGTTATATAAGATCAAATTGTTTAAGGTGCACAGCTTTTTGAGGTTTCCTCCATAACAACAGTTTTGTAGTTTTGATTACACAGTGAAATCTCAGGCAAAAGTTAATTGTTTGCTCAAAGATGGAACATTTTAAGTGTCAAAAAGCCTAGAATATTAATTTATAGTATCTGTTATCTCCTGGGTATGTATGTGGAGGTTGTCATAACATTTCAAATGTGATTTTATAGCTGTTAGAAAAAACGCTTGGCTGCTCAATGTCTGACAGGAAGTGAAGTGTCTGTACTCGAGCTGGTTTCTAATGAGCTGATTCAATGAGAAGATTTCTTGTCTGTCTAGGGAAATAAGAAATAAATCAAAGTCAATCTGAGTAATCTTTTGATGTGCACATCAGTTATGTGTGTTACCGAGCTAAAGCATGAGGAGCCATGGCAGTATTTAATGTAGTTTGATAGTGAATATAGTTTCCCCAATAGGGACTTACACAAATTGCAGCCCTGTCCTCATGTAACCGTCTGTCTGATTTCCATTTCTCTAGCACTTGCTCACACACTCACACACATTGGCACATGACCACATGCTGCACACAGCCAGGTGGTTGCTTCCGCTGCTTGTGGTGCAGATGTAGTTCTGATAACAGACTGTGACAGACAAGCAGACATCACCTCAAAAGATTTGCCTTCGCTGGAATAAAAACTAACCAACGCCATCACTGTGCGGTTGCTTGTTACAGCATGGGGTCTAACTGAGCTGTCTTTATTTCTAGTTTAATCATCTGCAGTGTTTCTCTGGTACACTCTTGGCTTAACCGGAAGGCAGTGCAGCAGTCAGCTCAGCAGAAGGTTTCCGTGTCGGCCTGAAAAAGAGCGCCTAACCAGCTTATTACTGCTCCAGTGGAGGGAGCTTCTGCTGGCTTTCTGTATATGTCTGAGCGCACTCTTAAAATCCGGCTCTGGTAACATTCAGTTTATCATCTGGCACAGACGTTACTCTATGATTAACACTAGAGGCAGCCCAGGCCAAGGTGTTTAAGAGCACATAAGCCAGCCAAAACCTTTAATAACAGTCACACTGTGTCGTTTTCCAGATTCACCTCATGTATTGATGGGCAGCTAGCCCAGAATCTTTATGGTTCACATCAGTCATTTAGAAAAAGTGGCTGATCCTGACTGATTAAGAGAGGCAGAGACAGTTTAAAGTTTCCACTCATTTGGTCAGTCAAGAACTTGTGTGTCAGGATAAAAGTTCATTTTTTTTCCTTGTTTTTAAGAATTATGCTTCCTCCCTGTCCAGCTGAGTCTGAGCTTTTGCTTTATCTTCAGTAGATCCTAACCCTAACTCCAACCCTGTCTTTGTCACAGCCAGCAAAATATCAGCCCCTCCAAAGCAACCCACCTGTGTCATCTGATATATGATTTACATACAAACGAAAGATAAATGAAAAAATGACAAAAACACTTAGAATATAAGGAAAAGGTTTAAACTAGGGCCTGACGATATGGATTTTTTGGGGCCGATACCGATTATTAGGGGGGAAAAAAATCTGATTACCTATTAATTGGCTGATTTTTAACATTTTTTATGAAGTTATAAAAGATAGACATATACTGTAGATATCTACAGTATACTGTAGGCTACTGCTCTTCATGCCGACAGGAAGACCAACTGATCATCTCAGTAATATTCCACGTAGTTATCATAAATCGAACTTGGACCAGAAAAGCGTTTTCAAGTACCAGTGGAACATTTTCGAAGTGAAAACCAAGTCTTATTCTCCGCATTTAATTACAGAAAATATCGGCAAAAATCGGCAAGTTTTGGCCGATTACCGATTAGTCTCAAACGGGCTAAAATTGTCCGATTCATTTAGCTCGCCAATAAATTGGTCGGGCCCTAGTTTAAACTGTGTTCCTGTGTGCAGACTTGAATGTGTTAAGCAATGTGTGATTTCTAAGCACGTGTAGCCCTGTCTGTTGTTGCCCCATTGTTTGCTCCCTGTACAGTGGTTACAGATAGTTATGAGATATGTGTAGACTGCCCATGGCTAACTTGCCAAGACTTGCATCCTTTCTGGTGATCACTTTTACTAAATTGAAGAGTCTAAATTCAAGATCATAGTTATTTATTGGATTCTCTGAAAATCAGAAAATTGATTGGTTTCATTTTAATACCATTTCTAATGTGAAGAAAACCTCCAAGAAGTGGTGTCGCTTGCTTCTTCAGAGCGCCATCCTCTTGATTTTGGAGCAGCAGTACCTTACTGCCACAGACCAGGCGCTGCTCTGTGGTGATGGGCTGCTGTGCTGAGGGATTAGCTGGATGACAAGAAGACTAGTTGGTTTGTTTACTCCCCAGCAAGGGCAATTTAGCCACTTTCAACACTTCAGCTCATTCCCTGGCTCAGTTTCTTTCCTTCCCTGTCTCCTTCTTCTCCTCCCCTCCTCTCCCTCTCTTTCTCTCTCTTTCCCCTCTTGGGATGCTGATATGTAGCGACGTTTGCGTGCTTGACTGCTGCCTGAGCTGGACTGTTCAGCCGCACAGAGCCAGGCAGCGTCAAACCGGCTCAGGGCAATGTTATCCCTCTTTGAGAAATGTTTAACAAGACAAACTCGCCGGGGTTTTTTGGCTATGTTTGAAGCTGGAAGCCTGTTTGTGCAGAGTAATATTGTGCTAGCTCCAACATGCTGTTTTTATGTGCTGACCTCATGTGTCTTTGGGTGAGGGACAGAGGAAGTAAGAGTGGAAAGCAAAGCAGAGCTGCAGGAGCAAAGTCCAAACAAACAAATCCTCATCTCCCCCCATTTTTTCCTTTTTTTTTTCTTTTGTTTTGTTTTTGCTCGTCTAGGCTGTGACTTTATTTTGGGGGGCAACAGTAGCAGATTCCTCCCCTTCCCCAGCAGCATATCAGAGTGGAAAACGAGGAGAGGGGTCATTGACTCGCCGTAAAAGCTCAGCTGTCATAGTTCAGAAGTGCTGATGACTTCGGGTTTCACAGGAAGGTGACACCTCAAGGAAGAAGTCAGTCTGGTTATAACTATGTAACTACCAGCACACTAGGAAGAGTTATCACCAGCTAATAAAGATTGAAAGGATAAAATCGACAGTTTGACGCTGGTTTTGGAAAAATTCTAGAGAAGTCTTTCATGTGAGCTTTCCCCATGTTTGAAATGATGACTGTGTGATCATGCAGTGCTTTAAGTCATCATTGTGCATCATGCAGGGAGGTATAAAGACTCTATTGAATGCCTCCTGAGCAGGCAAATACCCCAGAGTAAAAGAACACACACTTCCATACACACACACACTTCTAAGTGAATACCGCTGCACTCTCTGGTTTCTCTCCTGAGACGCCTCTCTCCTTGCCTATCTTCGCTTCCTTTTACTCCGAGGCAGGAACAGAGCGGCCCAGAAATAAACGTGATACCAAGATGACTCGGCAGTTTGCCTTTCACTAAATATGCATAAGTGGATAATTGGAGAATCCAAATGCTCGTCCGGCTGTGTTAAGCACTTTCAGCGAGCACTCGAGATGGAAACTTCTGTTAGGTGTGGTGTTTTTAACTTTTTTTTTTCCCAGTGTAGATGAGGTTTCAGGATCCTGAGGAGTGGACACGCTGTGTGAGTTTAGCGCAACCTGATACTGTGATGGATCAGGAGGCTGCAAAATGCAACCTAGCTCAGTATGTAAGCATGCTGTGCTTATAATCCACGCTTAAATGATTCCTGTCCGGTTCAGAAGCATAAATGTGTTGGCTTTAGATGGTCAGCTGTAGTTAGTTGCAGTTAGTCAACCATTACCAAGAAGCTGCATATGCATGTGTGGCCATATAAGCTAAATGCAGAGTAGGGCTCCTTTTCTTCAAAATATATGCCCTAATATATCAACTACTACAGATGTTGAGATGTCATGAGTCCAATACTTACTTTTTTTTAAACTGATATCGGAAATCGATACAGCATAGTATTGCGATATTTTGTGTGGTGATATATCGTATCGTCTCATTTACCAAGTATCGATTTTTTTCAAGTCTATGATAATGGAAAAATAAAATCAATTGTTTGTCCAGTGAGGTTGGCAGAGATGACATCATAGAGCAGGAGAAAGTTAGTGCAAAAAATATATAAAAGGTTTGCAAGATGTGCTACATAAAAATGAAATACAGCGTAAATAAGACGGACATAAAGGAAAGACAAATGCTAAATTAGCTAAACAGTTGAAAAAATTGTGTAAATCGCAATATACGGTATTGCAATACTCACTGTATTGCAAAATGTTTGAAATCGTACAATATCCTATTGTAGCCCAAGTATCGTGATAATATCGTATCGTGGCCCAAGTATCGTGATAATATCGTATCATGGCCCAAGTATCGTGATAATATTGTATCATGGCCCCAGTATGGTGATAATATCGTATCGCGGCCCAAGTATCGTGATTATATTGTATCGCGGCCCAAGTATCGTGATAATATCTTATCATGGCCCCAGTATCGTGATAATATCGTATCATGGCCCAAGTATCGTGATAATATCGTATCGTGGGGCTGCGAGTGATTCTCACCTCTACTAACTAGGTTTTGCACTACTCTTACTTAAACTCTTACATCAGTGAAGCTCACTGGGGTTTTCTGCTGCTTTTTTTTGTTTGTTGTGTTTTTTACAGTCAATTATAAGAATTAGAAATAAACTGTGGAGTTTACACGTGTTTTTGCTGTTATTTATTGATAAAGACTCATATGTAAAGCTTCCTGCAAAGTATCACGCAGGGGCAGATTATCCAGGGCAGATCAACGTTTTTAATCTCACACCCATGCTGAGGTTTTTCCATGTAAATGACCGACTGAAACCAAAGAATACAACAGGGCAATGATAATAACACAACCACCTACTCCAGAGTGGCAACTGTCTCATATGAACGAGTTCTCTGCAGGTTCAAAGTGTTCCTGTAGATCCACGCCTGATTTCCAATGAGTGGGTCAAAGTTTTGTTTATTAATCCTCCAGTGGGTCAGCGCTTTAGTGTGTAAGCGGCCGTGATAACAGCATATAATGTGCAGCTTGTCTTTGTAAATCTGCATTTGGGAAATGATCGGTTGTATTGGAGAGGTCTGGCTGGTTACTGGTCTCTCCCACACAGACTGAAAATCAGCCGATTCTGGTCACTACTGGTCACATTTAGATGAGATTCAAAAAGTGTGAGTGTACTGATTACAAATGAAACCCAGCTCAATCTTGGGGCGTTGTTGTAGGTGTGTTGCTTTGTTACCTCATCGTCTCTGTAGATGTTCTGCTCACTCAGGCTGCACAGTTGTGTTGCCCCTGGTATGGCCCTAGGTTGTTCATTTGCAGTTGCATTTGTGTGTGTTGCTTCTGTTTCACTTGGCAGTGTAGTGGCACCATGCTGTGACTGTGTTTACTCTTTCGGATCACTGTGGGCAGCTCTGCCCGGCACACACAACTGGCACAGCCATCAGATGGAGACGACTGACAGAGGGAGAGCGAGGCTGATTAGTCAGGCTTATTCCTGCACTCTATCTCTGTTTTCTTGTACTTTATCAAAAGAGTGTGTTTCCTCTCACAACACGTTGTTTAATTTCAAGCCAACATTGCCAGCAGATCCTGGACTACACTGGCTCCTGTAGTAGCAGGACTGGCTGCTGCAGCGCTGAGAACAAGCTCCTGTTCTGTCAGAGAGTATCATAGTCATGGAGCGCTGCCAGCCAGAGCTGTCTTAAGATCAGCTAAAATAAGTTGAACCCCCTGCAGCAAGATTTGGAGCTGGTGTTATCTTCCACACAGCCACAAGGGACACCCCCTGGACTGGCTCGCTGAGTTGAGTTCAGGATTGGTTGTTGCAGTTCTTCTGATTTGGACCTGGCAACCTTATGTTCAATACACTTTGTCTTTGGGTGGAAGATCTGTCACATTAGGTTTCTCTTTATAATTTCCTTTCTTTTTATTCAATACCAATAAGGGGTGGTAGAAAAAATTGATACAGCATAGTATTGTGATATTTTGCCTGGTGATATATTGTTTCGTCTCATTTACCAACTAATGATCTTTTTCAAATTTATTGTTAATATGAAGTCAAATCTATGATAATGGAAAAATAAAATCTACTGTTTGTCCAGTGAGGTTGGCAGAGGTGACATCATAGAGCAGGAGAAAGTTAGTACAACAAATATAGCAATACCTGGGGAAAGACATCAGGAATGCAAGCAGGGCACCAATGAGATGGACCTGACACATAAAGTTTAGCATAAAGATGTGCTACATGAAAATAAAATACAGTGTCAATAGGACTACATAAAGAAAAGACAAATGCTCGTATCGAGGCCTAAGTATCGTGATAAAATTGTATCGAGGCCCAAGTATCATGATATCGTATTGAGGCCCAAATATCGCGATAATATCATATTGAGGCCCAAGTATCATGATGATATGGTATCATGGGGCCACTGGTGATTCCCACCTCTAATACATATCAAAAATACTGGGTAAGATCCTTAACCTTCTTGTCATGAAGTGTTATCTGCACCACGATCTGATCCCAGCAGGTCACAGTTTGATTTAAATGAGAGTGAAGATGTGAAATGTTAAAAACATGGGCTTGAGTGTTGTGAAAAACAGGTAGACAAAAAGAGAATACAGAGCAAGAGATGGAAGCTGACAAGGATGCAGAGTGAGAGAGAGCAGGTGTAGAGCCAGGGTGAGAGGGAGACGATAGAGAGACCAGAGGTGAGATATGGAGATAGATGGGGAAAGTGGCTCCATGGGTCAGAGAGCTAGATTAGAAACAGCAGAGGTCTGCAGCAGAGGAGAGTTAGGGAGATTGAACAGCAGGGACACTGAGAGAGAAATGGAGTTTGGAGATGTGTGCAGGTCGGGGACTGAGGAAGAAAATGAGTAAAGAAGGATGAAGAGTAAAAATGTCTCAGATCTTCGGTTTCACTCATCCCAGGACCTTAAACCCAAGACTTGTTTCCCCAGCCTTAACTCAACAAGTGAGATAAAAGACCTCATTTGTCTTGAAGGAGAAGGCCTTTAATTCTGTATGCTTTTTTTTATTGATGTTTCACCAAGATGTGGTCAGCAGCACCCTGGGGCGATGCTTCAGCTGAGCGCTGAGCTGCTAAATCTGTGCAGAACCGGTGGGCTGCTAGCGTTGGTGTAAACTTGCTAGGTTTGTCCTTGGTGGCTGAGGCTAGGCTGCTGGGCTGGTCTGCTTTGTAATTGGATTAGAGATCTCTGCGTTGCATCAGGCGAGGCAAGACGGGTTCACACACACATGCACAAAATCACACACACTTTAAATGCACACACGCCTCAAGGAGCCAAGATCATCTCTGTGCTAAAGGTTCTACTCCTCCTCTTTCTTCATCTTCAACTTTCTATCTTACTATCCCGCTATTCTCTTCATCCCCTTTTAAACACCACCCCCTTTTCCCCTGGCTGTCTGTAAATGCGTGAGAGTGTTAAATCATGCATTTTGTGTAAAATGGTGTAAATGTTTGTGTGCATGTTTACGGATCAGGCCTGTCATGGATACCCGCTCTAAATGGGATTACAGGAGATGCAGTAGAGCTCACGCTGAGAACACCTAGGAGAAAAAGAGACAGGAATAAACAACACCAGTGGAAGATAATGTGCTCTGATAAATTTCAGCAGATAAATGTCTCACTGTACTTGGAGGAGGAGGGGGATGAGTTGCTCAAGGCCTGAAAAAAAACTTCCTGTTTAGCAGCTCTGGACAGGAAGTAGACAGTGATGTCATGGTTGATGTGCCTCATCCTGAAAGCCTTGTTTTGCTCGTCTTTAACCTGTAAATGTGCAGAAACCTTAACTGATAAGAGTTTTCATTGACTTCCCTCAAAAGATCCATTCAGCCACCACTGATAGTAGATAAAGGTTTTTTTTTTTTGCATTATTTCTTCATCATTCTGATTTTATTAATGGCGCAGTGAGACTTGATATACTTAAATAGTTCCTAGACTGTCCTTCAAAGTCTGTACTCAAGTGCCTCATGTCTTAAAAACTGCATATTCCAGATCTTTCTTAGAGACTATATAATACTCCCACACTGCACGCACAGTTTCATTCATGTTTCATCTTTAAAACTATTTAATTTGTCTATCGGTGGACTTCACATGCAATGTTGATAAAGATAAAATGTAACGGCTGAGGAAACTGAGACAAACCTTGGCTGGCCTACCAAAATTTGTCCAACTAATTGAGTGTTTTTCTTTGTATGTCAGTCCAATATGTCTTAAGTGACCTCTTTCCCTCCCTCTAGACTCCTCATGCCTTGTAAACAGAGTTACCACACCGGCTCTGCAGGTAACTGACAGAAAAGGACATAAACAATATTACAACAATATCAGATCTTAAGCCGTTCTCTCTCTGTCCCAAAGACGTCTAGACTTCTGCACATCTTTTCTCCTGTCGCTGTGATTCTCTTACTTTACAATCCAGCTGAAGTGTTTTTAAAATAAAAGGACCATTGTTATTATCACTGAGTGTGTTACTACATCTATCAGTGTCCTCTTGTGTGTTTGAAGGAGACGGGCACAGATCTCCTCAAATTACATACTTAATAGAACATAATTAGATTTAGCTCAATTTAATTTAACACAATTATGGTTATATTATACAGTAGATCTCTCTTTGGGTTAATAAGGACTCCTGAATGGCAGGATAATGTATAATTTCACACTGTTCTGTGTGACTGTACCTCCGTTTTCATGTTTTTGAAACACAAAGTTAATGTTTTCATCAAACACCTCAGTGTAACTTTGCAACCTTCCCAGATTCAAATACAAATGAGGTGATCATAATTTTGAATCCTGCATATGTAGAAAGGTCAATTCACAGGTTGTAAGTATTGCCTGTAAACATGACACTCTAATCACACTCCACTGTCAATAAGGAAGGTGTAGTTTCAGTAAAAAAGGGTAACTCCAGGAAACAAAGTGGAAAAGGCAGAAAAACCGGCATTATTTCACCAGCTGGCCTCCAGATTAAAGAACAGGGTTTTGAACGGTGTCAGGTGTTACTGATGACTGAAACACATGATCAGGGTGTGGGGAGAAGGTGTGTTCAGGTTTGTTGGACAGGTTCAAACAAGAGGCTAGCAGGGCTTAAAAAAGTATGAAGAAACTCAGTGACAAAGGTTCAGCGACTCACAAGATAAACTGAAGAAGAATTTGTCTCTGTAACAGTAGTCACATCCTTCAGTCATCTTTCTGTGTGTGTGTGGGGGGGTGTGTGTGTGTGCTGCATATGCATGTGTTAACTATTCAATACCACATGTGGATGTGGTTTAGGCGAGAACTAACAGCAGCAATAAGATTAGAGGCAGACAGCGTTAGAACAGGCTTAATATCTGACAGGTCGGCACGAGCAGCCATATGTTTCATATGTGTGAGCTGACATGCCTGCTCCTCTAAAGCTCTGATCTGCGCATATGGCCTGTTCATCCTCTCCACTTCCTGCCACCATGACAGCCAAGAGATGGAGAGAGCACGGCATGAAGGCACAGATAAGCGGTGGGTAGGGTGTACCCGTGAACGTCACAAAAAAAGTTCTGACCTTGTTTTAAGGTAATCTAAGTTTAATTGATCAAATCTAAATTAGCCTAACAGTGAAGAAAATAACAGCAGAAGTTTAGTCTTGCAAACAAGTATTGCTGTCTGTGCTTGCACAATGCATTTTCTTCAAATTTGCAGACCAATCACAGGCTGAACTCCAATTATTCATAAGTTTATGAAGTGACACAAACCAGCTCCATGAGATACTTCACCTCCAAAAAAGGATAAGGAGGGAAAGGAGGGAGATGTTTTGGAGCTGAGTTTGACTTGGAATTAAGGCAAAAGGGTAACAGAGAGGGAGCTGACATTTTAGGATGTCAAGGCTGAACACGGAACACAAAAACACAAGACACACAACAAAAGGTTTGACCCGTATAAGGCCTCTGATATCCCCAGGAGGAAGTGTGTGCATGTAAACATGGATAAGTTTGCCTCACTGAAGGATAACAGAGGGCCGTGCTAGGGAACATACTTGTCCATGCTGTCCAACTCCAGCACACACTCATACAGTGCAGTGTTTCCCCTATAGAGTATTTGGCAGAAGCCAGCTGTGCTGATGGCTTGCTGTGAACACAGGGTATTATGGGTAGTGTAAAAGATTATGAAGTTGCTGATGCTTGCTCATCGAACATCCTATATTGAGTGCACATTAAAACACAGGATCCAGGATTCAGTTTGACGGTTTATTTGCTCGTCTTCAGTGGATGATTTTTTCTGTACAATCAAAAGGAATATAAACAAGATGTATCAACATAAAATATTACAAAAAGGGGGGACTGATAAAGTCAAATGAATTGTAAATTGGTTAACTAATCTTACATCATAGATGCATCCACTTCGGGGTTTTAAATCAATACATATGCGTTTCAGGGTGACAGGAATCTAAAGAAATAATATTTGAGAATAAACCATATTAGAAATAATACAAATAAGGAGAATACAACAACATTTGTTAAGGCTTTGTCCGTTTCACACTCACAGTCAGATTCCCTTTGTTCAGTGCTGCTCTTGTTCAGGCTGCAAAAGGGAGAGCAGGCCTGAGGACTGGCTTTTATGGTGTTGGGGGTGTGGTTTGGCCTTGAGTGACAGGGGAGTCAGGTATGGAGATGGTGAGGTGAGAATTTGGGATTTAACAGCCGCCCCTTCAAATAGTATATTTGAATCAATAAATCACAAATCAATTCTGGGTGTCGGCTTTAAAAGGTGAAAGGATAACTAGTCGGGCAACAGGGCGGATGAACTTTCGTTGGTTAGATGTCACTTCCACAGTCCTAATCCTTCCGTCATCACTGGGGAAGAGACGAGACACCTTCCCAACATGCCACTGTCCCCTTGGTACTTGGGGATCCATTAACAGTACCACTGTTCCCTCTGTCAGGCCTGGTGTGTCTTTCTGCCATTTATTTCGAACCTGCAAGCTTGGAAGGTAATTTCTGATGAAGCATGACCAGAATCGATCGGTTAGGATCTGACTATGCCTCCATTTTCTCTTTCCAAGTAAGTTGGATTCAGCATAGACAGCCTGTGGAAGAGAAGCATCTCGCCGCCCCATTAGGAGAAGATTTGGCGTGATGGGGTCAGGATCTGCTATGTCAGATGAGGCATATCCGATCGGTTTGGAGTTGATTATACCTTCAATTTCCACATGCACTGTGTGCAGTACTTCCTCTGGAACGGTTTGGCTTCCAACAATCTCTCTCAGAGCAGTTGAAGACAACATGATGATTGCCATTATGCTCCACAAGGTGGTGAGGGGTATACCATGATTCTTCTGTCTGAGAGACTTGTTCAGGTTTGAGTTTTTCGCATAACTAGGTTGTTTTAGTTTACTGATTTCATTGTTGTATATGTCTGCCAATTCCGGATTGTTTTGGAGTTTGCGTTCAGATCGACGGAGAAGGGGCGTAACAGATTCTGCTGGGGCTTTTAGTTCAGGTGCATCCTTTTTTCTTTGTGAAGGGGTTGCATAGCGTTTGGTGCCATCTGTTTCAACTCTCACAGTTTTCATATCCAGGAGGTCTATGGCGTCTCTATCTTGTTTTGACCTTGTGATTAATTTTTCATTTCTGAAGGGAAGGATATCAGCTTGCCACAGTTGCTCTACATGGTGTTGAAGTTCTGAGTAGGGGTTAACCGGTGATGTTAAAAAGCACTGGGTAGCGGATGATGACTCACCAAGGAAGGTTGGTCCTTGAAGGGCCCATCCCAGGCGTGTTCTTACTGCTGCTGGAGCTCCCTTTGGTCCATATTGAACTCTCTCTATAGGTGTAATCAGGAAAGGATTGTCAGATCCGATGAGGATGTGTGGCTGGACTTTGGAGAAGGAGCTTAGTGGGAGACCTTGCAAATAGGGATAGCGTTGCTTGAGTTTATCTACAGGGTAACTTTGCTCGACAAGCATTATCATGTCGGAGGTGAAGGCTCTGTCAATTGAGAATTTTTTCTCAGGGCTTGATGCAGCAGAGATTTTAAGGTTAACAGTTTTCCCATTCAGGGTTTCTGTTTGCTGCCTTACTGTTCGCAGCTCGAGGTTTTCTGGTTCACCATCCAGCCCAAGGTACTCTGCAGCACCTGGTAGTAGCATTGTACGCTCAGATCCATCATCTAAGATGGCATGTGTCTCAAAGACTCTATTGTTATGGTGAAGACTTACTTTTACTACTTTTAGCAGCACTTTGGATGTTAGGCTTCGTGGGTTCAGATACAACACTCTGGATGCTGTCTGGGTTTTATTTACATTGTGTAGCACACCTAGGTGAAGGCCATTACATTTGGGACAGGGTTTTTTTAGAGTGCAATTAGCTGTTTTATGGGTTCTTCCACATTTCCAACATCTATTTTCTTCCTTTAGCCACCTTGACACTTTCTCGGGTCCTAGTTCTTTCAAACTTTCACAGTTTGTTAGGTAGTGGGAGGTAGATTGACAAAATGCACATGGGTACCTTCTTTCAGGCTGTTGTTGGTAACCAGAAGCACTTGGGTGGTGAGTGAACCTCCGGTCGGATCCATGGAGGATGGTGGTAGGATGCTTGGGTCTGTAGCTTGACTCCTTTCTATAAGTTTGAGGTGTGCTGATTTGAAGACTGCTGGCTTGTGCTACCACAGCTTGACATTCTGCCTCTCCCTCAAGCCATACTGAAAAATCCACTAGATTGTAATGAGAGGTCAGGGAAACTGAGCGGGCGTGTCTTGCAAAGTTTGAGACTAGCTCTACTGGAAGTTTATTTAATAATCTCTGGACATGGGAGGCACATGCTAATTCTGCTGCACTTTCTGCTGAATTGAGTGATTGCAACAGCCCTACTAATGACCTAACTTTGACTGCAAAGTTTTGGAATCCTTCGGCATCTCCACGGGCCACTTTGGGTAGGTTGAGAATGGTCTGGATCTCCTTTAAAGCCAGTTGATGTGGTTGACCATACTGTCGTTCCAGTGCTGCCATTGCTGCTGTAAAGGGCTGTGGGTGGTGAGCATAAGACAGGGCAATATGTCTAGCTGAAGGGAGGTGAAGATGATCCAAAAGGATATGGAACTTAAATAATTCAGGTTCTTCTACTGGAAGAAGGTTTTTCAAGGCCATCTTTAACATTAGGAATTCCTGGGGGTCATTTTGGGTGAAATAAGGGAAGGATGGACCTTCAACACGTGAAGTGTATCGGATTTGGTGTGCAGAGTCCATAGGTACGGAGTAGCTTGCGTTGAGGGGGGCTCCTAGAGCTTGTGGGGCACCAGTGATTGGGGCTGGCTGAGGTGCAAGATATTGGGTATGAAGCTGCTGCACAGGTTGAGGGAAATGTTGATACTGATATGGAGCTGCAGAACTTGGATGGTGAGCAGATGGCTGAGGATAGGTTGAGACTTGAGGTGGAGGTATAGGCGTTGGATGAATGGTATACGGCTGGAGTGGAGGCCTCTGGGTTGATTGTATTTGGCTATGAGGGCCATAAGATGGCTGTGTAACATTAACATTGAGTGGTATTTGCATAGGCTGTGCTGTAAATGTTATAGGAGGGTTGATTACTGGCCTGGTAAAAGGAGGGTCAGTAGGAGGCAGACTAGCAGTTGTGGGTATGAAAGGCCCCGGACGTGACACTGAGGGGACGAATCTTTGAGGTTCAGGGTTGGAATAAGCTTGCTGGAATGGCACATTAGTTAGGGAGGCTGATGGAAGTGGACCTGATGGTACTTGGATTGGGGACTCATTTCTTAATTGTGGAACAGGAGCAGGTCTCTTTGGTTCACCTTGTGCTGCAGAGAGTGTGGGAGCATATGGGAAAAGGGTCTGAACAGACTGAGACATTTTTCCAGGTTGCAATGCAAGTACTGATTCTGTTAAGTTGGGTTCAGACATGGACTTTTCACACTGTGGGGCTGGGACGGAAGTTACTGGTTGGTTTGGCGATGATTGAGTTGTTCGGGGGTGACAATCCTCTTCAGAATCTCCTTCTGAGTAGCCATGTTCATACTGTTCGACTCTCTCGTGTAAATCCTTCATCATGCTCTTTAATTGTGCCACTTCTTGTCTCAATAAAACAGTCTCTGAGGTTTCTGCAGCAGGTTCTGCACATTGACTAAAATGTTTGGGAGGCTGGCCATAAAGTTCAGTTTGGTAGTCCTGAAGATACCTGGGAGGCATTCTCTCTCTTTGTGGCCTTCCTCCGGCCTGACTGCCATCATGCCAAACTGAATTTGGATCCATTTTCAATATAGATGTTCTCTCCGGCTCGAAGGACCATGTAAAAGATTATGAAGTTGCTGATGCTTGCTCATCGAACATCCTATATTGAGTGCACATTAAAACACAGGATCCAGGATTCAGTTTGACGGTTTATTTGCTCGTCTTCAGTGGATGATTTTTTCTGTACAATCAAAAGGAATATAAACAAGATGTATCAACATAAAATATTACAAAAAGGGGGGACTGATAAAGTCAAATGAATTGTAAATTGGTTAACTAATCTTACATCATAGATGCATCCACTTCGGGGTTTTAAATCAATACATATGCGTTTCAGGGTGACAGGAATCTAAAGAAATAATATTTGAGAATAAACCATATTAGAAATAATACAAATAAGGAGAATACAACAACATTTGTTAAGGCTTTGTCCGTTTCACACTCACAGTCAGATTCCCTTTGTTCAGTGCTGCTCTTGTTCAGGCTGCAAAAGGGAGAGCAGGCCTGAGGACTGGCTTTTATGGTGTTGGGGGTGTGGTTTGGCCTTGAGTGACAGGGGAGTCAGGTATGGAGATGGTGAGGTGAGAATTTGGGATTTAACAGGTAGTGTTATGAACGTGGGGGCGGGGTCGGCAGCTCACTTTGCCATAGTTCAATTCAGGAAGCCACAGATAAGGAAGAAAAGAATTCGCACAATCATTTTTAACCAGTCTCCCAAATCTGTTAGCTTCACCTTTTCACTTTGGAGGAGTCCAACATTTTAAAAGTCATGTGAAAGAAAACTGATCTTTTGTTTCTGCTTTCACTTTCTTGTCAAGTAATGGGGCTCTTCTTACTCAGCTGATCATGAAACAAATAGCACTTGATTCATTTATGGTGGAAAAACAGGAAAAAGTTAACAAGTTTAGTATGAAGTAGCAGCTCGCTTACATGTTGAAATTATGCCATCATCTTGCCTTCAGCAAGAGGTCGGGTGTTAACACACAGTGAGAACTCGCATACCTGCACTTAGACATGTGCACACACGCAGAGCTGTTCTGCCCTTGATGCTCCTGTTGCTACTTCTCAAGGCGAATCAGATGCAGAATTACTATGCCACATTTCAGATAAGACAGTAATTGAGCCGCCTTAAACTGACAATGTGCAAGGGCCTTCATGGATAGCCTTGAACTTAAATCAAACCTGTTTTTGGTATTTTGAGTCATCCTAAATTATTTTGCCAAAAGAGTTGACCAAATAGATCAAAACTGTATCCAAACTGGTTCTGCACCACCATGTTTAAAGTTAATCATAACAGTAATTATAGAAGAAAGTGAATCAAGGAGTCATGCTTAGCTCTTTTTATAAATCCTTGCTGCATCAAAAATGATTAGACAAAGAAAAATCTTTGTAAACAAGACGAACGTAAAAGAAAGCAAAATGCTAAATTAGCTAAGCAGTTGAAAAAAATGTATAAATCGAAATATTTTGTATGGCAACGCTCACTGTATTGCAAAATGTTAAAAATCGCAATAGTATCGTACCGTGGCCCAAGTATCGTGATATCGTATCAATAGTGCTGGGCGATATGGAAAAAATGTATATCACGATATGGATCATTTTATATCACGATAACGATATATATCACGATATAGCTATGGTATGCTTTCAGTTCTATGAAAAATTTAAGTGTATACAGCTGCACTAGTACAGTACCAGTACAAGACCAGCACTTAAAACTAGAAAAATGAATAAATAAATACGTGGCTGAAGTGCGTTCATGTCTGTGCTCACCCAAAGTTATGCAACACTCACAGAAAACGCTGATAGTGTGAGCCAAAGCACTCCTTAATAATAATAATAATAATAATAATAATAATAATAATAATAATAATAATAATAATAATAAATTTAATTTGTAATGCACTTTACATTTACAAAAAATCTCAAAGTGCTACAGTACACAGTAAAAAAAGAGCAGCAACAATAAAAAAAGCACTAGAATGACAGTCACAGATTGGCATAAAAAAAGAATTAAAAAAAAAATATATATAGAGTTGCAATGTAAGAGGCAAGGTAGTAAAAGCATAAAGCATAGAGGAAAACTAACCAAAGGCTTTATTAAAAAGGTAGGTCTTTAGGGCTCTTTTGAAGAGGTTGTTCACACTGCTAGATGTTTCTCCTCCGAAGCTGCTCTCTGCCTCCATCATTGTTTACTTTACTCTTGAAGCACGTAGCAGGACCCGAGCATGAATCCGAGCGCTTTATTCGCCTATCAGGGGCAGACAGGTAAGGTGATTTGATTCGCCACGACTCCAGAAATGATTGAAAAACTACAGAATGTCACAAAATTACGTTTCCTCACTGCTGGCTTGAAGGGTACAAATGCGCAGCCGCGCTCCCAGCTGACAGGAAGTCAAACCACTGTTGTAGTTCTTTTGTGTTGCTAGCGCGGTCAAGAGTGTTGGCTCTCACTGAGAGATGACTACAAAAATGGATGCACCTGTTCATCTGGTTGTTAAACACGGCTGAAAATGATCATCTTTTAATGTTGTTCCCGCTCCTGCCCTCTCCCGATGCTTTTTTCCGGTCCCATCCCGATCAAGGGATTAATTAAAAAATGACTCCCATCCCGTGGGATTCCCGCGGGAATCACGTGACCCACGGGAATTCCCGAAAAATGTCATCCTCTACAGGGAAGGTCCCGGAGCAGATGAAACAGGTGCCGGAGCGGCTGAAATAGGTCCCGGATCCGATCAAAAGAGGTCCCGGATCGCGCTCCGACTTGCTCCGGCACAAATTAAGCACTGCTTACAGTGATCCCCTCACGTGTGTAACTCAGGTAACCCGCAACGGCGGGAGACGCTGGACACAAAGAGGGCACGTAAAGCGGCGTCATGTCGCAAAATCGAAAGAGAAATGCAAGCCTACATGTCATCGCATCCTTTTCTTTGTAAGAAAATATTGTTTTCTTTCCCGTTCGACACCAAATACACTTACTGAATGTGCAATTATTGTTGTTGTTACTATGAATCATCTGATGGCACAAGCCCTATGGATAAAATACAGCCTATCGCCCGAAACGATAAAAATAAAAATGGCACGATAGACATTTTCTATCGTGCCCACGATATCTATCGTCCTATCGCCCAGCACTACGTATCAAGGCCCAAGTATCATGATAATATTGTATTGTGGCTAAAGTATCGTGATAATATCGTAATGTGGCCAAAGTATCGTGATAATATCATATCGTGGTCCAAGTATCGTGATAATATCGTATCGTGGCTCAAGTATCGTGATAATATCGTATCATGGCTCAAGTATCGTGATAATATCGTATCGTGGCTCAAGTATCGTGATAATATCGTATCATGGCGTATCGTGATGCGTATCGTGGCTCAAGTATCGTGATAATATCGTATCATGGGGCCACTGGTGATTCCCACCCCTAGTAACTGTCAGACCTGCTCTCACTGTCGAGGTTTTCTTCCTACAGTAGCTGCATCACGCTTGAAACGGGAGCAGACTGAGTCATTTATCAGAGGGAGTGTGCACAGCAGAGCAGACTCCATAGATTAGAGGTGAGAGGAGTGTGTGCGGCTGATTTATTACCGGCCGTTAGCTGGTTAAATGAGGCTAAGTGAGTCGGCCAGCTCAGGGAGGTGAGATGGAGGAGATTAGCCTACATAAAGAGCGATGGAGGAAAGAGATCAGTGCAGCAAACGGTGACTCCTGACCTTGTGTGGTTTACATACTGCTTCACTTAATCTCCTCTCTTGTTCTTTCTCTGCTCTTCCTTGGCGTCATCCTGGAGTCCTCCCTGCATCTGTGTCATGCTGGTTATGTGAGGCTTTTTGAGATGTGGTCTTCGATGTGTTGTCTAACAATTATACAACAAGTCAGTGCAAGTCATTGTCAGTGACAGAGCTGCAACGTTACAGCCCTGAGCGAAGCTTGGTTACGTTCACATAACTAATATACCACATGTCATAACATATCTATTTTTAAAAGTGCAGCTGAAAAGGCCCTGTAATTTTCCTCTGGAGTTTGATGGCTGTTGGATGGGAGAGTGTTATTAAATGTTGAGAAGCTTTAATGTCAACCTCAGTCTCCTCAGCTTTTGACATAGAAAAAAAAAGGCATATCTTCGAGTTTGTATTGTTGATCTGCAATTTATTTCCTTTTTTGTGCATTTACATTTTGAAATCTCTTGAGCATTTAGAAAGGTCATAAGTTCATTACTAGAGATGTACCAATCCATTTTTTTCCGATCTAATCCGATACCAATACCTGGGCTGAGCGTATCGGCCGATATCTGATACCGATCCAATACTACTGTTGAATTAATGAACTGTATACCCAACCCTGTGAGTGAAGGCATCAGGTTTGACATTAGCCTTGTTAAAAAAAGGTAACAAATTAACACAGATATAAATACTTAATATTATTTATTAAATGTACTATACAAATATATATAGTATATATAAATATACTATATTTATGTAATATATTATGTACAAATAACAAATTGCACATTAGCAAAAGGATAGACAGACATAGAATATAGAGCGAACAGAATCGCTGTGTTTTTGTGTGTGATATCAATTAAAAGAAAAAAAAAGAGACTGGATCAGAATGCTGGATCGGCACCAATCATCAGATGTCCGATCCAGTTTATTTGTCAATATCGGAGCCGATATCTGATCCAAATATCAGATTGGTGCATCCCTATTCATCACAGAAAAAAGGGCTCCTTTGTCTTAGGAGGAGGCAGATCTGATATTGTAGTTCAATCACTGCCCATCTGTCAAACTGTACATTAAAAAGACACTGCAAAGTTTGTGTTGTCTACAGATTGATGTTGCAGCCATTTTCCTCTGTTGAGATATTCAGGTTGGGCCTAACACCGTTATGATGTCCTATAAGTGTATCAGGAGACTGTAGAGCACATCATGCTTCCATCTGTTAAGAAGCCTTATGAAGATACAGATTCCCTGTGGTTGCTGAATTTGCAGTCCAAAAATTAGCAGTAGAGTATTTTTTCAAATATTAGCAATAAACCCTCTCTCCCTGAATGCGACAAGGAAAATAGCTGCGTATGTGTTAAGTTCTCACAACGCTTCATCAGACATTTCAACTCAGTTCCGTCAGTTTGAAGGTCTCCGCTTGAATTCAACACCTGTGACCTTCTTTACTGTTACAAAATCCAGGACCTGACAGCAGTGACTGATAGAAATAGTGAGGGTCTATCTTTGGCTCTGGATGAGGCTATACGGGTTCAAACTGAGGGGATTGATATGTGCTGTTTAAGCTGCGTCTATCTTTGACCTGTGGTCCATGTGTCAGTTTGCACGTTTGCTTCCAGTGTGAGTGAGAGAGGACAAGCGAGCGACATCATTCACATCCGTTTCCTCTCGTAGACGAGCTTAAGGTCAGAGGGGTTTGGTCCGCTCTGGTGAGTTAATGTGGGAGGGTGGAGGGTGGGGGAGGCAGTGGAGGAGAGGCAGATGGGACATTGCTCAGAGGATCACATGAAGCATGGTTGAGGTGGTAGTGACAACTGTATAATGGCACGTGTAGCTGTGTTTCATGGGTGTTCATTTTTGTGAAGTTTGGTTGAATTTCAAACTTACTCATTAAAGTTGGTAAAAGTTTTGTCCTTTTTTTACCCCTTTTGTCTTTCTTTTTCTTTCTTTTTCATCTGCATGTTTGCTGTCTGGCGTGGGTGCGAGTGTGAGTGTCCTCATGTACACCTGTATCCTCTCCTCTGTTTACACACGACCTCGTGTCTGGCTCTCGTCTGTGTGTGTGTGTTGTGCCTTTATCGCCCTCCCTGCCCCACCCTTTACTGTAACCTGCTCTCTCTTTTTCCTCCTCATTGTTCTACCTCTTCGCCAGGGCAGAGAGTCTTCAGCAGAAGCTTTCAGGAAGTCTCCGTCACTCATCGGGCGGAGGGGAAAGCAAACAGCGAGATGCACAAACACAGGAAGTGCTTCTTTCCTTGTTCTGTGTGCTGTGCAGCTTATGAGAAAAGAGAAACCTGAGCTTAGTCTCTAACTTTACATATAAATTTGATTGTCTAATGCTCTTCAGTTTCTCATCGCCCCACATGAATACCACTCTAAATCTATGAACTCTGCTCCTCAGCCTTTGTGATTTCATATTTCATATTTCTTTACCTGATAGTTAAGAGGTGGAAATAAAATAGACTTAAAGCCTCAAAATGTCAGTAGTCTTATTTGAAATACTGGTTCTAACTCCCTTTTAGTTTAAGCGTCCAAAAACCAGCAAAAAGATGGAGTTGAAGTCTTGCTACCTGACAAGCAGCTACAAGTCACCTACCTGCAAGTCAAGTCAGTCAAGCCCTGAAGTTAAAGTAACTATGCAGAACTCCTCGCCCTGATATAGTCAAATTAGATGAGTTGTCGAAAACACTGACTGCTGTTTCAGTGTCTCAAATCAGGAACTGAGATGTAGAAACCAGAATAGGCTATAACTGTATTCAAATCTTCAATATTCTGATAGAGGATCAGCCTCAAGAGGACACTCAAAGAACTGCAGTTTTTTCAACTTTCACATTGCCTTCATTTTTCAACTTGGCCATGACTTAAGATTTATGGAGGGTTTTTTTTTTTATCCTGTACCTATATTTATATATATATATTTATTTATTTCCCCATCTCTCTCCAGGAACTTTATTAAAACATAAATTCTTCATCCATCTTCTTCTCTGATTCGCTCGGAGGCCTGGCCCCGATCATATTACTCTTTCTTGCCTTTTATTACTGTAAGGCCTTCACTGAAGCTGGTAAATTAGAGTTGTGTATCTGCAGTGCATCTCAAGCAGCGGAGAGGTGAGCAGCTGTGGTCAAAAGTGGGTAGAGGTCAGAGCTCCCTTCACAGAGACCGAAGGATGCACACGTCAAGATTCACATGACGGTTGTTGTATAATGGCTGGAGTTTGTGTCTTCATATTCAGACGTAATAATCCATCTTCAGTATGTGGAGTAGTTAACCTGGCTAAAACCCTTTTTTTCCCTCTAGCATCAGCTCAGAGCTGCTGAGACTTGCTCCATGAGCCCGGCACTCCCTCTCTGTGTGTTTTCACACAACCACTGGTTTGGAGATTTGAATATATTAAAAGGGATGTCAGTTCCTATTTTCACATCTTTTGTATGCGGATTTCAGACACTGCTGCTGTCAGGCTGAACTCAGGGCTCAGTATTTGGTAATGCGGATGATAAAGGGTCACATTAACACTGCTGTGCACATTGAGAAGGTGATCCAAACGTCTCAATTTGTGTTTTTTTCTTTTTTCCTTTTTTTTTGAAATGCTGCAAAGAGCATATTTACAACGTTTGGGTCTCTGTTGTATGAATTTCAAGGCAATAAGCCTCACAGCAGTCGTTTTTAGATTAAAAGTTATCGTACTTTTTCTCCTTCCGTGTCTACTGCATAAAATCCCTTTAATGGTATCACCTGGGGCAGTTGGGTGTCAAATATAGGTAAAGTTTAGCAGAATAAAATCCCCACTGAATCAGTTTCTGCCTTTTATTCAGTCAGTCTGCGTGCTAAAGGATATTTCCTGACAGTTGGTTGTTCAACAAACATGTTGAAAGTACAAAAGTGTTTCCTAACTACTGATACCTTAGTTCCCTGTGGCCTTGGAAGTCCTTGAAAGTTAGTGTATTTGTTAAAATGAACATTTAAACCTCTGCGAGTGAATTAAGACCAGAAAAACATGTTTCTCATAAAAACTGTAGTCGCATTGACGGAGACCTGCATTGATTAACCAACAGTCTGACAATGTCTTATTCTATTGGGACTTTATAAACGCTGGGTGCTTCAGTCCTGCTTTATATCTTAATAAACAAAATGACAAAACACCCTCAGTGTTACCAGCCTCTACACCCCACCAACAACACCAGCTTGTTACAAGAAAGAGAAAATATTACTGTGCTGTAAACAGGATTCAGATGTAGTGTTTTTTCACCACAAGGGGGCAGCACTAATCCATAATAAATGGCTGTCTAATGAGAAGGAGCGCTCACCTGCTGCATAGAAATCTTACCTGACAGCAGTCAGGTAACTTTGTTTGTTCATACGTCATATTGATTTTAGCAGGTCTTTTAAAATACAGGAGTGGTGTTTGATCGGCTCTGAGTGACTGATGAATGAGAGAGGAGATTAAACAATAGAGAAGAGAGACAACAGGGGACACACAGGGTTAGTGATGGCATTAAGTAGATAGACGTAAGGAGAGTTTGGTAAAAGAGAAGGAATAAAAGGAAGAGGCGAGAAAAAGAGAGAGACCCAATGAGCATGAGATCAGATCGCATTGTTGCATAATCATGGCTTGCAGGCCTTCCCAGCATGCACTGGGCTCTATCAGCTCCAGTCCAGTATCACATGACCGTGTCAAGCTGCTGCAGTATCAAACCAGCAATACAAGTCCACCCGCAGCCAGAGGCGGACATGGATCAATAGATGTGTTCTTCCCTGAGTCGAGCCGTCCTCTTCATTTGTTTCTTTGCTTTTCATATACTCAGGCTCAGCTCAAAAGGGAATTAATTATTTTGAAAAACTTTGAGCATTTTGATATTCAAATTGGGATTTGATGGCAGAGGTATGCTGGTTCATTCAGTTCAGTGAAATCAGGAAATATCAGGTTTCACTTCTGTGTGAAAACTCATTTATTCATTGGTTTTCTTTTCTTTTATTTATGTGTGTTTTAAAGGAAAAGCCCAGAAGCTACCTAATTGATTTATTCTTATAATCATATATTGACTGAGTGTGAGGCTAGAAACCTCCTCTTGTGGATTTTTCTTCCTTTGCACACCTTTCATCTTCATGCCTGCAACATCGTTCACATACCGACAATACCAGGTGTAATCCAAGCTTCAGTACCACTCTCCTTCTCCTTCCTTTCTTTGTGGTTTCTTTTTTGATCTTCTACCTTCACCTCCTCCCTTCCGTCACTTCTGCACAGCCTCTATCCACATGCCAGCGATACCAGACTGCATACCAGCGAGCAGGACATCATCACCTGCCTGCACCTCTGCCTGTTTTCTCTCATCACTGTTTCTCAGCGCCTGAGGAAGAGAGAGAAAACAGGAGATGCTGGGCTGATCTGTCCACATATGTGCTGCATTAAATCTTTTTCAACAGTAGGTGGCATCACAGTCCCATTTACCTTAGCAGCTCCTCCTATGAATGCTTGACCTCTGGTTTGGAGGGAGAGTGTTGTCAGTCGTGACTCAGCTGTAGATGGACAGATGTGGCAATAAGTTAAAGTAATGATTTCATAGTAAAGATATGAGTTGACATTTTTTCTGGTACTGATAGAAATTGACAAATGAACTAGATGAGTAAAATATGACTGTTGCAGGCCTGTTATCAGTCTAAATAAATGATTGAATCCTCTCCCTGCTTCACTCTGCTCATGTAACTCCTTGTGCATGAGCTCCTTGTGAGTCTTGCACAAGCTAAAGCTAACAGGCTATTGGCGCAAAGGTGACTGGAACGAGTTTGATTTGGTTTATTCCAGTGACAATGGCGTACTGCACTCTCCTCCATGATTCAATATGTAACTCAAGTGAGGCAGAGCTTGTTCATTAGCTGGGGAGAACCAACCTTGACATTTATTCCACTCAATAAATCCAGATTGCTCTCGCTGGTTTTAGGGCTGTGTCTGTGACTCCTACTAAGAGCAGTCAGGAATTAACTTTAGCGTCAGATAAACAAAATGAGTGGAAATGCAAAACACTGAGTCTTTTAAAGCTGATTTAAAGTTGAATCAGCAGCACTCACTGTTATTTGATGCTAGCTGTAGCTACAGCTGCATTTTAATCCTTTTTTGTTCAACCCTAATTCCATTAGGGTTGGGCCGCTGTGTAGAATGATGAAACAAACACAATCTAATGGCTTGCAAATAGTTCAATGACAACACATCAGATTTAGAGACTGAAAAGTGTTATTCTTTATGAGAATTACATACAAGTAGGGCTGGGTGATAAAACGAAAATTATCTCCCTCAATATCGGTATGAAACATGGTCAATATGCTTTTCGATAGCCAGCATTCTGCCATGTTTTGGTAGACTATATGAATAGCCAATGAAAAGGGGAGTTGCTCCAGGTTCGCGCCACGCTGAACCAACCATTCAGTCGACTTTTTCTAGCGCAACGCCTTACAATGAAAGATGGAAGAGACACACAGACCTCACAAATGCAGTAGCTTATTGTATTGCAAAAGACATGCTACCAGTAAGCACTGTTAAATTTCATTCAAGAGTAACAGGGAACATTTAAGATTGACAAGTAATTTTTTTGTATCATGATATATAAATAACTTTTTCCTATATCACCCAGCCCTACATACAGGCTTATTAAAGTTTGATGAAATGTTTAATTTTCAAACTCAGGAATTTATTTCCCTTTAAACACCAGTAAATGGTCCAAATGTTCTTCATCGTTCACACCGTGGCCTTTTCAGTTATCATCAAGTAGTCTTCCAGAACATACAGGTATTGATTCATAGACAATTTAGGTTTATTAAACCAGCAAACTTTCACAAGAGAGAGTCTGAGAAAAGTACATTTTTGTTTCCAAAAGACTGCTTAAACAGTAATTTAAGAACAATTTGTCCTTTTTTTTTTTTCTAAATGTGAGATGTTTTTGCAACGCTGGCGCAGAGCTGCACATTCTCAAGATGCTTTCCTCCTGATCGGTTCATGGGTACGGTTCCATTTCATTTCCTGTAATTGAAATAGAAACCAAAGCTGCCCAGATATAGAAAGATAGCACTGTTTGGGGGCAGAGTGCAGAAATATACCCACAAGATATTTAAAAAACAGTCAACATCCCTGTTTATTTCCCACATGAAATCACATTTCATGTGCTGTTATATACTGGGAGGACTGAGGTGACTTTAAGGTGAGTTAAGGAGGTGTCCCATCACTATAGACCAGGCTGTATGTCAGAGGCAGACATACAGGCAGACTCCTGGCGTCGTCCTGCCTGCCTGTATATATAGGCCCTTTCATACTGCTGCTCTTGGCCTGACTCCAGCTCACATATACCTCGAACTGTGCTGTGTGTGTGTATTTGTTTGTGCTGAAACATATTTAGGGAGTGGGAGTGACAGAAACAGTAAGCTATTGATACTTGGCAGCAGGACCCTGTGTACATTAACTTGCGTAACACACACTCGCACATATGGGTGGTTTCTTAAGATAAATCTTTGTCCTGCTTTTAATAAAGTAATGTGCGTGTGTTTGTGTGTCTGTGTTTGAGCGTGCTTTCTGTCAGTATCACCTCTGTCCTCAAGAACTTGGCCCAAGCACTGACATGGTCTCTCGAAAGCGCTCTATCATGCCTGCACTCAAGTTGCAGGGGCCACATTTGTGTATGAGTGTATTCTGTGGTGCTGTCCAGCATCGAATCTGTGGAGTATATTCCTGGAAAGCTCATGTAGGAGTAGAGGGGCCAGGGCTACTCCAGAGCTCCACCAGAGCCAGAGACGATGACTGTTTTCTGGAAGCTCCTCCGCCACTTGGAACATGGCAGGGGAAAAGAGTCAATGAACTTTTTGCTTTTTTAATTTTTCAGCTTATTTCGAAGACAGGAAAAGACAGCGCGATGCATCATTTCCTAATACCATTAGTATTCATGGACACACACTTAAAAGTTCACCTCATTCTTGCACAACAACCACCAGGAGGAAGAATGCAGGGAGGGATGAGAGCTGGAGGGACAGAGGGGAGGAAAAAGAGGCTCCTGATGAAGGGAGGGATGCATGCAAAACAGGCCTGTATTGAAGAAAAGATTGTGAAAGAGGCAAGAGGGCTTAAATTAGCTTAATGAAGGAGGCTCTAAAAGGAGCAATAAACTCAAGGGCAGTTAAGGTGCAGACCATGAATAAGTGCAGGAAGGAGGAAAGGATTGAGAGTGAATAGGAGGAGGAGAGAAGAAGAGAAAGGGGGTGTTGTTTTGGAGCGGTGTCACTAAAGCCCGCGCTAATTGTGCCTCTGTGGTCTCCAGTCTTCACACTCTTTTCATTTAGTATAATCCCAAAGTCTCCTCTGTCCCATCCTGCTGCTTCCCATCATCTTCTTCATCGTCTTCCTCCGCCTCCTCCTCCCTTGTGTGGCTGTTGTGTAACTCTGCAGTGACTGACTGTGCAGAAGCAGCAGCAGCAGCAGCGGTGGTGTGTTTGTTCGATTGATCAGCAGTTTTAGTGCCAGGCTGCTCGTATTGTAATAAATGAGTTTGGAGCCATTGAAACCCGCACTGAGTGCTTTTGTGGGAGAACAGGGATCTCTCTCTCTCTCTCCCTCTCTCTCTCTCTCACACACACACTGCACCACACTCCCATGATGTAACATGAGAGTCCAGAATAATGCTTTTTAACTCACCATTTGCCTGGATTCACTATTTTGTACTTTTCCGTCCTGTAATCCCTCCAGACCTGTACTCACTAAAGTTAATGAGACATTTAATGTTATTATTTTTTGAGATTATTTCCAGTGGACATGATGGGCAGGTTTTCTTTTTTTTTTTTGGAAATGTCTGTACTTAAGTGAGTTTGCAATGCCTTTTATTTAACTTTATACACTCTCAGAAAAATCATTTTACAACTTTTGTAACTTTCTGTGGGAAAAAAATACTTTATATTTTTTAATTCTCTTCTCCAGACTAAAAATGACAATCTCCAGTCGTCCCGATATGATTCAATATGATGTGATACAATGTGAAAGGATACAATACGAATGTGGACTGTATACCGAATGGACGCCGTCTGCCTCCTCACTGGGTGAAGCCACCCCGAGAACAGCACCCTCCGGTGACGGGCTGCAGTATAGGTCACTAATCCCGCCTCCTCCAGCAATCCCTATGAAGCTGTGGACAAACTTTAGAAATTTATTACACAGAATATAAATTTTTCTCCCTCCTGGTTGCAATGTTGACATGTAGTTACTGTAAGACTGGTTTGTGCTCAAGTCCTCTTTTTTTCTGTGCAGCTCTGTTTTTAAAAGTTATTAGGGGGTTCATGTTTTCTATGATTGACACTTGATACAGCCTATGGGCATAGCTTACCTGGGGGATACGCTGTTTGAGCCGAGCCTCATCACAGCGACTCTCCTGCCAAATGCGTACAATGCTACTGCACAATGTTGGTTTCAGGAAGTGGAGGGAAAAAAAAACGGAAACACCGAGAGCTTTTTGGTTTCAAATTTGTATACTGGTGGAAGGCAGAACCAAGTTGTCCATAGTATATACAGTCTATGGATACAAAACAATACACTATAGAAGATACAGTGATGTGATATGAAGTGAGAGGATATGATACAATACAATGCAATGCTAAGAGGATACAACACCACATATGATACAATACAAGATAAGATGACAAGAAGTTGACGTATGAATACCCTTACTCCAGATACCTGGAAACAGGGAAGTACCAAAATACTCAACTTACTATTCAATGCACTTCACCAAAACCAAGTGCACGTTCAAGCTGCAAAAGAGGGAGCCTCTCATAAATATCAGTGATGTTTTTATTTTGCCCTTTATACTGCTTTATGCTTAGGTTGCAAACATGAACATGGCCTCAGTCGTAAGCCTGGATTTGAGCCCAGTCTTGGACCATTGCTGCATGTTTCCCCTCCTCTCCTTTCCTGCCTCAATTGGTAAAACCAGCACATCTGGTCTTTCCATTTTAAGCTTTGTGGTCTGTCCTTCTCTCTCTTCATCCATACATGTTTTCTCTTTTTTTGTGAGAAGACAAATCTGAGCTTGACACAACAACAGCTTTGCAAGAGCTGTATCTAGTTCACACACACACACACCCAGGTTGTCCACTTCCCTCAGGGCATGTATATACACTGGAAGCTGTTGGCTGCAGGGAGGCGATAAAGATCACACTTGATCAACATAAAGCCATTCCAGTGTCACCTCTGTGTCTGCTCAAAGTCCCTTTGAGTTATCACCCGGGTCATATCCTCCACATTTTAACATTCCCACAGCCCATTTTGTTGTCAATTGTCACTTTTTTTTTTTTACAGAGGATGACAGACAAGCTGCATAGCACGGATATTACTCACCAGCCAGTAATTGTTGTAGTCCATTGTGTTCGCATCGGCATTGTTTCTGCATCATCACCTGGTTTAAGGTCGAGAGTTCATTAGTGTAGTATTTAATGCTAGTTTTAGTAGCATACAAGGCAAACCAACGCATGAAAAATTGTATATAGGAGTCATAATTGCCCAAAGCCGATCACAGTTACCAACTTTTGTTGACCTGCACTTAGAGCTGAGAAATAAAACAATATAAAACGTGGTCAATATGCTTTTCGTTAGTCTGCATTCTGCCATGTTTTGGTCGACGATACGACTAGCCAATGAAAGCAGAGTAATGTGCACTGCAAATTACGTCGAGTAAATGTTCTCATAAAGTCGCGGAATACCTCAAATCTTTTTCACCACCTGAAGCAGAGCCACACGGCAGAGCAAGCGCAATGCCTAAGGTTACAAACCCCGAGCGGAGCAAGGAGCCCACGGCGCCTGTGTGGCCGGAACAGCCGACCATTCAGTCAGCTTTCTCTAGTCTAGCGCAACGGCTTACGACAAAACGTCAAAGACCTCACAGATGCAGTAGCTTATTGTATTGCACAAAATGCTACCATTAAGCACTGTTAAATTTCTTTTTTCATATCGTGATATATATTGAGATCGACTGATATGAAAAAAATATATATCGTGATAAACTTTGTCCCATGTCGCCCAGCCCTACCTGCACTCATTTAAGTCAAATACTAAGGTAGTATGGGGGTTTATTCAAATTAAAAAACCCAGTTTTCCTCTGAAGTTTAAACAAGTTAACCAACTTTTGTGCCATGAAATGTAAAGTGAGTTTCTGAGTGTTTGTGTGTGTCCATGAGAAAGGCACACATACCAGGAAGGGCTACTTTAGATTTAAATTGCATTAATGGATCCTCAGCCCTATTCTTAGCCTTAAATCTGTCTCACCCTGCAGGTGTTGACAGGAGCTGCGCTAGGTTGGTGGAGTCTGGTTTGTGTTCATCATATGTGGTAATAATATGTGTGTGTATATATAGCTGTTCTGATAGGAAACGCTGTTGAAACATGAGAGCCTCCTCAGGACCGTGAATGGAAAGAAGGAAGCGGGCTCGCATCGATAATCTTTTTCATAAAACCACCCCAGCTTGTCTTCTTCGTGTTTTCTCGTAAAAGACGTCACTGTAGCTCGGTTTTATGTTGCCGGATGAAAGGATGAAGATGTGGGATCACTGAAAGAAAAGGTTCAAGTTTTTCTCGCGTGTTTTTCCTCAGTGGTGGAGAGTCAAAGCGCGGTGGTTTACGTCAGCGCGCCAGTGGACACAAAGCCGACCCAGCCTCAACCAGACTCCGTTTAAAAATCACTACATTTTGTTCAACTCACATCGCTCCAGTATGTCAACGACACCAGCTCCTTTTTGTGTGTTTTAATCGAAACGTCTGCTGTCTGGAGACTCGTTAACCCTGCCCCACGGAAACTAAACCGAGGGGGTACACGAGGAGGAGGAGGAGGAGGGGGAGTGAGGTCTGCGAGGAAACGATAGAAAGATAAAGAGAAAGGTGTTGGAGGAGTGAGAGAGAACTGCAAGGAGCAACTCCCGTATTGTTCCGCGTTTGTTAGCTCTGCAGCTGTCCACAGAGACAGAGAAAGAAAGAGAGAGACACAGACACACACACACTGTGGGGTTTGTTTCTTCCAGGGTGCGACTAAAAGCTGAAACACCGTCAATTCTGGATTTCTTTATCCGCTTTCTGTCGTCCAGGATGAGGTTTAAAAGGAACGGGTCCTATACGCTAAATAGGTAAGAGGCTGCTGTAATGGAGCGGCAACTTGATAGTGTGTTATCGATATAAGGAGGAAAGGAAGGGAGGGAGGGCGGTATATGGAGGGGGTGTCATATGCTAAGCTCATAAATCAGTGCACAGTTGTTTCTGTGATACTTTATCGCCTCTTTATGACACTTTATGATGTTACCAGCATATCTTTCCATAACTCTTCAGCAATGCTAAAGGAGAAACTGTGATTTCATTGCATCATTGTGCAATGTTATGCACACACAGGAACCATTGTAATCTTCTTTATGGATGTTAATGAACCTGCAGGTAGTAAATATAAAATGTGAGTTGCCTATTTTTGATAGATTTAATGTAGCATGCCTGATTCAAGCACTTGTGTCCACTCTTCTTAGTTTTATCAGTGTGGTGCCCACGTGTTCAGCTGGACCAGGAGAAACCTGTCTGTCTTGCTTTAAGGAGGGGTGGGCGCTCTTTTTGTTTCCTGAGGGAAAAAGCAAAATGATCTCTCCCCCTCTCTCTTTATTTTCCCCAACTCTCTCTCTTTCACTCTCGCTCTTTCTCTATCATTATTTTTCTCTCCCTTCCTTGTCCACGGAAATACCCCCTCGTGGCCATCCCATCACCTAGCAACTTTGTAGCAGTGTGACTGATGCTCCCCCTAACCTACTTTTCCCTCAACAATAATTGCAACAGCCTCATTCATGTCCTGGCAGTCCTGAAACCCGGTCACAAGTTGGGTCTTTTCTCCCGCCCACTGGTCCAATTCCCTCCTCTTAGTGTGTTATCTCTCCAAGTCACAAGTTTAAAAACAGTGTGTCTCTCTGCCATCTGCACACCACACCACAGCTTTCTTGAATCCAGCCCATGTGACCGTTACAGCGGATGTCTCGGTCCTAACTGCCTGTCTGGATTTTATGATAACAACCAAGAACCCGAGTGACCCACGAGAGCGCGTTCACATTGTGAAAAGTGACAAGTGATTTACCGTTAGTTTCATTTCTCACACTTTTCCTCTGCCACTCCTTTCCCCTTCGCCTTGTGTTCGGGCTTGTAGGTTTCCGCTGTACTCGACATGACACACACAAACACAAACCCACTTCCTGTCTGTTAGGTTCTGAAACACAAAGAGTGTTAATGAGCACTAAACACCCACTTCACCACACAGAGAAAAATATGTTATTGCTTTTTACACCCCTCCTCCCCGTCCTGTTTCCACTTGGGGACTCTGAGTTACTACTTCATTGTGCGAGTGTAGTGTCACGTGTGTTGTTATTGTGTGAGCGCGCAGGTGAGAGGGATGAGGTAATTAAAACGGTGAAAGGGAAGGCTTGGAAGGTGCAGCTCCTGATGACAGGTTTCCAGGGAAGAGAAAGGGGGGCGGGGGGCTGACGTCATAGGATGTGAAAGTGCCCCTCTGCTCTGCTGCAGTTCTCCTTTGTCATCTTTTTATCTGAGAAAGAAACAGCACAGGAGGGAGGAGGAGCAGCAGCAGCACCATCACCTAAAGTTGTGAACAGATCTGCGGTCAAATCTCCCTCTCTCTGCTCTGGTGCTCTTTGATTTCTTTTTGCTTTGTTTGACAGAATTTAAGCGGTTGTTACATAACTTTGGTCCTCTGAAGGTGACTTGTCTCTCCGTCTGCATCCTCGCACTCTTTTTCTCCACATGCTGCAGATTTCTGAACAAAGCTCGAGCCAGCCCGCTTGACGTCAAGCACCAGATCTCTGCTGCGTCTTCTGTCTTTGTCACAGCCGCTTAATCCTGAGTCAGTCCAGTCCAGCGCTTGCTGCAGCCTTCGATTAAAGCATCACCTGACCACTGCAGTCCCTGTGTGTGTGTGTGTGCTAACTAACTAACTCTGAGTGTGTAAAGAGAGAAGTAAAAAGCAGAGGACAAAAGGGAAGTAATTGCTTTTATTGAACGCTGCAGGGAAAAAAAAAAGGGCGAGAGATGTATAGAGGCCTACGAATCAGTCTGTGTCCTTCACCTTAAATGCCCACGCCATAACAACAGCACTCTGCAGTGATTGGCTCGCTTCCTGGAGGCTTGTCTCCGCACTAGCCCCTCCCATCAAGTACCTCTGCATCAATTGTGTGAATGGAGGGTCACTGTTATTACATAACAGGGTAAAACAGTGAAGATGCGTCCCATCACAGCTCCTCACCGCTGACTTGAGAGTTGACAATTAGCCATGTGCTTTGGTAAATAAGTTACATATGACTCAGTGTTCTCAGACTGATCAACTCTTCACTGAGGTTTGACTCGAGCTTAGATTTGGAGAACGGACGAGTGTTTGGTCTGTGCGAGAGAGCCGGTGTGCAGAGATCGGTTGTTTAGGTCTTGTTTAGGGTGTATACAGATGGCTGGGAAGATTGCTTCCTGTCTCGCTCCCTCTCGGTGCGTCCCCCTGTCCATCTCCCTCTTCCTCGCTCCTGCAGTCCACCCTGTGCTGCCCAGCAGTCAGCAGTTTGTTTATGGGACTCTGTTTGCCAAGCTAATCTTCCCGCCTTTCAAGTGGGAGCCAGCGAGCGAACGCAAAATAGAGAGAGAGAGAGAGAGCAGGAGGTAGAGAGAGAGGGAGAGAGAGAGAGAGAGAGCAAAGAGTGTGAAAGTGAAGCAGTTGCAGTTGCAGTAGTTGGAAAGGAGAGAGAAAGAGAAACATGCCTACAGAAGTGTATCTGGACTCGTAGAGTATTTTTCGTCTTGGTTTGTTTACTGACTGTCCTGAGAGCAGCAGACGTCTGTCCGTCCTGAGTGACCTGCGTTACAGTCTGAGCCGTTTTGTTATGATGCTGGAGCTGCTGCACCTGTAACCAATTTTGGGGAAAAAAGAGGAGAGGAGACGTGGAGGTTAAAAGGAGGAAAGGTGCTTCACCACCGTCCAGATGGGGGTTCTGGTGTGCTGCGACTGCTTCTTCTATCGGTACTTAACCAAGTCTCTCATTTGACCTTTCTTTTCCTCTTTACTCTGATTTATTGTTTGTTTACACGTCGCTTTTTTTATTTGTAGACTCAACTGGCATTGTCAATGACCTTCTTTAACTCCTCCATCCCTCCTCTTCTTCTTCCTCCTTCAGTCCGTCTGTTATGCTGCTGCGGTTTTGTAAGAGACATTTGAGGACAGTGCTGCTGTAGCAGGCAGAGATTCTGCTGTAGTCAGACACACGGCGAGCCTCGACTTGTGGGAGGGGAGGAGAGGAGGAGGAGGAAAAGGAGGAAGGAGGGAGTGAGGACAGAGGGACAGTGATGGCACCTAGCCAGCCTCCTATAGCTGACCGAGGGGGAGGAAAGTTAGGTGGTGCAGGGTACAGGGTTTGTTTGGAGAAAAGGTTAGTTGGAGAGAAATGGCATGAGGCCAAAAGTTAGTTAGTTGGTGGGACTCGTCCTGCTCTGGGAGCCCTGTTTGGCAGGACTCCTCTGTTTATTTGGACACAGTGTTCCTCTCATAAGGGGCCAGGGATGTGCCCTTTCCTTTTTCAGTTTTGGTTGTTTGCAGAGCATTGACCTAGCACACTTTGCCCTCACCCTGCATGTTTCCACCTGAATTATCTTACCTCAAAAGAGTATAATCATGTTGAAGTTAGTTTTGAAACCTGACAAGCTTTCCTCTGCTCGGATAATAAGTTACTGTGTTTTACAGATTAAAAGCATTTTTGATTTCAGCTCAGCTCTCTGTGCAGAAAGGATCTGGTTCCCCTCTCTTGTGGTTGCGGGGTGAGCCTGCTTGAGCCTGGCTTCACTGCTGTATAAAGTCTAAATATAACCTTCTGGTTCCCTGAGGAGCGTTTCATGGTGAGGGTAAAATTGTAGCTTAAACTAAGACACACACTGCACAGCTGGATTAGATTAGGCCTCACTGTGATTCAGGACTTTGTTTACGCTTTGCTGCTGCTCTTAGTCTGAATAACAGCCTGCTGGTCACGTGTGGATGTAAGCGTTGTGTATCTGCACATGTGTTACATACTGTAGACTGGGGTGAAATCAACACAGAAGCCTTGTATAGACGCAGCTTGTGCCAGCAGTACTTGTGCCGCTCATTCAGGGGTGGGACCTGGACTGCTGCTAATGTCTAACAGGCTCATTAAGCTCAAATGAGCTGTCATGTCTATTTTTAGGATTTTCTCTTCCTTGGTGTGATTATCAGCCAATCAGGAGGCTCGGTACTGATGTTATATGGCTTGATTGATGTGTGTGTTTTGAGGCACACCCTTCAAAACAGGTCCTTGTTGACCTCGGCCCAGGCCAACACTTGGTCCACGGGGCTCCAGTGTCTCAGTTTTCAACAGTAGCATTGTGTGCAGACCAGACTGGCTGCCAGCTCTACATTCATAAGCGTCAACTCTGATTTTGATCATAATATTCAAGTTCGCCTCACTTTTCTACAATTTTGATGTTATTTTAAGTGGATGGTAATATGTGGTTAGGAGCAAAGACCTCAGGGTTTATGTAACATAAATCTCATCTGGGCAAGGCCAGCCAAGTACACTCGTATATGTCCTAATTGGAAAAAGTACCTCAGCTGAAATATAAATAGTGTCATAAAAAATGAAAAACTAATAAAAGAGTCATCTCTCTGCTTGATCATAAAATACTACAGATATTGACTTTTATTCCAAGTGATAGTTTGATATTTAAAAACATAAAACTAAAGAGTTTTATTCAGAGCAAGAGTTTACACAAAGTCAGCATAACTTGATGTAAAGCTTAGCCCACTTAAATCCATCCCTTATTCAAAAGTTTGACAAGTATGTTTACTCTATTGAAAACTGAAGGATAACCATTTCTTCTCCTCTCCAGTCTCTGAGTAAAGCTTGGCTTTTGCTTTGATACTAATTTAACTTCTTGTTTAAAGCAGGAATGTCCGGGGTTTTGTATGGAAGTTTTGAGTTTGTGTCGCGGTGACTTACTGAGTTAGAAGCACGTAAAAAACACTCGATCCAACCTGAAAAACTCTCTAAATTAATTTTGCGTGACTCCGTGAGTCCTCCCCCCGCATAGTCGTGTCCTCTTTTTGTGGATTCAGAATATTTCCTATTTATCAGTCTTGATGTGATTTGGTTTGATCAACTTGTGGATGAGTCATAAGCTAGAAGCATTATTGTGTTCAAAGAAAGTTAAAAAAAAAACAACTTGCAACTTAAAGGTCCACCTGTAGAAACAGGAATATTAAAGAGATATGCTCACCCTCCTGTTGGTGAAGTGATGGTGGCCTTCAAGGACAAGAAGCTGCTGTGACGCATGATAAGTTTGATCCCCCAATGGATCAGAAAGACCCATCAGTACAGATCATTTTAAGCACAATACTCTTCTTCTTTTCTATCTTCTTATTTTTTCTTCTTTTGCTCAGGCAGCCACTCATCAGACACCAAAACATGTACGGCCCTTATCAGTTTGTCCATCATAGAAACATGGTTGACTTCAATAGATTCAAAAGCCTATTTTTAAGTGAGCTAACGCAAAGCAGTACTCGTATTCTCGTAGGAGGATTATACTCTAATCTAAACACACTGCAGTCATGAATATTTTTCTCCATTTCTATCGTCTAATTTGCCAAATGCAGCTCTATCCTACATACTGTACCTTTAAATATCCACTTGATGTAAGCGCCGCGAACATGGTCACATTTGGTGCTTTCTTCTTCACAGAAGATCAATTTTCCAGGCTTCCCTCCATCACAACAGTCCTGGGGCAACAACAACCACAGATGGGAGTTGAATCCAGGGTCAAGCTCTCATTCAGCTTTTGTTAAATTTGTGTTGTTTTTTAGTTTCCCCTCTATAGTACCGTCCAAGTTTTGACTGCCTTTTCTTTAGACACAACTGCCCCGTACAACAGGAAAACTATCTTTCCCCCTCATTTACTGTGGTTTAATGTTTCTTCGTGCTACAAGATGTTTTACTGTTGACAAAAGAAGACCTCAAGGCTCCTGCAACACAACAAAAGCTTGAGTGTTGTTTTGCTCTCACTCGATCATGTTGGATTGTAAAATGTGTGGCGCAGGGAACAATAGTCCTGAGTGTCTCTCTTCATACTGTGTGTGCTGTATTAGCTAAGCAGGCCATACTGTGCTCCATGTGTCTCTCATTAGGGTACCTTTGGCTGCTTCCACAGGGCTGAGATGTTAAACTCAACAAGGAAACCATTCTCCACCCAGAATAACCTCACTCTCCTTACCTCAGCCCAGCAAACTCCCTCCTCTCGAACCTCCAAGATGGAGCTGAACAGACTCAAGCTTAAATTGGACTGTTTTTGAGGAACATGGTCCAAGATTTTGGCTGCTGTGGCTACCGTTTGGAGCAGTGGTTCTCAAGTCCAGTCCTCGAGGCCCACTGTCCTGCATGTTTTGGATGTTCCCCTGCTCCAACACACCTGATTCAAATGATCAGCTCGTTATCAAGCTCTGTAACGGCTTAATAACGAGCTAATCATTTGAATCAGGTGTGCTGGAGCAGGGAAATATCCAACCACTGCTTTAGAGCATATAAAATCTCCAATAGTCATATCTATCGAAGGCTTTGTACAGCAGAATTGGATTTCAGTATTTCTTGCTGCACTTAAAGCCAAAGCTGCTTTGTTGACTTGTTGACCAACCAAACTTGAACCCAACTTGTATTCATTATTTAACAGTCTGTCCTCCAAACAAGTAGTCTTCATATTTTGTTGACTTGTCCTGAGTCAGTTAGCTGCTCATAAATGAACAGAGATTGGGTAAACTGGCGTTAGTGATATGCAAATCTAGACTTACCTTTGTGGTTCATCTGAATTTGGATCAACTTGCAAGTTCCCAGGAGCTTCTCCAGATATCAGACACCAAGAATTATGATAAAAGCTTTCCATCTAATTTTTCTGAGCGCAATTGACCATCAAAGTGAGGAGCCCTTTATTTTATTACTGTCAGGTCATGTGGTACAGTACGCTGTTATTAAGAAAGGACACTGTCAAGGTTCCGCACATCTAATCAACGTGGTAGTCTTCTTAACTTGACTGACCGCCCCTCTCGCCTTTCACCTGCCCTCCAGTCACTGCGGAGGGCAGACCTCACACACGGGGCCAGTTACATAATACAGACACCGTGTGCGTGCGCGTGTGTTTCTGTGTGTGTGTGTGTGTGTGTGTGTGTATGTGCGTGTGTGTAGACCAGTCCTGCTGGCTCAGGAGGAGGAGGAGAAAAAGATGGCCTTGCACTAACCTCACCTCCGCATTTAGATCCACACAGTCAGCAGACACACACACACACACACACACACACACACACACACACAGCTATGCACACTTTAAAATAAAAACTTCTTTGCAGATCTTTTGCAATATAACTAAAACTTTTTATTTAAAAGTCTTCAACAAAAAGACGTAAAACAAAAAGAAGCGAACCAAGTAACTCCCTCCATGTTCACTAGTGCTGCTCCAACAATCGTGCACATAGAGTAAAAATCTTGTGTGTGCGACAGCAGGTGTCTCCTAAGTATCGGAAAACCTTATGGCTGCTGGGCGGCTCACTTTGCAGGTGGAAAATGTCTGGTTTGTGCGTTCTTCCTCAAACAACAGGCTTGTTTGGGCTGCTCAGTCAGCGGGCAGGGAAACTGTTTGTTTGCAGTAGTTGTTGCAGCAGCAGCAGACTTGGTTTGTGTTTGCTGCCTCTGGGAACAGGAGGCCCATTTGAAGGGAGACAGGAAGTGCCTGGGCGCCTTACTTCCTGTTTATAGAGTTGGTCTCAGTCGAGATTTAAAGGGAGGTGCGGTCTGGTACAGCTTCATTGAACAGGGAGGGTGGTGGGTGAGTGGGTTAGCCTTCCTTTTTTCTCCCTTCAAACTGAAACACACACACACACACACACACACACACACACACTTGCCTGCATAGTTGTGTAATTATTCTGTGCTGGAGTGCTTTTAGCAGCTGTTTCCCTTAATCTTTGTTCGATCATCTACCATTGGATATGATAATATTACCAGACGGGCAATACGAACATTGAGCAGCCTCCACACACACACACACACACACACACACACACACACACACACACACACACACACACACACACACACACACACACACACACACACACACACACACACGCAGCTCCTCTGTTGAGCACAGATTGTCTTGTTTCACCTCTTTAAAAGCTCCGCTGGGGCCCTCCTACTCCATGATAGAAAAATGACTCACACATACATCAAAATCCCTCCTTGAGAAAACACATTTAATCAGAGAGAAGCAGCAGAGGAGGTTTCACCGGAGCATGCAGGGAAGGGATGCTGCAGAGTGCTGACTCCTGCATGTTCTGAGATGTTGTTAAGAAACCTTGATTACTTAACTCAGGGGCTGCAGCCAAACAACGACTAACCTGACATAGCCTTTAGCTGGACTGGAGCTCCTTTGATTTACAGCAGTGTAGGCATGTGCCGATATGAAAAATTTCATATCACGATATTGGTGGCCCAAAATATCACGATATTATCATGATTTTAGCGCATTGCTTTTAACGTTATTAAAAATGGCAAAAAACTGCGAAATCACTTCTCTGTGCACAGCATGACACGCACAAACAATATGAGCAAGAGGCAGCTAACGCGACGTTGGGAGCATTAGCTTTTTGGAGCTAAATTTAGCAGAAACGTCACTAACGTTGTCAATAATAAGCAGTAGAGTAGACCAAACTTGTTGCTGTCATGTTGTTTTTACCTTGATTTGGGCGAACGATGCTGGATGGTGTTCACGGGGGTGGGCACGTAGGTTTGAAGACAACGGCGCTGCAACTTCCTTACGGCATAACCTACAGGATGGTGTCAGGTTTACCACGCATTTTGTTGTAAAATTTCATCATTTTCTCTTTTAATGTTCCCGTTTTTGTTAGACTGGCATTGATGTACTTAATTTGAGAGTTTGTTTTGGATTTGGGATTACTTTTCTGGTGGTTTGTTTGTACATTTTGCTACCGAGGCTTTGACACCGTGGGTAAGACTACAAGCAGGTTAGGTTAGTAAGTACTCGGCTTCGCTCACTTCTGCTGAGTGACGCTGCCACTCGTCTTTAAATTATTATTGTGGAATGATTATTACAGTACCCTATGATTTCATCATCGCGGCATATCGCGATTAAATCGTATATCGGCGTATCCTTACAGCAGGGCTTACGGTAAAGAGAGAGTTTTGATTCTTCGTGTTGCAGACAGATGTGCAACTCTCCACCATCACCCTCAGGGAGAGATGATGTCACCGCATAAGCTCATCTCCTCCTCCCCAGGTGGGAGCCAGTAACTCCTCTAACTCAAGCCAATCACAGGCTTGTTTACACTTGAACCCCCTGGCGAGGAGACACATACACACTCATGTACACAACCGTAAAGTGTTAAGAGCCGCTGATCTCATCTGCTCATAGAAGAATCCAATTATATTGCTCATCCTTTAACGTAGGACTTTTTCATGAGCTTAGGGTGAAGGCGGACGAGGATATTAGCGCTCGTCATTGTACTGACGTCTGACGCTGCTGCAGCATCATTGGAGTGACACACACACCTCCCTGCTGCTGCTGCTCGGTGGACATCTATTGATTTGACCTCTCCTGTGTCTCCTTTCTATGCGCCTCTCTTTTATTCTCCCATTCTGACTCCAGCTGGCCCCGCCCACTTCCTTCCCTCACTCATTGATGCACCATCTGTAGGCAACAGACATGCATTTTGTTTAGTAGCATATGTGTTTCTGTGGAGAGACAAACACACAGAAAAGGACTGTTTCCCTCATGAATACGTGTTTGTGTTTTTTTTTCCCTCCACAGGCCATGCGCTCAGATTTCCTCAGTGCCAGTCTCTGACAAAGGGCAGAGCCTCGCTGTGGTTTCACTGTCATCTCAGCAATCCGACAGAGGAGCAAAACACGCATGGCTTTTGTCATAACATGTGCAGCCTTTTTCCTTTGTCTCCATGCTCGACTCCCCCCTCACATCCCTGCTACTCCCCTTCCTGTATTCTGTTGTGGCCGCAACACACAAACACGTGACAGCGTCGCCTTTTCTTACCTAACAACACCACTCTGCTTTTAACTTCTGCCAAACACGTACACAAACACTGTCTGTTTTCTCTCTTCATTAACCCCGGGGGACTCGTTTTATTGACAACTGTACATGACCTGCTGTCAGAGTTCAATCCTGGAAAACTCATCTTTGGGTGGGCCACATCTGATGTCTGAAACAAAGTTTGTCTCAGGCTGTATGTTGGCACAGCTTTTTGTGTTATGGAGTTAAGTTAGGGCTGCACGATTAATCGATTTTAAATCGTAATCAGATTATTTGATTATGATCATGTCTCACGCCTCCAGGACAACAAAGGCTCCCCCTTCCTGTGGGAGCGCTCCCCGGTTGCCACACACTCCAGTATAAACAAACATGGCTTTTTGCAAAAGAAGGCGATAATTCTGTGGCTAAAGAGAGCAAGAACAAGTCAGTCATATGGAATTGGTACGGTTTTGCAGTTTCAGGCGAAAAGCAAACTAGTCCCTGCTGCAAAGTCTGTCTGAAGGCGGTATTGATTCGTCCACACATCCCTGGCCTGAAACAAATTCAGGAGTAAACACTAAAGTTTTTGTCGACATTTCATCCACACGGAAACGGCATTTCTGGTGACTGTAAACAGTACTTTTGAAAAATGATACAAGAGTGCATAAATCTGTAAACGAATACCATTTCAACTCGCTGTGGCTGCCTATCTGCATTATGTGACACACAGCGTAACTCTTTTGTGATGCCTGCACGTGTCTGGCTCAAACAACCTTTTTATGCATACCCCGTAGTCTTCTTCTGTATTTGGTGCATTTCCTGTGCAGCGTTACAGCGCCACTTACTGGCTTGGCATATGCACTACATTGTTTTTAGAGGTTTTGTTTTGAGAGATGATAGAAAAACTTAAAGTGAAGTTTGGTGAAGTTGTCACTGAATAAAAAATCTAAATGGAAATCTAAAATCGAGCTTTCAGAGAAAAAAAAAAGGGATTTTATTTTTTTGCCAGAATCGTGCAGCCCAAGGTTAAGTGTGTACTAACAATCAGGACTGTTGCATTGTTGTTTTTGCTCTGGGTGGAATACTTAAGGAGGCGGTGCTGGTTGTAATGCCTGCATTGCTGCCTCAGAGAGAGCAAACTTCCACACTTGAAAGGAGCTGCTCCACAAGGGCACAAACACACGCACACACAAATTACTGAAGATCAAACTCAAACTCCTGTTTCCCATGATCTTGATTGTTTCTTTATCTGCCAGCCTGCGTCAGTCACATGCTTTCCTTCACCTCTTTCTTTGCCCAAACCTGGGTGCGACCACTTCCCCAGCCTCTGTCTCCTCACTGTGTTAATCAAACTCACACAATGGAGCAGAGTTTCCTCCGTTATCAGATGACGGCGAGATCTCGTCTAGTCATCAGGAGGTTAATTTATTTCCCTCCTGGTTTCTCTTTCTTGCTGTTACTGTTTGGGTTTTTGGTAAACTTTCAACTTTTTGGGAACAAGCTTTTATCTTCCTAACTTTTTATCCAGTCATTTCCTGTTTTTGCACGTTGTTTTCCACATCCCTGAGTCATCACTATTCAAATGTACCAGAATGAGACTCTTTGAATATCTTTGGTTTGTGTTAGTGCCCCTTGTGGACAAAGATATACCTGTTATGTTGTTGCTTACCTTGTTTTCTACATGCATGGGTTATCGTTTTGATCAACCTAGAGTCAAAAATATCATTTTATGCAAACTGTTACATTGGTAAAACACAGAAAACCACACTTGTAGGCTGTTAATCTCTATATGTGTCGAGGAATTAAAAACATGTATAAAGACAGACTCGGTCATCTTGCTGTTTGTCTGGTTTGTTTTCATGAAGACACAACAGCTTGAATTTCAGTCATCCGCAAAAGCTCACAGGAGTTTTCAGATAACTTGTGTCAGTGTTTATTGTTTTAATTTCTAATCAAACAGCTTGTGAGCTCTAGTACTTCCAGAGAACATGTGTCAGCAGTACTAATAAGGCTTTTAAACTCATTATTATGTGCGTATGTGGTCGGCACGGGCTGTTTGTACCCTCCTCTGAAAATGTCCTTGTTCTTTCTCAGTTTTAGTTTGTGTGTGTGTGTGTGATAAGCGCAGCAGCAGATGTGAGTTGGCTGGTCTTGAAAGCTAAACTCTCAGAGACTTTGTGCTCCTGTGACGTCTTTAGTGATGCTCTCCAGAGATAACAGCTACTGTGAGTCACTCTCAGTGATGAAGGACGTGTGATTTTCTCACACTCACATCTGTGTCAGCCTTGAAATAGTCTAAAGGCTAACACAGACCTGCTCTCCTTATTTACCAGACTATTGAGTAGTTTAATGTTGCACTATTTCACGACCGCACGATAGCAATACACAGCAGTCCATCACTCCACGCACAGACTTCAACCAAAAAGGTCCCAGCCACAATACTCACCCACTCTTCTCCAGCAGCTGCTTGTTTGTGGGGGCGGATCATTTCCATAAAGTAATAATCATCATAATAATCATTTTGCACTGCAAATGTGGTAGTTCTGCTACCTTAGAGTCTCAGTCTGATTGCATTTCCATGAGGTAATAATTACAGATGTTCTTCCTTGAGCTGCAAAACTCCGCTGCACTCAGTGATCGACTCGTCAGGGCTCCCCCACAAACAAGCGGCTGCTGGAGGAGAGTGGGTGAGTTGTGTTTGGTCTCTTTGCCAAAGAAATTAGGCAAAGCTAAAAAGATGTTTGATGTCCAGTATTGTGGCTGAGACCTTTTTGGTTGAGGTCTGCGTGGGGAGCGATAGACCACTATGTATTGATATCATGCGGTCATTAATAAAGTTGGTATAACTAGAAGCAAGTAGTTGGTAACATTCATATCTCGAGGGGGTGTCTGACTTAGTGTAATGGTGTGTTTGACCCTAACTTAATTTTACGCCGGAATATCCCTTTAAGCTTGACTGTTAGATCAAACTCTGAGCTTGTCAGAGATATGTGCTTTTTGACCCCTGCTTTGTCACTGTCAAGTTTAGTTTCTTGTTATTTTCCGTTGGTCAGTTTGGGGTCAAATTGCCAATTGCTTTGTTAAACATGTACCATAAGTCTAATACGGAAGAGTGAAAGAAGTTATAAGATAACAATCAAACATGTACAGAAGTTGTACTAACTGAAGGAAATGTATTTTTTCTAGCAGATGCAAAAAGTTTGATTTTGAAGAATAAATGAAACAGCCCATGAAACTACAGCAGGAGAAACTCGTACAGCATGTTTACTTTGATTCAGGAGTTCCAGCCTAGCCTGTTTTGACCCGGCCTGCTAGAGCATGTTCTCAGGGGTCAAAGGGCAAAAACAAAATAACAAATCAAACACGAGGTTGCTCTCTGCTCTCATGCCAGCCCATCTGATGGAGCACTTCTGTCCGCTGACGCAGGAAACAGCGACCTTTCTCTTGGGAAACAGGTCCTCCAAACCTCTCCTTTCATCCCTCAACTCTGTTTGTTATTGTTTGTATCTCCCAGGCGGAGAGAATGAGGACTGCCTGACCACCTTATGTAATCTACCTGGAAACAGGCGTGCGTTGAAAAGTAGACTAATGTGATTTGACTTGTGCTCTCAAAGCAGCATGTTGATCCCATCATTTCTGACGACCCGCTGGCTTCTTTGATCTTGATCCAAGTTGGCTGATGCTGCGACATACCTGCCCTTATGTAATAAAGATTTTAAAGATTCTTCACATACTGTAGGTGCCTCATCCCATTGATCATGCTCTGCTGGAGTCAGACGGCGAAATGTGGAACATGTCGACACAGTCACTCAACCAGAGATGAAATACGTCTGCTCCACATCAATCAGCCTCTCATTGTCAGACAGAGCGCAGCTTGATTTGGCACTTATCGCTCCACTCTGGAGCATTTTTTTACATTTGTATCTGTGTTCATGTGTGTGTGTATTTCTGGGAGGGACTATTTGTTACACTCACATTGCCCTCATTAGGAAATCTGTGACTAAATGGCCTCACTTAGGAGTTAATGAGCTGGATCAAGGTTGGCATGCAAAGCCTGGGAGCAGAAAATGGAGCCACCCATACTGTGACTATGAACCACACACTCGCCTCTCTCTGTATGTCTGCTTCTTTTGCTCTAAAATCAACTCAGCAATACTCTCTAAAGTGCTGCCACTCTTCTGTAATTTCTCATCCTCTGCTGATTTACAGCTGCCATACTTGGATCCCCAATTTAGTGCCTCTTCCTTTTAGGTAAACCCAGATATCGAAACAGGCTTTGCTTTATGTTTTTTTGTAAGTGTTTTTCTTTTCTTTGGCGCATTTAAAGAGAGGTCTGTTCACCTCTAAGCCCCTCTACAAACACGGGCGCTACTCCAACTCTTTTTTCCCGCCACCTCCGCTGAGATTTCTCCATCTTTCCCCATATTCCATGGCGGTCTTTCTCCTCTATCCAGCCCCTTCCACCTCTTACACACACACACACAGACTGCCTCTTGTGCTCCTGAGCAAACAGTGGCAGATGTGTGACCGCAGCCGTCCGTGCGCCTCCTCTTTACGTCACAAACTCCTGTCTTCTTGACCTCTCTTCCCTCTGTAGGTTCACTGAAAACTGCTTCACTGCAGCTGTGTGTTTGTTTGGATTTTTTCGCACACCAGTAGTGGAAAGTCACTTGTGTAGTTTTACACTCTTTAAAAGGATGCAGGCGTCCAAGGCGTCAGCGTGGTGTAGATTCAGTTTCAAGTGTCTCACACACACATACAGTGTCCACACCCTTGTTATAAAACCAGGAATGGAAACTCAGAGTAGCTGTTAGGTTGTGTAAGTTTTACACAAAGTCTGCACTTTGAGGTCTTTCCTGAGGGTTGTTTCTGATCGTGGTGATGTAGCCCCCCTGCACTCTCAGATTTCTTCACCCTGAAGCACAAAGAAACCAGCTTTGTCTGCTCCATAGGTGTGGACTCACCTGGTTTGAAAAATGAGCACATGTAGGTTTTATTCCAGCAGGTGGCAGTGTTGTTCTCACACCTGAGCTGCTCCTGGTGCGAGTAGCTCACATGCCCCACCAGCCTGCACACTGCTGTGTTACGTCGGAGCAGTAATCTGAAGGTGATGTTTGGGTTTGGTTCAGAAATGTTCAGTATTTTATCTGCAGCTGGGAGATCAGCAAGGTTAGAGAATGTGTAGGTGTGCGAGTATTTGTGTGTGTGTGTGTGTTTCTGAGCATCAGTGCCAAGGTTATCATAACTCTCCCTGGAAAGCTGCATTCTTTCTCCTGTTTTGAAGTTTATTACAGTTCTGGGAAGACGAACAGCCTGCAGGAACTTTTTGTTTCCTCCAGAGAAGCACAAAGCACAACACATGCACACATTCAAAACATCTAAATGAGGATTAATAACTCCTGCATGATGAGAAACAGCACTTCTAATTTTCTCACTGTAGAGCCAACTCTGACAAGAAGTCTTATACATGCTGATGGAGATCTAGGTTCAGATTTTCTGCATCAGGTAGAAGATAAGTACTGCACTGCTACAAAAAAAGATGATTTAAAATATGTAAACAGATGCTGTGATTGAAATACGGTTACTTTTAGTGGATATGATCATTTCATATTTTTGAGTTCTTTGAAGTTCCTAAATGATAATAAATAAAGCACAGGCATGTTTCAGGAGCCAGCCTAGAGTAATGTGAGAACCTGTTAGTGATAACAACAGCAGAGAGATGACATAGAACAGGGGTGGGCAATTAATTTTTACATGGGGCCACATGAGAAACCTGAACTCCAACAAAAACTTCAACTTCAAATCAGGGGGGTTCACACATACAGAAAAGTAAGCCCAAATAAGCAACTACTCGTCAAAAACATGCCCAAAAAAAGAGCACCCGCAACTCACAAGTTTTACTAGCGACTTCTTAGAGAAAGAAGCTTAAAGTCGTTGATGATAAGCGGACTTAGCAACTAAAAGGCGTCAACGTATATTTTGCCAATGTTTAAACTTGTCTATGTTCACGAATGCAGATCTAGGATGTACACACGTGCGTCCAAACGGAAATAAAACAACGGCTAGGTTTTCAAAATAAAAAAACACACTTGTATAGCATTTTAATGATTTGATTGGCGGACCTCACAAAGAAGTTATCGTCCATTTGTCGTTATCGAGGTGAACTGCTCAATATATTGTGATATTGATTTGAGGCCATATCGCCCAGCCCTAATAGAGTATTGCTGATTGAGGAAAGAATGAGGGAGTAGAAAATGAAATGATACTAAACTGTTTTTACATTAATTGACTCATGACATATTTAAATGACAGTGATGTGTGACTTTTGTCGTTCTCTAAACCAATGAAGAGAATTTTCACATTTAAAAGTACAAAAAAGACTTTATTTTATTTTATCTTGATAAGAAAACCTGCACCAAGTATGATCTGAATGTGTCACTCAGCCATATTGTCATTCTGTCACCATTAAAGAAGCGGCCCTGCTAGAGGCCATTGTAATTGCACAGAGAGCACTCCCTTTCCCACACTCTTGCCTCTGTCTCTCAGTCCCTTTGGTCATGTGATCCTTGTCTCGTGACGCTTGATGGAGTGACTGTCGCGGACCCGCAGCCATTAGCAAGACAGAGAGCCTCATTACCTCCTCTACCTGAGGACAAATAGTCACATTCTCATCGAGTTGTGAACACCTGTGATGCAGCAGCAGGATGTCACGTGTGATCCCACAGGTCATACACCTCACCTGTTTGCTCGCCTCCTTCACTTCCCCCTGACCCTCATGTCCCCTCTGTCAGGTCCTGAGCCGTTATTTTTGACTGACCTTGCACCTGAGCCCCGGGGCTTCAGTGTGCGCGCCCTGGTGGGTGTATGATTTTTTTACATTTGACAAACAGGTGTTGTTGCTGCGCAGGTGGTGTATTATGGGATGGATGCAGACTCTCCCCCTGCTAAGGAATGTAAGGAGGAGTGCAGGGAGCGGAGAAGACATGCTGTGACAACCTTCCACTCTGCTCTCCTCTCATCCAAACTTCAGTTTTTACTCTTAACCTCTTCTCTCTTTCTCTCCTATTTTTACGTTCCTGCTTCTCTGTTTCCTCCCCTTCAGTTAACCCTAACTTCTCTTTGAGGATTAGCTCTCTTCCCCCTCTTCTTGTTTTATCAGCTTCTGGATGTTTCATGCTAATATTTTCTTTTATTTTGGCAGTTTCCAAAGAGATGGAGATCTGTAAACAACACAAGTCTGTGATTTCTCATCTTTTGTCATCCTTCTTGCTAAATCCCTCTCTTCTCTCAGTCATGCAGGATTCCCAATATGGCGTCCTGTCCGTCAAACAAACTCGGCTTCTCTTTTGTCTGGAGCAACCACACAGCAAGAAAATATGCAGAGGCACTTTTCTAACATGCCTAAGTTAATTTGGGTTACGCACACAGTCAGGGCAGCAGAGTCTCATTTTGTGTCATTGCTGCTGTGAAACAGAGCATAAAGTCACACCCTTTTTATGTTTGCTCATGAAGTGCAAATGTCTACCTCCCAAACAAGATAAGTCAAGTCAAACCAAACAGAAAAATGCACCTTGTAGACTCAGCTCTTGACCCTCCTTCTCGCTCGCTCTCCGTGTGTTTCTCTTCTTTTTCTTCGACTCTCCTCTTCGCTTCTTTGTTTAAGCCAGGCTGTGTGTGCACAGAGCGGTGGCATGTCTGTGCATGCAGCCCTTCCCTGTCAGGAATGTGGTGCAAAGGAGACATGAAGCCAGGAAGGAAAAGAGAGCGCATGTAGCAAAAAAAGAGAGGGTGAGGACTTCAAGGCCTTAAAGGTGGAAAGGAGAGAGAAAGGTCTGAGAAAAGTGGATGAAAACAGAGCTGATGGAGGCGATAATGGCGAAAACCTTTGAGTGACAAGACAGTGGAGATTCCTGCTTTTTTTGTCCAATCTGATGATGCAGATTGTGATTAATCTTTTGACACAGGTATACAGATTAAGGAGTGACTTTTGTTCACATTAAAGCCGTCCCCACACAAGAACTACTCTCTTTCGTAGATTTACGAAGGTTGGAATTGCAGGTTGGGTTGTCGGGTTCAGTGTGCAGAGTCTCTCCTGGCCCTACTGACCTTTATCCGTGCCTATAGAAACCCCTCCTGGTACAAAGACCTTCAGTCTGAGCTGTTTTCACTGGCTAAGACCTTACCTAAACATACTTCTCCACTCCCACAACGCATTGCAAACAGAAGGTCCTACACAGCAACTTGGACCTGCTCTAAATTTTGTTCATTCATTTTTAGTTTTAACAGGATTCGGCGCCCGACATGTCTGTCAATTTTGATCTCAGCTCTGATTGGCCAGGGATCTGCTTTCACAGGGCCAGGGCTGAGCTGTTGCCAGGCCCCAAAGCGCATCTGCTGAGTTTGTGACTCATCTGCCGCTGGCCTGGAATCAGTGTTTTCTTTGTCTCAAATAGGTGGAATGTCCACCGACTCTCAGACCCAACCTGTCAGGCCAGCTATCCTCCTCTTTTGTCAGCAGTGAGGAGAGCGAACATGCCAGCACACTTTGTCCAAAATCTCCTACTCAGGATTTTTTTGTGTACGCTAGTGTCCTAACAGTATATCAGGCCATGCTTTAAACTTGCTCTTTAACATACCAACATATATCAGTTGTCACAGGACTGCCTCCTATCTGGTGGGTCATTACGTCAATACAGCGATGGTTTGAATAACTCACATTTTTCTCTGGTGTTGTCTTCTTTTCCACCCTCTAATCTTTCACTCTGATCAGTTTTGCTGCTATCAGACCTATTGTTATTTCTTTGTTGTTCAGATTAGCACATCCATGTGTCAGACATTCACCACTGATGTCACTGTCTTTCCATGAAGTGCCTTTATTTCTACACCTCCTCCTTTTTTTTATCAGTCAACAGAGCGGCTAGTATTCAAATTAGATCCGGGTCTGTGTTTTCTGTGTCTCCTGGGTGGTTGCCCTTTCTTGAGGTTAGTTCACTCAAAGCAGCTATTAAAAAACCTCACCCAGGGGACTTATATGACATGGAATATCTCATTTATTACCTCCGCCAAGGAGGTTGTTTTCAGTAGCGTTGGTTTGTTTGTTTGTTGGTTTGTTTAACTGTTAGCAACTTTACGGAGAAAGTTTCAGATGGATTGACCTGAAATTTTCACCAGAGGTGCGTCTCAGCCCCTGGAGGATCCCATTCAATTTTGGTGGTGATCCGGATCGCCTTCTGGATCCAGGAATTTTTTGAAGGATTCTTTATCATTGTGAGATAGGGCAAATTTTGGAATTTTTGCATTTAACTCTATAAAAATGGCCAGAGTCTTTAGTAAAAAATGACACAAAAGGATCTCAATGTGTTTTATGAGGTGTCAAAGGTTGATCCTGATCCAGACAAAATTCCGGATACTGTGATCCAGAACACACAAAAATAAGGGTGTTGTTGGAATTTTCAATGCTGAAAGATAACCAATGGGCGGCAGAGTGGTGTAGATGGGCGGCACAGTGGTGTAGTGGTTAGCACTGTCGCCTCACAGCAAGAAGGTCCTGAACAGTGAACATACCAGTTTAAACACAAATAAACGTTAATAAAAGACACGTAACAGTAAAAGTTTTGGTGTGAATCACAATATAAGGGGGGACATGAGCTGCTTGGCGGAGGTCTGCGCTCTCCGAGTGCTTTTCTAGTTGTTACTCGTTTTATTTAATCACATCTTGTGTATCCTAAAGTTCAGTGGAGAAGTTCTTATGTAACTCTTTAAATTGTAACCACAAGCATTCCTCCCCCACACATGGATGAATCAAAGTTGGCTGTTTGGATATACGTAGTACCAGATGCATCAACATCTGGTTCTGTGGGGGCAGGTGGTGGATGAGCGGTGCTGTGTCTTGTCTGTTCAGAGGAAAGGAAGGTGGCTGTGACGTGAGCAGAGAAGAAAGAGTAAACTTCAGTCCCCCCAGACAAAGGAATGCAGCCGTTGCTTTCCATCCACGTCAGACATTGCGTAAGAGGGTCCATCTCATGCTCCTCGTCGACACCGACTCCTTCTCCATCTGCTGTGTCAAGCGTCGGCTTAAACCACAGGTGTGACTACATATTACATGTTTAACCAAAGAAAAGGCCATGTTGAGTCAAAAAGCCTGCCGCTCTTTAGCTTTCACACCTGATTCATTAAGGCACATTATCCACTCAGACCCTGCTGTGAATGCAGAGGTCCCGGCCCCTGCTAAGCATCAGTGGTCTTGAATGGATGTCTTCTATTTTCAGTGACTGTGCAGATCCAATAGTAACAGGCAAATTCATGGAAAGTTCCCTGAGCACAAGATTTCCATTACAGCAGCAAACTGCTTTTTCTCTGGCGGTCACAAGTGGCACTCAGGCCTCCTCGTATCAGCCGTAACAACAATCTTACACTTGAAAAGAAAACCAAGAGCTCTTTGTGAGACACAGAAGCTCGTTTTTCACACACTACTCAAAGAATGATCAACTTGATTACCCACGAAAACGTCTTTTATCATTCAGGAAAGAAACCAGTTTTCTTGAATACATAAAAAATGTAACAAATAAAAACATTCATGAACTTTTTCTTGTGAATTAAACGGTCCAGACAGGAAAAAAAAAACAAAATTAGCAGTTAAGGTTCCAATTTAGCCAGAAATGTCATGATTTGTCTGTCTACATCTCCACCCCACCCCCTCCCCACCACCATAAACCACTCTCACACCTGGTCACAGGTCTCCTTGTCAGCTCACTCACTCACCTGCTCACACGGTCTCTGATTAAGCCTCTCACTCATTTTATGCACACACACTCACTCACACATTTTATCACACACTCTCTCACACACACATGTGGCATGTTCCCCTCCCCTCCCCTCTCCCTCTGTGCACTGTTCTCTGTTTTCTTTACTGGCCGGGCAGGCTGATGCTATTTTTAGCACAGAGGGAAAAGTCTGCGCCCTGTTCTGTCTCCCTACCACCACCACCACCACCTCTGCTCCTCACTCCTCCTCACCACAGCAGGAGCAACTCATCGGGCCCCTGACTCAACCCAAATGCAGCCAGCAAACCTCAGCCCTTTGTGCTCTCTAGGCCAATAAGAGTTTTAAAATGTGTGATATAAAACTGACACTTTATAAACACATGACAAGAAACTTATAATACTGTATTTTACTGTATTTTCATTTAGATTTTAAATGAGAACAAACCTCAAGTTACAAAAACCATGACACACAGGAGAAGATTAAGATAATCATTTGTGCCTGTCCGTATGACACGACGACTTCTTCTCCTCTATGCCCCTTGTTCTTCTGTTTTTTTTTTTCAACCAGCCTACCCACAATAAATCAATGCTGCTAAACTTCCAGGTCTGATTTGCACAATTTCGCTCCCAGATGAATTGACATGTAATTATAAACTCTTGTTTCGGTCAGACTAACCCTCAAGATCGATCATTTGAGCAGCAACTTAGCGTACTGGTTGACTATCATAGTCTAGCTTGATAAGATATGACTTTATCATTTACATTTAAATCTAAAAAAATGAAATATTTAAAATTACAATGCAACCCGTAGATATCTAAAGAACATTTAAACTAAAGAAGAACCAACGCCAGATTTCTCCTCGGACCGTCAGCAACAGCGATTCCGGTATAAATTTGTCCCTTAACGATCCAACTGAATCTCATATTTTTATCACATTGAGGCTTTTAAAGTTTGTGGAAACGTGGCGCCTCAAAAGATCTAACAGTCCAGTAAATAAGCCCCACTGGCCCGTTTGCAGACACACATCTTAATACATACAAATTATACACTCACTCACTAACACACACATACACAGGAGTCCTCCTATACACCACCCTCTCAATCTCTTTTATCTTCTTCGGCCGGCTACTTGCACCCACTCTCGCACAAGGAGTGCACATAACTCTGCAGATCCTTCAGATTAGTTTGTCTTTGTATGTGGCCATGCCGCAGCCCCCAGCTGCTCAAGTGTTTCTCACATCTGCAGCTCCAACGTGGCCCCACTAGTTCTGTCTGAGGAGACAAAGAGGAAAGAGACAGACTTGAAGTGAGGGGGAGACAATGAGAGGGAGAGGAGAGAAAAAGAAAAAAAACTAGGCAAGGAGGAGAAATGTGTGAAGAGAGAGAATAAGAGAGGATGTTTGTTTGGTGGGAATGATTAAAGGGAAGAAGAGCGAGGAAATGATAGTTCTGTAACACAAGTTGTAATCTTCTCATGAGCAGCTTCACTCCCAATAGGAAGTGTTCATTTCCTCTGGTTCATCTTTAAGTACTTAGATGTTGTTGCCACAGCTTGAAATCATTTCCATAATATGAAACTTTGAAAACTACCGGAACCAGTGGGGGGTTCAGTTAAAGATTCATCTGCGAGTATGTAGATATTAAGTCAAATTCCCTTTGAAGCCATATGACTGAATACACAGCACTGCAGGAGAGAGAGCATTACATTCTCTAAATACAACAAACCATATCTCCAAATGACTTTTAATGTTTGGCACTCACAGATTTCTCTTCTTCTTGCCAAAGCCAGTGCATTTGGTGGCTAAACCCTTTCAAAGCAGAAGAAAATGCAGTTTCAGGTCATAAATCTGACACAGAATTTATGGTAATGCTGAAACCTAAGCTGCAACAAGCTTATGTCAGTGTACTAGCGTGTTTCAGGCCAGCATTCTTTCACCATTCATTGTGAACATTGTTTTTACTGGGAATTATCGAGCCCATTTTCTTTTAAACCAATTTAGGCACTAATTAAAACCCATTTTGAAGAGGTAATTACACAAAAGTTTAAGTATGTGCTGCTCTTCAACGAGGCTTTAGTAACTCTTAATAGTAGAGCTGCTTCTAACATTAGCTTACAGGTAGACAAAAGATGAAATGGTGTGGCTGAAGACAATGGGGATATAACCTGAAACAATATGAAGTTCTCTGGAAGTGTTTTGGCAGCCAGACGCTGCCTTGCAGGAAAAACATGCATTTGATTAAGACTTGTGTGGTAGTTTATTTTGGCAGCTTTCTAATAAAAAGTGCAATCCAACTAAAACAGATGAAAACTGGGTCGGTTGCAGTTTTTCGAACAGTTCTTCAGGAGAAGACCTACCCCACAGACATAGACAGAAACCTGTAGAAACCTATGACTCTGCCTTTGGCTCTCAAACAGGCTTTGTTTGATTCCCTCACTGGTTCCTCAGCTCTGACGTGTTCGAACACGCCTGACTGCTGCCAGCCTGCTGTAGTTAGACTCCAGGTGAAGTTCACAATCAACATGAGGAATGTTGCTCCACAGTCTCTGCAGCAAGTTTAGTGAATCCTGCTGCTTTTGTCAAACCACAAAGTCACACACTGAGTCAGTACGCTGCAGTGTAGTAGTGAGCATGCTGAAACTCTCTAAAGTTAGCTTTCGAGCCTAATATGAGATACACCCTACATTTGTATTCCTTCTTCAATCTAATTTTTTTTAATCTACTTGCAATTGATATTTTTCAGAAAAATCCATATCAGTTAGGCCCTAACATATTGTTGTTAAAAGACTCACCTTACATCTTGCCAGGGAGCTTAACTCATCAGAACTTTAGTAAACACGTTAGTTTAATACAATTCAGTGATAATATTTTCCAAATTATTTTCCACAAATAATTCCACATGATGATAGACTTTCGTATTTTTATCCTGTTTTTGTCATTAAAAAAGGTCTTTCCTGTGTAAACCTGTTCAATTACAAAAGGCACATAAACTGTAGCAACACCTTTTCCTTTTATTGTAGCCCTCAGTTATGAGCTGGCCACCTGTTGTTACATTGCAACTACACTTCAGGGAGACGTCTAAACCACGTCCACATGGGCAGACTTTGACGTCAGTACGCCCCGCCTACGTAGGACCTGTTTCCTCCGCTGATTGGACGCGATCAGACGGAGGAGGACGGCCCACTAAAAAAAGTCCACAGCAAGTTTTTCTTTTGGCCGTGCAGTAGTCAGGAGGGACAGAGAAAGACTCAAACTTAAGAACTTACCACAGTGAAGAAGACACCTGAACAAACTGACGAGGACATATTCTGACTTCATATCTTCATGTGTTAAACTATGGTCGGAGATTATTGCTCCTTTTCTGGAGATAAGACGGACATGCACTCTCAGAAAAATACCAAAAACGGACTAAGTTGCAAAATGGTGCTGCAGGCAGTAGGAAAAGTACTCAGGTAAAACGTGCTGACTTTACATTGACCATAACTTCTCTGTATTTAACTTTTAAGTCGACTTTTTAGTGTTAATGGAACATTTAAAGTACAGTCGAGTTAATGAAGTTAACCATAGTTTATGTCTTCCGTCTTGCTGCTATCTCCGCAGTGTTAAATCATCTGGTTAACTACATATTTCTCCTTCATGTGCAGTTTGTTTTCTGTCGACATTTCCCGGTCTTACCTCTTATCACAATGTAATAAATGTCGTGTGACTTATAAACTGAAAGCCACGTCGTTCTCACAGGCCTAACGTTGCGTAAAACATCAAGGAAAAAGTCATTAATAGTCGACTTTTAAACTTTGTTCTGTGAAATTTCCCCGTATCGTGGTGGGAAAGACATTAATAGTCTTTATTCAGCGGTAATTACAGCTGTGTTGAGACCCTCAGGTTCCGGAGTCACTGTAATTCACATGCTGGTGGTGATAGAGAGGACGTGTATGTACCCTGAACGCCTCATTCCTCCTCCTGCTGCTGCTGCTCTCACTAACAAGACTCAACAGGAGCCGCAGAAATGTGACACTGTCTTCTCAGTCTAATACATTATTTAGGCCTTGTGTAAACAATTTAGTCAAGACAACTGGAAGAGGAAATTCTTTCAAATCAGAAAACTTTTTTTGTTTGAAATAAAGTTTTAAAAAAGCACCCCAGGCTGAAGGGTGAGTATAGTTTGTATGCCCTTAAATCACACCCTGAACATCTTATTTTTAGAGAGGGTGCAGCATAATCTGAAAACACAGTCAAATAAAAGCATATTATTTAGAGCTATAAATGTCTACACCAATTGGCGCTTTATAAATAACTGCTATTGCAAGTACATGTATCTCATTGTCTAGTTTTTGCTATTTTACTGCTAGTTTAGTGTTATTGTTGAAGCATTTTGAACCATTACTAAGGTACAAAGGCACTCTTATAAGTCGTTTTATCGTATTCCTAAAGCCTAATAATGTAAGTGAGAAGACGTACGTTTTTAAAGAATGTTTGACCCAAATAAGATTGTCAACAGCGTGCTTCTGTGTCATACGACGCGACTCAATAAACAAAGTCAGTCAGGATTAAGTCCCATGGAGAATCGTCGCTATTCAAGAGAACATACCCATGTCGCAGCGATGAAGAACAAGGCAAACGTTTACATATATTTGCTCAAGTCTCTGTCATGTGTTTGGGACATGCAGTCATTATGAGTGTGTTCTTCCAGGGGACAGCTCGGCCCGTTGATGCTTTAGTCAAGTTTCCTCTTACCTTTCAAGTCTGGGGACAGGTGTGTTTCCACACAGTAGCCCTGAAGGGCACATGCCTCTAAATCTGTTGGTGTCTGTAAAGATGTGGAGGCTGATATCGAGGAGAAAAAAAGCCAACAGTTTCTCTTAACTGATTATAAGCAGGATGTAATGGACCCAGCAGTGAGTGTTATGTACAGTATGTTGTTTTGTCTGTTGCAAGACCTGTGACAAGTAGAGACAAGTTCTGCTGCACCTCTTTCGCTTTAAAGTCAACTGCCTTCTTTAGAAATCAGCCACTTAGATGGAAAAACACCTTTTTTTACATCATCTTGCAGGGAAGGACAAGAAGGGGGTTTCCATAAATGTAATGTTTAGAGGAAATATTAAACGAAAACACTTCATCAAAGTTAACAAGGATGCATAGTTTGGAGTTTTATGAGAGGGTTGGGGGCACTTTAGATCTGTTTATAGCTCTACTGTTAACCAGATTCTTCCTTCAGTGAATGGTTGGATGCTCCCGGCAAGGATGCAGCTTTAAATCTGGCACAAAAAAAAAAAAACAGCCTTTAACAATTCCTCATCTCTTGAATAAAAGAAGTAACCTGGTAGTTTTAGTCTCACCTCGAGTAATTTGACAAAATCAATGCTCCCTTCACAAAAGCACCCCCTTCTTCTTTGATTCAGTAGCCTTTCAGATAACATTTGCCAAGAGCTCGTTCTTATCTCAAGCAGAACCCCCTCTTTCCTCTCACACACGTGCGTTGTGATGTTGATGAGGCTCCATTAGACCGCTGGCAGGGGGTCCTTACATACTCTGCAGGCCTGAGAGCCACTGAATGGGACTCAGCACAGGATGAGCAGAGGAAGAGGACCCGGCCAGGACTGTGCTGTGTTTTGCACATGTTTAGGCCTGCATCCAGGCTACGATCCTCATTTACTGATTTACAGCGCTGCTGACGCCCCCGGTGATGCTCCTGATTAAGAGGTGGCAGCTGTGTCTTCTTTGTTTTGATTTCCGTCTTATCTCTTCTCTCCAGTGCTAAAACTAAAAAAAAAACAGATGTGTCTGTGCTCTTTTTTTTTTTTTTATAAAGGTCACAGAAACTTCAGGAGCAGCTTTAACAGAACATTGACTCTGTAGGTTTAAAGAGCTGCAAACTGAACCTCTGGTTTATTCCTTCCTTAAAGCTCGCTCTTTTTAGCCCCATGATGGCTGCTGTGGTTAGGCTCTTGTGTGCTCAGGCTGCCTGCTCTCCTGTCTGAGGTTTTTCGGGGAAAGGAGCAGTTCAGTGTGTTCAATTTAAATCCTGAAATAGATCAGGAGGCCAAGCTGGGAGAAGAGCGATCCTCCTGACTGAAGCTGCTCTCTTTTTTACGAAACGGTCGAGTTCATTGACTCAATCCAAGTCTTATCAGATCAGATTGGAACCGTGTCCTGATGCTCTTGAAGTTCGATGCTGTTTTTTTTTTAACACAGTGAATCCCACAATCAGGTCACAAAGGCTGTTGCAACATCCTGATGTTTTTTTCTTTTTTTTGATTGACTATCTGACTTCATCAGGCCTTTGTTTGACAGTTGAGTCTTGAGGAAGTGTTTGATTTTTCTGTGACGATGACCTTTGTGTCGTCTGTGATGTTTGTTATCTTTCTTTTATATCCTTATCACTAACACCGCTGAAGAGTTTTGTATTCGAGACACGTGATCGCAAGAAAAGCACGTCTTTGCACCTTTGGAGTGCGTCTTCTGCCTGTCCCAGAAAGATAACATCCTTAAGAAAATGTTCTGTCGTTCAGATATCTGCCCTTGTATCTGCTGAAACTTCACTTCTTCCTCAGAAAAAGGTGGAAGACTTCTTTGCCGTCTCTGTCTCTGAGAGTTACACTCACTTTTCACCCTCGCAGATCACATTAACTGCATCCAGATGCCAATAGTTAGATTCCTCTGCTTTCCAGAGGGCCAATTCAAGCAACAGTTGTGTAATATGGGGTTTGGCAGGAGCAGTCGGTTTGAAGGGAAAGTCATTATCTATTGGTTTGTTGAACAGCTCGGAGTTAACTTGTATTCCATTGCAGAGAGCACCAAGAAAGCCCACGGTCCAAACCCTCAGGTTGCTAAGTCCCAGCATGAGCATGAGAGATCATCAATGCATGTTTGAGCGTTGACAACAAATCCATGAGAGGGGTTTTTAAGAGAGGGAGGGGGTTCTTATGTAACAAACTGTATTTTAGTGAGTGTTTCTGCAGCCTTAAGTGACTCAGGTTTAATTTAAACCAGGTTCTGCTCATGTTTTAAACCAGACATGCATGTGAACCGTCTGCTCACTAACAGCACAGCAGCTGATATGTGCACCAGGGTGAAGCCAAAGAGAAGCATGTTTGACACACTTAAGTCAGGACTGAACCGTGTGGACACACAGGTGCTGTCACAAACACACACACACACACTCTCAGACCAGACAGCGCTCTCTTCTTCTTCTTCCTCTTCTTCTTCTTCGGGGTTTTCTCCAGCTCTCTTGTGGATCAGACTCGTGACGCAGCTGTTGTGACCAGCTGGATCGGTCATGAAAAGGGAGAGTAGGCAGAGGGGTCTGTGTGTGTGTTGGAGAAGTCACAGGGGTGTATGTCAGTGTGTGCTGTGTCAGCTGGGTGCTGGTGGTTGTGTACAGGAGGGAAGACGGTCGGTGAAGATGGGCAGAGGGGGTGGGGGAGGTGCTGTTGCTTGGAAAAGTGAAAGGGATAAGATGGAGACGGAGTCGAACAGCTGTTGGGTCAGTCACTCCTCACCTCAGCGGCACTGACCTCCCTGTCACCCGACTATACAACCCTGTTTCCTTATTGTGTTTTATTGCAGATAAAGGCCAGCATGTCTGACTTCCTGCTTCTCTTCTCACCCTCCACCTTTACTCTAAAGCAGTGGTTCTCAAATCAGCACACCTGATTCAAATGATCAGCTCGTTATGAAGCCTTTACAGAGCTTGATAACGAGCTGATCATTTGAATCAGGTGTGTTGGAGCAGGGAAACATCACTACTCTAAAGGTTCATGGGTTTCATGTGATTTTCCCATAGATCTTGTAGAGTCCAGTTTTTCCACCAAATCTGACGTGGTTTTCCGGATTGTGAGCCTGTATCTCACACTGGTTCATACTCTGGTGCCAGGCAGGCTGCCCCCCCTCCTTCCCAGTATGGAGACATGTGCCTGACTCTGGCCTCAGATCCCCTCCACTCCTGCCTTCTGGCCTGCCCTGATCTGTCGCTGATCTGGTGAGGAGAAAGAGGCATCTGCTGCCTTTTATGGCAACGACTAGCCTGGGAGAACTTTACCAAGAACAGACAAAGCTGTGAATGTGTGAGTGTGTGTGTGTGGAGTGAAGACAGGCTAAGTACGTAAGAGGGGAGGAGCGCTGGCATGGAGGAAGTTTTCTTTATCCAAAAATAAACTAATGGCTCCAGAATTTCACCTCCCTTACCACACGAATGTTCACGAAAGGCGGAGGAGGCGTTTGTACGGAAAATGATGAAATTACACAGAGAGAGGGAGAGAGAGAGAGAGGCAGGAAATAGCTCCGAGAAACAGAATGTTTTCAAAAGGAAAAGAGTAAGGGGAGGGTGGGCAGGAGAACCCAGTTGAACCTTTCACGGGAGCAGAACCTTTTTCTCCAGCTGGCTTAGCAAAGCCTTTGAAAAGTTGTGAGAGCTGACGGTATCTGTGCATGAAGCTCCATCCTCGAGTAAAGCTCTTTCACATGACTGAACATGTAGCTGCTCACAGCACAAAAAACCACTCAGACCACATGAATCTGTCTCGACCCTCATGAGCAGGAAGAAGAAGGTTTTTTTTCTTTTTGAGGGGGAGACGGAAGCAGACAGAGATAAGAAAGGCATGAGAAAGAGCTTGAAGTTTTTTGGGGGAAAAAAGAACAGTAATTAAAATGTGAGAGGTCGTGGAATGAGGTAAATGGGAAGCTGTTGAGCCGGGTTAATAGTCGGGGACAGAAAGATGAAGGGAAAGGGCAGGGAGAGATGAAAAGAGAGGGCAGGGGTGCCTTAGGCTTGTTCTTCTAACCCTGAACAATAGGCTGTTTGGACAGGTGAGCATTCAGAAAGAAACGCTTACAAGCCTAAAGAAAGACGAGTAGAGAAAAAACAAAGAGAGGAGACAGAAAGAGAGCAACACAACAGGAGGAAAGAGGTGAAACAGAAAGTGGACACTCATTAATAATTAACCTGCAGTGTCCTTGGATTTCAAATGAGGCCAAAAACAAGCGAAGGAGCCGCCTGATTGGACGAGCAGGATACCTGTATAAATGATTACCCAGCAAAGAAGAAGAGCCTGAACAGTCTGAGTGTGATCCATTCAAGTCTTCCCAAAGGCAGTTTACAGCTCAGCATTACTCCTGACAGCTACATTAGTCCACAGCAGATGTGTAGAAGAGAGGGGGAACTTAAACATTTACAGAGCAGAGCCCTGTCGTCGACTCTGTGTGTGCTTATACATGTTGACATGCCTTCCCTTGTTTGCTGAGCTGGAAAAGCAGGGTGACGCTTCCTGGAGAGGGGGAATTAAACTCATGAGGGGTTTGGACTGGCTGTGCTCTGGCCAAGAGGCCTCGTGCTCCTCAGTCCTGTCATGTTTTCTAAGTGTTTATTAGTTCCCATGGATATCAGCTGGGCCTGTGTTGAACCACCTCCTTCTCCCCTTCCTTTCTTTCCGTCTGCTCTGACTCCCATTTATGCTCCTAAATCTGACTCGAATATCTCTGACTGTTACTCTAACCCTTTCTCCTCCCCTGTTAGTCAAAATCTTTAGTATATCTTAAATCAGTGGTTCTCAAGTCCAGTCCTCGAGGCCCACTGTCCTGCACACCTGATTCAAATGATCAGCTCATTATCAAGCTCGTTATCAAGCTTACTAACGAGCTGATCATTTGAATCAGGTGTGTTGGAGCAGGGAAACATCCAAAACATGCAAGACAGTGGGCCTCGAGGACCGGACTTGAGAACCACTGCCGTAAATGAAAGTGAGTAATAGTGTTTATGATCCTTCGTCATTAGAGCAGCAGCTGCTGACTTTCAAGAATAACGATTGAGTGGGTGGTTTTCTGGGAGTGTGAGTGGAAAGGAAAAGGGTAAAACAGAAGCCAGGAAGGGACACATGGTTGGAATATATAATGTTTAGACAGAGGGTTGTAGAGAGCTGGGGTCCGTTTCACGTAGCAGGTTTAGTGGAAACTCCGAGTTTGTTAACCCTGAAATCGGGGAAACTCTGAGTTTTCCGTTTCACAAAGGAGGGTTAGTTAAACCAGGGAGAGAGGGGTAACTCTAACCTGTTTCACAAAGAGAGGTAACTCAACCTCGCGGTCAGTTACCACAGTAACAGACTCCGTGAACCTAACCTGCTCGGGAGCAGGTTTAACTCAGTAAACCCAGAGTTTCAGGTGAGACATCGGCATTTTCTCATTTTGATCATGTTTTACATTGTCAAGTAAGTATTAAGTGGCAGCTCCTCTGCCTCCGTTAAAGGTGGGGCTTTAAAGGTGTACATATACATACTGAGAGTTAGTTTAATATTCCTAATCATTTAACGGAACATCATAAGAGAGTAAAATTCATTTTTGAGTGTGAAAAGAGCATTTTCTAAGGGATCAAACTGCCACTTAATACTTACTTGACAATGTAAAACATGATCAAAATGATTCAAGCAGTTTCCCTGCAACAGTCTGTCATTGTAATTGCACGAGACTAGATTTAAAGTTACGCATTGACGCGAGCAGCGATTTCCTCCCAAGCCCTCTCCCTCTCCTTTGCAGCTGCTGCTGTATTGCACTTTCTTTTAAAAACGTGCTGTCATTCGCTGTTGGCTTGCTGCTGCCCCCTCCTTCTCCCTGTTTCCATTGGTTGATCATTGAATCTGCGCTCCACAGATGCTGGCTGTTTATGTCTGGCGTGCACGTGCTTAACTCCAGGTCAAACTACTCGGAGTTGTTAAAACCGTCTCAAATCAGGTGTTGTGAAACCGGAAACTCAGAGTTTCCTAACTCAGAGTAGATCAACTCAGAGTTAAGGATTTAACTCAGAGTTTGTTGAACCACCTACGTGAAACGGACCCCTGGAGATAGAGGGAGGGAGTGCAAGACAGGCGGAAACGAGGGTCAACACACACACAATAAATTCAAGCAGCAAACTAAAACGCCCTTGTCCTTAAAAAAACCCAAACAATGGCAACAGAGCCAAAAAAGAGCAGGGAAAATAATATACAGGAAGAGGACGGTACAGAACGAGGAAAGCCCAATCAACTTAGCTTCTGACCGCCTCAACTTCAGAGTCATGAGGCAAGAGGAGTGTTAGCAGGTGATTATATTAGTTTTGAAACAACTGTCCCAGACGATCCATCTTGTTTGTGTCTGGGACCTTTTAACCTTTGACCCGAGATTGCATTGCCCTCACTGATACCGACAAGGAGCTGAGGGGCTGAAGGAGGAAAGCTCTGGAAGTGTATGAAGAGTGTGATATAACATCCCTGTGCTAAAACTAGCAGTGGAAGCACAAAACACTGGGGACGGCTGTCTGTGGGGAAGCTATAGCGCTAGCTTAAGGTCGAAGGTCGGAGTTAAGGGGTCAGGTGCAGACACAGAGGGATCTTTGTTTAGTCTGTTTAGTTTGATGAGTTTTCAAAATGACTCTAAAGTTTCTATTTTATGAGAGTGAAGAGATTAAGCGGCACAGTTTTGAACGCCTCAGGTTGAATTTTGAACTTCATGTTCTGTCCTAAAGCAGATTTTTTCATATCGTACTCATTTGTTCTCCCCATTTTGTTCTAGATAACCTGAATAGACCTGAATATCTGGTTTGATTCTATACATCTTACAACAGCGCTGTCTGGGTGTCGCTGCCTGGAAAATTCCTATACGATCAGTCCATCACAGGCCTGATGTTGCCTCATTTAGACACGCTCTGATTAAGCAATCGGTGTCACAATCGGAGACACTCTTTTGAAATATAGCTCTGTGATTATCAACCGAGTTTGGTATCACTCTGTCTAACCAACCCTCTTTCCCTTTGTGCTGCAGGAAGTCAAAGACGAAGCCAAATGGAAAGAAGCCTCCAGCAGAAGAGAAGAAGCAGTACTTGGAGCAGGAGTACACAAAAATCCGAGTAGTGGACTTTGACCTCAAGGAGCTGGTGGTGCTGCCCAGAGAGATAGACCTCAACGAATGGCTCGCCAGCAACAGTGAGTGACAGTGGTGATACCGAGTGATGGAGTATGTGTAGGATGAAGCCAACACAGGCCAGTCCTGTTCTTAATGAGCCTGTAAAGGAATTTCAACATGTCATTAGATCCATGTGTCTGAGTTGGTCTGCACTTACCCTCAGAGGCTGACAATGAGTTTCTGGTTCAGACAGAACGAAGTCTCTGACAGGATCCAGGCCTGGTACAGTACTGAGTGTTTTCCACAATGACAACACGCACAGTTTCTGTACACGCCATCCTTTACCGCCTGCTACAGGGCTTTGTTTGAGCTCCTTTTGTGATTTATAGCTGTCAAGCGAACATAACTGCTGGAGTTCTGTAAACTCGCGGAGGCCTGGCTGCTTGATGGATCTTCTGACACTCTTTGTGTGTGTGTGCGTGTCTGCCTCCTTGACTTTGTTTTGGTTACAGATCCACACAGCCAGGTGCTTGTGAGGGAAAGAAATCCTCCCCGTCTTTAATTTTAGACTGATAAATCTTAGTTATATAAAACAGATGAGGCCTGTTTTCACATGTTGAAATTGCAGGTTATGTAAGTTAGCTTGTATCAACTTGTTTTGGACACTAATTGGGTTTTTCCGCCTCTGAGAGAACAAAAGCTGGACAATATTTTAATTGCTTTTTACTGGGGCTGGGCGATATGGCCTCAAATCAATATCACAATATATTGAACAGTTCACCTCGATAACGATTATGTTGTACGAATCGAATCACATGAAGACAGATAAAACTTTTGACAGAGAAATAAAATAAGACATGTGGTGTAAGACTGAAGAAGAGATCCTGCTTTAAACAAGGAGTTAGGGCTGGGCGATATGGCCTCAAATCAATATCACGATTTATTAAGCAGTTCACCTCAATAACGATAAATGGATTATAACTACTCCCCAAGCTGCTCACCCCCTCCCACATTAACTTCGTCTACTTCAGCCGCTACAACTTTTGAACCGTCCTCCATCTCCTCATCTGTCTTTCCCTCTTTGTTAAAGACTGGATGGGGTGGAGTCACGTCTCTGACGTAGGAAAGCGTCTTAAAGGGACATGAGACCGAAGCCTACCTACACACATCCAAAACCAACTTTTGTTTATTTATTTATTTGACAATGAATATATTGACATGGGCAAAATGATGTCGGTTATTGTCTTAATTTCAGTATCGGTTTATCGCCCACCCTTACTTTTTACCGTAGTGGTCTGGTCATGATTATTAGAGTTAATCAATTCCGCACATATAATAAAACAGAAGTGGTTACCTTCTGTTCAAGAGAAAAAGCTGTTGTTGGGTCCTCTTGGATGTTACAACGACAAATCTCTGTCCTAGGTTTGTGCGCTTCGTATAGAGAAGGAAAGCAGTTTTACATCAGCAGAGAGGTTAAGTACAGAAGCTCAAATTGAACATGCAGCATTTGACTTTTTATTCCCTGATGCTTGTGTTCGACTGTGAATGTTTCATTAGATTCTAGGCTCATTGTTAATGTTTATTTCAGCTATTTCAGGATGCCCATGTTGACTTAGTTCAGTCCCTAACACAGCAGGAGATCCTCACAGATTCCTCAAAATGTTGTTTCAAGTTTAAAATAGATTATTGTTCTCAAGAAAAGGCATGCAGTCCAAAGAATGTTTTTTACTCAGAGATGCATATTTTTGCTCTGAATAGACCCCTGATCTGCACAAGCATTTGTTTTTGTAGTTTAACAGGCTTTGAGGGACTTTCCCCCCCCTGTGAAAGAAATACCTGTTTGGTTGAAGCAACAACTTAAACGCACCTCCCATCTTCTTTTATGATCTGTGTCTAAAACACAGTTGAGGTATGTGATGACCTGATTGATGAGCGTGTACATGTGACAGAGTCAGTCCACCTGGTCACAGGTAGAGATTCTGTGGGTGTGTTCGTAGAAGAACGTGACATTACACATATGTAACCCAGTTCGATGTTTGAATAGTATTTCATTCATTGTCATTGTTTCCTCTCTATAAATAAACGAAGCTGAAAACACACACTGACCAGGATGTTGCTCTTTCTCTCTCTCTTTTGTTTTTTCTGCCACAGCGACGACATTCTTCAATCTCATCAACCTGCAGTACAGCACCATCTCAGAGTTCTGCACTGGGGACACTTGTCAAGCCATGACGGCCTGCAACACGTAAGTTATCACACATTTATCGTTTCCTCTCACTTGCTGCACCTCATCGGTTAAGGCAGTGGTTCTCAAGTCCAGTCCTCGAGGCCCACTGTCCTGCATGTTTTGGATGTCTCCCTACTCCAACACACCTGATTCAAATGATCAGCTCGTTATTAAGCCATTACAGAGCTTGATAACGAGCTGATCATTTGAATCAGGTGTGTTAGAGGAGGGAAGTGTCCAAAATATGCGGGACAGTGGGCCTCAAGGACTGGATTTGAGAACCACTGATTTAGAGCATATTTTCACATATTTTATGCATTTTTCCAATCTGGATAATTTACTGACTCCTCAGCTGTATCACTAAGAATACACTTAATCCTTCTGGCTTCAGGTAAGCACACAGGTGTAAGCAGGATTCATCTGGACAGCTCATTAGTTTGATTTATTTGTTGCTTTGGGTGTGTTTGCACTTAAAAAAACACAACATGTCACACTTCTCAGGAATTGTCACTGTGTTGAAAATGTCATTATTGGATTGAGGGTCAGTAAACAGGTGGAGCTCCAGAGGTCATAAACAGCAGAACGTTCATGTCATGTGTAAACACTTGGGTTTGAGTTTACTTACTGAAGACTGACTGACAGATTCAGGTCATTTTTTTCCCCCCCTGTTTTTACTGGAGGCTTTTCATGAGTGGCGTTTTGAAAAACACAGGTATTACTGTGGTGATGGTGTAACCTGTTTCTGTCTTCATGTGAGTCGATCCTCACATACCAAAAACTCTGGATGTGAAGAGTGTGAAGACAGACGTGGTGCACCTCAAATCCTGTTTACTATCTCGATTTTGCTCACATCGCACATTCTGCCACTCAATCATTTCTGAAAGTGTCCACCTTTAAATTCCAGCATCCTCTCTAAATATCAAATCCAGTTCTGGGCATAAAACTGCAGGATCCCACGACTCTCAAGTCCCAACACTGAGTTTTAAAACCGTTTTTAAAATAATATTTTACCTCCAGTTTTCTCCAAAGGGGGTTGAGTGTTGCTGTCTACATAGCTGCTGTGTACTCTGCTGTACTTCAACATGAAGAATAAAAGCTGGAGGCCTGTTCCTGCAGAGCTAACACAAGGGAGGTGACTAACTGTAAGAGTTTAACAAACTAGTTTACCCTGTCAGGGTGGGGTGCTGTGCCTCTTCTGTGGACAGAGTCGTTCATTCCCCCTGTCTGCTCTGATGACTGGAAAAACCTGATTCCCCACACTCTGAGAAACAACAAAACACTCACTACTACACTGATCCACACACTTCACCTGCTATGCAGAGGTGCAAACTCTCACCCACACACTCAGCAAAAATATGATCAACAACACAACCATTGAGATGTGACACATTTGTGACAGATTGGTCGTGTGAGACAAATGCGTCACGAGTCCGCAGCTCTGTCAACAGTGGATTTTTCCACTCAAGTCACCTGAGCCTAGTGCTAATAACCCACACCCTGAGAAAGAAAAGAAGTGTTCGTGTTTCGCCTGCAGTGTGTTTGAAGTGAAGAAAGCAGGGAAGATTAACGTGTTTTTGTTTGAACTGGCTGTTGACTTTCACATGTGTCATTGTCATTAAAAGAGAAACAGAGTTGACTGTCATAGTTCGCCTCCGTTCAGATTTGAGCTTAATATTCTTACGAGAAAAGCCCACCGCTTCTGACCATGGCCTCTTTGTCTCTGCCGGAGACCCCACCCTTTCCTGAGTGTGGAGGAGCTGGCACCCTCGCCCCTCTCTGTGGTAAAAAACTGGCGGAGCCACAGTCTGAGCAGCAGCGTCAGTGCCCCTGCCCAGAGGCAGAGCTCAGCACTATTTTTGGAAGAAAATGTTTCCATGAGCTACCAAAGACCATTTGGTAGCTATTTAGACCCATTTAGTATGAGTGGGTGGAGTGAGAGGGAGCTGTGTGGTCAAGTGCTGCTCACACTCGTCATTAGCATCAGCCTTTCTCCTTTGGATTCAGTTGATAAAATACAAAGATCCACCAAAACTTTACGACTTTATTTCTTATTTGCATACAGCATGCAAACAGGGTAACCTGTTCTGCAGAGTCTGCTTAACGTCATACAAGTCATGTGGTTTGTCGCCATGCTATAAGGCCTGCCAATGTTCCTGCATTATGTCATTTCATTACTACCAAACGAGGAGCAACTTACACCCGCCCTGTCACCTCTGAAAGGGAACATAAAATACTGCAGAAGTTCAGGAGGAAGAGAAGCTTACATAATGTCTGTTTAATAAAGAAGAGCAGAACTCGAAAATACAGAAATCGCTTTCAGTCAGCTGTTTGGAAAATCTGTACGAGGAACTGTTTTTAATATTGAAACTTGAACTTTTAGGTAATCACACTCATACAAATATATTCAGCCTCGATCCTCGTGTTCATGAACAGCCGTCTTTAACAGTATCTGGTACACATCATATCAGCATGTAGGAGTCTATAAATCATGTGTAGTTTGGTGTTTTTTTTCCCACGCACTCACACAATCTGATCCTGTGTGAGTCGTCGTCATTATCTGAGTCTGGACTTGGTCCTGCGGTCAGTAGGTCCCCTCCTGCAGGGTCAAATATGCGGGGGCTTTACATTCCTCCGGGTTTATAATGTCTGCCTCACACTGCGAACATTAACACCTGCGTACACAGATTTCTTTTTTGCATATTTATCATCTGCTTAGTAATCAGTCGGTCATGCTCACTGGTCAGTCGACTCACCTTTTGTCTCCATGGTTACCCCGTCACTCATGTTTTGTGGAGTGCTCCCTAGATCAGTGGTTTTCAAGTCTAGTCCTCGAGGCCCACTGTCCTGCATGTTTTGGATGTTTCCCTGCTCCAACACACCTGATTTAAATGATCAGCTCGTTATCAAGCTCTGTAATAACGAGCTGATCATTTGAATCAGGTGTGTTGGAGCAGGGAAACATCCAAAACATGCAGGACAGTGGGCCTCGGGGACTGGACTTGAGAACCACTGCCCTAGATAGCTGACTATAAGCTGCCTGCAGTTGTTTTTCCGTCTCTGAGGTGGCTCAACTATCAGTGTGTGCTGTCCTGCTATAATGTGGCATTTGTAAACTACGAATCCAACCTGCCAGCCGCCTACTGTGCCGCTTTCTGGGTCACCCCTCCTCGCCCTGTGGGAATGTTTGAGCAGAAGCAGGTCTGGCCCAAATACTGAGGAGGGCTCAGTGTGCCATTGACTCAAACAGGGAAACCACCCAAGCTGGGAAGTCAAAGCTGCTGGGTGCAAAGTCTGCTTGAATGAAAGTATGAAAACGTGATATCTGGATAAGGAAGCCACACAGATTGTAGTGTTAGTGGACCGTAGCTGTGTCAGGCAGAAAGTTAAACATTATCACGAGTATGGGTTTTTCCTGTTAAGAGGAAATGGTCTCAAGGTGATGTTTAATAGTACAATTACGTGTCATAGGTCGCTTTCATGTTGTTTCTTTTCCTGGTTGATTCAAGAAATGACGACTCAAACTCCAGGAACTGTAACTGTCAAAAAAGTTCTACTCAGTTTTTATGGTATGATCCAGTGGGTATTTGACTAAACCGTGGTGTTTTCTCTCTCTTTCTTTCTTTTGTAGAATATACTACTGGTATGACGAGAGGGGGAAGAAGACGAAGTGCACTGCTCCACAATACGTCGACTTTGTAATGAGTCTTTGTCAGAAACTGGTCACAGACGAGGAAATCTTTCCAACAAAATACGGTGAGTCTATTCTGTGATTGCAGGCTTGCGGGGTCTCTGAAAGATGCAGATGTTGTACTGCTGCCCCCTACTGCTCTGCATGTGCAGGTGCAGAAGTGTTTAACCAACAGTTAGCATGCAAACAAAACCATAAGGACATTACTCAGATTTTTTTGTCTTTCATGGAAAAAAGGGACAGCAGAAAATATCCACCACAAAACCCAGCATCATATTTTTTCAACATGCCTGATGTTGATCTCTTTGCCTGATCAAGTCTCTCCTGTCTGCTTCTCTCCAGGCAAAGAGTTCCCTAACTCATTTGAGTCCTTGGTAAAGAAGATTTGCCGGTACCTGTTCCATGTGCTGGCTCACCTCTACTGGGCGCACTTTAAAGAGACGGTGGCTCTGGACCTGCAGGGCCACTTGAACACTCTGTATGCACATTTCATCGTTTTCGTAAGGGAATTCAACCTTGTCGACCCCAAGGAGACCTGTATCATGGACGACCTGTCCGAAATCCTCTGCACCCCTGCCCCGCCACCTGCTCCCACCCCGGCCTCCTCCGCCCCCACCTCAGCTCCCTCCCCCTCTGCACAAAACCATGTGACAGAGAGATGAGCAGGGGGGCGGCGGCGAGATGGCAGCCCCGGGGGTGATAGAAGATAAGATAGAGGAGAGAAGGAAAGACAGCCTGGCCCCCATCCTCGGTGCCAGCAGGACTTAGAGACCTTCCACTACCCTTATATTTCGCTACGACACCAACCAACCAGCCGGAAGGAAAGGGGGGGAGGGTTCTGGGGGGTTTGGGGTGGCGGGGAGGGGTTTGTCACGCCAGCAGGAATTGGCGTGAGCGTTCCTCCCAGGGGCAAATCCCTCCCATCTTCTCTGCAATTTAAACTAGGAACAAAAAAGTATGTGTATGTTTTATTTTTTGGTTTTATTTCACTTTTATTTTTTTTTTGTTTTGTTGGAGTTTTATTCAGTTTTATTTTTTGTTGTTGGGGCGGAGGGCTCCTCACCTCCCCTCATCCTCTGCCTAACATAAAGTGCAGGAAGGGGGCTCTGCTTTGCTTCAACCTACTATTGTACAGTGTTGTTGATGTGTGGAGAAGAGGCGTCTCTGCCCGCCTGTCAGCTCGTCCTGCAGGCGCACAGCCACCGCGCTGGCCAGCAGGGAGCCACGTTACTGCCTGATAGGGCGATACTAGCCAATCACTGTTTGGGTTGTTTGTGTGCAGGATGATTAAAGCGCTTCCTACTCAGGACCTGAGAGAATACGTCACTGCTGCCAGAGAGAGGGTTCCTCTCTTCTTTTGATTCTCTGTCCCTGGTTCTCCAGACTGCTCAGTCCCGCCCATGACAGACTGACAGATCGTGTTTAATTTCAGTGAAGTCACATAATCACCACATGTTCTCCCAACAAACATGCCCCAAAGCTGATCTGGGCAGCAAACATGGAAACAGGAATACAGAGAGGAAATATAAAGATTGTATGAGATATTTAATGTGATCAGAGAGTCGAAACTTTGAGACAGACTGGTGCCCGCCGTGTGAGGCTGAATCAGAGCACAGCAGCGGCCCCTTAAACCGCCAACACCACCAGCTACACCCACTCCAGCAGCATTGAAGGACAAAGACATGAGGTAATGTCTGCAGGCCCAGAGAGAGAAAGAGAGAGCGAGAGAGAGAGAGACGGAGAGGGGGGTGAGAGGAGATGGTGTGGAGCTGCTCTGCTGTTTAACAGTCACCAGTACTCCCAGTGCGAAAATCTCCACTTTGATCTGTTTTGGTTTTGACCTGTCCCTTAAGATTTGCTTTTAAAAAGATTATCAGAGGAAAATTAGTTGAGAAATAACAACAATAATGGTATTATCACACATGTATAGAAAATGCACAGTCTGCTTGGACTTTACTGTACAAAGAATCACAAGCGGGTTCTGTCAGACATAGCCTCTGTATGGAGGAGGATTGGGTTTATAATGCTCCTTTTTTATTTATTTTAATTCTTTTTTTTTTTTTTTTTTTTTTTTGCAGGGTTGTTCAGTTCTGGCTCTCGTTTTTATGTATTTTAATTATTAACTAAGTTAAAAGCAATTTAATATTTTAAGCTCTGCAGATTATAATCTAATAAAAGAGAGAAATGCCGCCCTGTCTCAGTGTGTTTTTGTGAATGTCTTTGTGTGAATTATTCAAGAGCACAGAAACACGAGTACACGATTGTGTGCAGCCTCATAGCAATAATGTTTTATTAAACAGCATTAAATCATCATTAAAGGTCAACAGTAGTCTCAATTGGAATAGTTGTGTTGATCCTTTGCGGTACCTCTAAAATCTAAGAAAAAGAAAATAAACAGCAGGATTGTGATATGATTAAGTTGGTTGTCTAAAAGAAGAAAAACTTGACAAAAGTAAGAGTTTTAAAAAACAAAGAAGTGCACTATAGAAATATGTGTTTGGAAACAAGATTATTTGAGCAACTAAAAACCTTCATTTTGGATGCTACATTAAAATATTTTTAATGTTTCAGGTTAGACTGTTTGATGGATAATGGTTTGTAATCCACTGTCTCAATGTTAGAAGTTTAATATCATCACCTTCTTAAATTCATGGCCTAAGTCACTTTTTTGACAAAAATGACTTTTTTCCTTTTAAGTCAGTCCTTCATGATGCCGCCCATCGCCGATAGAATTGCCTAAATCCTCAGTTGAGCAGATCATGTGATACTATCCTTGTCGTATTATTGCCAATGTAAAGAGTGTGAGTTAGGCCATTTTCTTTCTTTCTTGATCATTGACTAAGGCCATTATTTTAAGAGGGTGACGATATGCCAAGTAGATTTTCAATGAAATAAAAGACGTTTTCTTCACAGGAAAGTCATGAGAGGTCTTATCAGTAATAGAAATGATCTCTTTATACATTTCTATCACCAAATTTAACAAATCCGGTGTTAGAATATTGTGGTATTGGAACCTGCCTCTTGTACTATGGAGCCTGGTTGTTGTAACACATGCCAAATGTAGTTTGGTATATTTTTGTTGTATTATGTAAGGTCTATGCTGAGAAATGTACTGTCAGGATGGCAGCATATTTTTCTCCAAAACCTGAATTTATTGTTCAGCACGAATGGTGCCCCCTTAAGTGTCTAAGGTACCCATGCCATTAGCACTTAAAAATCCACCCATGACAAATGCAACCCTGTTGCCCCTCCTGTCTTTAGTACAGAGTATTCCACAACCTTGATTTCCAAAAAATAATGTTATATTTTAAATTCGCAAGACTATTGGAAAGTATTTCACTCCACCTTAGTCCATCTCCATATGGAAGGAGCTTAGACCAGCATTTTTGGATCATGTTGATGCATGGTGTTCTCTTTGCATGATAGTTTTAACCTTGTTTTTTAGTTGCAGTGATAAACTGTGTTCAATAGTTTTTGAACACATGCAGTGATGACTTCCACTGCAGTCACGTCTATTTTTAATCTGCCTGGGTCCCAAAGATCACAATCACTCACTCTCCGTTATCTCAGTCCATTTTGTAAGACATTTTTCCAAGGTTTTTACGTTTTAACCTCCATAGTGCTAAAAATTCTTTGTACACTGTAAAACTAAAGTGTCTCTTTCGGTATATAAATACACAATCTTCAGGAATCATTCAACTTTATTACTTTTAGATACATGCAGCAGACAGTTAAAAAAGATCAACTTGATTCCTCAGGTTTCCTACCAGTGTCAAAACTCTCAGTGCATTCAGGCCCTGAGTAAGAAGCTTGTGCAACATTTATGTATACTCATTATAAATAAATATAACTCTGTCATTCAAAGCTCAACGTTAAAGTATTGCAATCCTCTAAAACAGGGGTGGGAAATCACGTGCCATGGAGGGCTGTGAGGCTGCAGGTTTTCTTTCCAACCCAAAACTCCACCAGGTGATTTCACTGATTACCTTACCTCCAAGCAGAGAGCAGGGACTAATCAGTGAAATCACCTGGTGGAGTTTTGGGTTGGAAAGAAAACCTGCAGCATCTCGGCCCTCCATGGCACGTGATTGCCCACCCCTGCTCTAAAAGGTTGGAAGGCATCAGCGACTGTCCATCCTGCTCTTGCGGACAGCCGTCCCCCCACGCCGTCTTCTCACAGACGCCCGCTGGGTGACGCCCTCGTTCATCTTAAAGAGCGCGAGGCCTCCTACTTCGTCCAGCTTCTTGGCGCTGCAGAATGGGGTCGGCACCTTCACCGTATTGCCGAATTTGGAGTAGTCCACCGCGTACATGCCGTCCTCTTCGGACACAGTGGGCACGAAGCGTTGCCCCCACAAGATCTCCTCCCCAACGTAAGAGGTGCGAGCCTGTGTGGTGATGCCTGTGGTCTCCACCACCCCCTCCAGCACCACGATCACCTCGATGTCCTCGTGCAGCAGGTCAGAGGCGGAGACCTCATACAGAGGACTGCTCTTGTCGATCACGTGACATATGATAAGTGGGGACACCAGGAATACCCCGTTAGTTCCAATAGGGTTATCCATGTGGATGTCGATCTGATTCAGAGGAACCACCTCGCCCTCCTCCGTGGTGGTTCTCCTGACCACCTGCATCCTCACGGTGGCGCTGATGATCATGCTCTTCCTCAGGTCCCCAATGCGGACCATGAAGCACAGTTTGTTGTTTCTGATGCACACCACCGCGTGTTTGCTGAAAATGAGCGTCTCCGCGCGCCTGTTCGCCTGCGCCGTTTTCATAAAGATGCAGCCGAGCATGATGGCGTTGATGACGAGTCCGACTATGTTCTGCACGATCAGGATGATGATTGCGGAGACGCACTCCTCCGTGATCATGCGACCCCCGAAGCCGATGGTCACTTGGACCTCTATGGAGAAGAGGAAGGCGGAGGAGAAAGAGCGAATGTCCGTTACGCACGGGACAAAGTCGTCTCCTCTCAGGTCCAGGTCGCCATGCGCAAAAGCGACCAGCCACCAAATCATCCCGAAGAGAAGCCAGCTGCACAGAAAGGACATGGTGAAGATGATGAGCGTGTGAAGCCATTTTAAATCCACCAGAGTAGTGAAGACGTCCTGTAAAAAGCGACCCTGCTCTCGGATGTTGGTGTGCGCTACGTTGCAGGTGCCGTTCTTTGCGACGAAGCGAGCTTTGCCCGCTTTCGCCTTAAACTTCGGCTGTAGGACATCCTCAGCCAAGCGTGTCAGCAGGTAATCCTCAGGAATGATTCCTTTCCTGGACAACATATCGCTCCCATACTACGCTCCCCCGGCCCTTTGCCTTTTGGTGGCACTGGTTTGCCTCTCGACTGTATGATGTAGGATGTTTTTCTGTTTACACCACTCGAACCCTGCGGCAGCTGCAGGGCGCAGGACAGAGAACCCTGCACTCACCAGGCTCGGGGAGCTATGCGTGTTCCTCACGTTGCCCCCGGATTAGGCGCGGAGTCCCATAAGGAGAGTCTTCTTGCAGCCCCGCAGCTGCCGCCGTCACTCACGACCCCAACAAGCCTGGCATAGCTGTGCCCCTCCGCTTTGTCTCACCCTGAGCTGTCCTACTGGTGTTCACTCCGCGGCCTCGCGCTCAAAGGAGACTCAGTCAGATGGCAGATGTTGATGCAAAAGCGTAATGGGCATGTGTAGGGAGTGTTATCACCTTAGGATGTGGCGCAGTAGGTTTCGTGCTGACACCGCCACTTGACTACAGCTTGGTAACATGAGATAGAGCTGCTGTGAGGTGCTGAAGCAGTTCCTCCCTCCTCCACCTCTGTGCTGCCCTTCCTTTGAGTCTCAATGAGAATGCAGAGGGCCCAGTATGCTGTTAAACGCGTACTACAAGTTATACTGTGAATATGTGGTGGGTTCATTATAGATTACTCCACAGTAAATCATCCACAGGCCATTTCTGTGAACTTAACATGAGTGGGAAAGTGTGCCTCTAAAGCCAGTCAATGTTTTCAATAACACTCAGTCCTACATTTTGAAACCTGATGGTCCTTGTATCGTTTGTCACACTGTAAAAGCATTATGGGTGAGGATGGGGCTCTCTTTGGATCTCTTTTGGCAGTCATATAACTTTCCAAAGTCAGAAGTCAGTCACGGCTGCAGCAGGCGCAGCTTCTCGTTCTGCGGCGCCCCTGTGTATAGATAGGATCACTATCACTATGCTGGGTTTCTGGCTCTCTGCCTTGTCCTGCATCACATGTTCTTCAGCTCCACTAGCTCATTTTAGACCTGCACATGACCTCTATCAATCCTAGTCCACCCCCCCCCCCCCAAACAATCAAACAAACAGCACAAATGTAAATGATAATTTATGTTTTATTAACAAAGAATCCACATCTTATGTACAAATATAATACATGATTAAAAAATAAAAAGAATATATTCCATGGGACAATTGCACTTTGAATGTCTTCTTCTTATGCTTCCCGTCTCTGTTCTTGTGCTACTTGTCTGCTCGCACAAAGGAGGCGAAGACGCTGTCCTCCTTGTCCAGCAGGGCCTGGGGTCTGTCGTACTCCAGGATGATCCCTCGCTTCATCACAATCACCAAGTCGGCATTCAGGATAGTGTGAACACGATGCTGCAGGGCAGAGAAGACATAACAAAAAGCTGTTAGACTCCAATCCTGACTGACACCCTACATTAATCACGCATGCATGCATGAGTTGCTTTGTTACACAAAGATAGTACAATTAATCTGCACGATTATTTCCAAATAGAAAGTAGGACGTAAAATACAAAGTGAAATATTCCTCCACAGTGAAATCCTGTCTTCCTACTTTCCGTCTCACCTTTCAATAGCCTACCAAGTCCTCTAGATATGTTTTTGTCCATGCTGCTTCTACTTACATCACTTTACAAGAACATCATCAGTAGAGTGAGATGAAGGTCAGCACTCTCGGGGAAATGAGAGAGCCGCATGCAGCACTGTAAAAGACAGGATACTCACTGCTATAGTTACGACTGTGCGGTCAGCAAAAGCGGTCATCACCACTTTCTGTAGGATGCTCTCCTGTGAGGACAAAGACAGTGAAAGAGACAGAGAGAGAGCAAAAAGGCATGAGGGAAAAAAAGGTCTAATGCAGAGCCCTTTAATTCTGGAACAAAAACATTCATGTTCAACCTTCTCAGCCCTTTCTCTCCAAACTGTCTCCTCTCTTGTTCCTTCTCTCGTGACCCTGATTTGACACCGCGCTGTGTTTCCTGAGGGAAGTGCAGCTGCATTACTGTGAGCTAGAAATGTCGCCCTTTGTGACCAATCTTTGAGGAGAGGGTCTTCAGTAAGAAGGAGCCATTTACCAACACACTCTCCCCTCAGGCTTTTTCTGCACTGAGGATGTTCACTGAGTCTTTCTGCTTCTTGCAGAAGAAATAGTCATCTGTTAATTTTACTGTAAAACTAAAATTAAAACAATAACTACATCTCTGTTGTTCATGTTTAGTGCTGTTAAGATATTGTTACATAATCAGCTGACTCTGGCTTAAGTAGTGTACTTGTCTTTTATGTCTCCATCTGTCTGGTTGTCCTCTTTATCCCTTGCATCCAAGGCTACTGATGAAAATTACCCAGTGAACTTTGCTCCACCCCCCACTCTGAGTGGACCTCATCTCGGAGGTCTATTACACTTTGCTCTCTCTGATTTACTTCAACTCTCTCCATGTTCACTCATCCTTGTCCTGCTTGTTTCCTCTGAATTGATTGTGTTCCTCTTCACCGCTTCACACTGACCGTTGCCATGTCGATGGATGCCGTGGCTTCATCCATGATGAGGATGCTGCTCTTCCTGACGAAGGCTCTGGCTAGACAGAAGAGCTGCCTCTGACCCTGACTGAAGTTTTCTCCCCCCTCTGTCACCATGGCATCTAAAGGAGGGAAAACGATCATTGTACAAACATATATATATATCGTTTACAGATGTTATTTTATGTAAGTTTTTCAAATAACAGGCTTCTCTCTATGTATGGAGTGACAGAACATTTTATTCTAGCTGAGCAAGAGAGAAAAATCAATTGATAAGTGACTGGGTTTTTTAAGAAATAATTTATGTTGATCTATCCATCTACATCTCTCAATTCATGAAGTGGAGTACCAAGATTTTACAGCTTATCTTTAAAACAAAAGAAAAAAACTTACTAACTCAGCATTAAAAAACTCCTGACTCACTGCAGTGCAGTGCTCAGCTATCAACGCAACATAAACTCTACTCCGACCATTTGCTTTTGGTTTAATGAAGTTAAAAGGCTAAATGAAGTGGCTGTTAACTCCCGAGTCACAGCTCAATAACTGACTGAACATTTGGCTCCAGGAAATATACACACAAGCAGCCAGTAGCTGAGCTTTAACATTGTAACCACCAAAACACACTTACAAACACACACACACATTCATCAGCATCACGAGACAGGTTTGTGGTAGCTGCTGCCAGAATAGCTGGAGGGTTTCTGTGTTTTATTGTACGAGCAGAGGACGACAGCGACAGATATAACTGAGTGATAAATGTCACACCAGCGGGACCTAAAGTGAGACCCCGCAGAGTGGAGGGGCCCCTGAACATCATCATAGCAAACATTCCTCATGTTTGAAGGTTCAAGAGTCACTGAGCACTCGGCTAATATTTGATCATGAGACAGCTACAGGAGACAGGTCCCTCACTGTGACTAGTGTTGAGACATGATGACAGCTTTAAGGTAAGACCATCACTGTCTGTTAACATATGAAGGAATTGTCATGATGTACACAAAGTACAATTGTCACACAGTTACATTATTTGTTTGTTTGAGCACTAAAATAACTATGAGCAGCTGCAAACCATAGACTGTATATACTATGGACAACTTGGTTCCGCCTCCCGCCTGTATACGGTTTTGAAGTCAAAAAGCTCTCAGTTTTTCCGGGATTTTTCTTCATTTCCTGAAACCAGAGCTGCGCAGAAACGTTGTGCGCATTCGGCCGTGCAGACGCAGAGAGACGCTGTGATGACGCTTGGCTCAAACAGCGTATCCCCCGGGAGAGCTACGCAATCCCTGAACGCCCATAGGCTGTACCAGGTGTCAATCATAGAAAACATGAACCCCCTAATAACTTTTAAAAACGGAGCTTTACAGAAAAAAGAGGACTTGAGCACAAACCAGTCTTACTGTAACTATATGTCAACATCACAACCAGGGGGGAGAAAAATGTATATTCTGTGTAATAAATTTCTAAAGTTTGTCCACAGCCCATAAGCTTTGCTGGTGGAGGTGGGATTTATGACCTATACTGCAGCCCATCAACAGAGGGTGCTGTTCTCAGAGTGGCTTTACCCAGCAAGGAGGCAGACTGTCCATTCAAAATACAGTCTACGCTGCAAACTTAAATATGCCAAAAACGAAGATATCCTAATCCCTACAGTACTTTCAGATCCATGTCTGTGGTGGACTTAGGCTGCACCTCCTATAGCAATCCTGCGAGCTTGGCTAAACAGATAAAAAAAGGAGGGGTTCATGATATGTTAGAGAAGTATACAGAAGAACTAACACACTCATTCACACACATATATTCTCACCGAGGCCTCCTGGAAGAGACTTGACGACAGGTTTCAGCTGAGCGATGTCCAGAGCTTCCCAAAGCATCTCATCTGTAGCCTTCATCTCTGGATCCAGGTTGAACCTGCACCACACGCCGAACAAAAGAGCATAATCCCTTCAAACACCTTTAATCTTTAACACCTCTGTTTGTTGCGCTGATGCTTCTGGCTGTGCAGTGATTAATTTGATCCATGAAGCAAAGCCTCTGAACCAGTTCAGACAGTTGGCTCAGGCTGCACCACTGCACTAACACACGACATCTTTTCAATTTGCTGGCCTATTTAATCCCTCAGAAGTGCGTAGCTCACTCTCTCTCTACTCGGCCAGTTCAGATGCTGCTTCACTTAGACACCTTCAAAACCTGCAGAGACTTTCCTGTTTTTGACCCACTTCATCACACAATGTGTTTTTTTTTTTGCCCAGAGAATCAGTCCAATCTTTAAAACCACACTGTGACATCTTCACACATCTTTTTTTAAATCTCTTCTCCTCTAGAACAGACGGTCTCTGTAGCTGAGATCTAAAAATAAACCTCTGCAGGGGAGGTTTACTCTTATCTAAGCTTTCTCGGCTCCACTCAGACTTCAGATAATGTGTCTTTGATGTGTTTGCCGACTGGTGCTGTTCCTGGAAATGTTCTCTGTCCGAACATCTGTGAGACGAGTCATCCTGGTGATAAAACTGATGGACTATTCAACTTCATCATACCTAATGGTGCCGCTGAACAGGAAGGGGTCTTGGAGGATGATGGAGAGTCGAGATCTGAGAGTCTGCAGGGGGAGTTTGGCGATGTCAATATCATCGATCACGATTCTCCCTGTGAAAAAAAAAGCAAACACATCACTCAGAGGCAAAAATATGAAGGGCAGCAATACTGAGAAGCTGTCAGCTGTGAAGGTATCTATTATATGTTTTTCCTGCTAATGTAGATGAATAGTTCTTTGAACTTTGTATGCATCAAACTATGATCTGTCAAATACAAATATTGATCCTTTTTTATACCCTCAAACATGTCCACCATGCGGAAAAAGGCCAGGGAGAAAGAGGATTTCCCACTGCCAGTCCTGCCACAGATCCCCACCTGAATACAAACAACATGGCAGTGTGACAAACATTACAGTGTGCTGCATTTCCTGGTATTTGAATTTTGGTTCTTTCATTGGTTTACCTTCTCTCCTGGGCTGACGTGTGCATTGACATTTTTGAGCACAGGCTTCAGAGTGGGATCATACCGAACACTCAGATTCTGGATCTGGATCTCTCCCTGTTGAGGCCAGCCGTCAGGGACCTGAGATGCAGCTGAGATAGACATCAACACATGAGATTACTTCAGACAGCAGACCCACAGCCTTTATTTTCACCTTAGAATAATAGTTTGAAGTAATGAAGTTTTTGTCTGCCAAATGTGTGCACTTTCTTTAAATGAGTAAAAAAAACATTTTAAAACCTTTTTGCAAAGTCTTCTTAAACTTAAAATCATCATGTCTGCTTGGGCAGAAAAAAAAACATTCCTTAAAAAAAAGCCCAGTTGTTAAAGTGTCTTCAGTCTTCAACATACAGGCTCTTGATTTGACCCCTGGCAGTGTGATACATGAGCTGATAGTGATGATTGTGGTGGAATAAATGTCATTTAACTCCATCCTGATTGAGGGAAACCTCAGCCAGAGAGAGCTGATGTGATGTACTCACTGCAGCTGCTGAATGAGTGAAGAAGCTTTAAATAAAGTCACACGTGTGTTTGTGTTTCTGCACTTACTGAGCAGCCCCTCGTAGTTCTCCGGTTCAGTTTTGGAGGAGACCGTTAATCCTCTTGACTGAGCCAAGCTGCACTTCCATGTCTGCCAGGTTACGCACCATCCAGTTCATGTAGTTTGATACCTAAAAGATGGTGGAGGAACAGGAAAGGGTTAACTGACACGGCTCTTGCACCGCAGATGGAATCTTTCAATTAAAAGAGCCGGTCACAGACAATGAAATGCAGCTTTTTTGACAAAGTTTTTTTTGTTAAAAGCAAGCTCCAGAGGGATTTCTTTCACTTTTCAGATTTAGTTAAGGCAAAATTGTCAAGAGCACCAAATGTGGATTCCTAAAAGCAGCATACAGAGGGGTTAAAACTTGTTTTGTTTTGGATAAGAGTTTCAAAATTAGGTGTTTAAAGTAAATAAAAAGATAAAGCTAAATAAATAACTTTTAGGCACTTTTTTAACAGCATGCAATTAAAAAAAGTCAAAATTAACACATATTTTGTCCTCATTAATTTGATATAGCCAAGAGCAAAACACACACAAACACACCCTATACTGAGTCTCACCATGAGTGCATAGGTAAGTCCAAGCCCCACCAGACCTGTGGATAGTTGGTTGTACAGACAGTTTGTGATGGAGGCTACAGCTGCTACCAGCACCACACAGGCTCCAATGTACTCCTGCGGGGGGACCATATCAGTCAAACACAATGAAGACAGTTTATGAGATAAACAAAACAAAAATAGATCAATCATTCCCGATCAGTTTAATGTTCATGAAAGCACACTCTCTCTGCAAAAACACTTCATCTCCACTGAACATGGAAGCTAAATGAGCTGTGAGGAGCACACAGGGGCCTCACAAAAACAGCACATCAACACCAAACACAGTTTTTCAGGACCCCAACAGAGGGAGCAGTTACACAGTTACATGAACAAAAACACAGAGGCAGCAGCTGTCTGACAAACAGAGACAGGGCTGATGTGATGCTGTAAGAAGCGAACGATAGACAGATCTTTACCATGCGGACCTCCAACCAACGGTTTGCGGCTGTCAGGAACAGAGAGGCGATGTTGTTGGCATCAGTGAACTGCAGGAGTCTCTGTCTGAACCTTGGCTCATACCTGGCAACACATAAAAAAAAAAAAACACATCTTTATTTGTGCGTCTGTGTCCCAACAGTCTGCCTGCCAGCATGTTACTGCACCCTGAATGACTCATTTTACAGTCCAGCTCTGCATCCACAGAAAATTAGGGCACAAAATGTGTTGGCTCTTGTTCTGCAGAAGCCCAGGGGCGGGTTTGTGGGTTCTGAGAGAAAAATGAACAAAATGTCAACTGAAGAGAGGCAAAACTGGTGAATTAATTCATTATTTTTTGGGTTGGGGTGGGGAGGGTCGCTGATACATTTATTTAGAAGATAGGACAGAGGATAGAGAAGGAAGAGGGAGCAGGGGATGATACTATCAGCGTATCATTCGTTCATTCCATATCTGTTTTAGAATCCAAAATCGGAAACGGATAACGACTTATTTCATTTCTTGTTTTCAAATCAAAAAACGGAAAACAAATAACGGCCTATTTTTCGCTGTTTTGATTTTGTTTTGAAATTAAAAAAAGAATATGAGAGAATGGAATTATCATGTGATTTTTGTTCTATTCGTTTTTGGTTTGTATCATTTTCGATGTGTTGTGACCCGGAAGTTGTTGACTTTTTTTTTCCTACCTCGTATATTGAACTGACCAAAACCCCTCTCCAGTTCTGCATCAGTAACATGACGTTTCCGCCTGAGGTTGTGTTGGATGCAGAAACGTCTGACACTCATTGCAGTGCATCTCCGGACACCCATCTCCTGCAACGTCTCCGAAATGTCTGTGTGGGTCTTACCAGCTTTGAACAACTGCTTAATAACATCGGCGTATTGTTCTAGTCCGGCCATAGTGGTCTATTTATATCGCCTTCTCTATCTCTGTGAACAGGTTTCAAGATCTGTGTGGTTAAAGACTGGCCTCTCTGAGAAAAAAAAATTCTGATTTTGGATTCTAAAACGGATATGGAATGAACGAATGATACACTGATACTACTGGCACATCCAGGTGTAGGCCAAAAGTCTCATTTTGAACCCAGTTTACCTGCTTCATGGACTATATCTTCATAACACAGGGTGTTATTAACCACTGAGGTAAACCAGTGCACGAACCCTCTTTCTTTTCCTTTACTATCACTGAATAATTTAAAGTTAAGAGGGGGACATTATTTTTTTATGCTGTAACTGCCCAAAATAAGAAGACTTTTTTGTAGGAGAGTCAATTTCAGAGGTTAACCTGGAGATTTCATTGTGGTAAAAGTTGCTACTGGGCTCTAATTCACCTTTTTCACAGGGTAACCCTTTTCCTCCATGCTTGAAAACTCAAATGTTCATTATAATTTCACCACCTCTGGATCAATCCACCGCTAAAGACAGCAGAAATTTATGCGGGCTCAGAGATGAGCATGTGGAAGCATCCCCTTAAGACATTTAAACATTGAAACAAACACCATCCGATTTATAGACAAAAAGCATAGAGGGGGAGCATTAAAAGTTTAGATTTCTCTCACAAAAATACAAGAATGATCCTTCAAATTTTCACTCATTCAGTTTTAATGCTGAATAATGTGAACAAGAAGTACCTGAGGGCTCTTATCGTGGTGAGACCCTCCACCGTCTCGGAGAAGTGGGAGAGTAAAGGGAGCTGAGTGCTGTCCTCCAGCTGCTGCAGGTCCCTGACAAGAACACACAGGGCACAGGAGACAGTGAAGTATCAGCTAAAGAAGAGTTTAAACAAGGTCATAGGTTAACTGGTTCTAATAAGAATTAAAACACAATGAAATGAAGAGTGAACTTTTAGTTAAACTTGTTTTACATAAAAAAGAGGTGTAAGAATAAACTTCCATAACACTTATTTTTTATTCATATTTTCATACCAACTTCTTCCCAATACTAAGAATGAATAAAGGTAGAGGAATGCCCTATACCTCTTATTTTATTGAGAGGGGATTCTATTCTAGAGCAGTTATAGGCTTTTACAGCACGCTGTGTCTTATTTCAGTGCACTATCAGAGTGGAAACTCCACATTATGACTCACCTGGAGGCCACCCGGAAATATTTCTGGATGAAGTAGCAGGCAATGGCCAGTGGCAGAAGGGCGATGAGGAAGACAGGAGTCACGTAGGAGATGACGCCCAGAGCGGACACACACAGCAGCGTGGAGCGGCTGAGGCACTCCAGGGTGGTGGGGATGTGCTGGTCGATGGTGTTTGTGTCCGTGGAAAACCTGTTGAGGATGCTGCCCAGGGGAGTCGTCTCAAACAGCCTGGGAATAAAAAAAAACAGCTAATTTGTTTCCTTTATTTCTTGCATCGCCTGAAAAAATATACTATACTATAAATCTTAAACTACTACTGTCATCATTTTTAAATCCAGACGGTGCAGTATGAACTTTATGCAGCTGTGTGTATTTGTGTGAGTGTATTCACTGTATATGCAGAGGTGTTATGAGCATGTGAGCGTCCTTATGTAAGTGATGTCTCCTAGGTTATGTGTAATGGGTAGCAGATGGTGCTCTGAGTAATGAGGTGAAAAAAGGTGCTTTTAACTGTGTTTCCTCCTTTAAGTGATTTTTTAGCACACACAAACTCACAAACACACACATCTGTCTTCAACACATTATGAAGCAGAGCTACAGCAGCACACACATGTTCACTGTCATGTGCTGTACCTCATTGGGGCCAGGGTGATCTTGTTGAGCAGGTTCTGGTGGAGCTCCTTGGCCACTTTGAGTCCGGTCCACTCCACAGCGACAGAGGTGGCCAAACACAGAACGATGCCGAGGCAGCAGAGCACGCTGAACACTGACAGATACCATGAGTGACTGAAACCACAGTCCTGTACAGATAAAGAGGAGAACACGGGTAATAAAAGACTTACAGTCAGTGAGTGTACTTCAGAGAAAGAGAAGGCGGGGGGGGCCTCCTGTCACTCAGTTTACTTTCACTGTAATTATAAGCCTAATTAAACTCTGAGGCTGGTGAAAAATTGACTCTCTAATGTGATGAGCCTGTGAGGCTTAAGCAGCTCAGACATGTTGTTCTCCACGGATCAAAGTTTCCATATAACCTGTAACATACTAAGCAAACCATCAAATCATAAACCATAAATCCAACTAAATAAATCTCTAGAGGACAGACAAAGAAGGAATATCCAGCAAAGACAGTCACAAAGAAACCAGTTGGGAAGATGGGGCCTCTGTAGGAAATCTTTCAGCTATAAATGCCTTTGCAGTGAGGCTTTAGTTTTCAATCTGGTGTCCATGCAGTCAGAGAGCAGCCAGCCAGTTTCCTGAAGTGTCTGATATTGTGTCTGATATCTGAACACAACTTCTGAGTGTCCCAACATGGATTCATCTGCAGCCCTCTGTAGATATGAGGAACGAGTGAAAGCACACTGAAGCTTGGCCAAACAAGATGATAAACAATGTGTCTGCACTGAACTCTACTTTCAGTGTGCTTTAGTTTGAGTGAGTGAGAGAAAATATCATGGGGTGGGGGGTGGTGGGGCACTTTTAACCTGCTGTCCTCAGACTTCAGCTGTAGTCCTCTACATGACTGTGTGAAATGTGACCTGGCATTTCAGTTCAAAGGACGGGTACACTCTGGCTAAACAAAGACATACACACACGCGCGCGCGCACACACACACACACACACACACACACACACACACACACACACACACACACACACACACACACACACACACACACACACAACTATTAATACTTGAGCCTCTTTGTTCCTGGAAGATGATAACCTGCCAACAGCTGGTGTGGCCCCAAAGTGTGAATGGCATACTTTAACCTTCAGAGGTATTTATATTGTTTTTCTGACTATGGTGGTGCGTGTGAACTTTGCTCTTGTCAAATGTCTGAGTTTTGTATGCATATGTATGCGTATCTGTATTCCTGTATGTAAAGACCGTTCTGAGGACGAGGGCTCTGAAAAGGAAGCTTAAAACCAAGTGAAGTTTTTGTACTAGGATACAATTTATTCCTCAAACACATACCCTCTAATACACTGTTTGTCATGATATGTTTTGTTCATTTAGTTTTCTCCTGGTTTTGTTATTGTTTATTTTCTCAGTGTTTCTGTTCCCTATTGTTCCTGCTCCCATGAAGTCCAGTCTTGTGAGTTTTCAGGTTGTGTTTGACCCTGTTTCCCTCCTGTTCTCTGTGTTTTATTCTTTAGATCAGTTTTCAGTGTTAACTGTTTTATTTTGTAGTAGTTATTCCTTGTGTTTCTAGTCTGGTTTTACTTCCCTAGTTTTCCCTCCTTCGTTAATCACCCATGAGTTTCACCTTTGTCTCGTTAGCCTCACCTGTGTCTCGTTAGCCTCACCTGTTGCTCGTTTCCCAGTGTGTATATAGTCCCTGTCTTCCCCTCTGTCCTTGTTGGGTTCATTGTGTGTGTGTCTGTGTCCTTGTCTATGTCTATGTCTATGTCTATGTCTATGTCTATGTCTATGTCTATGTCTATGTCTATGTCTATGTCAGCACATGCTTGTGTCCCCGGTTGTCTCCTTGTGTTTTTTTCCCAGTGCCCATTTGATTCTTTGGATTTTGCTTCTTGGATTTGTTTGGTCATTTTGAGAGTAAGTTTTAGTTGGACTTTTACTTTTTTGTTTTTGCCTCAAAAAAACCTTCTAGTTCTGCATTTCTGGGTCCTTTTCCTTTGTTTAGTGTACCATACATCACACTGAAAATTTACACCGTTCTATCAAAGTGATACAGATTTTTAGTTGTTTGATTTCAGCAGTTGTTACGGCCAATCCTACAACTGCATTTATACATGTCTGCAGCTCTTTCTCTGAATCTGAGACAGCCACATGAGGCTGAAAATATTGTCTTCCTGCAGTAAACATGCCTTCACATACTTTCTCATTTAGCCACTCAGACTCCATTGATGCGCTCTTGTTCATGCAAAAGAGTCAGGGCTTCCTTTGCTGCAGGATATGTTAGTGAATGCTCCATATGGAGCTGTCAGCCTCTGTGATGGTGTTTTAGGTCAGAGCTGCTCAGCTGGGATTCACAGGGGGGACTCAGTGAGAAAAATATATGATTTCACACATCCTGATTTTTCTGCATAGATGAGCTTCTTTTAAATCCCAGCTCTGATTATATACTGTCATATTTGGTTAACATGGAAATCCTTTTCTGATAACTTCATCTACTGACATGTTTATCAAATGTCTGAAATTAGTCAAGTGGTTTTAAAAGTTGATGGAGCTCAAATTAATGAGTCTAAAACATTCAATGTTCAGTTTGATATTACAAAACATCCTCTGCAAACGCCCTATCAGTTACAGATCTTGACATCTTGGCTTCTGAGGTCTTGTTTTCATACTTTGAGGCCCCAGGATTTCGAACTATCCGAGGAGCTGTAGAAAAAAGGCCACGACAAGATAAGACTCTAAATTAGAGATAATAACCTTTTTCTCTCTTAACTACTCCACAAACATCCCAGAAGCACCACAGATTTATTCCACCCCACCTTCATGTTTGTTGTCCAAAGTGTGGTAATCTCTGATATCAGGTCCAGTCAAAGACAGGCACTCACTTTTTAATTAGACCTACCTGGGGAACATTTTTCACTTCTACTTTAAAAAAAAGCTCAGATTTGATATCCAGTTGAGTGTGGAGGAAATGTTTATGTTTATGTCTGTTTGTTGACTGAAAAATAAGAATTATATAAAGGAGAAAAAAAAACACTAAAATGATAAATCCGTAGAACCTAAAAGTCTGATACCATCTTGTGAAAAAGGCTCAATGACAGAAAGAACAGCTTGACACTACAAAACAGACTTTTTATTATTGTTATTTGGGCGATTTTTGGCTTTTATTGATAGGACAGGGCGGAATGTGGGGAGAGTGAGCGAGAGAGAGAGGGGGGACAACATGCAGCACATGGTCAAGGCCAGACTCAAACCCGAGGGGACCATGGTTCCCATACACGGGGCACGCTAACCTGCTCGGCCATCTGTGCACCCCACAACAGACTTTTTAAACTAAACAACAACAAGTTACGTCGGATAAAATTAAAGGTCTACTACAGTGTCTTACCTGGACGACAGTGCAGTTTCGAGCTGTGGCTTCAATCTTTGCTGTGATGACCTGTGACGTCCAGTGTGCCAGCCAGTAATCGATGGTGACCATGAGGGAGTGCTTGAGGAGCTGTGATAGGAGAAGCAGGGTGAGCAGGAGGAGCCCGGCGGAGGACAGGTAGGTGCCACAGGAGCGCCAGGGGATGGTGGCACGGTGACGCATCACCTGTGACATATTGTCGTCATCGTCACTCTCCACAGACTCCTCTGTATCAGACAGGAACAGTGAATGTTTTAGAGTCTTGGTTTCTAGGCAGGCCTGTTAAAAGAACTATTTTACCAAAGAGGAAAATAAGACTGAATTCATTTACATAAAAGATGTTTCTAAATTTAATGGTTCTTTTCTTTGATTTCCTGTGACTCACTGCTTATGCCCTGAAACATTTCTGATTTTCCTCCTCTTCAACCCTGCTTCCTAGATATTCAATTACCTCGGTTTCCTTGCTCTGTCCTACTTACACTGACACATTTTTCAGATTCAGGGTCTGTCTGAAGGAAAACTGCCGGCACAGATCATGATGGATGACAAAACGAGAGAAGGTGAGCTAAAAGCTACAGTCTCTCTAATCATGTGCTTTAACACTAAGCAGATGCTCATTCCCATGATTGGTGTGTATTCAGGAACAACAGAGCAGCCATGATATCCGGTCTGGGTTTGTGGAGCTAATGCTAAGGACCTCCTGCCTCCTCACCACCCCTGATCATGTAACTATATCTCATCACATCATGCAGAAAGAAGCTTTGCAGCATGCTGCTGCATGTAGGAGTTTGTGAGAATTGGACAAGCTAAAGGCGGAGAGGAAGCAGGAGAGAGAGGAGGAAAATAAAGGGAGAGAATGACTAAACAGACTACTACTGCTAACACCAACCTGTATATAAACATGCTGGTTTTAAACAGGTTTAGAGGAGCAGGAGTGATCGATGCTTAGGAAAGAAGAGAGAGAGAGAAAGAAAATGGAAGATGAATCGCCAAGATGGAGGGAGAAGCTGACACAGCAGCTGATTTTCTTGCAGCGTCATGATGCCACAGACTTGTTTTTGCTGTTTTTTTTTCAATCCATGCTTTCTGGTCACACCTGGTTGATCGAACATGAGAGCAGCAGCAGGTGCTGAAACCATCCCACAAGTCCACGCAGGGGTGCCACCAGCACGTGGGAGACAATACAGAACACAGATAAAGAGTACAGCCACAGCACCTGAGAGCAGCTTTTCAGTACAGCCGCACACTCATCGGCATAGACACACAGATAATCAATCGTTTCTGTGTTAAGTTACAGCGAGGTGCTGTTTTAAGAAAGTGGTGCTGCTCACTAAAGGGTCCGAGAAGAACCAGAGAAGAAGGTCGGAAATTTTTTAACATCCTGGTAATGTTTGACAGGGTAAAAAAAGAACAAGATAGAAGAATGAAATACAAGAAACTTGTAGTCATTCATGTCTTTGCAAACATCACAACAGGTGTTAAAATGAAAAGAAGCTTTAATGCGACTGGTTCTGCTCATCAACTCATGAGAGAGAAAAAGGGAACGATACAGAGACTTTACAGCCATAAATACACACAATAATCCAGCCTACATCAGAAAATCTCTCACTGCTTCATCCGCATATTAAACTAAACTGTGCCTGTCTTGGCTGTGCCCTGTGACCTCTCACCTTCCTCGTCCTCTTCAGTCCTGGCTGCCTCTTTGGAGTACATTGCCCTCCGCAGATTCTTGCGCTCCAGGTCGGTCATACTTGCTGCCACCGTCTCCTGTAGGAGACAGAAAGATAAACATCTCCATCTCCTGAGAGGCAAACATTGAAGTAATCATATTCCAATGTTAAATAGTACAGGATTGATGGAACCACCTTCTTTTAATTAAATCAAAGTAGTTTACTTAGAGGACAAATTAGGAGTCTTTAAGTATCTCTTTGCAGCACAAAATCATTAATCACCTTCTCAAACTCCTTGTCCTGTCTGTGCATTAATGTTTTCCACTGCTCAAAGAGTTCAGGCTCCGAGTTTTGGATGTCCTTCAGGGTCCCCTCAGTCTGGATGGTGCCGTCTTTCATGGCAATGATCTATTAAAACAGACACACACACACACACACACACACACACACACACACACACACACACACACACACACACACACAAAGAAGAGAGAAAGTAAACAATATGCAATAGAAACACTGATAATCAATCAGTATGTGTTTATAAGTTTTACTCAGATAAACTGTCTGCCTCCCAGTGAAACCATTAAAAGTTTCATGAATAATTGAAAAGAAGCATAAATGGACCATTGCATCAATTACTGTGGCCATTAAGAGTTAAAAGGCTCTGTAACTCTACCTTTTACAAAGCTGGTTTAGATAATTGAAGTAAATATATTCATTACACACACACGCACACATGCACACACAAACACACCCTGGTCTTCTTACCCAGTCTGCGTGTGGGAGATACTGTAGTTTGTGTGTGACCAACACCACCGTCCTCTTCTCCTCTCTCAGCAGCTTGAGGATGCCGTCCTGCATCAGATGGTCGCTCAGGTGGATGTCTAATGCAGAGAATGGATCATCCTAGAAATACATGAAGAAAACAAAGTATGACGTTATTTAGAGCAGAAAGGGGCAGAAAAATGACAACATGACTCTAAATTGGTTTTATACACCATACTTTCTCGGTCAACAATCAGGGTTGAAGTTTTAAAAATAATCTTTAGAGGCATTATTTATTGATTGTTTGGCTCTCAAAAACTTTCCTTTAATTGTCTAGTTGATGTGCAGTTAGATTGAATCAACAAGGCAAAACACCCGCAGCATTAATCTACCTCTTTATACAAAACTCTGTTTGGTTTAAGCTAAGCCTCCAAAGCACAGAAAAGCCACACACTAAAAGTTGAAAGAACAGATAAAAATTTTAATCAAACGTGGATTCCTGAGCTCTCCTTTATTTCCAGAGAGAGGGAAGAAAACTTTCAGTGCTACAGTTTTAATTAGCAGATGCTTTTGTATAACGTTTATTTCTGAAACTAAGTACAACAAAATTAAAGACCTAAACAAGGGCCACAACATCAAGAAGTGCCCAAACCAGATTTAATCCTAAAAAGTCAAGATGATAGGTACTGCAAATTTGTAATACACGCAGAGTGTGATTTTTGTTTTGTGTGAATTTAAATATTTTTATTTGATTCTGATCATCAATCTGTGTCCTCACGGTTATCAGCATGCCTATGATCATTCTCATCAATATCATCTCTATGATCAAAATCATCACCATATCATGATCATTGTCATCATAATTACCATCATCAGCATCACTGTCATCTTCATCATCCTGACAAACATCATCACTATCACTGTCATCATCAGCTTTACCATCATCATCATCAGCTTTATCATAATAATCCTCCTTCTCAACATAATGTTTGTGATCAATCTCACCACCTTTATCATCATCATCACCATCAAAATCAGCATTATTGACGCAGTCACCACGAGAAACCTTATCAATGTCATGAATATCCTTAATATCACCATTTTCAATAGAGTTGACAAAAATATCATCATCATCAGTAGCATCAATAATGAAGGTGTTGTGGTGGTGGTATTGGTTTTTGTGGGGCTTCTTTCAATGGCAGAGCATGATTTTCCAGGAGGAGAGTAATGAGTGATGAGGGAGTTTGGTTAATTATACGTTTTTTTGTTGCTGTTTAGTAAGCTAGCAGCAGGAGTTTGAAATGGATGCAAGCTGCTCTTCACGATGTTTTACAGAAACCAAGAAATCAATAGCAAATCAACTTTCTAGCCAGCCACTAAACAACCAATCAACTCAGGTCAACTCAGGCTCAAGGCAGACTCCGATTTTGTTAACCTGAGTAACAGTTTTTCTGAGTCTTACCCTAATCCCTTGATGCAAATTGATCTTTGATGCAATACTGATGAATTACTTTGAAGAAAATAAATATGATATCTGTAAATATGATAATTTTCAGATTTTTTTTCAAGCGAATTGATAAAGCATTTCTTAGAATAATTATTTACAGATGGATAAGATGAAAAAATAATAAGTAGTTGCAGTCCTCACTGCAAACATGCATGTCACAAAAGTCATTAAATCAGACAAGAGGCAGTTCCCTCCATCAGGATTTGGTGTGTTGACACTCTTTTAAACTCATTTCTGGGTTCTGAAAGTGATTGGCTATTTCTGCCTCTTTAAAAGCATTAGAAATAGAATCACATCTTCAGTTCAAGATCAGAAAAACATAAACTCGATAACTGTCAGACTGTCTGCTGAAGAGGTTAATCAAATGCATAAATCAAAGCTTAAAAACATGCTTTTGATCCATTTACATCTTTTTGAGTGTGTGTGCGTGTGTGCGTGTGTGTGTGCGTGCGTGTGTGTGTGTGTGTGCTTACCAGAAACACCAGGTTGGTCTGCTGGTACAGAGCTCTGGCTACACTGATCCGCTGTTTCTGTCCACCTGACAGGATGATTCCCTGCAGCAGAGGGCAGAAAAAACACATGAGAAAATCTTCCACTGCGTTGTTTCGCTACAAAGAGAAATGAACAACAATATCCCATCAGTAAATGCGCGTGTGTGGCGCTGTGCCCAAAGGAGATCACGGTTTATCTCCTTCATTACTGCTGCATGAGGAAATCCAACATGACGGTGCTCCGGCTGAACAAGGTCAAACATCACATCCTCACAGGGCAGTAATGATGACAAATGACTCTACAGCACACTGGGCAACAATAGGAGCTTCCTTATCAGATCTAGAAAATAAAAGGACCACCAAGGAATACAAAGAAATTGGACTTTAATACTGACCCGCTCCCCAACCTCTGTCTGGTCCCCCTGTGGGAGGATGTCGATGTCTGGCTGCAGAGAGCAGGCGTCTATGACAGCTTTGTACCTACAGGCACAAACAGACAGAGAATACAGATGAGGACAGAGAGCAGATGCTGATACTAAACAGATGGAGGATATGTGCCCTTTAAGATATTATTGGCTTCTCATGTGGATTATAAACTAGAGTTCTTTCATGTACAATATACTGAAATGCATTTGTAAGATAGCCCATATCAGTGTCTGAAAGACCTGTGGATGCTAAGAAAGGAAACCAAGAGTTGAAGAGTTTCTGCAGCCTGTTAGGTTAACCCTCAGAGATTCTAGCACATCACAGGCTGACAGGCCTTTGGTTGCAGGAGCTTTATGAAGGGTCACAGCCAATAAAGGTTGGAATGAGATTGTTGTTTTTTTTATTTTTCATTTCAAGAACATAAAACGGTCCAGACCCTGTGAGAATAGAAATGAACACCACACGATCCCACCATCAGGACATCTTAGGTGTGAATCCAAAAAATCCAGCTGGTGGATCTCATGTATAATAGAATGTATCCACATCACATTGTCACATCAGTGGTTAGAGCTGGATGTTAAGACATTATCTAGTTTATCTGCTGAAAATATTTTGCTGAAGAATAGCATGACTGACCTCCCTCGACAGAAACGATTCATACTGACTTTCTGCTTGTGTTGTTTACATCATGCATATTCATGCAAACCACTGACACCGTCTCAAAAAAATATCTTATGCTGCACTTTAAGGTCACTTTACCTGTACGCATGAAACAAAAACACAGACAGCAGAACAATGAGAGAGAAAGCAAATAAAGAGTTGATACTTGAGAGAAAGATCGAGGAAACAGACGGAAGAGGCTGACAGCTTTATCCACCATCCCCACAACAACAAACCACAACAGTTAATTTGACGGGCTGTGTGAAAATAATCTTCAAGAGCGAGACCATACACAACGATGAATGCATGATGGGAATTAGTTATGAGGATGAAATTGATAAGTTTTTACAACTATCTTTGAGATTATCTTAATAAAAGACAGCATGTACACCTTGTAAAACAGCATCTACTGTGTGAAGTGGACAGAGCGAGACTGTGGCCAGCATGCCTCTCTTCCTAATCAGGGAGAAATCCTGGTTTGAGGTATCAATGTGTGAAAAATACTTTATTTGGAAAGTCACAGACTGGCTTTCTGTACTGATTTAATCAACACATCAGCACTTCTAATTAACCCCAGTGGCTTTAGGGAGCAAGAGGGTTATTAGCTTTATTTTTGGCTCAACACTTTGGCCTGTAAACATATTGATCCCTCTGTTTTAATTAACAGCCAAAAGGTCTCGCACAGAGTGTTTTATTGTGGTTTTGGGGTTTCACTGAGGCAGCAGTCAGGAATTAAAACAAAGTTCAGCAATCATTCAGAGGAGAAAGTCCACACTTCATGATTACGAATGCAGATGTTGAGTGTTAAAAATTAGGATTAAAGGGATATTCCGGTGTAAAATTAGCTAGGGTCAAACACATCGTAACACCGTAACACCCCTTAAGAGATGAATGTTGCTGATTGCTTGCTTCTCCAGTTACATCAACTTTAGTGACGGCCGCACGAAAGCAATACACAGTGGTCTGAGGAGCCATAAACAAACCTCAACCAAAACGCCACTCTTTAGCCACAAATAATGCTCAGAACAGCACCTACCTTCATCAACAGTACATATAGGGTCCCTGCCATAGTACTAGCAACGAAAATTTTTTTTAGCTTTGCCTGGTTTCTTTCGCAAAGAGACTAAACAAAACTCACCTACTCTCTTCCAGCAGCCGCTTGTTTGTAGTGAGACCTCGGGCCAGTCCATTATGGACTGCAGCGGGGTGACACAGCTCAAGGAAGAACATTTATGATCATTTCTATATTTTCTTTTCCTTGAAGTAATAATCATCATATTAATCATTTTGCACTGCAGACGCGGTAGTTCTTCTGCCTTAGCCTCTCGGTCTGATTGCATTTCAACAAAGAAATGAAAATGAAAACTGATTGAGGTTTGTGTGTGGCTGTGTACTGTGATCATGCAGTCGTTACTAAAGTTGGTTTATCTAGAGTGTTTGACCCTAAATTGATTTTACACCGGAATATCCCTTAAGGTGAGGCACATCCACTAAGTACTCACTACTACTTGATTGTGAATAAAGCAAGAGTTACACTGAAACTGACTAAATTCCTTTAATCATTAAAAAAGTATACTTTTACAAAGGTTACAATGTTGAGGTGCTGTTAGAGCTTCAGGAGATTTTATCCAACTTTTTGGCTGAAGGCTGTAGTTTGTAATCATGGTATAGTGAGGTGTTTCTGATGTTCGGTACACTGCATTAATATTGTGTGAATGACAGTAACCTGAACAGACTTCACAGATCTGTACTGAGCAGACGTCAGCTCCAATGACTGATCTTCTCGTCAAAAAGAGTTCAAGAGTAGGTGCCTGTCAAAAAGGATCTTTTCGTTTCGGTAAAATTCTTGAATGAAGTTTCTGCTCTCTTCACCAATTTGCACGTTTTTGTGTGAGCCTGTACAAGTTTCTCTTGTCATTGTCAGTCAGCAAGAAACCAGTTTACTTGAGTGGAATGTAGTTTAAATCTCTCTTCACCAACATCTCATTATCTCTTATAGAATTATAAAACAAAACAAAATCCAACTGTAAAAGAAAATCTGCATGAACCACTATGAGCCTGTCGGCAAGCATACTGTATGTGCAGCGCATACTAAGACGAGCCTGTGTGCGGTGCATGCTAAGCTCAGTCCTATCACATATTATCATCAGACCATCATCTCAGTGCAGTTGCGAGGTCTCACCTGGGTTTGATCATAGGCATTTCAAAGGTGATGTTCTCCACCAGTGTCGCGTTCAGCAGCCAGGGCTTCTGGGAAGCGTAGGCCACAGGGCCTCTCTTCCTATCAGAGGATGTAAAACAGACATACACAGAGGAGTGAAAATACAGGAAACCTTTTTTTTTTCTGTCATTGCATTTTACTTCTTCATGACTCCTTTATTCACAGATTAGAGAAAGACAGGTCTCTGGACCACAAAGGGAAGGTGATGATGCAAAGCAAACACTGCAGTTCATAGAAGTAAAGTCCATAGATCACTAAAGACTGGGGTTGTGTTTGTGAAGTCAATTCAACGCTGTTGGTCAGAGGCAAACATGTGTACACAGAGAAGATATCTCGTTCTCTTTTATCTTCAGTGGATTCTAGATAATGATTAGCATTGCGTTCTGCTCTGTTGATAACACTAATACATCTCCATGGAGACCGCCTGCTGTGCTGCACACTGGGCTCACCTGACTTCTCCATCACAGGCTGTATCTCTGTCTGTGGGGCTGCAGAGAAAATATAAAAACATAAGACAACTTAACTAAAGAAATGATCACAAAAAGAGATAAAAAATCTTTTCCATGCACACATACACACAGAGTAAAGATCAGTGCTACTCTGTTCAAACACAAGCTCTGATCTTATCCCCTCTATAAATACCATACCCCCTCCCACCCCCCTTTTCATTTTGTCTTCCTGTAATTCGTTGATATAGAAACCAGCGTTGGGTCATTTTGACTCTGTGGTCACCTCTCAGAGGATCTGCGTCCTCTGACTGAGCTTAAGACGTCAACATGAGTCACGTCTAAATCCTTTGGATTGTTTGCTGCTGTTCACTGATATCTTGTTTATTCTATATGTTTCTCACTTTAAGCTGACCTACAAACATAAAGAGAGGTTGTTTGAGTTGAAAAAAGATGGGATTATCAGTGCAGCTCTGCATTAAAAGACAATTCTGGACATTATTGTTTTTAAGTATGTTGTCAGTGAGTGAGATTTGCTCATTCATCTTTCCATCTGGTTGAAGCTCTGCATGAGTTTCTTCATTACTTTGAGGTTTGAGTTTAAAAAGTCCAGAACAGTACTTGAATAAATACATTTTTCTGTAACACTCAAATCTCTGGCTTTTTGCCCTCTCCATCTATTTTGGATCAAAACATTTTTTCTTGGTCAGTGACAGACACTCAATAAGATGAAGTATTGACTATAGTGAGTGTCCGCATCTGATCCTGACAGATAGTCAAAGGAGCAAGGATACACCTCTTTTGCAACCCATGACAGCCAAAACCACACACTGAGCCTTTATCCTCTCAGCATGCATGAGTGTGTAAAGAATAAGAGTGATGGCAGAGCTCATTAAGGTCTCTGTGTCTTTAATGCCTTCACTATTGCGTACTCAAAGTGTTGTGAATGCCAACTATACAGGGATATGTGCCAAAAATGTGCTTTTCTTTATTTTCAATGTTTGGATTGCCAGTGAAAATGAAACACAGGCGACAGTGACAAAGTGTAGCCAAATGAATATCACACAGAGATGGTTTCCTACACTTATCATCCTCTAATGTCCCCAAATACTCATTTATATAACCCAATTATTGAACAGAAACAAAAGCAGCCATGGCTTACACTACACAAAACATGATACTTGTAAATGAAGCATGTGCACAGCTTTCATGCAACAATAGAAACGATTATTTCAAGTAGCATGACTTGTGAAGTCGATTTTGCCCACAGCTTTGTTAAGGTAATCTAAAACCTTCACAGCTATGAGGTCTAGTATTTTATTTACAGCACAAACTGAGGGGGTCTATATTTATTTTGTCTGATAAGGAAAAATAAACAACAAGCTCCATGTTTCATCTCCCCATAAAAACAGGAGACAACAGCTGTCCAATGATAGTTTGATATACTGTTACCTGATGCAAGTGATATGATTACCTCATTGTTAGAGTTCATGTGTGTGTGTGTGTGTGTGTGTGTGTCTATGTAGTTGTGTGTTGTCACATGTGTGAAATGAAACGGATGTCCTATTAGATTTCAAAAAGTAACAATATACACAGTGTGTTAAAGATAGTCCAGTTGTTTTTATTGTTTAAGCCAGTGACAATTATTAACTGTCAACAGACCTTTATTTTAAAAAGTGGGATCAGTTGTGTTGTCTTTGGTTTGCAGCCAAATAAGACATCTGTCTCCTTGCCTCTGAATAGCTGCTTAGCTGACACCTGACCCCCATGAACCAAGTTCAGGCATTAACATTTATAATTTAAAGATTGTTGATCTTGTCACTGATGGTAAAATCATAAAAAAGCACCAATATAAATTTCAGTCTATTTCATGAATGTAAAAAAATCAGAGCTTTAGGGTTTGGATAGCTGGACTTTGTCTTTGTTCTGAGCGCTCACCTTTCATCCCCTTCATGATCCAGGTTTGGCAGGCTGCAGAAAATAAGACAAAAATAACTTTAGTTCATTTGATAATTATTGAATATTTCAAGTCAAGTTTAAGAGCGTATGAGAGGCAGAGTGAGTTTTTGAAATCTGGTTATTCAATCTGAAAAGGCCTTTACACTTACAAAGTATCACACTCAACCACATGACCATTTCCTTTGGCATTATAACTATGAAATTAATTTAAACCTGATGTTGTTGTTTAGGACTCTGCACATGCTCAGTAGAGACAGGGGTGTATTTTTAGGGTTAGCAGGGAGGCTCGTCTAAAGAAGGTGACTCTGATCACGTGTGTGTCCAACCAGAGAGAGAGAAGTCTCCTTTATACGAGCCTACTGAAGCAGTTAAACTCAGCTGTCACCGCAGAGAGCAGCTGTTAAGAAGTGAACTGGTGACAGTAATTTAAGAAGGTTCACACATCCACAGCAACACACACACACACACACACACACACACACACACACACACACACACACACACACACACACACACACACACACACACACACACAAACACAACCATTACTGACTGTGTAAAATAAGAGGTCAACAGAGTCAGCAACTCTATTCATGAAGTGTGAAGCTCAAATTAAATCTTTAGACAGCCACAAAAAGACTCTAAAAGGAGTGTTGTGTTTGTTTTTGAAGTTTATTTAAAACTTATATTATTATATTATTATTTAAAATATATTTAGATTTGACATTTTTCTCTACAATAATGAGCATTAAATTTGACCAAGTTTCCTCGTTGGGGGATGACCAATCAGACTTCAGCTGATTGTCCTGCAGCGGTTACTAAATGCAGGGTAATCAGGCTGGACTTGATGGCTGCAGCATTTATCTCTGACTCAAGAGTCGAGGGCTACTTCACACTGATGACGACTTTGAAGTACTCAAGGTCGTGCGGGAAGAAAATTCGTGAATGTCTGGTAACAAACAGTTTCTGTCTGCAGAATGAAGCTCAAATAGTGTCATCAAAGCTACAAAGGAACTTACCACGATTTCCTCTAATCAATTTAATTATGCATGATTAAAGCCTGGAGTCCCTCTAATGATATCGGCCTCTAATGGAGCATGTTTACTAGGATGACCACGCCTGATGATGTTTGATGATGTCCCTCTTTTTGTCAACAAAGAATCATTTTATTCACAGGCTGGTCATTGTCCCCTGAGGTAAAGGACAGGGTGGGAGTCTGAAGTGATCAGAGGGATAACGTTGTACTGCCGTGTTCAAAACTGCAAGTCTTTTCAAGATACGGACTCTAACAAATCCTTATCATTTCAAATGATCAGCAGACATGCAGATAAGCAGTGGGGTAAAATCGTGTTTTGGAAAGTAAGAGACTTAAGTCAGGATAGTAGTTATCACAGAGCACTCAAGCCAACCCCGCCAACATCGCTCACTTTTTGTCTCCTCCTTTATCCCACTAGCTCAGCCCAATCATTTGCAGCAGATAGCACCTTATCAATAATTCTGGTCCTGCTCAGGGTTTCTACCTGTTGAAAGTTAAAATTTACTTGCCATTGTGCTGATTTGCTCATGGTGGATCTGTGTTGAGTCTTTGTAAATACTGTATTAAAGAGTTTAGTGTAGATCTGCCCTTTTTGTCAAGTATCTCTAGATCATTTTTGTTACTACCAGTACAATGAATAAAAACTGCACACTTAAATATGACAGGAAAGGCAAATGAACTGGCTTAACACCATCATTTGATAACAGCTAGCATAATAATTAAACTTACTTCTGAGTTAATGTTTCAGCTGAACAGCATTAAACCAAAGAAGTTATAAACATTTTCCATTAACGATATTCTCTTGAACTTGACCAAACGCTAATGGTAATTTTTTTTTTTTTTTACTCCTTTTTTTAAAAAATTTCTATGACAGACGCTGAAATCAAAGACCGATCAGTTTGAACAGAAAAACAGTGTCTGGATTTGATGGATTCAAATCTCAGCTGCTGCAGCCCCCTGTCCTGTCAGTTCAAACAGACCAATATTAGTCTGTGTCTTTGTAATAAAAAAATAAAAAAAACTTTCATGACAGAAAAAGAGTGAGTTTTACTTCTTTGTTTTACTCTACTCTCTTACCCCACCAATCAGCTGATCAGTAACCGGTGATTAACAAAGCCGCTAATCACCGTCAAACAGGTCAACAAGCACGCCTTCATGAATCTGATGAACACTCAGCACACTCCTCTGATTAGTCACAATGTTTTTGCCCATCAGAAACACACTGGTCTCATTAACCCTCTGCTGTCTGAGTGATTTGATTCTGCTTCCTCATAATCTGTTTAGGCTGTCGCACATGCTCCTCAAAACTCAAAAAATGCAGACATCCACCCCCTGGGGTAAAACTTTCATCCCTGTGCAGCTGTAAAACTTTGTCCACAAAAAGAAACTGAAAGCAGTGTGTAGCAGGTGTAGAGATGCTATGATCTCCCAGAATTCCCCAAGTGGGTTGTCTATAATGCCACCTCAGGTGTGCTTTTCTTTTACAGACCCACACAGGCTTTACTCCTGCGCTGACTTGTAACTGGCCATTTACCTTCTTTACAGCAAGTTCAGGACTTTTTCAGACAGACTCAGGAGGTTACAAATCAAATGAAAGCAGACACTCAGTCAAAACACGAAGACCCAGTTTTGTAAGACTGCTGTCACAAAAACTGAACACAAACCCACTGGAGCAGAGACATTATTTAGAGCAACAGTCCACACAAATAGAAACACACTCATGAAATGCACCCAAACTAACACACTTAACATTTAGCAAGGCACAAATATGAACTCAAAAATCTTACGTGAGACTAATTGATTGGAAATCTGATTCAGTTAGTGTTTTTGGTGCGCAGTTCTTATATATTGTTTTACCACATATTTCTGGACAACAGTTTTCTAACTAAGCAGTGAAAAGATTGTAAACTTTTTATCAATTAACCAAAAAATAATGAATAAAAGGGGACCTACTTTATATTTGGGCCCACTCCAATGTTTTTCTTGTTTTTTATTTGTTCATGTGGCCTTTTTCTGATGCTACAGGACATATCATGAGAAGGCCAAATGCGATATTGCATTTCTGAATATTTCTTTATTCAAATTGCTGCGAATCTCTTGGCAGACCCAAACGGCAGGTTCAGAAACAGTGAGATTTCATATGTAACCAATCCAAGCTCCGCCCCCAGAGCCCTGCTGTGCAAGTCACACGCTGCATATCGTCACCCTATTACAATAATGGCCTCAGTCATTTTTTGATGAAAATAAGTTTTTGGCCTAAATCATATCTTGATAATGCTGGCCATCTCTGGTGCAATGGCCTAAATCCTTAGTTGAAAGGATCATGGCATAATCCTTTCATGCCCCTAAAGACATTAGTGTCCAAGAGCTGAATAGCTCCTATGTTACCTGCTTCTCCTACTACACTGACAAGGCTGCAAGTTAATGTGAAGAGAAGTGTGCAGAGCTGTCACAGCACTGTTTCTGCCCACGACTCAGAGGCAAATTGCTAATAATCTACTGGAGCTCTGCAGAAGAAAAGCCCTTGAAAATGACTCAGGCAACGTGATTTTTTTGGGAAAAAAAATGTAATAATCACAATTTACTGAGAACACTTTTAAGTAGTAAAAAACGATCAGAGTGGGTCTTAAACTCACAGCATCTCCCACTTCCTGAAAAACATGTCCTCATTCACTGAAAAGGTCTGAATCACTCATTCAACAAAGCATTTTCTTCAGGGTGACCAAACGTACCGAAAGTTCAATCAGGAGCAAAATTTTCAGGAAATGAGATGTTCGTCAATGCGTGCAGAGCGTAAGCAGGAGTCATTCGCACACTTTGGTTCTTAGCCTACAGCCAGAGCTGATCTGATGGGACATTCCCCCATCTTTGTGACTCATTTCAGGTCAGTGGTGCATTAAAGGCTCCCTTATACTGCATGAGCTACAAAGAATAAAAGCTGCAATCTCAGCTCGATTTCACTGACCCACAAATCCATTTATGAAATTGCCATGGCGGAGCAAGTGGTGGGATTGTGATGCTTATTACGTCGCTTGTCAGAGATGCAGAATTTATGACAGAAAGATGAAAAGATGTCCCTGACAGACCAATCCCCAGGGAGGTTGTGTAAATGTGCTATTAAAGACAAGTATTGACTCGAGAGGTCAGGCTCTGTTGACATTAACCTTTCACCTCTGGACTGAATTGCATTTTAAGCGTGATCTTTATAACATAGGGGGACATGTGTCATTTTGCTTGTTACTGCTCAATGGGAGAAGATGTAGTAAATCTGCACAGATGAAGCCAGTGCCTTTGATAGAAAACCCTTTTATGGATTATTCAGTAATTGGTTTCGGCACAAGAGCCACTTAAGCAAAAAAGCTTACCAAAAGGACAAACGGTAATCAGCCTCCTGCCTTTAAACCCATCCAGCTCCCCGATGTTAAGAGGGTAACAATTTTCACAGAGGACCTTTTTCTTCTTATTTAACTATGCTTTTCAAACCTGACCGAAGCTTAACCCAAGTGCTGCTGAGCACTTCGTTTTTTCATCAGCTGAAACGTACCTGTTCCAGGCGACTGTCCCTGACACTCTCTGCATCTCTCCCAGAGCTGCCAGCAACAGAGACGACTTCCCACATCCCACCTGGCCCACGATCATCGTCAGCTTCCCTGAGAGGTTTGGCAAGAGAGAGTCAGTCACTCGGTATGGAATAAGACAGGAAATAGGAACTGAAGATTAGAATTGTGCCTCATGTTGCCTGCTGCTTACCAAAAGGAATCTTAATGTCCACATTTGAAAGTGTCGGTGGTCCATCAGTCCAGGTGAAATAACCACTTGTTATCTGTTGAAAACACATTACAGACCCTTACAGGAGGTTCAAAATGAATTACGTTTACATGCCATCAATAGGAAACAGCAGAGTGGCAGTGAGGCAATAAGAAGCAAATGTGATGAGATTTTTAATCTCTTTATGCAGGGAGGAAAGAGGAAACTGCTGCTTTATATTTGCAGTGTGACTCACAGATTTAATTTAACGGCCAAATCACTGCTGACAGAAACTCTCCAGAGCAACAGATATACTGTAATTTTCCTACATTTCTTGGAAATCCAATCACCAGCATCCTGCATATGTTTAATAAATGTTAGACGCCCCCGTCCAAGGCAAGAAAGTGCAATTTTGAAAACTGTTGTTCACAAATACGATCATTCAATTCTATCGCCTGTGTTTAGTGAAATTGTGGTGATTTGTCATCTTAATATTGGGTATCATATTCAGGCTGTGCTGTGATGATGAAACTGAGAGTCATTTCAAACTGCACAAAACATCCTCATTGAAGCTCCTCATTAAGATTTCACTTCTTTTCATCTAAAATTTGAACGATGTCGGTGTTACCTTTTAAGACCTTCTCGGATTGTGGAGCTACTTTTCAATTATACCCCCTTTAATTGCTCCTCACAGAAGTTAATCCATCAAAATCCTACTCAGGAGTTGCTGCATGCATGACTGAGGTGAGAGTGGGACTCTGAGCTGAGGTAAGAGCTGTGATCAAATAACTTTAGGATTTAGGATTTTTTTTTTAGTGGGACAAAATGCTTTAAAGGACATTGACAGGGGATTATAGCCAAGCGGCTAATTTCCATCCCCAGTCCCATTAGCAGGTTGGTGTCAATATATGAAACACACAGAGCATATCGGCAACAATATAGATGACATACAAAACAAAAACAAAAATAGGCTGAGAGTTGGGGGACCACACACTGAATCATAAAGTGCTGGAGTGCTTACTAAAGTGCCATAGTGTTAAAGTGCCAAGTGCTGAAGTGCACAGCACTAGCTGCCTGGGAGCTCAGGTCCCCATTATATTGCACATTGCCCAATATTGCATAGAAAAAAAAGAAAAAAGAGCCTGTTGTATTACACATTACCCTACTGCCCAGGATTATAAAGTGCCAGATTTAATGAATATTGCACAATGCCCATGGCAGATGTGCAAGTAGGTATTGCACTAAGAAAGCATACATAAATGTTTTATGTAATTAATAAAAATGAAATACATTGATGTATTTCTGTATACAACAGTGGGCAGTTTTGGATGACGCCCCAACATACTGACCCTATTAGACATACATACAAAATTAAACATGGTTGTGATCACAGGCCTGGTTTTCCAACAACCATGCTCTGAGTTGTTTGGAGAAGGAGGTCAGAGTTGGTAGTTCACGTATTGAGCTTGGTGTTTGGTTCCAGGTCTGGGATGCACGAAATGAGAACGCTGCTTGACCGAAGGCGCTTTTTCGAAATGGTACAACGCAGTCACCGCTGAGGCCTGCTCTGGTTGATCTACTACAGTTTCTCTTAACAAACTCTTGAAGTGGGAGCGTAGCTTGGTCATGTCAGACTTTAAACCCAATCAGGAACAGAATTTAGATTTTTTAGCTAAAGTCAAATTTAAGATAAAAGACTGTAACTTTAGTCAGTGTTCACAGGTGGTATAAGTTAAAGAAAGTTGAGACATTAAGTTGCTAAAACCCACAATATAGGGCTGTTTCCCTCTGCTTATTCCCACTCCAAACACATCATTGATAGCAGCTTAAGCCCCTCTGCAAATTCAGTTCAAGACCTGATTCTGTCACACTTTGCTGCACATGTAAAAAAGTATGGAGGCAGTGTGGTGGGGCCAAGTTATTCTGCTGCTGAGTCAGTACCAGAGGAAACAACAGAGGTGTAACAGGGGAGAAACAGCATCCAAGTGAAGTGCAGAACCAGACGGACAGACAAACTGCACCTGTGTGAACCAACAGGGCCAGATGGTATCTAAACAGCCTGGGTTATAACCTCCAGTCTCTCACCTTGATACAGATGTCCTCGTCCACATCCTGTGAGGGTCCATCACCCTCGTGGTCCCTTTGTGAGCCGTAGTTATTCCAGTCGTCCTTCGGGGGGCGCTTCCGGTTCACCACCTTCAGGGGCTGGAAGTGTTGGAACAAAGAGGAGGAGGAGGACGAAGGGAAAGGTTTAGAGGATGACTGGAGGATGGTTGTATAACATTCAGCACAGACGACAGAGAGATGAGAGGTGATATTTAACAGGAAGAAGAGGATCAGGTGAAGGAAGACAACAACATTCACAGCAGAGTCAGACAGGCTGGATCGACCAGCAAGGGAGACAGAAGGAAAAATTCACTGCTGAGCAGGTTAGAAGATAGGGAGGACTCAGAAACTCACCACAGCCTGATATTTATTTTGGTTGTGATTGCTGGAGCCAGGGGTTAATGTTGCTTTCATCTCTTGTTCCTCTCCGATCTCATCACTGGAGAAAAACTCGCTCAGCTTCTGAACACTGAAGAGAGAAAGTCAAAGATAGAAAGTTACTTAAGATGGAAATTCAGATTAAATATGTATAATAGACCATGGAAAGATGATTCAGTTATTTAACCAGTGAAGTTGACAATAACCTCACCTTCTTTTTAACAGCATCACATTGTATGTTCAGTGTAACAAAACCTGTATGAAAGAAGGGCTTTCTCTAAAAATCTTTGCTGATCTTGTGAAATCCTCACACCCTGTTCCTTTTTCTTCATCTATTCATTTATTCATACTGTAGGTACGACTCTTAATGACAATCAGTCTGCAGATGAGACAATATTTCCTGCAAGAGTGGAGATGCTGCAACAATGACATCAACATGAAGTAGATCTGTATTTAGACATCATCATGACTGAGTAAAAGCACAGAAATAAGTAAATATCATCAAGATTTTTAGGTCTGCAGGGGGAATAACTGATGCTCCTGCAGGAGAAAATAGTTGTACAATGACTCTGCATTTACAACATTGTTAGCCTCTCTTTGTGAGGATAAACTGATGTGCTGAACCCAAGCTGTGAGGTAATTTTTGTGAGTGTGTGTCAGACAAAGTGTGTCAAGTCAGTCAGTCCAAAAATAGACACCTCAGAGGACCAGCAGCAGCTTCTGCATACAGGAAAGAAAGCCTCCTTTGTTACAGCACAACAGCTGTAAAGGCTGGCCCCCTGTCATAGCCTGTATAGAAAATATATTAGGTGTGATATTACGCAACTCCAGTAGCAGATTCATCACCTTGAACCTTAACACTCTTCTCCTGTGGTTTATTTCAAGCGGTGAAGCTGGAGATGATGGATTGAAAGTGACAAGCTCACACCGCCTGAATTGTTACAAAAGAGACCTCTGCGACACCAACATCCACAGGAAACACTTTTAATTGAACAAGTGCTAATGATATAAACACTCAATAATGCGTATAATCTTGGTGAAGAGATTTCTTACTTTGAGCATTTTAATTTTACGTCAGTTTGAAAAGAAAGTTTGTTTTTCACAGTAATGGTAATGGTCTCTTTCCACCTTAGTGAACCCCTTAATGTTCTTCTCTTCAATATTGAAGTTAAATTTATCTCTCCGCGTGCTGTGTTTGTAATTTTATTTCCTCAGAGGAACCGGCCTTTTATTAAATCATCTGCATGCAGCATGCCCATTTTCGCAAGTGCTCCTGGTTTTTATGCAAGCTGTGACACTTGTGATAAACCTGATGAATACAAAGACACCCCGTGCAGCAGAGCACAGCCCCCTGCTTGTTTTGATCCTTATTACCCTAAATGACTCTGAAAAAAATAGTGGAAGTAAACCCGTAAACTGTGTATTAACTCGATGACTGAGTTTACTGAAAAAGCATTTTTTTTTAAGTAGGACAAACTCGCTGAAAAACTGATGGGAGAAATGGATGTTCAGCATTTCAGTGTCAGTGAGAAGAGTGCTAAAATGCAGAGAGGGTGAGAATTTTCTGCTTCAATAAAGGTTTGTCCAATAATGCAGTAGCTCATCCATCAACTACAGGAAAAGGTCGAGTGTTTTATCTTCCCGCGTTGTTTTTTTTTTTGCCACTCAGCTTGCTGTCTGTTGTTTTCTTTTTGAATTTCTTAAGCTTTACTACTTATAGATACACCCCCACAAATTAACAAGACATGACCAGAATTCATGACTGGAGAAGAAATAGTTCAAAACCATTCACGAATAATGTGCATGAATCTGCACCTGAGTCTTAAAATGCGTTTCAAGTTTCTTACCTAACCAGGGCCTTGACAGTTGAGCGAACCACGCTGGAGAGCAGGAAGAGGGGGGTGACCAGGATGTGGAAGAGGGACAGCGAGGCAAAGGCCACAGCTGGCGACAGATCCGCGTCCTCAGAGATGTGAACATGCACGACAAACGTCTGCAAGAACAGAGAGAGAGGAAGGGAGATCAGATTTTGAAGTTTGTACATCCTGTGACCATGTAACTTTTGATTGGCTGAGTCTCTGTCGAGTTTTTCAAGGTAATCTATCATTGAAAAGCAGTAGAAGTCATTTTCCTGTTTACCTGTGATGGAATAAAATCAAAGATAAATCACTTGTCTACATCTGTAATTTATAACCGTCTCTCTCCTTGGTATCTGTCTGCACCACTCAGGTCTACGACTATGAAGGACTTCTATAAATACAGGAAGGATTTAGTGCGGATCTGTCAGACAGAGTCACTGTGAAATCTGTCTGACATCTGACAGTGACCTGCTAAACATTTCTTGTCTCCATTTATAACTGGACATGACCATAAAAATATCCATCCAGAGCAGAACATTTTAAATCATTCACACTTGGTGGAACAGGTATTTTTGGAGTAAAAACTCACCGTCAAAACAGCTGCAATGGGAATAGCTGCATTCATGAAAACTGTAAATGGAAGAAAAAAAGACTTTACTGATAACAAAGGACCAGTGCAAAGAAGGGACAAACTGTTTTGGGTCTTTCGTTATCTACCATTTATTCTAAAGCAGCAGCAGTTTGTCCTTGTCAGCCTACAGATATGCTATTTAACCTGAAAACTAGATCTTCAACTCTTTGTCTCCACAGAGTTTTAAGTTTTGGAAACTCAGAAGTTTCTAAAAAAAATAACTACAGAGACTTAAAGATGGCGAGAGTGTGCAGTTGAACCAGCTGTCCTCATGTGTGGTTACCACAGCACCCTGTCTCTGAGTCTTTTCTTTACCTTTTATTTTTCACGACATTCATGCAATAAGTTTGAAATTTCATGAAACATCTTGGAAAAAAAGTGAAGGTGTCATGATTGTCACTGCAGCGACAGTGTGGTGTGGCCCTCACACTGATTTAATGCTCGACTTGCACGACTTTCATAAAACATTCAGTTCTATTACAAAAGATGTAAACTTAGATAGCTTACAGCTGCTGTTGATTTTGGATAGGATATTGCCTATTACATGGACAGTAGCCATGCAGACTGCTGACATTGTTTATATGTCAGTGATTAGAAAGATAAGGAGGACAGTCTGTGGCTCATGTAAGCTATGCCTATAACATGACTTTTTTTCTTCTTCCTGTTATTTTAATCTACATCTTTTAACAGATGAAATACATGAAGTTCAAATGGAGGGAAAGTGGAGTGTGTGCAGAGGAAACAGTGGTATCTCACTGGATATGGATGTGTAGAGAGCGAAGGCCTGCAGGCTGGTAAGCTCTTTGTCTCTTGTCTCCTCCACACTGTCACAGAAGATGTTTTCCCAAGCATACAGCTTCAGCAGCTTAATGCCTCGCAGCAGCTCATTTGTCTTCTTTAGGCGTTCGCTAGAGTACTCCTGAAAGGTGAAAGGAAAACATCGGACAAATCAAGGGCAGATACACTAAAATGAGGAGCATCCAGAGGACAACATGAGTGCCATGATTTTCTCTTTTTCTTGGGTTTCATTTTCAAAAATAAACATATACAGTATGTACCATCAAAGTAAGATGTTTTTCTTCACACATAACATCAGGGCCATAGTATTACAGACACTATCATGATATTACATGACTGGTTTTACTGAATAAAGCGGTAGGAATCATCAGGGAGGCAAATTTCTAAGCAGGAATTCGTGAAAAACTTGCCTCTGCTTTCAGCTGCTCTGTGATGTATTCGAATACTAAATTCCTCAAAAGCAGTTTGAACAGAATAGAGAGCCTTAAGCCGGCAGCTCTGACAGGCTGTGATAATGAATGCAGTAAACCAGAGTACAAGGAAAATTGAAGTTCTGACCTGAGGAGATTTCTAGAAAAAAAAGTCAGGGACTATTCGAGTCTACACAGATCTTGTGTGTCTGCAGCAAATGGCCTGGCATTGATCCAACAGACATATCGCTTTGAAACATGAACGTCACCCTACATTGGAGCTACGGTAAAATGGTATGCATTCCGCCTTGAAGAAGTTAATCTCATATCTGGTGCCTACCCATCTGAAATTGTTTTAAATATTGCAGCCTTGACCAAAGCAGCAGACCTAAAAAATCAACCTAAGAACAAAAGACCATGTAGAGTTTAGCAAATTCAGCACTGGAGAACTCAGACACAGAAAACAAAAGTAATACATTTGACCCAGGTCTGTATTTTCATTATTTCTAGACTGAAAGTTTTGTGCTCTTTGCACCTTTTTCACCATCAGTTTAATTCTGCATTGTATGAAAAATTCAATAAATGGAATCGAGACCATTTATCAGCCTTTACTTGATGAATTTACTGTAACAAGCTACCAGAGGAGACATATGACAGATTTTTTTATATGCAGCTTAGCCCTTGTGAACCTCAGATATAAAAGGACAGTGTGCTAAAAATAGATTCAAAAACACTCACAACAGCACGGCATCGCTGACAGAGTCTATTAGAAATACTTACCAGAGTGCTCTTTTGTGTTTGAGACAGCTTTGTGGCCACAAAGTATTGTACTGGAGCTAACACAGCGATAACGGTCGCTCCAATCAAGGCACTAATTCCCAGGAGGTAGTAGAGCAGGATCACTCCTACAATTATCTGAAAGTCAAAGACAGAGAGAAAGACACGAGGATATTATTATTATTGCGTACACACAAAGGAGAAGTACTTAGAAGGAGATAGTCGTCAGTTATTCAAAGCTTCCCTACATACGTTATAAAAAACCCCGTTACTATAGTGCAATGCTTTGTGGGAAGTAGTGACCTTGGGGGAACATATATAAAAAGAAATAACATGCAAGAATAAGAATCCTGAAATCCTCATTATAGATGGCAAAAGTAAATAAGTATAGGTATATGTAAACATAAATGTAAAATTTTGCATATTTATAGTTTGTTATCTACAGAATAGATTTGCTTGGTATTTGGTGTCACTTCACTGTGCATGTGTGCTGTATTGTATGCACATTAATATTTGTTAAATTGTTCTCAGGTAGTGTATTTTCACTTCTAATGTTCAATAAAAAATATTGTATAAAAAGTGAGTTTCTCTCCCTCTCCTTGTTCACAGACATGAGTCATGTTTCCACCTGTGCTTGGCTCTTCTTAAGCCTCCAACTGTCTTTGGCATCTTGCTGAAAGCAGCACGCTGGATTCTGGTATCCCCACGACACATACAACCAGATGGAGATGGATGTGACACTTCACACTCACACACCGTCTCCTTCATCTGTTACAGGAAAATGTGTGCCACTAGGGATGAGGTGGGTGAAGGGGGAAACTGTGCCTTTGTAATAACACCATAAAAAGAGGCACTCTTAAACATCTGCTGCCTTTTATGTATGATGCCATATAACTGTAGTATCTGGCAAAAATGACACCAAATTACAGTCGTAGAGCCACACAATTCCTTGCACAATGTTCTTCTTTTTCTCACCAGATCAAAGTGTGAAATGTTAAAAGCCAACAGCCTCAGACAGCAGCTATAAGTGCAATTATCACTCTACTTCAGGAGGCCAATTCGGTCTGAAAGTGACCTTTAAGAGGTTCTCTGTGTAGCCAACATTTACTGATTTCCTAGAGGAACAAAAGTCCAAAACCACACTACCTGCAGTATTTACTCAGAATGTTACTTGTACGAAAAGCCTCCAGAAACATCTGAGTGAAAATAATCATTTGATGGCAATTATCATTTGTGTGGAAGTGGCAAATCATGTTTTGATTGACATCTTTTTGCCTCCACATACAGATTAAGTACACTTGACAGTCAATGTAGTGTAGCCCTATAAAACAATATGAGGGAAGAGTGCAAAGACGTCATAACAGCAGTAACAATTTCCATTTGAAATTAACCCAAAACAACACATCACCAGAAGTGTATTGCATGCAAAACAAATGCTTCAACAAGCACAAACACATTAACATATATGAATAATAGATAATAATAGAAGTAATCAGTTGCTTTTCATTTGTGGGTGGTGGAAACAGGCCCTTCTATTTTTGTAGCTTTTGTGTTAACTCATTTGTACTGATTTTTTTGTTAGGGTTTAAGAGATAAAATTATTTCTGAATCTGCAGCCTGTTTCTTCAAATAGATAGCCAGCTTAAATAGAGTACGACAATCACAGTGCAGTGTGTAATGAGGACGTTTAATGATTTAGTTTAAAATACTTCAATAAAAGGCAGCTGTGAAGACATGAGTCTACAGACTTGGCTTAAAAGAGTTTTCTGAAGCTTTTGAGGGGCTTGTTCCTGATATGTGGAGCATAAAACTGAATTCTGCTTCTCCTTGTTTGGTCCTGACTCTGACAGAAAGAAGAAGACTCATCCCAGATGAGAAGTCTGCATGGTTCATGGTGTACCGGCAGATACTACTTGTTTTTCTGTATTTTTGGCCCCTAACTACTCAACGGCTCATTAACTGATAGCAGCATAAATTCTCACTGACAGACAGGAAGCCAGTGTGAAAACCTCAGAACTGTACTGATTTATTCCACTCTACCGGCAGTGCTCCAAACCACCTGCAGTTATCAGATTTTATTTCTTATTATTATTATTATTATTATTATTTATTTATTTATTTTTATTTATTTATTTATTTTTTATTTTTTTTTTATTTTTTTTTTATTTTTTTTTGGGGGGGGGGGGGCATCCAGGGTCACCACGGCATTTCAGTTTCTGAAAAGAGTATAAGTGTTATATCTTTTCATTTTTATTGAATGTCTTTTATTTTTATATTTGAGTTGGACTTAAATTTATGCTTAATGATTATCTTATTCACTTAAGAACTCTTCAGCAGCTTAAAACCATTTATTTCCAGATTAATTTCAACAGCTTGACATGACAAGCTTTACAAGCCAGTTGAGAACACTGGGTGAATTTGCTTAAGCTTAAGTCTACAGAACCTCGGATGTATAATGGAAAACCTTTTTCACAGTAGACATTCTGTCATTTCACTAAAGAGAAACTACAGGTGGAGTAACAAACATTTAGAACAATTGCTTCTCATTTATAAAACCATCTGAATCATAAATAGCATCACATATAAAGAGCAAGAGAAAACTACGGTTTTTGAATTCTCATGACGCATCCCGTCCAGGCTGGAGGCAGTAAAAGTAACACTCCAGGGATTCATTTAACAGTTTGGAGCAGAGAGGGGGAGACAGATAGAGAGTACTGATCTAGCCCAGACCTCTGAAAAGTGCAGGTTGATCACACTACACCCATAAGATGCAACCCTGTCTGTGTGTTCCTTTTAAATCAGTTGTTTTCCTTTACTTATGAATTCAACTCCTTTCATTTGGAGTTAAATGTTGCACAATGAAAATTATCATCTATTGTATATAAAGTTGTTGTTCCTTTTGATATCCATGCGCCACATCAGGCATGCAGGGTGAGTTAATGGAAAAATATTAGCAGCAGATAAATACAAATGTGGCAATAACAATGATGAATACAAAGAGGCCAGGGGGAAAAACATAAATAGTCTGGTGAACATGATCAACAAATATCTTGAGTAGAGCAGCAGAGTGAGGAGATGTAGCCAAGATGTTTTTTCAACTCCAACTTCACCTGGGGTTGTTGTAAATGAATTCATCTAGTTATTGAACAGCAGTGAGTGACATGAAATAAACGATCTATCTAATTATAGAACAGAACCATCAAGCAGGTCAGTCACAGTCTTACAGCCGACTGCACCCATAAGCAGTAAATCGTTCGACCTCTCACTGGGCTTACAACACCTGACACTCCATTTCAGTCATCACATCTCTGCTTATGTTTCTGGCATGACTACAGCGCATCAAAATGGCAAAAAGCCAGCACAAAGTTGCACAATGGAAAACATAGTAACACAGTGAGAGTATAGTGTTATTTTAAGTCGCTGCTTATAGGGGATGTGGCCGAGACATGTAGCCTATGTATTTAGTTACTGTAGCAGCTGTGGGTAAGTTAACAGATATCTCACATAAGTTACTGTTAGAACCTTGACTGGTCATCACAGGTCATGGGATGCTTGAGTTATTTTCTGTTGAATGTCACAGTTTCTGAGCATGAACACATGGATTCCCCTCCTTCAGTAAACACAAGAACACAAACACGTTGACTGAATCTACCTAAAATATTCTGACGCTATTAACTGTATGTAGAAACCCATATTGGCTCCTGTATCACAGATTTAATAAAGAAACGCAAATTTACTTGATAACACTCACTGAGCATTTTTTTGGTCTAAAAGAGGACTAATAGATGTCTAAATGTAGCCAAGATGACTGGTCTAAAATCAGGCTACCACAGATCTAAAAATGAAAGATTTTAGATGTCTAAATTTAGAACAAGTCTAGACTAAATCTAAATCTGGGCTATATCTATACTACACTGCATATGGCTCAACAGCTATCATAATTATTTTGGTTAAATACTTGGGGGTCAGTTATGCAATTCACTGTTGCTTTTTGAAATAAATAGTTATCGAATAATGGGTTAAAGTGCAAATTCCATCTAAAAATATACAGAATCTGGACAGTTGAAATTAGGTCTAAAAAAAGTACTTGACGTCTAATAGCCATCTATTGCTCAGTTGGCAGGATACAGCCCTGTATTGTATGATATACTGATGGAGTACTGTCATCAGGGAATCAAATCTGATACCAAACTAAAAATAAACACATAGCTATCAACGTTGGAAATCCTATTTCACCACTATGCCATTGATAAATGTGGTTCGGCTTAAATAGAGGAGACAGGCCTGTTCCCTACCTGAACTGGCATGGCCCACAGGTTAGGACAGAGGAAGAAGAACCACATGAGCTGGTTGGTATCTATGGCAACCAGATTGCAGATCTGAGGAACTGTCATCTCGCCCATAGACAAGTTGGAGGTGCACAGGCGCATGATCTTGTTGTATATTTTTGTCTGAAGGGGAAAGACAGACACATTTAAATAGAAATACCTCAATGAGCTTTATTCAGTGACACAGTCACAGGTGTGATGGTCCTACCTGGATGGCCCCGCGCAGGTTGATGCCTGTTTCTATGGCCACATAGTAAGATGCCTGCAGGAAGGTCCTCTGCAGGAGCAGGGCAAAGAAAAGCAGCACAGCCAGCACATATGCATTCTCCAGGAACTCTTTGGAAGAAATGAAATAGATCCCCAGTAACTTCATCTGGAAGCACAGACAGGTGGGGAGGTGAGTTATTTATAATTGTTAGGCAGGAGCAGGGCAGCAAGGTCAGTCACAAAGGCTGTACTCTGCAGGATTGGATTCAACTAGAAGAGTTTCAATCAGTCATGAAATTCAACTCAAATGGTTCCTGTTCTTCACTCAAAAAGTCTCTTAATTGAAATTGATCCAGTGTAACTCATGAACCTCAATTAAACTGAAGTGGAGCTCTCAGAGTGTTTCACATGGCTGATATGTGGAGTGGGAGTGTGTGTGTGAGTTTGGTTCAGCTGTAGCAGAGTGATACAGCATCTCCCACAAAGATTAATTAATTCTGCATCAGAAAGAGATCATTTACACAGGGGATTACAAATTATTGATTAGAAATGTGCCTCAGCTTCTCATCCACTCATCCTTGAAATCTCTTGTCTATTTTTCTTCCCAAACAAAAACCCATCCTGACTTGCAGGAACATCTTCCTGCTAGGTTCGGTTTATTTTCAATCTCTTCTCTGAACCAACCTACTGACTGTGAGGTGAATTTTTTTTGACTGGTTGTTCAAGATTAATTAGTGATATTCTACCACTTCCCACGGATGTGACTTTTCAGACAGATAGTTGTGGAGTAATTCTTACAGAGCGACTGTCTGACTGTGAGCCTGGTTTGGCAGTGTGCTGGCGTGAAATCTAAGAAACCGAGTCACCTTCCAGCAGCAATAAGTCTGATGAATATTTGATAAAGATTAAATTAGTACACCATCAAAGAGGGACACCTGGGAGAAAGGGTATTATGAAGCTCTCGTCAAACTGTTAGAGTGACCTTTGAGTGGCAGGAAGCAATCATGTGACGTCCTATTGTGTCTTATGTGGCTGTCTGTATCTGGCGCCTTGCCTCGGGTCTCTGTAGTCTTTTTTTCCATTATCTCCATCATGACATGATGTGAATTTCCCTTTGAAAAATTTTTCATTTTCCCCAGGACTCCCGTATCAGCCGATAACTCAAACTCCCTTGTGTTGTCTGCATCTGAGACACTTGAGTCTACAGCTTGAATGAAATACACCTCTGGACTCTTTTCTCTTTACAATTACTTTTGGTGCTTCTTAAAGTGATTAGTCACTATTTAATATTTATTGATATTGAGTTCTTATGGTCTTAAACAGTGAATACAGATGCTTTGATATGATGAAAAAAGTTCAAGAGTGTACATTTTAAGACAGATTTAAAGGTAGTATTTAGTACTTGGTGGTATTTAGAAGAACAAACTTGGCAGAAATAGAAAATGGAATTGGTAAGCATGTTTAGGTTGCCATAAAATCACCTGAAAATAAAAAAACATTTTGTTTTTGTTGTATCTTTTTTATCTCAACTGCAGTTCCTCATGTATCCACTTGAGGCTGGCTGCTAAAATACCCTGAAGCCACATACACACCCATTCAACAAAACAAAAATAAACTGAATGGCTCATATCACTATTCACACATACTGTATAAGGGATTTTTTTAAATAACTCATTAATTATGTCAGTATTACAGAGCAGCCTTACAAAATGCCCTGATTGAAAGATGAAGAAGATGAAGAGAGGGGTTGGAGTGCACAAAAAAAGTTCGAGTGCTGGCGGTCTTGATAGTAAACCTTGACAAATGGAGCATCATATGCTCTAACAACACAAGTATGATGGGATTATTTATCAAATAATGGGATTATATGTGCGCCTCAGTTTTTCTCTAAGCCCATTTCCTTTCTCAAACTTTGTGCCACGTGTTAGGTTTGTTGTCCTCACATGAAAGTATCTCATTAAAATGTGGATTGATTTATACTGTCCTGCGTGTGGCAGTCATGAAGTCTCACCGGTGGCTGAATGGTGCGGTTGTCTTTGCTGATGTGGTGCACGATGCCAGAGATACAGAGAGGACCGGCAAAACCCAGCAGGTCTGCCAGGAAGCGGAACGTGATGCTGAGGATGAGAGGCCTGCCAAATGCTTTCCTCAATGCCTGCCAGATTAACTTTGGGCCCTGGGGTAGTGTGCCCTGAGGCCTCTGAGGAAGAACAAAGAGAAAGCGGGTAGAAGAGGAGACATATCAGCATTAACTTTTTTTTGGATGTAGAATTTCACCTGCTGGATAAAAAGATTTCCAAAGGATTTAGAGAATTAAACTCTAAATTAGAACAACATGACTCCCTCTCTCCCTCTGTGTGACGCATTTGTGTAGTTTTATTTGTGTGATGAACATGACTGTTGTTGAGATAAGAGTAAATCTGCTGGAAATGTCTCCATTAAGAATTCAGAACACCACAGGCGTTTCTCTGAGGAGCCAAACCTGCAGCACAATACAGACAAACAGAAACAAGGGTAGAGATTACAGCCTGCTGACAGAAACATAAAAAGCTGAATTGTTACTCTTAACTCAAGAGTCAGTCCTGCACTGCAGCAGAAACCTCCAGAATGAGGTCAACCCCTGCGTGTCCACCCTCCCTGCCAGGATGCCGCTGCATCATGGGATGTACTGATTAGTAGCCAGTTTAACAGTAGAGTATATACCATCAAGAACTAGCAATGTGTGAATCTATTATATGCAGTGAACCTCAACAGTGATGAGGAGGGTGAGCGTTCAAAAGCAAGTGAAACCAGAATCAGGGTTTTTAATGCACTTACAACTGCATTAAAGTTCACATTAAGGGTTAAAACTATGAACAAAGCACTTTGGAGGAGATCCTAATTTTTATTATTGATTATTTATAATATCAGAGTTTTATTAACGTTATTGAAAAAGACTGCTTAGTTCATTGAATCAGTCAGCAGTGATCAAAGACTTACATCTGGTCCGTCACGGGGCAGCAAACACTCTTAAAACATTTTCATGCAGTGTGTGTTAGCCTGTGTGTGTTTGCGGGCGTGTGTATGACTGACTCACTTTACAAAGCAGTGAGAAGAGACGTGACCATTATCATGAGTTTCCATCTTTCCATTTGAGCTCAAACTGAACCTCAGCCTTCATCCAAAACATGTGTCACGAAGTACGTCACACACAAACATAAACATAAACAATCACACCCACACACGCTCACACACACACACCAAACACACATCCTTTTAGTCCACCTTGGGTTCAAACAAGAGGAAAGAAGGAGTGAAACTAGCTTCCCATGAAGTACAGTGCTTTCACCCCCGCAGGGGTCGGGATGTCACCTCGTTCACAGTAGAAAGGGAATGACCCAGTGCCTCCACGCTCTCCTCCAAGTACTCTACCCCCCATCCTCTCTTCCACTGGGATCCTTCAATCTCTGTAATCCCTTGCTCCTACCGGAAAGAAGCAAGGTTTGTGTTCACACCGGATGCACACGGAGCAGCAGTGACGATTCTGTGTGACCCTCGATACTCTGGAAAACAGTGACCCTGCCGCGGAGGCCCTTCATCCCTAACCCCTGACACGTGCTCCAACAGTGAGACAAAGTGAAAGAGAGGCAAGAGGAGAGAGGGAAGATGAAAAAGTATCGTACAATCAGGACACAGGCTCAGCTTTGTCTGCAGTAATAAGAGTGGAAAAAAGTGCCTCAGGGCATATGTGACGTTCCCAGAGCTGAGAGGAAAGAGACAGAAGGGAGGAAAGCCTTTTCATTAGGCTGTTTGAGTCTTTGACACACTTTCCAGATTATCATTTTATCATTTCAGAAGAAACACCCTTAATTTTGGGGAAATTCAAGGGCTCCCTCACTAAGTGGGAGTGTTGATACTTAAGAAAAAGAGTTTCGTTTTTAAACAATACATTTTCAAAATATCGGTTATTAAGGTTTGTAGAGCCTTCTCCATATGTTGATAATTATACAAACATGAGAGCAGATGAGGAAAAACTGCTCTGCATTATATAGCACTGATCTTTTCACTATCAAATACCCACACACACATATCCAGTGCCATCCTGACAACAAATCCTGCTTCAAATCAAATCTGTTGTGGCTAAAAATCAATTCGCCATTTCATTGTCAAGCAAATTGGCAATGAAGGTGAAGAATAAGGGGCTTACGTCAGTCTAATTAGGAGGTTTCACATTACCACTCAAATATACTGATTGATAGACTAATCCCACATGCAACTTAGGATGGTCGGGAACCCTGAAAAGTTTCCATTTCACCACAAACAACTAGAGAAAATCAAAATAGACCCAGCAACAAAAGACCTGAAAGACATAAAGACCACATACAACAGGAGTGAACTACATAAAAAGATCAACAAACTCAGGCTTTCTGTGAGTACACTGGCTTAACAAGACCTGAAGCCCCAGGTAAAGAAAACAGGTCTCCAAGCAAGACATGAACTTACACCATTAACTCAGGCTTTCTTATTTAGATTCTGTGAGAACTAATCTGGAAAAAAAATGTATTGTTCATGTCATTTGGCAGTTCTGCAGTGAAAGACAGAATCACTGTCTGCATCAGTCTGACTGATATGAGAAGAGATGATCAATATATGAAAGTTAATGAAGACAACACTGATGTTACTGCTGCGGTTAACAAAACAAATGAATCCTGCAGGAAAATATTGGAAATCTAGCTGTGTATCACAGACTTGGCTTAAATAATCTCGCTTTATGATACACCCCTCAGACATGAGCTAACACAATACAGACAAAACAGTCATATAAACTATATTTGCATCATCAAAACCAGCAGCCACAGAAAAGAGCAACATAAATTAACAAGAGGATTTCTTGGTGTGAACATGTGATATTGAATTTCCCTTTGGGGATCAATAGAGTCATGCTATTCTTCTTCTTCTTCTATTTCTTTGTTTTACAGAGTTGACTTATTATCCCTGGCATTACCAATCACAGTTTATGGTCTTCAGCAAAGATTGAGTCATTGCATGACAGAGATTAGCGTTTTGTGAGAACAGCTGTACAAAGAGAAACGAAAGGATTCCCGGATCACTTCATGCATGTCAAGCTGACTCACAGACATTAATAAACAAGGTTTTTTTTTTGAAGACAACAAAACTAACATAAGGGGTCAGTATCAAGTGAAGTGAAGCCATAAGAAATGAACAAGCTTTCCTCTGAACTCTTACAGAGACACTTCAGACCTTCAATGAGTCTGTGAGAAAAGACTGAAGATGATCCCTCAGGGATAATCATGACATTTAAAAGGAGATGTGACTTTTTGGCTTGTTTCACAGTCTACTTCGCCCAAGTACGTCTACATGAAATAACCAATAATAAAAGACACGCTGATAGTTGATTTGTAATTATCAAACACGTAACTTATGATTAAGGATAAAATTCACAGGAAGTACAGCTCATTGTTTCACTCATTTTTTGCAGATTTTTCCCAACATGCAGATCATCTGTGATGCTTCTTAAGTCTGTTATCTACTCTAGAGTCTGGTACATCCATGATTTTTTTATTTCACACAAATTATGCAAGAAAGAAAGAAAGAGATCTTGCTCCTGGTTTCAGGTACACGATCCCAGATCTGTCTCTGCATCTTAATCTCTCCTTGAAATATTTGTAGGAAATTGTTTTTGTGGCTGTCAGACTGGAGAGCAGTCGGCCTTTTTGGTTTCATATTCAAAGTCTGAACCCTGTATTGATTGAATAGAGGTAAGCCTGTAAGCTTGGTGCACTTGTCACGTCCTTGTGTGCTGACTCTGGTTCTGATTATTCAACACAAGACAACGGGCCCATTCTATTCACCTCAATGTAATAACGATAAATGGTCTGGACTAACCTTCTGGTCTTCGAAAGCCCCACGCAATTTGATGTAGTTGGTGAGGGCTCTCGTGGCAATGGGCAGTTTGCCGATCACTTTGAGATCTATGGGTCGTCTGTGAGCAGAGGTGATGAAGGTGTTCATCCACCAGTAGGTGGCTTTGGACAACAGGTTGACGAATGGCTGCAGAAATCGAACACCAAGATCTTGGAGGTCTTCAGGAGGCTTAACCTCTGTTGGGTTGGTAAAACACACGTAGCGCTGAGAGAAAAGAAAGGAAAGAAACATTAATTTGATTTAATTTTCAACCCTCATTGACCTGAAAATCAGGCACAGATTAGATTTACAATAAATCAGAAACACCAGCTCATCCATGGGTTAGTGATCAGATCTTCCCCTACACAGTATGTAAGATATTTACACAATGGGTAGCATATTGAGCACACTCTTATTAGTGGGATTAATTATAGCTTCAGGGAAGATAAATGGTCTCTTTTCCTAAATTGATTACTGGTTGTCTGATATCACCAAGGCAATCGCTGAATCTTGGCAGAGCTTACAAGCTCTGGTATTTACAGGCAGCATGTGAAGCTACCAGACAGAAGCTTTTACAAATATTAAAGGTCAACAAAACACTGGGAGTTAAAAGGGTGTCCAGAACGTGGTGCAGTAAAAAAAACACAATAAAACCCATGAAGAAAAAGAAGTGTAAGAGTGAAAGTAAAGGAAAAAATATCAGAAACTACATCAGTAACAGGCAGATAAATAACCACAGAAAACACCAACTTATTTTAGACTTATATAGAAATTACAGTAATTATTTCAAAAGTAGGTCTCATATTACTATCTAAAGTGGAGTGAAATGGAAAAAATGTTCATCCACTATGACCTGAAGATGCGTATTTAAAAACAAATTAAATGCAATTCTATTGATTCCTTCAGTAACAGAAATAATGCCAATTTAAAGCAAGCAAGACAACTATTGTATTATAAACTATAGCAGAATGACTCTGTTGTTAATCCACAGTGAGATTCAATGGCAGATGTAGGATCAGAGTAGAAATGAATGAAGATTTACTCACTAAAAATTGTTAGGTAGAAAATAAGATCATTCATTTCTCTTGTTTTGTTTGTCATTAAAGGAGGAGGGTAATAATGATGACACAGAGGAGAAGCAAAATGTGAGTCCATGTGAAACTGACAGTGTTCAGTCAGATGGCAACAGGATAATGTTGAGATCACTTGGCTCTCAGTGTGAATTTTAAAAAGGTTGTTGAACACATTTCAGTCACAGTTATGTTTGGCATCAATCTGTCAACTATTGAGCCAAGTAAACCAGTAAAAACGGCAGCCTGTGGTGAGAGGATGTGCCCTTTTTCACAAAATAACAATTACTGTAATTTTTTTACCCTGTCCTTCGTGGCTCTTCCCATGAATCTGCTTTAGTTTCCCAGAGATATAATAAACCCTGCTAACATCATGCCTCCACCATGCCCTTCAGTTGGCTTTGGTGCAATTTGTGATTCCTCAGCAGTTTTTCAACTAATTACAGAGACACTTTACTCAAGCCTCATTTTTCACAGGTGACAGAAATTCATGTCGGTGTTCTTCTGGCTCTATATCTTGTTTCATGCCAAGATTTGATTTAAGGTTAATTGTTGAAATTTCTAAATGAATATTTAATTGATTGCTACAGCTTTAAGTGTAGACATTAACATCTAATCCAATTTATACTGTAACACAAACTGTTCATCCAGAACCATCATAGGGTCCATTTTTTAAATAAAACACATTTGTTACTAACCCAGCGCTGCCCATGCAAAACTAATGACATGTTAAACAGCTGCTGTACGGATGGTATGAAATACTAATTTGTAAACATTAGCATAAAAACATATTCAACTGAGGCGATTAACATTTTAAACATCATACCAGTTAAATGTTAACAACACTGGCTTTGCAACTGAGAGCATGTTTATGTTAACATTGAGCTAAAAGACTGCTGTGGACTCTTCTGTTTTCCTTTTCCAGTTTTTGTCTCTTGTTCGTTTTTCAATACCTTGTTAGGGGTTTTACCAATTACTGACCACTGGAGCAGATTCAATTTCAGACTAAAACTGAAGCAAAAACAGGAAACAACGATACTACACAGCTGCATGTTGCTGCATCATTTAACAACACAAACACACATGCACTCACCCTGCCCAGGATAACATTGATCTCCACAGCGAGCAGGAGTCCGTACAGCAGCATCAGAAGTCCAGTGATGCAGTAGCGTAGCTGGCGGGGACCGATGCCGTGTTCTGTGTACTTGGCAAACTTGATGGTCTTCATGATGAAGGCGAGTACCCAGTAGATGAGCAGGGCTGAGGAAACCAAACAGAAAATCAACGAAGACGCAAAATAAGACAAGTGTTCACACTAAACCTGGCTTGTGTTGGAGCTGGTTAAGGTGTATTTTGACATTCGGAGACACATTTCATACAATAATTGCTGAACTGGGATTTCATTGGTAACACTTAAGAGTGTAAGCTTTGGTTTGTTGTTTTTTTAGTCTTTTAATAGCTTTCTAGATATGATACCTTTCGCGCTCCTTTTTCCTTCTTTACTTCCTTCTTTGAAAACTTGGATGTGTCTGCTCAAGGTCACCACCCTTAATCCAGTTTAAAGCTGTGATTAAACTTGTCTGAATATCATGGAGTACCAGTTTTAAGTCATGTCCTGTCAGTTCTTTAGGGGAAGTTCAAGAGATTCATAAAAATGGTGTTGTAAATGAGATTGCAAAAGAAATAATACCCTGCAGGACAAAAAGGATCAAAATTATGGGCTCAGACTCTGCAGCAGTCTTTGATGGCGGAGAGCATTTGACAATTGTGGCCATGTGCAGGTCAATGTCAGAGTTTCCACCTAAAGATTGATTTCTGTTCATGCAACAATGACCTCATGAGACTGAGAGTGACTCAAGCTGGAGGAAGCTCTGAGATATAATGGGAGTAAAAGCATCAAAAGCCCAGCACGAATGAGTTAATGATGCATGAGGAGGATAGAAAACCGTGGACAGTCAAAATTTAACAGCAGGATGATCACTACAGGAAAAAACATGGGAGTTATATGACCAAAACTAATGGACTAAAAGGACAGTGTGGACAGAAAACAAATTTCATTGATGTCTTTAATGGTAACTGTGTGAGCCATGGATGTATGACAATATAATATACCAATATATACAGGATATACTCTGGCGTTATCTGTAATTTAACGAATAAGCTCATTTTTTATGGTTGCTATGGGATTGTTCTATTATATTGTACTAATTTTCAAAGGTCTCCTCTTTTAGAAAAAAAAATTACGTGTGAAAATTGTTCTCCTGACATTCATTTTCTCGATAAAAAGGATCATTTATGTCTACTCAGAGCAGCATAATAAGGCTGTAGGATATTACCTTACCCATAATTGTGCGGTCCAATACAAAGGTAATGGGCAATTAACTTTAAACTACACTGACCCTGTTTTACTGTTTCATTATCAGGATATTAAAGCAAACTAAATATGGGATACTTTTCTGGCACAAAGCATGAATAATATAGACTTTATAAACTCTGATCCACATTCAGCAATGGTCTTAAGGCTGAAAAGCATTTAGGTGTGCGTGACGGCTTCAGGGGTGATTCAGAGAAGCTGCCAAGATAACAATGGCAGAGGGTTACACTTCTTAAATTAAAGTCTTCATTAAATTAAGGTCTTCATTACACAGATCTTGTCTCTGAAATTAAAGGCAGATTTGTCAATAACAAATATACAAAGCAAAGCCAAATACTGTACCTAGTAGCAGTTTGGGGAAATTGGAGGTCTCTATGTTATGATAGTAGATAATAGAGGTGATGCCGGCCATGAATGCCAAACCTGCAGGCATGTATAGGTGCAGATGAAGGGACTGGCTGAATCTGCAAAAAAAACAACAAAAGATAGAGGAGAAAAAGTTTAAAGTCTGCATAAAATAAGAAGACAAAAATGCTGATGCAGCAAAAAATGTGTAATCCCATCGTGTCTTAATGAACCAGAACATTTTCATTATCATAGTGAACAAATTGGAGCTTGTAACCTCATGAATCACATTACATGTTGGATGTATAAAAGATTAACTAGTTCAAAATAAGCCTTGAGGACATGTTCCTCACCAACACACACAAACACACTATCACACATGAGCGCAGGGAGGTATAAACAACCAATCCTGGCTCTTCGACACGGCTCTGAAATCAAGGTGAGAAAAACAATGAGGTGTTGAAAGAATGGAGAGCACTTTAACTCATCTCAGCAGCAATCATCATCGGAGCCCCGGGCTGCTGAAATAGCCAACAGACAGTGGTCTCCATCAATCCCCTGCATTCATAGACGTGAAGGACTGAAGTCTGTTTATTCTTCAACCATTTAAACGTGCAGCTGCATCATCTGCATTGTTTGCACCACTATTTGTTTCCTTTCTCATCCAAATGCTTTCGTGGGACTGGGCTCTACCTCGTTATTCTTATCTTATGGTTTAGCTTAGCATTTAATTTGTTTTCTTTTTTTTCTGGTCTCTGAAAGCAAACAAAGATAATGTCATTGTGTCCTTATGGTCACAAAAGGAGAGTCTTGAGTCAATATTTATTGAGACATATTTCAACATGTATGAAGAAGATAAGGACAGAGAAAAAGAAAACAAGAAGATGGGCAGAGATGGTTACAGAGATGGTTTCTGTAGACAGCCGTGTCTATCTGTCTCTGTTTATAAGCAGTGGCAGTATCTACTTAATAATGATACTCATGAGCAGTCTGGAGAGTAGTTTTAAAACTATTTCTCAGACTTCAGTTACTTACAGCAAAACGAGGCCAGTTGAAAATAGAGAATCACAGCTTTTGTGCATTTTTCTGCCAGGTTTACTTTGAGCACAAGATGGCTGTTTTCTTGTGTTGAGAAAGAGCATTTATAAATACCCTCAAATATCACAGCTAAAAAACAGCAAAAATTGTTATCTCTGTCAGGCACTAGAAACAGGAAGTTTAGCTTAAATATCATACAAATGCACTTAAATAATGCTGTATGTAACATTTACACTTTCTCAGCAAGTATCTGCCCCCTTAATCTGCAAGACAACATTAGTGGCACTTAATCTTATTTTTGAAAACCGACCAACCAAAAACAGTGAGGTGGTTAGTTTTGTTAGCTTCACCTAGCGTGCTGTTGCTCCTTTTTAATGAAAATACCTAGATTTCCTGTTCACAATTCTGATAGGAAGGTTATCTTCCATGGTGATGACCATTAAAATACACAATTTATCCTGTAATTGAAAATAAAACAAAATTATTTAGCTTGACTCAGCATATAGGTTTAGAATCAGTGTTGGTAGCTAGTTGCTAAATGTTATCTTTTTTTTCTCAAAATTAAAACTTCAAATGAAGAAAGGTATCAAAGCATCACAAACATGAAGACATTTACACTTTTCTAATTAAAAGTATACCCGATTACACAATTACACAATGATTTAGCAAGCTGATATTCTAGCTATTCCATATGTTAGTCCATATGGTGAGAGACTAACCTGAAATGTCTATTTTTCGTATGCTGTTCTTGGTCTACAAGCCTTACTCAATGAGACAGAGGGCTGGTAAATTTCCTAACTGTCCTCTTCTCATCCTTGCAGCACAGTGAGTTATGAAGTTCACTTCGCCTCCAGTCAGCTTTCATTACATGATGTAAGATTGTTGATTGCAGGTAATTATCTTCACCTGTGCTCCCAGGTGAAATAGTTTTGTTTTATGAGATAATTAGTAAGACAAAATGGAGCAATATAAACCTTTGACACACAACAGTGAGAGAAACGGCGCTGTCTTTCGAAAAGGCGCATTATTGAAACACTTTTTATATTTCTGTGTTCCTGGAATAATTATCGCCAGAAGGAAACAGTCACATCATGAGTGTTTCGGTGGTTAATGGCATTGTGGTAATATGGCAAACACCTGACGGCTAAATGGTGTGTTATAAGATTAGATGAGCTTAGTTGTGTCCAACGTACCCATCAGAGACGATGCCTTCAGCAATCTCACAGACGAGGATGAAGAGCAGCACGAAGGTAAGGAGCCAACGAAGGTTGTGACCGGGAAAGTGAAGCCAGGTGCTGTGGTGGATGTGGACCTTTGAACTCTGACTTCCCCAACCTCAAACATGAGACAGAAAATAAAAATTGGAAAAGGATTGCAGCTGAATGGCTTTGACTATACAGTAAAATAACTGAGAAAACAAGCACATGAACTTAGTGAGCCTCATAAGTGCAGTTCTGAGTTTGCCCCAGAGAGTCCTGACGTAGCATCTTCTCCTCTCACTGCAACCTTGAACATCACAAGCTTCATGAAAAACAGCTCTCTATTCACACATGCTGAATGAATAACAGCACGTAAACTCAAAGGAGGGATCTGCCAGGAGAAGTGGCAGCCTGCCAGGGACCATAACTTATTCATAATCAAGGAAACCTGAGATGTTATTATCATTGTGATTGCATCCACAATGTTTGGGAGACAAGGCAATGACAAGGGCCTGTGTGGCTGCTGGCCCTAAACCCTTTAATCTTTACTCAGGCTGTCATATATCTATAATCATAGACACATCTCTAATGATGAGATAATGACTCCTCTGAGGTTGGCACCTTAGCTGTTGGGCACTTTATCTCACTGCGAAGTGTTGGCACAAGCAAGCAGTCACAAACGCACACTCATAACTACACACATACGCATGCACACAAACACCCATGGACAACATCTCTTTCTTGAATCTGTGTCATTCTCACACACTGAAATTCACACCATCTGCTGATGTACTAAGTCATAAATCAGCCTCTCAAATGTTCTGCATAATGTGGTAAATGTGCATAAAATGTGTTCCAGTGTTGATTTAAGGGCCACAGAGCAAAATTCCTGCACTTAAAATTTACTATAGATTTGACAGTTCGTGATTTAATTTTAATTCATGATAATATGATTATCAATTTGTTTGACAAAGATTACATATTTATAGTTTAAGTTTAGCTTACTGCAACCATTTACTTGGCCAACAGCAGCTGTTATAACACATATAGGGGGGTGTTTTTCTTGTGTGAGTTGATCAATTAAACATTTATCTTTTGTCAGAATATTTGTGGGCTCTGGCATCCTTAACCTTATTTTGATATTTGGAGGAATAAATAATGAGGGATTATTGACAGGCTTAAAAAAAATTGATAATGAAACTAACCCTGCTGTCATACTGCTGATGTTAGCCCACACTCCAGTTAAGCTGTCGTGGTGTTTCTATCCACGACATCCTCTCATACTCCTGATGTGATGAGCCAGCGACACATTATACAGCTGCAGGGCAAAAAAGACTGAAGAGCTCAGTTCAGTAACTGTACCCCTAGAAGGTTGACTCAAGGTTGACACCTCGAGGTATTTCTTTAGTGACAGGGTTGTTAGTGAAGGCAGCATCGCTCAAGCTGACAGAGCAGAGAGAGTCAATACAGCAGGGTCCAGGCAGCGTATCCTCTATTTTCTTCAAATGACCTGCTTTGACTTTTACTGGAGGTTTCTCCCAGCCGCTTCGATTTTGATAACTATTATAAATGAGTCAAATTTTTGGCACAGGTTACAAGAACGGAAAATATTTTCAAAGGTACCTTCATCACAGTCTCTATCAACTTGCTATCAACTTGATCAGATTATATATATGCCAGCACGCTCTGGAACTGGACAACTCTAACATGCTAATTTGTTATCAAGTGTGACATTGATCCTGTTTACAGTCTGAATTAAAATAAATGGATTTAACCAAATATGGACATCCTCTCAGGGATGTAACCCGCTAGTTTGTGGAGTTTTGATCCTGTTTATAGCAGCCACAGTCAACATTGGAGTAGCTCTGTCTGGAGGGACTTGGGCTGAGGATTGGAGGGCAGCTGGTTCAAGTCCTGGTAAGACCAAACCCAGACTCAGAACCTGGTAGCTGAAGAGGTGCCAAGCCACCTCCTGTGCACCATTCAAGTGCCCTTGAGCAAGGTACTAACCCCCCTTAATAGCTTACGGCAGCATTTTAACAAGGGCAGCAAGACCGTCTCTCTGACATTTCTCTCCTTCAGCACATGTCCTAACCTCCTCGCCAGCACTACAATGTGCAGGCTGGTCCGTAATGATGCGAAACTAATTTTAAAATCTACAAAACTAGTGAGTTGCAAAGACAATCAAATTTTATACAGTTAGTGAATAGTAATATATAGTGCTATTCCGGTTTTAGCAGGCTGTTTTGCTGTTTTGAATGGGTGTTTATGTGATTACCAGAGCTTTTGGAGCCAGCCTCAAGTGGACACTTAAGGGATTGCAGTTTTAGGCGCTTTCACATTTCTCATAAGTGGAGGTTGCCACTCAGTTTTAGTGTGCCAGAGGCAAACAATTTGCAGTTAACATTAAATACACAGTTGGGGCTAACAAGATTTTTATTTATTTTCTTATTTTGTTGGGATTTTTTTAGATTTATGTCATTGACCCTTGTAAATTAATAAAGTAAAATTTTAAACCAAAGATGCTGCAAGAGAAAAGTTTAGTACCAAAATTTCCTATTTCAAATAAACTGGATGCACTTTGAACCAACACTAAGAGGCACTTTCACTGTACAAAAATGGCAGCTTCATCTTAGCAGTGTCATCTCAAGACAGCACCATGAATATCTGCACAATTGTTTTGCTAATCTAATATTTGTTGAGGTATCTCATTTAAGAACAAGACCAATAGACCAAAAGGTTCATTGTTACCCACAAGACCATATCACAGGTAACAATAAGCAACCATTGGACAGCAATCACATCACAGAAAAGCATCAAAAATAACTGAGGTATGTGAGAATATCCTGCCACAGAAATGTGGTAAAAAGACAGAAACACAGAAAATGCTGAGAACAAGAAGCATGTATGCTTGTACAGAAATAAATCAAAGTCAGAACCACTCTGGACTAAATGTAAAAGTGTATCCTGACAAAGAAGGATCAAGCTGTTTTAAACTGGATGCACACACATGCTACACCTGTCAAGCTCTCACACTGGCAGGGCAGGGCAGTGTTTAGCAACACAGAGCAAGTCTGTGACACAGCGATGGGGACACTAATAGACTGGCACAGTTCCAGGAAGATAGCAGAGAAGGTGTAACCTAATGCCAATATGCTACATTTCATCAGGACAGTCTTGTGACTTGCAAGAACACTTGAAGCTCAGATAGAGGCTCTAATATCCAACCAATAGACTCATATATCTACTGCTGACTGTGGGATAGCAACCAATGACTCAATGGGTTTTTTAGCACAGTTAATGACAAGTAAAATACAACATGTTGGATATGATAATAGAAATGAGTGCAAATGAGTGATTTATTTAAATATATTTGATAATATATGTATATGAGCTGAGAGGGGCAGATAGAAAACATGCAGAAGCCCATTAACATTTCCTATCCTCGTCTGTTAATGCTGACACATCATCCATCTATGCTGCATGTGAGGTCCATGAAGGGAGGTGTGGAGCAAAGAAGCTGGGGACCTCACCTCACAGCAACACTCACCGATGAAGAGGATAGGAAAGGTGATGAAGAGGAGGAAGACATGTGGCACCACATTTAGCGCGTCCAGGAAGCAGCCGTTGTTCAGGACACCTCCATCCACGTTGTAAGCCGACGAGTTTTTCTCGTTCCCACAGAATGCCAAGGACATGGTGGAGCTGGGACTCTGCAGGGAACCGGCAAGAGGAAGAAGAGGAGGAGGAGAGGAGAAAGACAGAGGAAAGACAGAGAGGTTTTAAACAGAGGCTCTCAGAGCATTTTGTCTTTAAAAGAGGACTCTCTGACGTCTCCGGTAGATCCCAGCGTTTCCTTATGTGACCTCCTTCCAGCTCCCTCTCGAATCAAACTCCCAAATATCAGATCCAGTGAGGAAGAAGAGACAGAGGAGGGGGGAAAGGGGGTCAGACTCAGTCACAGTCCTCTCCTTTTAGGCAGACTGAGCAGCTTCCCCGTCCATGCCGGTGAGAAACATCTGCATCCCGTCCGCCTGCAGTCCTCAGACATCCTCTAAAACTAGAGCTTCACTCTCACACGGCTCCCGCTGCACAGCTCCACTGGAATGCATTCAGACACGCTCCCGGCATTCACATTCACACACACACACACGGACACACACGCACACACAAACACGCACATACAGTGAGAGAGCAGCGGTGGCATTCTGCAGTGCACCTGCTATTCCTGTCTCTTTGCAACCGGGAGCTCAAAGTCGACCTTGGATGAAGAAACGAGAGAGAGCAGAGTGTGCAGGGGGGGAGCCGGAGGACTGATTCTCTGAAGGTAGGAGGGTGAGGGCAAGAGAGGCATTGAGTGATGAAGAAGAGAGAGAGAGGTGAAGAAGAAGGAGAGGAAAACAGGGGAAGCACAGCTGCTGATGGAGCCGTGCAAACGTAACACAGAGGTACGTGTGAAGCATGAGCAAGCACCCTTAATCTCAATTCTGTTTTTTCTAGACTTACATAACTCTCCCCCTCAGTCATTTATTGCTAATCTCCCCTTTAAATCTACAAGAAAGCAGGACACTCTGAAAAATAGTGACATCAAATATTAATGTATTCCCTAGATGGATGCATTGTGCGTCCAGTCCCATAGGGAGCAGAGAGAGCTCCTGCTGCAGCCAATGGCAGCTGGCTTGTTCCAGAGAGATCAGGGAGAGCAAAGAGCCACATGGGAGCAGATTTTGATAATCCGTCAGACTCACAGCCTTTTCTTAGCGGTTAAAATGAATTATGTTTAATGTAATCCTCATCATAGTGACCCTCACATTATCACAATAGAGATAAGCATAAATGTAATGAGCAGTTTACATGAGTGTTTATATACACATAGTCATATATGAACTGAGATTCCCCCAACTCACACATGAGCACAAGAATAAAACAGGAATGTCAACGATTATCTAGTTGTTATCAAAGTATAAAGCTGTTCTTGCAGTGACACTAACTAGTTTAACACCTAGATTCATATCAGTCAAAACAAAAGTTATCTCAGGACCCTTTACAAAAAGAGTGGGTCTAGACTCTGTAGTATTATTTATAAGACTTGAAGAAATTAATTCCCTGTGAGCGGGCATTTGGCATGTGTGGCAAGAAAACACATCCTTAAGCAGGCAAAAGCTTGGAGCAGAACCAGACTCATCACTGCACAGCCATCTGCCAAGACAAGAAGAGAAATATTTGTTCTCCTGGTGTATACAAAGAAACTGACTTCCTTTAATGGAATAATGCCATAATGGAACAGTTTCACTGCACTGTTTGCAGTCTGCAGCAACAGACAATCTGGAGTCTCAGTTTAGATTTAACACTGTTCACGAGGGACTCTACTGTATATTATAGCGACATGAATGGGGACGTAAATAGCCGTGTGGTCACTGCTTTGTATTTTATGGAGGCAGGATGTAGGAGCTCTGCTAAATCTGGTATAACGGTGGCTGAATTTAATTAACTTCATGTTATCAGTGTTATTTATGGTGCACTTTATGTTTGCAAGCTGTTTTGGTGATTAAAGGCACAGCAATACCAATATGTTGAGATGATGGAAAACCTGCAGATTGAATTAACATATAAGTACAGCACCTTCACAAGCTGTGCCCAGATTTCCCTTAAAGCAATAAAGATACACAGATCAGCCATAACACTAAGAGCACTGATAGGCGATATCAATATTGACTGCCTTCCTTGCAACAGCACCTGTAAGTACTGTAGGTAGTGTATTTTAGGCAGGGAGTAAAACTTTTTCCTCAAAGTTGATGTGTTTGAAGCTGGAAAAAAAACTAAGCAAAAAGATGAGAGCAGCTTTTTGTGTAAGAGGACTGGGCCAGAGCCTCTGTGAAACTACAGTTCTCCTGTGGTGTTCTTGGCTTTCAGTGATCAGTTTCTCATGGTCCAAAGAAGAAAAAACTGTGAACTAGAGTCAAGTTTTATTTGTGGGCCTAAAAAAGCTCAAACTGATGAAAACATTGATGCTGATCCTATTAGAAATGTGTCAAAATACGATGCATCACAGTTCGTTGCATATAGAGCCATGCAGACTCACACACACGTTGACCTCTGTACACCATTGAAGGTACAATGAGAATCCCCAAATTCCCCAGTTCTCAGTCCTATCAGAAATCAGTGGGATCTGCAGTTAATCCAAGTTCAGTCTTTGGAGAACCCACCTTACAAATTACATGGCTTAGCGGATCAGCTGCAGCATCATTATTGCTCGATACCACAGCACACATATAGAGGGCTAATGGAGTTCACGTCTTGATAGATGAGGGCTGTTTTTTCCCCTACATGAAGAGAGGGGGTCTAAACAGGAGGTCATAGTGTCACAGCTCATCGGTATATATCTTCTTTTACAAGGAAGTTGTAGTTGAAATATGCAGCTCTGATGTCCTCTAAAGGTCAAAAAGCTTTTTCGAGGCATTGAAATGTATAGAAGAGGAAGAGCAGGCATAGCTGACGGTGAAGAGATTCCAGTTGGTCTTTCACATCAGCACCCAGGATGAAGAGTTCACAGCAACTGCTGTCATGTCCTTTGACTTCCTGTCACCCATTCATTATCTGCTTACGTGGAAAAAAATTCATTCATACCAGAGTGAGACATTTGGGCAAATGTCTGCAGTACTCTCACCCGATTTAATCTGAGGGAGCTTTTATTTCAACAAACAACCGCTGATGAAAGTGGCACAGACTAGCCAGATGTCATGTCAGCGTGGTTTCCTCAATTAAACACGACCGGATTTCATGTTGCCAGTATCATCAGGTCAACTAAAGACTTCCTCCTGCATTGTGTCTGTGTCTCCATCATCTTTTCATCTAGCATTTCTGTCCAGTTTACAGTTCTACGGTGGCCTACATCAGAGATTAGCCCTGTCCATCACTAGATCGCCTGGGGAGAGTTAAAGCACCAGTGTGTGCAGAATAAAAGAGGATGAGTGGAGGATAAGCAAACACTCTGAGAGACTTCAGAAAAGCAAAAACAACACTTACGCAACAGGAATTTAGGCTGGTTTGGACGAGATAGCTCAGTGCACTTGGAGCTGAAACAATGCATTTCTAAAAACCATATGGACAAACCTACATAGAGCCTTCTCTAGGGCTGGTATTGTGATGACTTGATCTGTAGGAGTAAGTGAGGGTTAGAGGTGGATGATGAATCATGCATTGACATTCTCTCTCTCTCTTTCTCACCCCGTATCTCTCTCTCACCTATTCACAGAAAAGAGAAGAGGAGGGGTTGTTTTGTGAAATGCATTCCATCTGACTGACTGTGCCAATTTGTTACCACCATGTAATAGCAGCTCCAATATTTCGCTCTCCTCCATAATTTGCTGGCAGAAATGAGTCTTGGCTGAATCCCAATGAGTTATAGTCGCATTAAAGCTCAGGCAGGTTCCCAGTGACCAACTGTGACCTAAAGTGACTCACAACCTCTAACTCAGTTTGCTTTTATCTACAGATGCAAATATATTTGTAACAATTATGCAAACGTAAACACGTAAATCACATGTAATTGGGTTATAAAACATGGCTTTGCGGTGCAGTTTCATCAAATGCTACCGGAGCAGCATGCATGTAACATGAATGTAGATTATCGATTAGTGTGATTGACCAGGTGACACAAACATGGAGCACTCACCGGTTTATATCGTGAGATCATCGTTTTTTCCGCGTTGTTTACAGTGACTCCTAAAAAGACACTTCTTCAAGCTGTCACATCCGAAAGTAAAGAAAAGAGGTAAAGTTTCCGAGACTGCAGTTTCTCATGTGTTCACAGAGCACCAGACTTCTCGCCGTCCCACTCGTGTTTGACTACCCACAGCGCACGAGGTGATTTAAGGGTAAGACATGGAGCTGTCCACGGTGCTGAACCCGGGGACCGAGGAAGAGGAAAAGACGGAGGAGGTAGAGGAGGGCAGATCTTCCAGCCGAGGCCACTTTAGCTCTCTGTCTCGCAGTGCCGGTCGGTGGGTTAGTGTGGCAGGGGGCGCCCGAACAGACATAACATAGTGGTCGATACGACGCTGAAAGTAGCAGCAGTCACGTATGCCATCATGAAGCGGAGTGGATTACTGCACACGGCCGTTATATAACAGACAAGTGGGATGCTGCATAGAGCCAGCAGCACATGTAACATTATATGACGAGTCTGACAGTCTGTTTATTTTCTTTAAAGATGAACCCTTAGTTTATCTACCTGCATCACTTATTTGGAAATGCAACTTAAGAAAAATAATTTTATTCATGATCATTATAAGCAGAATTATGCACACAGTTCACGCTCCTCTCTGTGAGTATCTTGATATTCATGAAGGAGCACTGTTGCCCCCTGTGGACAGTCCATTACAAAATAGATGGCTTTCTATGCTTGAGATGTATGGATGAGGAAATAACAGGGGTAACAGCAAAGTAGAGGAGGAGGATCTCAAGAAAGCAGGGGATGTGGGAAATCTACTCAGATAACAACAGGCCTCTTAAGAAATGAGCAGAACTGCACTTATCAACCTTTGAAATACTCTGACACATGTTCATGAACAGAGCAGGCCCAAGCCTCAATGGGGCTCTAAGCAAAATTTGATTTTGGGGCCCTCTATTTCTGCCAATAATATTGATTGTTGATCATTCACACACCTACTACAGTTTAGATTTAATGTACCTGACATATCTTTACACATTTAAGGTGGTGGCCTAGGTAATAACATAAATAACACCAATGCAACCTTAGAAATAATACCAATAAATGACTGATGAATAATGTTCAGGGTACCACATATGGTTTGTAACACATTGAGGATGCTCAGTGCACATTGCACAGCAGAAGGCACATAACGGTAGCGGAGCTTTGACATGTCGGCAGTAAGAATCATAGGCCTACATCAGCACTAGCACTAAAATGTTTTTACTTTATTTTATTTTTACAATAACATACAGTACAGGCCAAAAGTTTGGACACACCTTCTCATTCAATGTCTTTTCTTTATTTTTTATATGACTATTTACATTGTAAATTATCACTGAAGACATCAAAACTATGAATGAACATGTGGAATCATGTGATGGAGATCCTAGGAGCTCTGTTAGTACTTTTAATGTGACCTGAATAAATGTTATATCTGAGAACTGAAGATTTCTCCGGTTGTCTTTGAGCAGTCAACTAAAGAACTGATTCTAACAAATGGGACAAAAATCAACGACCAAGTTTAGTTCCAGTTTCTAGTTAAAGCTTTACCACTAAATTTAGCACTTGTCCACTCTTGTAATGATGAACATAAACAGTGAAAGAGCAGATAATTTGAATGCAAGACAGAAACTCAGTCCTGAGTGTGAGCAGAATGTTTATTGGACCCTTTTAAGGCAGATTACAGAGCTGCTATTGATTACATTGTTTTTACTCTGCCTTTATTGATGCACTGAGGGATGAGACACAGTGAGACACACAGGGAAAGGTCAGAATAGCTGTTTGTATCTAAAAACAATAAGGATGTTCAGGCTTACAATAGATAAGAGATGATTACAGGACACATGGCTAGATCATCTTAGCAAGACAAGATACTGAGAGTGCTCGTTAAAGTTAACATCAAGGCTTTATGACCAGAAAGAAACAATGAATGAATATCTGTCTATTTTTTATAGGAAAACATGTCAGGAAAAATGATTTATTTCATCATGATGGAGAAAATGTGTACCAAGAAAACTCTGGCATCATCAGTCTGGTTTTCTTTGTCGGGTGTTTATGAGTCTAGAAGAAAGTTCTGCAAGAAAAAACAAACAGATTTCATGTATTTTATGGAGATTAATGTTGCACCAAAGAACATTTAGCTTTATAGAAGTAAATAAAAGTAGCTGAACCTGCTTTATATTTTAAACTGCATCTTTACAACAAGGATTTTACACAAGGGACAGGAGCTTAAAGGTACAGTGTGTAGAAACGTGAATAGTGATCAATAAGGGTTATATTCAGGCCTTTGAGGGACAAAAACTCATGTGATGCATGACATGTAAGACGCTCTATTCATCAAGGTTTTATTGCCAAAACTTCTACCAATAAAACTTTTGTGCACAACAACAATCACTCTTATATTTGTCTCCAAACCAATGCAGTTTGAGTAGCTACCCGCTGAATGCAAGAACACGCCTGGCATATTTTTAGTCTGCTCTGTGCTACTGTAGGAACATGGCAGTTGAAGAAAGTGGCCACTATGGGAAGGGACCCACTCAGTGTGGCACATTCTAACAAAAACAGGTATATTCAGGTACAAAGGTTAAGTACATTTATGAGTACTATATTCTATTTCAACCAAGCCTGGTCTGGTAACTACCTAAAATGACTACACACTGTGCTTTTAAGGAGGAAGGGCTCTGCACAAATGTCCCTTGCCAGTGTAGAGTGCTCAGGAAAGGACTGAAACCAGCATCTTACTAGTCAAAATGGGACTTTTTCACTTTTTTTAATCCTTTGGAAAGTTGCTTCAGGAAGTAAAAGTTCTTGCAACTTCAGGTGGGAACACACCACAGCAGAAAACCTGTATTTACCATGTGCATGCTTCAGTCACTGCACATTAAAGACAACACTCCCACACACATGCAGGTGAGTTTTAAAATAAGGTTATGAAGCCCAAGATTACTTTTCCCTTAACTCAGCAAACTGTCTGCATTTGTCTGTTTCGCTTTATTACATCATCCCTGCAACAAAGCCTGATTCAACCCATAAGATCATATACATTTGACTGCAGCACCAGCAGCAGAGGAATCCTTTCTACAGCTCTCTCTGCTGTGACGTTAAGTGTGTATGTATGTCAGAAACATGTAACAGCCCCTTTGAACAACATCAATCAGAAACACTGCTGAAGGCTGGCAGGAGTCCCTGGCTGCTTTCATGAGCGCCCATGACCTGTGGACATATGACAATACCACAGAGGCTGAACATGTGCGTATGTGTTTATAAATGGCTCAGTGGGTCAGGGCTTGGCAGATATATGCTGTGGTGGGTCACTGATCACATTAGTTGTAAAACTCTTCATCCTGGGGGCCTGGCAGCATTACTGAAGAGCACATGCTTTAGCAATAAAGACACACACTCTTGACATACATATGGAAAAAGGAGATCTGAATATTGTACATGATGAACACATTAATTGTTTTATGAAAACAGTCATCCTACAACAGTGTTCCATATATCTCACCATCTGAGGAAGGTGAGAGGCGGAAATATGAAACCAATGTGCTCATTTGCTTTCTCCTGATTAAGAAGGACTCTGTCACATGTGCTTAATAAGAAAAGGGGCCAAACAAAAAAAAACCAAACGGCACACCAAACATCCCCTCTGAGACGTGCAATGAGGTAGAGGAGGAGTTTAGGTGAATTACCAGGACGAAGGTGAAGTAGTAGGAAAGGACGGACTAGTGCTGAAGCAGGTAGCCATGTCTGTACAGAGTTGCACTGCCTTCAAACACCTTTCTGTTCACAGCGGGACTGACTGATGCTGACTTAGGGCTGCATACAAATGCACACACACACAGTCACTCACTGAAGACTACTACTCTGGCCTGAATTGTCAAAAAAAAATCTTCACATGTGCATTTTTAAAATATTATACTTGATGTATTTCCGATATCATGTGCTCCATGCTCTGATAAGAAACAGATATGCTTACACTTCGTCGTCATAATCTTTCGGAGGGGAAACTGTAATCACAACATCGATCCAGTCCTGAGGGGGAAAACAAGTCACTTTATTTTGTGTTTTACTAAATCAATAAGAATAATGAGTTCAAGCAGCGTGACTAAATCTGTAAGTCAGAACATGAAAACAACAAGCATATACACTTAATCATGGTTGATGGAGTTTAACTCAAGTCAATAAAAGAGCCCAGCTGCACCCGTGTAATGATATGCAACCTCTTAGAAACTAATTGCAATGTTCCAATGCTCCTACCCCTCCACTGTTCCAGGCTCGAGCCAGAGAGTTCTGTCCCTCAGTCAGTGTGGCATTGATCAGGATCTTCCCATTCACAGCCATGAGTTCATCCCCGGGTACGATGCCACCTACAAACACACACACATATATATCAGACACCGTTGTAGTTAAACATTAAATGTTAAACAGTTGCAGTGGGGGAGAAGTCCCCCAATCAACACCTGATTATTCACAGAACATGTTCTTAGTGGTTCTGCATATGTTCAGCGTGAAGACCATATTACCACTGTCATAATGAGGTTCAAATAAAGGCAAAGATAAATCATTAATCATGGTTTTCTGTTTATTTGTACAGCTCTTTCCCTTCACAGACACAGCGAAATGAGAATCTAGATATAACGTAGGTTTGCAATGTAAAAAGGATGTTTGGGGTTCAGTTTAAGTAACTGGACTGAGACATGGTCGAACAGTCCTGGAGTAAATCCTGTGGTATCTTGCTAACCTTGCTGAACTGTAAAATATTTCAATTTTGCTTGAACTGGACTACTGAGAATACTTACAGCTTTAAGTTTTAAAAACACATTTAAATTTGTCATGCTGTCACTGCAACTCCTACAAAGAATTTCACGAAGGCCAAATAATCTCAATAATATTACGAATGCGTATTTATTTATTTTTTTGATCTACAAAAAGCCAAAAATAATAAGATTGACTTTTTTCCACACTGGCTATTTTCGTGTGTGACATGGCAATTTATTCTGGCTTGAAAAAGCATTGAGAATAAAAAAGGGACTGACCGTGCTTATCTGCAGCGCCGCCCTCGTACACAGACGACACTACCAACTTCCCCAAAGGAGAGTCTGCACCTCCCTCCAGAGCAATATCAAGATGTCCAACCTAATGAGAAATAAACAAAAACATCAACCTTATAAGTCATGTTTCAGAACAGCTAAGCCCAACGGTATTGAGTGAGATTCCTCTCGTCAATAAACAGAGTTATCTTAGGGTACCTTTTTGATTCTCAGCAGTCTCACATCTCGCCCGTCTATCTGATCTGCAGAAAACTATTTACAGAGAGTGAGCATTGAAGGAAGAAAAGAGAATAAAGTAGAAAACACTCCATTAAGTTTGAGATCTAATAGAGATGTCAACATGAAGAATAACTTCCTTCTCTAAACATATTCAAAAACTAGCTGATCTAACTAAAAGTAGTCCCAGTGTTACTATATTGAGTAATTGTTTGTTAGTTTATAGATGTTAAATTTCATTCCTTTGTTGCAGCTGCATATTTTAAGCCACATTAAACAGCATAAGCTCTTAAGGATAGTTAACCCTCATGTGAAAGAGGCAGACATGCAGTTTTGGTTTGATCAGGCATACAATACCATGGAGTAGGGATCGAATTCTTCCTCATATTTCTGAAATCCCTGAAAGAGAATCAACATTTGTCTCATTAAAACTTTTCAATATGTGCGTTCTGAGTCAGAGAACAGGACATGGAGTGAATACAAACCCTACAAAATCTGTTAATGACACTTCAGAGTGCAGGTGACATTTCCTTTGACAACCATTTCTAAGTGAGAGTTAATGCCCTCTTGAATAAATGGGAAACCATGGAGACAGCCAGAGTCGTTTTAAAACCTCAGGACAAAATTAATAAACATGAGTGCACAGGGATGTTTCATCTCAAGGGAAGAAAACACAAATTAATCTAAGTGTTTATTTCCTGTTGTGCAAACACTTAACAATGAAAATAAGAAATGAGCTCCTGCATATCTTTATTTATCATGGTCGCAGACAGCAGACCAAACAAGACCATGAATTGTGCTTTATCTATGATGGAAACAGTAAATCAAATCACACTGACAATTTAAAGAGAGTGAAGGGTAACAGAAAAACAACAGTCCTCAGAGTAAACGCAAACATCTGTTTTCAGTAAACATCAAAATCAACCAATCAGCACTGAGACCACAACTCTGTGGCATTCAGTCCCACACCATATGTCCACAATACAACTGAGCGCTATGAATCAATGAAAGTGCAGTCATGCTTAAACCGCACAGCTGGACCTAAAGGCAGCAATGAAGTCAGCGGAGAGGATAAACCGACAAAGTAAAAGGAGAGCCATCACTCAGGCTCCAGTCAACCTGATGTGTGAGCTGGAGAGCAAAAGTGAAGAGGGAAACAGGAGGGAGAGCACTCAGTGTTGTAATTAATTAAGGGAGGTGGTGATAAGTATGGATTACTTGTCGTTTGGTGTTCGATTTAAATGATGAGTTGAAAGGCACCATCCGTTTCAGCATTTCTGGAGGCTGAAAAAAGCAGACCAGGTAACAGCTTGAACAAACATATTTAAAAAACAGAACAAATGTACTCTCATCCTGGAAATATTTTCTGTCCCATTTGTGATGTAGAGTAGAGTTTGTTTCGACTCCATCACCATATGAACCTTGATCATCAACTGAATAGACAACTGGGTAGTGAACATCTGGAGAGACATGAGATCTTATTCATTGCTGACTTTACTGTAAAATAATGTTGTACCAATAACAAGTATTGATTATTACCACACTATAAGAATTCCTAGCGTTCAAATGAATGCTAAATGTTAGCTGTGGAATATCAAATGAGTTGCTTGATTTCAAAATAAGGTCAATAAAATTGTTACTCACATCAGTGAAAAATATTACTCCAAGAGTTTATTGTGGGTCTTAGCATTGGCTAACACTTTGTATTGATTTATCAAACATTCACGTACAATAGGAATGATGATGATGACTTTAGTTGTTATCCAGTGGTAGCCTGTGGGTATTCAAATACACTGTTTCACAGAAAAAAATGGCCTGGTTGAATACTTTTCTTTGATACTTTTTCAGAATTTGCTTGTCAGATATTGCAATGAGGAGTGGGTGAATGTGGAACGGTTGAACTGTGTCGGTAAAAATGAGAGAAAGCAATGTCACTAACAGACAATGCTTGTATTTGGTTTATTTTTACTCATATTATTTGATGGAAAAGAGTACAATTCTGACTAGTGGCCATGTCCATACTGCAGCCTTTCCCTCAGACATCATTCCAGGAGTAAATTGTCTGCTATGTTGCAGGTAGTAGGAGTGTGCTACAAAATGAAACTATTTCACAGCCTCTTACCTCGACTGAAAACAATTAAGAGATGAAATCTATTCAGAAGTGTGGCAATGTCTAGAGTTCAAAAGTACCCAATGATGCTGTAACTTCAGTCAGACACTGCCAACGGGAGCATTTAGCCACCTGGTTGATTATTTGCCCCATCTTCAGGGAGATGTCTGAAAGCTTATATCACTGTTTTTGACAGTTTAATGATAACACAGAAAAAAGCCTAAAATCCAAGCTAACATAAGGATGGCCTTACATATTGGGGGTAAAACCAAAAATGATTAATCTGTTGCTCAGCAGTAGTTCACGGGTTATAAACAAACATGTTGGTTTTATCTTGAACTATGGTTTCATATTAATCCCAGTTTTCTTGCCTATTGTTTTTCCAGTCGTTAAGAAGAGTTCAAATGGTGACAAACATCATTTAATATCTGACACCCCATGTACTGGAGTGCAGTGTTATAACAATACTTGCTCTTCCCAACTTGATGTGACAGGAAAATTGGCTGGCATGTGAAAAGTGGGAAACAGCAAACCCTTTATTTCCCCTTAAGGTCCATTTTTATGCTGACAACAGCAATTTTGTGGATTTACAGCAGTAAACTGTGCACCATAGTCCCTGAAGAAAAAGTAAACAAGACTTGCCACAAAGAAATTGCTCCAATCTGCAGCAATTCTCTTCAATATTTCCTACTTAGTTTCTTAAATACAACATTTATGGCAGTGTTTCAAGACATGAATAATAAAGCTGTGTGCCAAAGGAGAAATACATGTTTTATGTCATCCAAATCCCTCAGCTATACAGTCAGGGGGGCTTTCAATGAAGTATTTAACCTACAGCTGTGCAGGTACTTAGTGACTGATGGTAGGAGTGTGTGTTTTTGTACCTTAGACTTGGATGTGTGACTCCTAATGTGAAGAACACAGTTGCTGGAAATTGCCACTTTAGAAATGTACGCAGATTGAAAACTATAAAAATGTTCCCAGTTTTATAAGTTTGATTCTGTGAAGTCAAAATGATAAGTGATCTAATAACCAACAGATCTCTTTTTATGAAACAGCTGGAGAGTCTGGACAACGTAACAGCTCTGGGACAGAGAGGCAGAGATTAGCCCACCACCCTGATAATGGCATGCTGTGTCAGATGTCTGAATGTTTTATAACCTTATTAAGTAAAATCAAGGTTTTGTGCCAGAAGGAGGAGACCGGAGTGTGTGGGGTTCATACCAGGCCGTCAGAGCGGACTGCAGGTCTGTGTGGATCTGGGCGATGGGTCTGGGACTGGGGCAGCATGACGGGTTTGGACATGACAGGAGCTGTTTGACGCCTCTGGTTGGGGGGACTAGGAGCGAGTTGCTTAATGGGAAAGACCAAGAAGCCATGAAAGAGGTAAGTAAAGGTTTGCATTGAAATGTTTCACATCAGATAAATCCATCAATTAAAGCATCTGGTTTGTGTGAACTCAAAGTGGCGCTTAAAACCATTTTCAGATCCAGATACCACTTCCAATACCACCAGTGCAAAATATTTTCCAGTGCTTCATTTTTTTCTGCAGGATTGAAAAACACTCTTTTATGGTGATAAATTAAGTGTTTTCATAACCCTGGGATAGCTTTACACTTTTTGCTAGCACCAAATGTTGTTGTTGTTTACAGTGATCACATGTTAATCAGCTGAAACCAGTTGATATTTAGGGGCTGATACAAATTGAAGCATTTGATTGGTGGGCGAACTGGTGTCCTGGCTAGCATTGATTTATATAAATACTGTATAAATAATAAAATGAGAAAGTTTAGTTTAAAAAACTTAATACCAAATTTGAAAAAGACAGAAAAAAAAAACTCACCAAGGGCATACTTGAATTGGAAATTCGGCTGGCATGGGAGGTATTTCTCATTACCTGAGCCAAATTGAAATAAAATAAATCTTTCTGCCCTCCGGCATGCACAGAGCGCTGCAGGAATACCACACTCTAGGATTAACTCAGATTCCAGCACACACAATTTTTTATCCCAACCGCAAACAAAACCCACCATGCCAGAGTTCACTCAATTAAACAATCCTCACAGCTGCAAGCGAACATCAATAACATTAACTGTGTCTCTGAATGCATTTCCCTCAGCTAGACCAAAAAATTGTAAATCAATGGCCGCCTGATGTCGTCATGCTAATGCTGTGAATTGCTTTATTCTCATGCATAAAACATTACTATAAATAAAACAGAACATGCTCAAAACATATGCATCAAAGAGAAATGGGGTCATGCAACCTTGAAAATGCATGAAGTCTTGTCACCTGCCAACATTTTTCTTCTAAGTGCTGATGCAACTTTTTCCCATAGATGGAAAAAAAATCTCTGCACAAGGCAAAGAAAAGCAAATCAACTAATCCACCCAATCATCCCTCACACGAGCATGTCTGACCTTTGGGCTTGATGGGTATGACATTTCACTCGTGTTTGATGAGTAAATCCCTCCTCTTGGGAGATAGCCACCTGCCTCCCACTCGCTCCTGCGCTCTGGAGGACTTGGTGGGTGTTGGAGATGATGGTGGTGATGCTGGTGATGCTGGCGGTATCCACTCAAGGTTCCTACTCGATCCTCTGAGTGTTGTGGGGGTGGTGGTGGAGGAGGAGGCGGAGGAGGTGGAGGTGGAGGGGGCGGCGGGGGAGGTGGCCGAGGAGCAGGCTGAGGGGAGGAGGGAGGCCAAGAGGACTGAGAGGGAGGAGGGAGATGCGAGGGAGGTAAGCGAGGTTGTTGGGGAGCGTGGTGCTGAGGGTGGGGCCTACGCCCTTTATTTTTCAAGGTGGAGGGGGCTGAAGGAGGTTTACCAGCGGCAGGCTGAGAAGGAGGGCGCCGCTGCGCTGCTGCCCGAGAGGAAGGCGGGGAGTAGTTGGGTATGGTGGGGTTCAGTTTAGGTGAGGGTGGAGGGAGGGGTAAGGGAGGGGGAGGCTGGCTGGTGCTGGGCTGAGTGGGGGCCAGTCTCTTCAGAGGACCCCTCAGGCTCTGATCCACTTCATCCAGGTTTATGTCGTCCAGATCAGTGGTGGCCAAGTGGAAGCCTCCAGGGAAGCGCTTCACCTTAGGCTCAGAGGCGGGTGAGAGTGGCGGGGAGAGCTTCAAGTCACAACAACAACAATAACAAAAATGACTCGTGTGTCACTCCTATTGAGTAATTTAACATTCAGCACTCATCAGGTGACACAAACACATTCAGACACACGGTCTACAGGTGCTGCTGTGTGACTTGATGCACATTAAGAAAAAAAGGTTCTTGAGTCTTTTATCTTCTTTGGTAATTCTTATTATCTTATGTAAGAAGAATAAAGGAGGAAAAGCCTGAACTCCAGCCTCCCTCAGACAGCATTTATAGAGTTGTCCATTCATATAATCCCTAAATGTTACTAACTTGCAAATAACGAGTCAATTATGAGTGCATTTTTTGGAGGAGGACTTGGTCATTAGTAAAACTGGAACACTCTCTCCACTAATAAGTAATTTAAACCTTAACATCCCTCTTTCACTGAGCTCTGGAGGCTGGGGAAAATCTCTCTAAACTACTGAGTAGCACTTAACTCTATTGCCCTGCATTATCTTACTCACCTACTCACCGCTGATGTCTTTGTAAACATGTTTGAAAACTGAGGTTTTTGACTTAACAAGGCAGAGGTGCCAGGTGCTCTCTTTAAGATGCTGCTGAAGAGCTCTGAATACAGGGGGGTTTTAGCAAAGGCAGTTTCACTTTGTACCTCTGGAGACTCGTTCTCCACACAGGAGATCTGCTCCAGCCGAGTCTGACAAAGACGCTCTACCCAGTGTTGCACCTTCTCTGACTCCTCTAGGTCCTCTCTCTCCGTCTCTGACACCTAATAAAAGACAGAGGCCATGCAGGATAGAAAAATAAACTCTACTCAAATATACCTTACAGTTCACTTTATGAAATCTCTCCTCTCCATACCTCCTGGACCAGTCGATTTATCTTCAGCTGCTTCTCCCGTTCATACATCTCCTCCTTCTCCTTGGCGAGTTTCAGCTCAAACTCCATCTCCTTCTTGTTTTTCCTCAGCTCCTGCAGTGTGTCTGTGTTGGACACTTTCTTCTTCTTCTTCTTTTTCTCTCCTTTCTGAAGTGCCATCAGTTAGTCAAAACAAAGAACAGTTGACAGACAAATCTGCCACTTCAAAACCCCACAGCACGACATGCACGAGTAACAGCCAGTGTGTGACGGTGAAACCCACAGAAAAAAACAAAGACAAAGGTCTGATCTTAAACCAGTGAAAAGCTAGAATGGATCTATTCCACTCTCTGATCTGTAGCCACTCCAAACACCACAAAGAACTCAGAAAGCTGACGGTACCTTGTGAAATGATGGAAGTTTCCCCTCATATCGATAAAACCAGCCAAAAGCTATAGATGGAGATAAACACAGGTCACCTTGAAAAGGTCTTTACAACAACCTTAAAGAAACGCCAAACACTGAAAAAAGAACCACAACACAGGATGCATAGGGATAAATGAGAGTAACAGATTCACACCTTCACTTCTTTTAAAATCAAACTGCACACTGTGTTTTCCTGATGCAAATTAGATGAATTAAGCTGTGTGTATGTAATTTCCAGCAGCTTTTAGAAAATAATGTAAGCAATTGCAATGACTCTGAAAAGGTCGTCTCCAACGGTTTTTCATTTTGGTTGTCAAAGGAAATCCGGCACTTGAATTTGTGTACAAACATCCTCCTACGACAGCTGTGAGAGCTGAGGCTCCAGACTCACTTGTCTGTCCTGCTCTTCCTCCTTGTCTCCTTCTGTGAAGGAACCGGCTTCATCAGCTTCAGAGGGGAGGAGACAAACAGCGACACAGCACACACAGGGAGGTGACAGAAAGAGAACATGCAGAGAGGAAAGGGAAAGTGAAAACACACGAGTTTCTTCTAAAAAACTTTAGAGGAAAACGGAAATGTCTGCACTGAATCAAACAGAGGCTCTCTTCACACACTTAAGGAAGGGATTGATTCAGGTGTTCTTACGTGAACTCTTTGCTTTTGCACTTGTTTTCTTGTCCTGAGGGGCAGGTGATGGACTCTTTGGGGTGCGGGGGCTCTTAGGACTCTTGGGCCTGCCTTTGGCTCCCCAGTCCTCCTCCCACTCTCTGTTCTGCTTCCTCTCCACAGCCTCAATCCTGCAGGGGCCAACAAAACAGGAGATTGACCTCTAACACATGCCCAGAATGCCAACAAGCTGGCTTTTTATGGACTTAAAAAAAAATGATAATAAAAAATAGTGATTTACTTCTCCATCTCCTTCTTGTACCGCTCCTCTTCTTCTGCAGTTTTCTGAGAGATCTCCATTTGTCTCCTGTTAAACACATGAAAAATATACCAGTTAAATCACCATATATTACAGAACAAATCTATCAATACAAGGACAGTTTATAGCTGCTATGAGAGCGTCCATCCTGCAACAAATGAAATGCAGCCCCATATTTCATCAGCAGATATTGCTGGCATCAAAGCACAGAGGAAATTGAGTGCAGTGTATGAATTTCAAATGACTGTGAGGAGATGATTAAGTATGGGAAAAATACATCTATACAGTGATGTACCATATAGCAGTTCAAAGGAAAGTCCTTCATGTAATTTATGTACCAGCATATGTAGGAAATGTTTGTCCGTCCTTAAGACCTGTATATAATCCTTTCCCTGTCATGGTGTGTGTTGTAAGCCGACCATGCAATACCCTGGATGCAAATGAAGTATTTAGAGTCAACTTCAGACTGACTTCATGCTCCAGAGCTAATAATTGGACCATGTTGTTAGCTTGATTGTGCTCGTTTTCAACTGTTTCTGACATATCTGCAAATGAACCAGTGCACTCTGGATAATGAGGAAAAAAATGTGTCTTCTTACTGAAAGTGGACAAAAAAACCCAAAGGGCACTGTTCCTGTTGCGCTCAGTTAACCCATAAACGAAGGGCAATTACTTGCTTCATGTAGTTTTTTAAACTAAGTGATCTCAATTTTGAGGATGAACAAAATAAAACCATAAGACACTGAAATCATACATCTAGACTCACATGTATAACTGGCTTTGCTGTCTATATATGTACCCTCATGTATGTGTTTGTGTGTGTGTTTGCCAATGTATATATGCTGTTGCCAAAGTGCTTTTCTCTGGAGTTTCAGATAAAAATTACATCTATGTCATAAAATCAACCTAATTTCAAACCAGGTCAAAACACTGAGTGCATCAAGCGACTTTAAGATGAGCCAAAGATGACAGATGCTTGTTATTCCAGATATATTGGGTTTCTTGTAAGAATAATAAGCTGTGATTTGTTTTGATTTTATTTTGAATCATGAACATGTCCTACCAAGGACCCAATTTCTTCCATTTCCAGCTCGCAAACTAAAAAGTGTCAATGACTCCATCATTCAGCTCCTCAAATATCTGTCTTTTGTGCTTCTGCCAAACTACACAGTTTGACACTCACTGGCGCTCCTTCTCCTGCTGCTCCTTCAGGATTTTGTTCGTCTCCAGAGCGACCCTCTTCTGATGCATCAGCTCCTGTCGGTCCAGCTCCCTGCGAGCCTCCACTGCCAAACGCTCTTCATCAGTCATAAACAGCTCACTGCCCTGAGGGGGCAACAAAATGCAGAGAAGATAATTAGACATATTGTGTCCAACAGGGGTCCTCAAACTTTCTGGCTTTGGATACCAGCAAGCCTGTACCAGCTTCCAAGTGAATAAGGAGTAGTGTGTCTGTTAGATAACTCTCTGTCTGTGTCGGAGGAAAGAGACATGATTTAATTTTTATAACAGTTCACGAGTTTAGTTTCAATTTCTGTGATTTATTGGCCCCATGAAAACCACAGTTGCTTCAATTCAGCACAGCAGCCTTGTATTTCAATAACCTCTGCTGGTGGATATGCTGCTAAATAAACACTGACACAAACACACATATACACACTAATGCTTTATAAGGGCACCAAGGGAAACTGTAAATGAGACGTGACTGCTCCTCTCAGCTACACCTTCAGCTGAACAGCACAGAGGCAAACAACCTGTCCAGTGACTTGACTGATGATGATTGTAGTTTCTCCAAACAGCCTGACTGAGAAATAGGCTGGGTCCTGTGATGTCTCAAAGACCATATGGTGCATAAATCTTAGCAGGTCATGAATAAAAAAGGAGCGATGGTAGGAGTTAGTTTTTTGCATTTACAGTTGATGATACCTGAACTGCTTCACTTTCTGAGATAAACACATTTCCTTTAAAGAACTTTTGAAGTGATGAGACTGACCAGTACGTTAAATTTTCACTTGTCGGCACATCATATATGATGCCAATAACCAATTCACACACACAGCAATTAGAACTCTTTCATATTTATAGGTTTTAAATTGACTTCAGATGGGTTTAATGATGGTTTATCATGTTTGAATGACAAAATACAAAGTAAGTCTGGGATAACTTCACACATCTCAGTGGGATGTGTCTATTATGCAAGTGCAAAAATTTAAGAGTTTAATAAAATGCTTATGACAAAAAAGTGTAAAAAAAGTTGAGATAGTCTGTAAAATGTTGATCAAAACAGATGTTGATGGTTTTCAAGTCCCATATTTAATGGGAATAGAGCAAAGACAACCAGTCAAATGATGAAACTGAAAGTTCTTATTGCTTGAAATAAAAGGATGGGGTAATATCTCAGAACTAATGAGTTTCATTTGCACCAGGCTAATAACATGACTGGGTATGAAAAAAAGCCTTTCAGAGAGGTTGAGCCTCTCTTAAGTAAAGATGAGAAAAGATTCAACATTCTGTAAGAACTGTAAGAACAACTACAGTTCGTAATACCATAAAAAAGAAATTCAGGGAATCTGGGGAAATCTCTGATCTGAAATCTTATTAAGTGACTGAGCGAAAATCCAATAGAAGTCAGCTATAGTCTCTTTCGGCACAGTAATAAAAAACATTGTACTGCCAAGTCTCAGCAGTAGAATTCGCTAGATATGCTTAAAATCACAGCCATAAGTCTATTAACTATGAACACAGTTTGTTGCTGCATCCACAGATGCAGGCTCAAACGGTACTATTCATAGGAGAAACATGATCCAGAGCTCAAGCCCATTTAAGATTGATTAAGGGGAAGTGGAAAACCATCCAGTGGTCTGACAATTTTTTATCATGGCAGGCAAAAACTTTTAAATCTGATTCTGAAAATTTGACAGTCCTTTTGAAAATTATAGGTGCCGTATCCTTTGCTCTTAAGAAGAAATGGTTGCTTTCAGTGGTTCGGGGATGTGTAAGCACTCCTGGCGTGTGATGTGGGACGGATGCTTGGAAGGAACTATTAATCCTGAACAATTTTGGAGGAACATATGCAGTCTTAGAGACATTAACTTTTTCAGGAAAGTTTTTCCATATTTGAACTAGAAAACGTCAAACCACATTATGCATGCATGACGACAGCATTGCTATGTTGTATAAGAGCCTGGTGCTCAACTGGCCTGCCTGTGGTCTTGGCTTGTCACCCACTGACATTTGGAACATCATGATATTTTGAAAAAAATACAAAACCTCAAACTGTCAAGCAGCTGACATCCAGAAATAGTCAAGAAAAAGAGGTTCAATTTCAAAACTCCAGTATAAAACTCCTCCTTGTTACTTGTGTTTCATGAACTGTCTCAGGAAAAGGTGTTGCAACACAATGTTAAACATGCCCAAGTCCCAACTTTTTGAAAGGGGTTTCTGACATCCAACTAAAAATGAACTTACAGTTCAGTTAATCACAAACAGTTAAACAGTTATTTTGAATGAAATAATGGGTTTTTAAGATTTGCTAACCACCAATTTCTGCTTTTATTAATATTTTGAGTACTAACTGTTGGAATTGGGGTTTGACGTTTAAATGCAGAAAAACATAGTTCAAATTTGTACTTACAGCTCCTGTTAGGACAGTGATAGTCAGACTCCTGCTGCTCTTCAAGACTCTTACAGCCTGTAAATACAACAACAAAAAAATCTATTAATGCCTCAGGGTTTTAAGATGTCTGCAACTGAAGGGTATAAAAATGGACACAGAATTTAGTAAGCATATTTATAAAGGCTAAAGTTATGATTAACTCCTAACTTTGTTTTCTCCATTAGCCACTTTGGTTGGAGGGCTTTTTATTTCATATTGAAAGCTATAGTTCTGCAGCTCAGTTAGAGTCATTTGAAGAAAGAAAGCTACCAGTGATAAAAGGGTAAATTATTGCTGGTACCATAGCTGAAAAAGATAGTATCTTGGAGGAAAATAATACAATTTTGGTCTAAAGTTGCCATTTATGATACATAATAAAATTCTGCATAAATCACCTCTTTGTGGTCTGCGTTGGTGAAATCCACCCCATTCACCTCCACAATCTGGTCTCCCACCTGCATTTTAGGATCAAAACGTGTCATTAAAAGAAGGCCGTTATACAAGTATTTGATCAGTATATATGTATGTTCTGATAACTTTGATAAATAACCTCTAGTCCGACTTCTGCAGAGAGGGAGCCTGGCTTGACGTTGCTGATATAGATACCAGGTTTCTTTGTTGGACCGCTGGAGATGCTGATACCCATTCCCTTCGTACCCACCAGACTGAGGAACACCTTCTTCTCCTTGATTTCTTTGCCTCCAATGGATGCCAAGCCTGCAACACTGCTTTTCTTCTCCTAGAAAGAGACAGCAATGAAAAACAAAAGTTGATATGGTACAAATTCTGAAATGTAGTAAACGTCACAAAGAAAAAATAATAATCTGTCTTTTACCCCTGACTCAGACACAAACTGGTCCACAAACTGCCACTTAAGGGGTTCGTCTGATGAGCTGGAGAGTAGAAAAAAGACTTATGAGTGCAAAGTGACCTCTATATTACAAATTTATACTAAATATGCAAGTGTAGCTGTCTCAGTGAATTAATTATCTCACCTTTTCACTGGGATCATCCCCACATCTGTACAGACAGAAAAAACAAAACAAAATCAACTAGGCTGTCAGAGATACAGTCACATTAACTTATCTAACTCCTGATAACAAATGCATCTGAGTTTGACGTACGTCTGACTTTGAGTGACACAATCTTCTTGGTTTTGATGAGACTGATGACTTCCTCATGGATACAGGAGGAAATGGAGTATCCGTTGATTCGCACAATCTCGTCACCAACCTATAAATCAGCGCAGAATAAGACATTAGTGATGATGACACTTTCTTCTTCAGTGTCTCCTATCAGATCGCAGCCCAACAATGAAAAATATTTCAACTGATATGATCTATCGATTTGTTTGGTCTAGTCACATTTGGATGATTTGTTATTTATGCAGCCGATGTTTTGAGCTGAGGAGATCAAACAGTGAGAGAGGCTGAACAACAAAGATGGAAAAACTGACGGATTTTTTACTGGATTATAGATTTTTTAATTTTTTAAGCCTGCAAACCTCCACAATAACATGTTCATGCAGTAACATTTTACATGTACACATAAGAACACATGCGCTTTGTTTTTCTGCTGAATAAGTCATCAAATTGTTTATTATGCTGTTTAACTCTGGCTAGCTAAGCAAGAAAATTGTCAATTCCTTTAATTTTTTTTCGCGATATATCATTATTTTTGGACTTAATATTAATTTTTAAAAAACTGTATTATTTCATTTGATATGACATATGTTTTTATTAAGACTTTTTGTTAAATAGGATTATTGTTGCCTTTTTCATTGTGAGCACACGATGCCATTTGTATCAAATACAGGCAAGAAGCACCACACAGACATCTGTGGATGCTCCGCAGCATTTCCTCATTTTTCTTTATATCAGTGTAGGTTTTGACAATATCATGTTAAACTTTGAAATACATTTGAAATTAACTTTCTCTATTGCCTTGTTATGTATTTACATATATTTTGGAGGGTTGGGAGCAAATCAGAGAGACATTTCGACCCCTCTTCTTGCAGGTCTGTCAGAGTCTAATCTATTAAGGCAACCAATTAACTGGTCACAAGAGGATATAGCTTTGACTTATTGTCCAAATGGGAGAAACTAAAATCTGTGACTCTAAATTTATCAATGTGATGCTTTACTCCACCTAGTGGATACTGGTATTATCACTTCTACAACACTGGAAATGATTCACATGAGTGAATGAGTGATTTAAAAATGCACAGTAGTCCTTTTGAACTTACCGAGCGTACAGTGATGCAATAATAAGCTGTAAATTAGTAAACTGAAAGCCACAAACATAGAGAGAAATAAATGGGTGGGATCGTGCCATATACATAAGATAGAAATCAGTCAAAGAGAAGCATGTACTGAGTGGGGATACAGGGTAGCTGCAAACGTCAGGATTTTTACAGTTAGTTTTTGTCTAGCAATGTCAAAAAAAGGTTTCCACACATGAAGGAAATACCTGTGCGAGTTTGATCTGCTGGCACAGATCTGTTCCATCTTAGCAGGAGAAAGCATTTCATTGAGCCACCTTTTGAAAAATAGAGGTGTTGGGGACTACCAATTCAACAGTATTATCATTTTTTTCAACCACTATGTCGGTGCTTAAGGCTTGTTTTTGATGAGATGGAGGAGATTTTGTCCCATCAGAGAAACCAAATATTGCTAAGAGGCAGTCTGGCTTCAATTTTTAACCAGAGTGGGGAGCTAGCTGGCCAGTCATGATCAGCCCTTGCATTTGCAGCCCAATAATAATGTTTACACATTGGGAGGCCAATATGGGGGGCATATTTGCCCAAAACAAAAGAGAGGATACTTGTTTAAAGAACGATTGTGTAAACATAACAGGAAGGTTTTGAAATAGGTACAAAAATGTCTGTGATACTCTTTTTGTGAGAGTTTTGTACAAAGGAGTTGAGTAGAATAACTGGAATGAAAAACTATCAGAAAGTAGAAACTGGCACAATTTACAACCTGGAGGCCAACATTCCCGGCCTGACCATCTTTGACAATCTGTGAGATGTAGAGACCACAGCCAAACTCCAGCCCCCCTCGGACACTCAAACCCAGGCCATCACGATGTGTCCGATCTAAACGCACCTCCTTCAGCTTCCTGTATGAACAGAGGGAAGAGAAACAGATTGAAAACAAGACAAGAGCCAGCTGTATGAGCCTGAATTTAGGAAAACAAAGACGTTTTCAGCATGGAGTGTGAAATGCAGAAGGAAAAGTCTGTGCTGTCTGATGACCACTCACCGTGATCTCTTGGGGGTGAGCAGATCATACTCCACCTGGTGCTTGAGAGGGATGAGAGGTCGAATGGCGTCAAACAGTGGCAGACGCTTTGGTTCATTGATGACCAGCTTCAGGTCTCCAACCAGCACCTGCAAATCCATCGACCTAGAGGAAGACAGGGAAGGTGTTAAGTATGAGTTTGGTCATTTTGAATAATTTCTAAAGGCTGAGGGGAAGTTCAGTTTAGTGAATAAAAATCTGGTGGACACATTTGAGACTACCATTTTTTAGGCTTAAGCAAAGTCAAGTTTTGCTAACTGAACAGCTTATTACAAACTCAAAATGTTATATCCACTTCATTCTGGAGGGCAATTGCAGTAATGACTCTTGGAGGGTTTTTAGCAATCACACGATTGTTCAAGTTCTTTTAGAATACAGTCACAACTCTTGCACATCCATTTTGAAGTCTATACTGAGGTTTTCAAAACAGGCCAAAATGCAGCTCAACAAAAGCTATTGTCTATTTAATTGCACACACAGTTCTTCTATGTCAAAACCCAGTGCATACATTTCCAACAAAGCATTTTGGACATAGTTTTATGGTGATGTGGTTTGCTTAAAGCCACTAGTTTGGCTCATAGATTGTATATACTATGGACAACTTGGTTCCGCCTTTCGCTAGTATACGGATTTGAAGCAGAAAAGCTCTCAGTATAAAATAAAAAATGCCCTAAAACTGTTTTCTTTACTAGACTTATTTTCTATCTTAGAATAAGACTCTCATATTCTCTTTTCTTTTTTTTGTTGTTCTTTTGTTAATCAAGATAGCTGGTTCAACACTTTATATTCTATGTATAGCAAATGTGCCTTTAATGTTTGTATTTTGATGATACTTCGAAGGAAAAAAAAAAAAAAAAGCTTGGTATTTCTGTGTTTTTTCTTCACTTCCTAAAACCAACATTGTGCAGTAGTGTTGTACGCACCACCACTCACACAGTAGCATTGTACACATATGGTAGGAGAGTCACAGAGAGTCTCTATGATGACGCTCAGCTCAAACAGCGTATTCCGCCGGTGAGCTTCGCAATCTTTGTACACCCATAGGCTGTATCAAGTGTCAATCATAGAAAACATGAACCCCCTAATAACTTTTAAAAATGGAGCTGCACAGAAAAAAGAGGACTTGAGCACAAACCAGTCTTACAGTAACTACATGTCAACATCACAAGCAGGGTGTAGAAAAAAATATATTCTCTCTTATAAATTTCCTGAATTTGTCCACAGCTCCATAGGGATTATTGGAGGAGGCGGGATTAATGACCTATTCTGCAGCCCGTCACCAGAAGGTGCTGTTCTCGGGGTATCTTCACCCAGCAAGGAGGCAGACAACATCCATTCTATATACAGTCTATGGTTTGGCTTCTAACTTGAATTAGATACAAGGAGTTTGAAAAGTTTTCTGTTATCTGGCCACAAGTCTTGGCTTTTTATGCTGTTTGTCTACATATCCGTAACACCTTAAACACACCTGATGTCTAAAATCACATCCAGCTCTGCATCAATTTCTGTTTTGGGCGACAATTGCCTCAAATAACAATTCTATTGCCATCTGATGGAAAAAAAACAAGTTGATCATCTTTCTCACACAATTCACAGGAAAACAAAAGGCAACTAGAACAGCAATTAAAGGAACAAAGTAAGAGCTGTTGTATAAAATCTGTCCACCTGGCCTCCTCCTTGAATTATTAATAAGCGCCATTTCAGCCTGTTTGGAGGATGAACATAAAAAGAGCTTTTGTGAGGACCTGGCCAGGCTTGTCGGAGCACAGTGGAAACTGATCAGAGGCTTAACCAGCGGGGCCGCAGAGCTCTGCCTCTGCACAAAGATTACTTGAAACCTAGACCTTCAGCTTTTCCTCGACCACCTCCTCCCTTAAGTTCTGACACTGAGCTGTTATCAGAGACCCTGATGGAGAACACAAGTCCTGAGTGGATGTCTGTGTGCATTGGAAATACATTTCAGAAGATTGAGAGCTTCTGTCACCAAACAGTTTATGTTAAAAGGGCCAGTTTCAGAGATGATACAAAGAAATAAATGCACATCTTTTTAGACTCCTTCAAGTTGGAGCAAGAGGACCACATCCTAAAACTCAAAGCCATCACTGTTTACACTTAAGAACATTACAACAGAACAAGAGACCCTATTTGATATTAAGACAGAGGGGAAATGGAGTAGAAAAAGAAAACTTCAGAAGTCTGTTATTCCCTTTTTCTTCCTCATTCCCTCTCTGTCCAGTAACACATCCCAAGATTCACAAACACACACACACAGAAATCACACCAAGCAGTTACAGACTGTACTCACTGGTGATACATCCGGAGAACATCATACAGGTAATCCTTCTCTGCTTCATTCTCAATCAGCAACTCCACCTGCAAAAAACATAAACATCTGTAACCATCCTTGTTCTCAATTCACAGATACACACTTCACCTCACTCCTTATGTCCTGTCAGCACCCCGGGGTAAGCAACCTGTGTGTGTGTCTGTATCTGTGTGCGCCCTGGATCCATACAAACCTGATGGCGGCTCAGATGCAGCAAAATCGTTTTGAGAAAACGCTTCGGCCAATCACTGATATAACACATTTTCCTGAACTGATCTGCAGGCTTCAAATGCAACCACACCTTCTTTTTTTTATTATTATTATCCAAGTGATGCCTGAAACTAGGCTGTCAGGATGATGATCCTCCTGAGACTAAAGCAGGTGTAGTGGAGTGTTTTTCCTCCCTAAGCATCAAACCACTGGGAGGGAAGAATGGCAGCACAGCTGAGGAGAGGCTGCAGGAGGAAGGTTAGTCGTGTCATCTTACATCCCAGACGCAAACAGAGGTGAATGTTCACACCAAACATTTCCACACACACACACCCATCGCACACAAAGACTTAATTTTCTTATGGAAATCATGTTTGATCAGGATAAGTGCTGCAGTCCTCGTGACTTTTTTACTTTGTTAAAATTAGAAATAAAAAAGGAAGAAGCAGTTTTAAAAATTATGACAGAAATCTCCTTGCAATTATTACTTCTCCTGGCAGCTCTATTTAATCTCCAGAGACTCTTTGGCTAAATTGCAGCTGCATGTGCACCAAAGAAATAAGAATTTATATCATTCTTTACCCAAATTAGTTTTTCTGCAATAGTTTCTGAAAAATCAAAAACAATTTAACAATTTGTGGTTAGGGACCATGAAATCTAAAAGAGCTCATGGTACCCCATTACCACTCACTGAGTGCAGCTGTACTTAAAAGTAGAATGGGAGGACAGCATGGGTCAGTTACCAGATTTCAAAATATACCATGGTTTGGAAATGTCTGTGTTTCAAGATCTAAGAATGTTTTCCATCTTAAGCTGTCCTCCATCCCCAAGGTAAAATTCAAGGTAAAAGAAAAAGGATGTTAATAATGGTAAACCACCATATTAGCCTTATTAGGTATTTGATTCAGGTTGGTGTGTGCACAAGAAGCAGAGAAAGCAGGTGAATGTGTATGTTATACAGAGATTAACAGCTTCATCCAACACTAAAAAGCTACTGTATCATTATTCACTGCTCTGGTTGCTACCTTGCTTGTACTGTTCAACAAGATACTGGTCAAGCCAACCAATCATAAACTCTCACCTAATTAATCATTAAAAAAGGATTATTTATCAGATGACCACAGAGACAGAGGAGCAAATTTTAGGTGAGTCCCCTGTGGATCAACATTTGAATGACTGAATTAATATACAGTAACAATAATTGAGATTATTCTTGGCATTAGTTGCAGTAGTAAAGTATGTGTTTGTTTTAAGAGAAAACCTATACATCACTTATTTATTTTTTACATTATAAATTTGGTAACTAATGTTCTAAATATTCTTAATGTTTGGAAGTGAAATAGATTGTATGTGATGGGGAAAATAAGTTGTTTTTCACCCAGAGCACCAGACATTTTAAAATAATACATTTTAGAGCTATTATCATATTACAGTACCCTGAAGCTGCAGTATTTTCACTTAAGGTTATCATTGCCTACCATCAAAATAAGCCTCCTGACTAATGCCTCAAGGGAGGTAGACCTTCCAGTTATCAGATTTCTCGATTTAGGAATAATCTTACAGCTCAGGTCTTGAGGCAGAGATTCTCTCTAGTTTTGAGAGTGGCTTTAGTTTGACTTTTAAAAAACCTTGTATTCAGAGCTGCCCCAACCTTTGGAAAAGCCACTTATGCTGGCTTTTTTACTTTAAAATTATTGTTCATCTTTGGACAAATTATAGTTTTGAACTGATGGGGGTCTTGAAACACCACGATTCAATCCCCATTCTCTTCTCTTCTGTATATCTATATGCTCTCAGGTCCCACTGATCTATGTTGCCAACTTTATATCTTTTGAAGAGTTTTGGTCCCATACTGTTTCATTATTATGGTTGTCATTGCCATATGAGGTATTTTTCTGCAATGATACTATGCTGTGCCCTGCTATACCCAATATAATCTGTTGTTACTTTTGTTGTTGTCTCTAGGAAGCAAAGATATTGGCCATACACCAACTCAAATACTTGCATAACATATGTTTCAGCAGGTGGAAGACTCAAATCTAGTTATCATAAATGCAGAACTGCATCACGTTGAAACTGCAGTGAAGTGGCAATTAGGGTGTGTTTATGACCGTCATAAATGTGCCTTAGGGAAGTGACCCACAGTCAGCCACTCCCGCATCCTGAACGATGTGCAGACTTTGGCACCATAAACCAATAACGTCAGGGATCACTGGTCAAGAAGACACCCATTTTTAGAGTTTAAATTCGTTCGAGGATGTTTAACTTAAACATTTAATATTTTAATACACACAGATTGTGGTGCATAAAGCAAACACCCAAGGGAAAAATCAAGTAGTTGTGTGTGTGAAAACAGTAACTTGAGTAAAATGCAAAACTAAATGCAGTGACTGATGTCCTGTAAAGGAACAAAGCTCGATTGTGCCATGCTGGCCCCTCAGCCTCTTGTTAAAACAGTAAATTGTCCCATCTCTTCCGCTCAGCTGCTCATCTCTGACACATTATCTAATGCTCAGATGCCCTTTGTGAGGAGCTTGTTAGAAGTGACCCTGCCTCACTGTGTGCAGCACAGATGGCTGTGTGATGATCCCCACATGCACTGAGGCTGAACACGCCCTGCACATATCATGTTACCTTTCCTTGTTATCTTTCACTCATAGTTACCTTTTCAGGTCATGTCCAAACGCCAGCTATGAAATATCATACAATTTGGGCCTAAATTAGGGGGGATATAGCATGGTTTCTTTCCATAATTATTGTATGAAAATGTTGCAGCTGTGTGTGGTTCACCTAAGCCAGGTAAACTTAAAATTAAAGGACAAATAGCCTACAGAGGATGCCCATCAACATAGCCTGCTTGCTCATAATACAAACATGTAGGTATTTCTACTTTTTGTTTAAAATTAAAATAGTCAAGGAAATGTCAGGAAGAAAATAAAAATAATATACTTCTGAGTCACTAATTTGCTCCAAAACAATATCCGAAAACAAAAAAAAGGCTGGCAAATTTTATCCATTTCTCTACCGCGAGGACATTAGACAGACCTGCGTCTGCGTACATCCCACTGAGGAACACCTGAGCCACGAACAGTCAAGAAGAGATATGAAACAGCCGGGGAGTTTCTCAAATATCAGAAAAAGAAAGAAAACTGTTTGTATCTTACCTTGTGTCTAAATTCTCGAGCAACTTTTCGCTCCATTGTGGGGTGATATTTAGAAACGGTCCAACGTCAGGTCTATATCGGCGAAGTTTGGACAGTCAGGACTGAACTGGGGTCAGTACGTGAAGCTACGTAATTGGAACAGTATATATCCGGCTAGGATTTTCATCATAAAATATATATAGTTGTATATATTTTCAATGATAAAATGGGTACTTTGAATTGTAAGATGACAACGATAATATTGAATAAAAATTGTCATCTTATTTTGAAGTGTATCTGTATTTTTTACAGTTTGGCACGTTTGAAAGTTTGCCTTTATTTTGAAGGGGTTCTCGTTTCCGTTCATAGATAGCAACATACAGTATATGACAGTCCTATCTGTGGTTTCTGTAGAGGGCATTTTTTCTAAACTGACAGAAATAAGAGTATTCAAAAAAGAGAGAGAGAAATTAGTTTGAATTCTTTTTCCCCTTTTGTCGTTAATCAGATAAATTGGTTCAGCTCAATTTCAGAGGCTGGTTTTCAGTGGAGGAGTCAGACATTTTTGATTACGGTGGCCAAACTGGGGCAGTGGGTTTTGTGAAATTGCACCAGGTTTTAACCGATTACAATGATCTACTTTTACCTTTGTTGTGATTGCTTCTGATAAAAGTCCTTGTGTATCATCTGTAACTTTAAAGGTTAATTTTACTCAGAGGTAATATTTAAATCTATAAGTGTTATCCAAAAAACCAACAACAACAAAAAAGTTCAACATTGCAACCTCTTAAATGCTACTCCTAAACAGGCAAATAGTTGGTTGTGGTTTCTGTTTTGGGTGGCCAATCACTCTAGTCATCTACTGGCTCTGTCACTGGCTGTTTTCCATCTGCATTCAAATATATGGTTTAAATATATTCTAGCTTTGACTCCAACTTTTATAATTTGAATAAAAGTATTATTTTAAGTGTTCATTTAAGTGTGCTTTTATCACTTAAGCCTGAACCCTGTTACTCTTAGTATGAGGGTTATGGGATTTGAAAATAACAACACATTACTGAATGATTATTTGTTCCATAATCTTTTTTATTTAGATTTTTTTTTTTTTATTTACAAGAGGAGTTTTTTTTTCTATACAATTTGTTTTTCAAACAATTGTCCAGCCTCTGTACACTGAAAAGAAATAATGGCACGGATCCATTTAATTTAATTGAAATATAAACCCATGAAAAGACAATTAGCCAAAAAATATCTATTTTAGGAGAGTTTTACCATAGAGTATTAGGGACATTTTTAACCAAGATGAAGCCGCACATTAATCCAGTCTTGCTCTTGAAAACACACCTTATCCTGTCCGCTTAATCCACCACAGAACCATTACTGCAAATGATAAATGTTATGTGAGTGTTTTCTGTTTTTCTGCCATAACATTCGGGTTTCCCTTGTTGCTGTGCAGAGATAATAATCTAAGTAGCCACTAGTTGGCGGAATCGCATCACCTGCTGCGCTTCAGGTTTTCAGTTGCCAACGAAGAAGACAAAGAGACGTAACTTCCGGGTTTCAAAAGCTTGGTAGCAACGAAGTCCGCTTCCCTGACACAACAGAACTGTGAGTTTTGAATAATTATAACTGCATGGTGTAATTTGATATTTTTAACAAAACTAGCCAAAATACATCGGTCGTACACGTTTTATCACTTTTGATTAATGTATTATGTATTTATCATCAAGTTGTAACCACAAGGAGCTTCAGCTTCAGCTTCGTCATGGGAGATATATAGCAAAACATTGGAGTTTAAACTTCTGTCTTGTTACTGAAATGTGGAGCTCAGTTATTGTCATTTTTGATAGTTTCATTTTCCATGAGTCGAGTTGGCTGTAGCTAAATTGATCATATTTCAATTGACACTGTAATGGGCTTTCAGACAGCCCAGTACAATTTAAAGACAGGTGAATAAATGAATTAAATGTTGTAATTTAGTGGCATTAATCCAATCTGTACAACATTTGATTTACTTTAAACATTGTTACTTTCACGCCCACGCAGTTAATTTATTAATACAGTAAAACGAGATTGGATCAGCTGTGCAAATGAGAAACCAAGAAAATGACCCTTAAAAAGATCACAAATAAAGGGATTTGGTTCATCCAGGCAGTTTAGTAGGTGCAAATCTGGCTGCTGTTGACCTCTTCTCTCAATGCTTTTTCTGCCTCTTGTTATGAGATTGGCTGTATAGAGTGTGTAATGTTTGGACCTGTAAGACCAATCCTTTATGGCAATACTGATGGGTATTTTTCTCTGTTACAAGGATGGGATCTCCAACAAAAAAGGCCACACCACAAAGGTAAGAGCTTATCTACAGTATATGCACAGAAAAAGTAATGTCTGGCTACTGTCCCACTGCAAGTTAAGTGTTGAGTCAGGTACTCACACATATTCGAAAGCAGATTAGACTTATTCTTTCAGATAGCTCAATTTCCTTTACAACCATTAATTTCCACTAAGTACTGCAGACTTGAATTATCAAGTTCATACTGCAGGCTTTAAGCTAGAAAAAATACTGACAGTACATGAGCCAAATCTCAAATGTGTGTGTATGAGAAAGCGGATATGTACTGAGAAGTACCCTTTCTTATGTTTACCATTAAAGTCTTTTTTCCTTTTCAGAGCCAAAATTCAGACTCCTGGTAGAGAACCGGACTCCCCACTCCCTCCAATCCATGAACGGCTGGCATACTTGCGGCCCTCAAGAGAGCTACTTGAGTTCTACAGAGAGAAGATCGCTCAGTATGATGCAGAACATGAGGAGCTACTCAAGATGTTGGAGAAGCACAGAAACATCACAGAGGACCAGGTAAGGCACAGTATGGATTCACTAGTGAAATTGTACTTGAAGGGTGTATCTGCTGTAACATAACTTCCACCTGTCTTGGACATCTCCCAGCACAAGCTACAGTGGGAGGTACGGCAACGTGAGGGGGAAATTGCGGAGCTGCAAAATGCCCTGAGTGACATGCAGGTCTTCCTTTTCCAAGAGAGAGAACAGTCTCTGCGACTCTACGCAGAAAACGATAGACTTAAGATAAGGTGGGTAAGAGTTAAATGATGATACCAACAAACAAGAAAGATACCTCTTTCACAGCAGATAATATTTGAAACTACAGCATAAAGCACAAAGCTGTGGACAATGACAAATGACATTTCATCATTTGTTCTTTCACTGGTATACCTAAATGAAATGGGACTATCGTTAATGTTTCTGTTGGATGTAAGGATGTAAAAAATGTGATAGGTTACTGAGCTATCAGGCGCCAGTGGTTGTACATTCTACATATTATCTTTGGTACTTTTGTTGTTTACCATCACTTGCATACATAAAGTTATCTGATCATTTGCTCATTGTTGTTCAGAGAGTTAGAGGACAGGAAGAAAATCCAGCACCTTCTTGCCCTGGTGGGTCCTGATGCAGGAGAAATCACATATTTCCACCGGGAGCCTCCTCATAAGGTACACATGTTCACGTCACTTCATTGCTGCAACGTTTCCAACACATCTGACACTTAAGTTAGGCTTTAAGTGATGTTGAGTATTTTAAAAATGTGAGAAGTTTGCAATTAAAATACATTTTATTTTGTGCCTTTATGAATTTAGTCTGATAAATTTATTCCAGGTCACTGTCGCTCAAAGGAATGCAGAGTCAGGATCAGAGGAAAATCTAAATCTCAGGCCGACAAAGTTCAGACCTGCAGCTGCCAGGAAAGGTTTGAAACCTACTTTTGCAAATGACTTTTCATCTTTAGATCTACTACATATTTTTCAATCAGACCAACATTGCTGAGATGGACAAATCTGTTAAATTGACTTGAACAGAATAAGATCATGGTTAAGAAAAATTACAGAATAATTATGAATTGGAGTTTCTTTGGGGGTTTGGAGGTGAGCTTTTTGTTGGTAATCCAAAGAATAATAGGCATGTATCCATTGTTTAATTCTCATCTTACTTGCAGAGGGCAGCAGGAGAACAAAATCAGCAGCTGGGGCAAATGACGAGAACCTTGAACAGTACAGGAGTGATAACCAGACATTGTTACTACAGGTACGTAAAGATCTTACCTCTTCTCCTTTTACACGTAGACAATAATAGTCCCCAAGAAATACATCGACACAACACCTCTCGATACTAATATTAATATTAATCGTGTTTACAGTGAGGGAACGCAATTTTAATCTGTTTTGGTGATGAGTGCACCAGTCTCTATAATTTGTGGCTAATGTTTCTAGGTGGAGGCTCTGCAGGCTCAGATGGAAGAGCAAACTCGCCTTGCTAAAGAGCAGGTGGAGTCTCTACAGGAGGATCGGCGGATTAAAACAGAGGAGGCTCAGGCACAACAGCAGAGAGATAAAGAGAGAATAGCGGCTCTGAATGACAAGTGGGTCTGCTTTAGAAGTTGTTTTCTGACACTTTGGAAAAATGTAACACTTTTGATGTCAAGCTCTCCCTTCCTCAAACATTTGTCACCACAGGCTACAGCAAACCCAGAACCTGTTGCATGAAAGCACCAAAGATTATTTACAGCTAAAATTTGAAACAAGAGCTCACGAGAAGAGCTGGATGGTGGAGAAAGACCGGCTGCTGAGGGAGCTCGACTCATGCCATAACCGTCTGAGGAAGGGGGGGTCTGCTGTTGGTGCAGAAGTGGGGCGTGCACCACACCCCAGCAGTAGTGCGACCCTTTTACTCTCCAGACCTCAGCCAGAGTTACAGCAGATTCAAAAAGAGCAGACAAAGGTAATGTGTAAAAATAGTAGTAGTATAATAGAAGTTGTAGAAGAGAATAACAGTTAAGTGTATATCAACATCCAAACAATTTTTTTTTCCTGCTACAAGTTTTTCACAAACATCTTTTACAATCATATGTTCAATAAGGCGCTGCAGGAGGACCTGAAGCAAGCCCACCGTCTTGCTGAGATGTACAGAGAGCAGTGTATTACACTGGAGACAGAACTGGCCCAAATCAGAGAAGAAGGGGATGTTGGCAGAGAAATATTTAAGGTACCATAGAAGGTCCTCTTATGCAAGGGTTCTATTTCACTGTGGCCCCAAATTTGTAGTGTCTATGATTTTCTGACTAACTCTGTTTTTCAATGCAGGATCGTTCAGACAAAATGGCCAAGCGTTTGCAGCTGATGACTCAGCGGTATGAAGCCCTGGAAAAGAGAAGGGTCATGGAGGTGGAGGGCTTCAAAACAGACCTGAAGCACCTGAGACAGAAATTCAAAGATGTTGAAAAACAACTCCTCAAGGTAGGGAGATTTCTGAAAACCATCTGGAATCCTTTTTTTTCCATATGTCAATCTTTAGAAAGCATTCTCTATTTCAACACAACAAGCCTGTTTTAATACAGTGTGTATTACCATAAATATTTTAAGCCTTGGTGTTTTGGATATCCTCTGCTGTAGGTTACTCTGAATGTTGGGCCCAACCAGGATTTAGCTATCCTGCATGAGGTCCGTCAAACCAACACCAGGACAAAGAAGGTCCAGAATGAGCTGATGACACTGAAAGCAAAGATCTATGGACTGGAAAATGAGCTGAGATTTAGCTGAGGATCGGACTAAGATGCTCTATGTTTTCCTGCAATGAAGAATCTACAGGTTGAAATTGATTGTACTGTACATGTTTTTTGTGCTACTGTGTTTATCATTGTTTTTAATGGAGATGTGTTTTGTACCTAAGACCAATAAAGATGATTTGCCACAGTTACTACTCACAAAATTATTTACACAATGAGCCATGCCAAGAGAAATGTTTTTTTCTCTCTGCAGTTGTTTTGACTTGCCAGTGTGGAAGAATGCTGCTGTTCCTCATAACTTTAAAGATGGCTCACATTCAGTGATTTTTTTTCTGATGATACACTTAAGACATTTTATTTGCTTACAAATACATTTAAATGTTGACTTTCATTTTTTCAACTCATCCAAGCAATAAACAGTCAAATTGTATAGGAAAATGTGTACATTATAACAGTGTTAAATCATGGCCTCAGCTTACAATAAATTTCTGACCACAGACAACACTTTAGAATTCAAACTGATTTGTCACTGAATCTATCTGTTAAAATCCAGATGTTTGTCAATCAAAAGAACAAAATTCTTATAAGTGAAGATCTCAATGACCTGCATGTTCAATAATCATACAAGCAGAAGTTGTAAAAATTGTGCATAAACATCACATTAACTCACTGAAAGTCTCATTTCATTGTGTTTTTTTTATATATATATATAAATAATGCATTTAATCTTACATCCCCACTTTAACCAGATTGGTAAGTACATCAAATATAAATAAGGTGTATAACAAAACACTGTTTTGTGCATTTTACATTATATTATTTAATGCCAGAACCACGACATTTTATCAAGATTCTTTGGAACAGAAAGAAGAAGTGAAGACTGGGTGTGACTGCAGGCAGATAACAACAACCCGTTGGATAGAATATTTTTTTAATCACAAAAACTATATATAAAGAATTAATACCTCATTAGTTTACTTTTAATTTTACTTTCTTACAACATTACAGCAAAGGTCTCATTTGTTGTAATTTTGTGAAACGATTAAATAAAGTTTCTAGTGCAATAAAGAAACAGGAGTGATCACTTTCTTTTCTACAAAATCACAACTGAAACGTTTACAGACGAGGCGGTGCGTTTACCCGGAATTACTGCCCGTGAATCTGCGCATGCTCAGTAATTGTCATTGGCGATAACACTCTTCTGCGTGTGGTGAACTGTGGCTTTACTACTACCAACATGAAGACTTGAGTGTGGACTCCGAGTTGTTGAGAAATCATGAGCCTTTTCTCTACTCTGTGGAATTTCTAAGTTGGCAGTTAGTGTTTGCTCAGCTAAAGCTAGCTCAGTTCTTGTTCATATTGTTGTTGTTTACCGCCCAAGTGCCTGAAGAAATGCAGAGAATCAGGTCATTGAGAACTGGTTGGCAGCTTCTGAAGTCAAGCTGTGAGGGAGCCGCAAAACAAGTTCATATCCCACTGGGAACCTCACGAAGTTATAATGTAAGTGGATCCTTTATTCAAACTTAATGTGAGTTTAAGAGCTGATCCATAGAGACAGCGGCAGAAATGCATGTTTGTTTTTTGACATTTGGTTGTAGCGGTTGTTTTATTTAAGGAGTATAAAAAGAGTCACATAGTGGGACTTACTCATTAAATGCCACACTGAAGGATTTCTCAGCACACATAAGTTGAATGTCATTTATGAGTGTTCACTACAAATTTACAGCTCCAGTTATTACCGTGTAGTTTATCCAGATCATTCAGCAGTGCTCTAATACAACTGGTGTGTCCCTTATATATTGACCATAAGAGTCTCAGCCAGCTCTTTCATTTCATTTTAAGAGATTATGTCAAGCCTGTATTACAACAGCAAGTTAATGAACAATCCCATGTTTTCATGCTGCACATACCACCTTTCTCTTGCCCAGCGCCCCCCTCAGGTCCCCAACTCCTTTGGGCTCCTCTTTGACATAGATGGAGTCCTGGTCCGGGGCAGGACACCGATCCCAGCGGCCAAGCAGTGCTTCAGGAACCTGGTGGACCGCAATGGGAAATACAAGGTGCCTGTGGTGTTTGTCACTAATGCTGGGAACTGCATGAGGCAGACCAAAGCTGAGCATCTGTCACATCTGCTGGATGTGGAGGTAAACTGAAAAGTACCTTAAATGCCATTTTGAATCTCACCAGGTTACCCTTTTTTGTATTATTATTGATCAATTTGTGTGTGTGTGTGTGTTCTCTGTTTCTTCTTAGGTGTCTCCAGACCAGGTCATGTTATCCCATAGTCCTTTGCGCATGTTTACCCAGTTCCACAAAATGCGCGTGCTGGTGTCAGGACAGGGTCCTGTGGAGGAAGTGGCTCACAAGTATCCTTTCGTAAATTCAGTGACTTAAGTTACCTTGCTCACTCTGGAAGCATTCATGCTCTATCTACTCAGTGTAGATCTGTTTGTTTTCCGCTTTATCAGTATTCAACCTTTGAACTCCTACCTCCCTTTTGCTGTCTGGCACTCTCACAGACAGCTATTCAATTTTTTTGCACATTTTCTTTGTTCTGATAGATAGATAGTTTATTATATTAGTCGGATACTGAAGCCTCGGATTTTTACAAGCAAAGGTTTTTCTTAAGATCAAGTGATGAACACAATAACAATGTCAAGAATTAAGCTATTTATACAGGTGAAATATTTCGTAGAAGCCCAATGCTGCATTGTCAACAAATTGTCAAGATTTGAGTAGACATACTAAATTTATGATATTGTAGTATTTCTTTTCCTTGTGTTTTATACCACCAATTTTGTTTACTTTAACCTACCAAACTCCAGCCTGGGTTTTCAGGACGTTGTTACAATAGACATGCTCAGAGAAGCATATCCTCTTCTAGATGTCGTAGATCACAACAGACGACCCAAAGACAGTGTAAGTAGCTTTAATAATGAAGTTCACAAGTTTATGTTCAGTCATAGGTGAGTTAGACCTCTTACCAGTTGTGAATTTTCTTACAGATTCCCCCTACCAAAGGCTTACCACCGATAGATGGTATGTTTCCACTCTGTTGCACTTTGTTGCACGTAGAGTTCAGTGATCTATACGAAACCATTGTAGCTATTTTTAAATCACCTGTGTGTTTCTACAGCTGTTATTTTATTTGGTGAGCCAATCAGATGGGAGACCAACCTCCAGCTGATAGTTGATGTGCTCCTGACTAGTGGGAACCCTGACAATAATTGGAGTGCAATGCGATACCCACACATCCCTGTTCTGGCCTGTAACATGGATCTGCTGTGGATGGCAGAGGCCAAGAATCCCAGGTAGAGTTACGGTAAAGTTAATGCATCAGAATGTACACAAAAGGCTGAAAGTTTATTACAAAACTGAATGTCCTTATCCTGCAGGTTTGGTCATGGTATGTTTTTGGTGTGCTTGGAGAGTCTCTACAAAAAAATAACAGGTAATGATCTGAAGTATGAGGCTCTGATTGGTAAACCCAGCGTGGTGACTTATAATTACGCTGAGCTGCTGATCAGACAGCAGGCTGAGGGTCTGGGCTGGACTACGCCTGTGAAGAGACTGTATGCTATAGGGTGAGTGACTCCCATTAGACACTTGAAAATTAAACTTTGCCTTCCACAAGTGTTCACTCCACTTTTCCATGTTTTCATGTTAACACTGAAAATTTACACAGATTTTATGTAGGCTGAATGTGGTGTACCAACACAATATTGTCCTTTTCTGGAAGTCGGGGAGGGATGTAACATCTGGTATTCAAAGTTTTCTACAAATAAAACATGGAAAACTTGAACTAACACCAGGTGTACATATTTGATCTGATTTTGAATGTCAATCCAATGTCTGATTTTCAGAGTTGAACATTTAAAAACGTCGATCAGTCCAAGGTGGGAGTGAATATTTATGGAAGGCACCTTTGTCTTTCATAAAAGCTTTAATTTAATTCAGCAGCACCTTGAATGTCTACTTTCGTTTCACAGTGATAACCCCATGGCTGACATATACGGCGCAAACCTCTACAACCACTACCTCCAGACTTCTCATCGCGCCAAGGCCCAGATGCAGGCCAAGGCTGGGGGAGCAGAAACTGTTGATGACGCCCTTAAAATGACTTCAGCAGAACTAGGTGGAGCGTCAAATGTGTATGGTACAGAGGAAGACCTCCCAGAGGGGTGCAGCTCCATCCTGGTATGCACAGGAGTGTACAGCAGAGACCAGCAGGAGCTCCCCCAAGACCCAGAACACACAGTCACAGAGCAGCGCATCTTCCATGGCCACAGGGACTTCCGCTTTGACCCTAATCTCACTCAGCCATCCTTTGTGGTCCAGGATGTGAAGGAAGCTGTAGAGCTGGTTTTTGAGCAAGAAGGCTGGCCTCTGGATTAAGATGAGTGTTGTGGGTCTGGCTTAAATTCACAGTTTAGTCATAGCCCCAGTAGATCTGAACAAGTCGTGCCAGTGTTGTTTTTCATCTGGTTATCATAGAGAAGGTGTAGCTGTTACTGCGGCCAGTTTGAAGAGGTTTTATAAGGTGCCATAGAAGGTAAAAGCAGACAAATGCAGCTTTAACACTATAAAAAAAAAGTTTCACATATTTTACATTGTTCATGCATGTGTGCGTTTTATTTTCTTTGTCCTCTCTTGCCTTTGTTTGTCTGTCAATGCACAGTTAAGAACCAAGTCTGTGTTTACATGCAGGAATTTTTCACTGGGGTTCAAACCATGTGTACGTTCATAGATGGATGATGGTCAATACAAAGTTTTAACAGAGTTACATCTTCAGTGGGCTGACTCTCAAATGGAGCCATACACTACCTACTTTGGCATCCCCACAGGTCTTATCGTAACTAGTTCAGCTATTTGTTTTTACCGCTGTTATTTGAGCTTTTTGTGTTTAAGCAAGGATGTGTGTGTAATATACACTGACCAGCCATAATATTGTGAACTCTTGGGCAACAGAGCTGCCATAAAACCTATTTTATAAAGCCTCTTCATTTTCAGTTTTCATTGAGATGGTCAGACAGGTGAGAGTTGGTTTGTGGTGGCACATTAGAGTGCAACAAATGCCAATTTACCACCATCACCCACTACAGCCTAAGTAATAAATATGTAAAACAATCACCTGTCTGATCATGTCATCAAAAACTAAAAATGTAAAAGCTTCCTGAAAGCAGAATTTGTGGTAAAGCTGTTGTATTGGATTGCATTACTTTGCTATGGTGTTTATAATGTGGCTGGTCATTGAAGGTTGCCTGGTTTAACTTCATTACCTCTTAAATTAGTATTTTTACTTTAATCAAGAGTAGTTGTTGTAGTATTATTTTTTGAAATTGAAAGAAAATTAAAGCATTGAAGTTTCAACAGAAATTAAATAGATGCTATTTTTTTACAATAAGGAGCTTTAGGTATTGAAATCTTTTAATGGTAATGTCTGTAAATGGGAGAAGAATGGAATAACAGTCATAGCACAAGTGTAAGTTGAAAAAGGTGTTAGTTTGTTGTGTTTAACAATGTCCAAAAAGCAGGTGACTTAAAATACAGGTTTATTTGGTTGTACTCTGTTAATGCACTGCACTGTGATAGCCATAAGGAGGAATATTAAAACAAATGACAGAAACAAGTTGTTGCCAGTCGAATGAAACACTGTATGCTTGAGTGCTGATGTGTTTGAAAAGCAACTATCTGAAAATCTGTCACTGACCCCAACTGAATAAATATTAAAAGTCAACAAAAGAGGTACAAAACTGATATTCAACACAATTTCACATACTGTATAGTTCCCAAAACATACCCGTGTGCCTGTGTAAAGAGATAGAACTTCAAGCTGCTGCCACTTTTTTCCAAAAAAGTCCAACATAAAATGTACCTTCCTCAGATGAATCAGCACCAGCACCTCTTAACTGGAGTCTCAGTGCTGCTGGCTCCAGGGGTGCTGCTGTTCAACATAAACTGAGCTGACTCTTGAGGGACTTCATCTGCGATGATCATGTTACGAGCCAGCAGCTCCCGGGCCATGATGACGAAGGCTGCCTCCACATTCTGAGCCTCCTTGGCTGATGTTTCCACAGCAGCTAACACGCCATTGTTTTCGGCAAGAGTACACGCGTCTTCGAACAACACCTGCCGCTTGTCCTGAAGGTCTGACTTGTTACCTGAAGGTATGAACAAAGCAGAAAGTGTTTGGACTCAATTATAGAGATTTTGGAGATTCTTTATAAGATACAGCCTCTAGAGATGTTCAATGCAAACAAAACACAAAGCACAAAACAGGCAGAGGCAAAGCAACAACACAAAACAGATACTTGAAGTCTCAAGGTGTAGCTACCAATTTACCAACAGATGATTGTTGTTTAAGGGGAAACACTTAAAATCTGATTACTAAACAAGAAAAGCAAGTTAGAATTCATCATTTAAGTCATATATTTCTATATTGTCAACTTTCTCATCAAAACACATTTATCCAAAGTTTTTTAAATTGTGAAAAATGCCTCTTGGATTTTATCAGAGGCCATCAAACATAATACTTATTATGCTGACCAATAGTGAAAAATCCAAATTAGTCAGTTTGCTGTCGGGAATACGGAAAAGCTCAAAAGATGACTTAAATAAAAGAGAGAAAAAAATAAGGTAAAGAGAAACATTAGAAATAGTTTTGTTAGAGGTCTTCCTCTCCCACCATTTGGACTAGAATTAACTTGCCAACAGGAAAAGCCAGTTAAAGGTTTACTTTTTTACAACTTCTGCTTTGCCTCTGGGGTTTGCAGTGCAGATAGCGGCACTTTTCTTTTCCCTGGAGGTTAAACTGGCTTAATCATAGTTGCACAGTAAAGGGGGAGTTTTGTAAGTACAAATGAGTGTATCACCAAAGTTATTTTGAAACTGTTATTTTAAAGGAAAAAATACCCAAATAAATGTGGTTTTTTTATGATTTTATGGTAGTTTTACTTACTATTAGTAGCCAATTCATTATGTGTCACATAGCCTGGTTTATCCCTTTCAATACATGCAGGCAAATATTAACGCACAATTAGGAGATGAGTTAGTGTCTTGAGGTTGGTCCTCTACCACAATATCCAATAGAACTACCTCTACCATACTCTCAACAAAATAAAATATTGATGAACTTGTCTATACAGTAAATATTGTATTCAGTGTTCTGCACTTTGTTTATGGATATAACCGATTTTGCTTTAACTGAACGCTACATCAGGAAAGTAAAAAAGGCAGTAAAGCTAAAATAGGTAGTTAGCTTCAAGGTGACAGATAAATGGTTGAGAAGCCCAGCCGTTGTCATCAAAAACACAAACTTGACAGTAATCTGTACTAGATACAGTAAGCTGCTGAGTCACTTAATCCAGTATGTACAAAACTAGTAATGTGAGTAAACTATTGTAATATCATATGGTTTTAATTTTTAAATGCATAGTAAAACCACTATTAAAACCACTATTTAAGTGTGTCTCAGAGTTACTTTTCATTGCTACACCTCCAGCCAGTGGATGAAGTTTGTACTGTCAAACATTAAAACTGTTAAAATTTGTTCTTATTTTGCATACCAATCAGGATCAGCACCATGCCTGCAGCTCCTAACTGCTCCACCTCCCTGATCCAGTGGGAAACAGACTCAAAGGTGGAGCGCCGAGTGATGTCATAGGCTACCATGGCCCCATGGGCGCTACGGTAGTAGCTTTGAGTTATAGTGCGGAAACGCTCCTGTCCAGCTGTGTCCCACACCTGCATCTGCAACAACAACACAACAAACAGATGGATACAAAGGAGAGTTATGTATACGTAAGACACAACTTAACTAATTCTGCAATCAGCTGTGAAAGTGATCAGTCATTTCTAAACAAGGCGTGTGTTTACAGAACTTCAGTCTAATTATCATGAAAAAACATGCAAGCGGTTAAGAAGTAAACACCTTACAAACAGATGGTATCATCTCTTACTGCTTTTTCTGCTGTGGAATAGCACTGAACCATACTTAATACATGACATACGTACAGAGACTGTTTTTTAAATATTTTTGTTGCTCAATAAAATGATAAACATTTTTTATTATTATTAAGGGCAAGAAGCTTGAAAAATTAACAAAATATGAGCTGAAATGAACAGAGAATCATTTCAAATTGACCAACAGAGACAAAAGCAAACCTACCTTCACTTTCTTGCCATCAATGTCCAACGTGCGAACAGTAAAGTCCACCCCTACTGTGTTCTGCTGCTTCTCGATGAATATACCAGACTTGAAGCTCTGGACCATACAGGTCTTCCCCACGTCTGTGTCCCCGACCAGAATAATTTTAAAGAGAAAGTCAAAAGACTCCTCTGTCTCTGACTCTGCAGACTGCATGGTGAAGGAAGGAAAATACAGAAACACACTTGAGGCTTAAAAAGCAGATCCAACACCTCTGTGTCTTGATGCAAAACAACAGGTTCCTTCCAAGTTGTGTCAATAACATGTCAGACTGTTTACAGAAGCTACTGTCACAGCCCCGTCAGAATGAGGGGCAAATCAGGTTTATATCAGCTGTTGTATAGCAGTTCATGCTGTTCTGTGTGAGTATGTATGATTCACAGGTAAGGGTGTACCAGCCAGTGTTAAGGATACACACAATTATAATTGGTCTCAATATTAAATATGATATTTAATCCAACCAGATGCTCCTTTTGTCACTCTCATGCTTTTATCCACATGCTCTGCAGCAATCAAGACCAAAAAAAAAAAAAAAGAAACGCTCAAAATTACCACTCTAATCCCATAGTGAGGACTTGACCCTTTTTCTCCAAAACGACAACTGTAATTCAAAGGTATTGTTCTTCCTCCTGCTCTTGACTTTACTTCAATTTCAACCACCTTCGTGAAATCTGAGAAGAGTGAAGTCTGTGTTTCTCCCCTTTGGACTTTGACTCTATCTGCCCTCTGTTCCACCTTTACTTTGATTCTTGTAGATGCGCCTCCTACCGGTCTTTGCAGGTGAGATCTCCAGCTGTCAGCCCACCTGCACCACTGCATCTTGGAAAATGAACTCAGTGTTCAGGTCTGGTAATAAGACACATCACCTGATGGAAAGAAAAAGAAAATCAACGGCCTGAAACATCTATAGTCATGACTATGCTGTACATACTGTATGAAACTATGATAGGGTTTGAACGTTTGTTACCTCCGCCAAGGAGGTTATGTTTTTGGCAGCGTTGGTTTGTTTGTTTGTTTGTTTGTTTGTTTGTCTGTGAACAACTTTACGGAGAAAGTTACAGACGGATTGACCTGAAATTTACACCAGAGGTGCGTCTCAGCCCCAGGAGGATCCCATTACATTTTGGTGGTGATCCGGATCGCCTTCTGGATCCAGGAATTTTTTGAAGGATTCTTTATCATTGTGAGACAGGGCAAGTTTTGGAATTTTTGCATTTAACTCTATAAAAATGGCCAGAGTCTTTAGTAAAAAATTACACAAAAGGATCTCAATGAGTTTTATGTGGTGTCAAAGGTTGATCCTGATCCAGACCAAATTCCGGATACTGTGATCCAGAACACACAAAAATAAGGGTGTCATTGGAATTTTCAATGCTGAAAGATAAGCAATGGGCAGCACAGTGGTGTAGTGGTTAGCACTGTTGCCTCACAGCAAGAGGGTCCTGGGTTCAAATCCAGGTCAGGGCATTTCTTGTTTTAGGAACATTATGAACAGTGAACATACCAGTTTAAACACAAATAAAAGTTAATAAAAGACACGTAACAGTGAAAGTTTTGGTGCGAATCACAATATAAGGGGGGACATGAGCTGCTTGGCGGAGGTCTGTACTCTCCGAGTGCTTTTCTAGTTTTTTCTATGATTATCTAGAAAGGAGAACAATGGTATCTTTACTTACTATTTGTAGGAGCACAATGGTAAGTTAAATTTAACATTTCACAGAGCTGAAGGTTCACAGAAACCAAAAGAATGAGGCTGACTTTGAGTAACAGTCCACAATCTTTATTAAAACCCTGGAAAAAAACTGCCCCAAAGACTGTAATTGTATCATTCTTAACACAGTGTAAACACATCCTCTCAGTGTCTTGAAAGCTCTCCTTTAAACCCCAGAATCACATGTAAGACCCATAGACACCAGCTACACTGCTCGCACCCTCACTGTCTCTTGTCAGCTAACACATTCCACAGCAGTCAACAACAGAGCAGCTTAAGAATAAGCGAGAACAAAACACGACATAGGAACCAAAAGGATTCAGTTCAGGATAGGTTCAGCTTATACAAATGTAACTGAAATCACTTTACCTCAGACTGCACACATTGATATCACAGTGAGACGTCAACACCAAATGAGCGTACTACTCTTGGTCTGAATCAGTCTCTCTTACCCTCTCTCCACCCCCTTACTTGTTTCTGTCGTCATCTCAGCCCACAGAGGAACAAGGCACAGCTGGACATAGAACAATGTATGAGTGCGAGGGACACTTGACTAAGCTGGGTCTATCTTTGGCTGTGACCACCAGCGACCTTCTTTCTGCTGTGTAGTTGTGCGTGGTTGATGGCTCATTAAACACAATAATGCAGGCTTTTGTTGACCACACTGTGCTGGCACAAAAAGCTGGGATTTATAGTGATAGAAAACTGATTGATAAATTCAAGAATTAAGTACACTACGAGCTTCTCAATGTCTAACTATGACAGAACTTGATGAATACATTTAACAAACAGATAAACATCTTTGTGAAATCATCTGAAACTTTTGACTGAAAATTCATTTGTGCTATTACAAACAAAACTATTACAGTGCCTTGTTGCAAAATTTCTCTAATGTCTGATAAAGTTCAACTAATAAAGACAAAAATTGACTGAATCTTTTTGGCACAGATACAACAGAAAACACCAGTATCATGAACTCAGAAATGGGGTTGGTGAGGCTAAGTGTGAATATGACAAAGACACATCTGAGTTGCAGCTAAGCTACCTTAAAAAATATTTACATCAGTAGGATGTGTCATCTTTTCTGCAGCATATGTGCTTCACTCACAGAGTTCCTCAATCTAAAAGGGGGGCAGGGAGTTTGTGGACATTTTCTTTGTTTTGAATTTTTCTTGTCAGATGTCTTTGTTAGTGACGTCTCTGGCGGTGGGACATGAATCGGTTTCCAGGGGATTGGATTGTAGAAGCCAGGTGAAGGAAGGAATTTGTCGTAGGGACCTTGAGGAAAAAAATAAATGAATAAAATGGATTGACTAACACCAAGAGAAAGAATGAAAACAATGAGCCACAGTTAAGTCAGATGAGCTCTGAATCCAGCACAAAATAAAAATACATTGCTGCTGCTGCTACTGGATGAAATTACTACATTAGAAAAAATGAATACTTTTAGTTAATCGTAAAGTAAAGACAAAAACTATCAGTAATAGCTAAAAATTCCTAAATAACTCACTTGACCTTTACCTGCTTTGTTGCATGGTGATTTGGGACTTGCTCTGCTTTTTTCATTGGCTTTGATCAGCCATTCCTGAAACTTCTCCTCTGCTCTCCTGATGCGCTCTCTCTCCTGCTCCTCTTTCAGGGCTGCTTCCTCCTGTCAAGAATTAAAGGTATTCGTGTTCACTTTTGCACATCCATCATACCTTAAAAATTTTAGAATAGTTGAAATGACAGCAGAATAACTTTTAAGATCCACATTACTTTTTCTTTCCTTTCCATTTCTTTTTTCTTTTGGTTCTTTTTCTGGAGCCACTCTTTGTATTTCTGCTGAGCTTTCTGCTCTGTCTTCTTTTGCTCTTCCCACTGCCTTTGAATCTTCTCCTCCTCTTTGCGCTGCTCTAGGAACTGCTTGCTCTTCTCCTTGGATTGCAAGACAAACACAAACCAACAAAAGAAATGTGTTACACTGTTGTGTTTCTAAATAATATTTTTTTAAGGTTAATTACACTGCGTTCCAAATTATTATGCAAATGATATTTTTCTCAGATTTTCTAAATAGTCAACACATAATTTTCAAGTCCTGAACCGTTAAAGTATAATTGAAATGTTATTGAACACACCTCCCAATGATAACAGTATTTTATTCAAAAATAAAAAACTTAAAATGTACTGTTCCACATTATTATGCAAAACAGACTTTCAAAACATTTTACAGAATCTAAGGAACTGAAAATAGTCATTTGTTGAATTAGCAGCATTAGGAGGTCATATTTACTGAAACCAAAAACATCCTTACAGGTCAAGTTACATTTTAACATGGGACCCCTCATTTAAAAGCATATTCAAAATTCTTGCATCCATTGAACTTGTGAGTTTTTGGAGAGATTCTGCTTGGATTTGTTTGCAGGATGTCAGAATAGCCTCCCAGAGCTGCTGTTTGGATGTGAACTGCCTCCCACCCTCATAGATCTTTAGCTTGAGGACGTTCCAGAGTTTCTCAGTAGGGTTGATGTCAGGGGAGGATGGGGGCAACACCATGAGTTTCTCTACCTTTATGCCCATAGCAGCCAATGATGCAGAGGTATTCCTTGCGGCATGACATGGTGCATTGTCATGCATGAAGATGATTAAAGATGATTTTGTTACGGAGAGCACGGTTCTTCTTTTTGTACCATGGAAGAAAGTGTTCAGTCAGAAACTATATACTTAGCCGAGGTCATTTTCACACATTCAAGGACCCTAAAGGGCTGACCAGCTCTCTCCTTGTAACTCCTGCCCAAAACATGACTCCACCACCTCCTTACTGATGTTGCAGCCTTCGTGGGAAATGGTGGCCATCCACTACTCCATCCATCTGGACCATTAGGGGTTGCACGGCACTCATCAGTGAACAAGACTGTCTGAAAATTAGTCTTCATGTATTTCTGGACCCACTGCAACCATTTCTGCTTGTGAGCATCATTTATGGGTGGCCGAATTGAAGGTTTATGCACAACTGCAAGCCTCTGAAGGATCCTACACCTTGAAGTTCATGGGACTCCAGAGGTATCAGCAGCTTCAAATATGTGTTTGCTGCTTTGTAAAGGCATTTTAGCAGCTGTTCTCTTAACCTTCCTCATTGTGCCTTTATCTGCACGAATCCGCCAGTGTGCTCTGAATCATCACACTTAAGTATTCGTGAAATATCCAAGGTTTTCATACCTTGCTCAAGGCATTCAACTATTTCATGCTTTTCAGCAGCAAAGAGATCCTTTTTCTTTCCCATATTGCTTGAAAATGGTGGTCTACTTAATAATGTGGAACGCCCTTCTTTACTAGTTTTTCCTTTACCTGGGCTCACCTGGCAAACTAATTATCACAGATAAATGAGATTGATTTCAGTGATCCAAAGAGCCCTAAGACACAGTACCATCCATGAGTTTAATTGAAAAACAAAAAATAGAACCTGTATGACACTTCAATGCAATTTGCATAATAATTTGGAACGCAGTGTATAATTTGATTGTACTTTTTGCCAAGGAGCGGTTCTCTACCTGTTCTTTTTTCATCCTTAGCCATTCATGAATTCTCTCTTCCATGACAATCTTTTTTTGTTCCTGCTCCCTCTGTTGCTGCTCTTCTTTTTCCTTCAGTAATTGCTCCTAATTGAAAGGAAACAGAGTGAGCAACAGACTCAGACATAATAAAACAACGATCATTAGAAACGTACAAACTCCAATTACACAGAGGGAAGATTACACTGCTGTAATTAAACAAATAACTTAGTGTTGCTTGCCTCCTCTGCTTTCTTTTCTGACTTCAGACGTTCCTCTTTTGCTTTGTTCATCAGCCACATTTCCCATGGACTGAGAGTAGGTGAGCATGCAGGCTCCACCGCAGCCCTCAACATCTGCTCTGATGGTGTTCTCGGTAATTCACATCTAGTGAGGAAATAAAAGATCAATTTTTAAACACAAGTCTTTAATATATCTTAAATATCTCCAAACTGAGGGGCTTTCTGTCAAAATCAGACTTAAAAAAATTAATCCATGCATTTATAACAAGTAGACTGGATTACTGTAATGGTTTATTCAATGGACTCCCAAAATCAAGTATTCAGAGGTTACAATTGATTCAAAATGCAGCTGCACATATTCTCACTGGTACCAAAAGATATCAACACATCACACCTGTTCTCAAATCTTTACATTGGTTACCCATTAGAAAAAGACTTGATTTCAAAATACTACTGCTGGTTTACAAAGCACTACATGGCCTTGCACCTCAGTACATCGCAGATATGCTCATCACCTACACCCCACATGCCACATCAGTAGCCATCTTTAAAAACAGATTAAAAAACTTTTCTTTTTTTTTCTATGGCATTCTATTGAACTGTGTGTGTGTGTGTGTGTGTGTGTGTGTGTGTGTGTGTGTGTGTGTGTGTGTGTGTGTGTGTGTGTGTGTGTGTCTCCATGTGTGAGTGGGTGCGCATGTACGAGTTTAAGTGTGAATGCAATGAAGTTGTTTACTTGCACTTACACTCTTCAATTGATTTCCTATGATTTTTATATAACTGTTCTTTTTAACTATGTATACCGGTTGTGAAGCACATTGAGTCTGCCTTGTCTGCGCTTTATAAATAAAGTTGAACTGAACTGAATTGAATTAATAACTCAAAATTAGTCCATCTTAATCATACAATCTGTGGTGGTCAATAGTTACACTACCGGTCTGAGGACAGGCTGTGTCTGCTGTGGTCACTCTGCTGATCAGGGCTGTGCTCCAGGTCCTCATCACTATCAAAACTGTCATGATAGATAGGAGACAAGAGGGAAAATGTGTCTTCGTCGTCAGATAGGACGCCGTCGTCTAAGCCATTGGATATATGGTGGTCTTTTTCCTGTTGAGTTTTTAACGGAGTGGAGCTGAAACCCTCAGAGGCAGAGGCAGGACAGTTCGGCATCTTCCTCCCAGACATCACCGACCAATGACTACATCAAAAAAGAAAATACATGAGGGAAACTTTCATTGGCTCTGTATCTGACAATTTTGGCAATCGAGGGGCGCTAGGTGGCTAGCTAGTGCTGTCGGCTGACTTAGCAGACTTAGCATCAAGCAACAACGTACTACGACCTACAGAAGCTAAGAATACAGTTTGCTACTCAACGTTAGAACGTCTTTGACAAACTCTGAAAACTTCAACATTTGGTGACCCACCTGCGCGTCAAATCTGAAGAAAAATCCGTTTGTTGTGATTCACTCACTCACTCCACAGCGTTGCAACTGCTTTCCAAACAACTTTTTTTCCCATGATACACCACGCCCCCACGCACAACCGGACGCTGTCTCTGTAACCATGACGATGATTGACGCCTGTGATCTTTTCGACGTATTTTTTTAACGTTTATCTAACTAAATATTTTTAATGTGTCACTAGGTCATCCAAATTCAAATTTCTGTCATTTTAGCCCCCCTATGAAATTTTAATTTTTTTTCCAAAATTTCTAAAGCGCTGTTCAACAGATTAATGATTTTGTTACACAGCTTTTCCAAATATCCTAGTTTTATTTTGGATCCTTACATTGTTTTACTTTGCACACAGAAACAAAATTATTTCACAAAATTATTAGCCCCCTTAAGAATTGACGTTTTTATTGAGCCAAAACAAAAACCACTGTTGTGCAATCATGTTTCACTTCCAAGTGCTTACAGCTTGTCATCAATCGATCAATCAATTAAATTAAAACAAAGGGTTGTTACAAAGTACAGCAAACGATTGCATGCTGTTATCCAGCAAAAAGGACACACAATTGACTATTAACCTGAGGGGGGCTAATACTTTTGACCCTGTTAGTTTTTGTGAAATAATTGTGTTTCTGTGTGCAAAGTAAAATAATGTAAGGATCCAAAATAAAACTAGGATGTTTGGAAAAGCTGTGTAAAAAAATCATTAATCTGTTGAACAGCACTTTGGAAATTTCGGGAAAAAAGTTAAAATTTCATAGGGAAGCTAATAATTTCGGCCTCAACTGTATCACATACAATGATAGAAGCACTACAGAGAACAGAGCCTCCCCAGTCCACTAGCCATCTTGTCCTGGTTTGGGAAGAGTCCTCCAGAGTATACTGCATATCCTCGGCCCCACATAATCAAGAAATGGAGTCCATACACGATAGAACTGTCCAAATGTCGCTCTGGACCAGTGGTTCTCAAGTCCAGTCCTTGAGGCCCACTGTCCTGCATGTTTTGGATGCTTCCCTGCTCCAACACACCTGATTCAAATGATTAGCTCGTTATTAAGCCATTACAGAGCTTGATAACGAGCTGATCATTTGAATCAGGTGTGTTGGAGCAGGGAAACATCAAAAACATGCAGGACAGTGGGCCTTGAGGACTGGACTTGAGAACCACTGCTCTGGACCAATATTTCAAATATTCCATAGGAAGCAAATCAAATATGACCTTATGCCAGTCAGACACAGTTGGTAGTTTATGCGAAATCCATTTCAATAGTACACTTTTTCGTGCAGCATATGTTAACACGCTAAGCAGTTTTTGATTGTGAGTGTCATTAATTTGAGGATGAGGCATTCCTAAGAGGAGGCATACTGGATCCATCTTTATGTTCTTACTGAAAACCAAATTAAGCTTTGTGAAAATTCTGATCCAAAAGTCTCTAATATGAATGCATGACCATATTGAATGTATAAAACTGCCAACCTCCTTTCTACGTTTGATACAAACAGCCGACTTCTCAGGGTCCGCTCTATGTCTAAGTTGAGAAGAGATCTGAATGCAGTGTAGTAGCCTGAATTGTAGCTCTTTAGCTCTGTTACACACGGATATTTCACCAGCATGCTCCCATATACTTGTCCCTATATCCTCGTCAATATCCACCCCAAGGTCTTGGGCCCACACCTGCAGGGTGGCTTTATTTGCTTCACTGCTTCATTGCATGGCCCTAATATTGATTTTTTTTTTTACTTCTTATTTTTTAGAGTAATTCTTCAACTGGTGACATTTCTATGCTAAATTTATATTTAGTTTGGTCATGTATAAAGCTTCTTACTTGCAGAAATCTAAAGAAATGTGTTTGAGGTAGATCATATTTTTGTTTTAGTTGCTTTTGTTTTTGTTTTTGTTTTTGTTTTGTTTAGTTAATTTTATTCCTTTCAAACAAAGTCCTATAGGTTTTACACAACTCTACACAGTTTCAAAACACTTTAGTGATGAAAAAAGTAGTAGTGAGAAACAAAAATATCTAAGACTGGCTATTCAGACTGTAATCATTGTGATTTAAATGTGACCAAATATTTTTAGTTCGACTATTTGAACTTAATTTTTTTGAATAAATTGCATATGTGCTGTCCAATTAAAGGGTGAACATATTTTTTTAGCATTTTTTAGACAGGCATTTGTGAGCACAGCTAAAGGTTCTATTAAGCATAGACATCATATACGTAAACGCTTCATTACGTGCTGAAGCATAATCCAGCGTCACCGCCATATTTGATGGGTCTCCCACTTCAGGCTCGCTCAAAAGCCAAACGGCGTCCATGGAGAACGAGCAACTATGCCCTTTTTTGCACTCTATGGTTGAAAAACTCGACGCAGTATTGAAACCAGATCACGTAGGATTACATTTCACAAATAGGATTGAAAAACATTTATTTTAATTTTTAATTCGTGACATTGTCTTGTATTAATGCTACATCCATGCCGTTGTAATAAACCAAACAGTGTGAAAATCGGGCAGAGATTCGGAGATTTATTATCAATATGGTTGGGCATTCCTACTTGCCTTTATGCACTAGAGGCGCGCGGGGGACCCATCAAAGATGGCGGCCGCACCGATACGCGAGCTCCAATAAGCAGCGTCAGGCTTTGAGGCGTCTACGTATTTATGTCTATGCTATTAAGCGGTCCTTTGGGCGTCCCCGTTGCATAGAAACGAAAACTGTAGGGCACATATGGACCATCTACCAACTTTTAGAGCACGGACGTAAACGAAGGCAGGGAAGTTTTTGACATGAACTATAGATAGAAACAAATTATCCACAAAAGACTTCGTGTGACATAAAAGATAAGTAGCATCGGTCAATGAACGCCATCAATGGTTATTTAGTTTAGCGGTGCTAGCCGGCTGTTAGCTAGCAGTTGTTATCCTCTCTCAGTTACTCAGGGATCGCTGCTGATATAACAGTTAAGCCCTCATAAAAGACTCTTTTAGGATCTTTTAAGACATTTTCAGCTGTCCCCTATTTTCACCTTAGCTAATGTGCGGACCAACCAACTAACCAGCGCTAATACTCACTCTAGCCATAAGCTACTGAGAGCTTTGCGTCTTGAAATCTACTCATTTTTAAAAATCAGACTGATAATCTTTTATTTATAAATAATTCGCAACAAAGTGAAAATGGCTGGTGATGTTGACAGCATCCCAGAGTTGGACCAAAAGAAGTACGACGCAGACGAACAAGTGAAGATTATCTGCCTTGGAGACAGTGCTGTGGGGAAATCCAAGTGAGTGGTTCTTCCTAAAAGCCGATCTAGGCTCATGGTAAAACTGTGGATCTATAAAAAGCAGATGTTAACTTACTCTCTTCTTCTGTCTCTCTTTTTTTCTCTCTCATAGACTAATGGAAAGGTTTCTCATGGATGAATAGTATCCTTCAGAAATTCAAATGAAACGTATCGCTGTTATTTATTTGTAAATCATATCAGGACTAAAATAGTGTCAACTTATTTAAGGGCTGTGTCTCTGTGTTTCTTGTATGACAATTAAATAGTCTTAAAAAGTAGACACTGGTAATCAGACCCACATACTCTGGTTATGCCCAAAACTGAAGGTATTCTGGAAGGAAGTGTTTGAAACACTTAATACAATATTTGGTGGAAATATTACAATGGACCCAATGGTGGCTCTACAAGGCATTGAAGGAAGAGCCAAAAAATATCTCTTACAGATACAACAGCAATTTAATGCATTACAATGAGATGGTTAAAGCCTGACCCCCAACACAAAAAAGAAAAAATAGCCACACATCTGTAACATTTTACCTGTTTCAAATGTAATTTCCACATGAAAACTAATCAGAAATCTGTAGCCATACTGATTAAATTTCTAAAAAGCAAATGTGTGCATTGTTTGCACATACATGGTTTTTAAGTTAAGGCTAACAAAGCAGAGAGTTTTCCCTCAAAGTTTATAATCCTTCACATTCTCTGCAGTCGTCCACAGCAGCTGTCAACCTATGCGTTGACTCTGTACAAACATACTGCCTCTGTTGGAAACAAGACAGTGTTGGTGGGTATGTATCATGTACGATTACTTTTACGTTTCTCTCAAAGCTCACAGAAAATAATTTTACCCAGTCCCTGCTTAACCTTAAAGCGATATGGATGGTTCTTGTGTCTGACTAACAGATTTCTGGGACACTGCTGGTCAGGAGAGATTTCAGAGCATGCATCCCTCATACTACCACAAAGCCCATGCATGCATTATGGTAAGACACACACACTCCATGCCTTTCACAGGACATACTCAGAGTTTAACTAAAATTATTTGGTCTTGCTGTGTGTTAATTTCACTAAAGGGTAGCAGAATGGACAACTGAGTTGTTCCACTGTCATGAAAGTGATCTTTTCTTCTTTCTTTAAGGTTTTTGATGTTCAACGGAAGATCACATATAAGAACCTGGCCACCTGGTATAAAGAGCTAAGAGAGTTCAGACCAGAGATCCCATGTTGTGTGGTCGCCAACAAGATTGACGGTGAGTCTTAATGAGTTTTTAGTTATTTTAATTTATTTAAATACGGTTTTTACAGCATTTTTCGGTAATTTACTGTTTGACAGACAAAATTGCCTCCTAAATTCATTATGTTAAGATGTTTTTTGTGTCTGCAGCTGATTTGAAAGTAACGCAGAGAAGCTTTAATTTTGGGAAGAAGCAAGGCCTTCCCTTATATTATGTATCAGCAGCTGATGGGACCAATGTAGTGAAGGTTTGTAGTCTTTTTTTTTTTTAAACTTCTAACTTCAGAGATCTATTTTTCAAATTCTGCACCTGTTTCAGAAATAATTAAGTCGACTTGAACTCCAGTGTGTCATTACTCAGGATTGTAATTGTCTAAACAGATGTTCAGGGACATGATAAAGAGGGCAGTGGAGTACAAGCAAAACCCCAGCGACTTCATGGATGAAGTGATGCAAGAGTTAGAGGTATCATCTCTGAAAATAACTCAGTGGTATCAGCACAGGGCTCATCTTTTAAGCTCATGCATTCTAAAAAAAAAAAAAAAAAAAAAAACAGGCATTCATCATTTTTTGTCCCAGCTGACTAAAAAAACCTTGTATGTATAAATTTTTTGCTTCTTTTTGCAGAACTTTGACTTGGAGAAAAAAGAAGAAAACTCAGAGCCAGATGAAGACGGATTGAAAGCAGAGAGTCCAGAGCTTGACTGAAATGTTTACAGATCCTTCAACAAATATGTCACCTCATGGATCATTTGCTGTCCTCAAGGCCTGATGCTGTGAAAATTATTAGTCAAATGTACACAATCTCTGATCCCCTGTGATCGTGTCTTTATGAGTCTTACCACTGGAGGTCAGCAAACAATTGTGTCAGGTCTAAAGTCACTGCCCTCCATCACTCCAGTGGAATTAGCAGGGACATAAACCTGGTAAAATAAAAAGAAACTTTGTGATTTCCAAAGTTTATTTGTATCTTACTTATAACTTTATACAAAAATAATAGTAGAAATCATATACGACAGAATACGTGTACATCGAGCTTTATGTAATAAGAATGTGAATTCCTGAAAAGCAGCAAAAAAAGTGATTCAAACCATCTGTGTTGCTGTTCGTCATGCTTGGTAAACTTCCATCTGTTGAAGTTTTTTTTAATTGAAAGGGTTAAAGTTAGTTCCTCTTATCTGTCTTACTTGGTGTGATCCTGCAGTAGGCATGGAAACAAAGTGAGGTATTTTTTATGATTTAGCTGCCAGTGAGTATCAGTGGATATCAGCTCTCTTGAACTCTTGTGAAACACTTAGCCAGTCATGTACTTCATGATGGAGTACCAGCAATGTTGGCTTGTGAACTGTAAACCAACTCTCAAGCCCAAATTATTTCTATATCATCTTTATGTTGTAAAGAACCATAATGTATTTACTGTATTTACTTTGATGTATATTTTCTATTTATATTCCACTGTTTTATGTGGTATGTACTCACAATAAATCACACTGGAACATTGTTTTAAAGTGATCAAATCCAGGTCATGTTTTGATTATGAATGAGTTACATCAAATACCGTATATAGGTCTTTGTGGTGAAGGTATCTCAATCAACATCTCAGATTTGTCTCTAACCTACAATCAACTTTACCCTATTTGCATCAAGATGTCATTGTAAACTCTGGTTGGGATTCAGGCTTAACATGGGATGATGGTTCCAATGTAAATGTCAATGTTCTTTATTTATACAGCCCTTTACAACAACCCTTTCAGTGAGCCAAAGTGCTTTACAATACATAGTAAATAAAATTGAATAAATAAAAACAATAAAAGCAATTTAAAAAAGAATAAGATACAATGCAACAAAATAAAGTGTCACCACGCTACTGGGTATTAAATGCCAGATTTGAAAAGGCCCAGGTTGGAAATAAGTCTAATTTCTGTGGGAAGCTTATTCCAGAGCCTGGGACCTGCAACTGAAAAGGCTAAAGGCAATGCTAGAAAATAATCTAGATGTTAATCTGTGCTCAATCTTGAAATATCAAATGAAACTAAAATGATATATAACAAATGGTGTGTCTGTATTTGAATGTTGGTGCTCAGTATTGCACCAAACTGAACTCTGTTCAGCGCTTGTCTGGGCTGTATAGAGTAAGTGTGGTGTACACATAAGTTTACTCTTATACTGTATTAGTTTACTGTAACAAAAACAAGCAGTTGCTGTGTATCAGGCAGCTCTGACCCCGCTGGAGTTAACCTGCCCTTGCACCCTGTCTCACACACTTTTAACATCATCAGACTAATTAGCAGCAGGAGCTCCTGCAGGAGCAGAGCTGCTTTCACAAACAGATGTGGTATTTTCTGAGTGTTTGTAATTACCCACAGGCCTAAATCATTTCTTGTCTTGTTATTTATCTTTAATGCTGAAGTCCTCTGCGTAGGTAACATCATGAGATCTTGAATCCGATAATTTTTTTCTTCAGCTTTGTTAAAAGCCCTATTTCAAGTTGGATTAGGAAAAAGCACTGGCATACACATCTTTTGGTGCTGTTCTTTGATTTCAGTGTAGGCATATACTATAGCTCTCACAGAAGCTTCCACAAACTGACAAGATGTATAAAATATGCATTGTATTTAACAAAATATTGTGATAGATTTAATTCACAAAGGAAAAGGGGAATGATTTAAAATAGAATAAAAAGGCCCAAAAGGATTTTAATGAGAAAAAAAAACACACCATTTAAAAAATATCTCATTGAATTGTGACACCAGTCAAAAAGAATGAAAAAGACAATCACTAGGGACTCTTGAGAAAAAGATCTCTAATTTTAGGAAAGTAAAAGTACAGATCAATAACTCTTAACAATACCTAAAGTACAAAAATTAAAAGAACTTACAAGAAAAATTCCTTCTAAAAGAAAAAATAAGTACCTGAATAAATTGTGCATGCCACTTTCTTTCATTTAAGTTTCTAATGAAACAAACATTCACTATGTGTAATTATAGAAATATTTCTGGGATACTCTCTAAATCTCTCCTTTCCGTCACTCCTGCCTGATACAGTTTAACATAATATATCAGATCCCTGTGAGGCATCCACAGTTCTGAGTAAAACCATGACTCAGGAGTATGCACGTGCAGAATCCAGGAAGGTGTGTCTGAATCTATGTGTCTGTCATCTTGTCTATGTCTAGAGTCACACCAAAGTGAAGGATTCCAGCTCCAGCCTCCGAGGCTCTTATTGTGAAAGGACAGTCCATTACTGGCTGCAACCAGTCAGTCACACAGTCCAGCAGCCAGCTCACTGGTCAGATGTAATGGTGGTAGAGGACCATCACGGACTGCCAGATGGCAGAGGAAAACCACGCCGACTCTCCCGGACCCCTCACCTGGACCAGAGACCACAGAGGAAGTCTCGCAAGAAGCTCCAGGTCATCATTTGTGTCCTGCTTGTGGAGCTGTGTGAGAGGTTCACTTTCTTTGGGATAGTATGTAACACGATTCTCTTCTGCACGGTGAAGCTGGGCTATGATAACTACCTGGCTGCAACGGTCAACTTGTGCTTCATAGGAGCCAGCACCCTGACCCCTGTGCTGGTCGGCTGGTTTGCAGAAACCTGCTTGGGAAGGACTAAAGTGCTATATTTGTGTGCTTTCCTCCACTTCTTTGGTAAGAAACCATAATTAAACATTGAAGCGTTTCATCTGATTGGAGAAAGTGTGGTGTTTTTTACCCTCGACATTAAATAATCAGGTTTTGTTTATTTTATTTCTTTTCCTGGATTGAATATCTGTTTTTATTCATCTGTAACATCTACAAATTTACTGGCTGCACAATCATTCAGCATAAGAGTCATCAAGAATCTCAACCCGAAGTGTTAGACAGACAAGCATGTTAATGATTCCATACACTGTATGTGCTTCGTCATGGCTCTGCTGCTCTGAAATCACACTCATGTTTGAAATCAAGCAGCAGCCACATGCCATGACCTCTTTCCATCACTGTCATCTCCAGGCACAGCCATGCTACCTGTGGTGGCATTTCCATTTGAAGACTTCTACATTGACAATCATCACATGACGCACCAGCTGGAGCCCCGGGAGCAGCAGATCTTGTTTTATACCGGCCTCTTAGCAGCTGCACTGGGCATTGGTGGCATCAGGGCTATCCTCTGTCCAATGGCAGCTTACTGCCTTCAGAGTTACAACCAGCATCAGCTGCTCTCCTTCTTTAACTGGTAAGAAGGTGTTACTTTGAATACAATTTACTCGCTCAGTAAATATCATGACATCAGTAAACTGATGCAGTAACTATTTTTAGTTTTACTTTACTGTAAAAGTTTCACTTCATGAAGTTCTTTACAGCTTAGCTATGGTAATGGCTTTTACCCATAAGTGGGGCTTGAATGAAGTAATGGTCATTAATGTTTTCTAAAGAAAGACTTAACCTCCTATAGAAGTGCAAAAGTATGCTTTCCAAGTTTCCTTGACATTTTCCACTTGTCTTAGGTTGGTCCTCAAAATCTTCATCTTTTGAGGACAAATAATATTCTTTCCAAAATTCATGGTTATCTATCCAGAACTGATTGGATGCAGGAAAGACTAAGATGCCTGAAACTTATTGTGGAGAACTTAGTATTAGACCAAAAAATAATGCTAATGTCTCAACATTACTAGAAAAACAACGATAGCATCAAAAAAAGACAGAAAAAGCGTTTCTGTTTTGTAAGTGCTGTCACATTATGGTGCTGTGAAGGCCTTCTCAAGAACTAAAAGTAAAAGTTATGTTTGACTTTTTGAAAACATTAAGATATATTTTTCTACTATCTGTCAGAAATTACTCTTCAAATAAGCACTGGATTTGGGAATTTGTGAAGACATAAGAGGTGCCAAGAGTACAAAGATTACTAAAACTATATCAAATCAACGCTAACACCTCTATTGTAATACAAACTATTGGTGTTTCCCAAACACATTGCACCTCTGGTGTTAAAACCTGAAGCCAAGACAGACATGCAAAAGTCTACAGCACCTCAGGCATCCACTTAAAGTTGGCTGCAAAAATCAAAGAGTATTGGTTGGGTCCAGTTTTTGGTATAGCTCATTAAAGTATTTCTACACACCGGGATGCATGTCGTACATCTTGATTTTGTCAAGGCTAAGAGTCACACATAATATTTGTATAATGAAGGACAAAGCTGAGTTAATGGAAAGTGGTTGTGTTGTATCCATTTATCAGGAGGTTAAAAGCCTGCCCTAATTCCACCTCTTCTCCTGTGTTTAGGTTGATCAAAAGTTAATTTCAGTTAGCTTTTTCATGGGGACTGCAATTGTCAGGCTTCATGTTCCGTTTCTATGGTTCTACATAAAACAATATCATTTTTTACGGCAAATTTTGCATCTTTGTCACTGTTCAAATGTTGAACAAACGAGGTTTGTGGTAAATGCTAACATCAGCCTGTTAGCATGCCAGTTTTTTGCTGTGGGGTACTTAAAAATATTCATAGTAAAATGCTCCTGCACACAGTTAAGCTCCAACACAAGGAACATACATGTGTGCAAGTGGTGGTTCGATTTCAGGTCCCACTGCCCACATGCTGAAGTGTCCTGGGCCACTTGACCCCAACCGGCCCAAAATCCCAAAAGCACTCAACCGTGGTGCCAGGTGTATAGTCAGACCATCACCAAAGTTTTAAAAATATCCTTCTCTGACTATTTACCAAAGTTTAGAGTAATCTTTATAGATGTCAAGATATTACAGTGGTGTCACTTTCGGCGCAGCAGAAGAGGCTCACTTCTACATCAGTGTACATAATTTTGTGACTACAATTGAAGTTGAGATATCTCAGTCCATACCAAAGATGGGGACTGAGTCCAGCTGAAGTTTAATATCTTTTTAAGAGTTATGCATTTAAATCTGTAGTTAATATGTTGGCATATAGTTGAAGACCTGTGAGTATAATCTCTGTTTTATGATTGTTCAGGTTCTACTGGCTGGTCAATCTGAATTCGACTGTGGTTTTTTTGGGTATTGCTTACATCCAGCAGTCTGTGGCCAAAAACCTAGGCTTCCTCATCCCTTTCATGTCTGTGGTGCTGGCTTTAATCGCCATACACATGGTGCGAAACAGACTCACCTACAAACCCAAGAAAGGTGAGAATTAAAAAACGAGTGACATAACCAGACATTCAAAAGTATTGTTACTTAAAGTTTTCATTGGGTTTCTTTTTGTGTCTGCTTTAGGCGGATCATTATTAACCACACTGGGAGTGTTTCTAAATTCTCTAAAGATGTGCTGTCTCCATTACCGACACCTGAGTGGAGATGTGGCATCCTGGCTGGACCGGGCCAAGGAGAACAATGGTGGTCGTTACAGTGAAACACATGTGGAGAATGTGAAGGTTCTGGCCAAGCTGTTCCCTCTTTATGGGCTCCAGCTGCTTTATAGAGCCTGCATCACACAGGCAGGTCACCATTTTTATGTCATGTCTATTTTTTTTAAGTTATACGAAATGATCATCTCCATGTTCATGTTCATCTTTCCTTAAGATTCCCTCTGGCTTCTACATTCAAACAATGAATTCAAACCTTCACCTGAATAACCTCCTGTTGCCCATTGGTACTATGAATGTGATCAGCATCCTGCCACTGCTGCTCTTAGCCCCGCTGATGGAGTTTGTGACGACATGCTACCTCTCCATGGAAAAAAATCCTCTGGCACCAGTAAAAGTCATCAGTGAGTATTTCTATACTCACACCCTCTTTAAAGCACCACCTCCTGTCTCTCTCTTGATTCTGTGCCTCTCTCATCCACCCTCTTTCCTCCCGTAATTATTCTGCAGCACCTTCTTTTATCACCCCTTCCTGTTCATCCTCCACTTCCAGCTCTGGGCCATGCATGTGCTGCTCTGTCCGTCCTGGTGGCAGGTTTGTCTGAGCTGCAGAGGAAGTCTTACCCTCTAGTGGAGCAGACTCTTTCAGGGAAAGTCCTGCAGGTGTCAGCCATGCCGTGTTTCCAGCTGGCTCCTCAGTACATCCTCCTTGGTCTGGCAGAGGCTCTTGTCACCCCTGCATGTGAGTGAGCCACTCTGTGTCTCCATGACTTTATTGATGGTGGTTCAAAAAGATTTATTTTGTTCAGGAGACTTAAATTAGGCTTTCTTTCTTTAATTTTGCAGGTTCACTCATATCTTTCCAGCTGACTCCTAATCACATCAGAGGGATCTCCCTGCACTTCCTCACTCTGTCCTATGGAGGGGGCTGCTTTCTGGGAGCTCTCATCATCCAGCTGACGCATGCTCTCTCTGGAGGTAAAATAATTTCAAATTATGTATTGTATGTTGTTTTGTTTTTTTTAATAACTTTGAAAATTGTGATTTATTCAAAAGGGTAGGAGTCATTGCACTAAATAAAACAACAGTGATAATTGGTTACAGGCAATTTTTACCCGAGCATACTGCACGATGGGAATCTGGAGAGGTTCTTCTTCCTCCTGGCCACCCTCATGGCTATAAATACAGTTGTGTTTTGGAATGTGTCCTACAGGTACAGTATTACCTTTTCCTTACTTGGAGTACATGCCAAAATCACATTTTTACAATGAAAAAAATTGTTTAATACTGTCCTTTCTGACATCTAAAGTTGTGTGCTTGTTATTCTGATTATGTCCAGGTACATAGACCTGAGTGTGCAGGGTAAAGCGCTGACCATCAGCCCTCTGACAGAGAAGCTGCTGCATTACAAGGCCTGTCTGAAATTTTATGACACTGTGGAACACTCCTACACACACAATTCGATTGACTCTATTTTATGATTGTCTTTAATGATTTATCCTGTATGTGGCGCTGGCGCTGCATGTTATAATGTGAAAATATGAACTGTACTATGTGAGTTAAATTCCAAAAAGAAGTACATTAAATGTACATTAACTAATTATAAAATTGTGTTTATTGTTTGTTTGTTTTTTCCTGTTAAATGATAATGATATGGAATTAGGTCAAACATGGCCTTTACTTTATGTTACAACAGAAAAAAAATTAAATGATTGCACACTCAATCTATCAAAAGCCTTACTTTCAAATAGCATTTCCCTACATTTGAGCTGATAAATCCAAGTGTGACTGTTTGATCTTTAAAATGCAGGATGAACACAGCAGTTATTTTAAGCACTGAAACCTCTATTAATTGCCAAAAAAAAAATTTAATTGGCAACTTAAAAACATATTTTGATTCTTCTCAAATTACATACTGTATAAAATAGTGACAATGAAAGAAATTCATACATCCACCAGACAAAATAAGACAATAAAAGAAACCATCACTCTTAAAGTACTGTCCAATATTCACTGTATGAAGTGACCAGAATCCATTATCAATTCACTTAGACTTAACTCCACCAAAATAACCATCAACTGCTAAAAATCAGGTACAAATAATGATAATAATAATAATCTTAATCTTCATAGCACTTGGGGTGTTTTCTGGGATTTGAATGTGCTTTTGGAGAGTTCTCTTAGCTGATAAAAAACATGAATGAACCTCTGAGCTGATGTGTTTCTCAAGAACATCGTCAAAAAGACTTCCAGTTTTTGCAGCTGTTAATAATATTTGCTTAGAGAGGCTCTAGATGTTCAGTACTACAATTAATGAGTGAGGAAATGTTCGTACTATTAAAAGCGATGCAAAGCTGGTTGTCACTAGCATAGAATGAAAATCATTGTGTCTATAAATCACATGACCCAGGGGCAACATATACATAGAAAACAGAAATGGTCCCAGAACTGACCCCTGAGGTACCCCACAGGACAAATTAACTCTGGATGACTGTAAGTTTCCAATAATACTTCAGTCTAAAAGAATAAAGAGCAAAGATTTTCCACTATTGCAAGCCATAAGCAATCATTCATCAGTCTAAGTAGAGCAGTCCCTGTACTGTGGTTAGCTCTAAAACCACATTATAAAGTCTCAAAAAGCACTCCAGATGGATCAAAACCAAGGAGGATGAGATGCCCCTCATTTTTCTCCATTATTTCAAGGTTTAATAGCATTATTACATGCTAAGGCAGATTCCTCTTAATAACTGATTGGTCAGATGTTGCATATTTTGAGTGTTGAACCTAAATCAACACAGAAGCCAGGATAGAGAGGTTCAGTGAAGGTGGTCTGGACCTGGTGTAGCAATGTAAAAAAGTTCCCATCAGAGATACTGTAATAGCTCAGTGTTCCTGCTTCATAATCAAGATGTATGCCAACTTTACGTGAGATAACCGGCTGGATTCGGCTTTTGTGAAGACTGTTGTGCCAAAATGTGCAGCCGGAGGAAGTGCAGGTTAGTTTCCAGGAGAGATTGTTGTGGCCAAAACTGCACTCTTTCCCTGAACCCTTTCTTTGGATGCCTTTGTACGACACAGCCAAATCAACAACCCCACCATCCCACTCTACCTCCCAGTAGTGGCTCCTTGTGAGGCCAGTTTTGCACAGTGCCTGGTGATAGAAGGTGAATCTGTCAGGGTGATCAGGATGAGCCTGGTCTTGACATCCCCAGGATATCTCACTGTTTGTGTCAGACAGGCAAAGACATGCAGCTACTGTGTTTGGATCCACCTCCACCTTGAAGTCTGCAGAAAAAGATTAAACACCTCTTTATTGTTAAAGCTGTCATGCACATTTGTTCTGTGGATATTACCTGTACTTACTTTTGTATTTGGCCAAAAGAAAGGACCTTGTTGTTGTTGTCTCGCTCTTCTGTTGTCTATTTGACACTGATCAAAAAACACAGATAATTTTCTCCTTAAACTTAAGTAATGTGCAGGAAATAAACTCATGAGAACAAACTAATTGTCAGGAGTAGAGGCCCAAAATGATTTTACTTACACTCATTTTTTTCAGAATGACTGAATAAATCCTTCTTCATGTTGTTGTGCATATTTTTCATTTTATCTTTCTGTCTTTTGACAAAATCTGCCAGCATGCCAAGACTCTTTTGCTGGGCTGCAGACACAGGGAGGTCACCCAAGGCCTGAAAACCCTGCACAGAGCAAATAGATAAAAATCTTACAGGTAAAACAGGCTAACATTGTTAAATTTCCCTACATTTTAAAAGAAACGGAGTAGATTATGATCCCTTGACCTCCATTTTTGTTGAATCACTATAATTTCAGACAATCAACAATTCAAATATGTATCTGGATGTATTTTTTTAGTTTATATGATAGCTCGGAGGAAGTGGCCAAAAGTTCATGTAACTTGGCAGAGTTTAGCAGCTCAATGAGAAAGGTGGGAATTCTCGGCAAATGTAACACTGGGCACATTTATTCATGTATACAGTATTTCAGCAAGATGGCAATTCAAAGTGCTCAACACAGACTTTAGAAGAATCATAACAGAAATCAGACATATATCTGCTCATTACCTGGAGAAACTGAATGGGGTTCTGCGTTTGTGAAAGTTGGTCAAGTTTATCCTCCATCCTCCTCAGCTTAAGCACTTCACGCTGTAGTTCCCTGAGATGACTGTTGGTCCTGTCCACTCCAGCTTTCTCCGCCTCTCCAGCTTTCTCTCTCATCTCAGAGCACTTCTTCTCGATATAACAGACGTATGAACGAATGTTTTCTGCACATATTTGCTCAAACTCGTCACATACCTCCCAAGCAGAGTCCTTGAAGGAAACATGCAGTGTTTAGTGTGCTATGACTAGAGACATATTTTGTATTTTCTGTAACTGGCCTGGACAATTCATTTTATAAACACACAAACAACCCTTAAAAGTTGTTTAGAGGTGTTTTATGCTGGTCAGTTAATCCAATGCAGAGGTTACATGGTTTGCGTTGGATTTTAACCAACTACAGGTTTAGAGAAAACAATATTCTGTGGAGTTTATCCAGGAAACACAAATATTTCTAACAAGAATACTTTTTTTTTTTTTAAATCATCATTAGCTCAGCATAAACTACCAAAAAGGATTTCTCGCAGCCTCACATCTAGAATTCTGGGTGTCAGTATGTATTCAAAAGTGAGTTTAGCTACAAAACCAAACATTAACATCTTATTTTGAGAGATTTGGTTATATGTGTTAGTTATATTACCTTGTACTACTTATGCTAACAAGTTGAACGCTGTTACCACGGTGGGGGAGGTGGGGACTTAAACGGTTGTCATTCAAGTCTTTGGAGGAACACACAAGCTCTGAAATATGTGGAATTGATTGACATTTTTTATGATTACTTTGTGTCTGAAAACATCTTCTATGACACAAACCAAATGTCTCTAAATTTAGTCATGTATGTGGACATTTTCTCCAGCTTGTTTCAGAAGCATGAAAAGCTTGAGTTTCCTCTTTTCCGTGCAGAAAACAACTAATTTAACACACACCTGGTTTTCATTTATCTTTGTCAATAATAACCAATAATCTAATAGTTTTGTTGAAGCCTTTTGAAAGTAAAGAAATGTACTGCTGAATCAAAGTGTGGTACTCACTCTTATGGAGTCTGCAGCTTGCCTCAGCTCCCTCATTTTCCTCTCGGACAGCTGCACTCTGTTTGTTATTTCCTGCTTAGTCAAGTCCAGTTTTCTCTGCTCACACACAAACCAGCATGTTTTTAGAACTTCTGTGAAAATAACAGGACAGGACACAAAAACTTCCATATATCTGATCTGACTTACCTCAGATTCACACTTTTCTGCTGCAACTGTCACTGTGTCATGACCTTTGTGCCCATCCATCACACACTGCAGACATATAACCTGCTGGTCTGAACGGCAGTAAATTTCCAGCAGTTTGTCATGACGACTACAGATGTTGTCTTTGATTCCGACAGAGGCCTGTATCAATTTGTGTTTCTTCAGTGGTGTCACTTCAAAGTGAGGCTTCAGATGGGTCTCACAGTAAGAGGCCAAACACACCAGACAGAACATGGCAGCTTTTCTCTTTTTCCCTGTGCAAGCATCACATTGAACATCCCCGGGTTCAGCATCAGTGTCACCATCTTCAGCAGCAGCACTTTGACTGGCCTTCCTCCTGTGTTCCTCCAACAGGGCAGCCAGAAGTGTGTTCCTCTTCAGGGCAGGCCTCTCTTTGAAAGTCTGCCTGCACTGAGGGCAGCTGTATCCTCCAGAGTTATTTCTATCCCAGAAGGCATTGATGCATATCATACAGTAACTGTGTCCACAGCTGGTCGTTACTGGATCCTGTAGTAATTGTAAACAAACAGAGCAGTCGAACAGTTCATGACTTTCAGCCATTTTCTGTTACTCAGTCAAACAGTTATTTCCTCAAGAAGGAGGGGCTTGGAACCACATGTTTATAATCGCATTGATTCAGGCTGTGCTGTGTGGGCGTGTTGAAAACAAAGTGCAACTGTAGTATGAGAGTCAACAAGCAGAGCTGTACTTTGAAAAGAGTACTTGGTTGGAGATTTCTTTCTTTTTTTTTGTCACAGCTTGAATTTAGAATTTAAAAAAAAAAAATTTTTTAAATGTGTTTGTACAATATTTTCATTTTAAAGTGATTCCTTAAAAATGACTACCAGTTTCAGTGGTAAGGGAATGAAAACATAAACAACTTCCTCCTTGTAAGTTTAACATCTTCCTACTTATTGTTTCTATAGAAGTCTAGATTCTGTACTTTTTTACAATAAGCAGGAATTAGATGAACATAAAAGGACTTAATATAATTACGATAGACATTTGTGCAAATGTATGTGTTTACCAGCAGTAAATTTTGTGTCAGCAGCTAGTCAGGCTGTCCCTAAGTGCCCAAAACTTCAATTACACTTTTTGATGAAAACAGTTTGTGTAGTGTCTCATGGGTTGATAATTTACACACACACACACACACACACACACACACACACACACACACACACACACACACAACTTACTATAGTTTTATTTATCGTCAAAGTCAGGTATTTCCTAACATCCTTCTCCTCTTGTTTTTGTTCACAACAAAAAAATAAATAAAAAAATAAAATGCAGCCACTGATAATGACCAATTAAAATCGATTAATGTATTTTGAAAGGAATAAGCTGAAAGACAAACTAAAGTGAAATTAAAGAATACAAAAATACGTCAAATTCTTCTTTTTCTTGTTTTAGGTTATTGTCTATCTCTTAATACACACAGTGTGGTCCACAAAATTCATCAACTTTTTCAACAACATAAAATCAATATCAACTGAATTCAACAAAAATCTACCTGATCACCACACCCACGATTGCCACAAATAATCTGTTGAGAAAAAAGTCACGAGAAATTAGAAGTTGTACTAACTAGACATCACAAAGACTCCTCATATGTTAAAACTGAAACTATGGCCAAAACTTATTTTTCTCCAAAAGGCCTTGTCCTTACTTTTCTGTTACAAAACTGAAGAAAAAAAAAAAAAAAAAAACAGGTACTACATTTTGAAAGACTTTATTAGCATCAGTACATACAGATTAGTGGCAGAACCAAAGCAATCTGTCAGATAGCAGCTACTGAAAATCTTTATCTTGTGCAATTATTATACTTACAGTACCTTAGACTTGAAAGAAAGTGTGGGGTACAAAGCTAAATCAGATTCATTACAGGTTGTGGTGTTGTGTACATGATATGTGGGTATAGGCCTACTCCATATACCAACTAGGAAAGATCTCAAACTTCTTATACCCCCTTAAAAATACTCAGATATGTAACAACCAACATCGTGGTTGCAGCTTTACAACTATGTGCACTAAATAAACATTTAACGTGTTACCTCATTACAGTTCTGTAGTATTGTCCCCACCAAGGAAGGTGTGGAGTTTGGTTACTGTTCCCCCAAAAAAACTAATCAAGATCACGAAAACTAAAAGGTTAAAACCATTTTTGTTGACTAAAATGTGAAGTTAACATTAGGCTCAAAAGCACAAACCAACTCTTCTACGCTTAGCTTTGCCTGGAAAACCTTTAAAGATAATATGGTCAACATGTAGAATAAAGGCACTGTAATTATCATACTATAACAATGATGCTGAACTCGTGCAACTGTCACACAACATACTTTCTACTTCAGAGGCAGAATCTTAAGGGAAGACCCTCTGGAGACCATGAACCCTGGGTACAGAGGCTGGGAGAACATGGTCTGAACTCTGTGAAGAAGGCTCATTTGATCAGAATCAGACACACTGTAAAAGGACAGAACCCCAGCACTGTGATTCAGATAGACTCCCACAGTCGAGGAGCACGGGCTGGATATCTTGGTTTTGATTCCTAAGTGCCAAAAGCTGCAACCTGAATTTGAAAGGCAAATGCACCAAGACTGATCAGAGAATCCAAACCCACTTTCTTCCAGCTCTGATCCCTTATAAGACATAGAGATCTCAACCTTGTGACCCCGCCATTCAACCTCAAAGTAGCAAACTCCTGATAAACCTTCAGAGCACAGCACCTGATCATACTTGGTAAATCTGTCAAGGTGGTGTGGATACTTCTGGGCTTTCTTAACCCAGGTCACAGCTCTGTTTCCCTCAGTTAGAAGAAGGTTTTCAAAAGCTGTGTTAGGATCCAACAGTAGGTGGCAGGAATCTAAAATGTAGAGGTTGTTAGTATCCAGAAAGATGTTAGAGGTACACTGAAGAACATGGAACTATCAAAACACTTTTGCTACAGTAATTACTCACAAAGGCAGAACTCCTGTCTCGTTTCTGGATCAGTAGCTTGAACTACAAAAGAAAGCACAATTTTTTTTAACTTTGATATACCAGTTTTTACAAAACAATAATATTACAGAGTTTAGGACATAGTTTAGAGTTTAGTTAGGTTATTTACTTACTTGATTCAGATACTTCATTAGTTTCTTTCTCCAGGTTTTTCATCATGTTCTTTAGATCAGAAATGGCCTTTGTCACAAAGTCAAAATTTGGGTGTGGGGGAATTTCAGAATCAGAGCCCACATCCAGTTGAGGAGAGACAAAAATGTCCTGACAGCTCTGAAAACATATTTAAAAAAAAATAATAATAATAATAATAATGATAATAATAATAATAATACTAGGTAATGTTTCCGACTCAATAGCCCAACTTTATATGTGGATTATCCTGTACCTGCAGGAAATGAATGTGATCCTCAGTGAGTGACAGCTGCATCAGGTCATCCTCTTTCTTCCTCAGCTCTGAGATTTCCCTCTTCAGACGCTCCTGGACGGCCTCACCTCGACTCCCTGCAGCTTTCTCCTGAACTCTGATCAGCTCTTCCACAGCATGACACTTTTTACCTGCCATACGGACTATTTCAGTGTAGGCTCTCTCATTTTCAGCGGCTGCTGCATCCGCAGAACTCTGAAAAAGTATATGCCAATTACTTTGAAGGAAAAAGTACAGAACACATTAAATGCAATGAAGTCAGCTCAGAATGAGTACAGGACAGCTCACCTGCAGCTCTTTCATTTTTTGTCTGAGTTGTCGCAGCTGCTTCTCCTTCTCTTGAATTCTGAGCTGGAAGCTTTTTTTTCTTTTTCCAAAACCTTTCTGAAAATACAATTTACATGGATTTTGGCATCAATATGATCTTGTCTACAGAATACTCATGCTCTTAAAAACAAACTCATACTTGTTTCTCTTTTCTCTCTGCTGCAGCTGAGACAGTGTTGTGACCTTTGTGCTCATCCATCACACACAGCAGGCAGATGCACTGACCATCACTTCTACAGTAAACTTCCAGCAGCTTGTCATGCTTCGGACAGATCTTCTGTTGAATGCAGGTGGAGACCTCAACCAGCTTGTGCCTTTTGAAAGCAGCAGACTCATAGTGAGGCTGCAAGTGGGTGGCACAGTAGGAGGCCAGGCAAACAAGACAAGACTTAACCGCTTTCAGCTTCTTCCCAATGCAGAAATCACACTCCACATCCCCTGGACTGACTTCATCCTTCTCAAGAAGGCAAGGTTGTTGTTCCTTGGGAATTTCCTCCACCAGATCAGCCAGGACTGTGCTCTTACTCAACACAGGTCTATGGATGAAGGTGTGTCTACACTGGGGGCAGCTGTAAGTACTCCCAACTTGCTCCTGGTCCCAATAGCCATTAACACAGTCCATGCAGAAGCTGTGGCCACAAAGCAAAGTCACAGGAGTCTTGAGGGTATCCAAGCATATTGGGCAGGACAAACGATCCATACAGCTCTCTGCCATTTTCTAAACTGTACTGTCTCACTTTCGTTTTCCTAGAAAAGAAAGCCCCTTGCAGTGGTTGTGACTTCATTTTATTGCGTCAGCTTTTAAAGAAATGATTTGCTAAATTCAAATTTCACTGAATTCTCGAATTGAACCTAGATCTGACAGTAGCCAACAAGATGAAAGTTTTAAAAAGTATTTTATTGGCAGAGTCGGCTACGTTTTTGTCATAGCCATTTCTCTAATGTAAACCGTTTGTTTTGTCGTATAAAAAAAATCGCACAAATGAATAGATTCGAGCCACCACAAAGAGTCTATGATTTAAGCAAAACAAAGCTGGGCTTTTTGGACACACTTTCGTACGAGATTTCAGCGAAACGCGAGACTTCGGAGGTTACCAAGGAGACAACAGCAGCGTTTGGTATCTGTATTGAGGAAGAGGTGTTTTCTGTCTCTGGTGATGTTTGTGCTGAGTTGATAGTAGTTTGCCGCATGGAGCTGCCGGGCACGATAAGAAGACGATTAGAAGACTTTTCTCGAAATGTATTATTCGAGCAGAATCGGACTGAAACTATCACAAAGGAGAATGACTCGTTTTCTCCTCACGGTAAACTCAGGCTGCTGCCGTTGAAATGATTCAGCCTCAATGTTAGCGTAGTTAGCTCACAGGCGATGGTTAAACTTGGTCAGACACATAGTACCACAGCATATTTCTGCCGAAATTGTGTCATCTATCCAGTCAACGTGTGTTGTTTCTCTGTTTTCAGACAAGCGGGTGTTGTCCGGTCTCCCCCTCCAGATGTCTCTGTACTTTAACATGTGGTTCTTCCCCCTGTGGTGGATCTGCGAAACTGTAATGCTGCACCTCAAGGTAAAGGGCGAACAACAATAATAATGATATGAGAGGAAAATAGAGGTGCATAGGTGTTGTAAGAAATGCGCAAATTACCCTATTAGATTCATATATTTCTTGATCTTCATTTGTCATTTAACAGCAACAACACCAGATAGACGGATGGGTGTCATACTAAAGCAAATGCATGAGAACTAAGGTTTTTGATTATCTGTGCAAAGTGGATCTCGTTTCAGCCAAAGTTGCAAGGCCTTCATCAAGTAATACCCATTCCTCCTTTTCACCACCTGATTGATCACGTTAGATATTTGTAGTTTATGTATATTACTTTCTCTACAGGAAAGGTTTTGGCATCAGCCTTATCATGCATACACCACTTGATCTGTTGGTCTTTTTTGATATTCAGATTATGTATTGCAGGTTTTTTTCCAAGCATATAAACACACACCACAAATTGACAAGTTATATTCAAACTTCAAAAGCACATACAGTACAGGCCAAAAGTCTGGACACACCTTCTCATTCAATGTCTTTTCTTTATTTTTTTTATATGACTATTTACATTATAGATTATCACTGCCATCAAAAATATGAATGAACACATGTGGAATTTTTTACTTATAAAAAAATGTGAAATAACTGAAAACATGTCTTATATTATAGTTTCTTTAAAATAGCCACCCTTTGCTCTTGATGACAGAAGTACTTAGGTGACTGAAGTAACCCTGATAAGGCACACCTGTGAAGTAAAAACCATTTCAGGTGACTACCTCATGAAGCTCATTGAGAGAACAGCAAAAGCAAAGGGTGGCTACTTTCAGAATTCTAAAATATAAAACATGTTTTCAGTTATTTCACATTTTTTTCTTAAGCACATGATTCCACATGTGTTCATTCATAGTTTTGATGCCTTCACTGAGAATCTACAATTTAAATAGTAATGAGAATAAAGAAAATGCATGATCACCTGTTTAGTACAAATGACAGTACATATGACAGTAAAAATTACAGAACAACTGAGCATCAGATATCATTGTAGCCTTCACTAATTATTTCCAAATTGATCTAGATAGATCTGAATACTTTAGGATTGTTATTAATATTTTTAACCCCCAAAATTTACCTGTAAGAAAAGTATTAAATTAATTGTGTTATTCTTATTTTGTAATGATTTCTTCTAGTACCCTGCCTTACCAGACTACTACAAGTTCATCCTAGTAACTGTTCTCATCCTGATGACTCTGATCGAGGCCATCAGACTATTTCTTGGTTATGCTGGGAACCTACAGGAAAAGGTTTGTTCATCACATACAGAAGCATTATTACATGAATGTATGAACACACCACTTTGAATAGAGAAATGAGTGACTTGTGTATGTGTATGTTTGTGAAAGGTCCCAGAGTTAGCTGGATTTTGGCTGCTGAGCATCCTGCTGCAGTTTCCACTGATCCTGTTTCAGCTCTTCAACGAAGCCATTCTCATACAGCCGCTTGAGAGGGGCGTTCACATAGTTCTTGCCTTATTTTTACTCTCACAGGTAAAAAGAAAACAGCTTGCTAGGGTGTTTGATTATACAGCTTCCATTCCATGTAAATGTTTTGATCTAATCTTTTTCTCTGGTTTATGCAGGCCCTCTTTGGTTTTGTGACACTGCGGGATATGGTCAGGCACACAGAGAGTCAGTTTCACCTCCGACAATTCAACTGACTCACAGGCTGACAAGGGAAAACTTAACATGTACAGGAGATGTTTGGGACTCACAAACACAATATGAAGAACATAACTATTTGGGGATGTTTTCAGTCTTATTATGTGGTTTTGTTAAATGATTTTGTAGTGATTCTCCTGAGAACATGCATTATTTAAATTACTTTTCAAAAAAGTTATATGGTATAAGTATTCATGCTATAAACAAAGAGGCACAAACATTTCCTAAGTTATGTCAAATTTTAAGAGTATTGCTCACTGCTGATCGTATCTCTGCCTATTCTGTATATTTCAGCAAAAAGTGTTAGGAAAGCTCAAACTGAAATATGGCCAGCAAAAGCCGCACACTGGCTGCACCTTGTATCAATTGATATATTTTTCTCAATATGAAAAAGAGTTGACTCCTTCCTTTGTAACATTTTCATAGAATTGACATTTTTGAACACCAGATATCAAATGTTGCAGAAGGTGTTGAGATGAGTCTGCAGTGACTTTCAATGACTTTTTGTTATCAAGACTATGTGCTTTTTTTAAGGATTAAAGATTGTCACTCACAGATTGTTCCAGTTTTGTACGTTTATTGTTATTGCAGTAGCTTAGGAGGTAGAGCAGTCGCCCAACAACTGGGAGGTTGGCGGTTCGATTCCCACTCATCCCTCGTCTGTCTGTTGTGTCCTTGGGCAAGACACTTATCCTACTTTGCTCCCAGTTTATATCCTCTGCGGTGTATGATTCGTATGTACGTCCCTTTGGAGAAAAGCAGCTGCTAAATGACATAATTGTAATTGCAAGATGATCAGGAATGGTTTGGTCGGAAGATGAAACCATCAAAGGTTTGAGTCTACAGATGGCCAGTGAATCAGTGCATTGAAATGGTTTGTTTAGTCATTGCTGAAACATCAAAGTATTTTCCTGTAAGTTAAAAACCCCTAACAATTGCATCTTGTTCAGTTCTGCTTGCAGCTTTTGATTTTTTTTTGTTTGGACAGAGATAATCTGTGTCAGCTGCTTCCTTTATAGTTGTGCGTTTCTGGCGTTCTCTTCCGGAGGGTTTGTGCCTGATGTCCGAAGACTGCAGCCGACTGAGGGTGTCTGTCTCTGGACATGAAACTTCAAACTTCATGGTGCCTAAGGGTTTTGACACAGGAGAAAAAGCACAGGGGAATTGAAAAATGAAATGTAGCTCTAAAATCCATAAATGTGAGTTATAATTGAAAACGCTTTTCTGAATCTCTGCACAATGATTGGTGCTAATGTCCATATCCTCTGACTGCCATGACTGCCAGAGCATTTTTTGAATGCATGGCAAAGAACAGACAACGACTTACTTTTTTTCCTTTTTGGTCATTCTCCCTCAGCGCTGGCACAAATTAACTGTTGTGTGATTGAGCTCCTTCCAGGAAGATTCCAGGGGCAAAATCACTCTGATTTAGCTCTTCACACCTCAACTGGAACAAACCCTCGGACAAATTGACTAGACCAGGTGAAAAAAAAAAGGCCAAGTAAAGACTGAGATAGTATTTTGACCCCAAAAATAAAGCAAATCTATTTCTAATAGAAATAACTCCTGTGTATTTATATTAATCAGTCATGATAATGGCACCTTTGAAGGAATCTTCTTCCTGTTTGTGTTGTTTGGCCTCTGTTATGTCTTCTTGTGAGGAATCCTCTGGCAAAAAGAATCGTTCTGAGTTTCTTTCTCTAAAAACATGCCAGCTATTTGACCGGTCAGACATCAAACTTGAATTTGATTTAATGTTAGGGATCCTCTGGATATAAATGGGAGGAGACCTGCCAAAGAACAAACATTACAATGACTTTAAATGTACTCATCATACAGCCGTAAAACATCTATTTGTTAGGATACAGTGACTGTAAGATTTACCTTCTGGGTGGTGAAAGGGGAGGCTGCAGCCCTAAGAGGGAGATTTATTTTAATATGCTACAACCAGAGCCTTGCTTGAACTGACTAAGAGATTACAAAACTACAGTTAAAAGGGGACAAACCTTTGAAGACTTTGCAGGGGACTAGAGATGATTGGCGTCTTTTATGTCTTTGCTGATTTGATCTTATGAAATGTGGTGAAGATGGAAGGTGGGGAGGGCTGAGGTGTAGTAGCTGAGTGCTGCATCTCAACTGTGGTGACCCCATCACTTGTCCATCTGTAACAGCAGAACAACACTGGAATATAGAAACTAAAGGCAAAAGGATTTACACTGTGAACTAGGCCAACCTTTGCCAAACTTAAAGATTGTGCGACCATAAAATGTTCTGGGGTCTTCTTTAAAGTTTAGTCTCACAGCACTCATCAACATTTGGATTTAGCTAGGGTGAACTTCTTTCTCTGAATATTTATTCGATTAGCAGAAAATAATGTGACAGTGGGCTTGATGTAACGCATGTATGCCAACAAAAACAAACTTAAACTGAAAAAAAAAAATAAAAAATGACATTATCTATTTTAGATGACCCGCAGCTCCCCTATAGAACTTAAACAGCCAACCGGGAGGCTACAGCCCACACATGAGAAATCCATTAAGACTGAATGAAATGTTGTCACTGTGGGAAAAATTGTAGCTAAAATCAGCATTACCTTGGTATGTGACGTGACGTGAGCATGGTTTCACTCTGCAACACAGGTAAGAAGCTCTCATCTTTTCAAGGGAATCATCCTGAAAAGAGAAAACGTCCCCAGAAACCCAGACAAAACTCACAGTGGGTATGAGCGTGGATGAGAATACGGAAGATGACAGTTATTGCTCGACAGTTTATGATGATAAGGTAATTTTATGAGTGGATCCAGTCATCTTTACCTTGACAGGTCCACAGCCTTGCCACAGAGTTACTCGTGTGAGCTCTCCTGGGTGTGAGGTGGCAGGAGGTGCGAGGTGGCAGGGAGGTGTGACCACCTTTTTTATCATACCATTTACCTTAAAAAAAAATTCAATATTTAACAGGGACAACACAAGAATTGCTGCATAACTTCTTTAATTCTACGTCTTACCTGCCATTTTTTCCTGAACTTTCCAGCGGGCTGCTCATGATAGCTGCCTTTTGTTGAGTCCTCCAGGGGCAGCTCAGACTCCTGCAGAGATAATTTTTGAATAAGTCTTGAATGAAGTGAGTTAAACATAATTCTGACCAACCTCTGCATCACTTGGTGTGTCATTGAACCTTACAAAATTTCTGATGCTGCTTTGCTGTGTGTGACTGTTGACTCTCTCTGGTTGTTGCTTGTTTATCAATTTATGACTCTTACTTTTCCTCTTGGCTGGATTTTGCTGAAGAGAAAACACAAACATGACATTTTAAAAGTTCAGTGCATCACTCTTCCTCAGTGTGCATGGCATTGTACCTCATTATGACCTACCCATTGAGTGCTCTAACCAATTATTAATGATATAATGGTCTCAGGGCATATTTAGTGTTATCTGGTGTTTACAGATTTGTACATTTTTTGTAATTTAATACATAATTTTTAAAATAATACTGACAAGATCCAAAATAAGGTAAGTAAATTAAAGAGTTGCTCTAACACAGATAATTCTGAGACTTGGGTCAGTCAGTTTTACCGTATTTGTGTTATTGCCTTGCAGGACTTTTGGCTGTGTGTTACTGTTCACATTCTCTGCTCGCAGTCTGTTCCTCTCTTTGTGACTCTTCAGGCGTTTCTTCTTCTTCTTCTCTGGATTTGGCTGCAGTAGAAAGAATGAAAATTTGATCAATTAGTAACTGACTAAGAAGAATTGATGGGAGAGTCATTTTTGAGCCATATGATTTATTGCTCTAAAATTGATGTTAACAAAAACAAACAAATAAAACTATCATTGGTAAAAATAAATAAATAAGTTAAAAAAACTGTTCTTCAAGGGATGTACCTCCTTATTGACAATTTGGAGCTGGTTCAGTAAATGAACTGGGGGTCCGTCAGATTCTGAACTATTTGAACCACTTGTGCTGTAAATCAAAGAAAACCAGCTGAAGCAGAGCAGCTATATGTGTTTTTGCATGCTTGCTTTCAATAATACATAATAATCACCTGCTTTCCAGGTCAGACACAGAGATGTTACAGTCATGGCCAAAATCCCTGCCCAGCCTTTCTTTGACCTTCTTTCTCATCATTACAGCAAGCTCTGCCAGACAGTGGCTGACCTGAAATAAGAAGCAAAAAGGAAAAATTTGAAAATGCATGAACACAAAACTATTTAACACTAAAACATTTTAACACTGCAAAAATCAAGCTTAAAAATTTATCCAAGGGTCAATTTGCATTTTTAAGTTCTAGTCAGAAATGCAGCACTGTCTTTCACCTTTGCTGGATCAGGGTCACAGTAGTCTAGCAGGGTGTCACAGAAGTAGAAACCGAGGGACTTCAGATCTCGAGTGGAAAAATGTGTTCCTCTTCGGTCCCCTATCGGTGAAAATGATGTGAGCAATGTGAAATATTCAAGCCAAAAACACAAACACAAACGGCAACTTACCAAGAGTGGAGCCTCCAAATGTGGCCTCCATGGTGTAGCTGTTTTTGATGCCGAGTTTCCACATAGCAATCCTTCCCGTTCCTTCTTTGCTCTTCTGCACCCGGAATTTACAGCTCTTAAAGGAGAACTAAAGACGAGGCGATAGAGTGATACAGATGTCAAGATCGAAATGCTGAAACTTTTGAAGGTTCTTGTGTTGACTTGGAGCCCTAACCTTACTGCTGACGTTCTTGCTCATCATAAGAGGAAAGACTCTCTCACGCAGATTTGGTGCAGCATCACCTCGGTTGTTACAGCCGTACATGAAGACATTGTTCTTACGGTTGTGACCATGAAAGTCGCAGTACAAAATGACGTCCCTTTCAGCCATTAACCTGGGGGAAGTACACAGCATGACATAAAAGGGTTGCACAGAAATACAGGGCATGCAAACTACATGTTAGGATCTACATTGATAATTTTATTGTAAAGTTTTTATGACTTATTTAACATTCTCTAAATCTATTCTTAAAAGCTTGTATGTTTGCAGCAAAGATCCATGTTTGTGTTTCTATCCATCACTTTGTATTTTATGTGTAAATAAGTAAAAGAATAAATAAAGAAATACCAATATATATATATTAAACCTCCGAAAGGCTGTTCATTTTATGGTCTTTGTTTGCATGAATTAATAAGCTCAATATTCTTTGTAATGTGACTTTTCAGTTGTTTACAATTTACTGAAAATTAAAAAAATACAGAGAAGTAACACAATTTTGTTCTTCAGTCTTACCTTTCCACCATGTTTCTTGTGTGCCACACTGAAGGAAACGAGTCTTTGAGCACTGTTTTGTACTTCCTGTTGAGGTCCCTGCCTGCCAGAGAGCAGCGGTAATTTCCCACCACCACACCGTCTGGGTTCAACATCGGCACAACCTGCACCATGAATGCAAACAAGAGACATACAGGCTTTATTATATTTGACAACATTTCAGCACAGGCTCATATGCATTGATTAGCTGATTCTTTGACCTTCAGTTTTATAAAATAATATATATAAATATAACAAATTGGAAGATATTAGTAAGTGACAGAAGGACAAATGAGATACAATGAGTTTTGGCATTAACCTTGAAAACAAAAGTGTCCCTAAGCAGCTGAGCATCCTCTGAGTCTCCAAGCAGGAAGTCCAGGAACCCCTCCATCATCCAGGACCCGTTGGTTTCCCCTGGGTGCACTCGGGCTGTCACCACCACAGCCTTCTTGCTCCTGCTCTCAACCTTGTCAACGCTGGGAGATGTTATCGTCATAATATACACAGCATTGCCGGCCAGGCTGTTGCAAAGCACGCGCAGTTTACAGAACGATCTCACTGTGGGGTTGGAGGAGATGCATCGCAGGTAGTGCTGCAGCCGAGAGTAGGTGTAGGGGTAGCAGTGAGCCAGGTAGCAGGTGTCTGAGTCATAGGGAAACTGAAGAGTCCAGGTGAGCGAGTACAGGGGACCTGTGTCGCCATCTATGTCCTGTGAGCTCTAAAACAGAGACACGTGTGCTTTTTTAACTCAGGGCAAAGATGTAGCACAGAATTTCCTCCACATTTTACTTCACAAACAAAAAATTTGATTCTTGGTCCTACTTCATTTTTTTTATGTTTAAACATGCTGAACTTAAATGAACTATATTCTGTTTATCTGCACAAATACTCAGTCTGATGAGATATGGTATATATTAGTGAATTAAATGGCTGTAAGAAAGATATAACAAAGAAATAGCAAAAATGCACCTGTGAACAGCCTATAGACCAATTTCAATTTGGTCTATATTCACATCAACTAAAAATGACAGCTGTCACTTGTCGATGACTATGTACTGTGTCTTTTTTCCGCCTCATGTCAACATACCTGACTGTAGCCTCTGTAGTATCTAATGTTGGAGCCGGCACGCTGCCATCCAACACCTTTGTCCCTGGCAGCCATCTCAGAGTAGAGGAGTGGTCTCATCCCCAGAGAGTACAGGCAGCTTCTCTTCATCAGGTTGATGATGGTGAAGCGATATGTCACTCCGGCCTTCATGTTCCTCACCCTGAAGTAAAACCACTGTGTGTTCTTCCTGGTATACATGTCTGTGCGCAGGGTGAGCTCATAGTCATAGATGCCGCTGAAAAAGAAGGATAATAGGAGTGACTGAGCAGCAACAAACCCACCAATAAAGCAGCAGCAACAGATGAGTAAATAAGACTGCATAGACCTACACTTGTACAGCCTTCTGGAGGTTCCCACTCTCAAAGCGAGATTCAAACTCCAGGGTGAAGTCTGACTGGTTGATGTCGAAGAAAGTGGCGGTCTTGATGGGCCCCCTGCTTCCACGGACACGGGAGCAGGTAAAGTAAGGGCGCTTAGTGGCTTAAAAGAGGGAGGGAAATGGAAAAATTAGTATTAGGAGCTCAGTTTTTGTGTCTAGACACTTTGTCTGTCTGTGATGATGTTTGCCATAATTATAACTTGGTGGTACTTCAAACAAAGGGTTCTTGATATCAAATATTACCATGGTCTATGCAGTACACCACTTTGCCCCTCTCATCTCCTGCTTGCATGGGGGCCCTTTCATGTCCAGTGGGCTGATAGAAAGGCTCTGGCTCTGGGGGATCCCACTCTAAAACACACAGTCTCATAGTGTTATCACATTGTTGCACTAACAGCAGAAGAGGATAACAAGTTGAAAAGGTGTTGATGCTAAATTTTGACCCTAAAATTTTTAAATAGTTGCAGACTTTTTGGATGATCCACACACACACACTTAGGCCTCAAATCATGTTGTCAAATCATGCTTGGAATTACCTATGTGATGGATAATGTCGCTGATGACCTCACACTCTATGGGCCATCGGGGAAAAAAGACTGATGGAAAGTTAACCAGGTCTAGTGGAGCCGAAAGACGCAGAAAGGGTCGCCCACCATCAAAATCTAGAAGCAGCTGAGTGGTCCGCAGAGCCTGGCTCAGGTTTATACATACTGACAGGAGACATTTACAGCATCTTAAATATGTATTATGTCATGCCTTTTTTTCCAGTGATGTGTCATGGATATACATATTTCATCAGGCCCACACCCTTACCAAGCCCTGGTCCAACAAGCCTGCCCTTTTACAGAGGGATTATGCTGCTACTGATTGGTTCAATTATCTCAATCACAAAGAAGCGCTTGTTTAATATATAATGATCCAGCACGGGTTGGTTGGGGTGTGGGGTGAATGCCACATTATCAACAGTTGACCACATATCTTTAGGAACAGAATATCGTGTGCCAGTGTACACCCATCATCAGACAGTCACTATGAAGTTCAAAGCTGTGTGTGAATTCTCCATTTTAGTAACATTTTATTTACAAATATGAAATCTATGTTAAATATGTGAGGGCAACTTACACTTCTTCCTCCTTTCTCCTTCCTCTTCATCTTCCCCTGTGTTTGGGTCAATGCTGTCCAGTTTGTCTAACTGGTGGGTTATCCACCATTTCCTGACTGCAGAAACAGCCATGGATGATGTTTCCTTTACTCGCTGAAAAAAAAAGGATATTTTATACCAAAGGTTACATAGGATGCATTTCTAAGTTCATGCCATCATCAAAAACTCAAAAAACTATCACTTTGGTTTCAGAGGGTATCAAAACTTGGATTTTTTTTTCTTCCTGAAGTAGAAGGACATTTTTAGTCAATTAAATTCTCTGGCTAATAAAATCATACCTTTAAAGGATGACCAGTAACATTTAGATGATGATTTGAGAGTGACTAGAAGCAAAGCAGGCCACCCTTATCAACAAAGTGATGATTTTCTTCTCTTTCACTAACATTGGTTATCCTTATCCAAAATTCTTCTACTATCCTGCAAAACACCCCGGAACTGTTCAGAGGTTACTAAGCAAGGATCTGTAATTCTGTGTAACTCTCAAAGGCAGGCGAACAAAAGTCATGTTCTACAAAACTTACATAATGGGTTCAGAGGTAGGAAACTCCAGCAGACATCCTTCAGCCGCTTTTCTACCTGAACCAGAGGTTCCGTCTTCATGAAATAAACAAGTTAAACAAATCCTGGTAACACTTTGGCCTACATGGACTCGGACAGGTCTTTCCCAGTACTGCAAACACTCGTTTTTTAACCTTGTTGACGACGTTAATGCTGCCATTAACGATGTACAACAATAGTATTACAATAATTAACGACGTCTGACTGCTTCTCAACCTGTTTAAGAAATATCAACAGCACTTATGGGAACAGGATAATACACATTTGAGCGAAAAGCACTTACCCGCTACTACTTGTGGAAAAAATCTTAAACAATGTGCGATATTGCCAGGCAACGAATTACCTCACAAACACTGCGGTTTCCATGGAGATAACCGTTAAGAAAGCAACAGTATTGACGGCTCGTCGTAACAGCGAGGGAATGGCGTAAATTTTTATTGTATTCAAAACATAAACCCACGAGCCCGAACCTACCTCGAGCTAAGAAAGTCATTTAGTGTGGTCACAAAATGTGTGCTTGATTTTTGTCACAACGTTGGTGCAACTAAAGGACATAATATATCGAAGGGCAGAGTTAGGGAGACTTAGGGTAGTTTCAACAATAGGCTGACCCAGAGCAGTAGATTAAATCTAAATGTTAAATGTTAAATGTTTTAATCTACTGCTCTGGGCTGAGCACTATCACTCTGCACATGCTCAGTTGGATCCTCCTTATACCTCAGTTGGGAGTGTTGAATGAAAAAAGTGGTTTGGGGGTCTAAAAGTTATCTTAAAGGTTAGGCAATATCTTTGTTCTATTATATTTAGTCTGGATGACAGTGTAATAACCTTCAATAAATCATTAAAAAAAACTGGTAAAAATGTTTTTGAGTTACTCATTTAAACATTCTTACTACACCAGGAAACATGTAAAATAATAATGACGACAGAACTTTGAAAAACTGTTTAATAACTTTACAAAATATACAAGTCAATGATGTTCCCTCCTCTTTGAAAAAAAAAACATGGTATATCTCAACAGCCGTTTTATGTACACAGTTGTAAAAATGCTCAATAAAATAGACATCCCTCCAAACAAATAGTGGTGGTCAACTATCCAAGGTTTTTACAGTATTTTTTGACAGACTGGAGACATTTGGCACACTTCCAATACTGATCACAAAAAAAAAAAAAAAACAGGGAAGGACATTCAGAACTTTCAGGTGAAGAGCCTGTCACAAAAGGTTGTCCCAATATGTAATTCGTGAACACAGAAAATTCAGTCACTAGAACCTTTAAGGAAACCAAAGCTGGAGATGGATGGTAATGACTGGAGTGGATTATAAAAACTTTGGGAAATGGATGACCCGGGCCGAATGTTACGTGGTATTTGTCATTTTCCGTCTTTTCAGTCGATCCCGCCAGTCATCGGGAAGTGCCTCAAAATTCGCATTTTTTGAAGCTTTCCCCCTGTAAACATAAGATGAGAATTACATAAAACCTATCAAGACTGAAAAACATTTTAAAAACTTAGAACAAATGATGATAACATTTCTAACTGAACATACGTCACTAACTGCTGTTGCTTCCAGTCCTCAATACTCTTCTTATTGAGGAGATCCCTGTCATCATCGCTTGAGCTGCTCTTCTCTTCTTCATCCAGCTCCTTCTGGATGCTCTGCCACTTCTTCACCAAAGATGGCATTTTGATCTTACTCTTCTTTGACTGCAAAGACACAAAGGGAGACAGGTACAATGCAGGTCCTATTAAATGTTGCATTTAGGCAAGCCAGATGCAAAAACTGTTGACAATTTCAGGCAAAGGAAATGATTTCAAAGGTGTATGCTGGAAAGAGACTATTTCAAAACATTGCTGGAGTTAAACAATGTTACCTCCCACACTCACCTTATCTTTCTTGACTTTCTTTGTCTTGTCTGTGGGTGGAGCTTTGGCTCCCAAAGGCTCACAAGGCGGCTGTGGTGGAGGCAGTGGTGGTTGAGGAGGCAGGGCTGGTAAAGGTGGGGCAGGGGGTTCACAAGGGACCAAGGGGGCAGTTACAGCTGGCACACCCCAGTAGGCAGTGGCTGAAATAAGGGGAGCTGGAGAAAAAGAGAAAATCTTCATAAACACCTTGAAAATTATTGTTACTGCTTGGTTTGGGGTGTTGTTTGGGTAATATGTGAGCTCTACACTTCTTATTGAGGAGGATGAGTAATATTGCTGTTAACATACATTAAACAATATTCCAGCATAACTTCATATTCAGAAATGTCTCTTACTTGCACTGACAGCAGGCTGCGTATAGAGAATTGGGTTGCTTCCAATGGTGATGGATTTACTCAGCTGACTGGCTTTACGTTTCTGACCCTTCCCCGAGGAACTTGTCAACTCCACAATCTGTGTAAGAGACAATAAAATAAAAGTTACTAGCCTGAGTCTTCTTTTCTGAATTCACACAAAAAGCCCTTAAGGGTAAAACTTTTACAGCTTTAATATCAATGAAGAAAATCCTACCTTTGTGCCGGCAGTGCCCGGAGGTAAAGGAGGCCTCCCACTGCCATCCTCCTCTGTGCCAGGGGCTGGAGGCTCCCCGTCATTGTCATCATCCACATCCATCTCCACCTCCATGATCTCCCCATCGCTGTCTGGTGGGGGAGGGGGTGGAGGTGGGGATCCTGGGGGAAGAGGTGGAGGTGGTGGATAGTGGGAGGGCGGAGGTGGGCTGTCAGGAAGAGGAGGCTGAGATGGGGACCAGAAGGATGAAGAGCTAGGCAGTGGAGGAGCAGGTGGGGCAGGAGGGGTGTGACTAGAAGTTCCTGTTTGAAAAAAAAATTATGGTAGTGAGAATACAAGTGTAATTGTTATTACATTTCACTGACTATTTTCATCCTGAGCAGTTTGTAAAAGGACCTGTTTATATTTATAGTGTGTAGTCTACAGTGTGGGGGTTAATGACCCGAAATATCCCTGTTCAGGAAGATCGATACGTGTTAACTAATTACAGAAGACATTGGTGTGGAGCAATAGGACATTAAACAAACCTGTGGTTCCATCAGCTGCTGCCGAGGACGTTTTGGCTTCCCCTTGGTTTGATGTCTGGACTCCCTTCGGATCATCGCTCTTGTCCTCCTCTGCTGGGTAGTCCCACTGCGAGGCATTAGTCCGGTCGTTCACATAGAAATACCGCCTGTGCTCTCTAAAGAGTGGAACAACAGAGATAGAAAGACAGAGTCTCAAAGGCTGACCCAGCAACTGGATGCTCCACATGAAACCCTGAAACAGTGGGGCATGGGAGTGGTCATAATAGCCACAGCAGGGGGTTGGGGGTGTTGGTATGGACAGTGAATGTAGCCGTCCATAAGTAGGGCCTGATTAGAGTGGAGTTCAGGGAGTGGACAGGGAACCCACCTTGCTCTCAATAACAAAGAAAGCAAAATAGATCAGCTTTAGGTCCTGAAAGTAGCATTCAGCAGATCACACCATGGTTGTCATATTTTTTCTGTTCTTTTTTTGTTGTTGTTGTTGTTTTTTTGACAACCATTCCCTCCCGGACACAGGAAGACGCCAGGGAGGAAACATCATTATCATCATGATCATAATCAACCATCATAGTTCAGAAAATAACATCCACACAGTCAACTTGATTTACATTAGAAAGAAGAAAATAAAAAACAGGAAGACATATGAAATAGAGTAGGTCTGACCTGCCGGATTCCCGTCATTGCTCCATCTTCACAGTTTATTTGATGCGTGACACTCCGTGCTTCCAAGGCATCACTCTGTCTGCATTGCATTCTTGGGCGGAAGACCTGAAAAGTGCAAAGCTCTCCCACGCAACCAACCTTTCTAGTCCCCCCCTCCCCATTTATCCACTGACTGGACCCATACTCAGTCTACAAAGGCCCTCCCAGCAAAGAGCTTAAGAGTCTGTGTAACAGGGGCAGGCAGGTTTACTTAACAGGAAGCAGGCTGGCCCAGAGTGGATGCTCCATCACCAGCACGTTCAAGGCAGAGTGCCAGGATCGCATCATAGAAACCTGGTGAGTCTGTTTCTGGTAAGTGTTTTAATCCTCTCGGACTGGTTAAGCTTCTCCCCAAGTCATGTAACAAAGTCTGCACCCTCGGCACTGGAGGGGGTTGTAGTCACATGGCAAGATTTTTTTTTGTGGGGTACGAGGGAATTTAGAGATGTGAAAGGTAAAGGAGCGCGTACCTGTCCCAGTGGCAGGACCAGCCTTTAGGGGCGGCGTTAAGTTCGTAATATTTTATGTGTTCGGCAGCTTCCTGTAGCCTGCGGCGTAGATAGACCCCGTTGAGAGCACCTTCCCTCCAGTCAGCAATCCGAGTCTAGAGAAGAAGGAAGAAAAGAGAGGGGGCAAATGAGTGAGATAAAAGTCCAGAAAGTAGAGGTAAAGAAAAAAAAACAGACAAGTTTCACAAGATAGATGAGTAACACGAAAGAGTAATTACAGTAAGTCTCCAGAATGACACCTTCTGATAGATGATCATGAGAGTTTTAAATATTAAATACTACCACATAGCTATGTGGTAGATGATACGAAAGAAAATGAAGTGTTGAATATTTTAGTGATTCTACTGGGAACTGTTCCTATGTAAAAATGGTTTCAGTGACTCAACCATTATCCTCTTACCTCAGTTTGCAGCAGAAGCAGCTGAAAGTTTGAGATTGCCTTCTTGTTTATCCCCAGGAACTCCATCTTGCTGGTTAAGGTGTTAGCCAGCTCCCCAATCTGGAACTACATTTTTTTTTAAGCGTGAGAAATATGTTTGAAAAGCAATTATCACCAAGAGCAGAGTAAGTTCCTGATCAGTTTTTACCTTGAGCTCAGGTGTTTCCACTTTGAGCTCAGATGTTTCCAGCTCCTCTGTTGAAAGTTTAGAACCCGATTTCTCCTCTGCATCGTCCGTTTCCTTGTCTTCTACTTCTGCAACACTATCCAGGACTTTTGAAACAGCTACAGAACAACACAGGCATTAAAATGTATGACTATAATACTCAAACCAAAATTTTTAATGTATTTACATGTATTGCTGGTCATAACTCACCTGTTTCTATGCTGTCCTGCAGGTCTGAGCCCCTACTGTTAGAGTCTGGACTGGCAGCACTCAGGAAGGCAGTTTTCCACCGGTTTTTCTTCAGCGGAGCTCCTCGAGCACCAGAGGCATCTTGACTTGTCTCAGAACAAGGACTAGAACCTCCTGCACTTCCATCACCCTCTTCCAGCGCCCGGAGTTCAGCCTAAGAGTTGGACAACACATGGTCACACGCTTGGTCACATTTGCCACTGAATTAACAAACAACTGTTTTACACCAGCATGAACTTTTACAACAGGAACTAAATCAAAACATTGAACATATGAAAACCTCACCTTTTTTCGCTCCAGGGCCAGTTCCAGCTCCACTGTGTCTTCTTCTGTCTCCTCCTCAGCATCTGAATTATCTCTCGACTGCTTTTTGGTGCCAAGATCTTTTGAGGCTGTAACAGCTGAGTCTGGGTCCAGTAAAGGGATGGAGGGGGATCCTACAGGGCGAACAACTTCTCCATCAGAATCCAAACTGTTCTCAGTCTCATCCAGACCTTTGATCAGTCTTTTTCTCCATTTTTCCTCGGCTTCTTTTACTTCAGATGGGATCAGAGGACCTAGCAGAGATGCAGCTACTCCTCGGCGCTCCTCCTCTTCACTTGTGAGACCTACAACACTCTCGATCACCTCCTTTTCAACAAACAAACATGTGATGCATTTGAGTTAAAAACAAGAACTTGTAAAACACCATGAAACAAATTCTATCTACATTCATATTGGTCTTAAAAGGAAATTGCCTTAGCTGGGGTCTCTTTAGCTGATATCAAGGATGCAGCAGGTGCAGAGTTTTCCTCACTATGGTGACCTGTATGTGCTGTGCCGTTTCCATTGACACCAGAGCTACAAACAGAAAATTAAAACACACGTCACACAGCTGAATTTCTTTGCTGGAAACAACATACTTGTATATTTAGGTTTTTTTCTTTCTGTCTTTATAGATCGATGCTTCTCTCTCCGTCAGATCCTCCTACCTGTTGGCATACGACCCGAGGCTTTGAACTTGATCAGCTAGATAGTGCGGCAGCTCCCACGACACCTCGTTGGTCAGAGTGTTCCAGTAATAGTAGCAGCCAGAGTTGTCATCCCAAACCTCCTGCCAGTCTCCCATCTCTACATCAACTGCAAGAAAAGCATAGGCGCTCAAAAACACTTGAAACCACATGTAAAACATTGTGGCACACACAAATATATTACCTTATGAATTCAGGACTGATCATTAATAAATTTATCAAGCTATAGCTACCTTGAAAGTAAAAAAAAAATCAAATTCATAGCACATGGCAGGTAGTTTTGGTGTCACTGATTTGAATCATTGTACAAGCAGCAATACAAGCAATACTTTTTCAACAAAGTCAGCAGCTGTGCTACAAAAGAACTGGACTGCATCTCCAAGCAACTATGAGGACTGTATTTCCCATGGAGAGACTATATATTAGGGACTTAAAAGGAGTCAATTGTCAGGATGTTCTCTTTTCCTACTGAAAAACACCATAGACTGGTGTTCACAGATAGCCTAGGGGGTTAGCGCACCACAGTCACGGGTTCGAGGCTGACCCCGACCATGTGTTATATGTCATCCCCTCTCTCTCACACACATTTCTAATCTCTCTACTGTCCTGTCATTAAAGGCAAAAATGCCCAAAAAAAAGTTTAGAAGAAAAAAAAAAAACACCATGGACTTTTAATTGAATTCATATTAAATACTAAATAACAATAAATCAATATAGAATTTCCCTTCAGGGTTCAAAAAAGTTCTTTTTAGCTTATTTTACCTCCAGCGAGTGAGTACTGGGTGTTGAACTCAAAATCTGTGTTTTGTTGATTCTGGTTCACACTGGCAGCTGGCTGCTGAGCATCAGCTTCAGGTCTTGGTGAGTTGGTAGCTGGGACTGAAGGATGAGAAGCTGGTTCATCTGAACTTGGCTGAGTGGTTATTGCATCAATTTCCTGTAATGGGAAGAATGGCAAAAGGTGGTCATACATTTTGATGAAAACTTGATTTCAATCTACAGAATGAATCACAGCCTCCAGAGACATCACTTTTGGGAGAATGATGTTTCAGAAGCCAAATTAGTGTGTTTGATCTGTCTTATTTAATATTATTTATTTAACTAGTTTGTATAGAAACTCGATAAAAATGCACAACTAGAGGGTGATATGAGGCTGCTGTGCTGGGTCATCGATTGGATGATCATGTGAGGTATTATGGGTCATAGTGAAAAGGAAATTAAGTAAGCATATCACATGATAAACTCTTTATCTCTGCATATAAATCTGGACTTCTGTTATCACCATCATTATCATCATTATTATTGCAGTAAATGCACTTAGTAGATGCTCTGCATGGATGCATGACTATAGAAACATGCTGCATATTATACTTACAGCCATAAAATTGGCCAGTGTACTGTCGATGTCTGCTGACTGGTTGTGTTGAGAGTTTGCAGCTGAACGCTGAGAGTCTCCAGCATCTTCTTCATCACTGTCCTCATAGGCCCCAAGCAAAGACAAGCCCTCTGCAAGAGGACATGAAATGTGTTCAAACCCTGTGGTCAGTTTATTTTTCTTATGCCCTTGACACACAAAGATCTCCAATAATATCACACACACACAAACAAACACACACACACACACACACACACACACACACACACACACACACACACACACACACACACACACACACACACACATACACAGAAAGAGAGAGAGGGGGAGAGAAAATTACCTGTGGCCTTCACTGTGGGGTGCTTCATGTTGGTGCGAGTATCCCTCACGAATCTTTGTCCATCAACCTCTTGATCATCTATCAATAAACAAACAGAGAGTTCGGGTGAGCTCCAACAGCGAGGCAACAAACATTCACTGACTGACCGACACTCACCACTGAAGCAGAGGTTATTGCAACCACAACACTCTCTTCCTTCGACTAAAAATGTTCAAAATAACTAAAAGTACTCGTTAAGAAAAGTTTGGTATGTTCATTTCAGCTAGACTATTTAGTTATTAGTCATACACCTTTTCTGGCAGCATTACAAATGCTAACTTAGCACGCTAGCGTCTTTTAGACCAACTACAAGAGACACTGTTTTATAAGAACTAATGACTGTGTGCACTGTTAAATAAAGTCTAGAAACAATCTACATATTGGCACGATCAATTTATTCAGCTACATTAAAAAAAGTTGAAAGTGAAAGGATTTTTACTGCTAACTAGAATGGCCTATGCCTCACATCTCACTTAGCATTTAGCAAGCCTGTCGCTAACAAAGCAATGAGAGGTTTTATTTTTAAATATACCATCAGATCCCGAGAGTGCTTCTTCCCTCTCCCCTGAATTCCCACTACGAAGACCGGGAGGTGAAAGCTGAAGGATTGTTCTCCGACCGACTGTTCCTCCTGGAAGGCGACTTTTCTTCCCCATGATCGGTGTGTGTGTCGGCGGCCCAGCAGCGGCCTGCTCTCTTCTCCGTCGTCGTTGTTGCAACTCTGCTGTATTCACGTGCTGTCTGAATAATCGGGGAAAAAGGAGTTGCAGACAGACGGCTTCTACGGGCCAAAAGAAAAAACGTGGGACATAACACATGCAGGGCAGGATCTTCCAAGCGATTACCAACTCCACATGAAGCGCCAATATCTCCACACAAAAAAGCCTAATAATTTTAGTGCATGCAGCCTGCTACATTTGCTCTTGTTTACTTTCTCAGTCGAATTTAAGACTTATATTAGTTGTTCGTTACAGGGCCGAGAACCGGCACAAAAAACAAATACAAAAAAAGAAGCCACAATAGATGTTAACGACGCAAAAAAAAAAAAAAAAAAAAAAAAAGATTGAAGCATGATAAAGACACACTTACTAAAAATGTGTTTTGTACTTACGAAAAGTTACTGATGCAAAAAAAAAAAAAAAAAAAAAAGAAACCGAAGCCTGCTGTAAATAAAAAAAAAGAGAAACAGTGCAGATAAAAAAACCACAACGGAAGTAAATGACGCAAAAAAAGCGGTGATGCAAAAAAAAAGAAAAAAAAGGTACTTAGTGCAAAAATAAAAGGATACAAACAAAAAAAAAAGCCACAATGTAAGTGAGCTGCCGGAGACCAATAATGATGATGCACCAGTGTTTTACGATCTAGACACAGAAGACGACAGCAAGAAGGCGAGCAAAGAAGTAAGTGGAAAGGTTATTGTTTATTCTGCTTTATGTGCTTTTCAATGTGTCATTTGGTTTGACCATGTAGCACCTTAGTGGATATGAAGTTGAACTGAAGCTAACACTACACAGGCATCCTCTAGATCAACTTCATATCGACTCAGGCGCTACATAGCTTAACCAAATGACACATTGAAAAGTTTACGAAGTGAGATTAAACAATAACTTTTTGCATCACCACTTTTCTTGTATAATTAACTTGCATTGTGTTTTTTTTATCTGCATCATTTCTTTTTTATTTGCAGTGGGCTTCGGTTACTTTTCTTTTTCTTTTTTTTTGCATTGGTAAGTTTCTCTTTTTTGCATTCTTATTATATTTGCTACAGTGGCGGTTCTCAGCCACCGTAGTTAGTTGTTGAATTGAAAACACAATATCTGCTGCCAAAATAAATTAAAAAAATTCAAACAAATAAAAAAACAAAAATAGTATTATTTTGTCCTAGCTTGTTTCGTAAGTACAAAACACACTTTAAGTAAGTGTGTCTTTGCAAGGCCTCGTTTTATCGTGCTTCAATCAATTTAAATGTTATGGTCACCTTATATCTGTCAATGGTCCCAGACTGTGTCCAACTGCTCGGGATGTACTTGAATGCAGCATTTACTTGACTGCTTTACGCTCATACGAAGACAGCATCATCTTCCGGGTCATGGGTCATGTTTTGTATAGAAGCTCCATGTTGGAATGCAGGCTAAGCTGCTCCCAAGCCTTCACACCCTCCATGAAGCAGGTTTTAGGAAACACCTGTGTTCAAGGAGATCTCAAAGATAACTGAATTGTCGACTAACGCACCTGGCATGTTTTCCCGGATAAGCTAGCTCTAAGGTACTTCCTCACAGTGTTTGTGTGTCTTTGGTTAATAAGATCATGGGAGGGCGAAAATAAGCGATTACACAGTTTCAGAGGGGAACCACCCACTCATGTCTGAGCATAAAGAGGAGCCGCGGCAGAGGCAGCAGTCAGCAGGGTCCGAGGGAGAAACATCAGCTCAAACCGGGACCAGAGACAGGTCTGTGCGCTCTGGACCAGACACAATGGGGGCCGTGATGGGTCCAGTTCTTCACTGGATGCAAGATGTGGCAGCTGTCACTCTCCTCAAGGCCCGGCGGACCTTGTTTCAGGCTGCCATCCTGTTCTGTGTTCTGCTTCTGCTACTCTGGGTGTCTATATTCCTCTATGGGAGCTTCTATTACTCCTACATGCCCACGGTGAGCTTCTCCACCCCTGTGCACTTCTACTACACCTCTGATTGTGATGCCTCAGAGTCAGGACTGTGTTCGTTTCCGAAGGCCAACATCTCTTTTATGAAAAATGAGAAGGACCAGGTGATGGCTAATGGTCAGCCTTATCGCATATCTTTGGAGCTAGTGATGCCAGAGTCTCCAGTGAATGAACATCTGGGTATGTTCATGGTCAAGATGTCTTCGTACACCAAGGGTGGGAAGCCTGTTGCATCTGTTGGAAGATCCACTATGCTACATTACCGCTCCAGCCTCCTGCAGACCATGGCCACTTTGCTCTTCTCGCCTTTTCTTCTGACGGGAATGACCGAGCAGAAGCAGCTGATAGAAGTTGAGCTCTTCTCAGACTACAAGACGAATGCTTATCTGCCCACAGTGGGAGCAGTCATTGAGGTTCAGTCGAAACGTGTGCAGATCTACTCAGCCCAGCTCCGCATCCATGCTTACTTCACGGGTATAAGATATGTTCTGTACAACTTCCCCCTCACATCCGCAGTGGTTGGCGTGGCCACCAATTTCGCCTTCCTCAGTGTCATTGTGCTGTTCAGCTACCTTCAGTTCATCTGGGGCGGGCTCTGGCCTCCAGATCAAGTCAGAGTCCGGGTCATGATGGGAGACAGCACCCGCATCAGGCAGAGGAGAGAGGAGGCCAAGAAGCGCATGGAGAAGGAGAACTCACAGAAAGAACTCAATGCTCCTCAATCAATTGGATCTGTGACTGCGGTTTCAGAATCTGAATCTGAGAGGAATGGCTCAGCGGCGGAGTTGTCGTCAAAGGAGCCCTCAGTGGTCCCAGATATCTCTGAGGGGGGTGATCCAGATTCCAAGGAAGAAGAGCCTCATGACTCTGAGATGCCTGAGGAGCAGGACAACCAAGATGGGGGTGAGACAGCACTTCGACAAAGACCTGGACGCTGGATGAGCCTGTGAAGCATTTAGTTTGTCAGCAGTTTGGTTCTGCTGATATTGATTGCCTGAAGCAAACCCACTGCTTATGCTGTCCTAGATACACATGCATGAAAATACTAACTATTGTCTTGCTTAAACTAACACACTTCAAATTGTTGTCTTGTAAAGAGATCAGTTTACCTCTCTTTAACTCTGACCTCTGCTAATTATCCTTCTGCTTATTGTATTGCAGCAGTCGATAGTCTCGTGTTTGTGCCATCTTAGTTTTAAGCTCTCAGTCGCAGCAGATATTACATTCCAGCTCTGACTTGTTGCACTGCAGTGCCCGCAGGAATTTAGCATTACGATAAGCAGGTGTTACCAGTGCTGTATCACACCCGCTGATGTCTGTATGGTAGCAGTTCCTCACACTCCGGCCAGCCTTGACAATAGCAAAAGCACATCCGGCACTCCTATAAAAACAGTTTAGGTCATACACTGAGTTTAGATTGAATCAGTTATTGGATGTAGCAACCTTGTACCATGAGCAAACTTTTTCACTTAGTTAGAATTTCCAAACCGGAGTCACACCTCATTAGAGGACATGAACAAGGAATACTGGTGAGACTATTCCAAGAGCAATTAGATCTGGAAAAAAGTTCCTAAGAAGTGTCTTTGTCACTTCCTAGAAAAAGATGGAATGGCTACAGCCTGAGGGACATGATACATTTTTGCATTTATCATCCTGTTTTTTTACACAGAGAAGCTCTGTCCTGATAAAAGGGATGATTTCACTTCCATGAAACATTACATTAAAGCTTGAACTTTTAAAGGTTGGTTTTCATTCCATCAGATCTTTACATCCAGTTACAGTTTGTCTGTTACAGGTTTCTCTTTACGTTTGTATGTATTTATTGTGTTTTCATTACAACGAAGCACCAAGGTATTTTAAATGTCTATTTTAGGGGATTTTTGTTAACATGTCTGTCTATTAAATGTGGGTTGTATTTAACATGAAGGAAAGAAAGGTATAGGAAGAATAAATAAAGTTCTTGTTTTGAGTTGGTGCAGGTTTTTAGTGCTGTTTAAATGAAGAATTGTAACATGTTTCTGCCACTGTGTATTTAAGCTACATGTCAGGGAAGCATAGGACTCATGCAGGTTTTAAGGAGAGATGTGTGCAAGTTGTCAATATAAGAAAATGTACCAAAGATACTGTAGAGTAGGAATCCTGCATTATGTCCTCGAGAAGATCTGTGACAATGCCTCTGAAGTTTCACAAGTTTGTCCTTATGTGTTAAAAAAATAAATAAATGCACAGCTATGCACTTTGTTGTCTTTAATGACTTTCTTAAAACCTGGAGGGGAAATCATTTTCAAAACAGAGCAGCTCTTTCTTGAAGCAGCTTTTCCTCTCTGAAAAAAGACACCCTTGGTTCTTAAGAGGTGCAGTATGAAGTATTTAGAACTGACTTGATAGAATATAGATAAAATGTTTAGAGTGGTGGTCAATAATTTTGAAGAGGTTTCTGTTTTTGTTAAATTGGCCATTAAAATGCCCATAACATGGACAAAATATATACAAAGTCATCATTATGTTCTATGAGCTACAGAATCCAGCCATCATATAGAGATTTAGGTCATTTTACTAACAAAATAATAGCAGGGTCTAAAATGTATTAGCTGAGTATATCTGTGTACCATGAATAACCATATATGAGGGTGAATCATCATTCTGCTCAATAACTACACTCTGTTAGGTCTGTCCTGTTAATTACTTTGAAAACCCATCAGGCAAATATGATGATTTTTGGTTAAAAAAAAAAAAAAAATCCATTGAAAATTAATGTAAAAGATTTATGTAAAGCTATCAGTTTCAACTATTAACAGTGACCACAGCAGGGCTATGACCATTTTTGTATTTATAGACTCTTTGATTCAAAAATCTTATTTCAATGACACCTGTGAAGTCTGGATAAAAGAACAATCAGAGAAAGGAAGATTAATATTTGAGGGGAAAAAAACACATTTATATCCCTATGTAAGTGAAAAAATTAAATGTGATTACATGTTTTCACAACTTGTTCAACTCAAGAGAAAAAAAATATGTTTGACAAGCTATGACAGCAACACAAAAGTTTGTGCTCTAATTTCAAATATACAACATTGTTTGCAAAAAAAAAAAGAAAAAAAAAACACTGGCTAACTCAGAGGACACTTATTTTGAAATATCAGGAAAAAAAGTTTCTCTGCTGGAATCATTGTTTAATGCTGGCGATGTGAGACAAATGCTTGAATTTGGATGTCTGTTTGACAGAATAAAAAAGCTCCTCTGACACAGGCCTTAATGTATTTGAATGAGACACGAGAGACATAGACCCTGTCTCCCTCAAACACATGAAAAGATGTTTGTAACAGGAGGCTGATTACATCTATGAATTTAGTAAATCAGTATAATTGTGCCATTTCAAATAATCACATTTTCCAGAAAAAAAATTCTGGTATACAGCATGGTTAGTCTTTCCCTACTGAACGACCCATGAGTATTGACATTTCAACTCCTTCACTGATCATTTTCCCAGAACAATGAGGGACTTAAAAGCTGCATTTATGATCAGTATGAAATCAGAACCTTGTGGGGATGATATTAAAGCCCATTAGCAGTCTTTATTCAAAGCCACATCCTCAATCTATCAGATGAATTATGCATTAGTCTGAATGAGGAGTGTGCTAATTCACCTAAACCATTCATCAGTGGTATTCAAAAGTTCCCTGTATTTAGCCTGTAGCAGGTAAAACTATCTCTGCTGGAAAAAGCATCAGTGTGAGTCATACTTTTAGTATAATTACAAACACCATTTTTAGTATAGTCACATCCATCTCGAGCTAGTTGTTGATCAAGGAATCAAATGTTTTCAATCTAGTTTACCTTTTTCGGTTTTGATTGTCTAACATTTGGGGTAATAACAAACTATTTAACAAGGTCCAGTGTAATCTCAGCAAAGATCAATTACATAGTGAATTTAACAAAAAGCAAAACTGCCGTTATGCTTAACTTCAAATACCATTTTAATTCTTCACAAAGAAAAAAAAACACATGTAAGTTCTGGTGTGTTGTCTAACTCACCCCACGACCTGTAACAGTCTGGGAAACTGTGAGGATAAAGGTCATGTAGCATGAGACTAAATGGCTAAAACCTAAAATATGATCTGTTTGAAAATCAGTCCAATTTATGATGTTTCTTTAAATTCAAATTCAACATCATACAGTGTTAATGTGTGATGTTAAACAATGTAATGTAAATGAAATATGTTAAACGTTTTTTATTTAAGGATTTAAATTTCCTGTCTTCATAGACCATATTTATGTAGCGATCAAAGTCTTATACTAAAACTGTCTGACTGGCTTTACCATACATGGATGGACCATCAGCCTGTTGTAAAAAAAAACCTCTTAACTTCAAGTGCTGCACTTGAATACCATCCTGAGCTGCCAGGCCACGCCACAGCTGAGGGTCACTCTGTTCCTTCACCCTAAATGTTGTGCTCCTCCTCTGGGTGAACTTCTGTGACCTCTGCTGTTGTCTCACTTGCTGCTTTTGACCCCTCATCTTCCTGTTCTTCATCTGAACAGTCCGCCCAGCGCCCAACTCTTCTGACTCCCTCACCCACTACAGGGGCGTTAACGCAGGGGTTATGGTCATAGATGACAAGTTTCAGTCCCTGCATGTGGCACAGGCTCGGGAAGCGGCGGATTTTGTTCCGATCCACATCGATAACGGCCAGGAAGTGCATATCAAGCAACACTGGGGGAAACTCAGCCAGCTGGTTCCCAGCGAGCCAGATACTCCTTAGCTCCTCCAGTTGTCCCAGCTCTCCAGGTAAACTCTGTATCTGATTGTAACCCAGGTGCAGAGTCTTGAGATTAGGGAGATCACAGACCACTTTGGGGAAAACAGTGAAGCAGTTCATCTCCAGCCACAGGGTATTAAGATCCTTCAGCTCTCCCAGCTCTCTGGGGAGGCTGTAAAGCCTGTTGTTGCCCAGGTAAAGGATGCTGAGCTGGGGTAATCTGCAAACAGATGCAGGGAGCTCCTCAAAGCAGTTAAAGTCAAGAGCGAGGAGCTGCAGCTTCTTCAGGCCCTGCAGTTCAGCCGGTAAGCTGCTGAGATTGTTGTCACTCAGGTATAGCTTCACCAGTTCATCAAAGACACAGGCAGCAAGAGGCAGTCGGCGCAGCTGCCGACTGCTCAGGTCCAGGGTCCGATCCAGTGGCATCTCCCTCAGGTCCCCCACCAAGAAGCGTTGGCACCGCTCTGAGGGTATAAAGGCTATGATGCCTCGCATGGCATTACCCATTTTGTTCAGCCTCTGACACGCATCTGGTCTTCCTCATCAATTTACAGCCAGACAAAGGGTGCGCTGAGGCAGGCTGTGGGCGTTTTTTAGTGAATTTGTTGGCATCCCATTAATTCTCCTCAACCGCCCCTCTAGAGATATTGATCCTGATAATATGCACAAAAAAAAAGGTTGTAACAGTAATCTGCATCAGCATATGAAGCCTCTAGTAAGAGAAATAACCTTATAATGATGCTGCTTTGAACCTTTACAGGTTTCAGGGGTTGTACGGGTGAAGTTTTACAGAGAAAATAAATATTGTAATTGGTCAACGAGACATTAAGAAATACAATACATGTAAAGATAATTACAATAAAACTTACAATTCAAATTGAAAAACACATACTTTTTGTTGTTTTCCAGGTAGTGTCCATGACCCTCAGCATCTCCTGCAGTAAGACCTTTGTTTATCCAGCTTAATGAGCTGAAAATGTATTGCACTCTCTTGGCAGATACTCCCCAGTGCAATACTCTTACTATCTCTCAGTGGCTCTGAGCTTTGCCCTGACTTTCATGGAGATAGATCCTGCCCATTTGTGCCTAATGACTTTCCCCCCTTCTTCTCAGAGACGACAGAAATGTGAGAGAGGGAGAGAGCGATGAAAAGGAGCAGGGTGCCCTGGATAAGCAGAAGAGCAGCGTGTCTGGTAATAAAAGGTCATTCAAATTTGGTTTTACATGGCCCAGGCTAAGTTTCTTTGCCATTTGGCAAAAAGCTGGCTTCCACTTCTTGGTATTCTCAACTTTTTTTGATGAAGCTGAGTCTTAAGATGGAGCCTGAATGAGCTTTCCTTTGACATGATTTTTAAACTTTTCACAAGATGAGGAATGGGACTGAAAGAGGTCCCACAAAAATCCCTTCTTTTTTATGTGTCTTGGGTGGGTCTTTCTTTTGACCTGTAAAAAGCGGCACATCATCACCACCTGCCTGAGGTGTGACTATCTGACATACTTTCATTACAACTATTTTCCAACTAGATAAAGAAGAGAGGAGGAATTTCATTTCCCCTTGTCGCAAGGGCAATGATTGTCTTGCGTCTGTTTTCTCTCAGTGACACGCTGTTTTTAGCTCTTGTCCTTCTCTTTAAACCACTTACAGCCCAGGGGCCTCAAACAGGCTCCAAACTTGCAATGTAACCAGTAGACCTTGTTTGTGGAAGTTGCATTCATACTTTACAGCATAAAAGTGTAGATACAATTAGTATCCCTGAAAGGTAATAAATGGAGTGTCAGGAAATTTTCACTCATATCCTTTTTTTTTTTCCTGCAATGAAAAGTCAAACTTACTCCACAGCCATTAAAAACTCAATATTTCTTGTTATATCTGCAAACACAAGCAGCTTGCTTATAAAGTGAACCTTGTGTTGATGATGAGTTTGTTAAGCTGCTGTTTCCAAATTAAAAATGCTGTTAAATTTTGGTGTCAACCCCCAATAGGGATTGTCAGGATGTAGAGAAAGAGTTTATTGAAAAAAAAAAAAAAACAGGCAGGAAGCTGACTAGCTTGGAGAAATGTCTGATGAGGAAAAAAAGTGCCTTTTGTAGGGAACTGGGAAATTTGTCCTTCTGATACCACGATAACAACCTCCATTGAAATGTCAACAAATAAAGAAATCATTGTTAAATTCCTAAAGATCAGATGAAGTCACCGTTCTTTTTCCATCAGTATACGGTCTGTTAAATCTGTGAGCAGTTGTAGATTTGTATTAATTTGTTTGCATCACTGACATCCTCACATGATCTCTTAAAACCAATTCCATGCTCATAAAGGAACAACAGAATATGGCCTATTTCCTGAGGCGCCTCAAGAGTTTTGGTATGAGTAATGAAACTCTCAATAGCTCTCAGTATGAGTGTTTTGGCTGACTGTTTTACTGTGTGGTGTATTCTGAGAACACTGGCTGCTTCAAAGGATTGTTTAAAAAGCAGAAAATCACAGACAGAGTGTAACCATCACACTGTGTACCATCTTTTGTCATCTTTTATCATCTGTAAAAATATCATGTTATTTCAAATATATTACAGGTAGAGAAGACAAAAAATTTAACTTAAAGTTCAGCCTTTGTTACTCCAGCCAAACTGAAGTAGGGAGCAAAATCAAACTTTTTGAAAAATGTATTTGAGCATTGAGCTCTCACCGAGTTACCTGCAATATCTGGTTAGTAAACCAGTTTTGATCCTATGATGGCCATGTCTTCCTCAGCTGCCAAAACTGGAAAACACTACTCTGACTCTTAAGTCCAGATATATAGGTGAATTAAATAATGAAGTGGGGGGGATCATTGTGCCATGAATACTGACATTATTATGAGGAAAGATATTTGCCATTGTAAGCATGGAGCTACAGCACACTATTTTTAAAATGCAAGATGTTTTTGATCACTGGGGGGAGGCAGAGCTCCACATTTAGGCATTTCAGTTCAGTTGCTTCATTGGTCAAGACCTTAACTGTCAAGAAGATCTCAGCTGGCTCGATAACAACAATATCTCAAAGTCCTGTACTATTTGGCATGGACAAGCTAATGAAATCCTGGAGTGTTTGTTTCCTTTACGCTGCTGTTAATTTTCTTTATTATGAGTTATAAACTAGTGCTGACACCTTTTTGTTTTTAAGGCACAGGGTCCCCCAGGGGTCCATCTTAGGTTTACTATTCTTTACACTGTACCAGCCACCAGTGGGAAAGATGTCACATTTTTTAAGATTGAAGATTGGTTTTTGGACCAGCAAGACTGAGTTTTATTTTTAAGATAATATTACTCTGTCACTGGATGACTGTGTAATTCTTTGTAGAAACAGAGTGAAGAATCTTGGCATTTTTTTCTCCGTCTGAGTCATATTAGAAGAGGTGACAAGAGTGTCGTTATCCATCTCAGAGAAAATGCCAAGATAGAATCAACCCTGTCATTTAAAGATGCTGAGGTTCTTATTCAAGACTTTACTGGCTTGCTCAGGCTGGAGCAGATTTGGAAAAGCTACTTTTGGTGTAAAAAAAAAAAAAAAAAAAGTAGTTGGCAATGTACGCTTGTACTTGACAGACCTTGTGAAACCATACATGCCTGTTTGGGCACTTTGCTGACTGCTTTCCTGTGTGTTCCCTTAAGTCATGAGAAAGTAGAAGTGCAGGTTTTCTCATTCTATGTACGAACTTTATGTTACAGTCTTCATCTAGATTATAGACAGGTATATTTAAAGCGAAGGAAAGACACACTTGTTCACTGTTGTGTTTGAGGAATAATGTTGTTTGTACCAAGGACTGTATAATACAAGTTAAGTTTTTGATGTCCTGTCTTATGGCATTTTTTGTTTTGTTTGTTTGTTGCTTTGGTGTCTTGTCTTAATGGTTTTATTATCGTCTTGTCTTTTATACTTAAATACATAAAAGTATGTTAAGTATTCAAGACAGAGAGACTAATGCACGCTTTTATAACCAGCAGGCTTGACTACTATAATGCTCTCCTCTCTGGTCTACCAAAAAGCACAATAAACCAGCTCCAACTGATCCAAAGCTCTGCTGCAAGAGTTTTGACTAGGACCAGGGGAAGAGCTCATATTACACCCATTTTAAAGTCTTTGCACTGGCTGCATGTTAGTTTTCGCATTGATTTTAAAATTCTTTTACTAGTTTATAAAGCTCTACATGGCCTGGCACCAGAATACCTTTCAAAGATGATTTTAATTTATGAACTGGGGCAGCCTCTCAGATCCTCTCAATCTTCTCTTTTAGTCATTCCACAGAGCAGAACAAAAAAAAATTGGTGATGCTTTTTTTAGCTGCTATGCTCCAAAACTGTGAAAGTAAATTCCAGAGGGTCTGAGACATGCTGCAAATATTTTAAAATTTTAAACGTAACCTAAAAACTTATCTATTTAGCCTGGTTTTTATGCAAAGTTTCATTATTTTAATTACTATTATAATTTATTTATTTTTTTAGTATCACTTTTTACCTTCTTTTATTAATAAATTCAAGTCCATATTTTATTGTCTGTTTAAGTCTATTTATAATAATAATAATAATAATAATAATAATAATAATAATAATAATAATAATAATAATAATAATAATAATAATAATAACTTTTATTTTTTTTCTCCTGATGTAAAGCCCTTTGAGCTGCAATTTCATTTGTATGAACAATGCCATATAAATAAACTTTGATTGATTGGTTGATTGATTAATTGATATTTTGAGTAAAATTGCTCGTAAAATGAATTAATTTTTCATAATTTTTCCCACTTTTGTGTCTTTTTCTATTTTCTCTGTGAAAGATACACAGTTTTAATAATATTTCAAGTATATTCTCCCTGTTTGGCTTTTATCCAGTAAGCTCCCTGTGGAAAGACGAGCACACTTTCCTGAAATATTATTGGACGGGTTCAGTTTTGTGTACGGAAGTGGTCAGCAGGTTCTAAGGTCAAAGGGTAAAGGCTATCCCTTTGCGATTGTGAATATACACAGCCATCTTGGATCTAACGTAGAGAAGAGAAATTGATGCGGTGAGGATTTTGCACTTTTTATTAAATTTATCTCTGCGGTACAAACTCAAGCTGAAGGCCGCAGCTGTTTGTGTTGCCTTTGTATGAAAACTCCACCGTTTTAACGCTGAGGTGATTAGCCTTTAGCTTCTGTAGCTGCTGCTGCTGCTGCTGCTGCAAACGGAGCTTCACACCGAGTCCAGAAAACGGACTGTGGATACATGCAGCCATAGAGGGCCTGTATTAGTGCCTTATACTGACTGCTGTTTGCTGCTGAAGTGTAGGTGTTTTGTAGTTTAAAGGGTAAAGTTTGTTGTGGCAGTCAGTCCGCTTTTATTATGACTATCTTAGCTGACACAGATTCACTGCTAACGCTAGCAGCTAACTAGCAGGTTAGCATCGCTGCTGTATTTGAACTCTTCAGAGTCAAGTCCCTAACCCTTTATCTCACATCTAATAGAGACCAATACCTTGAAAGTATAACATGCAAATATATAATGTTAAGTTGTGCCGTCAGCAATCTTGGTAAGCTAATGTTACAGATGAAATGTATACTTAACACTGTTAGAGAAGCAGAACTTTTTACCCATATGCGTTCATTCATAACAAACTAGACAAACACTTTTCAAAAGTTCCTGGAAAAGAAGAAGCCAGGATACTTATTTTGTCACCGTTAATTGCAAAGTAGTTTTAATGAATGTTTCAATAGCCACAGTTTAGAGTTTGAATCCTGATAAACGCCAGAATAGTGCTGGACTGAGTTGAATAAGTTGACAACAAACTGGGTCATTTTGTTTGCCCAAGTGCTAAGAAACAAGATTCATGATAATGACATTGTCTCAATTGAGATATTTAGTTTAACCTAAAAGTTTTTAAAGTAGCAACATGAGGTAATAAAGTCAACAACTGTATCTTGGTTGGGAATTTGAAGTGTATAAAACTATGTTTTTGCTGTTGTCTAAGGTTTTACTCTATGCCAGACTTTTTCCCTCTGTCCAGGTGACGAAAGGCATGTTTGGTGCTAGAAAAAAATTTGTTGAGTTCGTGGAGGTTGTCGACAACGACTTCGCAGATGAAAGCATGTACTACAACCAACCGTCGATGTTCCCACATCGGTCGGACAAAGACGTGAGTGCTTGATGTGTACCCTACACTTTGCCCATCCTCGGTAAAACGGTGTAAATATCCTCTTACTGATCTCACTGTTCTCTTGTTATCCTGCAGATGCTCTCCTCTCCCTCACCATCATCATCAGGGCAGCTGTCACAGCTTGGTGCAAGTTTGTACGGCCCACAAAGTAAGTGTTAATTAGATTTTCAATATGTGAAAATTTGCTGAGGAATACACTGAAGTCTTCATGTTCACCTCTTGTTTTCCTTTTTTGTTGTTGCAGGTGCACTTGGCTTCTCGATAAGGGGCATGGGGAACAGCACGCCTCAGTTAAACAGAAATCTAACACAAGGCACGCAGCTATCGAGTCATATTACCCCCACAACTGGTGTCCCTACCATGTCCCTCCATACCCCTCCTTCACCAAGCAGGTACTCAGTTATGTGTCAGGGTTTTTAAATGAATGCTTGTATGGTTCATTACATTAAAATAACAACCATGTAACAGGAAATGTCAGTTAAAAACATATTTAAAAAAATTGATCATAATCCACTAAACCAGATCTATTCATGTTCAAAGGGGGACATTGCCGATGAACACAAGGAACATGCTGAACCACTCTCAGGTCGGACAAGGCATTGGGATGAGCGGCAGGACCAACAGTATGGGCAGCTCGGGGCTCGGCAGCCCCAACCGAAGCTCACCCAGCATCATCTGTATGCCGAAACAGCAGCCGGCACGCCAGCCCTTTACTATAAACAGGTATGCAGATCCTGCCTTACACCCATACATGCCCACTGGAGTGTTAAATCCACAGTAGACAGCTACTGATCTTAAACTTTCTTTTTTGAAAAGTCAGCTTTGGGAAATTGGCCTTATCTATTGCTTTGGCTTTCTTTTGTCACTGCAGCATGTCGGGATTTGGAATGAACCGTAACCAAGCTTTTGGGATGAACAACCCTTTATCGAGCAACATATTCAATGGCACAGGTTAGTATGTTAAAAAAAAAAGGTAAATATATAAATAAAAGGGGTCACAAGGAGTTTTGTTTTAATTTTGTTTCAAGGAGTATTAGCAGTATTTTAAAAATGCACTCGTAGGCTCAGTGAAAATCAATTTAAAAAGATAAGGCTCCATTTTATAACACTAAAATAAACTTAAAAACACTTATTATTATTGCAGGGTTATTTTTTTTATTTTAATCATTGCCACATTTATTAAGTGATAAATTGCATCAGTGGGGCCATTACATATTAAATGTTCCTAACCTTCCTATTGCTGCAGATGGGAGTGAAAATGTAACGGGTCTGGATTTGTCAGACTTTCCTGCATTAGCAGACAGGAGTCGGAGAGAAGGGACTGGAAACCCAACACCGGTGCTCAACCCGCTGGCTGGACGGGCCCCTTATGGTAGGCTATTAAGCTGCATAAAAGATCTTATTGTTTCCCACATTAAGTAGAAGATAAATGAATGTCAGCCTCAGGACTGGATTCATAATCCCTGCTAAGATTTTGATTTATTTAAATAAGAACTGTGTGTGATTTGTTGCCCACTATACCTTGGGGAATGACAGTCTCTGCATCTCTTTTTTTTCATCATCATCATTATGTAGTCGGCATGGTGACAAAGCCATCAACCGAACAGACACAGGACTTCTCCATCCATAATGAGGACTTCCCTGCACTGCCTGGCCCAAACTACAAGGACCCCACGTTGAACAATGATGACAACAAAACAGTAAGTGTCACATAAAACATGAAAGAGAATTAATTGTAATGAATTCTGGATGTTAATTTTCTTTTTTAAACAAATTGCTTTTGTTTCATAGAACTTGAACTCCACAAGCAAGAGCACATCCAATGCAGATGGACCCAAGTTCCCCGGAGACAAGACTGCCTCAGCACAGAACAACAACCAGAAGAAAGGGATCCAGGTGTTGCCCGATGGTGAGACCTCTCAGCAAATCGTATCGCTCCAAATCCACTGAGACATCCCTTCTTAATCCCACAACTTGGGTGAGGCAGTTGGGCTCTCTACCCAGTATTTGGGGTTAGATAATTAAAGGGTAGGCTACAGTGAGGAAGCCAAGTGAATATGTTCACCATAACAGAGACCATCATCATCTCTCCATCACTTGTTAAAGACATACCCAGCTTATTTGCGGTCCAAGTTATGCACACACTGTGGTTAGAAAAATAGAGGTAATGTATGACAGTAAGCATTAACTGTATATGAATGATTTTTCAGTGGTTTGTTAACTCTTGAATCATCTCTTTGCTGCTGCAGGTCGGGTGACGAACATTCCCTCAGGAATGGTGACAGACCAATTCGGCATGATAGGCCTGCTGACGTTTATCCGAGCGGCGGAGACTGATCCAGGGATGGTCCATCTAGCACTTGGAAGCGACCTTACGACACTGGGACTCAACCTCAACTCACCTGAGTGAGAAAGCTGTCCTACCATTAACACAGTTCCCCAAAGCATTTATGAGCAAGGAAACCTTTTTCTGGTTAAACATTCAGAAAATGAGGTTGATAAATGAATAGTCCAGTAAAATAAGTATTTTTACTCAAACTTACCACTTTTGACTGCACCTTTAAAATATCTGTTTTTTAGTTTGTGCTTTTTCCATGTATCAGTTTAATGTTTTGTTTCAATGTTGACAATCTAAATGCAACTTCCTTTGCCGACAGAAACTTGTACCCGAAGTTTGCCTCACCATGGGCGTCATCGCCATGTCGACCTCAAGACATCGGTAAGATATAAACATGTAATATGTTAGAGTGGTAAAAGTAGTAAAAGGTAGTAAACGCAATTTGACTAGGTGGTAAATTTGTCATCACCCTTTCAATATATCATGACCTCTCCATTGATGCTGAATTTTGTGCATTTTTGATGCACACTGGATTACACAAAGGATCCACCGTTCACCAGCAGCTGTGTGCACCTACCCCCACACAAAAACAATGTCGCAATGTTGTGTTGGTATTAAAAAATATTTTAGAGGTAGTAAAAAAGGTGGTAAAAGGTAGTAAATTCAACTCTAGGATAGCTGTATAAACTCTGGCGAAAGAGGAGACTCCAGGCCCACGTCAGCTCCACCTCCATGCCTGATAATGTGACTGAAAGTTAGGTTGAGTCAGCATTTTAGACACAGTGGTCGCTGCTGATCACTCTACACAAACTCTACTTTAGAAATGAAAAGGGTGTCACTGAAGTGGCACTGGGACTTTGTCCATTTATTTTGGACTGTGTTACACATTGACAATTATATTCATGAAGGCTGATGAGAGCTGACTGCTAAAGACACCCACTACTATCCATGTGATTCTTTGGTCACTTGTTTGTTTTTGCTCCTGTAAAATCTATGCATGGGGTGAAAGTTCTACCAATGGACAGATCTGTAGTGTAACAAGGCTCGTTTTGTGTGTGGTAACCAGCTAAATCTCTAAATCTTTTTTTATTTTTTTATTTTTTATTTTTACATAGCTCTGTTTTGGTTTGTGCTTTGTAAGTTTTGGCTTCATATAATGACTTACTGTCATCAAAAGCAGGAATCTTTCATGTTTACTGTCAGGAGAGTGCAAATTCATCCTACAGTTATTTAAGGATAACATGTCATACACAGTATGTGGTTACCTTTCAGATTTCCATGTCCCCTCTGAATACCTAACCAATATCCACATAAGGGACAAGGTAATTATGAACACAGCCAGTAGACGTAGACTTTATGCAGAGAACTACATGGAAAGAGAGGTAACCTCTTTGCTGTCCCGCCTCTAGTTGGCTGCAATTAAACTGGCACGATATGGCGAAGACCTGTTGTTCTACCTTTACTACATGAACGGTGGAGACCTGCTGCAGCTTCTGGCAGCAGTAGAGCTGTGAGTATTTAACTATTGTTGGGACTGTTGGAGATATTACTGCTTTTTAATTGTTTCCATTATTGTTCCTGTTTGTGTCCTCTTTAGCTGTCATGTTTTGTCAGCATAAAATCACAGTTTTTTTTTACTTTTTAATGTCCAGCTTTAACCGGGACTGGAGGTACCACAAAGAGGAGCGGGTTTGGATAACAAGAGCGCCTGGCATGGAGCCAACACTGAAGACCAACACGTATGAGAGGGGAACTTACTACTTCTTTGATTGTCTTAACTGGAGGAAAGTAGCCAAGGTAAAACCGCGCCTCCTCTTTTTGTTTCAATCATCCATCAAACTCCCCTGTGCAAAGCTACTTGACTTTTCCGTCTTATTCAGACTTTTGTGATTATCTCACAATTGTGGTTGTGTTTTTCAGGAGTTTCATCTGGAGTACGACAAGCTGGAGGAGAGGCCTCATGTGCCAACAACATTCAACTACAACCCAGCCCAGCAGGCCTTCTAAGGCCCGACCAGTCCAAAGCTGCACCTGTTCCTGCACACAGCACTGTTGTCCAGGAGGGGGTGCTGTGGTTCACATAGCTTGGTTTTTATTCCTCGAGGATTTGGCTATATGACTGCGGGGGTCGTCGCCACCATCCAAACTGCCCTGCCCTTCCAAAATTACATGCTGCCCAAAACACCAACACTTTTTATTCTTTGTGTTCCTGCTGTAAGTTTTGTCTCATTTTGAGCAGGGTCTGTGTTATGTTTACGTCTCTGAATCTGACCGCTGTTTGCTCGCAGAGCGGTGGACTGACCTTGTGGCACAGGACAGTAACAGTAACAAAGGTTACGCCTCGTATTCACAGGTGTTAGAAAGAAGTCAGGGAAAGTAACTATCTTGGGACGCAAGTGAAAGGTTGAAAGAAATGCAATGTCTATTGTTGCACTATATTTAGTAATAAAAGAACACAAAATTTGTTTGTGCTTTTTTATGTTGACACTCCCTGAAACATCTTTTTTCCTTTCCTTTTTTGTGTCAGGGGGTTCATGCAAAGTTTCCACATGCATCCCTTTTCATCGCTCCTTTTTTCTTCCATTCTGATACCTCTGTATTTCCACCAACAAACCGTTTTCTTTTCTTCCCCTTCTTTTTCATTCTGTATGTCTCTCACTGTGACTTCTGTGCCAGCTGAACATTGACACAAGTCGGGGAGGCGACTTTGGTTTCCTCAAATGTGGCCGAATCCTCACAAATGTTGCTTCAGGGCAACAAAACAATTTCCAGTCTTTGTTACAATTTTGTAAGAAATGTGTACATTTTTGTTTCTTTGCATCACATAACTTAGTATATGTATGTACGATTGTGTATATATGATTGCTATATATATATATATATGTATGTGTATATATATATATATATATGAAATCTATTTTGGAAGATATTTTGCCCTGCCTTGTACCTCGTTTTTATGAGGTGAGCATGGATGCAATATGTGGATGTAACAGGACATTTCTGGATCTGCTGGACAGGGTGTCGCACTTACAACAGAATAATACGTTAAAATGTCATTTAAGGAAAGGCCTGATTCTCAGCCAAAAACGAAGCAAACTAGGAGATCATTCCCCCCCGAGTTTAGAGTCCAAAGCTGAAGGAGGGATGTATTTCAATCAAGCTGTTTGAACAGCTGTGAACAGCAGCATTTCATAGGAAACGGAAAAACGATAATTTAGGGAGAAAAAAAATCAGACCATTCTTGTATTTTCTGAAGCAAAGTGCTTCTTTTCTTTGTATTAAAGCAGAAAAGGCTTTCCTGAACCAGTGTGTCTGTGTTTATTCCTCTTCACAAAGTTGTGGACTTCTTTCCGCTTTTTATTAAGAGATCACGCTGCGTTTGTAAGCAGGAAGTAAAAATGCAGATCCAATAAAACAGAGGAAACATTCACATTGCTAATAATTACTTACTTTCTATTTGTTTGATTAACTACATGTATCTTCCATTGAAGTTTAAAGAAAAAAGGTACAAACTCAGGATCAGGACTCTTGTATTGAAAGTGCAGTTTTATTAGCCGTCAGAGACTACAGAGCTTCTTTTCAATCAAGTTAATTCATGGAATGTAATTCTGACCAGATGATGGCCTTTTTTTCACATGTACCACATGTTGATAGATATAAAATCAGTTAATTAAAAATGTAATGCAGCATCTCCACTACAGCAGAGGAATAATTAAATCTTTGTACTACGCAACAATTGTTCTTCCTGGGTGTTTGGATGCTTGATTTCTTAATTAGGCAATCAAAGCTAATATCCACAAATTAGAAAGGCACACAAACATATGTTCAAACAACATAATATACGGACTTAAAACAACTGAATGACAAACTGGATTTTACACAAAATGTTCTCAATTACCCTCGTTACTGTGCTATCATATAGAGGTATTAAGAACAGAGCTGCCATTCAAGGCCATGAACAATCATTCACAGTTAGTACACTGAACACTCATTAAGACTTGGCAAAGTATTAAATGAAAAGCAGAGATGTAAACAAGTCATGAATCAAGACAAAGCTGAGGCTTCTACTGTAGAAAAACAAGACAGCCCATCAAGACTGAAGGGGTCAAAGGCAGCGCAGCAAAAGAATCCACTCTCACCTCAACGCTTGTCACACCGCCTGGCTTTTCCAAACTGCATCTGCTTGTTTAAATGCTACAAATTCAAGCTGAATTCATCATTTATAACAATCCAAAGCTGATGAATGTTACATTGATGTTTCTGTAGAAAGTAAAAAAAAAAGACATTTCTTTGCAGTCTTGCTTAAAGTCAACATTCTTTCTCTATGGAGGGTCATAGTTTTCTGGGCTTTTTTCTTGTTTTCAATCATGTGTCAGTGCGGTCTGCTGCAGGTGATCTTCACACTTTTTCTGCTCACTTTGCCATACACTCCAATCTTCAAACTCTGTTCCCACAATGAGGCTCACTTTGAGTTGGCTTCAGCTGGGGTTGAGCCGTCTGGAGCACCTCCAGCTTTGGCAGCTTCTTCTGGTGGAGGAAAAAAAAAAAAGAGTTATTTGTCAGATCGAAAGAACAGATGAAGACACAAAGACCTCATCCTTCACAAATCTGAGTACTTTCCTTTTATCAATGAAAAATAACCCACAAGGAGCCTGTATAACAGAGTGGATGTGCCTGAGGTTTTGAATAATTAAAGGCGACATGAATCATCAGACCAGCAGCTCACCTTTATCTTTCTTCTCCTGAGTCTCCTCCGCTGCAGTCTTGTCTGCTCGGAAGAAGATCCGGGCGCTGCTCAATGAGAAGTGGAGCAGCTCAAACTCCTGAAGACAAAGAGTTTAGAGTAAAAAGTTCATGTAAATCAGAGGTTTTGAAGGAAAATGTGAGAGGGAAAAAAGGATAAAGTCTTAAAGCAGCCTCAATGCTTGTTCATAAATAACTGTACCTGAAGGTAGACGTCCAGCCTCTTCTGAGTCAGGTTCATGGTTTGCAGCAGCTTCTCATCCTGGCTAGCAGACTGGACGTTCTGCTCTTTGACCACCGCGTTCATCTCTTTCTTGTATTTATCTCTGACAGCTTGGAACCAGTGCAGAGAGTCAAACTCTAGATACTGGTCCAACAGCTTCAGGATGTACGCCACACCTGAAAGACAGAGAGGTACGAGGAGGGAGATGTGTCAACAATGGAATCACAGCACAAGCAAATAGTGTTTTAAAACAAAGTACTATATTTATTCAGGCTCTCTCACCCATAGCAAAGCCATCATCTGTGAAAGCAGCGCCTGTTTTGTTCTTCTTGTTGAGTTTCTCTTTGCAGCTGATTGAGTGCTCAACGAAATTTACAGTCTGTGGGAGGGAACAGATATGTTTTAGATACAGGAAGTGCAGAATAGAGCAATGATGTAGAAACAGAAACATTAAAGGGATATTCAGGTGTAAAATTAGGTTAGAGTCAAACACACCATAACACTGAGTCAGACACCCCCTCGAGAGATGAATGTTGCCGACCGCTTGATTCTCTAGTTATACCAACTTCAGTAACGACCGCACGATAGCAATACACAGAGGTCTCAGGAGCCATAAACAAACCTCAACTAAAACGCCACTCTATAGCCACAAATAATGCTCAGAGCAGCACCTAACTTCATCAACAGTACATACAGGGTCCCAGCCATAGTACTAGTCATCAAACATCTTTTAAGCTTTGCCTGATTTCTTGAGTAAAGAGACTAAACACACCTCACCCACTCTCTTCCAGCAGCCGCTTGTTTGTATGGAGATCTCAGGCTAGTCCATTATGGAGTACAGTGGGGTGACGCAGCTCAAGGAAGAACATTTATGATTATTACTTCATGGAAATGCAATCAGACCAAGATGCTAAGGCAGAAGAACTACTGCGTCCGCAGTGCAAAATAATTAATATGAGGACTATTACACTAAGGAAATGATAAATTATCATAAATGTTCTTCCTTGAGCTACGTCCCCCGCTGCAGTGGGTGATGGACTCGTCCAAGGTCTTGCTACAAACAAGCGGCTGCTGGAAGAGAGTGGGTAAGTTGTGTTTCGTCTCTTTGCTAAAGAAATCAGGCAAAGCTGAAAAGATGTTTGGTGGCTAGTTCTATGGCTGGGACTCTATATGCACTGTAGCTGAAGCTAGGTGCTGTTCTGAACATTATTTGTGGTTATAGTGTGGCGTTTTGGTTGAGCGCGTGGCTCTCTGTATTGCTATCGTGCGGTCGTTACTGAAGTTGGTATAACTAGAGAAGCAAGCGGTCGACAACATTCATCTCTTGAGGGGGTGTCTAACTCTGTGTTACGGTGTGTTTGACCCTAAATGAATTTTACGCCGGAATATCCCTTTAAAGTGCAGAAAGTGAAGGCAATCAAGGGTTAATCAAATGACAATAGTCTGATAAGGAGCTGCAAAGACAGAAATGGAAACGGACCAGAGGGGGTACAATCATGTAGAAGTTCCTCAGGTGCATGTTCTTTGCGCTGCGGAACTCAGGTGCAAACACGGCCACCAGCATCTTGAAGTACTCCGTCCCCTCAGCAGAGTTACTGGTCAGATCTCCCAACACGGAGTCCAGGACTCTGAATATGATATAAAGTCATGTAAGAGGACTGTGCAATACGTCCGGTGATGTTTCATGACATTTTTAAGCTGTAGTGCCCTCTGCAGGTGTAAGTATGGAAATACATTGAAAATATCTCTCTAGGTTTAAATGCAGACTCTACTGAGGAGAGTTTGTTTGTATGCATGAAAAAAACACATTTGACACAAACTGAATTCTTCACATGCGCAGCTGATCCTGGACCCAGAATGACCCAAATCCACACCAAAAATGTCTCATCAGAACTTATGCAGTACAAACAAACAAGTGCCTGTTAGAGTCAGACTGGAACGCTCCAGTGACTCTGAGACATAATCCAGATTTTTAAGATGCTTTACCCAGCAGCTTTCTGCGTCTCCTCTGACAGTCCCTCCTCCTTCACCAGCTCCTCAAAGTTGACGATATCCTCCAGGTCAGGGACAAACCTGGGAAAATAAAATATATATCAGTGAAGAGTGTTTATACTAGATTTATGTTGATGACCTTCTCAAACTGGACTCAGCCAAAACTGTCTGATTAACAAAGCAGTTGGAGCACAACTACAAGCAGGTTTAGGCGCCTCAGTTTTACCTGATGGCACTGCTGCAGCAGTGAAGGCCTCCCGATCGGATCATACGCACATAACCCATAGCATTTCCTGAACAAACAATCAAACAAACAAAAAAATGATTTTTTAAATATTTTCCATCATCAGGGGTTGGTTTTGTTTTCACATGATCAGTGTGGTTTCCTCACCAATCTGGCTGATGAGCTGTCTGAACTGGTCCAGGTAGCTCTGCCCTTCTGGAGTGATACCAAGCTTCCTGATGCCACGGTTAAACTTCTCAGCTCGCTCAAATGGATACTAAAACAAAAAAAAAACAATTTAACAAGAGCCGGTCTGGAATCTGTGGGAAAACCTCTGGGTGATATCACTGAGGAACTTTTTGTGTCAGTGGAGAGAGAGAGAACAAATGATTATGAACCGATATATGTCCCAACTTACCTTCTGGTCAGACTGGTCTTTAGTTTCCCTGAAGAAGCGGATGTCTTTGATGAGTCTGGACTTGATGTGTTCATCGTACATAAACTGACTGAAGATGTAAAACTTCTTCCGCAGGAACTGATAGGTAAAATTCACCTGAAAACAAAAGGGAAACTCTTCTGAGAAAAAAGGTTTAAAAGAGACAGGACTTATGTCGAGAACATTTTTCCTGTTAGCTCACGGTGGTGTTCATGATGCCGGTGCCGTGGGTGCGGATGGAGTTGGCGATGTGTCGGATGTTGATGGTATTCAGGTGCTTGTTGTTGCTTGCCTTCTCTATGAAGATCTGGTGGAAGAAAAATGAAAATGTGAACACTGCAATAACAGCTGCTTTTATAGAGATGGAAAAGGTTGGGCTCTTACCTGGTTGTTGAGGTTATAAAGGTAACGTGAGACAAAAACATGAATGTTCCTCATGATCTCCAGAACATCCAGACCCTAATGAAAACACAAAGAATGAACTCTACTATGTCAGTTCCATAATTGTCCAAATATTTTATTGCTTCTTTGTCAAATTGTTCCCATGACACCTTTTTCTACAAAATGTAAAAAAAAAATCTGATGAAAAAAGTAAAAAAGTGCCCAGCACACAGACCTGCTCCAGGGTCTGGCTGGGTAGGTGAGCCTCCGTCATGGTGAGTCCATATCGCTGTGTAGCGAGGTTCCTCATCTCACTGTAGGTGGCCCAATCATGCAGAGCCACAGTTGTCAGGTTGTAGAAAGTTTTATCCAGGTAGTGAGTCACATAAGCTGCAGAACCAGAAAAAAAAACATGACAAATGAGATGAGATAAACCATGTGGACATTTTCTGACACCACAAAGTTCAGTTATAGTTATAGGTTGGATCTATATAGATGTCAATATCAGTGATCACAAGTCACATATGTGCCCTTTCATTCAAATTAAATTAGTTGATGCCAAAAGGATTTATAAAAATATTAGACCAAATCTAAAAGTAAACAAACATTAAAGTGTAAACTCGTCTCTTTTAACCAGAACATGTGAACACGTCTCTCTGCACCTTTGATATGGATGAAGCGGTTGAAGAATCTGATGGGTTTGAGGGAGAAGAAGTGAGCCAGATCCTTCAGGCCGACCTTAAAAGGGTTCCTGTCATCCAGCTTCAGGTGTGTGTGAACAGAGAGACGCAGGTCCTTCTCGATCTCCTTACACAGCTTGTCCAGCAGGTGCTACCAGAGTCAGAAACCGAGAGGAGTGCCGTTTACAAATGTTCGTCCCAGCCATGGACGTTTGATTCTTCAGCACAATCAAATATCCTCACACCACACAACACGTTTTCCTCTATGTGTTTATCATCGGCTCTCACCTCGTGAAAAACGTCCATGATCTCCTTGTCATAACTCTCCAGCAGCTGGTCACATGACTCCATGTGTTTGGCGTGCAGCATTGAAGGTACGCTGTCCCTCAGAGCACTAAACATGTACTATACCAGCCAATCACAGGCGTCACACAGGAGAACACAACATCAACATAGAAAAAAATGACCTTGTCAGAGCAGCTGATTGACACAAGCAGTAAACAATCATCGTGTTTTAATCAAAAGATCTCAGTCTATTGTGTTTGTGTTAAAGGTGCAAAACCCGATATTCATCTAATACAGACTGTCTCCCTTCAAAAACAGGATCAAAAATAGGGGGTTTTGGGAACACGAAAATCTATTGGGATAGGTTAATGAGTCTTGTTCATATAAATCCAACAACAAGAGTGCATGTGAATTTGCACACTGCCCATGTATCTTACATGTATTACTATACTGTACATGTACATGTATGATTATAACTTACATGTATTCGTGCTGCATCCACAGCGTTATCATACACATCATCCAAGTAGATGGGAAACACGGCTCTGTGCCAGTAGAGGAAACTACAGTCACACTGAAGCTTGACCCTGAAAAGAAAACCGTTTTTAAATGCGCTTGTTTTTCTAAAAAAAGAAAGAATGCAACATTTTTGCATCAATACCAGGACTTTAGGATGCAGTTACAAAAACATCCAAAATCAGCATTTACTGAATGCAAGATACCAGAGAAATATTTGTGATTAAAAAAGAAAAGTGATGACCTGTTGACTGAGCTGCAGGGTTTTAATGTAATCGATAATGATTTTATTACTATGACCTTTTCTTTACCCTTCTGTGCACCTTTTTTTACTGAAAGCCAATAACACCCAAACACAGACTTGCACATACAAAACAGAGCCCCCCACATTTTTACCCTCAAATGATAAACAAATGTATTCCCACCTCTCACTCAGCTCGCTGATCAGATCAAGCTTCTTCAGCACCAGCTGCAAAGGAGGCAGCTCCTCATCTTTGAAGGTTTTCTGCAAGACAGCACGAGATTTCAACTTCAGGCTGTGAATCATGAGAGTTCATAATGACACAAGAGCTTTTCCCCACATACCAGCTGAGTGCCGACACACAGCGCTAGAGCCACCACCAGCCGTCGCTCCTTCGTGCTCGGACCATTTAGAGCATTTTCTGCCATCACTAAAGATGAGAGCACGTCCAGTCGCTGTTGGCTGTATTTCTTGTCAGAAATCACTCTTTTCTACAAAGACACAAACACACTTAGTCAAAAAATGTAAATAGCTCAGCAGGCATCCAATGTACAGAGGCTACAGTCCTTATCACACTGCTTATAGGACTGATTTTCCTTCCCAACATGATTAGTTTTACATCTTTACCCACATATATATATTCTGTCTCTCTCAAGCCTTTCCATTCAACAAAGGAAAACACAGAAAGGACACTCCTTAAATAAATCTCATCTGCACTATCTGACAATCTTTTTGGGTGGGTAGATACCTTAGCAACACCGATGGCATTGAGTGCCTGTGACTGCAGCTGCTGAGTGATGTGAGAGACTGAGTCGGCTACAACCATGGAGCGTCTGTGAAACGTGTGCTCCACAGCCTGAGGAGCGACAAAACACATCAGCCGACACATGAAGCTTTCTTTTTGTGTCATTCAAACAGATGAAACTGTGGCGTTAAGCACGTCAAAGAGGGAAAAAGGAAAATATGAACCTTGAGCAGTTCAACGAGTCGACACAGAGCTTTGACAGACGTCTTGGTCATGGGCTTCTGCATGGACATGTACATGTTCATGGTGGTTTTGATGATGGTGCTGATGCTGTACGCATACAGAATGCCCTGTGAGGGGAAAGACAGAGAGGAAAACTGTATCAAAAGAAAACATTCATCTTAAACATGTGTAACAAAGTTCAGATCAATTTTTGTGGTCTGTTTGTTTGTTTAAAAATTTCTCTCTTTCTTTTTAAAAAATGGGACGACCATAATTTTCCAAATTTTTGCCTGATCTGGATCAGACCTTCAGTGTGTTTTGTTCTGGCAACCAGAGCAGGATTGAGATCCTGTTTCTACAAAAACTGGAATGATCCTGGTCCCAGCAAAGGGCTGGATTTAGAGTTCAAAATGTCCTAAAACTTTTCAACAGTTCCAAATTTTGATCATGTAGTTTCAAAGTTTATAACAAAGTAAATGAGCAAAGTTTTATAGAATACATGCAGCTTGTTGCACCCGATTTGTTAAACTGAGAAATTTTTACCTAAAAAAATTCCCTGAAATTTCTCAATAAGCCTTTCAAGAGTGTTGAGCAAAAGAAATTCCTCTGAGACCATCAAAAAGCCTCAAATTTGAACAAAAATCTTATGGTTTTAACTTTCTTTGATCGCTTTATACTCATTCAAAAGACTGAGACTTAATTTTTTAGGATGTAAATCTCTTGTAACAAGTAACAGGTCTTTGTTTTGAGATTTGGGACTGGACACATACAGTTCCATTTGTAGGTCAGATGATGGTCTAGCCAAGTGACAGACACTGAAAATATGGAAGGAGATATTTGTAGTTTGTGCTTTCTATCCCTTCAAATAAAATCATCTTAAGTGGTCTCATTCTGGCTGTTGATGACATCATTCTTGGTCTACTTTATAGTTTAAAGTGTGCCTTAAAAACTGACAGTAACACTGAATTTGCTGCTCACAAAACAAAACACTGAATGGGTCATTCTGGTCAAACTTTTTTGAACTACAGGAGCTTGAAGTTGAAGAAGTAGATTTAAATACAGTTTGGTGATCTGGTCTTCATGCTTTAATCTTGAGTTTATATGATGATATGGCTCCTTTAGTTCTTACCTGCACAAACACATTACACCTGCTGTTGAGGTCTTCAGCCAACTTGTCACTTTTCTGTTCCTTGGACAATATCGACTCCATCTTCATCATCCAAGAAGTTACAAACACGTAGTAAGACTGAACATCCCTGTAGAACAGAGGAAAAAAGCAAGTGAACTCAAAAACATAAAATCTGATTTTTTTAACAAGGAAATCGATTTGTTTAAGGCCTACACTAACTTTGTAAGTGTCTGAGCTCTTTGCTGCAAAAAGGTGTCTCTCTGTGCTCGGATGGCCTGAAGACTCTTCTTATCCATCAGTTTTGCTGCAGCAGGGACCTTTGTGATGAGGAAGGTGTCAGGAAACCAGATGATGTTTGAAGTCAGAGTGACAGCTGGAACCTAAAAGGGACATACGATAAACATGAAAGAGTTTTTTTTTAACTGTTGTGAGATCAAGACACAGAAAAAAAGCACAGAGGGCAAAAAGACTGAGCTACCTTTTTACAGACATCCAGCAGAGATTTGTAGAACTTCTTGTCCACACTCCTAAAAATGTGAAAGTGGAGCACAAAGAGACCGCAGACCCCGGCATATTTATCCCTCTGGTCGATCTCTGAGGGTTCACCTGAAAACAAAACAGAGACAAAAAGAACTTACTTTGACATTGCAGGAAAGAGTACTCGCATATGAAAAATGTATCATAACGAGACAAACTGACCAATTTTAGACTCAATGTTGGTGAATATTGTGCGAATGTTGAATGCAAACTCCTCTGCAAAAGCGCTGTTTTTAGAAACAGCAACTCCTTCCCCAGGATCATCAAATCTCTGCTCTACGCAGGCCTGTCACAGAGGTGTAAAGATCATAATGTTCATACATGCAAACAGAAGTATGTTTGTGTTTATGGCTTCAGAAAACAAAGAGATGTTTGATTAATACAAAAACAGGAACTGTGGTGAGTCAGAATACTGAAAATCAGTTTTATAATGAAACAAAAGGGGGAAAAAATGACACACCTGTAGTATCATGCCATCCAGAAGCTGACCCTCCAGCTTCAGCAGGAGTTTTTCAAACGGTTTCAGCTTCTCCTCAGGGATGGAAAACTTTCCTGGGTTATGGTGCACAGATTTCAACATCCTACAACCAGAGGATACAGTTACCAAACATGAAAGCCCAGTTTGAAGTTTAAGTACTACAGCACGTATGTTTGAACAGATAACAAACAACAAGATCAGCAAAGGGGATAAGTAAACTGGAATTTTACGCTTACTTCACTGGAATAATATACTAAATCATAATTCTACATATTACTAGAATATAATAATAAAAATATTATATTCTGGTAATAGAATACACACTCTCACACATCCATTCTGTTATAATTCTCAAACTAAATATGCGTGTGACTTTTTAGTGTGATCATACACTAATAAGAGCTTTTTTTTTTTTGCACTGAGTCAGTGTGTCAAACAACCAACCATTGTTTTTTTTTTTTTAAATCCAGATTTTCCTTGGTCTCAGACTCTCTTGTCATCATGTTGTGTTTGACTCTGTGTTTACCTTTTGTACATTTTCCAGTGGTCTTTCAGTGTGCCATGATTTTCCATTATCTCATCAAGTGTGAGGAGAACCACCAACAACTCGCCAAGATGTTCGTACACTATCTGTAGCCGGGATACAGAAGATGATTTAATATTCAGCACAGGAGAAAATACAGATGAACTGAAGTTACAGAAAAATCTGATGAATCTTAATTCCCACCTGGAAATGAACACCTGATGACTCGATGATTTTAGTTGCCACTCTAAAATACAAAGAAGAGAGATACTTTCATGCTTTTGATCATTATTGTTAAACATGAATGAAGTAATTAACCGGATTTGGAGTTTGTAAGCTGCTCCTATGACTGCATGCCAAGCGTAGAAAGGCCCTTTTGATAATGTGGGGAAGTAAGCCCACCCAACAAGAACAGTACATCCACTGTGTAACATGACTAGCTTCAGTTTTAGGCTCTTACTTGCTGCTGTTGTAGAGCGCAGCCAGCTGATGTACAATGTTGACCACCACTTCATAACATCTTGTCACAAAACAGGACAGTTCCTGTTGAAGAGAGAAACTATTAGTGGATCCAGGATTTCAGTTTAACACATTCTGCCATTAGTTATTCAAGCTTACCTGAAGGAATGAGATAAATCTGCCCATCTGAACCTGAGACTCTCCCTCGACAACACTGGTGTCAGACACTGTGGCAAAAACATTATGAATCAAAAAGCAAAGATAACAACAGAAGTAAAAACTCGTACAAGTCGATAAAATGTGCTCATCTGTTACCTCCTTCTCCGTAGTACAATAAGCCATTGTAGAACTTGGTCTCTGCCTGCAAAAGAGAACATAAACAGGGGTACTGGATCAGACATCTGTTTGTAAAGAAGTTAACGAAAAGTTCTCTGTGAATGACTATACAGCTGTCTGTGGTGTCAAGAGTATAGCAATGCATCAGCAAAGACAAGAAAACTGCGAGCGATTACACATAGATGTTTATAAAAAAAAACGATTTTAAATTCAAATGATTCCAGACAAACAGAATATGAGAGTCTCATATATAACACCACAAAAGTACTTGTTAGAGCCATGAATAGATTTATTTTTGAAGTTGAATTATTTGGGTTGTCACATGTGGTGTTTGATATTGTTTGGGGTCATCACGGGGATTACGTCACAAATAGGGGCGGTGATTTGTTATTATGAGGACCTGAGCACACCTGGGATTTGATTTGGCTTTGTGGAGAGCACAGGGGCGGGACGCCATAATTTTTGTTGATCGCCGCCGTCACCGCCGCAGACTTTGGTTTTGTTAGATTGTTGTTTATTTTATTTTATTTGGTAGTTGTCAGTTATTTGCCTTTTGTTTAATCAACCTTCAAACGAAGCGTATTTGTGTTGGCATTTTTTTTGTTTGATTAAGGCAGTGCGTCGGACAGAGAGAGACCCGACTCCGAGCTCAAGCGACTTTTTTGGTTCTGTCGCTACAGTACTCAAAGGGTGCTCAGGTGAGAAACATCAAATATAGACAAACAACACTTCTGTTGGATAGTAGGTAATCCCCCGGAGCTCCTTTTAAGACACAAATGGTTAAAGCCACAAACCAAACTAACCTCAAACACAAACTGCAACTGAGAGCTTACCTCATACTTGAGCTTTTTCACCTCGCTGCAGAGAGCAGCATAGACTGTGATGACTTTGTTCAGGACCTGCACAAACAGAATGCTTATTACTAAATAAGGAAGACTTAACAACAAGAGGAAAGTTCAATAGTCGTCTTTATTTACCTTGTTGTCTGTTTTGATTAACTCCAGTAAAGAGGACTGTTCATATGGGAGGAGCTGAAAGAAAGAAGAAAGTAGTAGTACATGAGGAGAACAGTGTTATCTCTTCAGGGTGATATTCTGTTGGTGGTTTTTGGAGTATTACCTTTAGAGCGATGGGATCCAGAGTAAAGTCCCAAACCTCCCCGATAGAGTCGTCTAGAGCCTCCTCGATCCCCCTCAGCTGAGAGGTGTACTCTTCAAGAAACCGGCTGTAGTTCTTCAGCTGAACCTCGAGGTGTATTTCTACAGGATTAAATGTTTGGTCACTTCAGAGGGTCTGATGCCAGATTCATGACTTACAGATTCACGTTAAAGTGCTTCTGCAGATGATTAGAAGCAGAACAACTATGTTGTTAAAATACTGAATAAAATGTTTGGTTTTAAATTTTTGGAAACTTTCTTTTACCAGTAAGTAAAATCACCACAACATTTTAACAATACATCAAAACTCCCTTGAATATTTGCAAAAGATAGCGAGACACTAACAACTATTTAATTCACATTTCAGAACTGAGTGTTTCTGTCAGTTGTTGAAGCCGCTGTCACCAAAATGAAAGGTTATGTTAGCCACACAGGTCAATATGTAAAAATGCTTCTCCACCTAATAATCCTCATCAAAATAAGAATGATTTTTTCAATGAATGAAAAACCTGTTTTTGTTTTGGTCTACAAGTATTAGTCTATCATTTGGCACACTTCACAGAAGGCTACATGACTGTGTAATCTCACATCTTCATGGGATCTTTGTGGAAAAGCTCCACATATTTATGCTTCCAAACTTGACTGCATGTTAGTTGATTGTAATTCCTACTCAATTATCTCACCAGGCAGATCTTTAGTTACTGTGGGGAAGCCTTACAAACACTTCATGTCAACGATAAATCCAAACATCAGTATATATAAGCATGTTTGACAAATTTTGAGAAGCAGATGGATTATTTTGCATGTGATGGTCAAACTATGAAGACAATAAAAAACTCCGTTAGAATCAGCTGGCGTGTGATTTGGGTGCAGATTGGTAGAGAAGTGTATACTATACAGTCTATGGTGTATACACACGGATCAAAACAATGCAATCTACTTGAATGAATGTAACATTATGCTCTCTTCTGTATGACAAACTAATCGTTCAGAGATTAGAGCTCAGTGTTTCTAAAAAATACTTTTCTCATCTGAGATCCGAGCCAAAGCAAACGAGAAAAACTGTAACCTGTCAGACTGATCAGCTGTCTGACTGATGACGGTGATTAATGCCTGCTAACTTTGTTGTCACGTTACTTCCAAAAAGATTATTTCATAAATAAAACACTGTCCCGAGGATGCCGTGTGTGAATAGTTATAATGCTACTATAAATACTCCCTATTATGAGTTCATTTGCCAAGTGTTTGTTTGCAATCAACATTAGCAGATGTTGTCTTTCAGCAATTAGACGGAGCCCGAAGTCAATGCATCCTGCTAATAACGGAAGCTAACAGTGCAGGTAGCGTAACGTCAGTTCACTTTAGCACGTCAGGTACTTACTCTGTGAACCGTCATCAAAACGGTCAAACTCCCAGTCAGGTGCGATGGTTTCCACAGCCATGGCGCCGGTAAATATGACCAAAATCCCCGGTGTTAAAAACTGGAGCAATACAGTCCCATGATGGGTCTCATGATTTGTAAAATGCCGCTAGCGTTCATGGGAAATGAAGTCCAGGAGCCATATACGTGACAAACTTTCTAAACAACTGTCTAAAAAAGAGTATTAAGTGTTATGGTTCTCAACAAGAAATACGTATTTTCATATTCTACTTTTTAAGCATAATATTATGTGCCAGTTTGCCAAGGAAGTAATCCTGAATCTTGACTCTGATTATTGTTGGTTTTCCTGCTTTACATTTATTTCTGCAACAGCTTTTATAATGGCTGCTTTGTTAGTTCTGCAACAAATACAAGCCTTCAAATTTTCTATTAGCTTATGTACCATTGTGTTTAAAAATAACACCATGTGAGCCAAGACAAACAATAACAACTAGGATATAAATAGAGCAGTTGGCCCTTAACAAAGAGCTGTCAAATATGTGTACGTATCCCTCTGTCTATCTGATTCAGGCTACATGCAGACTGTCTTTATGTTCGACAAGGCATGGTAGATAGGGTGTGTGTGTGTGTGTGTGTGTGTGTGTGTGTGTGTGTGTGTGTGTGTGTGTGTGTGTGTGTGTGTGTGTGTTGTGAGGTTAGATAATGTCACGGTGGAGACTCAGCACACCATTCAGAAGACGGCAGAAGCCTCAAGGAAGAGTCATTGCAGCGGAGTGTGAGGGAAAAAACACCAATACTTCTGTCATGTTTTCATAACAAGGGTAAGGCACTTTTTTCATGCTTTAGAAAGGCAAAGAAATGGCACTCAAAATATGATCTATTTATATACAAGCACTTAATGGCACTGGTCATAGTATACCTGTAGAGATGCTGGAGAGATATAGGAGCAACATTTGAAATCATTGGAACAGATTTAAAGTTACTCTACATTTTTGTTTGTGATCAACTTTTTGACCTCATAGTTGAAGAATTTCCTTCTCCTTCTTAAGAACTGTTAAGTTGGTGTACCATGCTCTCCTTTAGGTAAGCCTGTTATTTCAGCAGCACAGGATTCTGTAGAGATTTGACACTGAGCTTTAACTGACTGAACATGTTTTTAGCTCTCATAAGTTCATGGCGCTGCAACTTCTCTGATGGTTTTAAGGGTTTAGGGGTTAGTTTGAGCTTAATCAATTGTAACAATTAATGTAAACCATTATCAAATGATGAATGCTTCCGTCAAAGTTTTCAAAAATGTCTTCCTGTCAAATGAACATAACCATTATTACCATTCCTTAAAGCAGTTTTGACACATTTGATCAACTATAGGAACGTCTTGGTTGTTTTGCTAAATGCAGCAGTTTTATTTTAAAAGAAGTTGGATATTTTGTGTTGAATCTTGCTGACTTGACTTTCGTACCTGATCATCTCTCAGGAATCTTAAATGAGGGTCATTGTCTCACATACACAATATGGCCTCAGTGCTACTGATGGGAATCAGGCATGAAGAATGATAATGCAGCAATCGGAGGCATCAGATGACTCTGAAACAGCTGTATAGAGCAGCCAGGCTCTCTGCATGCAGAGCACAAACACTTCATTTCTCATGGGAGTAAAGAAAAGACAGATTATAACATACACATCACACCCAGAACTGGTTTGCTTAGACCAGTGGTTCTCAAGTCCAGTCCACAAGGCCCACTGTCCTGCATGTTTTGGATGTTTCCCTGCTCCAACACACCTAATTCAAATGATCAGCTCGTTATCAAGCTCTGTAATGGCTTAATAACGAGCTGATTATTTGAATCAGGTGTGTTGGAGCAGGGAAACATCCAAAACATGCAGGACAGTGGGCCCTGAGGACTGGACTTGAGAACCACTGGCTTAGACTGAGACTGTATGAAATGCTGATACTTGCTGAGGTCTGAATTGCTGAAAGTTAACTATTATGGTATTGTTAATGCAGATGATGCTGCTCTAAATGCCACAGAGAAAAAGAGAAGACAACACCAGAGTCTGTCTTTTTTGTCATGGTGGGAAACCTGATAAAAGTATAAGGACCTCTGTAACCATCAGGAGCTGAAGCCGCAGGAAACATACCCTGCCAAATTCAAACTTTGCACCATGATGGTCTCAGGCTCACACGATGAGCATTTACCCTCCAGTGGATCAGCAAGTAGAGGAAGTGTGAGACAGTACGGGTCCAATCAGTCTGGATCTCAACACTTTGGAGAACAACTGAGCTCTAATGGGAATGTTTCACCGGTTGAAGCCAGTCCTTATTTGGGGCCACAGGAGTACTCAGAGACGGACTATCTGCTGCCAGATAAACTCTATGGCAGGTCGACGCTCAGTGCATCCGTAAGGTCAGATGATGCTTGTGGTTCAGATGCACCCGCAGAGACTGTGTGCTCCATGGTGCTGCAGATCCTAGTGCCATTTCTGCTGTCTGGCTTTGGGACAGTCTCTGCAGGGATGCTGCTGGATGTTGTTCAGGTAAGAAAATGAAGACAAAATTCACCTCAGAGTTTGGATGTACTTTGAAGTTTTCATTAGTTTGTGTTCCTCTAAACACTTGGAACAAATTCAAAAAACCCCTTACTTATCATAAGATAAAGAAGGTAGTGGAGGGTTTTCTGTCTTTTCTCCTTATCTCTGAAATGTTAATGTAAATTTAAGAAAATTAAATAAAATCTGAGTTCCTGTTAAGAGATTTTTGCTGGTACCACACCAACCAAGCGGTGATTTCTCATAATGACCCACAAAAGTGGACAAAACAACCATTATTTCTGGAAATAGACTAAATTATTGGTCTGCTGGTGATTTGAGCCAATAAATGGCTAATTTACATTATAGGCATTACCTTGGCATTTGCCCTCGCAAAGTTGATCTTATTGTTATCTTTCTGATTAAAAAAATATATATTCCCATCCCTATGAGAACATATCAAATCTTAAACAGCCACTGGGTAATGACTAATATATATTCTGTTATTTTGCATAATGCAGTACAATAATATGTAATATGTAATAATACTCACCGACACTTAAAGCAAAAAAAAAAGTGAGATCAAAGATCTTTAGAGATAAACAGGGACTTTAAATTTGGGACATCATGTTTGGCAAATAAGTCAAGGATGTAAAAATGATAAAATCAGTTTTCTTAAACTATTTTGGCAAATTACAAGGACAGAAAAGACAGCACTTTGAATCTGTGAGTTTGTGGTCATGGTGGTGTTAAATCTTGGTATTAATATGAAGTTTGAATTTTGCCCTTTTTTTCATGTCAGAACTGGGACGTTTTCCAGGAGATCACAGAGCTCTTCATCCTGGTCCCTGCTGTATTAGGCATGAAGGGCAACCTGGAAATGACTCTGGCCTCCAGACTCTCAACCGCTGTGAGTTTGTTATCACTCACTCACTCACTCACTCACTCACTCACTCACTCACTCACTCACTCACTCACTCACTCACTCACTCACTCACATGCACGAATGAGAGAGAGAGAGAGAGTGAGAGAGAGAGAGAGAGAGAGAGAGAGAGAGAGAGAGAGAGAGAGAGAACAAGGGACTCTGATGCACAGCCCTAATACCATGAGATTTGGGCCATTGGGTAAAGTATTGATAAAAATAGATTTTGATTGGTAAATCCTTAAAAGCCCATATTTAATTGAAAATAGTGTGAAGGCAACAGATCAGGTGTCGAAACCCAAATGTCTGGTCTTTTAATGATTATATTTGTTCTCATTTTAGACGATTTCAGCAGAACATTTTTAAAAGCAATCAATCAATCTCAATCATATGAGCCACTTTTAAAATGCAAAAGACTTCAATATTTTAGAAATGTTGTCACCTCCTCACCTGATATGAGGTTCTGGGTGCTCAGCAGTTTCCTGTACTTGTGTTATAACGCACCAGATGTTTTCAAAGGCTGGCAAGTCAGAACTGCAGACAGGTCAATTTTGTAACCAGTCTCTTCTATTACAGAGCCTTGCTGTTGCAACACATGCGAAATGTAGTTTGACATCTTCCTGATGTGCTCTACAAGGTTTTCCTTAAAAGAAGCATTATGTGGATGCATATGTTGCCCCAAGATCTGCGTTAAAAGTTCAACTCAGCATTGATGGTGCCTGCCCAGATGAGTAAGCATGTTGTGTGCACTTAAGCATCCCCAAACCGTCATGGCTGCTGGCTTTTTAAGTGTGTGCTGAAGAAAAGCACAGTGGTGGCTCTCCTCTTTACATTAAAAGTGTAATGTCCATGTGTGTTTCATAAAACAATCAATTTTTTTACTTTGAAAATTTGACTTGTTGTCTCTGTCCTATTCTCAAATACATACAGTATATACTTTAAAGGGTCTTTAAACCATCCAGTTCTGCTTTTATCAACATTTTGCACAGCACACCAACTCTTATGAAGTTGGGGTTCACCTAAAGTTACCTCAGTGCAGAATATAGTTTGATAGATAAAATGAATGAATGATTGATTACTAAACAAGTTGGGCAGAGGAGTTGATGTGAGGTGAGAGTGAATATAATGAAGGTTATCCACAGGGGAACTACAAACTCTTTCTCAGAATTATATTTTTGCTCTCTTGCATCAGGGGCCTCTGCCTTTGTGTGAAACTCCTCACAGACCTGTGAACACCGCAGCTGCAGATACACTTGCAATGTAATATCCTGCAGAGACAAAACAATGCTTACAGTATTCAAACTGGTCAGATAGTCACACTCAGATAAACAAAAGGTTTGTCTAAGAAGAAAGAGATGTAACACTAAACTGTGAGAATGGACCCAAATGCAAGACTCTATACCCAGATCCAAAGTTACAAACCTGGAAGGCACATGAAGGCAGCAACTGAGACTATCTGAAACAAGAGTCGTGGGTAAACCCAACATAAAATCGCAATCACAAGGCATAACACATGAGGGAAGGAAGTAGAACAACTTAACTACCAAGAAACATGAACATGATAATACATTTACCATTATTGGAATAAAGTATAATGAAAAATACCCCGTAATCCTGTTGTTGTCTGCTATCAATAATGACTCTTCTCTTGAAAGCTATGAAAATAAAGCTTGTAGTCAGATTTAAGAACCCAGAATAGATTTCCCATATGAAATTTAGAGTTCTTTAAGCATGTAAACTGTGTGAAAGACTAGCTTCTTTGAAGTTTCTGAAAACGTGAACAATATTGGGTTCATATTTGATGTGGTTAAGCTTGAAGTTAACATGAAGCTGATGGTTTCAGGTGAATTCAGGAAAAATGGGCTCTGCCAGAGAAAAGTGGATGTTGATTGCTGGGAATTTGGCGCTCAAACAGGTATCTGGAATCAACTTTTTCTTTAAATGAAAAATTACCCTTTCAATGTTTCATTTCTATCATGAGCTGTTCATGGGTATACTTGTCTGAATATGAACTGTTACCTCTACAGCTACAGGCCACAGTGCTCGGTGTGTTAGCCTCTCTACTGGCCACTTTGTTGGGCTGGATGGCAGAAGGACAGATGCCCCTTGATCACATCATGCTCCTGTGTTCAACCAGTATTTCTACTGCCTTCGTGGCCTCACTGCTGCAAGGTAAGGTGACACCTTTAACACTAAAGTTAACCTTTTTATACACTGGGTTTCCACGTTTATCACGCACTTGCACCAAACAGTCAAATACAGCATTGGCTCCAGAGAGGGCTTTATGGATATGTTTTTAAGTGCCCCATATGGGTTAAAAGTGACAGACATTTTGGCTTCACCTTGCCTCATATTCTCTCAGGTATTATAATGGTAGGAGTGATTATTGGCTCCAAGAGGATGGGGCTCAACCCTGACAACGTGGCCACACCTATGGCAGCCAGCTTTGGGGACCTCATCACTCTCGCCCTGCTGGCCTGCTTCAGTCAGTGGTTCTTCTCCTTCATAGGTAAAGACATGGACGAGGAGGACAATCAAATGGTCCTTTTGATGTAAACGCATATATAAGGGACAAAGACAAGCTTTAGATTGATTCCTGTTTGCTTAAATTACATCTTTTTGCTTGACAGATGTTTATCCCTACGTGTTGTATCTGGTGGATCTGTTATTACTGTGTCTGATCCCTCTGTGGGTGATCATCGCCTCTAAACATTCAGCCAGCCTCATCCTGCTCCGCACAGGCTGGGAACCCATCATTACAGCCATGGTCATCAGCAGGTACTCCGTTTTGCTCATCTGTCCAGTCTGACAGCAAATGATTTTTATCAGCTGATGTTTTAAAAGGTACAATGCAAAAGATGACACTGAGATAATTGTTTTTTAATCGATTTAGCCGTCAATAAATCTTATGAATAATTAAACAAATGGGAATAACATTGTCTCTTTTCTAGCTTGTTAGAATTATCTTTTATTTCTAAAACACTTTTTCTTCAAGGGTTTCTGGTTTACCAATTTGTTTTGCCATTTGAAGAGCAAGCTTTTTTTTTATTTTTTTTTTTTTATTTAGTATCGGAGGCCTTATTCTGGAAAAGACTGTGTCTGATCAAAACCTGGCAGGAATCATAGTTTATGCTCCTGTCATCAATGGTAGGTCGTCCTCTTCTTCTCTTCATTTTTTCAAGATTTCATGATTTTAAAACTCTGAATCATTCATAATGAAAAATACTCAAATGATGTAATGTGTCAATACAATCTTCTATTTTTCAAGCATGTGTGAATTCCATACTGACTTCACTTCGGGGCATGAAAAAGCAATTGGAAAAGAGTTGGTCTTTCAGTTTAAAGTTTTAGTAGTGTGTCTCATACATTATCATATATTAGTAAAAGGTTTAGTGCTCTACAAAGAGGTTTTTCATCAAGTTTTAAACAGATTTATTTCTGTTATAACCATGCTGATTACTGTTGCTTTAACCTGAGTTTTATTTTTGGTCCCTTTATGCCTTTGTGGAGAAAGATGGGACAGTGGATAAAAATAGAAAACCGCAAAGATGTGTAAACTATTCATGCCACAAGCAGAGCATGGTGTCCATGATTTGATTTGTCAGACCGCAGGATAGTTTTCCACTTCATCTTAGTCCATCTCAAATGGGCACAGGACCAGAGAAAGCATTTCTGCATCATATTTATACTACTGTGTATGATTTTTTCTATGTGGTGTAGTATTAACCTGTGATACAGTAATGAACTGTTTACATTAGTTTGGGGCAGTGAGTTTTAGCCCATGCAGTGATTTTCACCACAGAGTCATGTGTGGTTTTAACAAAGTGACACCAGAGGATAGTGAACAGAGCAGAAAAGTGTAAAGAGAAGTGCAAAGAGTCCACAAAGCCCCTCTGTTCACCTTCCATAATATATATTTTTCCTCTTCAGGTATAGGGGGGAACCTCGTCTCCATCCAGTCCAGTCGTATTTCCACAAGTTTGCATTTAAATTACCCACATAGAGAGGTTCCCGAAGACAGGCAGAGTTGCTACAACCCCTGCCGAACTTTCTTTGGTACAGGTAAATCTCAGGAGTTCAAACATGTCGTTGGGGGCAGCTTGGTAACCTTGGTAACACACATATCTTCCCCCAGCACACATGCACACAATAACGTTTTATTGTTTTTTTTCTGTGATGGCAGGAGCAAACCATCGATCAGCTCAGGTTTTACTCCTCTTGGTCATACCTGGTCAGCTGGTCTTCATATACACCATTCACCTGATCAAGGGGGGCCACACTCTGCCCAGTCCTCTCTTCACTGTCACCTTCCTGTCTGCATCTCTGATTCAGGTGGGTCTTAAGTGTGGTCATTTAAACTCTCCATACTTCATCACTATTCAACGATATCACTCCTGTGTGTGTCTCTCAGGTTTCCTCCCTGCTGTGTATGGCTGACTGCATGGTCCACTGTCTGTGGCGGAGGGGTAAAGACCCGGACAGTTATTCCATACCTTACCTCACAGCACTTGGAGATCTGTTAGGGACCACTCTGCTGGCTCTGTCATTCCTCATCCTGTGGTGTGCTGGAGACTCAGGCAGTGTGTAGTTTCAATGCAATACAACCCTAACCACATGGGATACTTTTCATCTGTTTGCTCTGTTCTGTTTCAAATTTGTCATGATTTTATAATTGGAGCCGCTTTGACACCAAAAGAATAGTTACAGGGGCTTCTTCATGGTATTAAAATGTCACTTTGGCCCATTGCTGTCTGCATTTCCACACAGGTCAAAGAACTGGGACAAAAAAGTGAAATAAATGAATTTACATGTCGAGGATTCCTCTGAATAAAGAGTCTGAGTATTCAGCACTGCGATACTTTGAAAAGACTTCCTCTCTTGCATGGATCTTTTGGGAGAACAGAGGACTCTGAGGATTTTATTTGGACTCTCTATTTTTAAATTAACACAAGTGTATTTAGCTATAACACTCATTGTCTGCGAAACTAAAGATATGTTACTTTTTAGTCATAGAACTGGAAATGTTTCACAGTTGGACAACACAATTTGTTTCTGAGAAAAGGTTTTATTTTTTTTAAAGCAAAACTTTCCAGGCTTTTGTGCTTTTTATCAAAGAGGAGAGGACAGTGGACAGAGGGGCTGACATTTGGGAAAGTGGCCACAGGTTGGCTGCCCAATCGAGGACTAAAGCCTTTGTACGGGGCACACTGCTTAACCACTCGGCCGAACAAACATCCTCACGATCATTTTTCAGTCAGAGGCAGTTTCTTTGAGAAAGGGATGCTGTGTGAAATTTACAATTGGATCCCAGCACCGCATTTACAAGTTGTTGGGACAGTGGCATGTTTACTATTGTGTTTGATCACCCTTCTTATGGGAATCCAGGAGATCAGTTTCTGGAGTTTTAAATGTGAAACGTTGTTCCATTCTTGCCTTATATAGAATTACAGGTGCTGAACAGTTTGGAGACTTCTTAGTTGTAATTTTTGTATCATAATGCATCCAATGTTTTCAACTGGTGACAAGTTTAGACTGTACATGGATTTTGCATTGGATTCATGTACAACAGAACTATGCTTTTATAACACATGAAGGATGTAGTTCCTAATCATCTCATTGAAATACTCAAGGTCTCTCTTGAGAAAGGCATTGTCTGGATGGCAGCTTGTGTTGCTACGTAACTTTGACATACCTATTGATTAGCATTAACACTGTGTTCCCAGCTGTGTTAGCTACCTGTGCCAACAGCAGAGCTGATGACTTCATGTCCATGATTTGATATGTCAGACCACAGGACCATTTTTCACTTCATCTCAGTCCATCTCAGGCCTAGAGAAACTACTGGCACTTCTGGATCATATTGATACTACTGTATATGATTTCCTCTTTGCATGGTACAGCAATGAACTGTTGACAGACTGTGTTTTTTTTTTCTTTATTTCCTCCCGAGTCATATCTGATTTTATTGAGGTGCTGCCAAAGTGCCTTAAGATCTCTAGTGTTCAGTTTCAGCTTTGCCTCTTTGGTACAGATTTATTCAGTTTCTCTGAATCTTTGATGATATTATGTACTGTAGATAATGCCATTAAAATCTTTGCAATTTTATTCAAATTTTGATATTTTTGAACTGTTAGCTCACACAGTCTCTCACACAGGGGTGAACCTCTTCACATCTTAATTCCTATGAGCCTCAGTCTCTATTAAATACCTGTATCACAGCCAGCCCCGGGATCATTTTTTACTCTATGAAATTGGGGTTGTGTTACTTGATACATTCCCTTGCTTAAACTCAATATTTTCAGTTATTTCTTCAAATCTTATGCCTGTTTACTTCTTAGTAAAAGTATGTCCAAAAGTTTCCCTGGGAGTAGAAAAGATGAGACAGTACAAACAGAAAAACCCTACCTTGATGTGGGACTTGTGAGAATAATATTTACAATCTTCTTATGTTGGTGTTGTGCAAAATATTAAAGATTGATTTTAAGTAGAATTATTTAAATAAACATAACTTTGTCATAATCAGTGTCTTATCTGTTAAGATACATATTGATTTAAATTTTTCCCTCACAGTGAAATCTAAAGTTAGAGCAACCCTTAAAATGCATTTTCATTTTTAGAACCAATTCAATAGGATGTTGAGTCTACACGCTGTACCCAGTGGTCACCACTAGAAGGCAATAAAAAAACTGACACACTGTAGTGTAGTTGAAACAATTTTATTTCATGAAAATATTAACCATTGGCACTTAATTTACTCTGTTAAAATCAACGTTTAAAATCTTTTTAACCATGAAAATAAACAATATTAGTCCAAGATTGTTGGACCAAACCATGTGGAAACAAATGGTTCTGTTACAGCAGATAATCTGACCACTTTCAAATTTATGTTGGTTTTTACATTTACTTTGCCTGCTTGTGTGACAGTCCACCAGAGAAAACATGAAACAACACTTAACAATGAAATTAACTCCAGTCTAAAAACCTCACTCTAACTAAACTGGATGGAGCTGTGAATAGCAGGCGTGGAGACAGGAGGGGCTGTTTACTTCCTTTAACCTAGACTTTTTTCAGAACAGCAGAACTAAACTGCAATTTATCCTCATCCACTCAACAGCTCCAAATATGTAATAAAAATGAGGGATTTGTCCTGAAACAGAGCAGTCTGTGTGTTGAACAGTGTCGTTAATGATTCAAATTGAGCAAATAAACTCTGACCCTCTCCTGTCTTACAAAGCTGTAATGTGGAATTACCGATTCATTTTTTAACCAGGACCAGGGTGATAAACTGCCATCACAAAAACAAAGAAAATAACTCTGAAAGAAATCTAGTCTTTTAGTTTGCGTGTTTTTGAATGAGTAAAGGTGGCCAATATCTTAAAATCAAGAGACCAGCAAGAGAAGACTGGACTAAGTCGAAAACCGAACACAAGTACAAAAACACAAGTTATCAGGAGGTGCTGCTGTAACAGAACCAGAAAGCACACACACAGAGCTTAATTACACAACCATAAAAAAATAAACATTCTCCAAAATTGTACAGCATAAAAGCAAGGCTGAGGGCTCCACAACAAGTCATCCAAACAAGGCTCATTTGTTTCTGGATCAGCCAGACTGCATTTAAAGATGCCGCGGTTTCCACCGCATCATCAAGTGGGAACATATACAGTGTGTATACTTTCATTTATGTCTGCATATACAACTACACCTCGAAACATGTATGCACAGTGCAATGCCACACACTGAACTTTTACACAAGACAAAACTTGGATGTTTACCAAAATTAAAGCTGCAATGATTAAGCAATTAGTTGGCAAGCTTTAAATTTAGTGAGAACCATTTTGATCATCTGTATCAGATAATTTATCTGTGGAGGTCTTCCAAATAATCAATATTTATAATCATTTGAAAGCCAAAACAACTAACTGATCAATCCAGAAAGCTCTAATGTTGATTAACTGTAGTGGTTTGGTGAGGGATTACATCTAGGGCTTCAAAATCCTGCTCACAAGTCTCTACACCTGGTGGGTGCTGAACTCTTATAGACTGTTTTACCATCTGTGTGAAGTCAGCTCAGGAGTCTCTGAACATGACCTCCCCTCATTGTATTACATTTTTTATTCCCATGTCTTCACTTAAGCCTTAATCTCAACATTCAAGCTTCGATCAGATTTGTTGCATATTTACAAACACTTGTGAGAAAATTGCTATAGATGTCATAAAACTGAAGTGAAGCTTGTGAAGTACAGGGTGGGAAGAATTTAAGCCATCTTTGGTTTGGAGGGTTAGAGAAATTCTTTGCAGGTTTAGAGGAAAACCAGTGAGTTCAGAGTGTGTGTGCTGCAAATCTGAACACATTTAACACTTAAACTAGACCACCAGCTCCCAGGAAACTCCTTTGAATGACAGCAAAAAATGAAAATGAAGCTGCAGCTCAGAGGCTGAAAAAGAAATTTCAATGCATTCAGGGTTGCAGGCATATCTGGTCATGTTAGAGCCTGATTACAATGTCAGACGAAGAAAAAGATATTTCCACTTTAAATGTGTTGTGGAAAACTATCAGCACCAAAATGAAAATAAACCCCCAAGAAAAGTTTCTGACACCAGATTGTGGATTAGAATATTCTAAGACACTGGAAAACCAGGGCCCAGATGACTTTTGGGGGGGTATTTCTTTTAGTTCTAAGATTTCTCCAGTAATTGCTTCTGGTGGTGGCTGATTATGAGCTGTTATTCTACCCAGCAGAAAACAGGAGTTGCTGGTCCACCGTTGGTTACACACAAAAATAAAAACAAAACAGCCTTGATAAAAGGCTCGGATTAAATAAAAGATACCAGACTTGAACACCAATAGTAAAAAAAAAAAATGTTTAGGTAGACCATCAACTCCTAAATCCTGCAGATTACGAACTGGATTGTAGTGTGTGAGAAAGCCTCCATATGTGTAGGGGTCCTTTCTGTAATGCTGTCAGAAAATGACGGCATTAAAAATGAGAACTTTCAGTGGTAGATTCTGATTGGCCACATTTCCCAAAGTACTCGACTGAGGCCAGTATTGCTCATTAAGCTGCTGCACACTTAAATCATCTATTTGAGCGCTTCAAACACATGCATGCCTGTTTGACAGCAAATCATTTTCAGCGTTATAAAGTTGCCTGTTAATCGATTCAATTTAAAGCTGTTCTGTGTCACCCTTATAATTACATACTAATTTCATGTTAGACAGAGATGTAGTATTCAAGTTTGAAAACTTGTGGGAACCCAGGGTTTGCAGCTTATTTACCGATGCTGGGCTTTCTTGAAAGCTGATCCAAAGTCTGATAAAATAGAAAAAACTGGCATCTTCAAAGTAAATGGAGCTGAACCATGAGGCTGATGGCAGATTCATCTCTTGTTGATTACAATAAATAAGAAGCTTTTTTTTATCCAAAGAAAGTTAAAACAGATATTAAATCAAAACACAAACAAAATCACAAAATGGTGACTCCTACCAACAACATAAAATAATACAATTTTAGAAGTTTACATCCATGTTGCTCATCTGAAACCAATTTAAACGACTTGTCATCCACCAAAAGCGACCGAAACCTAAGCAGCAAGTGAAGACTGAGCCCATAACAACAATGAGGGAGTGCACTTCAGTTCAAACATTTTTTTCTACATCTTGTGCAGAAAAATAAACCAGAAATTCATGTTTGGTCTTAAAGATTAAAAAGCTACAAAGACCTGGAAATAATTTAGAATATATATACAAATGTCACAACATGACAGACCTGTAAAACAAATGATCATTCACAGACATAAAAAAGGTGTTCCCGTATTTGGGTTTGTTCAGTAATCTTAGCACACTGATGCCCCATGTTCAATCCTCTGGTCTGCTCGGACACATACGAGAGATGAGAACGAAAACAGAAGATATTCTCAGAACCTAAATCTACAAAACCTGCCTACCTGTGTCATCATAAAGCTTGAAGGGAAAGCATTTCCCTTCCCAGGTGCTTCAGACTTATTTGTCATTGAAAAGAAAAAACACAGGCAGTTGGACCTTAACTCCTTTGAACTAAAAATTGAGGAAGAACAAAAGGAGCAGCAAGAGACAGTCCTGAAGATAAAAACCACTTTGGAAGTTAGAAAATAGAAATTAAGGCCTCCAAGGGAAACAGCCAGGATCTTGCATAAAACCATCAACCCCCCCCTTCCATTTCTCTATATCTCTGCACTCATTGCATGGAGCCGGACCAACAGTCACAGAGACAAACAAACACACATAAACACACACAGATCCCCTGAGAAAGGTTAGTGTCATCCCACTGCTAACCCGTAACCCCGGCAACAAGAGAGCGTAGCATTCTGCTGCCTTCACATTAGAGAAAGTTATTTAAATGATGACCATTTAAGATGTGTTTTTCTTCACTTTGGACTCATCTGAGGACATGTTTTGAAGCAAACAGCTCACATTGTGTGTTGTGATGTGAACGCAGCATTGTGCTGTCCTGCAGTGGACATCATTATGTCAGAAGGCTTAGTGCTGCTCATGAAACAACAGCTTACACTCTGTAAAAGTCTTATCTGGTCCTCATCCACAAGTAGGGGAACCTGACTGGTTTCCATGTGTCTTGGGGTTTGACAGGAATCAAGTCTTGTTACCATGACAAACTCCCGTCCCGTTTAGGAGAAGGTGCGACTGCTGACAGACTGAACTGGCAGCATCTGGGGCCAGGCAGACTGGCCTCGGTGCTGCTAAAGGGTGGCGAGTACCCTGAGGAAGGAGATGACGAGGACACAAAACGACTGTCCGACACCGAATACAAGAGCCTCCAGAGAGATCATCTTCTTCCCTGCTGCTTTGTACACTCCTGCTATGGCTGCACCTGAGGAAAGATGAACACACACATTCATATTTAGCAGGAGCTTAAACTGATTGTGTGAAAGGATTGGCAGCTCTTTACTTGTTCTGCAGAAATATGAGACAGTGGTAATCAACTCTTGTAAATGATCACACTGAGAGGCATTTTTAGTACATATCAAGCAGACTAGGCTGTTTATTTAACAGAAGTTGGACAGATAGGATATATAACCTGGATGATTACTACAGTAGTTTATGAGCTGGACATCACAGCTGTAATGTGGAATTACTAATTCCACAAGAGGAGGGGACAGAGACACAGAGGGTGTTTTCAATCAGCAGGTACATTAACCCAGATATATGCATCTGCAACATTACAGCTCCATATTGGACAGCCTACTCACAGATACCTATTCCTGGATAAATGTATTTCATCTTTCATCGCTGAACTGTGTTATTTAGAGCAGTGGTTCTCAAGTCCAGTCCTCGAGGCCCACTGTCCTGCATGTTTTGGATGTTTCCCTGCTCCAACACACCTGATCCAAATGATCAGCTCGTTATTAAGCCATTACAAAGCTTGATAACGAGCTGATCATTTGAATCAGGTGTGTTGGAGCAGGGAATTTGGGGACTTCAAACACACATGAACATGACTTGGACAAGACTTACTGGTCAGGATGCCCCCACAGACTGGTCCCACAATACCCATTAGTAAGATGGCTATGGGCATAAAGCGGGCCATCTTGTGCTGTCGCAGTGTAGCAAGGGAGAGCAGAGCTGCAGGCAGGTGGAAGACCAGAGAAGACACTGCCGTCCAAAGAAACACTCCATACCACATCTCTGCACAAACACACAAAAAATACAGTTACACTTCACTTCATATGCCATTTCAGAGTGCTGGGGCACTAAACACAAATAGGTTGGACCACTCAAGTGTTAAATTGTGTAATACTAGTTTCTCTCTCCAGCTTTCCTTTATGGAGTGATGAATCTTTGCATTTGTACAAAGACACCTGTAATACTTCAATTCATGATGCACAGCCTCACTGTGTCATTTGTTTAGGAAAAAAAAAACTGTATGATTGACTTATGTTATGGTCTCTGTAAAAGGACAGCCTTAACTCTAACCAACAGTAATAAACATATCTTCCCTTCTCTGACCTAAATATTGAATCTTAGAGTGCAAAATTTACTCCTCCAGGTACTAAGAATGTTCCAGAAACAACATCCAGAAACGCCGCCGGCTTCTCTGGGCCCGAGCTCATCTAAGATGGACTGATGCAAAGTGGAAAAGTGTTCTGTGGTCTGACGAGTCCACATTTCAAATTGTTTTTGGAAATAGTGGACGTTGTGTCCTCCGGGCCACAGAGAACCACCCGGACTGTTATCGTTGCAAAGTTCACAAGCCAGCATCTGTGATGGTATGGGGGTGCATTAGTACCCAAGGCATGGGTAACTTACACATCTGTGAAGGCAACATTAATCTGAAAGGTACATACAGGTTTTGGAGCAACATACAGTATGCTGCTATCCAAGCAACGTCTTTTTCATGGACGCCCCTGCATATTTCAGCGAGACAATGCCAAGCCACATTCTGCACGTGTTACAACAGCGTAGCTTTGTAGTAAAAGAGTGCAGGTACTCGACTGGCCTGCCTGCAGTCCAGACCTGTCTCCTATTGAAAATGTGTGGCGCATTATGAAGCGTAAAATACGACAACGGAGACCCCGGACTGTTTAACAACTGAAGCTGTACATCAAGAAAGAATGGGAAAGAATTCCACCTTCAAAGCTTCAACAATTAGTCTCCTCAGTTCCCAAAGGTTTATCGAGTGTTGTTAAAAGGAAAGGTGATATAACACAGTGGTACACATGCCCCTGTCCCAACTACTGAGGCACGTGCAGCTGCCATGAAATTCTGAGTTAATTATTATTTGCGAAAAAAACAAAGTTCATGAGTTTGAACATTAAATGTCTTCTTTGTTGTATATTCAATTGAATATAGGATGAAAAGGATTTGCAAATCATTGTATTCTGTTTTGATTTATGTTTATCACAATTTCCCAACTTCAATGGAATTGGGTTTTGTGCAACGATCACCTGTCTGATCATGTTCACACAATCTCGAAATACAGAGGCTTTCTGGAAGTAAAGTTTAGGGCGCAGATGTTGGGTTGCATCAGGTTGCTCAGGTGGACGAAATTCATGTGTTGGTGCTGTTGTGTCACTCTGGATCTTATGTAACCACAAACACTAATCTGAAATGTTTCCACTGACAAAGCTACATCGTCATTTAATCTCAGAGAAGTGTAGCTTTGGATAGTTTTATAAACCACAACGTGGTAAACTCATAACCTTTTTCAGAAAACAAACAATTAACAATCAAGAATGCACATATTCAACATTATTGACAACGACCACTCAACGAAGCCGTAAATGATAGTAGTAAAAATCCAAGTTTACGTTAAAATCTCGATAAATATTAGCTTCATCTGGTTTGCACCTCAGTAACACATCGCTACAGAAACAGGTTTGGATAAAGACAGGAAGTAAGCTAGCTAACGTTAGCTTCACTGATATACAATACCTGCACCATGCTAACTCTAATAAACCAACAATCAAGTACTCATCTGAAGATTATGAAGACACGTTAACATTAGGAAGTTTTATTTACTTCCCATATCGGTTTCAGTGAAACATAATGGACAATAGTACGCCCCCCGCTTTATATAATATGAGCTTTCTATCCGAATAGCTATCAAACATTAGCCCACCTGAGAAGTCGTCCAGAGATGTGTCGTTTCCTCGGTGTGTACCATTTTTTCTCGGCACGAAATTATAACCGTGTAATTGCTGGGCGAAACCTGTCTCACTATACCTGTCCTGCATGTCTCACACTGACGGAAAACACTACATGAATGTAAGATGGCTAGCGGACGGGGGGAAACCATCAGTGTCGGTGAGGGACTTGCCTTGACGCTAGACCAAATAGCATCAGGCTATATCTGCGCTAACTGTCAACACAACTTCCAGTGACGTCGGCAAGGAGGGAGCCCACGATCCCCCTCAGTTTGGACTGTCAGGCAACAGCGACACCAGCGGGTCTCACAGGAAACTCCGCTGAGGCACACTATAGGGTCAATAAAAATATGAGTTAAATAGGAGGGTAGAATGGGGTAAGTTGAGCCACCCCCTGTTGCTTGGAAATGGTCAAAGAAATTGATCATGTGACCAAATATTTAGGAGATGGGCATCAATTCATGGAGTTTGTGGAGGTTAGAAGCACATGGGTGAAATCACTTAAAGGCATTCTCATGTTAAAAATGTTTTTTTGTTTTTTTTTTTTAAATAAAACAGCTTTTTAGCAGTTATATGCGATAATGAAAATAATTATTGTACCAGTTGAATAGTGTATAATAGATAAAAATACACATAAATGTGAAGAAGTGACTGTTATTCAGGGAGAGAGAAGGTGAGGAAAGGCTGGGGTGGAGAGTAGGGATACAGCTCAACTTAGCCCATACAAGGGGAAAATTGAGCATAGGAGACCACTTTTATTTGGCATGCTATATTATGAAGACAGTTCTGTTTACGCACATTCTGTTGGTTTGCAGGGATGCACAGCATCTTGAAATATATGCAGATACACTAGTTAGAGACAAAACTATGATTGTCTTGATGTAGTGATCTGAAATATGAAAAATAACTCATCTTACCCCACTCTCCCCTACTGTTGGGGATCTAATCTGTATGATCTGATTAACTCACGGTAGAAGGGCTGTCAAAGTATACAAACCCCATAAAACATTTCACATTAACCTTGTCGAACAAAGTTCATACAATTCTTAGTGCAAATTTAATGTTTTTTTAGGATAATGCAATAAATGTCAACAACTTCAGCTGTGAAAATGAACCAGCAGATGTTTGTATTTCAAACAGAAGTAGATGAGTTAGTGGTACAAAGAGACAAATTTGATTTAATGTGCTAACTTTTTTTTTTTTTTTTTTGCAATTCCTTAATAGGCATAAAAATATGCTCAATCCCCTTTCAATTAAACTTACCACCTAACTTTGAATATCAGCTTTTTATTGAATGTGATAGCTACATTTAAGAATTTTGCAACTTTTGTTTGTTTTCAAAAGGTTGTCACTTACAGTTCATGAAACTGTGCTATAATCCTGTTCACAAAGTACATTTAAGTTTAAGTTTAGTGCTATAGTTATTAGAATAAGATGTTTGGTAAGTTTAGTGTGAAGAAATCTAGCCTGGAAAATACACGCAAGTGCGCTATGACTAGTTTTAAGATATCACATTATGTCTTCAGCTGAACAGCTCTTCATTGTGTTCAGAGGTCAATCCAGGGCAATGGGCTCTATACACAGCTCCACTACTTCCTGAATTTAAGGCAGCTCCTCCATTTCCTGTCTTACATTATTGGACAAACTGATTAATCCAGGTGTGTCTGATCTCTGTGACTACTCAGACACACCTGGATTAATCAGTTTGTCCAATAATGTAAGACAGGAAATGGAGGAGCAACCATAAGTTCAGGAAGTAGTGGATTGGTGCATAGAGCCAATTTAGCGCTACAGTAAAAAAATCTTTAACCATAAGGTGCAGAACATAAAAATCTAGTATCCCAAACAAGTGTTTCTGTTCTTTACAGGGAGAAAACTTATCCAAGTTACAACTGCAGATCATGAGGGAACTGGCCCTGGGTACCAAGAACTGCTGTATTTACTCAGGTACACGACTACACCTGAGAAACCTCAAAGCCCTATGCTAATATTGCAGATGTAAAGTGTAATGGTGTACACTACATATTTTTGATGAAACATACTGATCAAAAATTAGCAGTTAAGTCTTTTTAAAAACTAACTTTTCACAGTCTAGAACTTTTTTATATATTTGTAATACTCCACATGACTTCAAACAAAACCCAATTTGGAAACACACAACAGCTTCCCTTACTTTTAATCCAAATATCTACAGTTTAAGAAAAAAGTTACCCACCTTCCTCAGGTTTCCCAGGACTGAAGTGGCAAAGAAATCAGGATGACCAGTCAATCCATAACTGCCTCAGATAACAGCTCACATCAAATGGGATTCAGATACCAGTAAAACATTCATGAAACTCCTCAGACACATCAGAATTAGAGGAGTGTCAAAAGTGAAAATAACGGGAATCCTGGAGTTTTAGGGATGTGAAAGAACCAACTTTTTTACTGTGATGGTTGGCCTTGTGACAAGAGGCCTCAACAAACCTTAAGTTAACTGAAAACCTGATAAATCATCCTAAATCAGATAAAGCCTTCTGACATTTTCAGCCGCAAGATAACCTAAGGTTACAAACTTGGTTGATTTTAACCCAAAGAGAGCGAAAAGGCTACTCTAGCATGACATACTGTATCTCTGCATTGTTAAATTTAACTGAATATTCAGTTATAAAGTAGAAAAAACGCAAAAGATTCCCTGCCTGTCAGAACCAAATAGTTATTTTTTTCTTTTGCATTTTTCAACCACAACAATTGGTCCTTTTCTCTGTAATGGTTAAGCACATGACATCTTGGTCTGTCAGCTTCATGTGGCGATGGTGACCAAACACGAGCCCCTAGCACAGTGGTTCTCAAGTCCAGTCCTTGAGGCCCACTGTCCTGCATGTTTTGGATGTTTCCCTGCTCCAACACACCTGATTCAAATGATCAGCTCGTTATTAAGCCATTACAGAGCTTGATAACGAGCTGATCATTTGAATCAGGTGTGTTGGAGCAGGGAAACATCCAAAACATGCAGGACAGAGGGCCTCGGGGACTGGACTTGAGAACCACTGCCCTAGGTGACATAAACAGAGGCTGCTACAAAATGACTGGGTACATTCATGAGCTCTTTCAAAAGTGTGATATCTAAGCAAATTACAATAAATAAAGCAAATCCTGAGATTTGTAGAATAATCATGTATTCAAATTGACGATAGCCCCTTAAAGATGGTATCATAAATGATCCACCTAAACAAGACTTCTCTGATTTATCTTCACTGTGAAACACACAGGTCTGGTAGTGTGTTTTAGTGGCTAATGAGAAGAAAAATCCCAAACAAATCCCACATTTTTGTCACACTGTGAATGCTGTTGACAGTGCATTGCTGACTATGACATTTCCCAAAGGCAGAGTTTCACTGTTTACTGTACAAAATAATCTACCAATGTCTGTAGTTGCTGTCTGACCCTCTGATAGGCTTCCTGATTTTGAAACAAAATCTTAAAAAGGTGCCGTTGTATGTCTAAAAACAAAATAACAGGAACATACAGTTTGAACACATAAATGAATGTATCAAACAAAGCTCTCATTGGATAAATTCAGATTGTAATGTGACAGATTTACACTAGACTCTATAAGTCTGATTCATCTTGAAGGTTTGTTTGATTTTCCTTCATGTTGGCTGCATTTATGATCTCGGTAGCTGCCCTGCTTTAGCCACTTAAAGAGAAACCCTATACCTTTTCTTTCACCTGGACTGTATTTGTACATTGTGGTGATTTGAATGGCAACAAGGTGCCAGCAAAACTTTTGGAATTGCCTCTCCAGGTTGTTCTCTACCAGCAACAGTGAAATATGCCTGTAATGGCTGTTGCATGACTTACCAAACACACTCAATTGAAGTACATTCGCAATAAGCAATCCAGTGAAACAATTCCAAAGTTATATGTGCCTAATAGTGATAAAGACTCCACAATAAGTTCAATAGAGTCCATTTCCTGGAATCGCAGCTATTCCCACGTCAGAAGACATCTCCACTCTGCAACTGCAAAAACCCTGAAGAAGAAACCCTGACCAGACAACATCTGGTCTGTAATGCACTTCAGATGTCAAGGAGTGTTGGGAAAAAGAAGAGGACGGGTGGTTCTGAATAATTTTAGTTGGGACTAAAAACACAAGCTCAGAATGCATTTACAGCTCCCAGTTTAGGCTGTGTGACACCATACTAGGTCTCTCCAATAAGGCCTTCTAGCTGCGAGGTAAGAACCCACTTAGCATGAATGCAGCCCGCCAGAAGGGGAGAAGGTGTGTTGGTATGGCTCTTTAGTAACAAAACATCATCTTGCTCTCATAATAAATAAAAAAATTATATCAGAAAAGGCTTGTCAAATCTTACTCAATGCATAAGAATACAAGAGAAAAACATTTACAAATAATACCTGCAGCAAAATAAAACTTTAAGTGTGATTTCAATTGTGGTTCAATCATTGGGAGCAGCTCTACTCAGAGACACAGACCAGTGGTGGGTGAGGATTTCAATAAAGCAACTGCTGTATTAAGTGTCAGACTGTTGGATGCAGAATAACAGATCCTGCAGGCAACAGCAGCTCAGAGGTCGCCAGGGTGACCAATCAGCTTCTCCTGTGGTAAGTCATCGTATGTTTCTGTATACATTTTTCTTTTTATAAAATATTTTATTCATACAATCATTTCTTTAACTATAGCAACATTACTATTTTAATTTTGAGTGGCAAGTTATCAGTCGCACATCACCTCATAAGAACAATAGTATATAAACAAATGCTGAAAAAAATTATTCTGTATCCGTTTGGGTACATTTTTCTTTGCAGTTCGTTCTGTGTCTGTACACCTGTTTGTTTGTCTGTCTGTCTGTCTGTCTCTCTGTCAGTGATGAGCTGAGGGGGGGTATTGCTGGTCCTGGTGGGGGGATCATATGATTGGTACAGCTCTGAGCAGTGGTCTCCGCTAGCTGGTCAGGAGGAGGGCCCTGCGTGGCAGAACAGGCTGGCTATTTACTGGCTTTAGGTGATCTTCACGCCGGCCCGTTTACAGCTGGCTCTGACACGGCACTCTGGTCCAGTCTGCAGAGGGAAGGGAGGCAAAAGGAAATAAAACACGTCTTTATCAAAGTTATTAAACTACAAATGATTTCCTTGTAGTGAATTAAACTATTGCATGCTGACAGCTGGAAGGTAGGGAAGAAGGATTTGAACCGCTTTGAAATATAATAACATTAACTTGAAGTCTTTTGCCATATTGACATTAGACTATTTAATGATCCAGGTGGAGTATGCGCCTTTAAATTGAACTGAACAGTTTTGTTTTGCCATGAACTTTTCTTAGAAAAGCTTTTTATATCATGTCTGCTTCGGCCTGTGTCTCTGCAAAATGACAGCAGGCATGTTAGTTTATTTAAGTGGATAAAAGTTTATTACAATTACATGACAAAAAAGTGCAAATACGGTACCAGGAAGTAGCACAGTGTAGGACACAGGTGTCAAACTTAAGGCCCGGGGGCCAAATCTGGCCTGTGGAACAATTATATCTGGCCCAAAAGATCATATCATATTTGTATTATTATTGGCCCACCAGTATGAAGTCTGCAGATTTCCTTCAGTATAATAATGTAAACTTTAGCACCATTATTTAAAATGTCCTTAATAAAAACTGGGAAATTAAAGGGTAAGGAAGATTTGATAAATAGTCAAGAATGTGAGGAAAATATATGGAGTTTTATTTCATGTTTTCAATTTTGCATTTCAAGATTACAAGTCAAACATGATTGGGTTTTTATTTCATGCTTTGATTTTGTTCAACTCAGTATTTAGACGAGTCATTTTTATACTTTAGATTCCAGTTTTAAATTTTAAGTCATATTTTGAGCTTTGAAACCCGATTTCAACGTTCTCCTCATGTATTTGCTCTTTAAAAGGCATTATTTTTCTATTTTTAATATCATGCTCTGATCTTTTGAAATAATAAATAAAAATAACAATAAAAATTAAAAATTAATAAAAATTTATTTGAAAAAAAAAAATGAGATCGCCTTTAAACTTATCTTTTTTGAATTTTCAAATGATTTATAATAATTGCTGTTTTTGTTACATATTTTTTGAAAAGGAGGTTGACAGTTTGTGTTATATGTTGACCCTGTTTGGCCCTCAGGTTAGACCTAAATCCAGATTATTGCCCTTGCTGTGGTTGAGTTTGACACCCTTGGGAGGAGATCTTTCTCACACTAAGTGCTCTGTGGATGGTGAGACTTACTTGGCCTCCTCTATAGCTGACATCTCCTCTAGGGGGCCGTTGGGCAGCTCCACAGCAGACCGACACTTGTCATTGCTGACGTAACAAAAAAGAGAGAGAAAAGTTCACATGACAGCATGTCTCATCCCATTTCAGCATCAGCTCATAGGATCTCATTCAGATCAGGTATGGGACAATGTAAGGCACAGTCAAACCATCATTTTTTAATCACAAATGAATGACATCTCTGACTTACACATTTTGCTGGGCTAATATTTGCTGCATGCCTGTTAATCAAAGTCATGTTTTTCTTGCAGGGTGTATAGAGGAGAAAACCCATTATTTTCTACCATAATCTACGGTGTCGAAGCCAAGATGTAAATTATGTAAAGAGCTGGTGTTTGAGTGGAAAAGTAACACTCTAACAGCTATTTGCATTAGAAATCAGTCAGCTGATTGTGTAAATCATGACTGAAAAGGACATACAAAGCTCCACTCACTCTGCTTTTGGATGCATTAAGATGGGGTGTATTTAAACCCATCTCACTGTACATCTACAAACAGCTGACCTGTATTTTGACCAAAAGCAGAAAGAACTTTTGCCAGTCCAATTAGATGTAGTTTATGTTCACTGATTTACCCAGCCCACTTACAGCTATCCACAACAACACTTAGGAAAAGTAATCTCAGTCATCTCTGGGTTCAGAACATCATCCTTCAGTAAAGACAGCTTAGTTAGAATCTCTGTCTTCTCCAGGATCTGTGATCGGATTAACTCTCCTTCCTGTTTTGAGCTACTTGAAGCTGACCAGCGTCCAGATTGATGACCTACAAAGATCAGTACCAGGATTTCTGAGATGGACACTTTTCTGTTTGAGATGCAAGGCGCCTGTCCATCTGTCTCTGCTGAGTGCACTTACACCTTGTCATGCAAGTCACAGGTTAGCTGGTATTTAGCACAGAGGGCAGCATAGACCAAAGCTAAACATGCTTTGATTTAACTGCAATAAACAGGTCAAATGAAACGTCAGATAAAGTCTTTATCTTGATGCAGGTCATTGAGAAGACCTTGGTTAACAGTCAAGAGACTCAACCCTGATAAATGTAACCAAAACAGAACTCTGTCAGTCTGGATTTGCATGTATCCCTGCTGCATCAATACATCTGGCTTTGCTTTTGGGTAGATCAAGTCTTTACAGAAACAGAGAAGCATCAACTTTCACTGTATCTGATTTTGGAATCTTTAATGTCTCATTTATCCGGAGCTGGGGAGGTGCTATTAACTTCTTTTTTAAAATTCGTATGTGCGATTTAGTATCTTGCACATACATTTTAGTATCTCGCACGTGCGTTTTATTGTATTGCACATGCGATTTAACTGTACGTTAATAAACAAAATCACTTCCTGCAAGTCCAAATATCACCGTTACCAAAGTCGCTGTACTTTGAGGATCCTGATGAGGTGTCTCCTATTCAAAACAATACCAAATGTGGCTAAGCTATGAAGTATCTCTTTGTGAGTCATACCTAAAAGAAAGTGTTGATCTCTGTCCATGACACTGTCCTTCTTCTTGCACAAATTATTACAAAAATAATTATTCACAAAAACGCATGGGTAAGATACAAATAAAACGCATGTTACAGATACTAAATCACACGTGCGAATTAAAAAAAAAAAAAAAAGTTCATGTCACCTCCTGGGCTCCGTAAATCTCAGCTACACACAGAAAAAAAATAAAAAATAAAAAACATTTATCAAGCAGAACGATCGTGTGGATTTGTTTAAAATGAGCCTTGGTGTTTTAGAAAATGCACAACACATCTCACTCAGGTTGTATAGTGTTGACTGTACAGTATGTGTGCGTGTGTTGTGTCTGACCCTGTTTTTGGACAGCAGGCTGTGGCTGAGCTGTTGAGGCCTGTTCTCTCCGATTCCACATTTTCCACTACAGCGTATTTCTCTGAAGAACTCTTCTCTTCATCACTGTAACACATACAGAGACACACACAAAAACACAGATATACATTAACAATATGTGGCAATTCAAACCAGCCACTCTACTCACAGAGACACACGCACAAAACACAGTGAGGTGTGAACAGTGATGCATGCTGAACAGTAAAACAAAGGATGGAGGTGTTGAAATGGGAAACTAGGAACATGATGGAGGAAAAGCATCAAAATGTACAGCAAATGGAGAAAGTTTGAAAACTCTTTTGGTCGTTTGGCTAAATGCTATTTATTTTGTAGCTACACAGCCAGCAGAAAGCAGGCAGGCCTACAAACTGATTGAACACCGATTAGACCAAAATAGATTGTGCCAGCCGTCAGCCTTGCTTTGTCTCAGAGAACCACCAATAATCCTGATGAGGCCTCAAAGCAAAACACCCACAAACATCCAAATATAATCCAACTTTGAGGAGCAACCTAAACCTCTGTACTGTTGCTGATTTAGAATATTGCCTTTTTCACCAAATGCAGTGTTTTACTCTAAAATCTTAAGGTGTCGTTAAAAGGAACATTACGAAGTATTTACAAGAATTCAACTTTAAACTTTAGGAAACTCCAGGGGCTTAAATGGATCGCTTCTCCTTAACCTAACTTTGAATGTTCTGTTTTTTTGTGTTTTCTTTTCATCAGGTGCTGTAAAACACCCCATTGAAGCTGGTTAATAAGACAAATCAATTACTTGGTCAATCTCTTCTGTTTGTAATTGCTGCATGTCAGCAGATGAGTGTCAAGTATTTGCATAAAATCTAAGTCAAAAATATCTTGAAGAACTTTGTGAAAAAGTGTCTTTATCAAAGCAGAGGCGCCACAAGTTTATTTGGACAAGGATTTCATTTTTCGTTTTTCATTTCAGAAAAGTACATTTAATTTTATCTTTAAGATGAACAGTTATAGCACATTAAGAGCCATGTATTTTTTTACAAGGACTCTATTGGGTGGACAAGATGCCAATAAACGGATTTTACAACTACTACAGATTTATGGTTTCAGACATTTTCTCTCCAACAAACTCCTGCAGTTGATAGCAATGCAGAGCTGTCTCCAGATTCAGGTTAAATTGCAACATGGCATCATATACTTTTGTATGGTCATGGGAAGAATTGACTCCTAAAGAAGTCTCTCTTGTCACATTGGCAGTAACTTTTTTTTTTTTTTAATAGTTTAATCTCAAGGAAATCTCTGTCAGCTCTAAAGGTTGATCAACATCCCTAGCAGTTAAATGCAGAAACATAAAGAATTGTTTCAATCATCTAAACCAGAGATGCACAGTCAAGTGAGACAAGTATGTTGCACTGTTAGATTGTAGGGTGCAAGTACCCTCTGTACCTAAATCTGCTAAATAGCAGCTCAGATAAGCAGCACTCAAGCTATTAAAACCCTATTTAATAAAAAGGATGAGATGAAATTGAATCTTCAGACCGTTACAACCGAAATACAAAAGTGAAAACATTTAACCACAACAGTTTGAACTTACTCTGTGGTCACAAGTTTGTGCAGTCTGAGCCTGATGACAAGATTGCATGCCACCGATAAACACGTGTTTACAAATCAACACGATCAATCTCTTTTGTGCTTGTGCGCTCTAAGCATTCATACATATCCAGTGTCCTAACTGTGAACATACATGAATTTACTCTACACAGTGACACCTTTCATTTCAATCTGAACTCACAAAGTTATGACAGAGACGATTGTAAGAGGCAAAATTCAATAACTGGCAGAGCCTTCAAAACAAAAGAGGTGAAATTAATAATCAACACAAGAGTTTGTGGCGAATAAAAATCTGATCTGGTTAAGGCCCCTCTTTAATTTCTGATTGTTTGGTCTTGTATTTGTTTACTCTTTGTACATAAAAGCCACTTGAAAACTAAATCAACTAAAAACTGCACTTGGACAAAAACACCTTTGGTAGAAAAACATGCAGAATGGAGATAATGAAATAAACAAACAAGGAGCTGAAACCAAAGAAGAAGAAGAAGAAGTTCAAAATTGGGAAAGAAAAGTTGGTGGTTGACGTGACAACAAGACTACATCACGGCTGCAGGCTGATCTCTGATTGGCTGTACATACCGATAAGATTTCAACACTCTGAAGGAGACCACACCCACAACGCACAGCAAGAGAGAGAGGGGAAGCTCAGGTTGTAAGTGTCGCTCAGTTCATCAGACAGTTTGTTATTTACTCAGACAGACAGACAGACGGACGTTATAATGCAGCATAAACAAGGGGACAGAAGGACAGAGGACAGGCAACTTTGAAACAAGTTTGAAAACCCTGCAGCTACTTTACTTGTAGAGTAGAGCTAGGACTATAGATGCATGAGTCCATGTATTTATGTATGCTATCAGGACTTTAGGTGTGAAAGGTCCACCAATAAAAACGTACTGAACTTTACATTCAAACTTTTGAAACCCTGCCATAAAACAAGCCTTTTTTTACTTGAAAGTTGCCTGAAGACCACAAAAGGTACAGGCTTCTGTTTTAGTGAACATCTTTCAGATAACTTAAAACCTAAAAACCATGGCAGAAACTATTCTGAAAACAAGAAAGAACCAAAAAAGAAAAAACAAACCCTGCTGTACTGTGAAATCCTGTCAAATACACTAACAACTGTGAACAACAAGCTGTAGTTCTTATCCTTTAATCATGAATCATTCTTTATCTAGAGCATGAAGCAAGCATTTGGTCGAAGTGCTCAAGCACCTCAACAAAGTGTTTTATTTTCTCTAATGCCGCTGGGTCAGTCTGATGTTTCTGTCCTGTTTATAAAGGAGCTCAAGCTGCAGTTTCCTGAGAGGGTCGGGAGGAAAAAAGTTGCTGGATATTATACCTGTATTCTTTCATTCAGTTTTTTTTTCATGCGTCTTTCATTCTAATTATGTGGAAATATTGGAATGCCTTTGTCGAACCTCTTGAAGACGGCAGTCTCAGTTTTGGCGTCAACAGTAAGACTGACTGTTTCTTTCATGGAGCCGTTGATGACCGTCTCTGTGATGCTGCGCTGCTCACTACAGGCGGTTTCCTCTGCTGCCTTGGTTCTCCCACAATCCTTAGGTGTGGTGGAGGAGGGAGAAGCCTCACCTGCACCCAACCAACCGTCACAGTCTGATGGATGTTGAAAAGGTGAAAGAAAGCGTCATATCTCTACAGAATCACTTATCTTGGGATATGTTGTACCAAAGGGCCACAAATCTCACCTTCAGGCTGCATAGGTGCATTAACCCCCAGAGGGTCCATTGTCTCTATGCTGGTTTCCATAGCAACAGGAGAGTTGCACCTTAGAGGGTCTTTCGGGCTAGAAGAGAACATATTTTTATAAGGTTATTAAGAAATGCTCACAATCAAAAGCAACAACAATCTTCACGACGCAGCCTTGTGAGGTCCTACCTGACAGGGGTGAAGTTAGAGAAATCGGCCCAGCCTGTGTCAGAGTTGGAGGCTGCAGCAGAGGAGGCGCTCCAGGTTGCATCAGGAAGGACTTCTGTCGAGGATGAAGGGGCAGAAGGGTTGTTGGGGCTGGAGGCTGGGGCTGTGGATGTACCTGTGTCCATGGGGATGTCATCAAAGTTGGCTGTCCAAACTGGTCCTTATACATGATGATAGATTAGAAAATTAAACTTGGTCAGAGAAAGTAAGGTTTAAAAAAAACAGACAGGGTTAGGGTTTCAACTATATGGGTGGATCATGTGATGGCCAAGACTTGAGAAGACACAACTGTGGGTTTGTCTTTTATCTGAATTCAAAGGTGGATGAACAGATTTTTGTAAAGTAGGCGTGTGTTTTTGTGTGTAGATTGGAGTATTTACCACATCCTTCTCCGCCCCTACACCAGTGATTCTAGTCTAAGAGGGCTAAGCTTATAATGAAACACTGAGGCGTGTTCTGTTACTCTAAGTGGTGTAAGGTATCACACAGTCCTATAAGCTCTAGGATACCAGCTGGCTCCTTTTCCTAGCTGAAGGAAAACCTGTTTAGGGAGCCAATATCTCAGTCTCAGCTTAACTCAGACCCCGGGTCATACTGGTGGCTTGTTATGTAATATAACAGCCTCAAACAAGATCTATGGTGTTGTATAAATCAAGGATAAACCAAGCAGCCTTTGAGGTCTCTTTAACTGTGAAGCTCCTGGTCAAAGGGGCAACTGTAAAGACTACAGCTTTCTAGGGTGAAACTGAAAACACAGCTAACGTCGAACTCAGTAAAACTTTGTTTATTAATGACAAATACAAAGAATTTCAGACATGTTCATCACAGAATCTCCAAAACCAGGTTGTCACTTATTGGATCTGCAATTTGAATCGATCATCTATGCCATTCGTCACTGAGCATGCTCTCAACAATGAACAGAAGTATAAGTTGTGTAACCTTAACCAGGGCTTAAACTTTATTGCATGAACACACATGTGTGCCGCCTGCCAGATTACAACATCCATTCTGTAGACCGCAGTGACCCCCCAGGGACAGATGATTCAAAGACAAAAGCAAAAACCCAAGACAGTCGATCAAATTAGCATTAGCAACCCTGTGGCAAAAACGTCAGCAGTGTGGAAATACTTTAACTAGATTGTGAAAACAGTCCGACAGCCACCTCCATATACATTAACATCATTTATAGTTCCAGCAGAGCTGCAGTCTTTTTTTTAAAAAATTCATCTAATCTAACCTTTATTTAACCAGATCAGTCCCATAACACTGATGTGTGATGTGTTTGTGGTTTCCAGCAGCAATATGTACGACTATGATGACACTCCTGTTGCAGGCCGACATCATTATAAGCTCAATATAAGAACTCTTTCCTCACCGTCACGGTTAAGTTACAGCTGAATCAGCCTCTGAGAATAAGGCTGTAATGGAGGCACTGATCACCCTCAAACTAATCAACTGAGATAAACAGAATGAGCTTTTTATGTTTAGAGGCAAACATTTCTTTAATTGTTGGAATGTTTATCCTCACAGTATAGCCCATAACTCGAATAGATCCAGCCTTGGTTATTGCAGCTGGTAAAAATAAAACCTAGTGTTGGATTCTACCAGCCACAGCAGGAGGGGGACAAAATAGCTGATTCCTTCTACCCTGGTACAAATGAGCAGGACAAGGTCCTGCCTGCGTATTTTCAGGGTCTCTTGCAGATATAAAAAAGTGTGTGTGTGTGAATGTTGACATGCACTTGATGTAGTTGCGCAGACAAGAGAGGCACAACTCTATCAGTACAGTCCATAAACCATTACACGTGGTCTATGGTTTACACCTCAGACTTCTGGTTTGACAAACCTGTATCGACTTCCATTCTGTCATCTGTGCTGGGGTTAGAAGCTTCAAATGGATCTCGCTTCACGTCCTCCTCCTCTGAGTCTGTGCTCTCTTCACTGTCTGTGCTGCCTGAGCTCCTGAGAAGGACATGGTTTGAATCAGTCAACATGGTCAGAGGCCACTCTTTACACTTGGGAACACAAAAGGTGTTGAGCTCCACAAGTAAGACTGTATCTGTATGTACACAGCTCGACTGTTGGGGCCCCTGCTAGGAAATTTGAAGTAATGCAAGCTGTCCAGATTCATTTAGTGTCATTTCAGCGAGACTGAAAAGAAACACTAAGTAAGGTAATGATCGTATTGATTATTCATGTAACGTGTGAAATAACTTGACTTTTAGAGAAACAGTTTGTTCGGTTGTAACGGAGAAAATTAGAGGTCCATCTAAGACTAGAAAATATTTGAAGATGTAACAATCACTAAACAAGTCTTTAAATCATATTGACAATTTGTTTAGCGAGGTATTCCAGTAAAACGTTAAAATATGGCAAACATGTTCGTTTGTGTGAGCAGCTGACCTTGGGCGTCTCTGTGCCTCTGGTGCGAAGGTGATATCTTTTTCATCCCAGATATCCTCCTCATCTGAACCAGCATCTTCAAACTGCTGGATTTTCTCCTTACAGCGAGCCTCAAACAAAGCTATATTTGCCTGGGGAAAATTAACACACAGACCACATACTGAATAAAACAATATCCATCAAAATAGACAGAATTCTAAAAAACACCAATAAAATAGTGCAGAATACAACACACAATGACTGTATTTACATTTTTGAATGAAGCTATAAGGATGTGGTGCTTCACAAATGAAGGTCAGGAGACTCTGTGTTCTGACTGACAGAAATGCCAATATGAACCTAGGTATGTGAGATTTATTCTGTACACCTGCTGAACATTTGTTGCTAAGGAAAAATGCAGATTTCTCTCACTGTCACATCTTCTTCTGAATGAGTGGTCGAATGAATAATTCAAATGTAACATGCCTTCTAGATACTATTTATATGGATTTTAATTTTATCTGTCTCATCTTCTCTTTGTGTATGTGTGAATCAAAAATTAATGATAAGTACTTACACTTTCATTTGTATTCAGTGAAAAATTGATGTCTGATATTCTATCAAAGGGAATACTGCAATGTTAAAGAGAACAGAGTTTAGTTTAGTTAGGGTCGTTAGGCATTCACATATATTGCAACTCACAGGCATACAGGCTCAAACAGATAGCTTTAACACTTTCAGTTAAAAACATTTTTTCTCCCCCCCATGCTAGGTTCACAACAACAATATAATAAAAGACATGTTTTTCAAAAGACTATTTCTCAACATGCATGTTAGGGTTTGTAAACAAGTCACAAAAAAAAAGAACAGAAACACACTTTGTTAAAAGAAACTAAGATTTGAGTAGTGGAAAGTCAAAAACGTCACTGGGTACCCAATGTTTCTGATTTTTTAATCAATCAAGCGATTGTTTGCCTTGATGCCCAAAGTAAGTCAAGCTCAATACAGAGTCAAGACTTAGCCAAGACCTCAGGGAGACTTCAATGAGAAAGCCTCCCGGAGACTTCCAGTGTTTCCATTTACAAACAAAAGGAAAGTTTCTATTTAACCAGAAAAAAAAAAGGTGTTTGAGGTCAAATGAGCAGTTTGCTTTATACACATTAACTAGATAATCCACATTCACATCATCTGATTACAGTCAACAAACCCAAGTCATTAAATCTAAGCACCTGATCATGTTTCCTCCACTACTCCTCTACAGTTAGGACGGCGTATAATTGTTTAAACTGGTTTGATATGAAATTAAGCATCCATCCTGACTGCTGTACTGATTTTATTTTATTTTTTGGACCTCAGGAAGTCACAAGTTCCCTTGTCCATCAACAAAAAACATCAATAATATTGTGTAATTGTATATGACTAATGAATACAGTTGGGATTCAGCTGATTTATGGAAGGCACTCTTGAGTTTGCTAAATATTATTATCACAAATCATCATGGCAAATGCTGGTTCAGCCAGATCATATGAAATCAAACCAGTTTAAGCTCGACACCACACCAGACCAACAACACAGGCAATGAAGCGATTCTATGACCCCACTTTTCTTAACCATTAGAGAAAGAAAGGAAAGATTTTAAACAGGTAGTAAACATCCCAAATTACTTTTTCAATCATCCCACTGTATCTACCAGTGACAGATTCGTGATGACAGGCAAATAACTGACATGCATAAATTATTCTTTTTGTTGACCCCTTTATTCACTTGAAAATTTCATAATAAACCATGGGTCACTGGGTCGCTTTGCAGCATTATCTGTTGCTGTTTGTTTACAGCTGTCCTCATTGAGCCTGGGTTCTGTCAATACTCTACAGTAGTCTTCACTGACAGTATGAAGAAAGATCTTTTATTTTATTTATGAGATAGAATCAAAGACCTCCTATGTGCTGGAGTGCGCCTGCTGCTATATGTTGTTGTTTTTACCAATGCCGTCTACTTTTACCCTTAAGTATTTACTAGTGAATGAGACATCCAGTCTCTTTCCATGAATCCAAATCAACTGGACTTCTAAGTTATCCATATAAAAAAACTATAATTTTTATTGATTTCAGAATTTCATAAACAGATTTTGACCAGCCGATGAAAAAGGTCTTCTTCATAGTCTGATTACCCCAAGCCAAAGATATATGAAGAAAAACAAAGACTGGGATTCACAACACAAACTGACATTTTAGATCACTCAGCAACTACCAGCTATCTTCCACAGCCCACAACCTTTGCACAACATTAACCCCCCCACTCCCCCAGTTAGCTTGTCATAAAGAGTGTACATAGTGACAGCACACGACAACACAAAAGCTGGATATGGTTTCTCCTTGGAGTGGCATTTGTCATCATTATTGCAGCCATGCTAGTGATTGCATTAGTTTTAGCTGTTAATTTTCAAGAGTAATGGGTGTCCAATTTATTGTCAACATACAAAGCCTTTGAAAAATGACATTGTTGTGTAAAGACATGCCACAGCATTGAGGCAGAGCATGAAGCCAATGGAGAAGTGCCCCTCGCCCCAAAATTTTACCCATATGCTCTCAATCAAGACATATCTATCCCTCTGTCCACCACTGCCAGCTTTGTTATGTCTTTACTGTCACATCCCTTCAGTGTTACACAATAAGACAACAGAATCTAGTCATGCAGGATGAGTACTCACTCCACAACATCGTCCTGATCAGCAAACTCTTCGTCATTGAAGCCGAACTGCTCAATAAAATTGGACGTCATTTGTTGCATCTGATAATCAGAAAAGGCCTGGCAAACCCAGGACCACGATAATGATATAGTCTTGGAGCTACACAAATCTTGTCATTACTTGCAGTGCAGAGAATAGCAAATACAAAAACTGAACTCTAAAATCAAAAAACAGTATGACATGAGGACTAGACAGGTTAATAGCTAAAAAAAAGCACAAACATGCATTTGCAGTTGAGCGCCAAAATGCTTTAACATTGGTTAAGTTTTAAACAAAATTGCTATAATTGTCCAAAATACCATTAGTTGTTAAATTACTAATATCAAAAAATGGCAAAAAATGTTATGTGTTCTAACTGCGTATGACCCATAGTCACTTCATACATAGGTGTGTACTTTTGACAGCTGAATGGGGCTACATAAGTCCTAATATATTTGAGTGGTTTACTATTCACAAAGGCTGGAGCAGAAAAGGTCAGTGTCTATCGCTAGAGAAACAGTCACTGATCGCACTGCCACTCTGAAATGTCAATTTTCTCTAACAATAATCCATGTCACAATGCCAGTGAAAAAACAACAACCCTGAATCCTAAAAGGTTTTGATTTGGTATGAAACTTTAGTCAAATATGCAAGCAGTGTGATTGATTTATTTTTGATTGACAAAAACAAGAACACTTCAGTCTGGACACTGAATGAGTTTTGCTGTATTTTTGATTACTTCTGTTTCAAAATAACCACAAGTTGAAAAAGGGATGAAGCAAACTACCACTCTTTTGTATCATTTGTATTTCACATTCAAACTCTCTTGAAATCAGGGTTGCATTATTGACAGGAAACTGAACTTCGGAAAAAAAAAAAAAAAGTTACTGTTAGACTTCGAATTTTGTTCGGACAAATGGTTTCATTTTGTCGCTCTTTTTGGGCCAACTGACTTAAATAACACTGCGCTGGCACTTTGACAAAGATGGCTGTGGTGTAACAACAGACCAAAGTATCTGTGGTTGATCATCACTTCAGTATTTTGGGGATGCTTTAGAGGAAAGATGAAGATTACAATTTTTTGTTCTGGCTGGGTTGAGAGTAATTTTGTCTTCCTGATTGGTATGGAGGTTTTAGATGAACTGTCTCACACTGACCATCTTTAATGAGGCGATACTGTCCTCTTGCTTTTCTTTTTTTAAGCTGGGTTTCCTCAATCAGACTAAGAGGTTAATGAATATTTGTCAGTTAGCTAGGTTTGTGTGGCTATGGGCCTGCTTTGTGTGCATATATGTATTTGTGGTGTTCGTGTGTCTAGCTCTTACTTGTTGTAAAGAGGAGTCCTGGTGAAAGCCACTGTCTTTAAAGTCCACCTCATCATCACTAGAAGAATGGATGTGGTGTGTATTCACCTGAGGACAAATACATTCAAGAAAGACAACACTGTCTCATTGTGCATCTCACACCTGAGCTCTGACACCCAGTTGGATCTGTACTCAGAACAATGTATCTTACAATGAACATAATAGTCAGATGAACATCAGTGTTTCGAAGGTAACTCACCAGATCGACAGTGTTTCTCTTGTTTGTGTCAGCCAGCTGCCCAGAAATAAAGGCCTCCCATTTCTCTCTGTCTTCTGCTGGAAGATCTGTAACCCACAAAAAGACAGGACATGTGGACTCTGTCCTCACCTGATGTACAAGAATGAAACTTTTTGAGGGTGGCCCCATCAAGCCCGTATGAGATGCTGCTGGTTACTAAAATTATAGTTCATTTGTCCCCCTGCAATCCGATGAGTCTGGTGAGTGACCAGATCATCTGTTGACATTCAGCCCAACTCCTAAAAGGGGCCACAAGTTGGACTTTGTGAAGCCAAAAGTTCATTTCCACCAATAGAGCGAGAAAAAACTATTCCCCCAAGTAAACAGATATTCATTGGTAAACAGCATTTTTATAGTCCTGACTGTACTGATGAGTACTGATTGTCTCATGACGCTGAATTTAAGAGTTTCACAGTTACCAAATCCTGTGGGTGTATCATTTTGGAAGACAGGTATTTTGGAAAGTGTATCTGAGAGGAAGATAAACTCTTAAGAGGCCCCAGAAAAAGTCAAGTACTTACCAGAGATGAGTTGTTGTATCTGTGGTCCATTAGGGCCTTTGTCACAGTTGTGAACTATAGAGTTAGCTATTCTGGTTAGGTGACCCATGTAGCCTCGCCGTCGACCACCTTCCGCCCTAAAACAAACAGACACGTCGATATCAATAGGAAGATGATTCATAGCTGTTACTGAATGACAATGTTTTAAAAACACTGTCACTCCCTAACTATTCCGCCCCACCTGAAGGCGGCCCTATGTGGCCCTATGAGGCTAACAACTCTTAGCACAATGACCAATTAAAGCAACAACTAGTGATGTGTTGACGAATAGAAGACTACCAAACTCAAACTATGGTCACTAGATACAAATGAGACAAAATTTGAGGACTTTAACTTAAAAATGGGTGAAATGTGGAACCATAGATTCTTATTTACAAGAATCCGGACCAAGGAAGACGCTACAGCCAGGTTTAAGAGCATCATTCACAAAGGGAACCAATCCAGTGGGTGTCACTCCCACACAGAGCAAAGCGACTACCACCATGAGGTTTCAGGTGGAGCTTAACACTAACAAAGTGATACTTTCAACAGACCACTTACTGTTCTTTTTCATTGGAGCTCCAGGCGTCTACGATTCTCTGTATAAACTGGCACTTTTGAAACAGCTGGTGAAGGAAATAAAGAGAATTTTAATACATAAAGATCTATAATGGACATGATGAAGTGGACTGCTGACTTAAACTTGAGGGGGTTTACCATTGCAGAGCATAAACTCACCGACATATTGGACCCAAAGATAGCTTTGCCTTTTACAAGGCAGGAAAAACGCAACAGAACATACATGAACCTAACAATGGAATTCAACGAATAATGCAAAAATGACACTGATTGTCAGTGAAATGGGTTATTGTATCAATCCCCTACAAACTGCTGTTATAATTTATGCAATGTTTTAAACTTCTACAATGACAAAAAGTCTAAACTATTTCATGAGGTAGATCAAATTTTGGTGTTTAATATTCTCTATAAACAGCTTTTTTGAACAGAACTTCAACACATATCTTTCAATGTAACATACTGTGTAATATCTTTGACAATTAATGCCGCACTTATGAGCTGCTACAGACAGGCATTAAAAGCCTTGCCAAACGTTTACACTGGATGTTCAGTTGTGGTACGAATTGTCTTCTATGAACTTTGATTTTGCTGAACTGATGCTAATATCAGCTCTCTCATATCCAGAACTTACATGTTTGATAAGAATGCTCTCCCTTGCGTGTTCTTGCTCTGTGTCTGGCTGGGGGTCAGTGGGGGCTGGGGGCATAGCCAGGATCATGGCTGTACAGATCTCCACCTGAATGTGGAGGAAGTTGTTCCAGATGTATTTAAAATACATATCCTGTGGAGAAAACAAAAAAAATTTAAGTGAGATGTCCTTCACATTAGTAACAGTCACCAAGTCCCAGTTATTTAGTTCCCCCTACAATCAGTTTTCAGTGACAACAATGCCTTGTTCTGAAGCATAGGTCAGCAATTTTAGTGATGACTCACTCATATTCAGACAGTAATAGAGCAGCTTCCCTTTTTTTCCTGACCCTCTTAAATTTCAGACTCATTAAAAATTTTGCCCTTCAAACTCATTCTAACCATTAAACATCAAACATTACGTAGATTTAAGCATTATCGAGTTTTGTCATTATTTCCAGTCAGTTTTTTCCCGTATAAAAAGATGATTTGGTCTTGAAACAGTCTTTTCCAAGAAAACAGTCTTGAGAGGGGGTATAATCAGTATAACCACCTTCAACAGGACCAGAACATCTTTTATAGAAAACCACAGGTAAATACAAATAAATTGCTCTTTCACAAATCTTACTCTGCCAGCTTCAGCGGTGATTTGATTTTACCGACTCTAGTTTTTCTTCCACTCACTACCCAATTTCAAGTCAACAATCAGCATAGAAATACAAAACTACCACTCACTAGTATGACTCCCAGTGTGTTGAGGTTAATGAGTTCTGTGTTGATGCTGTGTGTGTTGCTTTGCAACAAGCTGGCCACCAGTCTGACCACATTGAGTCTTGTGTTTCCCACAGGGGGGTCCAGTACTCCCCACGTTGTCTTCATCACATTCCTCTGTTGATTGAGAACAGACGTCTCGGGTTAAACTTAATAAACTTGATTTTATTTAAACTAACAGGACCATGTCGGCCAAAACTTGGTGCATTTGATCGACTAACCACTGACAACTGTCTGGCTGGTTTTTACCTTTGGGGGCTCCAGTAGCAGCTGATGAAAGTCTTTGAGTCGGGGTCTTACAGCCTCTAGGATGCTGTGGTTGACTGAGAAAGAAGGGTGGGACATCCCAGGGGGGCAATCCATGTGACCCTCGAACCTGAAGCAATAAAAGCATGACCAAATGAACCATCTCAACACATGTTGTAGTGCCTAGTCTATTTAGCATCTAATGAACAGTGCTCTCCTTTAACTATTTGTAACACTTAAGGTTCTAATGTGGGGGGAGCTATCATTTTCTTTTGTGATCCATTTTTATTGGGGCTATAATATTTGATGCAAACTTGAAATGTGGGCAGAATTATAATATATATACTGTTTTTTAATGATTTCAACACATTTGCTATTACATAATTGTGACCACAGTCCTTTTAAGTCTGTGCCGTAGAGTTGTCCATAGTAAATTAACAACGATTCCTACTCGCAGTTTTAAAATCAGATCTGCTCGCTTTGGGCTTTAAATCTACAAGATACAATCTTATCATCACTCTTTAATTTGATGTAAAATATTAAAGTATATAAAGAGGCTGAGGCCACAGAACATACGCTGGTCTTCTGGTCTCAAACAACGTGAGAAGGATCTGGATAACACTGACGATTGCAGATTCATTTTTCTCCTTGTCGAAGATATTACCCAGCAGCTGCTCCACCGTCTCCTGCCTGAGGAGGACACAGGCAAATGGTAAGAGAATAACCTTCAAAGCCATTGATGACCTTCAGAGCTTAGGCAACATCTATCAGGCATAGTTTGCCAACTACATTTTTTATTACACAAAGATTTAAAATTAATGAAAAGTATAAATCTTAGGTTATAACATGCCCCACAGACCAAGCTTATGAGAGTGAATCACAGTGGAAATGAGCTTCATTCTGCTTCAAAGTGACTGCAAGAGTTCTCAGAGATTAACACATGCATACTTTTCAAGTGTTGCTAGAAGTGGGTCGGGCTCTGAGCAGCCCTGGACCTGGAACATCTGGTCTCTGCTCAGTCTGATGATCTCACACAGGGACTGGGAGGCATTGGAGTGTCTCTGAGTCAAGAAAAGAAAGTCTGTCATTATTTGACACTTTGAACATTTAATTTTCTAATAAAAGTCCTGATGTCCACAGACATGTTTACACTTAACATTAGTACTGGCCACAGTTTGTTGTTAAATGTAAGGTAATCTATATGCAGGGCTCATGAGACAAGCATGCCATTAGCACTTATACAACTCTTTTTCATGGATGGAAAATACATTAATACACTAAAGAATCCCTGAATATTCCAGTCTATTTAAAATAGACATTTGAATTTTTAAATGAATATTTTTTCTTGTTTGCAAAAAAAGGCAGTGCATCTGTCTGTCATTCAGGTTTTGTCCTGAGCTAGGTGGCAGCACTGCAGCTCTGACAGAAAGACAGCTGCAGGGGACACAACTTCACTCATTATGGCAGAAACTTCACCTGATGTCAGACAGAATAACAGCACAGAAATGATAACCATGGATGAGGTTTCATTCTTTCTAATAACTCTGAAAGAGTCAAATCTCTGGATAGTGTTTGAATTCAGAAGTTTTGTCAAATCATGACAGATTGTTCCCGTGTTTATCAAGACACTACAGATGACTTTCACCTTCATTCAGCCAATGAAAGAATAATGAAATGCGTTTGGTACTCACATCCTCGTCTTGACATGGCTGCACCATGTCCACCAGTCTCTGAATCACCTTTTCTTCATTCAGCCACTGAAAGACCATACAGAGAGGAAAGGGTTAAAATTTAAAAAAGAAAAACACAATCCTAAGAAAAAAAAAGGGGGGTTACTGTTTTGTGTTCACTCTGTTTTCTTTTATTTACCCAATCCTTTTACATATTCATACTTTGAGTTGTTGGTCTTAATACAGCCTCTCATCCTCTGCAATCGTACAACTAATACTGTATCTCTTGTGCTCAAAGATGTACATCTCATCTTTTTGCAGATCTTGTCCTAAGCAATTATTTGGCAAATAAAAATATTTTTTAGGTTCTTTTAACTGTCAAGCCTTTAACTCACTGTTCATATTTATCGAAATTGTAAATCAAGACTGTTTCAGGAGCCAAACCAGCTAAAAGCTCCTGATGGAAGCTTTAACAAGGCATCCTTTGATTTTAAACTTTTATTTCTATCACATCATTATTCATTACTAGGGGTTGGCAATGGCTGTAAGGCTGGCATTTCATGGTGTCCAGGGCAAAACACTGAAAGATATATCACTCAAGAGAGCTGCTGTATGAAATCCTTCGATTAAAGAGACCTTTTATTTTGGACAAACTAACACAGAGCCAACTTTAGCGCATTTCAGGACCTACTTGGCTTGTCCAAGTAAAAGAGGCTTCATTTAGTGATGTGTCACTAAGGACCAGAAGCAGACAGCACCCAATGTTAATTGTTCTCTGGAAATGTTTCCTGAGCCATGCCAGATCACAGTGAGCACAATTGAATTAGTTGGCCTGCTGCTTAGGGTTGTGGTGGTCATGGAAACCATTTTTAACCCAGCGTGGAAGTATTGTGCCATTACTTACATTAAGAACGTCCTGCCGAAGCTGCTGTGGCTCAATGCAGGTGAGCATTCGGAGCAGCAGGTCCATGATGGCAGAAGTCCCGATGTGTTTGATCATCAAGTCTACAAAGTCCTCACGCTTCCGTAGAAAATCCACAATCTACAAAAAAAAAATATATTGACATGAAATAGGGTTTCACTTTTTTTTCTGAGAATCAACTACAACTACAATCAATCAACTACTGGATCAATGGGGTCTAAAATATGAAGTCTGGCCAAGAAAAAGAAGACATTACTGGTGATTCTGATGTTTTGTTTTTACTTTCTTCAAACTCTCAAACAAACAACACCCTGGTCTGGCTTTCTTACCTGTTCAGGCTTGCGTCCTATAAGAATGGAGAGAACCTTGGAAAAGAAGCTGGCCAAGAGCGGGTTGAGAGGCGGCTCATTCTGAAGGAAGCCGTACAGTTTCATCAGCAGTTTGTCGTCTTCTCCCAGTCTGTCGTTGATCTGACTCACATCTGATGTAAGCAGCTCACAGGATATGTTGGGATACCTGGCAGATGACAAACATTGCTCTTATAATTTTACAATACAACATTTACAATAGAAGTATACAGTGCCATTACTGGACTTGAAATATCCTGACTGCTCCAACAAGCTGCTGTTAGATGCCAAAAAAGTGCTATTCATCCAATGTTTCCCTAAAATTGATGCCAAGTTGCAGCTCTACTCAATTCACGTGCCCAAGCATCTTAGAGTGATATTAACAAATGCAGTCTGAGATCATCCCAACCCTATACTGTCACAAAAAACATAACTGTTCTTATCTATATTCTTTTGTTTACAAGTGACCAGTGGATTGATTGATCTGCTGTGTGATTGCAGACAACAACTCGCTAATACTCAGCACGCTCTGTGTTGCAGAGCCTGTATGCGCAACATATACTGATACATTCTGAGTTTGAGATAGCGCCAAAAGCACAAAAATCTATTTGTGGCAGGCTGCCACCAATTAATGAATGTGTGGGAAACACTGGGTAGAGCTTATACTTTCTGTAGCCTTTAGACGGGAATGTGTGACTCTGATTCTCAAAATAATTTTTCACTGCATTAAGTGATATGAAGACCTTGAATTAAAAGATTAACCCTAACAATTAACATTTTATGGACAGCTTTTGCTTTCCTCTGAGCAAGTCTACAACTGGACTCTGATTTCGGAGCTACCAAATCCACAGACAGCTCAGCGCACTGACAGTATATTATCACAAATGGGAGGCAAGATCCAAAAGTGATGTTTAAGCAGTTGTCAATGCATCCACCATATCGTTTTTACAGCTTTCTCTTACTTGTATTTAACCTTTTCCTCAACATCAGTACTGGGTTCCTGTGTAATGAATGTGACCAGGTCCTCCATGCACTGTGGTCTCAGCAGGAAGTCAACCAGTTTATGGTTCTGGGCCTTGCACTCCTGCAGGACGTCGTCTTCATCCATCACCTCCGTCAGCGTCACATCCTCCTTCTCTAACAATGTGTCAATGTGTGACGTGGTGTGAAGGTCAAACTTCCAAAACATTTTGGCTCTGAAACAAACAAGGCAAGTCCTCACATTAAAAGATAAATATGGGACCTTTCATCTGAGGTTATCAGCACACAACATAGATGACTTTAATGATTAACTGTGAGATTAGTCTTCTTCCTACCTGTGGGTGTGTTGGAGTCCAGAGGGTGGAGCTCAGGCTATAAAGAGGTGTGTTTTAGTCTTTGGGAGTTGTGGCCCATTCCAGGCTAGCCGGACAGACAGACAGCGGTGATGGACAAACTGACAAGCAGCAAACATACAGCAGTTCAACAGCACACACCTATGAGGGGCAGACAAAAAAATAACATGGAGGCATGTTGTTAAAGGACAGTACTCTGCTTCCTCTGGGTATTGAAATAGTTTATTGCTCTTAATTACAAATTGCATAGATTATTGACAGGAACACTACTTAGCAACTGCCAGCAACAGTGAGTCAATGCCACGGTTCCTGATCGTGCTTCAATAAATAAAAATAAAAAACCCAGGCAAAAAATGAATGGCTTATCTGTGACCTGTCGAAATGAATTCAGGCCCCACATACACCTTGACCCGAGCATAACAGTTTTCACTTTCCAGAGATGCAAGTACGTGATCAGTTCCCTTATCAGCTCATGCATAGCACTATTTCAAAGCAAAATAAAAATGTGTGATCCACGAGGGCAAAAAAGTGGGGCAAGGTTATTCAGACTGTGATCATGTAGTAACAGAGGCATAACAGGAGGGAGGCGGTGGGAGAGTGTAGCATTTGGGCTGGCAGGGCAGAACAGCACTGTGTGTGTATGTCTGAGTGTGTTTTCCTGTGGTGTTGCCAAGCAGAGCCTCTCATGCTTCCTCAACCTCATAATCGGGCGTGTACTGAAACACCAATATGACACTGCATGACATTGGGCATTCCCTTTCAGATATCTCTATTTAAATTTCATGGAGTAACGGATGAGGAGCAGGGAGATTCAGTCATCCTGTTAACTAAATACTGGAACTTTACAGGTTCAGCCTAATCACAGCCAAGCCATGTTCATGTCTGACTACAGGTAAAGACTTTTAAATCATAAGAATGCTCTTTTCAGGGCTCACTGGAAATTTAGTGAGAAAGCAAACAATATCACAATCATATTTGTTAGTAAACAAAGAGGAAGGGTATACTGGTTTCAATTTTGTGTGATAAATTCAATCAACAAAATACTCCAGTGCTCATAAAAAAAGAGACACTGGCTTGTTAAAGTCACATTAGTCTCAAACAGCACTGATGTGGGCTGCCATGCTCTCTGCTAAGCGACTGTCAATGGCCATAGTAGTTTGTGCTCTGGTACAACCGACACCATCAGCTCATGAAGGATTTGACCATCCAGAAAGTTTAACAGAAGATCTCAAGTCACCATTTTCGTGAGGAGCTGATTAATCTCCACTGCCCTACCCAACACTCATGCCAGCACTGCCAGTGTAAGAACTGATTAGAGCTCACCTGTTAGTGTTTGCTCAATTTCGTACATGTGCTTGAGAAATGGTTAATCATTGAACTACGAGGCCTATGTTAACATGTGTTAACTGTTACATAGCTTACACTCGACATTTTTTTTACTTACTTTGTCTAAAAAGTTCTAAACATTACACTTATGCCTGCTAGTTATTATTCTACCTGTCAAATTGGATAAAGTTGTGTCTGTCTGGCTTGAAACACTTGTGTAATAGGCAGTGGTTTGAATGTATCTTTTTTTCTGAGCAGCTGGGTAAAGACATTCAGATTATTTTTTAATTATGTCAAAAAAACTGACCTTTTCTCAGAGAGCAGGGTCACTCATTATAAAACAAGAAAAATATGGGACAAAAATGTGTTACTCGATAAACCTGATGAACACTGTTGTCCATGCACTAAAGCAGTGGTTCTCAAGTCCAGGCCTCGAGGCCCACTGTCCTGCATGTTTTGGATGTTTCCCTGCTCCAACACACCTGATTCAAATGATTAGCTCGTTATCAAGCTCTGTAATGGCTTAATAACGAGCTAATCATTTGAAACAGGTGTGTTGGAGCAGGGAAACATCCAAGACATGCAGGACAGGGGGCCTCGAGGACTGGACTTGAGAACCTCAGCACTAAAGCACCAGTTGCTCACCCTTATCGAACAACAAAAGGGGATGGATTCAGCTATATTCAGGCTATGTGATAGCTCTGTATCCATGGTAAGAGACATCAATCAATGCAAATATGTTCCATTTTTTATGAACATCTAATCAGCTCTGTGCATGCTTAGCAGATGAGTTTGATTGACTAAAGTCAAATGTAACAGGAATCATAAGAACATAGGTAATGTTCTGGGTGAGAAGGGTTGAAAAAAGACCTCACTGTTACAAGCAGTGAACAAATAATGACAGTATTTCACAGCCCTAAGCAGCAACACAAGTTACAATGGCTAAGCTTCACGAGAAAATGCTTCACATAAAGCATGGATTCTTTAATTAGAGCCAGTGTGAGCAATCAGGGAGGGATTAAGTGAATCCCAGTAAGTACGGCTAGACTTCAACTCCAGAAACGTGATTTCTTTGACAAGCTCAAGTGCTCATGGGATCTTTTTCATGAGCGGACAGCAATGAGGCAATGGGATAGTCTGTCAGGGGAATTTTATGGAATTGTTAAAATCCAAAATCTAACTATAAATGAAACAAAGGTAACAAATTTCTTCAAGGGTACATTATAATCTAGTCCTAAATCCCTAACAGAATTTAAGAATTATGTTTGCTCTGAAGTCTCACTCAAAAATATGCCAGCTTGTTTAACAATTTAAAAAATGGAGGGAAATTGTATTTCTCACAAGTTGCCAAATACAGACCTTTAACAAATTGGGTCACTGACATGTGTCAAAAACCAGTCTTTAACTCTCAGCTTTAAACCCATTACTGTTTCCTTTTCTTGTGTTTGTAAACACAGCAGGGATATTCTGCATGGGGCAGGTGCAGTAACGCATACGTCATATTCCTGCTTGTATCAGAAAAGAATGAGATTGTGTTGCATTAAAAGTTCATTCAATAAATACAGGCACCTGCTGCTGTAGAGTCAAAGCTACGTCAGATCCCAGGTATATTCATTTAGTGTTACTTTTTTGTTTTCTTTTTATTTGTTCAAGCATTATATGTCCAATACAGGCAAAATTATTTCTACAAAATCATACACAGACCAGCCATGACATCTTGGGAGACCTAAGAAATCCAATCCAATGAGTCTATCCTAAATTCTACTCCAAAAAAGCTTCTACATTTCAAATTTTTGCTGACATGATCAGAGCTGTCATTACTGTACCTAATTTATTAATAATTTAAGACACAGTGGGTGGTGGTGGTTTCCTGGAGTGTTTGGTTTTGTTTCGGTTCTGTTCACCTTATTAACAGTCACGATGACAGCAAATTATTCAGAACAGCTTTAAACATAATGCACTCTTGTTCACCATCAGCACCTATTGTAATTTCAACAACCAATTTTAAATACCAATTATCAATCTCACCATGTCAAAACTAAAAATACGTAGAGGCTTTGTTAAAGGTCTAGGGTTGCATAAGGTTACCTGGGTATTCATAATGTTATGGCTAGTTGATGTTAAGTCATTCACATTGTTAAAATGAGTCGATGCTTTCTCTTAAAAATCCCTTTATGGTAGTGATCCTATAATTAGTCTCCGCAAGCAACAATATGAAAGAGAGACATCCTAAAGGCCGTAAACTATACAGCATTCCGCGTCATGGAGGAAAACAAACTTTCCTTCCCTTGGCCTGAATGAACACCCGCTGTTAAAAAACCAAAACATATTTACTGGCTGACGACATTTAAGTTTACCTGAGAGATTGTTCAGCCTAGTGGAGGGAAAACGTCGTTTTCTTACATAAATTAACAGAGGCGTTTGAGCCAATTCACGGGTTTGTACGATAATACGGTTCAGCTGCTTAACCTAAAACCAGCGAAAAGTAAAGACGCAATTCTTCATCAGAATGTGGTAGCTTAGCAACCGTAAATTACAATGATTTATTTCGCTATTTTTCTCATTTTACCAATTGACCGAGGGTTAACCCAGTATAGTGGTAAAGGCCGAAACAATATATCAAACCCAATAACGTCAGAAAATTACTGGCGTGAACTTCAGCCAAATACAAGACACTGGAGGCGTTTAACATACAAATTATGTCGTAGCTCGAGCGAATTCACGCACAATTGCGTTATTTTCATTTTACTTGAAAAACATTATGTTCACAGTAACGTCTGACCATCTACACAGCAGGGCCCTGAACACCGCTAGTGCAGCAGAAACACACCGGGTGAGAAATACTGGCTAACGTCAGGCGCTAGCGTTAGCTATTGTTAGCTAACCTGGTCAGTTAAAACTAGGATCTGACTCTCATTAGACTCGGTCAATTTGGTCGGTAACAGGGAGAAAAGAGACTGCGGTTAATCGGTTCATTAATCAGTCAGCCAAACAACAAAACGGCTCCGCGGTAAACAGTAACACTGATCTGCATTTCCCCTCTACAGGCTGGGGTACAGCAGCAGCAGCAGCAGCAGCAGCAGCTCAGTCTGACAGCACAGAGTTAAGATGGCCAAGTCTGCTCCTTGATAGCCAGCTAACGTTAGCCGGCTACTGAAGACTGCTGGCTAATCTTCAGCACCGACCAAGTGCATGGGTTGGCAAGTGTACCTACCGATAAACAGCGGTAAACGGCGAGTCTCCAGCATGTAGTTTATCTTGCCATCAGCCCCAGGTCTTTACAAAACGGACACAGAAACAACAAGGAAATCCGGGAAGGAAAATAAAGCGTTTTAAACTGATTCTGACAGGCGCGAAAAGGGAGATCATCGGAGGGCACTTTTCAAGATGGCGGTTCCATCAACTTCAGCGACCCCTTCCCCCACTACAGCTACAGCGTCTGTCACTCAAACTTTCAGAGCGCAGTGATTGGCTGTAATACCATCGCTCAAACCTATCCCCGAGGTTTTATTGGCTTCTGACCCTGTCACATTGCGCTGTAGTACATTCGAGGCGTGACTATCTCGTGGCCAGGAAGAGCGGGGTTTATACTGTTTCGTAGTGTTTTGGAGTAAGTAAAATCATCATGTCAACAGAAATAGGTACAAATTTGTTCCCCTCTGCACCAATAGTTCCATAATTCTATTTGAGTTCATTTTAATTGACATATAGTCTTAACCCCGCTCACACGTTTGCATTGTATGTTGAATCAAACGCACACATACAGTACGAGCACGCCCTTAGTACATCGAGGAACGCCCACGTTACTGACAGTGGTGGATGAAATGAAAAAGACATGATCAGGGGTTACATACGTTTCGCCAATTCATCACAAGCAGATCACAACATATTGGAGGTTTGTTTTTTCTTGTCATGGCTGGCAAAGTCATGAATATCCATGTAATAATGGGTTTCAAACGCTTAAAAAACATGCTTGGCAGCTTGATTTGTTATTTTGACAACCAACCTCATGTAAAAGGACATAAGAGAAAGAACATTCTGAAATCAAGGCGAGCTTCCAACAAATCTAAACGCCTGTGATGAACATGGAGGGAATTTTCCCTGACAGGGTCTACAAAAACTGATAAACAAGTGCCAGACGTCATGTCAGAGCTCCTGTCTTCTTGGTCTTAAGACCAAATGTAATGCAGTCCTCTACATAAAACTTTTACTGTCCCTTAGTAAGGGCATGACTTGGACTTAGTTCGAGTTTGATTATGTCTACATTATTAATATGAATAATAAAATCGAGTTACAGCAAACAAAACACTAAATACACAAACACAAGTAACACTAGGGCCTTATTAAAACAGCGATGATCCTCATTGCAGTACACAATATATTTTATTTAAAGAATACAGAAGCATATTTTTGATTAAATATGTGTACAGGGTGAACAAAAGTCAAGAGTTGAGGGTCATTTGAGCACTTCCATGATCATAACGGTTTGATTTTTAATGTTTCTTTGTGTCTTGTTTTTGTGTAGACCCCAGGAGCAATAGTTGTTACTGCAGTTATAACTCATGGGGATATAAATACATAAATCAACATCTACATTTGCTGTGTACAGGATGTTCAGTATCTGTGTAGCTTATACAGCATCAGTGTCACCAAAAAGCTACAGTACAGAAGCAATCAGGAAACAGGTGCATACAAAAAGCTTTGATCACATTCTGGATCATTCATAAATAAACTGTTAAGAGAACTTTCTGCACTCCAACAAACTGCTTGCTCATTTTCATGTTTTAAGTCAAGTAGGCCAATACAAGTCCAAAAAGGGGATCCATGTCATAACTGTATGCATTTTAGAAAGTTTGGGAGAGGACATTCAATGTGGCTGAAATGGACACTATACCTCATTAATAAGCTGTGGCATGTTACAAATCCATCATAGGAAGGAGAAGGAAGTCGGCTGCTGTCATGAGACTTGTACATATTCACTGGTTGTATCAGAATCCCCTGTAACATCAACACCATTTGATCCTTATAGGGAATGGCATACTTGCAATCACACATCTAAGTTTACTTTTACAGTACAGATAAACATAAACCACAAGCCATTCAGTTGGATATTTTTCATCAATCAATGCAATCACATTTACACTACACAATCTTTCCTCTTGAATTGGGCAATATATATAAATTGGGGCTTCTTGCGTCAACAGGACTTCCTCAGAAAGGGCATTTTGACATGTCAGACTGAAAGAGCAGTTGGGCTCCCAACATTTACAAGGACAACTCAATAGCTCAGTTTTTCTGGGGGACAAAACAACACATTTTCACTAAGAACAAAAACATTTATATATAGCCTACTTTATAATGGGACATAAACTCTATTTGCCACAAAGTCCAGGAGTTCCAAAGCTCATAAGTTAAAGTCTACGATAGTTCTGCTGACAGGTGGGAAATGACAGGGCTATAAAGAGTTCCATCCTACTTTTAAAACAGCTATCCGGCAGCTCATTTTGAGCTATTCACACCATATCAGATAAGGTCTTGCATGATCCAGAAACATCAGTGTACTATCAGGAAGGACTTACCCCAAACAATGTCAAATTTGATGACTCTGCAAGATCAGGGCCTGTAAGTAATTTGCCATAACTGAGTTCTTGGCTAATCACAATAAGTTTAGGTAGAAACCTTCCCCTATTATATTGTATACTGTGAGCAGAACTGGCTACTGCACTTTAGGAGCAATAGGGAGAGAAAAAAAACATTGGTGTCTTAACCAGATCAGTAGAATTATATCAATATTTGAACAATTTCAAACTAAAATCTGAGGAATTATGTAACTTCTGTTTTCTGGCTGTGTATAATCATCTCTTGTCTTCTTTGTGGCTGGTAACATGAAACTTTGCCCCAAGACAAGAAATAAAACATGTAGCTATAAGAAAGACATTCTTCAAATAGGGAAATAAACTGTATCTTATAATAGGTACTGTATGTTAGGAAGTTGATAATATCAACTTTGCTTGCATTGCACTTATTAAAACAGGGATTTGCAAAGGGCTCTGACAATTTGCATGAATAAAAACAAAGCATAAGAACAGAGCAAAAAAAAAAAAAAAAAAAACGAAATCCCAACACAAAAAAGAAAAAATTCACTCAAACAACAAGACATGTTAGGGAAACCGAGAGCGTTGCATTAAGCTAAGAAATACATTCCAAAAACCCAGAATAATGTAAATAAAAACCCAGAATAATAAATATAAATTCTAAACAAACCCAGACAATGCAGAAACTGCAACTACATACATAGATAAACAGATAATTCTGACTATCCAGGGACAATGAATAGACAAGCACATGTAGAAATAGGTGGGCACAGTCATACTACATTTGAGAGGCCCCCATATAAAGTGAGTACATTTACATTGATATATACACTTTGGTAGAGATACTGAATGTACTTCTCTACATTTATCACATTTTAGTGTGAAAAGGAAGAAAAAAGAATGGGGGGAAAAAACTATACAAGATCAAATTGTTGATTTTAGAGAGATGCAGAAAACTGAGTCACATACCTGTACGGCTACCCTTTGAAATAAGTAGTATACTTAAAGTTCATTTTATTAAGTATGCTTGAGTATAAGTTACACTGCTGACCATGTACTTTCGTGTAATACAAATATACTAATTTAATACTTCTTCGGACTAAATTGGAACATTTTTAGTTCATAAAAGTACACTTGAAGCATACTCCAAAGTATAACTTCTTGGTATATTATGAGTTGACCAGTAATAAACTTCTAGTCTCCCTTTCTTAATAAAAGTACACTATGAAGCATACATTTATGTATTTACTTAATTTTTTTTTCGAACCTGTGACCACAGGGGGGACCACAGTCCCTAACATGGGGAGGACTTTAATCCACTCGGCTATCTGCGTGCTGACTCTGAAGCATAAGTATGCTATTATTTCAATAGTAGCACATATTTGTATACTTGGCTTGTACTGCTCATCTTTTTAAGTGTATACTCCATAAAAAGTATACTCTTAAAAAGATATGTGGACGTATTCACTGACCAAGTATACTTGAACCCAAGGCACAAATACTTGAGTATATCTTGCACAAAAGTTTATGTCAAAGTATAGGTTGTATATATTTAGACTTTTAGTATAATTCTTAGAACAAGAGAAGTATACTTAACATTAACTTTGTTAAGTATACCTCTGAAAAGTCCACAAAAAGTAAACTGAAAGCATACTTAGTTTAAAAAACAGTATACTTGAAGCACGCCTTAACATACTTCTTGTGGTAAGGGATGGAAAAAGGCATTAAGTCCTTGGGAAAAACAAAACAAAACATGTAGATGTCAAAACTTTGACAGATAATGTCAAAGTTTTATCGTGTTGACTGAGTTTGAAAAACTCTGGCAGGGCTTTGAATATGTGTTTTCCATTTCTTGAGTAACAACAAAACTTTTTTTAATCCGAGATAATCTGACAGTCGTTTTCACCAAGGTTTATTCTTACGCTTAATTATTTCTTTATTGCAATAAGACAAAGATGCAGTTTTATTTCTATTTTATTTTATTATAATGGTGTCTGACTGTGTCTCGCCTTGACGGTCTTTCCTTCGGACACTTGAACGCATCACTTTGCTCCACAAATCCTCTCGGTTAATCGCCTCTCGCCGGCTGATGAGGATTCAGACATCATGCAGTCAGCAGCGGGTGGTGACGAACTGTAGCTCGTACTTTGTATATCTGACTGTCAAATAGAAACACAAACACACACATACACACACAGATACAGGCTCCTGGAGTGACTGTGATTCAGGAGGACGCTGCAGAGGGCTAAATGGCGATGAAGATGGATTTAAATGTCACCATAGAGCAAATGGAGACAGGAGAGCAGGACGCTGCACTGTCGGCTCTACAGAGCTACAACAAGGAGGTACACATCATCTGAAGAGAATTGTTCATCAAATACTAACTTTGTCATGTGCTTATAATGCTACATGACACGTGATTTTGGCAACTGCTCGAGCTTTAAGCTAACGATAAGGAGTTTAGATGGTGATGCTCCTCTCATCTGCTGTTATATCTATTAATAACATCTCCATAAAGCTTACAGACTTCACTGCGTCATCTTTGAGGCGTAGCATTGCTGAAGAGTGTGCATGAAGGCTAGTCATGTATAAAACAGTTTGTCCTGAATTTTTCTACATTTGAGTCACACCAGAAAACTGAAGCTTTTGAATTAAACTTTTAAATTATCTGTCACTTGTAAAGCTGCATCATTAATCCTTCCACTGGGGGGCAGCAGAGTAACTAACACAACTCTGAAATGTTCAAAGCTCCTGTGAGGAACTTTAAGTTTATGTCACAGTCTTTCGCACAGTCTTAGCTTATCTTGTCCTCTACATTCTTGACTCTTCATTTTAACTAAGAATTTCATCCTGCTGAAATTAAATCATGAAACATGTTATTAATCATGCATATTTATGTTTATATTGTACAAAGTAGGGTTGTTTCTTCAGCTGCTCAGTTGACACATAGCCCCTTGTGTTTCTTTAGAGATTAAAAATTAGAATTGAAAAATCATTATTATTGATGGTATATGGTATTATATGAATGTGAATATCATGAGAAGGCATTCATATTATCTTCAGTGTATTTCATTTATGTATTTCATTGTCTGTATGTTCTTATGAGGCTGCAGGACATATGACAAAACTAACTGCAAAATTGCATTTCTGAGTATTTCTTCATTCAAATTGCTGTGAACCTCTTGCAGACCAAATGGCAGGCTCAGACACAGTAGGATTTTCACTCTCTTCCAGCAGCTGCTTGTTTTGGGGGGAGCCCTGACGAGTTGATCACCGAGTGCAGCGGAAAATGTGTGATTATTACTTTATGGAAATGCAATCAGACCAAGATGCTAAGGCAGAAGAACTACAGCATCTGCAGTGCACATACAAGATACACAAGAAATCTGATTGCATTTCCATGAAGTAATAATCATAAATGTTCTTTCTTGAGCTGTGAAACTCCACTGAACTCGGTGATTGACTCGTCAGGGCTTCCCCCACAAACAAGCGGCTGCTAAAAGTGAGTGGGTGAGTTGTGTTTGGTTTCTTTGCTAAAGGAACCAGGCAAAGCTAAAAAGATTTTTGATGGCTAGTACTATGGCTGGGACCCTATTTGTACTGTTGATGAAGTTAGGTGCTGTTCTGAGCATTATTTGTGTCTATAGAGTGGCATTTTGGTTGAGGCTTGCGGCAAGAGATGTTGACCGCTGTGTATTGCTATCTTGCGGTCGTTACTAAAGTTGGTATAACTAGGGAAGCAAGCAGTCGGCAACAGTCATCTCTCGAGGGGATGTCTAACTCGGCGTTACAGTGTGTTTGACCCTAACTTAAATTTACGCTGGAAAATCCCTTTAATGTGAAAATTGTAAAAACTGGGCTGTTTCTTCAGTTGCCTGGCTGACACATTGTACAGTTTAAGTATCATTAATCTTGCTACTGACAGTATTTGTTTGTTTTTGTATGTCATTTAAAGATAACAGTATGGTCTTTTTCATAACTGTTAAAAACTCCTCACAGGAGCTTTAAAGTTGAATGATACTGTTTAGAGATTCACCCCTGAGCCTCTGTTGTTCACGTTAACATGAGCGTTCTCAAAAGTTAAAGTTACATGTAAAATTTAAAAAATGACAGACATGTATAAAGTGAATAAAATGAGGTTTTTTACAGTAGATACAGGTAGAGTGTACTTGTGTGTCCACACTGTGGCTTAATGCCTCTTAGACCACCCCTGTATGTGGCCTGAGGGATTTGGTCTCAGTGCGTCCTGAGTGTGTTTACAGTTTAGACTGTCCACTTGAGATCAGATCACCCAGGAGTTTGGTTGATACCTGGTGTAAACATGCAAGTTAATTTTTCCTTTGTCACATTTACAGTCAGAAGTTCATGAAACTGTGCCTCAAAACTGCACTGCTCACATTTGAAAAACAAAACAGCCAACTTTCAGACAGTCAGAAAAATATGATTTTCTAAGTCCCTTTATTAATATCCAAACATACCAGTTCACTCATTTGCCTTATCCGCCTTAAGTGAGGAGACAGTGAAATCCCAGCACCCAGTTGGTACACATGTGTGGGGCAAAATATAAACACTCAACTGAAGCCAGGCCAACATTAGAGACCCTATCAATACTGGGGTAGACAAGTCTTATGGACCTTATAAAATATGCATTCAACATGGACCCCACTGGACCAGTCAAGGGCTTGTGTTTGCTTGCAAAACATCGGCTAACTTTTAAACTCAGACAGACAATGGGGGTTGAAATTTTAAGCATTCACATGTGGAAAAAATGTCCTCCAATCATTGTAGAGCTTCAACAAAGTTGGGATTGTATTTCTAAAATGAACCATCATCTGATTTTTGTAGGTATTAGCTGCAAAAGATTCCTAAACCATTATTTCAAAGTGACAGAGGGGAGTTTTGTAGTTACAAAACAGAGCCTTCAATCTCAGTGTAGGTGAGCTTCATTCATCTAAATTGCCATTTGAGTTTTCCCACTCAGTGTTTTAGCTCTGCTTCTGTGCGACGGTTCTCTTCACAGACTTTTAGCTGTGTGGGAGTCGATCATGAAGGCAATAGGATTAGATTGAGGGATACACAAATAGAGTCTGCTACAGCCCTCTCAAATCCTACTGTACTCCAGAGCTCTCAGAGAAGAGGAGCTTAGTGCTGCAGGGACTCTGCCGCTTAATCTGTATCGCTTCTTTTTGCCTCCACACCTACTTCAGTATGTCCAGGTTTCCTCTGCTGCCAGCTGTCTTTGGTTTTGTTGTTTCCTTGACTTTTTATTCCTCTCCAAAATGAAGAAGAAAAATTACACATTTTCTTTGCTGTTAAACAGTCTCAAAGACTGTTAAAACTGGAAAAATAACAGCGATCTCATTTATATCATCACCTGGAGAAAATCTGGATTCTGCTCTGGTGGATTTGAATAATTTATTATGACTCATCTGGTCTGTGGAGCCTCTTAGTCTCTTTTAGCTGATTGTCATGGTTTTTCAGCACCTAAACTCGACTGTCACCAGCAGCAGGAAATGTGTTCTCAGGCAAGCCAAAGGAGAGTGAATGCTGGTTAAAACCACAAATTAAACATGAATGCACCAGGGGGAAACCAGCCTTAGCTGATTAACTGGGCCAGGATTTGACATTTGGCTGATGATCTGTGCCTGTCTTTTATTTCACAGGCAGATGATAATGAGATGTAAATTAATGTCTCCTGAACTACTTATGACCATTTTCCATCATGGCCCTGAAAAGACAGTAATGGCCAACCCCTACTATTTATTTGTTAATTACTGGATGATTGGGAAACTCCAAACTCTTTCAAAATAAAACTTGGTACCAGGATTACATGTTTTGTAACCAGATAATATGGTTAACCAATTGAAAAAAAAACAGTTAACATGATGATTATCAATTCAATAAAAGACAAAAAGACATAACTGTTTTCTTTTCTTGACTTTAAAGCTCTTTCTGGGTCTCATAGCGTAAATGTAACCTTTTCTGTTCCTTGAATTTCCTATTGAGATCTTTACTTTTTTGTCTATTGTGGTGCCTCTAGTGGATAGAGCAGTGTTTGCTTATCTTGTCCTTTAAGTAGTGTCTTTTGACTGTCCTGCTGACTTTTGACAGTCAAATATACAGTATTGTGAATATTCTATACGGAAATTGTAAAAACAGGACAGCTTCTTCAGCTGATCAGTTGGCACAGCCTTACATTATTTTGAGGCATAAAAAATTGCTGTTGCTATTGGTCTTGTTTGCTTTTATATATCATAAAAAGCATCAGTATATACAGTACAGGCCAAAAGTTTGGACACACCTTCTCATTCAATGCATTTTCTTTGTTTTCATTACTATTTAAATTGTAGATTCTCAAAACTATGAATGAACACATGTGGAATCATGTGCTTAAGAAAAAAGTGTGAACTAACTGAAAACATGTTTTATATTTTAGATTTCTCAAAGTAGCCACCCTTTGCTTTTTTGATAGCGCTGCAAACTTTAGCTTTTCTCTCAATGAGCTTCATGAGGTAGTCACCTGAAATGGTTTTTACTTCACAGGAGTGCCTTAAGTAACCCTGACAAGGTACTTCTGTCATCAAGAGCAAAGGGTGGCTATTTTAAAGAAACTAGAATATAAAACATGTTTTCGGTTATTTCACACTTTTTTTATAAGTACAAAATTCTACATGTGTTCATTCATAGTTTTAATGCCTTCAGTAATAATCTACAATGTAAATAGTCATATAAAAAAATAAAGTAAAGACATTGAATGAGAAGGTGTGTCCAAACTTTTGGCCTGTTCTGTATTTCAGTCTATTTCATAAACATCAAAAACTCCACACATGAGCTTTAAAGTCATTGAGGTCTTTGGGGAGAGTTTTATCTCTGGCAGGCAGACAGGCTTCAAAATATGTAGGCTGTCTATCAGGCTGTATAGATTTGTTAGTTGTCATGATCTACCATAAAGAAACCATTTTATGCAGATGAAAAACAGATGAAAGGGGGTAGTCACACATTCACTTGACTTAAACAAACTGACAAATTGGCGTTTGCTCAGTATTTTAAATAAGTCAAAGAAGCTTGCTTGGTGCTCAAAATGTGTATTTAGGTCATAAGCGTCATGCCATATGTTGATGTAAACTGTGCTATTAATAGTCATGTGTTTTCCTCCTGTGTCACACAAATATCAGTCTTTTTGGTTTTATTAGCTCAGTTTCATTTTCATAGCTAGTTAACATGTTCCCACATGTGGTGACTGCTGTCAGAGCCAATTGTGCGTTAATACATCTTTGACTTTTCTTTTTGTCTGTCATTGGTATTAAAGCGCAAAGATTTGATGTTTTTCAACCCTAATCTTACCATCTTTTTTTCCACTTCCTTCATTCAGATGAACCAGTGCTTCACATTCAGCAAGGAAGAGGAGCAGAGCAGAGAGGTATAATCAACACTTCAATCCTAACATTTTCCTTCTGCTAGATTCTAAAAAACTTCTAAATCTCTGAAGTTTCTCCTGAAGGTTTCAGTGTATTACCTCATTTGGGTTTGTCAAGACTTGTCTGAAAAGCGCTTGTGGAAAAATCAGACATTGTTTTTGTAAAATATTAATTTAATGCAAGTTAACAGACACTTAAGAAAGCTGTCAGAGAGACATTTGCACATTTTAGTTGATATTGTGTTAAAGGTCTTTATTTTTACCTTATTTTTTTTCCCTTTAAACCTTATTCTTTTCCTATATTCAAATTATATGTCAATAGGTGACGAAATCCAAGTAATCAAACCTCTTTAGAGAACAAGGACACTGTTCTCTTGCATAAGAGCCCAATAACTAGCAGATTTTACTCTGCGTTATGGGGGGAAAAAAAAGAAAAATACTGCAAAATTCACTCTTGCTCTGGCCTAATGTGTGAAAGTGCCCTCTAGGTGCCCTTCCTCCATTGGTGAAGTGGTACACGCAGCTCTTCCTGTCTGTCCCTCAGACAGTATGTGTCCTCTGGTTTTAGAGGAAAAAAAGCTTGCTAAGTACCTTTCAGGGTTATGTTTAGTTCAGGTGCAGCTTATGTACCTTTGCGTGCTTTCATGATCCTGCAGACATGTGCACACACAGAGTATATATCTGCATTCACACTGCAGGGAGACATTATGCAAGACAGCTCAACACACCATTTATACAGCTTGAGCTGTTTGCATCTGGGCACTACATCAGCCAGAAGGCATGTCTGAAAAAGTTTGAAATGTCCCTTTCACTGACAGGATCACCAGGACATTTATGGAACGCAAAGATTCAAAGTTCTATTTTAAGCTTCACTTTTCCTCTTAAAAAGCCTCTCTGTCATTAAGATTTCTTAATATATGTAAAACAGTGAGACGGGGAACAGATTAAATACAGCTTTTGCTCCACAACTTTACGCCTGCTGCAGGGAAGAATGATGTCAAGAGACGAAAACTCTTAATTTCATACTTGCTGCAAGTTGAAATAGTTTCATGGACAGTCTTGGTGATTTGTAATGTTTCAGTTAGACACTATGAACTACAGAATACCTTCAAGTCACTGTATGTTTTGATGGAAACTGTCAGTCCTGGTCTTACCTGATATATTTCTTGTGTGGCACAGCGCCTTGGGGAATTGGTGCTGGGTTTCCTGAACAGAGAGCTGCAGCCTTCCTGCCTACTGGCCTGTCTAGAGACAGTTCGAATCCTGTCCAGAGACAAAGACTGCTTGAGTCCATTAGTCAGCCACTCTGCCATGTCCACCCTCGCCCGCTACGCTGGCATTGCTGTACCTGGAACGTCCTTATCTGAGTGCAGCCAGCAGGTGGAGGGCCAAAGTAAGTCCCTAAGATTTGACGGTAATCTTGAGTTGACAGTTGAGTGTTCTTGTTTGGTTGTTTTTCCTATGATGCACCCTGTGAAATCCAAAAAACTCAATTTGAGTTCAATGTTTGTATCCTCAGTTCAGCAAACATTTCGTAATGAGTCCATTAGCAACTGCTTTATTTGCCTTTCATTTATCTTCTTAAAGCAGGATCTTAAATTAGATTTAATGTACCCTTAAACTTTTCTGGTGGTTTTCTTCTCAGTGGACAGCGAGGGAGGAGAGGGAGGAGAGGGAGGAGAGGGAGGAGAGGGAGGAGAGGCAGCAGAAGTCTCTCCTTCAGAAAACGCTGACCAAGAAGTGATCTCTGAGGCTCTCAAATCTATCTGTAACATCCTGCTGCACAACGAGACCGGACAGGTCAGGTCCATCTTTAAGTCTACACACACATTTTCACTACACTCAGATTAACACATTTAGATGTCTCTGTAGCCAATTTATCAACGTATCAGTGGATGTAAGTGTATTGATTGTGTGTTGAATGGATGATAGGCAGTGGCAGCAGATCTGCAGCTGATAAGGGGCGTGGCGGAGAGGCTGAAGCAGAGTCATGATCCCACCTGGAACCATGAGGTATGGATGCCTGTTTTACAAGTATGATACACTTAGGACCATCTGTGGCACATAAAGCAGATCACTACACCAAGATCCCAAAACTGGGGTTAGAGTTTGTTGAAAATCTGATATGATGTTAATTATTTTAAGAAAAAAAATCCTTGCAGTTGCCTGATGATGTTTAGTCATGTATACTTGACGGGCTCTGTCAAGATAAACTGTAAACTAAGACTCACCAGGCATGACTCCACAGTTTGTAATCCTCAGAGGAACAGCGACAGTACAGTTTGTCTTAGATAAGTACTAGTGTTGAATATCCCTCTAGAAAAGCATCTGCTCTCTCTGTTTAGGTGCGTTTCTTTGACCTGCGCCTCACCTTCCTGCTGACGGCTCTGAGAGTGGATACGAGGGCACAGCTGGCTCAGGAGCTCCATGGCATCAGGCTGCTGGGTAAACTATTAACAGTGTATATATCTACCAGGAAAACAAATGTCAGCCTTGAGTTTGAAATGTGCTGACCTCAAGAGCACATGTGAGGGATAAGAAACTGTTTGTACGCGAGTTTTCTTCAGTGGTTTTGAACCCTGACAGGGTGAACAGGACCTCATCTGTAACAACCTGCTTGCTCAACATTGTCCCGCCTGTCACATGGACGCTCATCTAATAAATCAATCATTCACTTTTTTGCTTTTCCCAGTGTAAACCAACTAACATGACATTAACCGGTCTTCTTTTAGCTGATAGATATGATTACATTTGGTCCCTCAGAGTGAAACAATTATGTCTTAAACTCAGCTGATCAATAATATATTGTTAAATCCCTGTCCTGTGTATTTTCTAGGTAACCAGTTGGATGCTACTCTGGGAATCTGCTGGCCAGATACACTGGAAACGACCCGTGCTGGGTTTGAGGGGTGCCCACCTGAAGAAATTCCCCCACTTAGCCGGGAGCAGACAGAACTAGCTATGGAAAGTCTGAAGATACTGTTCAATATCACCTTTGACACAAGCAAACGCAAAGTCGATGAGGTACTGACAAATTACACTGTAAAGTCCAGACTTGTGATAGATATTTTACAAACTGAGCTGAGTTTTTTCTTATTACAGCCCCAGCATGTATCTGTTTTATGGTTAAATATGAATTTGATGACGAATAGGGGCCTATCATAAGACATCACATCCAAACATGTGCCTGTCCTTTCACCTTGCAGGAGGAGGCAGCAGAATACAGACATTTGGGAGCCATACTGAGACACTGTCTCATGAGCCAGGCTGATGGAGAGGAGAGGACCGAGGAGTTTCACAGGTAGAGACAGCTTGTACTTCATCTGTCTGTCCGTCTGTTTCATTCTTCTTTAAAGCATCCCCTTGACATGACTCTCTTCATTTTCCTCAGCCATACTGTAAACCTGCTAGGCAACCTCCCTCTGCCTTGTTTGGATGTGCTTTTGATGCCCAAAGTGCAACAAGGCTCCATTGAGTACATGGGGGTCAACATGGACGCTGTCAACATGCTGCTGGAGTTCATGGAGAAAAGACTGGATCGGGTAAGACATAATCAGAAATTGTTGCCTATAATGCTGTGAGAACAGTATCTTGAGGGTTGGCCAGGAGCAGCAGCTGTAAAAGTCAGGGTCCTGGTTTATTCAGTTGAATGAAAAGGCCTGATTTATATGACACAGGGGTTACAATGAAGTGAAACAGTCGGATAAAATACCTTTAAAAAAAACAAAACACATTTATTGTCTGATGTCAAGTAGATCATAGGAAAGAAAAACAGCCTTTCAAACTAAAACTTTACATCCAGAGGAAGATGTTTGTCACTAGGGGGAGCTGTCTACTGACTGATGACTGAATATGGTTGTGACAAAACTACAGCGCTTTGTAGGGATTAATATTCTTTGATAATTTTTTACAAATACATGATGTGTTTACACGTAGGATTTTTTTAGATCAATTTTTGGTAGATCTTCTCGGACTTTTTTGTCAGCTGATAGCTTGACTTCATTGCATTATTAATGTTGAATTGTCTTCTGTCATTTTTCAGGGACACAAACTGAAGGAGACCCTCCTCCCTGCACTGAACCAGTTGACAGAGAGTGCCCGCATCCACAGAGAGACCAGGAAGTTCCTCAGGTCAAAGGTAGGCCGAGGCAAAGCAAATCCAGGATGTAGATATTTTTAATGAGCTCTACTGTTGCTTTGATGGCTCAGGTATCATGTCCATTTGTTTGTGTGTGTGTAGGTGCTGCCCCCTCTGCGTGATGTCATGACAAGGCCAGAGGTGGGTGACACTCTGAGGAACAAACTGGTCCGTCTGATGACCCACATTGACACTGATGTCAAGGACTGTGCTGCTGAATTCCTGTTTGTCCTCTGCAAAGAAAGTGGTGAGAGGAATATCAGTTTGCTTGAAAACAGAAAAATATTTTGCAACCACACTTCGAATGAGTTTCTCACTATTTCAACCACACTTCGATATAAACGGCTTTATGCTCTCTGTCCAGTTTCAAGGTTCATTAAGTACACCGGGTATGGAAATGCTGCCGGTCTGCTGGCTGCCAGAGGACTGCTGAGGGGCGGCAGAGACTCTGGGGTCTACTCTGAGGATGAAGACTCTGAAACAGAAGAGTACAGAGAGGCCAGGAATCAGTCAGTACCACATACACACCGTGGCAGCAGAAGTAGACCCAGAGAAGTTGCCTTTTGATCTTCTGATATCTCTCTGCTCTCTGTTGTCTCCAGAATAAACCCGATCACAGGTGTTGTGGAAGAGGAGCAGCCCAATCCCATGGAGGGAATGACCGAGGAGCAGAAAGAAATCGAAGCTATGAAACTGGTCCACATGTTTGACAAACTGTCAAGGTAAAAACATTAGCGCACACACACACATGTTTAAATGTGCTCACTCCTGAACTGTCACACACAGTGGCAGTTGCCCTGTGCTCGAAAACAGTGTTAAATGATATCTAAGTCGGTGATAGCAATGTAACAAAGGAGTGTTAGTGAACATAGTTACCCTCAGATGATGTTAAAGCTACTATGAGGGTTTTTTTTTTTATGTTGGTTATGAAACAGGCTGAAATAGACAGGGAATGAGACCATTGACAACAAGACTGATAATATCTATATTTTTATTTATTTATTTTTATTATTATTTTTTATTACATATATATATTTATTTATTTTAAGTTTTTTTGGGGCGATTTTTCCCTTTTTTATTGATAGTACAGGGTTAAATGTGGGGAGATAAAGAGAGAGGGGGAGGACAGGGCTGGACTTGAACCCACGACCGCGGTCCCCACACATGGGGTGAGCTAACCCACTCGGCCCCTATATTTTCATTTTTGATGGCTGTAACTGCTGTTAGGGGGTTGACACGCTGAAGAAACTGCCTTTGTTACTGTATATACTGCAAATATTCACAGTGCAAAAAGACAACAGGAGGAGATCTCTTTGTCAATTTACATGACCAAACCAGCAACGATATAACAGAGTTAACCACGAACAGAAAGTTCCCAACAGGAGCTTTAACACAATCAGGAACTAAAAGTTCAGATTACTTTTGGTCAAAAAAGCACATAAAAAATATCTTTTTCTGAAGCATAGCCAACAAGTTTTTTTAATGCCTCAATTTGTCAAAACTGTGTTCGTGCCAAACAGATGACAACCTGCTAATTATCGATGCCTAAAAACTCATTTAATGTAAAATTTGTAACTTTCTGACCAGACATTGATTATTGATTACACTAAACAATCAATAATCATTGCCTGAAAATTATCTGATTATTAGTCAGTTGATTATGTATGTGGGATTATGACTGATTATGTTGATTATGGCTGACAAAGTAAAAGAGAAAGATGAAGAGACTTCCTGTACTTTCTAAAATCACTAACACTTCTGTTTTTAATAATGCACAAATCCAGTTTTCACTCACACAGTACATTCCCTCCTGCAGGAACAACCTGATCCAGCCCATGCAGCTCGGTATGGACGGGAAAATGCGAGAGGTGACTCCGGACGACATGGTTAATCTCGTCAAAAATCCGTTGTTCCAGCCAGAGGAGCCACATAACTCAGAAAGTGAAGATGAGTCCTAAAAAAACCCTGAAACCTGAAGGGGACAGAAGGGGAAATCTGTTACACTATTCAAAGTATTCACATGCCACAGGGTCTAAACTATTGTCGCTTATTTAACCAGACAGGGGCAAACATGGAGAGCTTGGATTAGTCAGTTAAAGTCAAAAGAGACTGAAGTCAGTGGGAGGCAGCTTCAATGATCATGTCTGTCTGATTTTGTTTCACCAGTATTCTGATCACTTGTCAAAGAGCACTATCAGTCTGCAGACGTTTGTTTTACTTCTCTTCAGGACATTGCTAGAGTGAATCAGCTCCTCCTCAACCTCATATGCTTCACAAAGGTAGTGCGAGTTTGTATAGGCCTTATGTGCATGTTTAAAAGGACTAACTAATGATCATTACATTGTCATGCAGCTTTAAAATACAATAACTAGTTCAGTATAGAGTCGTAGGAGTGCCATAAAGACAGTACAATTGTGCTATGTGAAAAAAACAAATTGAAAATTCATAACAATAAAAATTATCGTTTCGCAAAATAATTTTGCTTTAGTGTATTTTGAATATATCATCGGTTGTATTCCTTAAATTTATTTGATGGTTTTTATTATTTTATTACAAGTTTCCACTCTGTAGATGTATGACTGGTCTGTTATTGTGACTCAAACTAAAAATTGAAAACACAAACCAAAAATTGAATTTAATAGTCACTATTGGTAAAGTATGAGACAGATAATGCACAAGTTTTTTCAAAAGAAAATCTATTTATTTTTATTGATATGGACACAAATAAATGTAAAAAAGCTATAACTAATGTTTTTGCACATTCATTTCTCTCTAGCTATCTGGCGTAAACAAATTAATTGTCTTGATGGCACTCCTATGGTTCTAATGCTGAGGTCTCCCATCAACTCCCATCTGAGACCCAAACAGGTGAAATCCCATGAATTGGATTCTTAGACATGAGAAGTTTGATTTTTAAACCAGGAAGCTTTGAAAATGACATTTGAAAACTGTATTAGTATCATGTTTTCCAGAAACATTATCTTATTCTCTGTTACTCAGGATCTAATCCTCAGACCTCGCTGCCCACCATTTATAATGAAAACTGTTTACAGCACGGCAGGAACTAGTCTCTGACTGTATTTGAAGTTTGTAGGGACATTTTGAGATGAAGACGAGGGTCACGTCTACCTTTAATGAGAGCTTTAGAGAATGTTTGTGACATTGTGATGTTGAAATATTTTTGAAAAAGTCTAACACATGTATTTTAGATGCTTGTTTTTTCAGAAAGCCTTCAGATGTTTTATTTTTAGAAGTGAAACTTGAAACTGCTGAAAAGTTAACATTTTAAGATGGATGACAAAGAAGCTACAATCTAAAGCATATTTCATGTATACTCCTTTATATAGCTGCCAACTTTATCATGGAATGTAATATACTTTAAACATATTTCAATAACAGCGGTGGCTCGTGTTTTTCTTTTAGGCAAGTACCGTGATAATGGGATGAGTGCTCCATCATGGCGTACACTCAGTACTCTGGAAAAGTGTACGATGCTGCCAAAAATCTATTTCTGCCCATCTATCTTTAAATACTGCGGAAATAGTAATGCTATATTTAAATTATCACATCAGTTTCATGTCAAAGTTAGGGGTGTCCCGATCCGATACTGATATCGGATATCAGTCCAATATCTGCAAAAACAAAAAAACAAATATCGGACTATATCAGCCTGCATCTAAAATCTCTGATATCAGCACTTCGATACAAGCAGTCCATCCCAGACTCCGCTCCAGCACTTCTACCTGGCAGCAACACCCGGATCCAGCATGTAGAGCCCATGTAACCACAACAACAGTGTGTACTAAGGTACTAACAAAGTAGCAAGGAGTAGAAGTGATGTCTGCCATGTGGCAGTATTTTTTCATTTATGACGTTGCAGTTGAGTGAATAACTTATCATGCACAAGTTTGTGCTAATATTGGATCAATTTGGCCGATACTGAAGGATACAATATCAGTATTGTATCAGAAGTATAAAAGTTGTATTGGGACACCTCTAGTCATGGTAGCAAGCTTTTAGTAGTCCTGAGTCTTGTTGTCATAAACAGTGTCGGCTGTAACCATGTTTTCATCAGAACCAGGAGGCCTCAAACAACAGACCCTCAACAAAAGCAAGTGAGCACAAACTTTTGACACAACTCATATTTTTAATAATTATTAACAAGTATAGGTATGGATTTACACTCTCTTCATAACTTTGTTTTTGTTTGCTTTCTGTAGTTTTGTACATATTTTGTGCGTGCAAGGCAAAGACAAACATGACTGTAGAAAATAAATTCTCCCCCCGGGGATGATGCGGAGGACCAGGTGCCTCCAGCACAAGGAGCTGATCTGAGGTCTCCTCTTACAACACACACTCCTCTCTGCACACCCACCCTGAGAGTTTAATAGACTGAAAGTCATCTCACACAACAGCTGATCATATATTGTCTTAAGTTATTATCGTAATGAGTAACTGAACCTGGATTGATATGAATGCCACAGACTGATGTGATTCCACAGAAATATGCAGAAGCATGCAGAGCTTTCGTGTCCTGTGTGTTAAGTGTAAATATGGAGATTCTGAAAGGCGTCCAGTGAAAAGAAGGCAAAATAAATGCTCTCAGAAGAAAATATGAAACATCAGATGGTGTGATGGGACTGTAGGCGACATTAAAAATGTAAGTGATTTGACATTATCTTAAATGGTAGAAATTTAGAAGAAAACAATTAAAAACAGGGTTGTTTTCTTTCGTGATGAAGTCCCCTACAAGATCTCAGAGCCGCATCTCCTCTATGTTGAAGTGAAATTTGTACGAAAAGCTGGATGAAACACAAAAATTCATAAATATAAATAGAGGCAAATCCTTCAAGAAACCAAATCTTTATCCTCTAAATTGGCACCCACATTAAGAATTTCAAAGGTCAAAGGTCTGTTGCAGAATCCAAGCATTTTGAGCATCGAGTCAGCTGAAACACTGATCTAATAAAAGCCCTTTGATACTTGAATTTATCAGCTGGCCCCTGGAGCACAATCAAAGAGTGATTTAAAAGTAAGTCTTGTCTCTTCCTTCAGTTCATTATCGTTGAGGAGTGAGGAAGCAGATTTAACAAAGCAGCGCACGACATTGTTAGTGAGGTCCTGCAGGTTCCACTTCATCCAACCTTCACAGTCGAACAGACAAATGCAATAAACCAGTTCTATGATTTGTGGTGTGTCAGGTTCTTCCCTGAAAATCGGTCTCAGCTGAACCCTAAAAAGTGAGACAAAACAGCGTTGAAAGGGGGAAAGTTCTGCTGCTGTACAGCTGGTATTTCTAATGTGCTTATACATGACTTTAGGTGTATCCCACAAATAAATCTGTCCCTAAAGTAGCAGGAACTTTTCACTGTTAAACCTTCTACTAAAGGCTCCAGAGCATTTCAAAAGGAGTTCTCTCCACAGCTGGAACTGTGAGTGGATTAATTGTCACCTGGAGATTTTCATGTTGACACTGTTGTGGAAAACCAAAGTTGCTTACTTTCTGAGGCAAAGTTCCTACAGTTCCTGCAGACATGAGGAGTTCTTCACCAGTTCTGACTACAGCAAAGACAACATCCTGCTACGAGTGACATGGCATTAGTTAGAAGACCATTAGCAGACTAGAGTTTAACTGAAGTAAGACCAGCTCGTCTATCTGACCACCCAGATTTTATTTTGGTGGAATTACAACTTAAATAGATGTATATCAGAAGGATATCGGTTTTGAGAGGTGGTGTACTCAGCAGGACCTCAGTAGTTATGGTAAAAAGTCAAAGGAAAATGCTTTATGTGTTGAAATAACAAGCATGTTAAAATTCCTCTGATTTTTGCAAACACTCATAAGGGGATGTAAGAAACCTCCTGAACTAAACTGCTGCACCACAGTGAAAAATAAAAAAAGGCATATCAGTCAAAATAGTAAAAAAAAAAAAATGCAGTGAGTAAACTAACAATAAAACATAATAAAAACTGGAGGTTTGGACATTAAGCACTGAAAGTTTGAGACAGAAGGCTTCAGACAATTTACCAAAACAACCGCAATAAAAAGAGAAGCTAAAGCAAACAGGCTCACTGTGTTCAATGTTGATAAGATGCAAGTCATACCGACATTTGAAGCTGAAGAAACGTTCTTGTGGAAATGAGGATAACCCCAGAGATCATGATTATATCAGGTATAAGAGGTATAAGAGGTGATATGTGTGAAGATGTGTTGTTGATGAGCCATTACTTTGTGGAGTGTACCATCAAGATTTCACTGCCACCGAGCTGATGCTTCAATCAAAAGAGACAGGCGGCTTTAAATTCTGCCGGCACCAGAGGGGGAAACAGTTCATGCCCTTCACTGACTTTACACTGCCTCCATCTCACCTGTCTCTCTAGCAGAGTAAAAACACAAGTCTACTGTCTAATAAAGTGAAAAGACAGCAGAGTAGAGAATAAACGATGAGGCAAATACAACATCTGAGCCTTAAAAGACAAAACAAATAAGAGGGTACAGGCAGTATAACAAGCGCTCTTGACAATAAGATTGTGAAAACTCAATTATTTAACCAGAAAATTATGATTGTTGCTACACTTTCAATGCCTGCCTTTGATTTTACATAGTTAAGTGAAGGAAATCCAAGACAGAGCATCTATAGAGAGTTTGTAATCAAACTTTAAAAGACTCAAGTTAGAGTGGATGATCCTCCTACATTGTGAAATCTAATATTTTACCTGCATACTGGAGTTTAATTCGTATTGTAGCAGCATGTTGTTGCACCGTTTGTTTTCCCCTCCAGTAGGCGTGGCAAACACGGTTTAATATGCCGCTCTCTGTCTCGAAACGCTCAGCTGAATGGCTGTGACCTTTTTCAGAGTCATATAACTCGATGCAAGTGCTTGATTGAATAAGATTCATCTGAGGTGGTGCTGATTGAGGCAGAGGTTGAAAAAAAAAAACAAGACTGAAGATGTTTCAAGTAGAGTGATGGATTACTGCTTACCCTGCAGTTGTACAACCACGGGTCATAAATGTATGAAGATTGGGAAAATAACCAGTCAAGAGAATAGCCTGTATATCAAAAGTGGAGGTAGCATCTTTGTTTTCAGAAGTGAAGAAATAGAGAGGACTTAAATGCATTCTCTCTAATGACCAGCAGAGGGCGACCATTTGTACAGACAGTATACAGTTTCTAATCTTCTTTGATAACCTCTTTCAGAGTAAATGTCACATATAAAGAAATGCTTAAATGCTTGGTCACATTGAATTAAAGCAAGGTGTATCCAATCAGGGGTCCAATAGCTGAAAATAACCAAGACGCTAAATTTGTGGCTTCAGAAACAAGAGATGATGTCACGGTGCTACAACCACTTCTCATATACAGTCTATGGTCTGAAGGAAAAGACTTGAATGAAGATTTCAGACACTCATCGTCAGTGCTTTTGTTGTCAGCTTGCTACAGCGAACGTCTGTACATCTGCTGTTTGGAGTATCTGAGGGGTATTGAGACGAACTGAAAAACAGCTGAGTATTAAGTAAACTCAAGAAAAAACCGTTTCATAACAGATTATAACGTTTGTTCAGCTGCTTTAAAAACAGAAAAGATTTGGATCTTTTTTTTCCACATCAGTTTGACCAAACACAAAGAGTACAGATGTTGGCTGACAAGTAGCTGTTTCCTGCAGGACCAACAAAACATTCGAGCCACTCTCAGACCTCGCACACCCCGCAGCCCCCTGATCTCAGTGATGCCACAGCCCCTCCCCCCTCTCTCCCAGGTGTCTCCTCAGGTGAGTTAGTCTGTGTTTTTTTCAGACAGGGGGGGCTCAGTTCTTTGGTCTGCTGGCTCTGCCTTCACTATGTGCTCTTTAGAGACCGCCTCCCCGCTCTCTTGTGTGCTCTTTCTCAGATCTACTGTGCCCGGGCTCTTCTCTTTGAGGGATTGAGGACTCACTTCTGGGAGTTTAGATGCAGCTGGGCTTGTGCTGGGGGTCTTTTCTTGAGACGGTGGAGACACCAGGAGTTTTTCTAGAGTTTGGGTAAATATAGGGGATGTGCAGGGGCTCTTTTTCTGAGATGTAGGGGTCACAGGAGGCTTTTCTAGGGTTTGGGTTTGTGCTAGAGGCCTCTCTGGGACTGGCGGAGCTTTGTCAAGGGCTGCAGCTGGACTAAATAGTCGACTTGATGCTTCATGTTGAGCCTGAGCTGTAGAAGAGGGACACACAGAGCTAGGCGATCTCTCTTTTACAGGAGGAGGGGGCTGCTTGGTTTCAGTTACTGCCCCGGCATCCTTTTGGACATCCTCCTTCTGTTCTTCTGCTGCCTGTTTCCCTGCGTCACTGGCTGGGCAGAACAAGAGCAGACGGACAGATGAAAGTACAATTTTACAGCCAAGAAAGCAAGAAAAGTAAAATGTTGAATTATGACCATGACAGATAAATACCTCTCTCATCGTCTCTAGCTTTTTGTGCTTCCTCTCCACTTGATGGATCCTCAGTGCAGGTGGGCAAGTCTCCCCTGTTGCCCCGGAAACGGATGGGTGACCTCTGTAAGACTGCTTTCAGCTCTGAGAGGGATGGAGTCAGAGAAAAAGAAACATTTAGACTTATTAGGCATCGGGACGTCATCTGAGGCTGTGTTCAGACTAAAGTAGGAAAGCTTTTGTTGCCAGAAATTCTATTAGCTGTGTTTTTACCTCAAGTCGAACATAACTCATCAAATTTTTGCTTTTTTCATACGTCTGGAAACCAAAATGTCATTTTTGTGCTTGTGACTTCATGGATGGCTGCATACAGCTTGGTTAATTTCACCTCCGGTAACTGTGTCTTTCCTGCAGCCTCCAGCTATTTTAGGCAGACCAGTGCTCAGTTTGATGACCTGCAGGCTTGGCTCAGGCCCAGGATTTCTCTGATGGACATCAACTACTGGTGTTCTGTTTCTGCTGCAAAGCCTCAGTCCATCTGTCTCATGTGTAAGGCACATTGAATGTATCCAGCAAGCGGGAGATAAACAGTCTTACAACTAACTGGTCAAGAACAGGCAGAAAAAAACTATCATATTGGAAAGTTCTACAAAGTCGTTCAGTCAGGGCCGTCTAGGAGATGAGAATGTTCATTTATCTGGTTTAATTGGTTTATTTGTCGGAGATGGACCTAATATACACACACACAAACTGAGAACAGCTATCCCAACATTCAAGTATCTTGTTAGTGAATGCTAATTTTCCATACCTGTCCCCAGGTGAACCTTTTTATTTTTTTTTTAAGAATGAACAGTGAGTAAAACAGTAAACAAAGAAAAGGCTAGAAGGTGGTCAAATTTACAACGTGTTTCAAGTGATCAATAGCAGTGTTGTATAGTAAGTAAGGAGCAACACTTCAAGTACAGTACTTGAGTATAATTTTGAAGTATCTGTACTTTACTGGAGATTTTTTTGCGCCTGCTACTTTTACTTTTACTTGACTACAATTCTAAAAATAAAAGTATCCTTTTACTCCACTTCATTTCACAGAAGCATCTTCACTACTACTATTTTTACTCTGTTGCTATGACAGCCGGTAGGGGAAAAAAACTTTTTTCCCTTTTACCTCATGTTGATTTGCATTGTGCTTGATCATCGTCAATCAGTCACTCAAGCCCAGGCATGTCTGCAGCCACTTGTAGGCTGCACAGTTGCTTGTACCCACCTAAATGTCCAGTGTCTATTTGACAGTTCTTGTCATGCCCAACTTCTGTCCTAAGTTCTTTGACTGTTGGAGGATCCACTATTGTTTCTCCTGATCGCTGGTTTGTGTGTGTGCCCCTCTGTGTGTTTGTCTGTTTATTTTTCTAAGCTGTTGCTTGCAACCACCTGAAATGTGTGCTTATTTGGGCATAAGTGACTTCTGCAAAAAATAAGAATATTTTATTTGTACTTTGACTTTTTACTTTTACTTGGAGTACATTTACTTAAGTACTTTTGATACTTAAGTCGAGAGAATGTGATATACTTACAGACTTTGAGTAGAATTCTCACGGGAGACTGTCACTTTGACTTGAGTCATTTTCTGCTAAGGTAACTGTACTTCAACTCAAGTGTATTTGTTGAGTACTTCATACAACACTGATCAATAGCAAGTTTCAGCATAGCACCATCAACGGCACCTTCAGAGTGTGTTTTTTATTATGCCCCTGACTGACACTCGACCATATGGACATGCTCATTTTTCTCAAAAAGACCAAAGTAGGTAAAAAACAAAGGACACTGTTTAAGATATTCTTCTCTTTGGTTCTTTTGTTGGAGCAATTCCACATTCAGCAGGGTACTGGATTTAATTTTTTTTTGTGTGTGTGTGTGCTTTGTGATACCGCAAATAAATCCATCTTACCTTGTGTCATGGTCAAAGTGTCCTCATGGACAGACACAGCTCTACGCTGTGGGAGGGGCTTCATGTGTTGACGTGGCTTGGGAAGATTCTCTAAAAGTTTGCAAACACACATACAGAAACACACGAATCAAAAGATGAACATTTTTCATTTCATTTGCACTAAATCTGAAATCACCAGAACTGAAGAGGCTGACCGAGGTAGACAAATGGAAAAAAAGGAGGTCACTGCAGAGTAATAATTTCCGACAAAGTAATTTGATATGTAGGTATGTTGAAAGACAAACTTACTCAATGTGTCTCTCTGCAAAGGATTGTGTTTGTATTAGTGCTTTTACAGCATTTCTCACCTGAACTCATGCAGGTGTACAGTGAGTTCAGATCATAATGAGCTCTCGGATGTACACTGAGCCTGCAGCTGGTTGTTTCTTTGACAGATCCTCCCCTTATAAACACACCTCAGTGACAGCACAACAACTCCCCTGATCTCTTAGGAGAGCTTATTTTCTATAACAGATCACCTCCTCTTAGCTTCACTCTAATTTTCAAGAGGCATTTTGTGTGAAAAAGAGGTCAGTCAGGCGTACCGTCTGTCACTGATTGTGCTTTCTCAGAGCGATCCTGTGCACTGGGACCCCTCCATGGAGATGTGGCTGGAGGAAGCAGCTCTTTCCTGGGAGACAGGGCTGGGGCTGGACCCTGGGGACCCTCCTGACTTCCATTCTAGTGAAAAAGATCAGAGAGAGCTCAGTGAAGGATGTGATGGAAGGACTGAGATAAGTATCTGATAGGTGAAGGCTCTAAAGGCTCAACAAAGCCAAGGAGAGGAGTCTAACCCGCTACTTTACCCCCATGTTTGATTCAACCTTTCTATCACTGGGGAGACAACACATACTGTAAGTTTACATGAGTACTTTTAACCAAGTAAATGTTGTTATTTCCATCTCTCCGCACAAAAGCTCATGACTCTGAGGCAGCGGTTATACTCACTGAAAGGGAAATGAACTTTCTTGTCAAAGTTTAACTCATGAAAAATAAATAAATAAATAAATGAATAAAAAGTACAAAAAACAACTCGATCAAAGCAGTGCTTTGCAGTGCAACAGAGGACTCTGTGGTCTAGTGCTTTGGAATTGCATACTCAGGCTGTGCTCTATTTTTATACAGCATTAATCACACACACACGCACGCACGCAAACACACACACACACAGGTAAGCTCATGTGATACACTGCATTGAATAAGAACTTATCCAAGTGCGGTTCTCGACACACAAAATCATACATTTCTAATTTATTAATCTATCTAAACAATGGCTGCATCTCCATTGATCAAAGACACGCCTTTAGTTCATTTGAGCCTGACAAGGTATTGTTTTTTTTTCTGGGAAGTAAAGAACTGAGAGCCTCCTCAAAAACTGGTGACCATTGAAAAATACAAACAGTTCGTTTTTTAAACTTAGGATAACGCTAAGGGTCTCTAATAGGGTTGGGAATTGGCAGATCACTCAATATACAATATCATGTTGAAGCAACATCAAGCTTCATAAAAAAAAAATGCTGCAGTTTTTCTAGCCTATATAAAACTGCAATGCCAGCCAAAGCAGGCACAAAGCTGATGTGTCGTATATATGATGTGATTTTTTTTCTCTTAAAAAACAACACCAGTTTTAACTCTGAGCTCTTTGCTAATAAATCAGCTGATCATCACAACAATAGAATAAAAAGAATAAAGTTCTTTTATCTAAGGTACTTTTTCTTCTTCTTCTGTGAGATCTGCTTAAATCCTGGATTAATTAACATTTACTATAATTAGCCACAAAAACAAAAAGTACACACACACACACACACACACACACACACACACACACACACACACACACACACACATACACACGCACACACACACATATATATACTGTATATACATATACATATATACACTGTACATACAGTGATTTTTGCAGTGAATACTTCTTCTACTAGGGCATGTGTTACCTGTGTAGTAGTCTCTGTCAGCCTGCCTTCATGACTGTGCGCTCTGAGCTGAACTCTCTCTGCTGAGCTGCTGGACGGAGGAGCCGAGGACGGAGCACTTGGGGTAGGGAGGGGTGGCTTGGCTGCAACGGCAGGTTTGGGTGGCAGGGGGCCAATGGGGCGCTCGGGAAGGGCGGGCTTCGGAGGAATGGGAGGGTCTGGTCGTGTAGGTTCCAGTACTCTTATTGGATACCTGGGGTCTGCTAGAAACAGAGAATGACAGAGACAGTGTTTACATATTGGTACGATTTAAAAAATTCTGCATGAGAAAGAAACACCAGGGTGTCCTAGTGCTTCTTGTTACAGTTTGAAGTATGCTAAAAAAAAAAGTTTGAGTTAATTTTTTAGCATTTCAGAGCTACAATCATCCTCAAATCAGTCATCACATTGACTGAGAGGCAGAGAAAACACACAGAATGTACAACAGATGCATGCAGTTTTTATATGTTCCAGATATGTTCTCGAAATATGCATAATGTATGCTGAGAACAAAGTAAATACTTTATGAACGTCTTTAATGTGGCATAAACAAAATAAGCGTGATGTTGAATACTGGAATGGTTGTGGAATCTTTTCTAAGGTAGAGGTCCACATGTGATCCATGTGTGAGTCTTAGGTGTATGTGCAGGTGAAAAATAGAAGTTTAATGTTTATTTAGTGCTATCTCTGGTCTTCTTGATACTTCAGAGCTCTTTACATCACATGTCACAGTCATTCATTCACACCACACTCACACACTGATGGCACAGGCTGCTATGTACAGCACCCATCAGTATCGATTAACTCCATTCATGCTCTGCTGAGGCAGCCAGCAGGGGCAGCCGGCGGGGGCAGTTTGAGGTCAAATGTCTCGCCCAAAGACATTTCATCAAGTTGACAGTGGGACCTGGGATTGAACCCCCGTCCTTCTGATTAAGAGACATCTGACTCTCCTGCTGAGCCACAGCCGCTCCTTTATTTGGATGTGTGAACAAATTCAAATAAGCTTGTGTTGTGTGTGTGTGTGGAACTCATTACGGATCATAGCACCTAATGCAACAGTGAACAGGGAGACCCCTGATATCTTAATAACAACAGTAGGGCTTGTTGGCGCAGAGGATGAAAAAGTATCAAACTGTAACACTCTCTCGACAGAAGCAGCCATCCATTTATTATCTAATCCACTCATTCGGTTATCTTTTGCATCACCAGGCAGGTGAGACCCGGGACAGGTTGCTAAACAAGCACAGGGCATTAAAACACACACACATCTAAATTTAGATTTACGAATTCATCTCATTCAATGATCGGACAGTGGGAGGAAGCTAGAGAGAATCCACATATACAGAGAGAAAGGCTCCTGCCTGACACGACACAAGCATGAACAAAGAACCTCAATGTCACGGGCGTAATGTTATTATTATTGTCCCAAAATAATAACTCCGATACCTGATGATGTAGACATTGTTCTGGGCTTCATGTAGGTAGGAGGTGGTACAGGTTTTTCCAGGATAGCACCTAAGGGACAGAAACAGCAGAGAGTTTTACAGCTGAGGGATCCTGGTTGTACAAGTAATTAATGAAATCTGAGCACTGAGCTCTACTGTAGCCTTTCTAATTAAGTCAGAGAACTGTAATTAGTCGCCCTAAAAACTGTTTTAAGGAAGCACAGCTGTAACTGCGTGAAAAAAGTCTGGTTTAGGTCTGAAATCCAGTTGCTGAGAATGAACATAGACTTTGAAAACCAACAGGACTTCAAACTGATTGAACTCAAACTGCATCTGTAAATATGTAAAGATATTAAATTTGTTTTTACAGGTCTGGTTTAGTCTCATAAAACTTTCAAAATCCCACATCTATCAGACACAAATTAGTTCCTAAATATGTTTTAGTATTTACGCACCAGCTGGCACATCTGAAATCACTTTTATGTCTGTGTGGGACTGTATTTTTGCAACACGGCAGAGAAAGCCAGAAGAGAGCTTATTCATTATTCATTTTGTGCTTACAGACTCAGATTCGGTCATGCTTTAATCACTTCCAGCCAACACAACATGTATTTGGTGTTGACTGCACATTTAAACCTGATTGAACTTTAATTTTCACATCACTTCTTTATACTTTTTGGAAACTTCAACAAATCCGATCTTTTTAAGGATTTAAGAACTAGTTAAGTTTGCAAAGAAGATCTCATTATGACAAAGTCAGAAGTGTTGAAAGTTGAAATTCAAAAGGAGACATAAACTGACTTTGATATGAAAAAACTTGAATAAATAAAATCCAAGCTAACAGAACGATTAGGTTGGATTTGATTGAGACATACACACATACCCTCTGAGTTTGCCTTTCTCAGCTCTTCATCTTTGTTCTAAAACAGACACAAAGGAGAGTATTAGAAAATATTGAATAAAAAAATCCGGATGAACAGTTGTTTTTGTGTGTGGACCCATAATCCAAGTGTTTGTCTGCTCACAGCTTTTCTTTATGTCGAGTAAATAAAGAAAATATCAAAACATGAAACACATATCGTAGTATGTGTGGCTTTTTGCCTCCCTCGTGGACAAAACAATTACTCTTTTCTTTTGTTTCATTGTAACTTTAGATTGTGTTCACTCAAGGGTCCATGACTTGTTTTCTCTTTTTAAAAAACTTGAAACAATGATGGCAGAGTAATGATTCGTTAGCATACAAACATTCATGGGTAGAACCAGCTGATGTGGTTCTACAGCTGATGTGGTTCTATAGAACCAAACAAAGAGCCCAAGTATTAATGAAGCAGAATAATTCTTGGTGTATTTGTCTCCTCTACAACCCCCGCAACTTAACATGATTGATATACAGACACAAACATATAAACAGTGACTATTCATACATTAGAAAACAATCAATGTGATGTGAAAATGAACAGAAAACAGAAAATGCATCCATCTATTACCTGGCTTGCGTTGGTGTCAGCAGGGGAAGTTTTGACCACACCCATTCTGTGCAGCATCACCTGAAGTCTCTGCTCAAAACTGGGAGTACTCTCAGATGCATGTTTCTAGAAGTTGGTAGATAAACATTTGGAGCAGAAAATATGAATATTAAAGCAGCAGAAAACTATCAAGCTGGTTAAACACTCGGTGTGTTTGAAGAAAAGATTTAAGCAGCTGCTGAAAGATTCAGTTGTTTCAATCAGTTTTATCATGTTACCAGTCTTCATCTCATGATTCAACTATTAACCTTTTCAGTTCTCAGGTCAGCCTTTGAATACAGTCTTCAGTAAGTTTTAACACGTTGCAGCAGCTACACTCACTGTAAAAAATACATCGGTAAAACGGTTTACACAGCTTTCAAAATTTGTAAATCTGTGATTTCTATTTCTCAAGCAATCACATCTATTCTGTCAGTACTTGTTGATTAAAGAGTGATGCATGAAGAGTGGAAAACAGACACTAGTGAGTTTTTATAGTCTGCCATTGCCAAGCACTCTAAAATTCACAATGCTGTTACAATTATTTATATATTTTCTAATATCTATCACATGATTATCACAGCCCATGAATCACACCAGCTCCAGTATCATTATCCTTGAAAAGGCACTGTGACAGAAGCAGCAGGTGTGTCAGCACCTGGCCCATTGATTTTTTTTAAATAGACAAGGCAAAGGCTGCTGTAACATCTGTCTTTTCGCTGTGGACATGTACACACAGAACATACTGAGCACTCTTCAAAAAATCAGACCCTGTACTGTTATGACTGTGGTCACATTTTTTAGTCTGTCTGCTGTGTGTGTGCCCTGTGTTTTTTTGTAGTGTCAATTTCATATGCAAATAGGTGTGTGCCACAGCCGCGCGGTCATTGGTGGATTGGCTCTACGTCCTGGACAGCGATTGGCTGAAACTGACAACCACCTGCTATATGAGGAGCCAAGATGGCGGCCACCGGTGGCTGCAGGCATTCCTCATCTTCCTCCTCTCCCAACTGGCCACACTGTTTTGCTGTGTTTAAACCCTTGTGTATTTTGTAGTGGATTCTGTTGAGTAGTAAGGGTGGGCTGCCAGTTTTGTTAACCTTGTTTTCTCCTGTTTATTTAGTTAGGGAGGTAAGCCTTTTGTCATTCGTTTCCTTTGTTTGGTTAGGTTAGTTACTTACTCCATAGACAGGATCATTTTGGTTGTTATTTTGGCCTTAGTCCACCCTGAAGCCTAACAACTCAGCCTTAGTTACTTTTCTATATTTATATGTTCATTTACTTATTTTTGTAAATAAATCATTTTCTTTATATTGAAACAAATCTCTTGTATGTGGCTACTTGGGACTTGGGGAAGATGAGGCCTTATCATGTTGTGTCCTAGGCACCCCTAGACTGGGGCATAACAGTACATTTACAAAAGAGAACTGGAAGATGTTGCTTGATGGATTATTGGATATTATCACATGGTGGCAAGGATTAAACTTTAGTATCCTCAATATCAAAGACACGCAAGTTGCAAATCTTAGTTAACTTGTTTTTGGACTGCGTGGCACAGAAATTTTCTCTGCTGCAGGCATGATGGATACTTTAGAATTACAACACAAATAAGTGATCCTGTGATTTATGTTAAGTCCTCATAGCTAAATCCACTAAGTCTGCACAAAAAGGAGAATATAGGGAGACCCTGCCTTAGAAGATCTTATGTGATAAAAATAGGTCTGTTTCTGGCTAAAGGTCATATTCTCAGCAGTGTGCAAAAGTTAGTCCATGACTGATGTTTTCTTCTTCATCCAGGAGCAGCTTCTCTTGATGAGATAAAGATTTTGTGATTTGTTTTTGTGGTCAGTGTGTTGCCAGACTTACCTTGTGTGCTTCTTCCTTGTCTTCAGGCTCGAGTCCTGTCAGCAGAATGAGACTCTGGCTCTTCCCCTCCCTCAGAGATCTCTTGGTCACCTTCAGTCTCCTCTCTCCAAACGGAGTCCCTCCAAACTTCATATCCTGCTCCGTCAGAGGAGGGGTGACCACAGGACTGGGGGTTTGATCTGGCGAGACAGGAGCTGCCTCCTCCTCTAGGTTGGTAAGGTCAGGGCTTGTGGTGGTGGCAGGGTAAGAGGGAGCGATCTCACTGGGAGGCGTCGTCACAGGTAAAGTCTTGGCAGGTGCCATCGCTACCATCACGTTGCTTGCAAGACGTTCGCCGACGGCAGCGGTTCCTTCTGTGATGGCGGCATCATTAGAAACGTTAGCATCCTCCACTGACCTTGCCCCTCTCCCCTTCTCTCTCTCCCTCTCTCTCTCCCTTTCTTTGGCCTCTCGGAGGGGTCGGATGAGGTCTGCGATGGAGGTCCTTTTGACCTTCACCCCCTCTCCTCCTCCCTCTCCCCCTCCTGCCTTGGCTGATCGGCCAGCTCGAGCCCTCTTGAAGGCGAAGAAGTCGCCAAACTTTTTCTTGATGTTTTTGGTGGGAAGTGTAGGGTTGGTGGTGGTGGTGGTGGTGGTGGTGACAGAGGGAGGGGCAGGGGGAGTGGGGGAGGATGAAGAGAGGGGTGGTACATCAGTGGGTGTAGAGGATGTGTCAGTAGATGGTACAGAGGGGGAGGTGACAGTGGTGGTGGTGGTGGTGGTGGTGGTGGTGGTAGAGGAGGTGATATTGTCAGACGAAGAAGAAAAAGGGGTTGAGGCTGAGGGGGTGGAGCTTGACTCTGAGGGAGTGGCTTGGGCAGGGTATGACTCCTCCCACCGGCCTTTTCTGCAGCGAGAAAACAGCAGAAAGAGCAACACACAAGAAGAGACACTCAGTACTACGACTACCACTACAGGACTCAAGACACATGCTCAGTTTAGGTAGACAACGCAAAAGATCATGCAAACAACACAAAAAGGGAAAATATCTGTGCGTAGTAACTATTTCATACTTGTCTGGGAGCCAGCATGGTACTGATCTGCTTAACACTCTGAGTCAAAGTAAGATAGCTCGATGAGAAACTGGCAGGATCAACATGAAAACAGAAATCTGTATCAATAGTCCTTTAACTCCTATGTTTCTTGTTGCATCATGTCAGGTCAAAGGTTTTGCCCAACAAATACCTAAAAAACTTACTTGTGGCTAAACTTCTATAAAAATATGCTTGAACAATCCCATCGTTGAAATGGTTGTGGTCTCTTTAGGTTTACCAAGGCCCTTCAGGAGTCTTGACAGGTCAAAACCCGGTCGAGACTGATCTTGTTCTTTGACAGTGTATTCAAGGTCTAACTACGAATCAAGTTACAAGACTAAAAATTCAGTCAAGCCACTCATGTTTGTCCAAGTTCAAAATGTTTTTTGCAGAAGCAGAATACTTTTGTGTTTGCTGTTCAGGCTCCAACCTCAACTTGACCTCATCACTCCATTCAGGCTTATTTTACCTGCAGAGATTTGAGGTGCAGTCAGATCAAAGCCTGCTGGTGGATGCACGGGCAGAAACTTGGAGTGGCACAGGCAATTACAGAGCAGAGAAAGAGAGCCTGAGTGTCTTGCTCCCTGAATAGACTGTCAAATTTAGAGGATACACATGTCAAGTGATTGTGCAGGATGATGCCTTTCAATAGTGTAACAGTGCAGCTTGAATTGCATGCCTGAACTAGCTCACAGACATCACTTCATTAAAGTGGAGAAACCTTTGAGAAGGAGTTGAGCTCTCAGACATGCACTTTGTCGAGTCTGTCTGGGACAAAGTGGGTTCAGGCATTTATATTTTCCTAATACAATCAGTCCAATCAGATATTGGAATGAGCTCTGAAGGTCCATTATAGTTTAGGCCCATCAATTCCCGAAGACCTCTAATGTCAACACAGCTGTTAGCCAGCTCATCATGAAAAATGCCCCAGTGTTCATCTTCCCCTAATGATTCTGTAACCCCTTGATTTTTTACCTGAGATTATTGTCGGGTCGGAGTTTCAGCACAACCAACAATTATCTCAAAAACCAAAAGCTAAAACCCGATAAAATAATGTTAAATAAGGCATTATATCGAGGCTGACCTGTAATCCCTGCTTAACTCTGCATACAAGACAACCACTTCTCTTAAAGCAGATGTCTCTGATCTTTGTTGAGCTCATTCAGCTCTCCAAAGTGTTTAAACACTTCAACTTCAGTGAGTGAGTCATCAATGCTGGAGTTTCTGTAATCATCCGCTATAATTTAGCCTTCTAGAGATTGATGGGATTCATGGTGAAGACACTTTTAAACTAACTTCTGAGAGGTGGAGCTCAGTCCTGCAATCCAGGCACAGAAGCAGTAAGTGCATTCCTAAATTGCCAATAGGGACAATTAAACCATAAGTGGTAGTGACAATAGACACCGTGTTAAAGTTGTGACAATTGCATCATTCGTGTTTTAAAGGTGTGCCAGTTGCAAAGCACTAAAAAGCACTGCCTTGCACTAAGGCCTGTGGCTGAAATATGTCTACTTCTAGACTGTATGTCTCTATGCCCTGGTTAAATAAGATAAAGGACATCAAGTGTGCTATTGTTTTCAGTCTGTGTTGTGTTGTTCATACACCTGAGGAGAGTTTATGTCTAGAGTGTGCTCTGAACATTCTTGCACAAGTCCCTTTTTGACCTTAACCTAACCTTATCAAATCCTCCCTTAGATAGAAATAGTTAGTTTAATGTCATTCATGACAGATAATTAAGATATTTTTTTATTTAACTGTAAAGTGAAACATTTATCAAGGGTTAGGGTTAGGGTTAGGGCTGGTAATTTACCAACCCTGAAACCGGAAAAACTATTTCTTGTAAGCCATCCAAGTAAAGCATCTGTCTGTCAATATATTGTGGCAACTTGTTTATGTCTTTAGTTGATCACTGGGTAATAGAGGGATGATGTATAGTGAGTGGGTAGCTTTGCAGATTAGAAAGCCAACATGGTGACATTATCCCTTTCTTATCCAACCATCTGGTGTTATATGATTCAACCAATAAGAGTGGAAAGGTAATGAATACTGCTTTGAAATCAGATTATATTGTCACACATTAAGTGAACTGCTTCTAGTCATACCTCACACGTGTAAGAGTGACTGAAAATAAAATCAAATGAACTGATTCCTCAAAACAATGCACTACTAACAAGAAACTAGCCAACATATAGTTAGCCAAGCTTGTATTCTGAATGCAGTTAACTCAGACATTTTGTGTTTGATTCACTAATTAAAAAATGAAGGTAGGCCGAGAAAAAAAGGTCAAAGGAGGGATACGAATTGATGTGGTGTAAAACTGATGGGGCTTAGGGCTTGTCAAACACTACTAAACATTTATCATGCAGTTAACACACAGACGAATATAGGGCTGAATTTTTTTTTTTGTTTGGTAACACATTCATATTCCGGCATTTATCAGGTGAGGTTTGGCCTGTTTTTTTTCTGTCTACTCACAAGTGACAGCTGATAGTTAATATTTCCAATTTTGAACGAAGAGTCACTTTCATACAAAATATATGAAGTTGGTATAAACTTTTTTCATCAGGATTTCAAGCTGTTTCAGTGATAGCTGCCGGCTCTTACATCAATTCAGCGCAATACTCCTGCCAAGCCTGTAAGTGTTAGTGTGTTAACCGGGTTTAGATTAGCAAGTAGTGGGTGGGGGGGACTGAGGTGGATTTCTCAGCAAAAGACACCAAATACAAGTAACTGTTTCAGCTACGAATTATTTGTCCATCTGAGAGTTCTGCTCAATAAAACTACAAAAATATTTCCATTGTTTGCTCTATTAATCACTTTTATTCTGTCGGATAAGCTTGTAAGCATTTTGTGTTTTCTAAATCAATCAGTGATTGTGAGTTTAATGCTATGTGATTCAGGTCATTTTTAATGTTAAAAAAAAAGAAAGAAATATAAAGGTAGTTAATACAAAAGCTGCTGGTTTTGCAAAGAACAATTACTTTAGAGCTGCCTTGTTTTTCATATTTAAAATGAACAGTGTGATCGATGCTCTCCTTTGACTGGCTCCTACAGTCACACAGAACTGTGATGCTAGGTTAGGACAGGAGGTGAGAAGGCAGACAAAAGTCAAGTTTCATACTATGTAAGTATCAGCCTGGTTGTTCACACTTGTAAGTGCCCATTCTTCCTGTAGATCAGCCTGTGTTTCTACCCTTGCTCTATTTCCTTTTTCCAGACGAGACATCCTTTGTTTTTTGTGTCTCACTATCTGCACAAGGCATAAGTGTGTGTATGCATGAGTGTGCATGTGCAAATGCAACTCACAGTGCATAGTCAGGGATGATTTTCTTGGTGAAGAACTCCTCTACTCCTTCGTCCACTCGGCCCATCCCCTCACTCGCCTCATTTTCTACCTTTGAAACAGGCTCCTGTCACAGAAAAAAAAGACAAACAGGGCGCACACCTCTCATTATTGCATGTGTGTGTGTGTGTGTTTGTGTGTGTGTGTGTGTGTGTGTGTGTGTGTGTGTGTGTGTGTGTGTGTGTGTGTGTGTGTGTGTGTTTATAAGATTTTTTTCCAAGACAAAAAAACTATTGAAGAGCAAAACATAGATGACTTACAAAGTCACAACCCTGATTTACATTGGCAAAACAGCAACTCTCATTTTCTACAATATTCTTTGTTCAGTGTTTTGATTCTTGTGAGTTCCTGGCTGGTAATAACACATTTGTGAGAGCCAAGAGGACGCAGATTCTTTCTGTGAGTCTATTTGACCAAAAAAGCTAATTTTGAAAACACCATGACAGTAGATGATGCTTAAAATAAAGATGTTACAGCAAACAAGTTAAAGTCTCTGAATGTTTCACACAACTTCAACCTGGCAGCACAGATGATCTAATAATCAATGTAGTTCAAATGAGAGGTCCGAACAGAACACACAAATTCACAGTCAAATGCAGAAATTATGCTGTTATGGTGCAGTTGACCTCGTGTCAAAATTTTAGCTTCATATACATATACTTTTAGACATTTTTGTGTCTCCACCCATGATATAACGACCTTAAAAATACTTGAGTCATAGTTTCGTCATTAACATGCTCATTGGCTTTCAGGTCTTGATCCTTATCCTGGACTCCATCCTTTAATAAATTATATCAACACTGACCTCTGGTTTCATGAAACCCCGGCCTTTGATCCTGAGGTCCAATCAGTTCATTCTTGAGTTCACGTTGATATCTGTGCCAAATTTTAAGATACACCCCTCAGGCATTTCTGAGATATCGTACTCACAAATATGGGTCAGACAGAGAAAAGAGAGACAGCCTAATACGGTTACAGCTCTGTCCCTACTGGGAGCAAAATAAATAAATAAATAGACTCAGCTGCTTTCCTCTGTAACTGATGTCCATCAAATGTCTTGAGAAGTGGTTCTTAAAGTGGTGTCCTAGGTCTAAGCGGGACCCTAGCAATTTATTATTTACTATATTACTGTTCACTGTACATCAACAACTCTGACGTCTCTGTAGATTTAAGGGTTCTTGACCTTAAGAGGTTTAAGAACCACCAGGTTAGGAAACATCCCCAAACTTTATTGCTTTTCTGGAGATATATGTGAAACCTGTGTTGATCCTTGTTATTGATTCGTAAGTAAATTGACTGTCTTGAAAAAGGCAAAATACTACTCCAGAAAACACCATTTCTACATGCTTGGGACAAACTCTGACACACTGTAACAAATTAGTAATCTTCGGAAACTTTGGTTTGTAACCTTTTTGAAATTTAACATAAAGGATAATGATGCACATTTTAGACTCTGTCGAAAAGTGGAACCTAAATATATTTAGCAGCCCTTACATAGCAATGTCTTTGGTGTTATTTAAAACAACTTTGCATTTTTAAATAAAAAACCCATTTGACCATATACATTTAGGATTTTTTTTATCCAACCTGACTCCATCACTTTTATCTTGCAGTAGATCAAAAGCATGCAAGTGAACCTGCTTTTAAATGAACCTGCTCAGGCTGCTGTGGGCTGAGGAATAAGGAGCTCCAGTCCAGGACGGTTGTCATGTGTAAGCATTATTCTAACTGGGTCAAGCATAGTCTGCAGAAACACACATTAACCCAGTAGAGCTGCTATTGTGGAGGAACAAGGCCTTATGCTTACCCTTTACATAATGTCATTTTGCACTGCTCGGTGCTCCTATATGTGGCAACACACAGTAACAGGCATGTTGACAAACCCGTGATTGTGGCTGTTCAAGAAGAGGATATAGCCTTTATTTACTGTAAAAGGCACACATACAGAAATGAAGACAGCTCACACCAAGATAGGTTTGCAAGACATTTGCAAATAGGGGATAAAAATCATCTGACACTTTGAGAGGAAATATGATATCCAGTTACATGCCAAATTATAATAGACATATTAAAAACACCAACAAAAAGTATAGCTTTAAAAATGCATCCTTCAAATATGTGTGCTTGATAATATCTCTGTCTGGTTTGATAAACCCCATCACTTTTGTTGTCATTCTACCTTAATTCTCAGCTTTCTACTCTGAATCCATCTCCTAGGGCTGGGGCATAAAAAGATAACGGTATATATCGAAAATTAATTTCCCTCAATATCAATACAATACTTGGTCAATATGCTTTTCAATAGTCGGCATTCTGCCATGTTTTGGTAGACTTTAGGAATAGCCAATGAAAAGGGGAGTTGCTCTGGGTCCGCTTCGTGTTGAACCAATCATGTGCTGAATTAGAACCAAGCAGCAAACAACTGCGTAGTAGCAGGCTGCAGCTACATGCAACCATAGCACTTTAACATGTGAAGCTGACAGCACTGTTGGTGAGATAAAAAGAAAATGGGTGCTACCCCTGCAGAAATGCACATAAAGGCTCAACAGATGATGACAACGTCGACAACACTGGCATGAAAACGTTGGTGGTGTGGAGCTTTTCTTTTTTTTTTTTTGGGGGGTCGGACATAAAGGAGAGTTATATGCACTATGTCGAGTACATGTTCTCACAAAGTCGCGGAATACCTCAAATCTTTTTCACCACCTGAAGCAGCGCCACATGGCAGAGCACGCACAATGCAAAAGGTTACAAACCCCAAGGAGCCCATGGCACCTGTGCAGCCGAAACAGCCGACCATTCAGTCCACTTTCTCTAGCGCAACACCTTACGACAAAATGTCGAGGAGACACAAAGACCTCACAGATGCAGTAGCTTATTGTATTGCAAAAGACATGCTACCAATAAGCACTGTTAAATTTCCTTTTTTATATTGTGATATATGTCGATATCGACTGATTTGAAAAAATATATCATGATAAACTTTTACCCATATCGCCCAGCCCTACAGTCTCCTATGTCTTTGTTATTAAAGTAGAGACAAATACAATGAATATAATTAGGTGGAGGACAAAGTCAAGACAGTTGTGCAGACAGAAGGACAACAGCATCACCTTTCACTAAAACAACCTTCAATCTTTACATATCGAGTTTCTCATAGATAAATCCAGCTGAGAGGACACAACTGTTCATGAAAACTTTTGGGTCTTTTTGTCCACAAATTTACAAGCACAGATCGCTTCATTTACAGCAGTAAATGCAATATTGACATTTTAACAATAAACACAGCTATTAAGTGGGTGTTATGTAGTGTAGCCACCTTTCAAATGTTGTTTTTTTTTTTTTTGCTTTTCAGTCATGATGATTCACTGCATTTTTTTATGGGGGAGGTTTACAGAATTTCTTTTACTCAGAGCCATAATTTATGGTGACGGCAGGGCTGGCAGCAAGCAATTTTTTTGGACTGTTAGGTGTCCTAATGTTTTTTCTAAAATATGTGCCATTACCTTTTAGAACCTGTCCTGGTCTGACTCAGGGAAACAACTTGTCTCACAGTGTAGTTCCTACTATATATCCATTGTAGAGGTAGCCTTGTTGCACGCTACTCCTATCTCCTGTCCCTCTCCCTTCATTTATCTACAGTTTTTAAAAAATGATAAACCCCAGAAAATGCAGAATAGGAATACAATTTTTTGAGATATTTTTAACTCCAACTGATGATAGACGAATGGCTGATAATCTAAAAAATCTGACTTCATTCTTTGCTGAAAGTGGAAAGAATCAAACTTTAAAATTCGGGAGCCAGAAGTCCTCCTCATGAATGCGGTGTTTGTCTCCATCTCTCAGGCTTTTCCATCTATCATCCAGTAGAAATACTGTGCCTCTCTTTCATTCTCTGCCACCTCCTTTACAGCCACCTGTCTCTATGAGCTACATGCCAGCATGGCACACAATTGTTGGCACACACACACTCTCCCTCACTCCCATGCACACACTCACACATTAACTCATACACTTGTTACTAGGGGGCAACAGATCTGTCTTTACTCCATGGATGAGAGGTGTGTATGAGGATATTCATACACAAAGGAGGCTGTGACACACTTCAAATTTATTTGACAGGCCTCATGGTTCCAGTCAGAGATTTTTACAGTTTTCACTCATTGGAAGCAACAAATGTTGATGCGGTCAGTTTGGCTCTAGATGAAGCTATTCTTTGCTTGACAGCAAACATGCATCACACAACTCCTCCCATGGGTGGCACATTACACACTGCAAATACTGCAGGCCTGACTTGGCAGACTGGAGCAGGTGGAAGAGAAGCTTTACCAGGCAGCAGATGGGAGAGAGAAGTAGCTGTAGCAGGAAGCAGTGGAAAGATTGTTCATTAGAACAGACCATCTTGTCATGAAAATAATCCACTGTACTTCAGCTGGTCCAAAACCCTGAAGCACATGTACTGAGAAGAATTAGGGAAAAGATCAGATTTCATCCAAACTAGCTCCTCATAAAATCTGGACAAAACCATGAAACCCTTATCAACACCAGCAAAGCTCTTCACGATCAGGTACCATCATTCCTTTGAGAGCTCATGGTCTCCCTCTTAAACACAAAGCTTATAACATACAAGCCTGTTTTCAGAAACTAAAGTTTATATTAATAATATGGGAGGTAGAACCCTTAACTACCAGGTTCCTCTACCAGTCAGGAAGCAGACACCCTCTCCACTCTGGCTTATACTTGCATCATACTTCCCTTATTGTACTATAGGCTAAGACTGCTGAGAGAATTGATATATGACGTTTCTGCCTCCTCTCTTCTCTCTTTATCTGAATATATAAATGCCCACAGTGGTATGAGGTATATATCATTTGGAACAATATCTCAATTGCTGTTTTAACAACGTGGGAATGTTGCTAAAACAGCAGAGCTCTTCCTATGAATAATTGTGTAGTGAGTTATCCTGTAGGGTTAACTTTTTAGGATAAGTCCAGAACTGCTTGAGGTCTCTGTCCGTCAAAAGGTTGGATTTCCTTGCTATGGATACCAAGTTCTTCTTTTTAGTGAATTCATGTTAATGTCTCTGTAAATGATCACAATCGTATGATCTAGATTGGCTGTATGTGTTCAGAGTCATGAGATTTTTTTGTTGTGAACTATACCAATAAAAACTTAAATTAAATACACTGGCATATGGAGTTTGTGTCTCGATCTGTTTGGAGGTCTAAACAGAGGACTATGAGGATCATAAACTTGTGATGTGTGTCATGCCATAACATCTTATCCATTTTGTACCCCATCTTGTTCTTTGCATGTTCTTTGTCCTCCTTTGGGACCCCCTAAAACCTGAAATTACACCTCAGGAGTGTTACCCTAAGTTCAACATCTTGTAGGGTGTTGTGTGCCTGACATTAGTTCGCTTAAGCAATCTTCTGCAGAAAGAAAACAACTTTTGACTAATGATAGCAGACTACAATGCAATGTTTTTTTTATGTTCCAGTTGCAACATGGACACTTGGGTAACCCATCACAGACCGAGACTCAGCCTACAGTCACATGTCTCACAGAAAAGTGCACAACTATATCCTTCAAAACCATAACCATTATGGCAAAAACACCATTTCCCGTTGTTCTTTGTGTAGGTAATGTAATTCCCACAGCTGGTGGTAAACCTCTACTGCATGATCTGCCTCTGAATCACCTGATTTTTGCCCGTGTAACCACGGACCTTCCTAATGACTCCTGTGTGTCCGTTTATGTCCACAGTACAGTGTGAAGGTTTCCTTATGCACTGCCAGATCCTGACATGTTGCCTTGTGTTCGGACCATCTGTCACCCTCCTTTTCTTCAAAATGAAAACTCTTTGACTGTTTTTGAAGTATTGTTTCTACTTGAACTAATGCCACTCATTTGAAATAAAGGATAAAATTAAACAAAGTTCATCTGAAATACATTTTCAAGAGAGCCAAACTGCTCAGAAGCGCTCACATTGTAAGGTGACGTTAAACTCGGAAAATGAGTTTCGGTTTTTAACCAATGTAACATGGTGGATGAGCTTCGTTGTTTTGAGTTGATGTACACTTTCCCATAAGGACCATTTTTAGGTACAGAAAGCTCCCTGAACAAACACTTAAATAGCTGTTACTTACATCATTAGGTTTTAAGTTATGGAGTTTGAATCCAGCATTTCTCTAAGCATAACGCATCACAGCCACAGGGGTTGTGAGGTGGGTGAGAGGCAACAGTGTGTGGTTGCTCAATGGGTCCCACAGAGCCAAAACCAGTTCCAGAGAAGATAGTCTCTATTCCTTGAATAGGGCCTCAAAATCGAGGCTGCCTCCAGTTCTCAACGTACATCAACACATGAAAGATCTCCGGGTTATCAAAGTGATAAAGAAGACAGTCCAACTTGAACTGTCAAACTTCAGTCCTTCAGACCATGTTAGTTTTCAGAATTGCCCACTTCACTGTCAGCAAGACTGGTTAGGCAAAGATGGAGCATTGTTATAACTTCTCTCACTTGGAAGTAACTTCAATCGGTAAGCTACAGACAACTGCATCCAATCTACTATGCTCCACAATGCAGAGTGCCAAAACAGTCCCAACAAAACTTCACATGTAGATCAATGTTACATCACCAGCTTGACCACTAACCCATTAGAAAACATCATCAGCCCAACATTTTCTATGAAAGGCAGCAAGTTTAGATGAATAAAAATAATAGAGAAGATGATGTTCCATTCAAAGCAACAAAAATTCTGGATATACACAACTGAGCTTGACTTCTATTAAATAAAGTAAAAATGGTGAGACTCTGGTGGTCCAGCATTGGATACAAGGAGCATGACATGGGGAAGCAAGTAGCCAGAGAAAATCACAGTAAAAATAAGATAGTTTCCCCAATATGATATTTTCTGATAAGAATCTATTTAAATTCTGTTGTTGGTCAAGTCAGAAAAATAAGATGAAAGCTGATCGTTTTTCCACTGAAGTATCCTTACTTGACCTCTGCAATAAGTTTGGAGACGCTGCTGCTGAATATCACCGACTGCAGCTGATTAGAGGTTCAGGATATAGTGTTTAATTTAATTGCAAATTCCAAGCATAACAAATATTAAGCTTTGTGGGAAAGTGGAGACGAATGTGTATTTATGCAGATTCTACACTGTTTTCTTTTTGGCACACCCAGCGTTTTCTGACTCTGTAGAAACAGATAGACTGTGTTTTCAAAAGCTTAGAAAGCAGACGCTAGCCTTCTCTCGGCCTTCAAAGTTCAGGCCACAAAATCAAACACTGCATGTTGACAGAGTCTCAACCACTGCTGATTCAGAAAGGAGAGGAAAGACATGTATATCATACACACTCACTGGATGGACAAAACACCTCACAGTAATCTTGCAACCATGTTTTGAAGACGTCTTATAAATGTGGAAAAGTAAAACTTTCAGACACATGCAGCACAATTTATATGTATTGTACTGCTTTTTACATCCCACTCTGGCCATTCAGTTACTTATAGAAACTTGTGGTCAGCCTTTATAAAATCCATCTCATACTCACACCAGTAGATGGTTCTGGTTGGCCCACCAAGTGTCAACTTTCTCTATGAACAATAGTAACTAACCTCTTGAAGTTTCCAGCTATGTAACGTTAGTACCGATAAAAAACAGTGACAAAGCATTTCTTCATTTTCTGCTGCTAAAATTATTAAAAAATCAAAAATACATTGTCGGGTGAGTGACAAAAATAGCTAGTGTCACTGGTGCTTGTGCAAGTAGAAGCTGCTCCTTTACGTCTACCTAAGCCACTCCCCTTTCCACACTCACACCCCAGCTTGTTGGATGTTGTGTCGAACCAGTCTGCTGCAAATGTTGGAACCATAGACGATGGTTTGGTTAAGTTCCTAATATTTTCTGATGACCAAGCGTTGAATCCCCCTCATACAACAAAAGGGTCATCACTGAGTCAGAATCATTCACTGGACGATGACCAAAATAGTGAAAAAAAAAACACAGAGGGGCTCTACGCATGTGTTGAACAGACTGGGAAGCAAGCAAGACATAGGTACTGGGCCACTGCTAACCCTCCAACCTAAAGCCTTGTGATGCTAATGCTAGCCCCATAAAACAAACATGCAACTGAAAAGAATTTATAAGTGGAAGACTTGGGCTTGCGGGTTAACTGGCTATCAAACTGGCATCCATGCTAATATCAGCATCTCATAGCTAAACCTGACACACCAACAAGTATTGCTCATCATTTTTACATGAGACAGGCTGGATTGAACAATTTGTGAGGAGAAATTCAACCTCCCACCTTGTCTGGCAAACAAACTTGCCTGGTACCAGGCCAATTTAGCATAAATTGAGATTGTATGCTAAACTCACTTATCACTTATATAAACTGGCTAAAATTCAAGGTAAGTGAAACTAAATATAAATATGTGACTAAAAAACAAACAAACTGATATACATGGGATTGGGCCTAGACTAACTCCTCTCAAGTCTTTGAGCTAACTTGGCTGCCCCACATTAGCACTGACTGAATAAAATCATGGACAGCGTGATAACAGCTACCTTATGTGAAGCCAAAAAATGTTTAACTACCTCCAGAGACTGGCTGCAGTTCAGGCTTTGAGGCCTTTACCATGATAACAGACGGAATATGTCCAATTAAAATCTTAAAGCACAAGTCGGATGCATTTTTCTCAAACATGCTGTGTGTGCTGAGAAGTGCAGTTTTAATTAATTGTTTTGATATTCACTACACATGGTGATGAGCACTATTGCCTGGCTTCGAGATGGTTCCTGGTTCACATCCCTCGGTGGGCATTAGCCTCAGGGTGGTGTTTGCATGTTCTCCCCCTCCATGAGTGGGCTTTCTCTGGTTACTCTGCTACCTCTCACAATCCAAAGATGTGCGTTTTAGGTTAATTGGCTGCTCTAAACTGCCTGCAGGGTGTGTGTGTGTGCGTGCGTGTGTGCGTTTGTGTGAATGGCTGTTTGTCTCTACTTATTAGCCCTGTGATAGACAAGGTACCCGTCCTGGGTGTACCCAGTCTCTGGCCCTATGAGTAGTAAAGATAATAGATGGATAACAACTGATCACCCATCCAATTTACATTGATTTGCACAATAATCTTTACATCAAATTTAAACTCTTTTCAACTATTTTTGATTTGCTGAAATTATTATGAAATTAATTATAGTAACCATACATGTATAATTATATGGTCATTATCGCTGTTGTAACGTAAAGTCTGATTAATCGACAAACATGAATAAATGCACATTGGGGTTTAACCCAGTTTCTCTTCCTCTGTACATGTTTTCACACAACACCTGTATTTATGTAAAAAAAAAAATAAAAGAAGCTTTTTTGTTAATAAATTGACACCAATTGTTGATAATATTTAGCTTGAGCTACATCTGGCCAACGCAAAATGATGTGAAACATGGCCATTCTATCTTGGCCTCTGTCCTTCATTAAGAAAGTTGAGTGAGATTTTGTTGCTTGTTTATATCACATTTTCTTTAACAAATCTAAATTTTTGCAGAATGTTAACTGGGAATCGTCAAATTGGGATAATGATGAAACTGAGATGTTGTGTGCAGCCTTAATTCAAAGGAATGACTTATCTATGCCAGGCTGTTCAGAACATTATCTACTTTAGTCATTTCTCCTAAAAAAAACAAGGTGACAGTAAAACACCACAACCCTAAAGTGGTCCGACAAAGAGAAAAAGTCCCACAATTTAAACATATACAAGGTCACTACTGATGAGGAGAAATCCTCTGTTTCCATTAACACACTGACAGCACAGAGAAAGAGACCCCCATTAATGGGAAAACATGAATAATTGAGTTAGTGAAAGCATTCCCAGGAGAGAGAGGGAGAGAGAGAGAAATCGGCTCGGGAACAACCCAGGGAACACCACTCCCAAAATGCATGTGCCTATTCTCTCTCTCTTTTTCTCTCACACACTCATAAACCCACACATACACACACACACACATACACACACACACTGAGCACAATTACATGTAGAAAGAGAGTGCAAAAATAAAGATGGCTACTATAATTACTACAGCATTACAGAAAGATAGATAGATAGATAGATAGATAGATAGATAGATAGATAGATAGATAGATAGATAGATAGATAGATAGATAGATGGCCATTATACTGCATTAACCTTCTCTTCTTAGTTTGCCTGTTTTCTCGTAGTGTTGTTTCTACATATCTGTCGTTTTTCTCCTTGGGAATCCCTCTGTCATCCAGCAATTAGCTTCCTGCTTCATCTCCCCTACCCGCTATCCCTTCATACATCAATGTTTCCCTTCCATCTCTCAGTCCCAGCATCCTGTTTTCCACCGCTCATGATGGCTGTATTGCACTGACAGAGATGTCAATGCACATTTTGTATGCAAATGAATCGTTCAATGTGGTCAAGCAAAATGCAAATTGGGGGTCATTTCTACATCCTCATATACATATGTATATGTATGTGTGTGTATGTATGTCTGTGTGGTCATTGGTTAGTATTTTGAGTGCATGTGTGTGTGTTCTTACCTGAGGCCTGGAGGAGGGGGGCTGTGTGTGTGTGCGTCGTGGCCGTGGTCGGGAGGCAGTGTAGTGCCTTAGAGTCTGGCCCTGGGTGGGTAGAGGCTCCATGGGAGAAGCAGGGGAACCAGAGCCGGGGAGGGGGCCTGGGCTTGGAGCCTCTCGTCTTGGTAAGCCTCCGTGGCTGGCAGTCTCCTCCTGTGGAGCACGAGCGGCGATGGAGTGAAGGAGGGGGAGATCGGGAGAGGGAATGAGCGATGCTCCTCTAGCTCCTGATATTGCTGCTGCAGCATCCACTGCTGCCACCTCCCCCTCCCTCCGCCTCCTCCCCCTCCATCCTGAGGGGGATGGGGGCGGGGATGTGAAAGGGGAAAGGGAGGGGCTTGAGTCTGTGACTGACAGTGTGGTTGCTGATGGCAACCGAGAGAGGCCACACCCTCCCCCTACTACTCCTCCTTCTTCTTGCTCTGCTCCTCTGTCCCTCGTCTGCTGCTCCCAGTCTGCATCCAGGAGACCTGAGAGTGAATAATATGAGTGATGAGGGGGGAGGAACAAGGAGGTAGGATGAAAGAGAGAGGGAAGAGAGGAGAGAGGGAGGAAGGGTAGGAAAAATTGGGAATGGAGCCCACGCAGAGAGCTTCATTTTTTTCTGGCATGTGTTATGCTGTAGGTATGTATATGTAGGGCAGTGAGTGTAGTGCAGTAAGGGGAATAAATTTGAGAATAGAAAGGCAAAAATGTGAAAGCAGAGAGGAGCAATGTTGACAGAAGAAAAGAATGGAGGACAAGAGGGGAGAGCAGAGCATGGAATGGAGAAATAATCAGTTAGGCACAGATATGCAGAGAGAAGGCAGAGCAGCAGATGGATGCGGCAGTCACACTGTGCTGCACACTTATCAGCCTGTCATACAGAGCTAACATCCTAATACACACACCACAAGATGCTTTCTCAAAGGGTTAAATCTACTTATTCATTACTGCTATTACAGCTAATCTTAATAATTTACAGCCACGTTTGATTCATATAGATTATTACATTGTCCGATATAAAAAGCTTTAAAATTATAATCCTTTTCGAAAACCGCCCATATAATTTTGACCTAATTCTTTTTTTGACCTACATCCTCTTAACACGAGCAAACAAAAGCACAACATTGATATTTCTATAGATTTGCTTTATCATTACAGATTTTACAGCCTTTTATCCTACATCAAACAAAAGGAGCATGGGTTGGGTGTTATGAGCCGCACTGCCCCCAAATCCCTGTGCTTCCCCCCTCTTCCCTCAGCACCCCTCCTCCATCTTCTCCCCATCTCATCTCCTCCATGGTGGAAGTCACTGGTGTGAAAGTAAACGGGCCATGCTCCAATTAGCCAAACAGAGCTGTCTGCGCAGAGTGGTTCAACATGGCAAAGCTCACATAAAGAACACAATGGGACAAGATAAATAGATGACAGCAGGTTAAGAGCTAAACCAGAGCCCAAATTTGATGAATCGCAACAGAATTTAAAAAAGATGGTGAAAGTCTAAATCCATCACACTTATTTACAAAGCCATGGTCATTTCTTCACAAGCAGGATGATGTTTTATTATCTTCTGGCTCTATGAATTTTATTAATCATAAAATGTGATGCACTTTTGCATTAAGTGGTTTAAATTTATATATCTGTGCATTCCTAATGACTGAGTTTGTGCCCTCAGGTAACTGGAAGATAATCTCAAATGATTCATAATTTGTGCTTTGAGATCCCAACTGATGCTACATAACATGACAAAGGAGTGGGTGAAAGTTTTGCTGAAATCTCTCCACTAAATTGACAGCTGAAAGCCTTCTATTGACATTTGAGTTTGTGCAACCGAGGAAATTTTTACATGCTTAGGTCAAGGGGAACAAAACACAGGTGTGGTGATTACACTTGTTTTTGACACTTGTCGGCACTCTAGAGTGATATCTTGTTTGTGTCTCTCTCTTATTCCCAAGAGGTGCAGCAGCCCGTCTTCTGCTCTGTCTCCTTCTGCACCAACACACCTGCAGCCAATCACGCCAATCACTCCAATCATGCCAATCAATCATGCCACCTGCATTTAAGCTCTGCTGAGAGGCTTCTTGTATGCGAGATGGCATCTCCTGTGGTATCTTGAGCATTTTCCTTGAGTGTATGTGTTTCTCTGTGACTCATTCCACTCCTCTATTTTTTCTCCAGTAACTCCTTAAACCAGAATACCTTTGCCCAACTTCTGCCACTTTGCCAGACTCTTTCACCGGATTCACTCACCTGCATCTACCTGGAGCCCTCACACTAAAACCTTCACCTCACCTCGGAGTTCTCTGAACACCCTGGCCTCTGGATCCCTCCTCACCACCAAACATCTTTAATAAATTCACTCAACACTTCTTATGTCTTCGGTTCTGCTTGTGGGTTCAGTCAATCACAGGTTTGACTACAGGTTTGTTACCAAAACTAAGCAGACAAGTAGGTGTGTTTTTGTCTTGAGGGGAAAAGTTTTTTTTTTTTTAGGGTTGAATTAGGTACTTGTCAACAGTAAATATACTGTATTACCCACAGAGAACCCCCAGTTAGCTTGGGCCCTTACATGAGACATTGACCACAGAACCAGAATGAAAGCTGGGATATCAACTACCCAACTGCTGCAGACGAGTCCAGCTCTAGGTCATTTTGAGAAACTCTGACCAAAACACTCATGTCAGTGTAAAAGCCCATTCATTTTTGCACTATTGCCAGACATGGAGCATACATGTTCATTAGGATGAATGAGAGCCGAAACGAGGAGTGGGGAACTTGCCTCTGTTCTAACCACAGAGTTACTGTTGTTACAAGCGGGACTTCAAAACAATGGTGCTCCAGGACATTTCATTTCAAAATACACTGCATTAGCGGCTGAAGGGGAAGAATGAGCTCAAATAATGCATGATACTTCTCTGGTCAATACCCTAGCTGACTGGCATCTCCAGTGGGTAATACACTCACTAATGGTGAGTAGCTTATTCAACGCAACTTAAAAAACAAAACACAACAAAACGAACCATACTTCTGTATAATCTGAGAAGCCCGTCAATCCTGGCTTGATATTTTGTTATTTTCTCCTTTATTCTACAGTTTGTATTAAAAGACCTTACCACAGCAGTCCTAGCTAGCATTAGTCGGCACCTCTTGGCTAATCCTGTGTAGCTTAATGCATAATAACCCTATGGCTTTGAGGCCCAAGATGGTTTAATGTAAAAGGGCTTCTTGAGCTCAAAACCGTTTTCAGTTTCATTTTGCCTCTTGATAGCTCATAAAGAAGAGAAGTAGTCCACACATAAAAAAGAGATGAGTTGTAGTGAATTCAGTGTCAGACAAACGGAGAGACAGAGGAAGAAATGACAGTATTGGATCACAATTGCTAAAGTGGTTTTGTCTCACTCTTCATTGAAGATGCAGGCCTCAGGGTCCTCCAAAATGCTGGGCTGTACTGATAATGTACACAGAGAGATGAAAAACAAAAATGAGAAGTCTTAGATGTGAATGCATGGATAACAAATGGCTGGATGGGTGGGTGTGAGTCACTTACATCATCGGTTGGGAAATCACTTTCCACCAGTTGCAGTTTTGGGATGATGACTTTCTGCACAATACCAGAGTTTTCTTTGGTAAGGCAATCCTAAACAGTGAATGAGGAAAAATACGTTCAACCGTGAGCACTGCATTTGAAAGATACAAAGTGTATGACTAATATTCAACAGTTAACAGAGAAGTACAGAGGGTGATTAAGAAGAAGCATTTAACATATGTAGAAGAATTTCTGTTTCCTCTGTCTCTGAGGGAGCTATTGCTGTGGTTTTCCCTGTTCACAGCCCTCAAGCTAAGCTACACTGAATACGTCCTGAATTCATCTCTGTCCATGACTGGAAAATATTTTTCACCTTTTCGAAAAAAAAAAAAAGGGGTTTGGTAAATGATTGTGCCGGGGACACAAATAGAAGTGGAAGTGCAGCAGTTTGCCAGCTTCTACTTATTTACCCTTTACCAAGCACTTACCATTTTTTCCTGTGCTGTTGTCAGATCCTGTAGAAGCTGTTCAATGATGCTCTCAGCCAGAGAGACACTCAGACTTTGTTTCAGTTCTCTGGATGAAAACAGAGAATATAGGGTTGGGTTAGGGTTACAGTGATTAAGTTTGAAGAGTGCTGACAATTTGTGAGTTTATTTCATTGCGTATAAACATTTGATTGGCTGTGTCTTATCTAACTCCACTTCAATGCATCATACTGTATGCATGCTACACCTGTGAAAGTCTTCCTTTCATGCACAGAGGTTATGTTTTACTGAGCTGAGTCTTATCAGATTCATCCATTCATTCATATCTCTGATAAAGCTTAAAAGATCTTTGAGGTTTTTCTCACTTGCAATTTTTTTGTGTTTGCTGAAGAAAAAACAAAAAATAAGATGATTTTCCGGGTTTCAATAAACATAGTTGACCAATACATAGTTTGTGGACAGTATAAAGAGTGAGTTTATAATGTCCTGGGGTCCAAATTAGCATAGTCGTCACATAGGCAGTTCTATGACCAGTTTTGTGCTGCTCCCATGGGCCTATGGGACTCCATGGGACTGACCAGCCTTGTTAATCAGAAAATGGTCGTGAGTTTTCAGTGAGAATTTTTTAGTGAGAGCTGAGACAGCAGCATTTTTGAGGATCATCTAGGAATGACAGACAAAAGCTTCATCTTCAGTTTTCTACATTTCAAAGGCAGACTGGATCTGTTTCTGTACAAAGACAACACAATCAAATTTCAGTGTAGTGATGACTTTCTAAAGATGAAGTTTACACTCTGTAACTCTGTCATTGTAGCTTTCATATAGCGTGAATCATTGTAGGCAGTATGAACCCAAATCTTCTGCTCTGGAAACAGTGTGGACATAGTGGATTTCTTTCACTTGTACACGAAAAGAGGCTTTGCAATTAGTTGTAATGTATAGAACTGATTACTAACCTGCAATCCTCACCCTAAACCATTGTTCTGTATTAATGATGTGTCTCGATCCTCGTATTAAATTAAATGAATAATATCTATAAATTTCTGAAAGCTTTTTTGTTGCTGTCAATGTTGTGGTTTTAAGCATTCATATAATATGCTCCATGGTCCCCACTGAAGTTGTCCTGAACACTCACCATTCACTCATGACCTTTTTAATCAGGCAGTCAGCAGACTGACAGTATGTAATGTAGTTACACAGTGTAAATGAGGTTAATTACACTGACTGGAAAGGACACAGTCTTACATAAATGTCATTACCTCAGTCTGTTACTGATGATTGGCCCTGTGTGCTCCAGCAGAGTGTTCCTCAGGAAGTTGTGTGTCTGCCTGACTTTTTTGGACATACACTCTGACAGACTCTCGCACACACTCGATCGCTGAACAATCCTTGGACACACTGCCTCTGCACACCTTGTCAGGCTCTGAGCCAACTCCTGCAATACAAAGATGGGAGTTTAACTCACAATTAAGGTCACATGAGTTTTAAATAGAATAAAACCAGCTCTGAAAATTCTTCAGAAATCTCAGAAATTAACTCGGGAAGTTCAACCATAAAAGAGTAAGTGGAAAGACCACATACAATGACTTGTCATTAAAGTGAAATATGCCTGACTTGCAAGAGGTCTCTCAGTAACCAAAACAGAAGAATGCCATTCAGTTGTTAACACTATTTCAATTTTTCTGTTGTGCAATGCAAAGTAATTGTGTTTATGCTGTGTATTATTGTAGACCACACTGTCTGAAACAGTTACATGTCAGTCACAATCAAAAAACAAGACACTCAAAACCTCATAGCTATAAAGCTGCAACTTTTCATCTGCAGAGGCAGATCTGACTGATAGATGGATCAAATAATCACAACACTTTTACTGGGAGACTGTGGAACTAAAAGTCTACCCCTCTGCTTTAATCCCGTTCTTAATTAACTGTAACTTTTGATGTTATTAAACTGGCATAAAGCTCAATGATGCAACTCTGCAACTGGTCCCTGTTTGGTCAGTCATATAGTGAGTGTGTTTAATCGAGTACCTGTATGCTTCTGTTGAACTCATTGGTCAGGGCAGTAGCAGTTTCAGCCAGGATGGAGTTCACCATGTCTCCATCAGAGGTGCATGTACTCCCAGCTTCATACAGTGAGGGGAGCAGCTACACAGAGATAAATAGAAACAAAGGTCGAGAGGATCATTTACACTCCTCGGCCGCTTTACCACAGCATCTCCACCAGATGTTCTGCCCTCATGGGTCATAGTAACGCTGGCATTGCACTGAACATCACATCAAATTATGTTTTCAGTATTCTTACCCTTTTGTGTATGAAAAGGAGGTAACAACACGTTATAAACAAGTTTAAATTTCATCATAAACAGTTTTTCAAGGCTGATTATTTTGGCCTGTGATGTTATCATCAATAGAGCAAATCAAAACTAATCTGAGCAGCCCGTACCTTGAAGGACTCCTTTGCGTTGTGCAGCACCTCTTGTGCATTCAGGATGTCTGCCTTGACCTGCTGTGTGTTGCAGTGGTTCACTTGTTGGAGGCTGTCTTCCAGCTGCCGACACAAACCCTGGACCAGCTAAGACAGTAGACAAGAAAAACAGACAGCAGGTTTGGTCCGTGGGTAACCTTGGTTGTTCAGCTGGATAACTTGGATCTGTCATCCCAATTACAAACACAAACTGCCTAGTTGAGGCAGAGGTAGACAATGATCTCCTCATTGTTTTGAGGGCTTAGATAACTGCTATCGGTCACTGGATTCTGGTGAGTCAGCAGATGTTTCTATATTTTTTTAAGCATTCAAATCTTACAAACTATAAATAACAATAAAAATACAACATGAATCTTCTAGTGCCAGAAACAGACCCCTGATTGAGGGGAGAACTGTTAGCCACTCTCCCTGCTGCATCATCCCTCCTCTGTTTTGTCTCTGCTTGAGAGCAGCTTTTGCTCCTTCATTCCTAATGGGGATGAGTGTGCAATGTTCCATGCACTGGATCCATATTGTTCCATTATATCCCACTCTGTTAGGATTGATACAGTTTTCTCACAAGACAACACGTGAAAGTGTGGAACCAAACTGCCCAGGATAAATGAGAAGGCAGGTATCATTTTTGGATTCAGATCAAATGTTCACATTTTCCCCCAAATCACAGCAAATTACAAAGGGTGTTGGATTTAGTCAGTTCTATCTCCATATTAATAGTTTTCTTTTGCTTCTACCTAAATACACTTCTGTAGAATGAATCAATACAATCCTGGAAAGACAAATGGCAGTGGATACAATACAGTATTGTACAGTAAGTACAGTATGTCATTTCGGTAACACTTTATTTGACATCTATCTCTATAACACATTATAAATATATATGTATAATATGTTATAATCATGTTATAGCACTATGTAACTATAGTTATAAAAACTCGTAAATTAGGTATTATAGAAATTATAAACGGTCAGATTTCATAATATGTTATAACTGTTGACAACTCACTGACAATGTCCACATAGATAATGCAATGCAACTGTTGATAACAGTTAATACACATCATAATACCTGACCTTGTAAGTAATAATGAAATGCTTTATAATGTGTTATGATTATTGCTATAAAGCATTATGATCATTTATGAGTGTTTATAACTATAGTTATACAGTGCTATAACTTGATTATAATGCATTATGAATATATTTATAATGCGTTGTAGAGATAGGTGTCAAATAAAGTGTTACCGTCATTTTTTTTCAGGGTTTTATCATTTTGAAATTTAAAAGGGTAGTGGAATTTAACTTTGTGTAAGAAAAGTTACAGTACTAAAATACTATCCTTAATAATAACCTCTAAATACAGGAATTAAGAGTCTGGAAAATAACATGAAAGATTAGACAATAATTTATTTTCCTCCTCCTACCTTTTCAGAGTACCGAGCTCTGAACACTTGCTTTAATTCCTCCATGTCATACTGTCTCTGGTTGTTTCTGTCTAAACACTGCTGAATCTGCACACACACACACACACACACAAAAACAAAATACACAGAATAAACATTGAACAAAAATGGTTGAATCAAAGAAGAGACAGAGAGATGCTATTAAAACAGCCCTATTGTGAAAAAGCAAAACCTCAGATACATTTTCACACTGACCTCTCTTTGTCAGAAAAAGGCAGTATGCTGATGAACTTATGTGTGAGAAACTGTAGATGCATACATTGAAGTCTATGTTTTAGCTTTCTTTATATTTCCACAATGAAATTTAAGAAATTGTTTTCAAAAGTCACAATTTTTAGCACATTGATTAATTAATTTCTCGGCACTCTGACCTTGTGCAGGGCCTCACTTGTTTTTTCAGGGTTACTACGGTAACTCTGCGTGATGTCAGCCAGCGAGAGAGACATTTGCTGCAGAGTGAAGTTCCTGTAAAACACACAAGATGCAATCAACATACAGAAGTTCACATCCCCGTCAACTTGAGCTCCTCAGTGCTTTTTCTAAATGCCTTCATTCTAACTCCTGCTCAACCAAAAACAAATGAACATAGACAGCTATTAAAGTAGCTCTCAACAGTTATGTGTTTATATGTGACTAGCTCATGAAAATTTGTGTGTCTGTTAAGACCTCTTCATTGCAGCAGCCACATCCTGGAAACCTCTGGCGGTCACGTTGTTTCTGTCCCAAGCAAGACTCCTTGAGATGGAGAAAGTTGAATCAGTTGAATGCAGACTAGTTGGGGAAAGAGATTGTTGTGATCTATGAGGAAGCATGGTATTTGGGCTGACATGCAAAAAACAACAACAACAATAACTGCTACAACAAAAACATCAACAACAACAAGGGTAGGGGGCAAGAATCTTGTACTGCTGCAGCAGGGATTAGTTTAGCTGTTGTTTGTTCTTCGTATTCCACTGACTAATCTGGTAACTTGTTATAACTGGAAAAACAAAAGTTGTCTTTTAAACTGAACACTTTTGTGGCTGCAAAAAAATAACTTTTATTGCTTAAATTGCAAACAATGTTAGATGAACAAGCAAAACACATGGTTTTAATTTCTTCACCAACTTCCTTTGAGGTTCTCCAGATTTTTTCTGAGCAAAAATTAATGAGTAAAATATTCAGCTCAGCAACTTAAAAATAATTTCTTCTTTTCTGAAAAAAAAAACTGAGCTCTACCAAAGTTGATCACACACTGAAAAGGATTAATTTCAAATAAATGATGGTATCTGACAATATATAACAACAAGATCAAAAGAGTGAAACAAGAATTTAAAAATGAATGAATAAATAAATAAATAAGTAAAAACAGGAGATGCCACATGTGAATTGCAGTGTTGACACAAAGGCGAACAGTTTCCATGACAATGTGTCTCAGAAACAGCTGCAGCCATGACTGTGTGTGTGTGTGTGTGTGTTCACCTCAGTCTGGTGTTACTCATCAGAGCTTTGGCCAACACTTTGGCTCCAGTGTCACCGATGTTGTTACCACTGATGTCAACCTCAGCCAGAGCACTATGGCCGCCCAGAGCGCTCAGCAGGATGTTTATTCCTGTCTTCAGCCTTGAGTCACACACTGAGAGAGACTGCAGGGGCTGCGCACACACAGGCACAATAACATTGACATTAAATACTACTCATCATTTGAGATTGAGAAAATGTCCTGAAATATGGCCTCTGATGTTTCAAAAAATTATCAAATTTCAATGAAGTATTATATGTGATCAATTGATATGAATGGTGAACATATATACAGTATATGACAGTGAGTCAAAAGATTGAAATGTCACTCACACACTCTTCATCTTGAATGAGCTGAGCTATACGATGAAGAACATCCGTGAGAGCTCTGAAGGACAGAGAGAGTTTAAATAAAACAAACATGTGAAATGAATGGAGGAACACTGAGGAAGGAAAAGAGGAGTAAAAGAAAAGGAAAGATATCAAACATTAAGTTTTTATGTGAACGTGTCGGCTACATATAAAGTAGACTGGACTCAGTCAATCCAACAGCAGAGGTCTGATTTGAACAAATCTGTACACCAACATAACGCCGGTCAACAGAAACAAACACAGAACAATGGTTCCTGTATGAAAACGTGTATTTTGTTATTCTCCTGACCTGGATTTCATGGCAAAGTTTCCCCCCAAAGCAAGGTGCTGAAGAAAGCGACACCGGCCGATAGACAGAACCAGAGTCACCATGTCATTCTCAAAACCTGCAGCCAGACAGAGGGAGAAAAAGGGCATCATGATGTATTTTAATACCCTGTCAAATGTCTGTCAAGTACCAGGACAAAGTCTGAACTTCATTTTTTTTCAGGGATTTAATGGATAAAAGTCAACAAGTACCAGAGCTTATCTTTTTTTCAATAAATAAAAATATCATATTCAGATATAAATATATCAGTCAAACTTTCTGCACATCAGCTTGCACGTTAGTGTGTGTGTGTGTGTGTGTGTGTGTGTGTGTGTGTGTGTGTGTGTGTGTGTGTGTGTGTGTGTGTTAGTTTAACATACCATTATCAGAGATATCCAGACCTCTGATTACTGTAGCTTCAGAGATGTGCTCTTGTATCACCTGGGCCCCTGCTGAACGTAGCTACAGACACCCAAACACACACATACCACAGAGAACAATATATGAACAGTGACTTCTCAAACTTATCTCAAATTCAAGATTTTTTTTTGCACGTGTGTGTGAGTGTGTAGTTTACCTCACAACTACTGACATTCAGCTTTAGACCAATGAGGCGTCTGTTGGTTGCCAGACCCTGCAATAATAGCCTAATCACAAAACAAAACACAACTAATTACTCGTGTAAGTGGCAGTAAAGCATCATATATACAAAAAGCACGCAAGAGAAAATCGAATGCTTCCATTATTTTATTTAATAATTTATTAGACATAATTAATGCATAGCTAAAGACTGACAGTTTCATGGTTGAACATGAATGGAAAAAGTATAACATGGTATTATGTAGATGAGTTGTGGCAATGCTTCGATGTATTACTGTATATCTGAACAAAGCCTTCACTGAGGATTTTGATAAGTCTGTAGATTGATTATTTTAATAGCAGAGAGTGCAGGGTTCAGCTTAGGGTCAACAGTAGATGTAACAATGAAGTGTTTGGAGTCTGACATGCTGTAACAAAATAAGAGAAGATATAGTTATAGTTTTTAAGTAATAAACTAGTGTTTATAAAGACTTTGAAAAATGTGGATGTAGTCCCAGTGAGGTCACCCACTGGTTTTTGAAGCAGATTTTTAAGCCCAGTAAAATGGTGGTCGCCAAGTTTGAAATGCAGACTCAAAATCCCTTTTATTTGACTGAGCGTTAAGTAGAGAGGTGGAATGAAGGCAGGTCTTTGGTCTCCCAGCTAATAGTTACAATGTACCTGTCTGTCAGTCAGGTCAGCCATGCCCCTCGTTATGCCTAATTTTGCAAAACCTTAATATCATCAAAACAAATGAGTTGTATAATATAAGCCACCCTGACGCAGTGTATAGAATGGAGAAACAAAATATTTAGACCAAAACTCAGGCTGTACTGGTTTATTTCTGCACTAGAAAAAAAAAGAATAAAAAAAAAAACAATTTCACAAAGAAGTGAAACCTCCTGGATTTTTTAAGCCAGCCTCAAGTAGACTCAAGGAACTACAGTTTTTAGTACTTCTGCTTCAGCTTGATATTTTAATATCAAAGTTACTGCTTGTTTTGTACCAGCTAGTCATTAAAGCCTTATCCCCATTGACCTTTACCTCGGGAAGTAATGAAAAAATACAAAAATCTAAAATATTTTTTTGACAATTTATGTGTGACCTACTATTTAAAAGCTGCTACAGTTATCTTTTCAATGTGGAACCAATATGGCTGCAGTTTCTGTAGGAATGTAGATATATGTTGGAAAATTTAGTATGAACATCAATGGATGATAAGGTATAAAATCTCAGGATCTTTGCGGCCTTATTCTGCTTTCCCAAGCTAAACTGTCAGGGCTTGATTTATTGCAGCTTAAAGCACTTATTCTTTTTTTTCTAAGACTAGAGAGCTAAAGAAAACTGACAGTGTCATATTATTTTCTTTGAGGCCTCAAAAGTGTGACTACTGTTTTAAAATGTACTCCCGTTTTCTAAAGAGGCTTACAAAACCTTTCTCTCCCTTTAAAAAAAAAAAAAAAAGATTAAAATGTAATTTTTGGTTAAAATGTTAACATAGTAGGGTAACTACAGCTCAACAGAGACTTTGTGAGCTACCTCTGAGCAGCAAATCTGAGGGGGTGTTTTGGTCAGAAAAAGAGAGAGATGGAATAAATCAGACACTTGGGTCGTTACTCACACTGTGACATTTCAAAATGTCAAGAACGCTTCATCTGTCAAACTCACCTGAGAGCTGTTGGAGGCAGTTTGGTTGCAGATAGGTTCACATACTTGAGCTCACAGCTTTGACTGAAGAACTCTCGAATGCTCCTGGTCACTTCTCGCACCTTTCTATACACAAACAGAAACACACAGAAGCATGAACTGTGTTCACTTTTCCTATTTTTGTATCAAACACATCAGAAGTCTGTAAGCTTGTGTTAGAAGTGTGGAAGGGAGATATTCAGACCAATATGCTGCCTAAGGAGGTTTGCAGTATGCATAAAATAAGAGTGAAACGTTACATGAACTGATGACAGAACTGCCCTAAAAAAAGTCCTTAACAATGACTGGACTTCCTCATATTTTGGTACACAGTTTAGTAGCAAGTCAACTCATTATTGTTTGTAGTTCTTTCATTAAAGCTTTAATAAGCAAAGTGGTAGAGACAAAATAATTAGAATAAATAAATAAATAGATGTTGAGAAAAACTGTATTGCTCATGAGAAACAAAAACTGACTAATGCACAATGGAGTCTGAAATTCTTGGAACATTCAATAATTTTGTATTTAGTATCTGTTATGGTGATTCAATTAGGTCTTCAATTGGACAGAGGTAATGTGTGTACTGGTTTAATTTGAGGAGGATTAATAGGTACAGGGCTGACCTGTGGCTGAAAGGGTTCCTGGCCAAGTCCAGGTGCATCAGTTTGTAACAACATCCAGCTGACAGAGACACAAATAACTGCGAGGAGAAGCTAAAACCAGTCAGTATGATCAGAGATATAAACAGCTCATTTCACAATGCACTCAGTAATCAGTGGGTTTAATCTATTCATCAAACAGAGAGGTCAAATGTAATCCAACACAAATGCTCTTTTTCACTGTTCCAGACCAGAACATGCTAGTCTGTCTGTTTGTCTTTATGATTGTTCAATTGTTAATAGCTTAGTTATTACTACATATTACAGCTGCTATTAAATCAGTCTAGGTTTCAATCATAATGATATGCTAAAATGAGATGTATTCTATCTAAACTGCTGCAACTATTTTCAGTTATATTTAGATTATCTTTACATTACTAAGCAACGCGCATAACGTACTAATTTATCTTTTGTTGCTCTGTCTGTTTCTTTCTCTAATCATCCCACTAGTTCTGTCTATCCTTCTGTTCAACTCTTAGCCCCTCTCAGCTGAGGCATGTGGCTGTTCACCATGACTCTGGTTTTGTTTGAGGTTGCTGCTTGTTCAATATTTTTTCTGTTGGGTGTCAAATATTTAGAGACGAGATTATGGTTAAAGAGGAAGGCTTAGTGTGACTGACTACATCCTGAATCCTAATGTACTAAATTAAAGATACAATGTTTGTGTAAGGATCCTTCTACTGACCGTATCCAGAGGACATGAGGTATCGCTGAGATCCAGATAGGACAGAGAATTGGTGCTGGACAGGAACTTGAAGAGAAACTGCAAACACACACACGTGCATACACACAGACAAAGAAATGGTGTACAGTATAAACATGAACCTCTCATAGCTCAGTGGTTTTATATCTTTCTATTGTGACAAATGTGTTACTTTCCAGTGCCTGGCATTTGCATAATGTACTGATTGCACCACTGAGGAATTGTTTCTGTTATTAGTTAAAGCTGTGGCTTCATTCATGTCTTACATGTAGCTACAACTAGCTGAAGTTTCATTCTCATAATCCCTCTTACTGGCATGATTCTTTCCTAGACACAACTCTGCCTCTGAATTGCTCTGAACACTAACGTGCATAGTTTAATGAGTATAATGACCTTATTTGCAATCAATTTTCACCATTTGGTGGGGAACAGACACACACACAGAGCTGAATATACCGTGGCCTCTTCAGTAACCAGGCTGCTGGGGTTACCAGACAGATCCAGGTGAGTCAGAGTTGCTGAGAACATCTGAGTGGAAGATAACATCTGACTCAGACAGCCGACACCTGGGGACGGATCAGAACGGGCACATGTGGTGATAAGGTCAATGTACTAATACAACTCAGTGTAAAAGCTGCTTACTTAAGTTATCATTTTATTTTGAGAGGATGAAAAAAATGAAGTGGCAGAAGCAGTAGGTGAGTGGCTGAAGGAGGTGCGAGATGTCATGTTGTACCTCTGGCTGTCATTGATACCCGGGACAGATAAAGCTGTTTCAGTCCTTCAGGTAGATTCCCCAACTCCTGACTCAGGGCTAAAACACCTAAAAAACACGCACACACGTTATGTACCTACAACCGGCCAAAAGCTTTTAAACATGAGTGATGTCGTATTTAAAAAGCTCACCTTTGTCTTCAATTGGATTTCCTGACAGGTTGATGGACTGCAGCATCGAGGAGGTGTTTTCTCGTAGAGAAAAGGCCATTTTGGTTGCAAAGTCGCTGCAGCAGGATGAAAAGGTTACATTTCAATCTTATTCAGTTACAAACCCCAGACTTTCAAAAGAAATGTAAAAGGCCTTCTTAGATTTCCCTCAGTTACCAAAGGCTCTGTTGATCTTTGTTTCTTGTTCCATGACACACTAAAATCATTTAAAAACAAATTGGTGCCAATTGGTTTCTACCAAAGTGGCAGTGTAAGTAAGAGTAAATGATTACTAGAGTGCTGTCAAATCAAGCAAATTTTACAATATCCACAAGACTTTTGGAAATGAATAAATAGATATAGAATGAATAAATGCTGCTTTTACACAAAAAGGAACTGTTTTGTCGACAGGTGTGCCTGTCCACGGGGCTCTACTCAAATCTGAAATACCAAGAGCATTCAGCTTTACTGCAGCGTGTAGAAGTAGGAATCATGCAGCACATGTTAGTACCAAAGAATTCATGATCAGCACCTTGGACAGTTCCCATGATTCACTCTGTGATGTTTTGTGATACAGTCACTGAAACCTGGTACAAAGTGGTCAGCAAAAGTCTAAATATAGCACAATGTTCAGCACATCACAAAGGAAATAGACATGATACATGATAGCACTGGTCTATACAGGTGTGTTTCATAACTCATGCTGTTGTTTGGGTGTTGCAGAGATAAGGAGCCGCAGCGGTGACTTTACGTCAGAGGGGCCTGATTATGATATGCAATAAATAGTGCTTTGGCCATTTGCTATAACCCTGATATTCTTATTTAAAGGGTACTCTGCACTCCTGTGAAGCGGTTCTGTTTGGTTATAAAACGGACAAAAATTTATGTTGATGCCCTGAAGCAAGGTACAAAAGAAACAAGTTAATAAACGAAAAAATGAATATTGTATTGTATCATTTTGGTGATAGTTTTGACTTCTATAAAACACATTTTTAGAACAAGATCAACTAAGAAAAGGACAAAAAGCTTTTACCACAGGGTCCTCAAGTTTGGAATGAATGAAAGTTCATTTATACTTCTATTCAAGTTCACAAATTCAAATGGCCAGTCCTACCTTTGCTTTTGTACATTACCTGAGCAGGGGTTTTAAATGAGTACAAAGTATTTGTTAAACGTGCTGGCTTGCTTTGTGTAAAAATCATCCACCTGTCTGTAACTCCACACACACTCACTGTTTGAGCCCACAGGCCTCCAGCGACAGCTCCTCAAGACCAGGAGATCTGGACAACAGGAAAGTCAGCTGCTGCTGGACGTCTGCTGACTAAAGAGAAAGAAACACACATTCAGAAACTAATCTTAGTCTTACAGTACCAAAATGTATTTCCATACATCCATGGAAAATGTGAAAACTGTTCAGTGGAGAAATTTTTCAGTGGAAAAACATCTGCCCTATATTCACAACATCCATGACTCCAGGGACCAGGTGAGGTTAGGGCTTAAAATCTGTGACCTCTTCATTTCCAGTGAATGCTCCATGTCTTATTCAATTTCAAACACCTCAGACTGTAGCACGGTGAGGCAAAGTGGTTTCACCTTGCCCTGATGCTTCAGTACTCAACTCTGCACAATCTAACATACGCACTGGGTTTTTCTGGTACAGAGGACAGGTTCAGATGTTTTCAAGTGTATTTTAAGTAGATCTAAATCTCAACACTCTACCTTTGTTTTTGCATTATTACACACTGACATTATTCACAGCATGGACAACACAACATAAGCTGAAAATAATTCCTCAAAAGAAACATCAGGAGTTGATGTTATCCTTAACATCCTCATATCGACCTGGTTTTATTAAGACAAACTGAGAGTTTTCCAGTAGAGTCCACCTGTAGAACTGGCTTGAACGAGTCCTTTGAAAAATCCAATCTCATAGATAGTCTGCAGCCACACTATTGTTTAATTATATATGTGTGTCACCAGCTGCAGGACAAAATAATGCACTCATCAGATGTTCTCTGGGAGCTATGTCAGTAGAAAAGCCCTGCAAAGGACAGGACCAGACCCTTACCATTAACTAATAAAAACAACAATTTGGTAGAATCTGCACGTCTACAACTAATCTACACACAAACACAGACACTTTAAAAATAGGTTACCAGTTTGAGTTCTTTGCAGTAAACCTGCTTAAACCATTGGTTGAAAGACAGAGCTGCAACTGCTAACGCCAAGTCTCTGCGAGGAGAGGAGAGGAGAGGACAGGAGAGAAGAGAAGAAAGAACATTAACAAGAAAGTCCAGATTAAACTGAAATAAAATTAGATAGAACAGTACTGCGCTGCATCTCACCTGCTGTCTAAGTGGCTGAAGTCCAGCAGGTTGAACTGTCTCAAATTATTGGTCTGGTAGATGTTGTCAACATCCTGTCAAAACAGAAAAACATGCTCAAGTGTGTGCATTTGGTTGTTGTGAGGTGATCTAAAGTGTCACTGTCCTTTAACTTTTCTGAACATGGGATCATAATAACATGTTTGTTTTGATATCTCATTCAAGTTACTAACCCACTGAATCTCTTCTCTGAATGGCATCTCATTGAAATCACAGAGAGCGGCGTAGGAATCAGAAAATCCTCCTGAGAAGCACACGTTGATGGTATGTCAGATTAACAAATGGCTCCTACACACAAGTACAGCCATTGTTCATTAAGCTTTTCATTTGATCTTGATAGTAAAATATTAAATGCACATACCACATGGTCCCGGCTGATTGTTGAGCTGCTCTTCGATCACATCTGTCAGTGTGAGGAGTCTGTGCTGCAGATCAGGAGGAACCATCTTCAACAGCTTTCTGGATTAGAGTTAAGAAACACAACATGTCAACCTTAACAAGACAAGCAATCTACAGCGAGTATGAGGCCAGGGAGAAAGCTACACAGGAAAGTCGTATTAGCACACTGAGTAATTGCTTTTGTCATATCAACGGCCTAAAGCACTGGACAGTGAAGCCAGACTGTATTCTGTGGGAGACCAAATCTATTTTGTTCTATTCTGTTTGTTCTTTGTATTTAATTATTGTTTACACAGAATTTATGGTACCACTTGCTAGCTTTAAATCTTACTAAATACGACATTATTTTCCTTTAGTTGCCAATTTTAAAGAAATGTTGATGACTCAGTGGGACCAAAGCAGATGGCTACCTATAATTCAAAGGTGACAACCTGAAAAATGCCTCACTTTTGGTTTAACTAAACAAGCACAGGCTTATCATGAGAATTTCTGTATGAAGTTCTTGAGGAGTTGCCAGTTTAAACTTGTTAAAGGCAGGAAAATGAACACCAAAGGTAACATTAAAGAACCACACGTTTTTCTTGTTTTTAAATGTTCATATCATATTTTCTGATGCTACAGGACAAACCATAATAAAACTAAATGCAAAAATGTGTTTCTGAGTATTTCTTCATTCAAATCACTGTAAATCTCTGGCAGACCCATGTGCAGGTTCAGAAACAGTGAGATTTCATATGTAACCAATCCAAGCTCCGCCCCTGTAGTCCGCTATGCAGGCCACACTCACACATATAGAGGAGGAATACAGAGGACGATAGCGGAACAAGCATGTGTGTTAGCGGATTGCAATGCTCCTAAGAAAGCTAATTATGATATTAGCTAAAGATATTAGCTATTAGATATTAGTCCCTAAAGACATTAGTGTCTGAGAGCTGAATATCTCCTATGATACCTGCCACTTCTGCTGCACAGGAAATGTTAGGCTATCAGCTAGCGTGAAGAGGAGTGTGCAGAGCAGCACTGTCTCCGCCCACAACAAACATTTTTGGTTAAAAAAAAAAAAAAACTCAATTCAAAGACCACCAAGAACACTTTTAGTTAAAACAAAACAAAACAAAACAAAAAAGAAAAACGATCGGAGTGGGACTTTAATCAGATGCTCCTTTTGAGAGCTCAGTGAATATAATTTCTTTGCTAACAACTAAATAACTAAACTGTTGACTGTTGGGATTTCATGATGCATTCAATAACTCCTCATTCATCAAGTACATTCAAGGTGGTGAATTCAGAATTTTTTTCTTCATACTTTTCTTGAAGAGTGTGTATAGCCCTTTTAAACATTACAATATTTTTAATGACAAGATACTTAAGTAATAGTTTTTCCATTTTTTTTCGAGAACGGGAAATAGTAAAAAAAAAATAATAATAAAAAATAACACGTCTCTGTTGTTACTTTTCCTGTAGCCTTTCTTTTTGAGTAATATCCAAAAGGCTATTTCTGAGATACTTTTAAATTCCTATCAAAGCAGCATTGATCCGTGAATTCCTGTTACATCATACCTGTATTATCCCTAACACTAACCCATAGCCTACATTTGCTAGTTAGTATTAAAAACTCATCATCTGAGAAAGAGAAATTGAACTCCACAATGTAAGAGTACTTTCGGGTAATGGAAAGACGACAGCTCAGAAGAATCTTTTTCTTGCTGTATCTGGCTTCTGCAAATGTTTGAGGTTACATTCTGTCCTTACAGTTAATCAAGTCATTGTAAGATTTTACATGTTAAAATAATACTAAAAGAGCAGATGCATTATTTACAGAGACATTTAAACTCTGTGTGTGGAGTATTAGTTATTTAGGTGTGTAAACACAGGTGTGTATTCAGTCCTATATATTTGACTTAGAGGTGCAACAGGTGGTAAGAAGAGACTCACAGAGGAGACGAATCAGGAAAGATCCTCTTTAGTGAGGCAGTCATGTGACTGACTATTGCCTCCAGATCTTCAGTGTGCAAGACATGGAAAGACAAGACCTGCCTGTCTAGTTCCAGCACAAGCTGCAAGACAAACAATTTAAAAGACATAATGATTAGGCTACTCCTAATGTTACAGTATGAACATTTAACAAACATTTAATCTTACAGTAATACATCTTTATTTATCTTGCTCATTCTAAATGGCAATGGAATAAAAAATGGGATTTTTTAAATATATGCTGGCTTAAAAAAACTGTAGAAAAGAACACTTATGACAATAATATAAACTAATTACCTCTGTGAGACTGTGGATGTTGATGGAGCAAACCTCGAGGTAGCTAAAAGTGCTCTCCACCTGTACACACAACTTGGACAGTTTTATAAAATCCATCTCACTTCCTATGCACATGTCATCAAAGGTAAAAACAAACAATCAAAAATAAGAGTTTAATTAATAAGTATGTTGTTGAGGTTCATTTACCCTGACAGGTTGCTTGTTTATGACCAGGTAACCTCGCCACAGGCTCAGCACCTGCAAACGATGAGAAACAAAATAGTAGGGCAATACAGTATTATTCCAACAGGCCTTCAGCGCCCCCTGCAGGTGAAATAAGGCTTTACATGTTACAACTTGAGGGAAAGTTGTGCTGGGGTCATTATGCTTTAATTACTATGTGGTTACTTGGTGGTTAAGTGACATTGAATAAGTTAAACAGACTAGGAAGTAGTGCAGGTGTAATAAAGGGTCTTTAAACTGCATTTTCCTGAGAAAAATGAAGTTAGATCAAATCAAAAGAAATAAAGTAATGTCAACGCTTATCATCTACTCACCACAAACCTGTTGGTTGATCTCCCACATGGCTGACTGGAGTTCAGAACAACGGGTACCACCAGACAGACTCTGTGAGGCTTCAGCAGCTCTGTGATCTGATCTGCTCACAGAAAGAAAGTCTGTTCATGTTATCGTGGCCTGTCTAAATTACAATATCTGCACACAACTTGAACATTTAGGGTCAACACAAGATTATGTGAGGTGAAGCTGGGCTAAAGAAGGTGGAACTTGATTTAAGGATAATATTCAATATACCTTAAAGGAAAGATTTTAAAGACATCTTTCAGGTAAGAACGTGACTGCTTTCGTTTCAACTTCCTCAACATTGGTACCTAAACTACACATACTACACATAGTACTGTTGTTTTCACATTAAGCTGAGATCATTTTAAAAAAAGAGAGAGAGAAATGAGAAATAGATACTTTCCAGGAAAATACAAAATGTTTAAAAAAGTGTAACTAAAATCTGATCTCTCTAAAACAGGAAATAAATCAGATAACTGTAACCTTTGTATAGCAAGGATGTTAGACAGGGCTGTTAGAAAAGCCTTCATCTGTTTGAAGAGAGCATTTGTTATCTACATCAAAACATGCAAAAACACCACAGGAGACAATGACGGATCATCCTCTTTCTTGCCTCATAACTTCAAACTACCACATAGATAAAAAAACAAACGTTGATGTTACAGTTAAGTGAAGAACATCTTACTCCGCAGGTTCTGAGAGACAGAGTCCATCTTCTCCACTTCAGTGAAACGATTTGCTCAGAGTTGAACTATGAAGTTGAACTGCTGCTCCTCTCGAGTCCCTGCTCAGGTGGAAAATCTTACAGCACATGACATGTAAACACAGAGACTTTAAAAAGATAAGCTCTGACTCCGTGGTGCACACCTGATTCCTCTCCACAAGATACACGTCTACATATAACCCACTTTCTCTTTCCTGCATGTGCATGCGCACAGACCGGCACACAAACGTCACCTTTTCTTGTCTTTGTGCACATTTTTTGTTCTCAGGCCTTTACATCCTGTTCCATGCAGTGAGTCACTTTTGTCATGAACTTATAGAGAAGAGCAAACTCTTAGGAACCTTTTTACGTCTTACCGCCCACACTTGAAATCACCACAGTCAGGAAATCTGCACTTTTACACATGTCTAAAACTGCTCAAAAGTGTGTCAGGTATTGTAATGCAGGTATGAAAAGTGGAATAACTATATGAGAGGAACAGAGTGTCTGAAAACTTCAGTCATTAAAGTCAGCTCTGGAAGACAAACAGAAGTTTAGCTTGTAGATATAAAAACTCAAATGCAGCAAAAGACAGTTCAACGCTTCTACGTTGATGTGACCACAAGGGGGCGACAAAACAGCCTATTCAGTTTACGTTAAACATGGTAGTTACAGTAAAGCTGACAGTGTTGTGATCGAGCTCAGGCAACAGTATGATTCCTCCCTCACAATATGAATTCAAAAGCTTATCATCTTCTAGTTGTTTTCTTTTTGAAATATATTTCTGTGATGTTTTATAATCATACAACTCAAATTCTTACTTCTCTTATGGACCTTTTCAGTTTTCAGCGACTTGTCTACATTTGTATTTCCCTTAACGCACAGTAGTTTATTGAACTTATTTTTTTACTTTTTAACATCTTATGTATTTCAAGATCTATAAAACCCGATTTCCAGCATTTACTTGTATTTTTATTTGTTTTTGATTTTTGTACTTATTGATTTGTTTATTGTTCTATTTTTTTGTTATAGCTCCACAATTTGTTATTCAAACAAAGTAATAGAAATATCCAGCTGTAGATGGGGTTTTGAGGGAAAGGGGGTGTTAGTAATGTGTCTCCTGTGTATATCTGTATAAAACTAATAAAAATATCGTTGAATAAAAAAAAAGCTTATCTTTAGTCCTAAAATGCTTGAAGAGAGACAAGATAAATTACCCAAACTCTAGATTTTCAAGTAAAGCAGTCATCACATTTCATAGATGAGGACAGTCATTGTTTTAGGTCCAAAATAACAACTTCATGATCTTTGATAACCTTCGACCGGATAAACAAAACATACAGCATTTTGACAGAAATATAAGATTCAAAGGACTCGTGTTAAATTACTACAACAGATTTTTTATTGTAGTATTTTTAAACAATACAGTCCAGCTTCAGCAGGTAGAGATTGCGTAACATCGTAAATGTCAAGGAGACCTCACCACAGACCAGAACATGACCCCAATCATCAGCATAGTTGATGGAAAGAAGAGATTCACACAGTGATCATGGGCCCATAAGGAAGATTTTATTTTTCCTCAGCTGTACAGTGTCTCACTTTCAGAAATGACAAGACAAGGTTTTCATTTTAAAACAGGGATGTGTTTCATACAACTTTTAAAAACTGTTCTCAGTTCTTCTGCAAAAAAAAAAAAAGAAAAAGAAAAAAGAAAGTGATGTGCAAACCAAAAACACCCATCTGCAGTCAAAGATCCGCCTGAACAACATGATCGAGTGATGATGAATTTTTTCTTTTTTCTTGTTTTACAGTCACTGATTTCATCTTTATGAATGATTTTTATGCATGAACATTAGTTTCTGTTTACAGTTTGTCACTTAACCTGTAACCATTAAAATACAGTAAAAATGATTCTGTCTCATGACAATAAAAAAAATGAAACATCGGGAACTGACTAGACTGATGTGATCTCTTTTCTAGGATGAACTTTGTGATTTTAGAAGAGGGAAGAGTCCTTTCTGTTTCTTCCTGAGCTGATCTTGATTACCAAATAAGATGCATCATATTGCATAACAGTTTCAAAAATTGATAAATTAGCGAAAAACAGAGCAGGATATTTTTTTTTTGTCACTGGATATAATATCAACATTAAAGTAAATTCTGGATCAGTGTTTGCCTTTTAGCAAATATTCATGTCAAACTCTCATGACACATGGAGGGCACAAGCAACTCACCCAAATCTTTTTAAGTAAATCTGAACTAGATCCACAGAGCGGCACACAGTGGCAGCGAAACCATGGCCAAGAAATGTAAAACAGTATGAGAGCAGGCACATAACATCTCTATGAGTAACAATGGGGCATGACAGTGGTTCAGGATTCAGATTGGGGGGGGGCTCGTGTATCAAAGCAAAGCCCGATGGTTTAAGAGCAAGCATCCAGTATGGCACCAGCGTGTCTGTGAGAACATGAAAACCTCATCATCCCTTTTTTCACTAGCATCTCCAAATTAGCCGTTAAAAACATTGAAAGGTTCACCAAAGCAAAGGGAGGTTTTTAAAACCTGTATTTACATGCAACAGACACCTGCCTGCCTTTTCTTTTTCAACAGGGGGACAGAGGACAGCTGGATTCATATTACAGAGCAGTATTTGATGTTGTTAAATTAAATTAATGCACACATTTGTTAAAGGGTCATTCTGGTATTTTTTTTTTACCTTGACCCTGATATTTACACAATTTTAGGTACTTACAGGAACAAAAAGATGTGGAACCACTGCAGTGGATTTCTTCAGCCAGCAGCCATGCAACAGGCTGTAAAGAAATCTTGAGAAAAGTACAGCCTGAGCTTTTTTTTTTAGTCCTTCAAAAGAGGCAATGTAAAAACAGTTTCTTGTTTGTTTGGAAAGAAATCAACTATACTCTGAAAAAAAAGTCATTAACTGTAGGGAACAATCTTTTTTCACATTTCCAAGTTGAAGCAATCTACTGGAGTAAATTTTGAATGGTTTCGACCCAAAAGTGAAATAGGGTCAAAGTTTTGAAACACCATGTTTACTCTAGAGTTAAACAATAAAAAGGAATGTCAAAAATCAATACCATATTACAAAGTTTTAGAAACCAGAGCAGCTTGACAGGGACCAATTATTTAAGGTGATGGAGATCAATATAAAGAAAAAGAATATCTGCTTAATGGTGACTCATTGAAGAAAAATAACCTCTCTTTAACCAGGCTGGTGGTGGAAACTCAAATGAACATCTCCAAACATTTATTTAGCACAGGCTGACTTACCGTCAGAACAAAGGTGATCAAAGTTTGGATGTCTAACTGATAAGACTTTAAACGGCTTCAACCACATCTGCTTAAGCCCGTGAGCTTATGAATGGGAAAGAAGCCAATGAAAACAAAACAAGGTGGGTGAGGTGAGGAAATCAAACCGATCATATGACAGAGCAGGGGTCATAAACTACGCTTCATAAGGATAAACTACATTTTCTTCTCTATATACACATATAAAGGCTTGATGAGCAAAAGTCAAGTAGTTGCAAGAAGAGCAAGCAGGAACTCAAAACGAAAAGTGAAGGTAGATGTTATATTATCTCCTTTTGGCTGAGCAGAGGAGCAGAACATTGGTTGCAGAGTATGTGGGCAGGGACTGACAGGAAGTGGATGTGGGTAGAAACAAGTAGCAAAACACAATGATTCATTTAGAAGACATTCAAACGGAAACAAGCGTTAAAGAGCAGAGAGGAGTCTGTCATTAGCTTGGACAATATCTGTATATGATGAGGGAGAATACACAAGTGTGTGTGTCTGTGTGTGTGTGTAGAGGGATTGTGTGTGTCTATCTGAGTGTGTTTAATGCATGTTGAAATATATGGATGTGGAGTTGCTGTGTGAACGTATTTACATGCGGCTTCCCTTCTTTGTGCACGGTTAGTTTTGCAGCAACTTCCATGGAGGCAACAGGGCCGCCATGTGGAACATCAGGTGAAGGCCAAAGATGTGGAAATGTTAGTGTGTGTTTACCAATTGTACTCAAAGTCTGGCTCTGCGTGTGCGCGCTGCATGTTCACCGGTCCATCATGCTCAGGATCATCTCAGGTGTCAGGTCACCGTTTGCAGCAGTGGCTGCTGTTTCCTCATTGACAGCCAGCTCCACAGTCTCCACCCCCTCCCCATCCAGCCCCACTCCTTCCACGGTGAGAGCCACGCCCTGCTCCATGGGGGTCGCTGCAGAGACGTCGCCGTCCTCCTTCTTCACTATGATGTTCTCCACTGCTCCAGTGCTCTCGTCCTCCACCTGGATGATAGCAGTAGCTACACAAAACAACAAGAAAGACATTCTTAAGCGCCTTCTTCGGGGGTGACAGAAAAACGCAGTAATGGTCTGCCTCTGGAGTCACGAAGACCGCTGACAGTGTGGAATTAATTACAAATACTCAAGAGTATACAGATAGTGGATGTATGAGAATACACAATGAGAAAAACACTTTACACTGGAATGTTTCTGTTCTGTCAGCTCTTATCATGATCTTGGGTTTTGAGTGGGGTTGTCTGAGGTACGTGTCAACAGTGGCTGTACCGGCCACAGGGGATCTCAGTCAGTTCAGCCTCTTTGTTGACAAAGCGGCTGGTGCCATGAGGCCATGTCCACCAAAGAATTTGCTACTCTAACTAGGGCACTATCCTCCGCATACATGCTCACTCCATTTAGAAAACTTCCTGCCCTGAAGTAAATGGACTTTCACACCTTTGCATTGTGAAAGCTTATTTATTTTTGCACTATTCTTGGAGGCGACACATGCTCTCTCGCCTGCATTGCACCCCATCAGCTGTTTAAGTCTGCAGACTTTCAACAGACTAAGATACCACCCTGTCTCCTCTCTTTGTTGTTTCCCAGCACCTCTCAAACTCAACATCAATGGTTACAGCGAGGTTATGATCAGGTGAAATGGTTTGAAATCTACAGTTTTTGCTTTAAACTGTTTATGAATGTGTCTAGAATGCTCTGCATATATTGGTTAATTTTCTACTCATTTACTAAATGATAGGCAGCAGCTTCAACCGCTGCTTTGAACATGAGCCTGACATTGGAATCTTGTCTGAAAAATAAGAAACATGTTCTCACTCGCAGCAGTTGTCTTGGCCGCCACTCTGACGGTCTTGCTGGGGGTTGGGGGTTTGGGGGCGTTCTTCGGGGGCCTTCCTCGTTTTCTCTTCACCGGTGGCTCATCTGGAGCTGGAACTGGAATGGCAGCGGGGGCCTGGTCCAACTCCAGGCTCTCTGCATCCTCCTCTTCCTGTAGCAGCGATGCCTCTTCCTCACCTTCCCCTTCCTCGTCCTCATCGGGCTCAACGTGATCCTCATCTGAGTGTCACAGAGAAATGACAAAGAGATGTCAGACACATAACTGTCAACAGTCTCCTTTGATAAACTGCAGCTTAGCAAGTACACAAAAACAGCCAAGATGTCTTTGTTGAGGAATGTTTGAGCACCAGCTGAACACAAACATATCTGTTAGTAAGTGAAAAGAGGAAAATTGTTACGCCTCTAGAGGAGCAGGTACTTGCACTGCTGAATCCTCTGCAGGGCACATGGCTATTTAATTCAATCCACACACTCTTTATTGTCATTCAAGACCAGACTAGCATACGAAAAACTATCCTAACCGCTGTCTTCTCCATCTCTCCTGCTCCTCATCTTCCTCTTTCTTCCTCTTCTGCCTTTCTTTGGGGTTTCTGCTCCGTTCTCAGCCTCCTCTACCTCACCAGTGCAGTTCTCAGCATGGCGCGCCATGGTGTTCTGCAAAAAGCAGGGTTAGACTGTTACTCTTGTCATCACTCGGTTAAAGTTGCCTTTCAGATCACTCAAGGATGGTGGAATTGAAAGTCAAGTGTCCTTACCCTGCGGGTGAAGGTTTTGCTACACTTGGGGCAGACGAAGGCGGTGGGGACAAAGTTGGGATCGTGGTAGCGCTTAAAGTGCATGTCGAGCAATTGCTTCTGTCTAAAGGTCTTCTCACACTGACTGCAGGCGTATGGTTTCTCTCCTGTGTGGGTGCGACGGTGCATCACCATGTGGCGCTCCTGGACACAAAAGCATGTGACACCGGGTTTAAAACCATGATTAGACAGAACTGTGATGCCGTTCTCATTACATCCTTTAAAATCTTTCAGAATTTAATGTTCATGGTATTGAATCTGTGACTTATTCATATGAAATCACTCATTTTCAACCACAGGAGACCCCACTGTATTCCAAAATATATTTGTGCATCCACACCTGGCGGCAGCAGTAGTCGCACATATCACATTTGAACCTCTTCTCGTTTTTATGAGACTTCTGGTGCTGGATAAGAGCGTAGCGCTCGTGGAAAACAGCATCACAGTAACGACACTTCTTTCCAGTCTCGATGAATGAGTGCTGCTTTCGGAGGTGGACGCCTGCAGAACAACAAAAAAAAAAACACATCAGAGGGACCAAACAACACGACAAAGTCAATCACCCAATCTTTGTGATGAGTTTCATCGGTTTATCTTACCCAGGTCGCTCTTGCGTGCTATGACTGTGTCACAGTGTGGGCAGTGAAATTTGGCCACGTTCTCTGTGTGTTTCTGCAGGATGTGCATCTTCATGGTTCCGCTCTGGGTGAAGCGAGCGTGGCAGATGTAGCACTCGTAGGGTTTCTCTCCTGAGAGGAGGAATGAGCAAGTACACATGTCTATCACTTTTTTATGAGGGTAACTGACATCATCAAGCACCAGATCATCTACATTTTTGGCTGCCCGTTCACAAAATATTGTCAAATCCCCCTTTAAAAGGACCTCAAATACATAAAAATAATTCAAATTTTCCTTCTAATATATTTGAAGCTCAAGTTCTTTCCAGCAGGTTGTACTCTAAGTCTCCTCCTCCTTTTGGAATTAATTTGATAAGTTCATATAAATAGATTAAATGTGAATCATCTCCAAAACTGACAGTAGGTACTCTGAGCTCCTTCCTAACTTTCTAAAAGCAGAAGAGCAGTGCAGTCGTCTTGTTCACCTGAGTGTGTCCTCATGTGTCTCTTGAGTTTGTAGGTGTCTCTGCTGGCGTAGCTGCAAAGGCTGCACTGGAATGGACGCTCGCCGGTGTGGGAACGAATATGGCGCTTCAGTTTGCTCACCTGGTTGAGGAGAAGAAGATATGGATGAGGATCAGACTGACAAACACAACATACGAAGTGGAACTCCTCAGAATTTTAAGAGTCTTTACCTCCACACTAGCATAATCACACATGGAGCATTTGAAGGGTTTCTCATGTGTGTGTTTGTAACGACGATGACGAACCAGCTCGCCACTGGTCACAAAAGCCATGTCACAGTCTGTGCACTTATGTGGACGAGTTCCTTAAGAGACAAAAAAAGAAAATAAATTTAACAACCAGTACTACTCTGGCTTCATGTTGTTGTGAGGATGTGTGTTAGTTTGTACCAGTGTGTGTGTTGAGATGGTTCCTCAGCAGGGTGACTGTCCTGAAGGCTCGTCCACACAGGTGACACTTGTGAGGTCTCTCGTCTGTGTGGCTCTTCATGTGTCTGTCCAAATTGGAGCGTCGAGGACACGTGTAGCTACACAGCTCACACTGGAACGTCTTCTTCACTCCTGAAACGCATTAACGGATATTTCCAGTTGTAGGTCGACTTTTGAGGAGGTGGAACAAAATACACCTAAATACACCAATGACGGATTTTTCTCCATCAAGCTGAAAGCCCGGCAGATAAAATAGTCTCACCTTTCTTCTTGATCTTGGTGGGTTTGGGTGGTTTCATGTTGCCCACCACTTTCTCAGCGTTGACCTCTGACAGCAGACCTTCCTGCTGTTCCTCCTCAAAGTCATACACACTGACGTCCATGTCCTTATCTCCTTCAGCATAGCGCAGACGACTCTTTTTACCCTAAAGAGACACGAGTCATTAGACCACATCAGCTGATGACAGAGATACGCCTGTCCACATGTTGTCAAGTTAAGGTTCCATCACAAGAACTGTTTCCCATCCACAATAACAGAGATTGACACAACAGAACTATCCAACCTTTTTGCTTTTCTTGATAGCTCCAGTTGGGGGCTGATAATCCGGGTCCTTTGCCCAGGTTGGGTCATCATTCGGAGGCTGAATGGGCTCATCTTCCCCTTCTTCCATCAGCTGGCTTCCCACCTCCTCGTCTTCTTCCTCTTCAGGGTGGACTACTCCTCCCTCTTCTTCCTGCTCCACGGTCTCTACCTCGCCGTTCGCACCGACCTTAACTACCTACATAACAACGGACGTCATCATTAGAGGATTATAAATCAGTACAGGAGAATTATTCACTCACTTGGTCCTGTGTGCATAGAGAAGCTTAAAAGAAGTTCAGCTTAATATTAAACTTTCATCACTTATCTTTTCATGATTTAAAAAATAACCCAAACTCTGAAAATACACCGGAGGATTCTTTCCAAGACGTTTGTCAAAAAGGAGTGAATGCTGCATGAGCTTGTTCTTAAAGCTGAGTCTGTGCGTGTACCTGAAAGCCCTCAGGCAGCGGCAAAGTGTGGCAGATGACCGGATCTCCATCCTTTGGCATAGCAGTTGTGTCTACATAAGTGCCTTGCTGCAGTGCCTCGACAGTGGTGGCAGAAACAGGCACCTGGACCAGTTGGAGCTCCCCCAGACCCAGAGCCGCCTGTTCCTCCATGTTGACCACCTAAGGACAGATTGAGACCTGAGTTTAGCACATATTTCCTGGGAAACTACACAGCATCGTACAAACTTCAGACCATGATGTGAAAAGGCTGTAATGAAGTACACACCTGTAATGTGATGATCTGAGTCTGGTCCACCGTCGTCACGGTTGCTTGATGAGCAGCACCTGCTACCCCTCCAACAACACCCACTGTTGCTGTTGATCCCCCAACGGTACCATCGATCACCTAAACATGAACAGAGTTTGAATGGACTGATCATCCCACACCTCATTGAAGTGTATTTTTATGTGTCTACAACCAGACCTACATCCTGCCCCAGCTGTAAAGCCTAAACATCATGTCAACCGGATCAGACAGATTATCTGGGCGAGCTTACCTCTGTCTTCATCTGTAAGAGGGTGGGATCCAGGGAATCCATAACCATCATTTCCACCCCGGCACCGCCTTCAACACCAGCCCCCACCCCTGCTTCCATTAGCTGTTGTTGGGCCTGAGTGGTCACGACCATACCCTCTCCATGACCTGGAACACAAACATGCTGAGGAACTTTTTTTTTTTCTCCCCACACTCGTCACAAACACAGAACCAAAAATAAAAATAAAGACGTTTGTGTTAAATTTCAAGTGTTTAGAAATCACCTTGTTCTAGGACTACTCCGGCTTGTCCCTCCACCACGCCCCCAGCCTCTGCAGCCTGCTGGAGGAGGTCAGCCACCATGGCATCCTGACTGTGAACAGTCTGGATGGCGGGGAAGTCTTTGGTGGGGACCTCCACCACCCCTACACCCTCGGTTGGCCCTTCGTCCATTCTGGGTAGGAGCTGAAATGTAGTACGGAAAATTATTTGTCTCACAGTATTTGCCGCCAGTTCCAGGTTTTTCAGAGGTCCAGCTTTCTTTGAAACAACAGAACAGATTCGCTACGACTCAGAACCGCTTATCACCAAACAACGTGGCGTGGAGTTTCTTGCTCCAATGAAACAGAGCTCCAGCTGACTGACATTCAACTCAATCAGGGGATGAAGTGCAACACTGACACCTAAAAACAGGACACATCTCTCACCTGTCAGGCAGCGACAGTTACTTGAAGCAGTATGGTGATTTGCGGTAGCCCCACTATCACAAACTAAGCTTGGTGATGATATTACCTGTATGAGCTTGCCATACAAATATTACAGACAACACTGTGAAGCTCCAGACTACTCTTACATTGGAAATTGAAAAGTCAGACTGAATGAAAGTCTAAAATCTGAGCTAGCTGTCATTGGAGTCTGCACACATTCACCTTCCACACCTTGCAGCCTCCGCGAGCACACTGCAGCTTGAAGTGAAATACTGAGTTTTCATCATATACATGACGCATGAACCAACCAGACTCCTTTACCATTACGCTGTCACCAACCACTCCAACAACATCTGCAGGCTACAACCAGCTCTTACTTGTGTGAAACGAATAAACATAACAGAATGTGGGCTTCTTTATAATTCAATCCTTTGGATATGGGAGAACGTCATTCAGAACAGCACACTTGCTGGTAGAGACTGAAAGGCACTTCCTAACAGCATTGGAAACTATCACATTAAAACCCTAATGAACCATCAAACACATTTAGCTGTACGGTACTGTGCTCAACAGAGCACTGGTTTAACCAAGTGTGGGTGGGTCACAAAGACGTGTCTGTGGACTACATCTGTGTCACCTAACAACAGTTTCCCTTTAACACTACAGGCATTACCTAAAACAGTACTGATGAATAACTGACTTGTATCATGATTTCTGTAGACTGGGCTGCAGTCTGCAGGGTTGTGACTGCTGCTGCTGAAAGCCCTGAGTTTTGCTGATTCTGATGTCTGCTACCTCACTGTCCCTGGCAAAGCTGAAGAGGGAAGACAGAAAGGTTACACACATCTGCTTGCAGGACTGGGACTGACCTGCACAACCCTCTCATTATCTTAACTGTTCTGTTTGAGTCTTGTCTGCTCACCTGAGGATTCAGGCTGTACCTGACAGTCAACCTGGAAGAGGGAAGCAAGGGGACACATGAGGGTGACGGGACTGATTCCATTTTTTATGGCAGACAAGTACACCCATAACAAAATGTCCTCGTTATTGTTATAGTTTTAGCCTCCCCTGTTTTGCTACCTCACTTGGCCAGATGACCACCAGACACAGTTAACTGCATTTATTTGTTTGCTAAAATGCATAAAATCCACCTGTGGGGTGTGATGTTGGATTTTTTTTTGTAAATATGATGGTGTGGTGTCACTGTTTGTCTTTTAACTTTTCATTTTTTGTCCCCTGTCTCTCTCTCTCACACTCACCCTTGTTCTCTGCTCTCTCTCCCTCCCTCATTCTCTCTCTCCTTCCCTCTCTCTGTATTATTCCCCAAACCAGCAGCGGCTTGGTGGCAAGAGTCTGGTCCTGCTCAAGGTTTCTGCCTGTTAAAAGGAAGTTTTTTCTTGCCACTGCCACTAATGTTCGATGAGATGGGCCAAATCCTATCTTAGGTTGGGTCTTGATAATTCATCAGACAATGAGCGTGGTCTAGACCTGCTCTTGTTCTTTGAAAAGTGTTGTGGGACGACGACTGTTGTGAATTGGCGCTATATAGATAAAATTTGATTGACTAAATGATTTGATTTTTCTATAACAGTGCTGGGATAAATGAGTCTTTTAAATGTTGATTAAAGTCTTTATCAGAAGTTTGGTGCTTTCATTCTTTTTATGTTTAACTACGCATTTTTTTCCAAAATGTTGGAAATTAATACAGTTTAAAAAATCCTCTAACTGAGAATATATACTTGTCTTTTTAACAGGTTTTAATGTGATCTTGAATAATGGGTTTTACACATTTGGAACCAAAGCAACAAGGGAGATGGACTTTGTGCCCCACATGGTCATGTAGTCTCTAAACATCTATAAATTCTTTCTATACACTCAAGATTTGGACTCCGGTCTTATCGATCTTCATACCGATAATATGATCAATTTAAACAGTGCATTTGCTCACTGTCCATACGTGTACCAGCTGTGTGATTACTCCCGTGGAAGCACGTCACATCTATCAATGTTTACTCGTGTTTATGTTACAAATCGAAGTGAAGAGAGTTAGGCTGTAAATAAGGCCTCCATATAAATGACTTACATTAATATTACCTCTACGTGGTAATGATACTCAACAACCTGACGGGCAGCTGTTGCCTCCTTGCACAGCAGTTATACAGCGGTATTTTTGTAGCTCTCCAAGCCGAATCGTAGAGGGAGCTCTCTGCTATAATATATATCTGTGGCTATGATGCTCTAGGTGGGCTTAGAATAAGAGACAAGCGGGCGAAGGGAGTAACAACAACTGCTTATACCGACCACGCCGGTGACAGATAAAAAAAAGAGAGGACAATTGCGATACTCCTCGATGGAAGATGGCTGATTTTGGATACTCCAAAGCGTGTATTTGGTGTTAGTGAATCGGTGGACAGTGTGATCACCGGGAATGGTTTTACTATGAATGCCTCGTCATTCTCCTCTAGTGTTGGCCTTCACGATAGATTCGGTGTGAGCGTCGCTACCCGAGCTGACATTACCCTCGAGAAAAGTCATTCGTCTGTATGCGGCAGAATTCAACTCTAATACGATCGAGTAGTCGGGTTATATTTGCGATTCATGCTTACAGGAGGAACGTGACAGAGAGCGTTGGGTGGGGAAAGGCCTAGCTGTGGATGCATGCTAACGTTACAGATGGCTCACTTTAATGCATGTAACACGTTTAATGTGACTGGACTTCAACATCGGATTATATAAATGAAAGTATTTTCTCTATCGGTCGTTTGATGCTTTTATTTTACTGCGTGGATGGGGTATTTCTGCCGTGACGTTGGTCTCGCCTGAATGTGAACGAAGCTAACGTTAGCATGAAGTTAAACCCGCCAGTTTCCATGTCGTCGAGGCTGTAAAGACGGGAAACAAAGAACCGAGAAAATGGACGCCTCGGCCTAAACTCTCCAACCAAATCATCCAAGTGTTATTAACTTAATCTCAACGATATTTTTGTGGATTCGCGTAAAATAGAGCGCGTCGTGTGTACATTTCTTAAAACTTAGGTTTTTAAACATATTTTGACGGGGTTTTCAATAACGATAGAGGGAGACAAACACTCTCCGACGAACTGCCCGAACCCAGAGCCCCATCGTGACACCTAGAGGCCGATTAAAGATCCTGCAAACTCCCCCTTGTCAGAAAAGTAGTGATACTTTACCTCTGTTTAGGTGTTTCTCCTCTCGTTTAACTTGGCCGAGAGCAGAGAGTCTGTGCTACAAAGTTAAACTGGCTGGCAAAAAAAGCAGGCTTCTTCGCAGTTTGTTTTAATCCCTCTCCCGCTTTAGCAGAGTAGCTTCTGCCACAAAATGGCAGTTGAGCGCTCAGTGCGCCTGTGCGGCCGCTGGGGGGTGGTGTCGAAGCTGCTGCACACACCCTGATTGGCCAGGAGGGGCGCCCCGTTGGAATACATTGAAGCCCATTTATCACAATGTTAGGAACATGACTGCTTTGAGGACCCTCGGAGATATGACTTTCTTTTACAGAATATAAACCCACGATAAGAGTGTCTGTTGTTTAAGCAAGCATATGTTAACTGTTGAGAATTTATGTTCAAAAGAGAATCATGCATGTTGTCATAAATTGTCATACTGAGAACAAATAAAATAGGAAAAGAAGACTAATATAATGTCTTTCACTGCTGCTTGACAGTCTTATAAGTCTCTGTGTTCTCTGCCTTAAAATACCTCTCATCTTTAATATATGTGCTCTAAACCCAGCATATGTTAACTCCTGTTTTTTGAAAACAAACTCTTATCTGTACATCTTAGAAACACAGAGGCATATGAGGTCCCCAGATCAATATAAGCAGTGGATGTTAACAAAAATATGACACTTCTATGTACAGTTAAAAATAATTTGGCCTCTATCTGCTAAAAATCAGTTTTGTATCTTCAGTGTCCAAACCCCTTGATATAAAAACAAACACATTTGCACATTAGACAGTCTTTAAACGTATTTTTAATAGTTTGCATATATTTGACACCAGAATTCCTGGAAATATATTTTAGCAAAGAAAGAAAAGAAATAAAACATTTAGTTTTGAATGCTGCACACTTAATCAAGATTGTGGAAAAAATATACTGTGCTGCAGTGGTTCTCCACTGCTTCACACTCTTCATTCTTAAATAAAGCATCTCATCTATGTTTTATTGCATCTATATGTTACTATGATACAAACCTTGAGGCACTTGAACACTGTGAGATGCGTAATGCAGAGGTTTGGCTGCAGATATGCCAACTAGGAAGTAAAGCATCAAATACAGTGATAGCCATCGTTGATATACAAAAGTGAGTTCCCACATGACAAGAGTCCTATATTAAGATTCCAGTGACACCACAGCCTCTGTTGCTTATTATGCACTCTATGAAAGAACTTAAAATCCAACTTGAACTTAATATCAAACTCCCTTGGTTGACCATCCATCATCTCAACATAGGACATTCACTTGAGGAAGAAGAGGATTGGGGCTTCATGAAAAATATTTCTGATAAAAAGTCATCTGTGAAAACTGAATTCTAAGATAGACATGGTTTTTTTTTTTGATTGTCTAAAATGACTTTGAGTTAAGATGAATATTTCCTTATAACTCAGAAATATTTTTCAAACAAGGCCTCAATCCTCTGTACATGTTCTTACATCCTTACAGCTACTGCCGATTCATTTCCCATCACAGTATTTTTGAAGTACATTTTAGTTCAGTTTGGTGTTGCTGAGAACATCTGAGACAGTCAAAGGGAAGTAAAAAGACTTGGCACCAACTGTGCGTTTCTCTACCAATTGTGACCACTGCTTTGATTTTATAGTATGTGAAAAAAAAAACTGAGGTACACTGATAACCAAACAGTCAGTCTAAAACTGGTTCATATTTGATGCTGGAAGACACTGTTGCTGCAGAAATAGTAAAACAATTTTGGACAGTGGTGGTTACTGACTCAGACAAAAAAAGGCCTAGAATCATGCTTGCTATAGGGCTAAGATTCAGCAGTGTTTCCAGGTCAACGCTAGCGTGCCAATGTATTTCCAATACCAAAGCTTGCATGCAGTTTTTTTTACATGTGTAAAATCGCCATGGTTGTTTTGCATGTGAGCCTGCTGACATTTTCTCATCTGAATTAAACACAACACTGCACCTATTGAGAATTTCATTAGATCCAACCACAGACTTCATAGTTCCAAATATGAAGGCCATGCTCAAGCCTGCATTCTTATAATGACCTGCAGAGCACTACTCCATCACCTACAAAACAACCTAACCTGGAATATTGAAAGTATTCAGATGCTTTATGATGACATCTGCTGATGTTATTTAAGTCACCCTAAATGCAGCAAGGTGATCATTTTATATTTTATGGAAATCATGATCCCATTTGGGTAAAACTAATGATAGTAGTGCATGGTATACTCTTGGGGTTGCTGCGTACAATTTGCCAATGCAACCATGGCAACATGTCACACTGAAAAGAACCATCAATATCCCCCTCTTTTTTATATAGTGATGATCATTAGTGATTTAATAACTACAAGGTAAAGCTTGCCAAGATGCCAGAATTAATGCTGCAACTAATAAGTTCACAAACTAATGGCTGAGGTCAATATGGTCAGGTCCCCTTCTCACATAAGTAGTTCACAGGTATTGGTTTTTACACAAGTCGCATGAATTAAACAACGCCATTACTGAAGCCCCACTGATAACATGACTAAGAACTTACTTCCTGTACACTAACAAGAAATGGAAGCAAAGTTATTTCTTTCCACCGTCATGAACTTGAACCTGTTATGTTTCCATCATTTAATCAGTACACAGACTGAAATAGATTAAAACAGGACAAGTCAAAATGACTGCTGCTCATTTCAAGTGTTCTGAGTATACAGTCAAATATTGAATCAAATAATCGTGGTTTAAGATAAACTCAACCATCACATTGATTTTAATGACATCTTGAGCTTGAACTGATATTTTGCTATAATGAAATCTGGACATTATACAAAATGCTTTTTCCCTTTTGTCTGGCCCAAATGCTCTTCAGTAGAAAACTAAAAGATTCACTCAGTTTACAAAAATTGCCAGGTTACTCCTTAACCATAACTTAAAATTTTATAAATATGAAATAACTAGAAGGAAAACTGTAATTACAAGGGCTTCATTTATATGTACATACATTTTAATTATTAGTTGCTAAGTTTAAATTTAAAGGTAAACGAGGTAAATAACAAAATATGATCTCAGTTTTTACATCAGTCAATGCAAGGTGCTTACTTTGGGAAATGATCAGCAGCTTTGTAGAGACACTGGTATTGCTCTTCAGGATCTGGAGCCAATTCACCTATGATAAAACCCTTGTTTTAATGTGTAAGACTTCCAAAACTTATAAAAAAAAACAACAACTAAAAACTAAATTTCCTATTCTCTTTACTAGCCTGAAAGCTCACTGTTGTTGAGGACTGAACTGCAATTGATCAGATTTTAATCAACTAATTTCCGGAGCTGGATGGACGAATGGGTCTCTAATCAGCGATCTGTGTTTTCTTTTATATATATAAAAAAAAGCCATCAACAGCAGTCTAGCCTTATCATGTCAGTGATTTTTGGGGGTAAAATGCCCCCATTTACAGCAGACCTGTCAGTGGTACAGAGTAGTGTCATTCACCGAATCAGCTCATTTAACTGAAAATAATCATAACAGTAAAAATGCATCTCATAAAACATAGAATACATTTACAAATTAAAGCTCTGCTAAATAAAAGATAAAACAATGTACAATCAGAAAACAATAAATTCCAGTGGCATAAAGTCATATCATGAATTTCCATGAAAAGGAAGGTAAGTCATGATTGCAGGAAAGTGATGGCACTGAATTGATTGAACCATTTTCTGTGCAGAAACAAGCAGACAAGCTTAAGTTCACCTTCATGTTGATCTACAGTGTAAGCTTTACTTTTCTTTCTTTCAGTCTGTAGCAAATATATGAACAACACTCAATCTAAAGGCCTGTGAGACAGATGTTGGCTAGGAGGATATTTCACAGTCGATAATCCAGCAGCAGCTGTGTTGCAGGTTTGGGATCAGTTTTTTTTGAGTGTGCATATAGTTGACTTCATATGTTGAATCTAGAGTATCTCACGGGGTTCCTCTCCTGCGTCTGCACTAACACATCCATCTAGTGAAAACTTGTCTGCTCTGCCACCACATCTGGCTATATAATATGACTCCAGCACCACTGAAAGCCCAGGGAGAGTGTGAAAGAGCACCTGTTACACAAAAACTGAAATAAACACCAGTGGAATTTTCATTTTGATGCTCATTCTGTGATGAAACACATACATGAAGTTCAGCACAGCAGGATCATTAATGCGTGCATTCAAAAAGAAAAAATCTTCAAAGTGTATCTTAAGTGAATTTTTGATAAATGTTTTACTATGTTCTTTCAACGCAGAAAAAACGTGTCTCTGCAATTTTAACCGTAGACCAATTTGGAGCCTCATGTAGACATTAGAAAACCTTTCTGCTCAAATCAGAGGTGGGAATTCTGTCACATTTACACCTCTATGAATACCTTTGAGAAGTTAATTTTCTGAGCATCATGTCAGGCATGTCACATCACAAAACAAGGTGTCTATCTGCAGCAGGGTCATTCAAAATCACATTAGAGCCTTTACTAGAGAATACCAGGGCCGTTCAGAAAAGTACTTTTATGTAATGTAAGGGGCAGCATTATATCTAATATGTGTATGCTTCCTAGTTCAGCATACACCCATTCAAAACAATAAAAAGTTAAAGTAAGAAAACCATTTAAATACAAGAAACTTAACATTTGTACGTTTTGGGCACTTGGTAGGCTGTGAAACTGAAATAATCTAGCAAATAACTTTACATAGCTTTCACACCAGAGAGGGACAGAACTGCAACATGAAGGAGACATTTGCTGAAGTGTCACAGACATGTTCCTCCCAGAACTCCTTATCCCTCAGTGTCCATGTCACTCCTCTTCTCCTCTCTCTGTCCATCATTTTATTCTGTACATTCTTCTCATTGTTGAACTGATCTTTAAGAAGGAGTTGATCAATCTGATGTGTATGTAGCTTATTGATTAAAAAAAAAAAGTTTGTCCAGTGTTCAAAAATAAAATCTTTTTGCTTAAATCTGGCTCTTTTGTTTTCAAGCTTTTGCTTCTAAATGACTAAGGGGTAAAAAAAATGCTTCAGTAGATTGCTTCAGTGATCTACTGGGGTAGTAGTCTATAAGACTCTCTTCATTCTTAACAAGGAGCAGCCTTTACATTGCCCTCTCAAAGAACACCTGGATCCATTAACAAAAGTGGCTATTTTGTTTCATAGAACACAAGAATTACTGGTCAGCTGCACTACCGATCAGTTACTTTGTGTTACTGTGTATTACATATCAAATGTAATGTTTGAGTTACACATGAATACGAATAACTGGTTTGTCCATGAAGCCTGGTGGTTCTGAGGAGAGTGATGGACAGATGTTTCTGTTTTAAAATAATGAAATCTTCATCAAAAGGTCTATTTCTTCCAATGATTGTATGGAAAAAAATTGTTGGGTCACTTTTGCTCCTGAGTACAACCCCACAGCTGTTAGCGTCTGTATCACATCTGCCATCTGAAGCAATCTACAGAAACAAATTATAAGACTACAAACACAAGTCAGTCATTTTGCTACCAAAACAGCAAACATCTGCCCCAGTTTTAAAATAACAGAAGTACCCTTATGTACTGTTATTATCTCTAATGTCAGTAGTGAAGAAATCCATCCGACGATATTTCTATATATTATATATGTGTTTTAGTGGTGCTCAGGGGTAGAACAACAGCAAACTGGGCTTTTTTTGTACATGTGTCAAAGCACAACATTTATGGCATGTTGCTGACTCAGTGGTTTTGTTCCCACTCTGTCTGTGTGTGTTGGTGTGTGCTGGTGTGTGATGGTCTGAGTCTTTTTAAAAAGCCGTGCTGGCCATGCTTCCTGGAGCGAAGAGTCTGGGTAAACTGTCCTGAGACGTCTCCACGTGTCTGTGGGCCATCTTCCCCTCCTCGCCTGCTCAACACAAGTCATGGAAGAACGGCAAAACATGGAAAATGAACACAAGGATGAATGAGTGATTACATGAATAAATGAATGAATGGCTGCCAGAGGCATTCATGCTAGACAAAGCAAAAAGACAGACACCAAGACGGATGCAAACGTCTTCTATTTCTGCCTCAATCGTCCTCTAACGGCACAAAAATACGAATGAATGGAGTAAAAAGGAGAAGAAAAAATACAGACAGACCATAGTGAGTTAATAACGCTGAACAATACCTGTCATACTCTTTAAACTCCAGCTATACAAAGGTCTTAGTTACACAGTAAATTTGAGGTTATGGTTTTCCTGAGTTTGAGAAGTTCATAGTTACAGAAGACTAAAATGTCGATTCAGATAAAGCATAAATGAACGGAGAAAGAACTAGCACTGAAAAGGGAAGAGTTTGTTTAACCACAGGACATTGGCAGAGGTTTAGTATTTATAGGAAACTTTAAACAGAGTACAACCCCAGACCTCTGTCTGTAAACTGCCAGTGTCTGCATTTATTTCAGTGGACCACAGCAAGATCATCCCCAACTCCTGTTTGATGCTTTGCTGAGGCAGCAGAAAGATTTTACGACAATTGGACAGTCTTGCTGCCATTCTTAATAATATGATGCTTGTTCTTACCCAGCACCAGCAGAGCCTGTTTGGCAGCTTCTCGCACTTCCTCCTTGTCTGTCCGACACAGATAAACTAACTGGTCAATACTTTCTTTGGCCTGAAATGACAACAGACAGGACACAGGTGTCAGTACATGCTGTTCTGGACAAATACGATTTCATGATACTTTTATTCGGTGTCCCACTACAGTCACAAAAAGTTAAACAATGTTTCTAGAAAAGCAACATTGCTTCAACCAGGACATCTATAACTCTGAGTGTGAGTTTTAGCAGTGTGACAGGATGGATAATAGCAGACTCTGTGTTTGCACCTTTAGGCAAGCTAAGGCTTTGCATCCGCACACTCTGGTCTCCACACTGTCATCTTCCAGCAGCTCCAAACAGATGACCAGCGCCTGAGGAAAACAAACGCAGTGTTTACAGTGTGTATGAGGCTGCAGAGATCTGCAGTGTATGTTAATATGAACTGACTTATCACATGATGAAGTGCTGCTCCACATTTGCTGTTTAAATACTTTGTTTGTGTGACTATCACTGACTCAGGAAGAGGGCAACATCAGCTCTTTAGATGTCATACAGAGTATACTGTAAGTACCTCTGTGTCTGCAGCTTGATGAAATCAAATCAGCACAGATAAACCGAAAGTCTCTTTTAGAATTGATTTATTGGTATGTTTTATTGGTTTTGTAAAGCTCTTAATGGCGAGGCTTCCCCTGTTTATCAGATTTGCTTTGATCATGTGATCCTGTCAGAGCCCTCAGGTCTCCAAGTAGGGGTCCTTTAATGGTGCTTAAAGTATGAAGAAAAGCCCACAGTGAGGCAGCTTTTTATCACTACAGCCCACGTCTGTGGAACAGTGTACCTCAAGACCTGAGACCAGTACAGAGCATCAACGTTTCTGAAAGCAAACTCAAGACCTGCTTTTTTAGTCTAGCTTTGGACTGAGTTTGACTTTATTCAACTCTATTTACCAATTGATTTATTTCCTTCTATATTTATTATCTTTACCTCAAATTATAGTTGTTTTATTAAGTCATACTTTTGTCAGTTTATTATTATCTTAATGGTTCATTTCATATATTTATTTCTTCAATGATCCCTCAGTGTTTTATCTTTTAGTACCTAATTATCTTACTTATTCGTTTATGAGCAATTGTATTATTTGGCTTATTCCATCATTTTCAAAATTCATGTTACCTCTTATTAAATTTCTATTTAAAGTTTTAATACTCTAATCATACATCAAATGTTTCCTCATTATAAACTCATGATAGAGTCCCTGTTTTCGTGGAGTCCTTTGTTCTTAGTTTGACATTTTTATTTTTTTTCTTTATTTGTGCCACCCTTGAGCACAACAAAGGGTTTTGACATTGTGCTGCATTTGGCTGTAAGAAAAGTGCTATACAAAGAAACCTACATGCTTATGAACCACTGGCACATGTTTACACACTGATAGACTAAAATTGACTCTATAAGTGACAGAGGATGTGTGTTTTACCTGCTCTCTTTGTCTGGGCTGTAAATTCAGGCTCCTCAGCACAGAACTGGCAGACGCAGACACTTTTCCTCGAGGGTCTCTCAGTAATTTGGCCACAGCGTGAAGCCCCTCTCTCCTCAGGCTGCAGGGTGCAGGCTGCCGCAGGGCATGCACGATAACATCCAGGTCACATGAGGCCAGACTCTGCACCAGCCACACTGATAAAGGCATTTTGTTATGAGTTATTGTCACAGAACACTTTGTCTGGGTTTATTTAGTTAAAGTGTGTTTTCTGGTGTGTGTGTCTCTAACCTTCTTCTGCCAGCTCATTGATGTGTGTCTCCATGTCTGTGATGCTGTTGGCCTCCAAGTAACTCCACAGCTGGAAAACTGTCACTGTCACACCGTCTCTGCTGCCTCCTCGCCGAGGTAACCTCTGATCCAGCACTCGCTCAGCCAGACACAAGAACACTGGACACACACACACAAACAGGTGTTATTATGGCACACATGCACTGTTCACACACACACAAACACACAACCCCCCCCCCCCCCCCCCACACACACACACACACACACACACACACACACGCACACACACAAAAGTTGTCGTACCAGTGTCTGTCATGTTGCTCGCCTTCTGAGGCAGACTGCTGACGTAGAGCGTAGACAGCGCAGACAGGAAGCTTTCAGCAGATACACTGTACATGCTGCCCTGACCCACACTCTGTTGCCATAGTAACACAGCACCCAGGCACAGGCCAAGCTGTGGTATCACTAAAAGAGACAGAGGAAAAGTCAAAAGTTATTCTTTTCTTTTGTTTTTGAAACAGACTGGCTGATATTTTGTTGCTTTTCATTTGAGCGATGTTTCGATTTTCTTGATTTCACGATAGAAAACAAAAATCTCAGCTTAACAATTGAGTCACAAGCTCTTTCTACAATTAAACTGTGACTGTTAGCTAAGAAGTAGTTCCCTTAGTGCTTCATGAATTTATCAATTTACAAGTTTACACATCAGTTACTAAATGCAGACTTGAGAGCAATACAACGGTCCAAATCAAAAGAGGATTGGTATGATTCAAGTTGTAACTTTCCAAAGACACCCTCAGAGATTTCACCTTCAGCAGGCTGTCTCGTGCGTTTTGGGTTGTCCTTGGCGATGCGTCGGATGGTTTCAAGAACTCGTGCCTCTCTCAGCAGTCGGTCTAAGGCGTACATCTCTCCACAGCGCAGAGGACCAAACGTACCCAGACGCTGCAAACGGAAAGACACAAATGCTTTAGAGGGATGAAGAAGGTGGAACATCTTTGGCTTTGATAAAGCAGTCAAACATTGGTGAGAAAATGATATGATGCAGTTTTGCTCATTTTATTTGAACTTAATCGAAGAAATGGAAAATCTTTCACCAGTACTTCAGAGTAATGTACCTTTAGCGATGCAAGATTTAATATCGAATCAGTAACCTTAATGAATGATGAAGAAAACTGCTGCTGATGTCTCGTGCTTTTTCAAAAGGAAAACTTTCAAGAATTATTGCAGAGTAAGAGCTGAGATTAGGCACTAATATAAAGAATAAATACAACAGCATGCATTACTTTAAAAATTAAAATTACCAGGATTAATTCCTGGAGATTGATTTACTCTCTACATATAACAAAGAAATTCTCTATATAAACTTTTAAAGACAAACTTTCAAAGTCAGTTTTTCTCTAGAAAGTCAAGCAAGTTTGTTCAAGCAAGTTATTGTGTACTGCTTTAACTAAAAGTATTACCTGCAAGTTAACTGAGCTTTTTTAACACAGTTTCACAGTTTCTTATTCATTTACTGCAGAAAGAACATTACAGGTCTCCTACCAGCAGCTGTGCGCAGCAGTTCTTCAGGTGGACCACCAGGGAGCAGTCCAGAGTAATGCAGCCTGTGGTGAGGGGGGAGGAGGGGGTGGAAGGGCTGTCCCAGCCTCTGTCCTGCAGAGACCTGCACATGAACATTACAAGTCTGAGTGTATTTGTGTGTAAAACTCTTTTCACGCAATATAAACAGAGACAGATTTACACTTAAGTGACACGCGTGACTGAACCAGACTCATGTTGAATCAGCCTGTTAGATTTTTGTGTCCTTTAAGTCATTCTATTAATAAAACTACTGTGATTATTGCCCTAAGGTACTGCTTAGGGTGAGACGACGACAAACAACCTTATAGTGGGGGTGTTGGTCAAGACAAGAAATGTTAGAGAAATCAATTTTTTTCTCAGAAATATTTTGCTACTTTTTTCTTGAGTATTGAGGTAATAACAGGCTGATTATGTGAAATTTAAGTCTAGATCTTGAAGCTGTATTTGTGCAATGAGGAAGGTTAGATTGAGTCTGAAAATCTCAGAAAAGCATTAAGGCAAATACAGACTCGAGTATCAAAGCTATAAGAGAGCATATCCATCCAAGATTAATGTATAAAACCCTCAATAGTTACTGACCCCTGAAGTATAATGTCACTGTCAACAGCTGCGGACAGTTTTCACAGCAGCTGCAAATGATTGAATTAGCAGAGCAGTGTGCCAGCAATAAAACTCAGCCCCTCTAGATGGCAGCATAACGCTACAACCATGGCAAATGAAGTTTGAATCACACATACATTGTTTACACCAAACATGTGGTTTGTGAGCACTGACCTTCCACTTCGACTCCTCTTGTCGCTCTTCTCCTCATCTTCCTCCTCCCAGTCAGACGTATTGAGGAAGTCAAAGCTGCCAAGAGCTGTTTCCACTGTAAGGCTGACTACGCTGGGCGAACGACTGTGCTTACCACCCTACACAAAAACAAACATAAACACACAACTAGATTCATACTGAAGCACCAGATTAATGGACAGGACTGTTTTATGTCGTGAACTAAAACTTTTTACAACAAAAGTTGAAGAATATCAGAAAGAAGTGCCAGTTGCAGCTGTGGTCAAATCACTAGTTTAGTCTCTGGAGTCTGGTGGCTTTAAATGGTTCAGTTCTCTCATTAAATGCATCTATCTTTGTAAGGATCTTTTAAGTGACACAGTGTGACTCAGACAACAGTCACTCCAGCCTGTTTCATAATTGCTAGCTTTAGTGAAATACTACTCAAAATACTACTCAGATAACTCAGATACACGTCCCATTCTCACCTTCAGTGTGACCTGCAGCAGCTTCAGCTCCTGCTCCAGCATCTGCAGCTCAGGGAACTGCCCTCTGTAATCATCCATGGAGGAAACCACAGCTGTCAAAGCCTCCTCCAGCCCGCTGTCTACTGGGCCATCACCCTCCCCTGCACCTGGCATCTCCTCCTCCACCGCTACCCGCCGAGCAACATATGTCTCATCAGCGCAGTCTGCCAGTGTGTTGCACTCTGGGTGTGAGTCTGTGGTCATTTGAGAGGGAGTGACAGTGTCCACTTTTCCTGTGCTGGGGGAAGAGTGTGTCAGGACAGAGCTGGATGCATCTTCCTGATGTTGATCAGCAGCACTGTCAGTGCTCTCTTGGACAACAACAAGTCTTTTTGGTGACTCTTTGGCAGAGGAGCTTGGCTGCTCCTGAGCTCTGCTGTTCATCTCCATCTCAATGTCACTGACGGAGAGCCCTGAGGCCAAAGTCATCGCCTCCCCTGATTCACCCGCTGACCTGTCCGTCAAAACGATGCCGTCAGCACTGCTTTCACTGATGTGGCTCAGAGAACGTGAGTAGTTGCGTGAGGTGAGGCTGTTTGTCGCTACTTCATCCTGTAATGTCACCAGAGACTGTTTCCCTGCATCCTCTTCCTCACTGGCAGCTTTAGTCCTCATAGTGACAGTCACCTTCTGCTCCCCCCTGTGAATCAGTGTTTTCATGATAGTGAATATCAATCAATCAATCAATCAAATTTTATTTATATAGCACTTTACAATATCCCAAATGGTACCCAAAGTGCTTTACATAAAAGCAATAAAATAACACAAGAAAAAATACCATTATAAAATAATACAATAGAATAGAATAATACAAGAACGATGAAATAATAAAAATGAATATGAAAATAAAATAATACAATAAAATAGTATGTAGAAGTGCTAAAAAACCTATAAGTAAATGTCAACATAGCAAATAACTCAAGAAAAAGATTCATACAAACTTTTATCTGTGAGGTTGTTGAATAATAAAAAGCATAGACTCTACCTGTCGCCATCTGTGAGATGTTTGGTGGAAATCTCACTGGCAGAGCTGACTCTGCTGGAGGAGTTTGGAGTTGAGGAAGAGGAGTCTCGGAGGCAGAACGAGATTTCAGGCTGTGAGTGGGAGTTTCCTGTAACAGCTGGCTGGATCTCTGGTGTCACCACTACTGTCTGCAGAATGAGAGACACCAAACAAGTAAACGCACTGATGAAGATACATTAGTACTGTTAAAGTCCTTTTGAGCACAACACAGAGTTGAGAGTATAGCAGGTGTATCTGGATAACTTCTCACAGTTAACCAGATGAGTATTGTCAACAGTGTGGTGGTTGTTGGTTGTAAGTACATCTGCAGGAGGAGCTCTGCTTTTCCACACTCAATGACTTGACCTTTGCTGCATGTATTATGCTGTATTTTTTTAACTTTATTATTATTATTATTATTATTATTATTATTATTATTATTATTATTATTATTATTATTATTATTATTATTATTATTAATTAATTTATTTTATTTTATTTTATTTTATTTTATTTTATTTTATTTTTTAGTTAGAGGGGTTTTTTGGTAAGAGTTGGCCTATGGGGTCTGTTCTGGGAGGGGGGTGGTTTTGGGTGAAATTTGAAGTTCTATTGCTGTTTTTGGAATTGTATACTGTTTATGAAAAAATATAAACAAATAAACTGTAAAAAAAAAAAAAAGAGTATAGCAGGTGACTGTCTAAGATTTCTCTTTTCTTCCCCATGTTAGCTGACAGTGTGTGATTTGCTCCTCTCTAACTGGTTCACATGACACCATCAAAGTGAGCCTGTTACATGCCAGGACACGGCACTTAGTCCTGTAATAGATGACTGAATGGAGTGGTGGGAAGTCATATCCACCTGCTCAAACCGCAGCAGGGTTGAACTGTTGAACAAGTCCAGTGTTACAACTACCTGAGTACCTTTATCGATACACAGGCTGAGAAAAAAACGATTCAGTCACAATCACAGCATTGTCTTCACTCCTTCTGGGAGCTCAACTGGTTTGGTTTGTGCAACATATGAAGAGATAGCCTCTTAAAAACAGCAACAGTCTTGCCATCAGCACACATATGGACTTACACACAGAGCTCAACGACGATGTTATACTGGCGAAACTGAAGTTTGCATCTGATTCACAGCTTATGGTTCTTGTACACTTGGGATTTAATTTATATTTGGTATGGGCATTGTTTAATATTTGCACAGGTTCAACCTTCATTTCTGCACAGATTTACTTTAATGTTAAATCTCTTGATTTATTTTATGTTTATTATTGCCTTACATGCTTAAATTTAAGTTTTAGTTTTATTTGTCAGTACAAGCTTAACTTGTACATGTGGGAGGGCAGGTGTTGTTTCTTTTTTAACGTGTCAGATATCATGTACAGTGTATGCTACTGGATGCCTGAAATTTCCCTCAGGATGAATAAAGTATCCGTCTTAAGTCTCTATCTGTGGGACTGCAGAAGTGCAAGAGGCCCATTATGTGAAGACGTGTCCACCGGGAGCTCCACATGCACACAGACAGCCACTGTCCTCCCTCCAAAAAGCCACCTTTTTACAACTTAATCTTTGAGTCTGTCCTTTGGCCCTCCAACCCGACTGTATTTCTAAATAGGATTTGAATGTAACTAGTTATTAATGTTATGATCACTGGTGTTAAAATATCTGATCTGTCTCTAGCAAAGGCTGGATACGTCACACAGTGTCCATGATATTCTCTGTTTGGTTATTTGAGCTTCTGCCCTCATGTAAATAAGGTATAGAGTGCTTGACATGTTACCTTGTGGTGTGTGTTATTGCGTAGCCCCCCAGCAGACAGCTGAGGACTGGAGGAGTCATCAGAAGATTCTGATGAATTTGACCACGCTGTCCCGTTCTCCAGCTCTTCATGACGACGGAGCATGTTCTAAAAGAGAGGGTATGATCATTTATCTGAAGAAAAACAGAGCTTGATAAGAACATAGAGAGATTTAATTAAACACTCATTAGTTACATTTGCTTCAACAGACTTTTCATTAAAAAAAAAAAAAAATCCAAACAAACCAGGGCATCTGCCAGTGGTCTCAGCTTGTAGCAAAGGTTGGCAGATGTGGTTGGTTAGAGCAAGGTTAAGGGTTTGGCTTGGTACTAAGATGGGTAACTACAACAAATCTTCAGGAAGCTCTAGATGGTCCCATTACCTGGTCACTGCATTATGCAAATAATTCAGCTTTATGTTCCGCCTAAATTAAGAATCCAACATGGAAAAGATCCAAGAAGTTAACGGTGCTTAGCGAGGGGGGAGCAGTTGATGACGGCTGTTGCACAATTGCTCCCTTGCATGAAAGATATGTGGGTAAAAACACCAGCTGACAGCTTTATAGCTCAAATAACAGGTGCAGGTTGTTTTGGGGGGATCCAGACTTCACTACTCAGCATTATTATAGGTTTTTAAGTTGCAAGAGATCTTTCTTCTTTATTACCACCAAGTTCTTACTAAAACAGTTTGACAATATTGAAATTATTTAATTGATGATACATAGTTCAGTGTTGGTATTTCCTTGGATGGAGTTACTGCAGTTACTTCTATAAAAGCACATATCAACTGTTTTCTACAACGTTGTAGTTCCTGCTCTCAAACAGGAGAAAACCATCAATACAATGAGACAGAGAGTTTAGAGCCACTCTCATGGCTCAAGGCACTAACAAAGGGAGACGACTGCTCTAAGTTTCTAAGCTCTACACTATCACTACTGCTGCTACAGCACAAACCAGCGGGGGCTCCACTTCTCTGCATAATGACTTACTGCAGTGGGCTGTCTTGCCGGTGAGTTGTCACTGCAGGAACAGCTGTGGCTAAGTGTGTCCCTGAAGATGTCCAACAGCGGCCAGTGTTGCCGCCTGGTCATACTCCGAGGCAAAGACTGCACGCCAGAGGGGCAGCAGGTGGAACAAAAGGCAACGGGGCAGTTATACACTGGTGGGTTTTGGCTGAACTCAAATGTAACCGGGATGGCAGCCATTCTGATACCAGATATTTCATCTATCACTGCTTTCACATCCTCCATGCTGGCCCACAGAATAAAATCCTTTTCTCTTTTAGACTATTGAACAGCATTACTGTTTGTGTGGGGGCAACGCAAACACTTTGACGAAAATATGTTTTATTTAATTCATGTACATTCATAAATGGTTAATACTGAGTTCTCATTTGAAGGTGTCCTGGCTGGGTGGAAACATTTCTTTTAACTATACACTTTGATATATATAAGAGTAATGATTATCTGCATCGAACTCCTGCTGCTATGCCAGCGACTCTTGGCAGAGGTTGAAGTTTTGTCAGTCTTCAGGAAATAACCAGTCAAACATTAATTGACCTAAAGGAAACAAAAAGCAAAGACGGAAGCACTCACATAGAAGGCTTGTTCTCGTAAGGACGGCGTGTCAGGAGGACTTTGGTTGAAGATCGTTGAGAATCTTTTATTGACGCTGGGAGCTTTGTTGACAGTGCTGGCCACTGAGCTCTGGTCATCTTTATCGAATGGACTGATAAGGGAGAAAGAGGAGTGGAGGAAGAGGAAGAGGAAGACTAAATTATTTTCAAGACAATATGTTATCGACTTTACTGATAAAATCGCCAAATAGAACAGAGCTCTAACAGACCAATATCATTTTCAATACCATGGTGACTACAGTGCAAGGTGATAATCGAGGGGTTATAAAGATTAGAAAAATATCTGAGTGCAATAAAATATATGTCAATAAAACTTTGAATGACTACACTTGATATGGATTGACCTTATTGATTACCAGACAGGTGAAATCTGAGTGACAACTGGTCAGTCTGTTGTCATTAGCTTACACATCAACCACACTCTCTCTTAATCAATAAAAAGACTTTTTAACTTGTTGTAAAAAAAAAAAAGTGGGAAACATGGAACAAGAGGAAAGAAAGAGATATTGAAAATGAACTCAGGTTATTCTAAAAAGCTGATGAAAACTGTTTAATAATAAAAAGGAACATATTGTATGAAAGTTATTAAGATATTCTGAATATGATGAAGCTCAGTTTAAGTAGAGCCATCAATCAGTGACAAGTAAGACTAAAAATGCTGCACTTTTGAATACCAAAGGCTTGAGTTCTTGAAGAACTTGAACTAAGTCCAGTTCCCCCTTTGGATCAAGTCTTTGATAACCATGACCTGACATTTTCAATGTATAAATTAACTTTCTTCACATTCTTGACAAACCCCACAGCCTTATGAGAGTGTTTTTTCATTACTTACTTCCAGGTGACCTCCAGACTCAGCTTAATAGTCCCGAGGTCATTGATGTCCACGGCGACCGTCTGTGGCAGTGCAGCAAACAGGTCCTTGGTCTCACAGGAAACACTTCCTACAACCACGTGATTGGCTAAGCTCTTCAGCTCTGTCACCTACAAGAACACAGAAATGGTTTGATCAAACACTGTTACGCTTCTTCACCAGAGGTAACAATGACTTTATCACCACTGAACCATGGGGCAGAAGTGTGAGGGGTCTGACCTTCACACAGAGAAACTCGCTGATGAGTGGCAGGAAAACCATCTCCTCGCTGTCCCACACCTGTTTGCCGTTGATCTCTATCCTACCACGGAGCTTCCAACGCTGCCGACCGTACCGCATAAAGATCTGAACACAGAGACACACAAAACATTAGACACACCTCAGCAGGTCAATTCATATACATATTATTGTCATGGTCTATTTTATCTTTCATAGAGTGTTTCCCTCTCAGTAAACAAAGAAGGCTAAACTCAGGATCACACAAACAAACATTCAGACTACTTCTCACTTACTTACCTCATACTGGTCACCGGCACACAATCTAGCAAATCCAGCAAGACCTGAAAGACAAACAGACAGCTTTGTAGTCAATCAGTGTCAGAGAACTCTCGCTGGGACGGTTTTTAGTTTACCAGAGGATTTCAACCTTAGCAGCTCTGATCTATGAGCAGACTTTGACATCATAATTTACAACCCCATCCCAGTAATAACATCATTTAAATTCACATACTGTATTAAGGTATATGATGTCAACGTAAACTCTCAATCTCTTTTTCCCCTCCAGGAAATCTCCTTGACTCCTTCGATATATTCTATTATTTGGTTTGTCATTTTTTTGTTATTTGCATGATTGTCCCTAACACCTTGCCTGACAGGGTTCCCATTTGGCTCAGGTGGATGAAGACAATATAGTAAGCTTGATTTGAGTAAACTTTGAGAAAAATTCTCTGTGTGACATTTTAGTTTAAAGCAGGATTCAAAAGAATTTTATTCGTCATTCCAGTCTCCAAGAGAGAAGAACAAAACTAGTGCTGAGGTCTTTATATTAGCCTTAAGAAATGTAAGACATAAAACCTAAAAGGATCTCAATAAAATGAACAATAGTATTACAATATAAGTATTAATCTGCGAGGGAAATTTGAATTTATATCAATTAATGGGGTGTTTTGTCCAGGTAAGATAATATTTTTTATTTTTGCTGAAAGTTAATTTATGTAACATGAGTTTGAATTATGGAAATTTGGTACTAGTGATTTTCCTCCACACAACTGCTCAGCCAAGCAGCATGAGTTAAAGTAGTTATGATCTTTTAAAACATGTGCAGTCTGAGGATACACCACATGAATTAACCACAGGGCAGAGGTTTATGGTAAATATGTTACATAACACTTCAAAATGGTCTCTACTGTCTAAAGAGTTTACACCAGGTATTCCCACAGGTCTTGTTGATGCGTGGCAAACAGGGCAAAAACTGATCCAAGAAAAGAAACGATTGTGGTTTAACTCAGTAGTGATGTTTTATTCTTACCTTTCATCCGAATATGAAACTCCCCCAGCTGGTTCTCCAGCTCATTCTCCAACATACACATGTTCTGCAGGGAGGTTTTAAAAGGGACATTTACATGTTATCATTTTTACTCAACAGGTCCAACCTATGGTGCTCTTCAGTAACATTTCTGTATACCCTCCTTATCCCTGTGATTAAGGGCCTGCAGTGCTGTGGGAGACTGTTTAATCCAGATCAATTTATGACCATATTCCAGCTCTCCTCTGTCTTATCCCTCTTACCTCAGTGTACTCTTTATATCCTTTGTTTGCTTCTGCTAAACTCTCCTTGGCCTCCTTGCTGACTTGAGAGGCAGTGTACGCCTTCACCATCTTGTTGGCTCCATCCCTGAGTCTCCTATGCAGGCAGTAGGCCTCATACAGCTCCTCAATCTGGGAAAAACAGGAAGAAAAGGTTTCATAATTCTTCTCTCTTCTCTTATCCAACAAGAAAACAGCCCCGGAGCATGTGGAACGCAGAAAATCTAAGTTAGCACTAGACAGGAACTGGACAGGAAGCCAGTCAATCAGTGACTCAGGAAGTCCTGTCTGCATTATAATTGTATATACACTGCCACTGCTATAGCTGGGCTGCTGTCATTATGGCAGATTCTGTAACATAAACTTGGATGCTGTACATGTTGACGTCAAAAGTCTGCAGGATTGTGGCGTCCAGCAGCTTTAGTCATCCTGCAAAGTCTACAGATTTCTAAACTCAACATATAACTTTTTAAATACAATATCAAGAATATGCATAAAAGTCTCTTTACAGTTATTTCCTATTTATACAATCCTGCAGTGTCGAATAATTGTCTGTTATTGTTTCCATTATTGACTTCCATCAAGTCAATCATATACATGCCATTGGCTGAATGTTGATGTGTGGGTATGTGTGGGATAATGAGAGGAAAATGTCTTGTGTTCTATACAGTCATTTGTGCAGCCCAGCTCTGCTGATTCTCAAAAAGGACTCCACCTCTTAATTCTCTGCGGGGCTGCCGAATCAGTGCAAGTACAGAAACCTGATGTGGACTAACTGACAGAAACAAGTGCATTGTACTGACAGAAACAAGTGCATTGTTTTGGGCTTCTTACAAGTCATGGACTGACTGAGGTAATCAAATTTAGACTCAGAGCAGAAGCCTGATGATTGTATCATAAAATCTACATCAGTATGTCCCAGAAACAAGAGAAAACAAAGAAGCATGTAAGAACCTTAAGATTGTTTGTAAGTGAGGAGTTAAATGGGAGGGGAGTGCTTAAGGCAGATTTGTGTATTCATTTTCAAAAAGCCTCAGACATGAGAAAAGATCATGTTTGACATCAATAGGCGATCTTACCTTGCTGAGGTGAAATTCAAGTCGTCGTATGTACCTCTCAGTCACCTTTACTTGCTGTAAGAAGGAGCACAGGGACATGAAGTCTAATATCTCAAAGCAAACTGAATTACCAGTTTTAGTTTGATTGCTACAGACATGCAACTTAGAAATATCAGAGAGTTTTTGATGCTTTTTTATTCTCTATTAAACTACATCAAACATTTCCAACAAAATATCTAAATCACAGAGCTTCACGGGACAGAGAGTCAATGAAAATGAGCTTTTTGTAGGCTTCTGTGATATCAAACAACAGAGCAAGAAATATTATCTTGATACGAGATCAATCAACTGATCGAACAAAATTCCAGAGCAATCTCAATCTGCTCAACTCTTACATAGTCGTCAGTAATGTACAGTATATAAGAATTAACAGCGGCTCACCTTGTCCAGTTCATACAGGAAACCCTGGAGAGAGAACAAAAGGAGTCAGCAATCTCTTTTTAAGTGAAGGAACGTTGCAGTCAAATGTGACTTACAATCTTGATTTCAAAAAGAAAAACTTTGTTTTGAATTTCCAAACCAAAAACACTGCAAAGAATGTATCATCATCACATTATAATAATGGAGTAAAGTTTCAAAAGTAGAGCTGGAGTACCATCGATCAAAATATGGCGAAAATTCCAGCTCAACCAAGTGTGGTCAGATTCATTATCTAAAGATTATGCAGACATTAAAAATACAGTTAAATATGGCTGAACAGCATTTAAAGCAGGAACTCTCTTACAGATTTTAATCATTATTCACTGAAATGAAAACTGCAATGCAAAAATGATCATATCTCCCTATGATATTAGAATGAAGAATAATGTCAAAGTAGATTTGTTTCCACTGCACAGTCCTGATGGGGATGCTGACAGGAATAGTAGTTTTCTTTTTTTCTTTTTAAAAAAAAAAACAAGAACCAAAACATACCAGTCTGGAGTTTCTTTTTGATTCTTTCATCTGTCTGCTGAGGCCATCCAAGTCTGTTTGGTAAACCTGCAGGTATGACCTTAGAAAACAAACGTTAATCTATTAGTTCAGTATTTTTATATTATATACGGGCAACCTTTTTGTGATAGCCATCCCTACATTCTTTTTTAAAATCACACCCATCCACACTGTGACTCTGTTGAAAACTCTAGTTAAATATTCACCTCATAGAACCCAATCGGGCAAATCGGGTTATAGTTTGAAAAAAAATGATCCAATCTCTCTCCTCTGCACCACCTGACCACCTTTAACTGTCTGCTCAGAGTAATAGAGACAGAAAACCACATTTTTGGCCACAAGTCTGTCAATTACTTGCTACTCTTACATTTTTTCTTATGGTTAATCTGGTTATCTTTAATTGTGGTTAAGTCAAATGTGTTGTTTCTTTGCTGTACTCTCTCTCTCTGTCTCTCTCTGTCTCTCTCCCCCTCCCTCTCGTTCTCTAAGTGGGCTGGTACACTTGAATATACATTTCTAAATTTAACTACTTGATGTAGACTTCCTTCCAGCTGCCAGTGCCCTCTCCTGTCATCACCATTTAACAGTTTTCCTTAGTGATTCATGATGGCACCTAAAACACATTATCCATGGCATTACATGACACTCACTTGTGTGTATTTGCTGGAGAGTAAGTTCAAGGTAACACATACCAGCAAGTCTGGACAATCTTGGATAAACAAGGAGAAAACTAAGTATAAAGCCCGTCTGCCACTTCAATCTTATGTTTCATGCCTCTCTGGCTCCTGAATGTACAGTATGTCGAAATAACTAGCATTTTTATGGCACTTTTTATCGAGTGTAGAAAGTTAAAAAGCAATACCAATGATTCACTGTTCCTGCTCACATGATGCACATGCTTAAAAGAAAATTGGGGGAGTAAAAGCACGCTTTGCTTCATTTAAAGCACTGACATGTTGGAGTTGCTAAAGCTTGGTGTCTGCATAGTGGTGGGTGTGTACTCACTGAAGGCCTTTCTTTAATGCCTCGTAGACCAGGTCTAGTCGCTCCGGCTGAGGAACTTTGGGTGGTGGGTTAGACTTGTTTGACGTAGTGAACATCCTGCTGGCTCTGCTGGGTTTCCTGCTCAGGCCTGGGGTGCTGAACACCGAGAGGCTCCTGAAACATCCCATAAAAACCTGACTGAAATCTGACATCACTTTTATCATTTTATGTTGTTATCATTATCACATTTTATTTCTCTATAAACCATTGTGTGTTTTGTTGCACTCCATAAAAAGAGCAGATCTCTTACAATCATCAAACAATGCTGGGAAGTCACAAAAAAGAAAGTATAAGAAAGAAATGGTGCAAGATTGGAAAATGAGTAAGAACATAAAAAAGATTTGATGCAATCATAATTTAAATCAATAAAGTGTCTGACAAAGTACAATGTCCAACATCTTTCTAAGAATTCACAGTGGGAAGCAGGGGGCTTAAATAAACACGTGCTCAGCTTTGATCTCATTGTGAAACAATAAACCACATCTTTAAAACATACTCAGCAATACAACAGGAAAACTATTCATACTCGATTCTAAAACACAGATGAAGATGAATAATCTGAAAAAATGGGAATACATGTATAAAAAAAATAGTAGTCAAAATCTTCTATCTGAAAAGGTTGAGTCAGAATAATCTGTATTGTCTTGTTTTACTGTGTGATGAAACACTCACAGTCAGACTGTCTGTCTATGGAGCTCCACCTGACAGGATGTCCTGTTAAATTCCCCATAGGATTTACATGCGTGTGTGTGTGTGTGTGTGTGTGTGTGTGTGTGTGTGTGTGTGTGTGTTTAGAGTCAGTGTTTTAGTTTTGATGTTTTCATTTTCCACTCAAGCAGTGTTGACTAGGATTTGTACACAACACTATCTCCTTTAAGATTCAGAAGATAGAGAGGAGGGCTGCTGCTACTTGTTTATTGATAAACTGCTTTACTGTCTGTGTTCATGTTTAATATATCAAGCCCTAAGAATATCATAGTAATAAATCAAAGTCAGTTAAAAGATCAGTCTTTTGAGCCTTCCTAGATACAATATTGTCTAAAACGAGCTCTGGACTTGAACTTGGACAAAAGTATTTACACTCACACTAAACTCATGTTCCTTTCTTGTGGTTAAGACTCAGCTCAGACTCAAACACTCGGACTCAAGATTTGACGACCCGGCTATAGCACTGGTTTGAGTGGGCATACCTGTAGGGCTTGTCGTAAGTGTTGACTCCAGTGAAGCTCTGGCTCCTAGTGATGGATTTGGAGTTGGGACGCCTTGCTGGACGAACAGACAGCGACATGGTGGAAAGAGTTCGGGATGGACCCCCTGCAAAGAAAACAAGAACAAAACTATCAACAGACTGAACAGATCAGCCGCATTTCCCGTCATTCACATCCAAAGATACAGGACTCTCTCTCCAGCCTGGTATCTGCAAACACTGGCAAAAACTACTGTGTATTCATGTAATCTTATGATAGAACTTATCACTAAATGTCCCCTAAATGATCCTTCCCATTTCAGTTCTATCACAACAGATCAGTACTGAACAGGACATGAGAAACATCCCTGCATATCTGACTGTGTATCTCCCTGGTTAACACAAGGTCAAGCGGAGTAATGCGGGTGAGAAAATGCTTATCAGTAGTTTCTGCGTGCCCTATCTAGCAATTTTAATGACTGTTTGGTGAAAAAGTAACTCAGAAGTAAGTTCTCAAAAGCAGATTTTGAGACAAAGAGATTTTTACTGTCACTTCTCTATGTTACAATAAGAACAATCAATTAATATTGATACAAAAGACTCATCCTTACTTTAATTCATGAGACAAAAATCTCTCTTGACAACTATGGTTATATTGCCAAACTAGGAGAAATGGGGGTAACTGGGTTTGGCTTTGTCACCAACATGTATCAGGGGAAAAAAATTACCTATGAAAATGAGAAGGCAGCATGAGAGTAGTGAGACCCACACAGCACACTTGTTGCAGATGAGTGACAGAATTAACACTGCTTTCCCACACCCTCTAAATCAGCCTGTAACAGGAATGCATCGCTTGTATTTTGACTGACAGATTAGATGCAGTGGGGAAAAATAGCTTAGATTTTTAACGCCTGATGGTCCAACAATAACATACAGTCTGGCTTCATCAGTGAATACCAAAAGGGGCCATGCATGGTGTGAGTCTTAAAGGCATGGTTGACGATCGGAGAGATTGATAATTATTATGAACCTCGTTTATATGGTGATCATGGTCATATATCTCGATCTCCACAAAGTGAAGAGAAAACAGAATGGAAAAAATCTGTTCACCCTAGCAGGTGCAGAGCTGCAAAAACACTGACCAATGGGAGCCATCCGTCCCGGACGCAATTTTTTTTTTTTTGTAGGCTGGTAGGGGAAGGTCCCGCCCTCCTTCGCCACTGATTGGATAGAAGTGCTGGGCTCTGATTGGTTATTCCTAATGGCTGTGAAATGTCATGGTCTGTCGGGTTAGGGTTAGGATTAGGATGAGGGTTAGGGTTAGGAGATTCAGAAGTGCGACAATGTTCTGTAATGTTCTGTTCGATGTACAGAGCCGACAGCCCGCGTTTGGCTTGAGCATGTGATGACATTTCCAGTTTTTCTAGCCAATCAGAGGCGAAGGAGGGACAAAAAAAAATCTTGCATCCCGGACAGCTCCTATCAGTCAATCTCCTGTTCCGCCTCTCCATCCAATCACCTCGCTGTATTTGACACACCCCTCTCCTGTAGTTCCGACTCATTCCTTCTCTGAGTGGGTAAGACAGCCGAGTTTTTGTTGAACAGGTCGTTTTAGCCTTTTATCGTGGCACGTGTTACATAAATAACTCTTATTAGTGTCTGCAATGTCAACACGGTAGCTGCAGACGGTGCTCGCTAGCAGAGCTGGCGTTTACTGCTGCTAGTCACTGGCAATCAGACATGGTGAATCCTATTTGGGGGGGGGGGGGGATTTACCGTGGAGGATAGGGGGACGCTTTGTCAAATCTGCCTCTACGACTCAGTTTTTTTCAACTGCTTCTCAGAAAGTATCACCCAGGAAAACTTTTTCAAACACTGAATGAAGTTAAAAGCCACACACCTCACCTCTCTGACTGGCAGGCTGAAGTGGAAGCAACAAGGACATTTGTGACGGAGACCATAATTTCACTTAAAAATGTTTAGTGAGCTGACGAATCAGAAGCATGCTCATTTTCTAATAATTTTGGTACAACTGGACTTCTTTTGCAACCAGAAAGGTCACTTCCTGTTGGCCATTCCAAAGAGTAAAAGCTGAAGCACTTCAGCATCAGCTTCATTTTTCAGACCTTCAAGCCACGCCCACTTCAGCAGTCTATGGCTCTGATCCTGTAGGGTCATTTAGCTTTTAAAAATATTTGCTATTCTGACTATTAACCGATGATGAAAGTCTGAGGCCTGAAGTTGTGATTTGTTGTTGTGGCTTATGTCAGCGGTTAATTCTGTCAGCTGAGGTTATGCTTTCCTTCTGTGGAATATCCAGTGTCCTGCATCCTGTTTCTTCAAACAGCTGAAAGACCTTTGCGAGAAGACTGCCAAACACTCCCCCTCCCACAGCACAGGAAATGTCACAATCCTACAGGAAGTTAGAAGCAACTGCCTCTCCTGACAGGAAATTTAACAAAGGGAGATAGTCCTAAGGGCTGCAGTCATCAGGCTGAGGAGAAAAGGTCGGTTCTGCTGGAGTTCAGCTTGGGCACAATGGATGGAAAAAAGAACTTGAGTTTAGTTCTTCTGGTAAAAACAAACTTACAACCATCAAGTCTCTCTTTTAAGTCATAAATGTTGGAAACTTGTACTCTCACAATTCAAGGAGCTTCTATTAACATGAACTGTGTGTTAAAAACTTCTGACTTTAAACCCTAAAAACCATCAGAAATGTGTATGTGTGTGTTGCTATGGGACTGTGTGGTCAGGCTTTTGTTGACTTAACCTAGTTTAAGTCCTCTCACAGATTACAGAGGAGCTGACGGGCCGTAAGAGATAAAGGAAGACGACAGAGAAACTGAGCCTGCCAGACGGGCAGAGCGGACAAAGACAGAAGGTGGAAAAGTTTGCTAACAGTGTCCATCACATTCAAGCACCTTCCTATTTAAGTTCCTGATAAATCCTCCTGTTGTGTTGTCAAAGCAGTCTGCCATCTCCATGGATACATGTAGATAGTAAGTGGTCACTATGAAGCCTAAACCTGGTTACAGTCCACAGTTTCTGCTAAATAATAGGTCTCCATTGAACTCTTTTATCTTATATCCATGAGTTGAACGGTCTCCTCTAAACATCAACACCAACAAAGATACGTCAGCGATACTTTCCAAATAATGGATTCAAGCACCAAATTATCACATCACAGTCGACCTGGGAGCCTTATTTTCTATTTTTTTCCTTATTTTCTACATATTCCTACAAAGCTTGATGAACTAATGCACAAACAGTTAGATGGTGAAATGACATAACATCCATACCATCATGAAACTATTCAATATCATACCACGCTAAAGACGTTATCTGCCCCCAAATGTGACAAAAATACACAAAAATCATCCCAAAGGAGACGAATGGAGTTTACTTGGAAATTGAAAAAGGGAAAGAAGAAGAAGACCGGCTACTTTGCAGAGTTTGATTGACTTAAATTTGTATGTTAGTCCTTTGTTAGAACCAGTAGAATTACTTGCAGGTTAAAGAAACTGCAAATATATATTTTTTTATCATTACAGGCCTGAAATGATGCTCATAAGTTGTCTGCGCTGTAGTGTAGTCACCTGCTAATAGCAATGGCTGTAGCTTTGGGTATTTGGCGGCTGTTGTGCTACTATAAAGCTCTTCTTTTTTGATGTCAAGCCAAAATGACAAATGGCACATCAGCTGTCAGTATTTTGATTCAGCAGATGGGGATGAAGTTGGATGTGGACGGTATCTCCTTAAGCTGGTATATAAATATTTAACCAGAGCAATGTGTGACTGATGCAACCTGCAAAAAAGGCCGAAGGCTGGAGTTGCTAGCTGTGCTAATGTTAGTCACACCTGGCCTTCCAGTTCGATGCTGCAGCACACTCTGTGAACCAAAGTTAAACCCAGCAAGATAAATGTGCTTAATGTGACTGTTTTCTGTTTTCTTACCTAAAGACTAAATAGATAAACTGATATCTTCAAAACATCCCAAACTATCATTGCCAATAGCAATGATATTGTTGATTTTAGAAGTGTTTCTCTGTTATCTTGGCTTAAGTCAAACCGTGCTCTTTAGGATTTAAGATAAAAGAACATACCTGATCGAATTGCCCGTCTTCTCATCATCAAAACTATAGCAATAGGGTGTATCGCTAAGAGCAACTGAAACAGGCAGCAAGTAATTATTTTCTAGCTGAGGAACCCTGGCACCAACCCTAGCTGAGCTCTACGTGACCCGACTAACAGGTCATCTACTTGGGCAATCGTCAGCCTCAAGTTGCTGGAAGCAGCAGTCGAGTTAATCCTAGGGGAGGCAGAGAAATGAACAGAGCTTTCTCCGTGATGTTGGAAACCATACACAACGGTGTTCAATTTTCTGGTGTATCCTGACAGGTTAATACTCGCAGATTGTTTCAAACAAACCCAATAGATTCCCCAATGGGTTTTGGGTGAGTAAATAAGCACAAAAATGTGTTTTTCTCTTAGTCTGTGAAAGCCTCAGTAAAACCAGCCCAAGTGTTCGGCCAGTGCACTCTGCACTTGTCTCGGTGACGTATGAAAAGACAACATTATACATTTTACTTTATGCCAATATTTGGTCACTTTAGTCAACAAGATAATGATAGTAAAAAACGATTTCTATATCACATCCTTTTGAATACATAACAAGACTGTAAACCGCTGTAACTCTTGTATTTCCTGCTGTGTTCAACATTTTCTGACCTACAATAATAGTGTGATTTTTAGCATCATTTTGCCTTTAAATCCAACAAGAACCAGACACCAACCTTGATGGCGCTCCGTGTCCCTATCACAATCTGTGTTCAGACAGGCCAGGGGTAGTCCGCACATTTCTCCCTCTGTCACACCTCAATTTCACCTCCAACGTGTAACCAGCCTTTGAGTTAAAGTTAAGGATCTGATCAGCCTGCTTTACATTATGCTGAAAGATCCACTTCACTCTAACTAGCTCATCCAGAGGTCAGTCAAATTCATCAAACTGAAAATGTCCATCTGACTGTGCTGTGTTTCGGTGTTCCCTACCTGATCCAAACAGTGGTCCAGTCCGGCCCAATGACAACAACAAATCCCAGTCACACCATCTCCCCTGCTATTGATGCTCTCATATAATCACTGAGGGACTGTGGCTCTGCGCCACACATACAAAAACACACACCTTTAAACACACAACCGTCCACACGCCTCTGTGGTGAGCCAGTGTGTGACACCCTGCCTATTGTTTAATGCTCTCTGGTCTCTCTCTCCCAGACCATTCTGGAAAAACTCGGCCTGGGACCCAAACACACACTCACACACAGATACACACAAACTCACAACTTTGTCCATGTTTCCCTTCCACTGTTTTTCCTCTGCTCGTGGGATGACCTGCGGATGGCGATGTTACTTAGTCAGCAGAGGATATCTTATCTCATACAAGCCAGACTGTTATGAAACTGTTCTGTGTATTCATGGTCCCCATACAATAACCCATGACATTTCAAACCCCTGTCTAAAGTGAAACCTTTCCCTAATCATACAGGTTCACTTCCACTGTGAGCGACTGATCATAATAGACATCTGATCATCTGATCAATCATTTACAACCAATAACTGTTTATGTAGCTAGGTGGATGTGGTGCTATAAAATCCTGTTTTGCTTCTGTATAATCGTATGTTATGATTATTATTCTATGTACAGAACTTTGTGTAACATTATTGTTGAATGAAAAGTGCTTCACAAATAAACTCTAATTACTGTAGTCAAGTGTGACTTTATGTTCTGGTGAAGTTAACAGTGCAGCACACACTCAGTGCACAGAAACACTTCAGCCGCCTGTCTCCACACACACTTGACACTCCATCACCTTCACATATGAGGAAAGTCCTGAAGCTAAGCCACGAGCAGCTCTCCCATATAGAAACTTTTTGTATTGATTCTACAAATTTGTTCTTAACTACGACTTTCAAATTACAGTATAGATCATTTGAGCTATCAATAGAATAACCTAGGGCTGGGCGATAAACCGAAAATTTACCAATACCGAAATTTACGACAATAGCCAACGTCATTTTGCCCATGTCAATATATTTGGTGTCAAAAAAATTAATAAGAGTTGGCTTTGGATGTGTGTAGGTAGGCTATGGTCTCATTTCCCTTTAAGATGCTGTCCTATGTTGTAGACGTGACTCCACCTCATCCAGTCCAAAACAAAAAGGGAAAGACAGGTGAGGAGATGGAGGACGGTTCAAAAGTTGTAGTGGCTGGAGCGGCAGCTGAAGTAGACAAAGTTAATGTGGGTGGTGGTGAGCAGTTTGTGGAGAAGTTATCGTCCATTTATTGTTATCGAGGTGAACTGCTTAATATATTGTGATATTGATTTGAGGCCATATTACCCAGCCCGATTGTATGTCCCAGGAATAATTTCCATGTAGCTAAAAGAGGATGCGTAGAGTAGAGTGGAGGAGCATTCCTGTGAAAATACAGAAAGGCACAAGGGAAAGCACCTCCACCACCAAGTAAAACCTCTCTCATTGTTTCTTTAAGTGCTCTGACCTGTGACAAAAAGTGTCACACATACGGTAGAGAAAAGTGAAATTATATGTTAGTTAATACCTCCCAGAATCCTTCATTTTAACAAACTTAAGCCACTGAGTCCATCTGCTTGCACTGTTTGGTTAAACTCTGGATTGTTTTTTTCCCAAAACTATGAACATAAAAAGAAAAAAAATTGCCAGGATTTACACCAAGCATGACCAGCTGATGAGCAGCTCTGGGTCACTACTGTCCAGGCTGTATTAGCAGCAAACTTGTTATGACTAACTGCAGCTGATCTCTTCATCAAAATCACATTTGGTGGATGTTCTTCTGTGTGTTTATGCACCCTTGGGAAACTGGGTGTGTGTTTCTCCGTCATGTAAGGAATGTCAAACCCAGAAAGTCCGGCAAAGTCCAAGGACACACACAGCATGAATGAGGGGAAAACACACTTGAGTCAAGAATAATAATGAAACTGCTCAGCTCAGTGGAGCTGCTACCTTAACAGTCCAAGTTACCAAGTTGAACACACTCTGTGTGAGTTGGAAAGGCCTTAGCTAACAGTTGTTTTTTTTCTGTTTCATTTATGAACATAAGTTGAGTCAGAATTTTAACAATATTTGACGTATTAAAGATTTTGAAAAGTGCAACAAATAAAGACATCCGAAAAATGTTTCACACCAGACTCAGGTAACAATCCAGCCTTTGAATTTGAGCTGTGACAAAATATTTGCAGTATGTGCAACGGGGGGGATTTACTTTTCCATGATAAATAAAGCAAGTTCAGCTTAGTAGATAAAGTAGAGGAAATTATCCAATTAAATTGAAGGATTTCGATTTTTAAGCTTACGCTTAAGCCCAGGACATTCATCTTTTCCTGTAACTCTCAGAGATATGACCAACAGTAAATTAATTTGCTTAATGTCCCATGTGGATGCACGAATGACTCTTTGTATCATCATAGATGCTTCATCTGATATGAACCGTTTACAATTACAGACCTCAGTGTCCTGTGAGGAAAATACAGTTTCACTTTAGGCCCACCATCAACCCCACCTTCATGTGACTCCTTTAGGACAAGAAAACCCAGCACAGAGTCACATCCTGCTGGGAGGGCAGGGTCAGGAAAAGACTCCAGCAAATGATGGCCGAATTGAGTCACAGGAATAACCCTCAGTTTTACTGTACAGCCCTGCCCCTGCTCACTTCAGGAAAAGGATGCTGATGCTATTGTCAGGTTGAAAAGGCTGCTGCAGTGTGGGTGAAATTGTGTTATTGTTGTGTCATAATACAGTCTAGATGTTTGTGATTAATCTCCACCATTGACAGCATTATCACGTGTCAGTTATGCAACTTCGACCACGACTTAGTAGACCCTGAGCTCAATTTGATGGTCCACCGATAAAAGACATTACAGCTCACTGTCAGAAAGGCCCAACCGCCTGAGGCCACAAAACGATAAAGCAATCACCAACATTTTCCCAAACTTTGGGACTCATTTCCATCAAGTCATACAGGTATCACTTTTTCTGTACAGGGATGCAGAGGTCTGCAGCCAGGTTTCCAGCTGAGCCATTCATAGTCACACTCACACGGTCACCTACAGGCAATTTAGGAGTCTTCTTCATTCACCCGAAGTAGCATATCTTTAGACTGTTCCCAGATGAAACCCTCTAATGCACGAGAGAGCATGTTAACTCCACGGAGAAATAACCTTGGACAGGAAATAAAACCAGAAACCTTGCTGTAAGGCCACATTACAAACCACTGCACCACCATGCAGCCCTTGTACTCATACGAGTTTTGATCAATACACTGTCACAGCTCCGTGAACAGAACTCATCTCATTTCTGAGCCAAAAAAACTGTGTAGAGTGAAGGCAGGGTGTAGCAGTCCTGAGGGCATAGGGTGAAGAAGGGGAGACTAAAAACATTCACAACAAAGTGGATAAATTTTCTAATAGATTATGAGGAATTGCGTAGTAACTTTTGGGCATTTACAAGAAAAAGCTGCTAAATCCAATTCAAACCTGGGATTTCCAAGAGAAAAGCTGGTTTCAACGATGATATATTTATTATTATTCCAGCTCTATCTGTGAATTGATTCAATCAATTTACCTATTGCAGTTGAATAGCTTTAACATCACACACCAAACTGTGCACCAAATCACAGCTCAATGTGGTTTTGAAGGTTTGATTCACTTTACAGTACAAAAAACAAATGCAATCTCAACAAAAAAAAAAAAAGTTCCAGCTTAGTCACCGCTTATATGTGTCAATCCTGTGTTCTCAAGAACTGAGTGTGGTTGTGGATGTTCTTCAAACACCAGTGGCATTATTTCCACCCAGTCAGATACTGAAAATGGTCTAAACACAGCAAAGCTTACACTGAAATTAGAGTTCGGGTTTTGTAAAATTTGTTAAATTTCATGGCAGTGTTGATTCCAACTGCTGTAGCTGATAGCCTGGCTCCCATATCGCTTCTCCAGCTGATTCCCCAGCAAAGGGGCTGAGCTGACCCGGATCTGCTGTCCTTAATACACTTAGTACTGACAAGTCCTACATATAACTCAGCTGCCCAGGTCTCCAGCTTTGTGTGGGACTGCACAGCATTTTGAATTTCTGTGTAATAAGTAAGAAAAGGCTAACACTTTCACTGTTACAATAAACAAGTTTAAGTTTGCACTGACCTGTCAACATCCCATTGCTCATGTTGAGCTTCAATGGCATGAGCTACCGGGTGTGTACTCTGTAGCAGAATATAATGAAAAATGGACAAAGAAAAGTAGATGCAGCAACTTCAAAGTCAGAGAAATTTCATACTCTAAGATGAAATCAGTAGAAGGTGATTCTGGGCTTTTTGTCCCCATTTTGCACGGAGGAAAATATGATTTGAAGCAACAAGCGCTCTCAATATGATGAATATCCAATAACCCCAGTTTATAGATTAAAGTACATTTCCCTTTGGGGGTCAACAAAGTTCCTCTTATTATTATTGAATACAGATACTGCATGCCTACAAGGATACCAAAAATAATATCAGGAGTTTTTATTTGAAACATGTAAATTCCTCAGAATTTGACACAGTGCATATCTGCTTTATCATAATGACATAAAGATACCTGAGAAGATAAACTGACTTTTAACTATACAAGTCAAAATCATGCAATTCATGCTCTGAATGCAGACCTTAATGCAGCAATGCCATGCATGTACGACAAAAAACTGAGTGAAATGTTCCTTTAAATTACTGTATCTAGAAGTTATGTTGTGCTTTAGTTGATGCAGTAACTTCCTGTTTATAGAGACCAACATGTGCTTCCCAACAAACTATGCATACATGGCTGAAGCCTTGAGACATTCTTGTTGTTTCAGATACAACCTGACTTACAAAACCAACAGTTTAAAAAACAGACGGCTCGTAACAGTGAGAGTTTAACAAACAGCTCATGTAAAAACTCAGACCGTCAGAGCCAGGTCTGAGTAACACACTTCCTTTTTTCAAGTTCATTTTTTATTTTCCGTTTTGGACATTCAGCACTTCTTCCATGTGTAATGGCAGCCTCAGCATATACGTATGTCCATTAATCACATTAGGCACACACATATGCACACTCTAACAATTTTTAACCTGACCTCTACCCTTCTTTGTTTCGAACACTGACAGCGCTTCAGTGCCTCAGCTTGGTTTAGGAGAGTTATAAAGGGGAATTCTGTTACTTTCAGACTCAGCACCATTTTACTTATTGTGGTGTCTTCATGATAAACAGGTTCAGGATGTTTTGGATTTGTTTAGCCCCAACAGTCACTAACCCTGACCCTAAGGGGGCAAGTGTGCCCCACCTATCAAATGGGGCACATTGGCACATATTAGTGGCGATGTTTTTGCCAGTCACATGTTAGGACTGCTACAGCAATTATTTTTTAATATTACCATACATTTCTGCATTCAACACAATAAAGGTTACTAAATTGGACTTCTGAGACTTTTAAAAACCATTTCTAGATTAACAAAAACAAGAAAGACAAGTTAATGCCTCCCTTGGCTCTACTTGATATAGTGCATGATAACACTATGATGTGTGAAGGTGAAGTAATACAAGGTTTCTCTTTTTAACTATTGCCCAGCTCTCTTACTAATCACCAGGGTGCGTTATTAAAATACTTGATTCTAATTGGTCAAAACCCCAAACAATAGTTATTGATTCTGAACAGTGAGAGCGACACCAAGGACAACCAGAGCAAACACACCTCATCAACTTAATCCACAAAAAGGATTTGGACACATCTTTAAAGGATTATTTCACCTTTACATGTAGATTTTGTGGCAGCAAAAATGTTTGTTTCTGGTTGCCTTGGTGAACAACAATATTACTCAGAATTTATTTGGAGAGATTTAGATTCATGGGTATCAGCTGACCAGCCACCAGCAGACAAATGAAGAGAAGAAAAAACACATGCAGGACCTAAAGAGGGATGTTAAAAGGAGCTGAATGAAATAAACATCATCCAAATTGAAGAAAACAGCCTCGACACACCTTTTCAGATGCTGCTGTTATTTTCTGCAGCTGTTGAGAACACTAATGAAAAACTACAACTGACTGAGATATTAAGTTCAATAAGAGTAGTCTAATTTTCAGTCTCAAACATTTACCCCCAACAAGGCTGACATGGGCACTGCTGCTATGGAAGCATCACCAACTATCACCCTTCATCACTTCTCTGTCTTAACTTGATAGTTGGTCACCAAGTCATAAGTGAGGTAATTATGCAAAATAGAGACAAGACCCTTCAGCTTTTCCTCAGGACTGTCTCCCCCGATCAGGATGATATTTCACATAACCATGTTCCCTGTTGTTGGATAAAAACAGGGCAACCAAAATGAGAAGTACAGAGGTTCACTGTTACTCAGTGAACCTTAGGTCCCTGAAATCTGTACAACATGAGCCAAGAAGTTACACAAAGCAAATAGAAAGTGTTGTCGGGGGTAGTTGGTTGCTATGGAATTGAAATGCTTTTTCTTCTTGTTAATAGCCTTAGAAGGGGGAAGAACACTTAATTCAAGAGCATTAAGAGCAATTAACCACATAAATATGGAGTTGAAGTTTTTCATGGCTGACATTGACTGTATGTTCCTGAAGGTTTTGTTTTGCTCTTTCTTGGTATTTTGGTTGAACTTTACAGCCAATAGCTCAGAATAAGTAACAAACCTGTTAACCAGCAACTGGAAGTGATCCTGTCAAACAGAGTGTTAATGATTAGAGAGCAGCTCCTCTCATTGAGTTCATACCTCCATATCCACTGTACATGGTAGCTGTCGTGGTCAAGCCTTTTCCTTTTGAGATGAGTCCTTCCAAATACAGGAAAACAAACTCTTAGTCCTTCCTCTGAGTTGTCTCTCGGTCCTTTCTGATCTCTAACTTTTCACTCGCTCACTCTGTTTGACAGCCGCTTCACGCTTTTTTTCTCTATCCTGGGCTATTTCCTTTTTTCTCTCCCCCCATATCCACTGTCACGGTTGGTAATCCCTCGTCCACTCACCTACTGATCCCCTCTCTGTCTCTCCACCACACTGATAAGAAGAGGAGGGGGAGGAGGTGGGCATAGGAGGAGGGGAAGGAAGAAAAACCAAAGCAGTGCTCCCTCCTCTTCTTCCCTAATGACATCACTGCTTTTCCTGCTCCTCCTTCGCCCTGCTGAACATATTGTTTCTGACCACACCAAATCATTCTTTGCCCAGTGCCAAAAGATGGCGAATACACACATCCAGAACATACATGAGCACATACTCTTAGTTCTTTTCATTAGCTCATTATTCATGGGAAATAACCTGGGGGTATGCTGGTCATGAGAACTGCCACACTGTCAGATTCCACCACACAACGAACGCAACAACACACTGCAGGTGTGAGTCAATGTGACTGACAAATAAAAGGGTTCAGGGGCACACTCAAAAGTCAGAAACATGGCTCAGATTTATGCACACTTACTGCCTGTTTGTTGCCAGTTATTGGACTCTCATCCATCGTTATTGGCTGTTATTTTTTTTCCATTTGTGGAAATGTGATGCCATGAAATGGTTGAAAACTTCTGGGTGTTTCCTAGACAACAATTTGAAATCAATCTATGCCCCTTAATCTAAATCATTTGACGAATTTTAATAAAAGTAACTCCTGAACTTGGCATTAGCCTGTTTCACAACTGACCAAACAATGGAGGGCTAACAATGAGCAATAAGGCTCATTTTGAGGGAGTTATTCAAACTTAAAGTATAACATTGTTGAGTCTGCTGGTAAACAGTGTCAAATTGATTTGGAGTGTAATTTATGTTGGCAGAGCTTGCACCATAAGTCTTCAGTCCTCTCATAGGTTATCGTCCACATGCCTTGCAGGTTACACATTGTTCTGGTAAAATGACTTTAAGCTGGTTTAGTGAGACAGAGCCTGAGGAAACTGAATCTGCTCTTTCTAGATCAAAATACCGCCTTACTGTGCCAACGTAGCAGTATCGGCAGGTGGCTGCTGACAATGATGAATATTCTAATTGAGTAAATGCACACATACTGGTCAGAGTATTGGAGCTATTTTCTTTCTGCTACATTTTTGTGTTTGATTTTTCACTTGGCTGAGCTCATGAGGCCACCATATAGAGGATAAACAAATTTCTTTGAAGTTGGTAAATTACTTCTAGCACTTGTGTTTATTAAGTTATGCAGCAGCATCAAGTAGTCAGGAGTTTCTGCTTGTTTCTCGTCTGGCTTTGGGGTGATCTTCAGGAGCTAAATTTGGGAGCGTCGTGCTTATGATAGATGGTTCACGCCCAAACCTGGGTGTGGTTTCCACATGATTTCAATGTGGCACACAGCTCCAGAGGACACAAATGCTAAATAAAATCCATGCACTCTTTCCTGCTTAAAAAACCAGAAATAGTACAGTTGTAATAAGAGCAGTTAATGATGAACATGTTCTGCATAGGCCTACAACACAGTTACTTTTCCTCACTTACAAAGACTAAAAACTGTGAAAACAAAAAGTTGGATGCTTTAAGTATCCTGTTGAGAGGTGTCAATGCTACTCCTGCTATACAGACCAACATGCACTAAATAACTACTAGTGGATCGACTCCATAAGCGAGAGTGAGGTAAAGGAGCCCAGAGCGTAGTGTCCTCTAAAATGTATCAAACAAGCCTATTCTGCCATCCTTGTACCACTAGCTAAGCTTGTAGGAGACTCAACTCATGTGCAGGTCAGCAGGTTATCCAGCTTTCTGGATTAAGTGATTCTCTTTTCACTTTTGTTTTTAATCGCTGTCTACAGGATAAGACAGATCTCACAAATTCACTAAAAGGGTTTCTGAAACATCATGTACACAGAAGCTTTTCTGGAAATTGTCACTATTTATTTGAGTCTTTTTCCTGAAAGCTTGACTGTTTATCTTTTTCCAAGAGCCCAGCTTTGCCCCCTTATTTATTGACAAAGAGACATCCATTCAGTAAAACAACCTGCTGTGTACAACAGAGATAGTGTTTATCGGTGTTTATCTGTAAAGAGCAGGACAGCAGCTGCTATTTAAACCCAGTCTGACACAATTTAAGCAGACCACATGCTTGTACACTGAATACTACACACAAAAAAAGGAACAAAAAATAATTTGGGCCTCATAATAGAGGTTCTGAATGAGCTTCTCTGAGGCTTCAAGTGCAAAAAAGGTATCTCATTATGCTATCTGAACGTTTACTCAAGACTGTGGCTCTGTCAAACAGAAGTGGACCAATGTTTCCCTCATCTTGAGTGATGACTGCCTTGTTCTGCACAACAGCACATTACAATCAATATCATGCAGATCTCTAAGGGTGTATCGCATATATAGTACTTCAGAAAATGAGTGTAATAATGCTAGGTTCAAACCAGTGTTAGGAAATTTGGCATAATTTGAAATCAAAGTATTAAAGACTTTCTTTAAAAAAATATTTGTAATAGTTTTTATAAAAAAAAATAATTAAGGGGTCCTCTGATATTGGTTCTCCAGGGCCCGCCATATATAGAGACTAGTAATCACTGTTCAGGACTGATATGCATTGAGAGTAAACGTGAAAAACCTTTTGCCCAAATTCAAAACTTGACACTTTCAACATCATATACAGAAGTTAAAAGTTAGCCAGCGACACTAAACTCAGATTTTGGGGGAAAGACACATACACACGTGGACAAAATTGTTGGTACCGCTCAGTTAAAGAAGGAAAAACCCACAATTCTCACTGAAATCACTTGAAACCTACAAAAGTAACAATAAATAAAAAATTATTGAAAATTAAATAATCAAAATCAGCCATTACGTTTGAAATGTTGATTAACATAATTATTTAAAAAAAACAAACTAATGAAATAGGGCTGGACAAAAATGATGGTACCCATAACTTAATATTTTGTTGCACAACCTTTTGAGGCAATCACTGCAATTAAACAATTTCTGTATTTGTCAATGAGCGTTCTGCAGCTGTCAACAGGTATTTTGGCCCACTCCTCATGAGCAAACTGCTCCAGTTGTCTCAGGTTTGATGGGTGTCTTCTCCAAATGGCATGTTTCAGCTCCTTCCACAGATGTTCAATGGGATTCAGATCTGGGCTCATGGAAGGCCACTTTAGAATAGTCCAACGCTTTTCTCTCAGCCATTCTTGGGTGTTTTTGGCTGTGTGTTTTGGATCGTTGTCCTGTTGGAAGACCCATGACCTGCGACTGAGACCAAGCTTTCTGACACTAGGCAGCACATTTCTCTCCAGAATGCCTTGATAGTCGTCAGATTTCATTTTACCTTGCACACATTCAAGACACCCTGTGCCAGATGCAGCAAAGCAGCCCCAAAACATTGCTGAGCCTCCTCCATGTTTCACCGTAGGGACAGTGTTCTTTTCTTCGTATGCTTGGTTTTTGAGTCTATGAACATAGAGTTGATGTGCCTTACCAAAAAGCTCCAGTTTGGTCTCATCTGTCCAAAGGACATTCTCCCAGAAGCTTTGTGGCTTGTCAACATGCATTTTTGCAAATTCCAGTCTCGCTTTTTTATGATTTTTTTTCAGCAGTGGTGTCCTCCTTGGTCGTCTCCCATGAAGTCCACTTTGGCTCAAACAACGATGAATGGTGCGATCTGACACTGATGTACCTTGGCCTTGGAGTTCACCTTTAATTTCTTTGGAGGTTGTCCTGGGCTCTTTGGATACAATTCGAACGATCTGTCTCTTCAATCTGTCATCAATTTTCCTCTTGCGGCCACGTCCAGGGAGGTTGGCTACTGTCCCGTGGGTCTTGAACTTCTGAATAATATGAGCCACTGTTGTCACAGGAACTTCAAGCTGTTTGGAGATGGTCTTATAGCCTGCACCTTTAAGATGTTTGTCTATAATTTTTTTTCGGATGTCCTGGGACAATTCTCTCCTTCGCTTTCTGTTGTCCATGTTCAGTGTGGTACACACCTTTTCACCAAACAGCAGAGTGACTACTTGTCTCCCTTTAAATAGGCAGACTGACTGATTATGAGTTTGGAAACACCTGTGATGTCAATTAAAGGACACACCTGAGTTAATCATGTCACTCTGGTCAAATAGTTTTCAATCTTTTATAGAGGTACCATCATTTTTGTCCAGCCCTATTTCATTAGTTTGTTTTTTTTAAATAATTATGTTAATCAACATTTCAAACGTAATGGCTGATTTTGATTATTTAATTTTCAATAAATTTTTATTTATTGTTACTTTTGTAGGTTTCAAGTGATTTCAGTGAGAATTGTGGGTTTTTCCTTCTTTAACTGAGGGGTACCAACAATTTTGTCCACGTGTGTACCACCACCACCAAACTAGAACACTACTTAAATAATCAATTTTAGCCGCTATCTGAAAAATTAACGGCTGATACAGATAACCAGCTAAATGCCCAATATGGGCCCAAAAAATATCAGTTTACTCTTATTAAATATCATATTTAATAGAACCTATCTTACATAGTTTGGGAGCCATAATGGGTTTATAAGGGTGCTAAAAATGCTGAAAAACTGTGAGGGTTAGGCAGGTGTTTGATACTAAATTTGGTTAAACTGAATTACCACTACATGAGAAACCATTTCTTCCAGGAGTGCTGATAGTGGCAGTAGTTTGTTTTCAGCATACTCTAGTTTTGGTAGAATAAATGAAAAATGCAACAAAATGAAATGGAAAGTTTGGGGTAAACACTTTGACATGAGGAATACATGTTTTGTTCTGAGTGTATGCTGTTCTGAGTGTATCACTGAGCCCAAATGTCAGGCTAAAGCTACAAAGAATGGATTTCAAACAATGTTAAAGAGTGTCTACAGTATCTAAACATCAGTTCATTTTTAAGCAGACCTACGTGATAGATGAGAGTAAAAAAGTGTAACCTAAATGCCAGCTGTCAAAAATCTGTCAGTCAAAAAAGGGGCTTTTAAGTCAACAGAGCAGCTTCAGGGTAAGACTGAATTTCACCAAATGGCAGTTTAAAAAAACTCACTATTAACTTAATTATTCAGGCATTTTCAGTGAGACAAGGCCTTTCTTTGGAAACTTTCATTACATTTTCCTTGGAAACATTTTTTTAAACTTTTCTTTGGGTGACTCCTGTAATGATGTAATTCTTAATCATTAAAAATGCTTTTCACCCCGTGTAATCAGACCTCTAATCTTGGCAAGGCTAAAAGGCCAGTGATGAACACTTGGAGAGGAATGTTTAACCCTGGCCTTCCTTTCTCTTGACATTTTTCCTTTACAAATTTTGGGGTCTAGTTGAGTGAAGGATCATTTTTTAAATTCCCTCAAATTGATTTAACTGCAATAAATTAATCCCAAGTTATGATCAAAGGGTTTCCATTAAAAGTGCTTGTTTTCACCACAAACACAATCTGATGACTTGTTTTCTTTATTTGGCCATATGTTTGCCCTCATATTGTTTTTAAAAGGGATAATCATAACACTGTAAGTTATATCTAAGTTGAATTTCTGAATCGACTGAAGCCGCTGGAACATGTTTGTAGGTAGTGTGTCTATGTGTCAGCTGATGGGGGAATTTCATTGATAACTCTTGTTAGCCTCTGGGTTTGAACACAGCTTTCCCGACACGAAACTCACACACGCCCACCTGCTGCTTTAAATTAAAGCTGTCTCCACTCACTCAATAAACTTTGTCTGTTTTTTGGCTGAGTCATCTGCACAAACACACTCCTCCTGAAATGAAACTCCATTCCTCACATTCCTGTCATATCTTTAGTACCCCAACGGCCCAGGTACGCCTGTTTCCCTGCAGTTTTTTTTTCCGCCCTCCACCAACACTGAGTTTGTTTTATATTATTATGATTTGTTCTGGTGAATTTTTGTATTAAATCAAGTTCACTTACAGACAAATGGAAGTGACATTAAACTGGAGTGTCGATTAAGGGAAATGGATATATTTTGTCTTCAACGGGGAACAATGCATTTTCTTCTTTATCAGACATTTGCAAAGCTGATTCTCCTGATTATGCAGCAAGCCCACCCCAGTGTGATCTTGTATGCTGTTCTCTTGAAACAACATATTGATCATGTTTTTTTGAGGTGGTGAACAGGGGCAGTGTTGAGCCCTCCCTCTGCTGGTGTGTTTAAGGTTGGTACAGTCTATAAAGCCACAGCAGCATTTTAAATATAAGAAAGATACAAACTCATATGAACCACTCTGGCTACAACCAATTGCTCATTGCTGTAAGTGGACCTAAGGTGGTTTTTCTTGACAATTAGAAGCTGATTGATGCAGTGCCTTTCTGCCACAACTTGGACAGTCTGGCAGTAACAGTTAAAGCATGTTCAGTGTTTTTTAGGGTCAATGTGATGACAAATGAACCAAGAAGTCTCCACAGTGTTCAATCTGCATCAAATGATAATATCAATATCATTTAAATTGCTGAAAAAGTTCATAATTGAATAAAAAATGTTGGAAGATAACAATCTCAACAGTCTTTTGGGAAAGTTGTTGTAACTATTTCCTAAATATGTCAGTCTGAAAGGAAATGCTAACTTCTGACACATGATCTAATTAAACTACAGTTTTACTTTTCTTAAGATTACTCCTACTTTCTGTGATGGATGTGCTTATTCGTCTTCCACAGACTTTTAGAGTTTACTTTTTTACGGGTACCCTGTCTGCAGTACACGCTGGTAATGGTGACAGGGATGAAAAAAGGGAGGATTTCATAAACAGGAGATAAGCTCAGAGTGATGAACACGGAGGCTGGCACTGTGTAAGACTGAGATAACACAAACCCACTGTACATACTAAAAGCAGCACACACACACACACACACACGTTTTACTGAAGTCATCCTCATAACAAATATATTGTTAATGCAGTAGTAGATGGCATGACAGATTTCCTCAGTATACATTAAACTTTTTTTCTGATTTAAATCATTGTCTAATTCATTTTCCTCTCATCCATCAGTCCTTAACCATTTCTTTGAATCAGCTCACCGATTACATTGTCAGCTATTTTCCATGAAAATGCCTCCAAAACAACAGACATAATCATTTTTTTCTGAATCAGTTATGGACAGAGCCATCACCCATCCCCTACAGCAGTAAAGTCAGGTCGTGTGATATCAAGAAAAGTTGCACAGTGTGGCAACACTGCTGGGCATCTGGGTGGAGTCAGCATCAGTGCACCAAATTCACTATCCTGATATATTTGCAGCGGATTGGTTAATTGTGACCTCGTTTCTAACAGATGATTGCCTTTCATGCCACACACAGGGGAAATAGCTACTGTCACCTAACGAAATCAATTGACCTCTAAAACTTTCAAATTAAGCAGCAGAGACTTTGGGAATTTGGAAGTCAAAGGGCAAAAGACTCCAGCACAGAGCTGAGTCTTTTCTCTGTGGCTCTCTGTGACCTCTTTCCTTTTCCCTGGACAAGTCTATTTTTAATGCTATTCAGGGAACATTCACAGAGCTGAATGATGTCCTGCTTCATATTTTTAGAATTTCATACTAAGCATCTGAAGAGATAATGAGACTGTTTTTTGGGTGTTCCTGTAGGAACTAAAGCCAAAGCCGAAAGATTATTTTTGAGGTCAAGCATGGATTTTGGATGCAGGGCTCACAATCAGCAAACTGACATCTCCCAAAGGTGTTCAGCAGGGTTGGGGTCAGGGCTCTGTGTGGACCTGAGAGTTTTAGACTTCATAGTTTGTTCTGTTCAGTCATTAATTTGGACACTCCCGGTTGGCTAGAATGTCTTATTTAGTGTAAGGAAACACTCACAGCTCAAAATACAACATGCATTCTGACATCGGGTTCAAAATATGTTTTTACGGTTTCTTTCAGGGTTTACGTTATTAGAGACACTGGTGGTGAATGTAATATCTAGATTCAGGGGCAGAGAGTGCGTATGCTGTTTAATTATGGTACATTTTTCTATCGTCAAACCTGGGACAATCAATCACAGTGCCAGGCAGCAAAGTATGAACAAGTTATCCATGCTTTGAAGTCAACAGCTGTCTGCAGAGAGATCTGAGTCATACCAGCAGATGAAATGACATGCAAAACCATGTCATGAAACTCTAGACATGCTTCTGTTTGTAGCACGGACATTGCAGTGGGTGACACAACATCTAATAAGCCATTACATGCCGTGCTCTCAAGTATGTGCTGGCATTTCGGATGCCCTCACATTCTCTGGCGATAGCATGCCTTGTTAGTAATTCTTAGTAGGAGCATTTCCTACCATATGAGAGATTAACCCTCATTAACCCCACCCCCACCCCCACCCCTTTTTTTCATTACCGTTTCTGACGCCTAAAGAACAGGAGTTAAAGGAATGTATTACAGGCTGAGTTTATCTTCTCTACCGTAAGCTGCTAACACACCATGTTTACTAGCTACAGTAGTAACCTAGTATTAAAAGTACCTACTGTGCTGGATTCAGTCCAATGTGGTACAATCAGAGTTCAAGCTAACGTGAAGGACTCTTGTCCTGCTCTTAATTGGATTAGAGGAAGTCTACATGCAATCAAACTCATTACCTTTCTCTTGTTGAAGGGCAAACTGCACAAACACATGCAAACAATATGGCTGAAATCTGATCCCTGTGCTGCTTTTCAGGGGTTCTTGTTTTTTTTTCTAGACACAAAGATACAAGCTGTGTTTGATCAAAGCTGCTGCAGCCTGGCAGTGACATAGTTTGCAAAATAAAAGGTGACTGATGAAAATAAAAGACACTTAAATTAAAATCAGTTGTTTACATCATTTTTTTCCCTGTAACTCTGCTGTTTTCACAAGAATGAACAACCAACTGGTTACTTTGTAAAGAGATACAAGCATGCTCTACAGTATACAAAGCCAAACAATGGCATTTTATGATAATCAATATTGGCTAATCACTGGAATCACTACAGTAAAGATAGTCTGATGGCAGATTTATTGGGCTGATGAGTCAAACATCCTTCTGGCAACATGTTTTTGACAAACTGTTGACTGAAGTCCACTTATATTATTCATTTGTAGTTAGTCCTAAACAGTTGTGTTCTATCAAATGCAATAAAAAAGGCAAAAACAACCTGATATCAGCATTATATATCTGCCATCAGCTGCTCAAAAACAGTGATCGGTTCTGAGAATCTATGTTTGTACTCTTATTCTAAGAACGCGTTTTGATTAACAGTCATTATGCTTGTTGATCACTATAGTCTCCAGACACTGACTGCTCACAGCCTTGTCAGTGTGGCTGCTGCAAAACAGTATAAATGTCCTCTTTGATGATCACACATTTTTCCCACCCTTAACGACAGCAGATCAGTAACTGTCAAGAGATCTATGGCATAGCTCAATCAATTTTTCTATTAAATTAATCCATTTGAAATCCATCTGAAACGTGTTTCTGGCTAAAATAAGCACGTAATGTAATGTGCATGGGATAATAGGGTTAGATTTTACTGAAAAACACCAGCATGGCATTTGCATTTTCCTGTACATCTGCTATTGGCTGACCTCCTCTATAATAATTGACTGTCAACCATTGAAAAGCTGATGTCAGTCGACCACCAATATTAACGGCCACATTGACAATCAAAAAATACAAAATAGAATAGTCTGGGTTAATCTCTACTCAGATTGTGACTCTAATGCCACAGAAATTACACTTGGCCTAGTTTGTTTCAAAAAAAGTGAGACTCTTTTTTTGAAACCAGACACAGTTATAAAGTCACTGCAACCGAACTCCATTGACAAAAAGGGAAATCTTGAATTGCACAACCAGGGAGCTGCTGATCTACATCTACCTTGGTTTTTCTGCCAGGGAGAGCAAGTTTAGATCCGACCCCTCACATTCACATCCCAGATTAACACATGCTCTGCACTGCATGTATACAAAAAAGGTTAAAAAAAATATCCCAGTTCCTGTGGAATATGTTACTGAAAACCTGGTTAAATGACTCTACTATAGGGTGACCATGCGTGCTCTTTTACCCGGACATGGCTTGTCCGGCCTTGTTTGGGGGAGTTTATAAAATTCTTCAAATGTCCATGATTTTGTACGGAAGTTTTGGGTTTGTGTCACGTGGACTTACTGAGTTAAAAGCGCATGAAAAACGCTCAACCAGACCAGAATAACTCTCAAAATTTACTATGATACTCCATGACTCCGCCCCCACACAGTTGTGTCCTCTTTTTGGGGATTCACAATATAGTCACCCCACCCTAAAAACTTTTTACTTTTACAGTCTTTTAAAAGTGAAGCAGCAGTAGAAAGTGTTGATTGTGCTTCAGAAGGCTTCATGTTGGATAAAGGCCTTCTTTCTCATGTTCTGTAGAAACACATAATGCAGGTTATAAGTAGCAAATTTAGACAGTAATTCAGACTCTGAACCATACTGTACAGGAGTGGTGGAACCAAATGCAGCTGAAGTCCTGTTTCATTCTGGTGGAGTAGAGTGAGCTCTGTAATAAAGTGACAGGCTGTTCCTCCATCACTAAGCACCATATGACTGAGTGTGTGTGTGTGTGTGGACCCCTGTGAAGTGGGACTTTCTGGTTAATCTCCAGCTGGCCAATAATCAGCTTAACTGTCACTGAAGTGCAGCAGGCTAATTACTAGTTTGTAGCTAGTAGCTAATATGGCACCAAGTCACATGTAAAACTGACTGAAAATAACCTCTACATGAATCCTCAGGCTAAAATAGACTCAAAGATTCCTGATATCCCCTCCTGTTTCTCTGGAATTGTATCACATGTGATGGTTTTAATATTTGTCAAACATCAACAAGCTCTATAAACATTTGGTTTTAAACGTACAGGTTTCTATATTTTGGTGTTGTCATGAGCCCTGAATTAAAAATGCATGCATATTTATTGACATAAAGTATTCATGTGACTTAATCTGAAATGTAGAATTTAGTTTTTCATTAGTTTCTTCATTAAAGGTTAATAAAAATCTCTGCCATTAGAAAGTGCTGATTGAAGTTATGTCTGTCACTCTGCAGTCTGGCGGGATACGCAGGTAGGGAAACTATGTCATTGGGTTAACCCTTCATAGAGGGTTAAGCCGCAGCATGGACGGGTGAAACAGCACGTAGACTTAAGCAGCTGCTAAACTGGTGGGTTAAACTGTGACCATAACCCGATGATAATATTACATGAGCCTGCAGCCTAAGTGCAAGCCTAAATGAAGGAAACTAAGAGCAAGCTCCAAAAAAGGAAGCCAGAGTCTAGAGTGAAGTGAGCACCTCTGATGCTGAATCTACACTGTATGATTTCATCTTAACCTGAAACCAACAGGATTTCCATTGAATATTTCGACTCTTAACTTGAATTAGGTTGCCCCCCCCCCCCCTTTTGGTTAAATTTTTCTCGCACCCGTGCTTATTTATCTATTTATTTGGATCACCATTAGCTACTACCTAAGCAGCAGCTACTCTTCCTGGGGTCGGCAAGAAGACAGTCAGTGTTCACACAGATTAAAATGATAAAAGTCCAAACAGGAGAATTGTACAAGATGTTAAAATCCAAACTAAAACAAGAATCATAGTTAACATTACATTTCCAATTACAATAGACACCAATAAAGGCCAGATAAATGTACTACTAATCTAAATCTCATTGGCACATATTGTATGTCGTCACAGCCTAGTCTAGGTGTCCTGTTTCTTATATCAGTGAGTCTGGGTCATTAGATATTGGTATACCTTCTTTCTTAATATGTTTACTGGTTAACCTTGTAATGAAAGATGGAAGACTATTCCATACTTTGTGTTGAATAGTGCTTATCAGCACCTGCATCCTTCTGACATCTTGAGATGGCTCTACAATCGGCCAGTCAGAGCTACAATCACAAACAGTCTCATCTGTGCTTAGAGAGGTGAAAAAGATGTGTCTTAGTTCCCCGATGCTCGTTCATGCACCCATGCAGCTCATTCGATTTCACCATCTTTTCCAGGAACTGTGCCTGGATCAACTTCACCGCTGCTTCCAGCTACTTGAGATTGACCAGTGCCATGTTTCATGACCTTTTAGTTTTGGATCAATGCTACAGTCTCTCATAAAGTCACAGTGTTTGTGTCGTTCTATGTGTGGTTTGTCTAAGTGATGTATCTGTGCCTATATGTTGAACATCTCATTGGTAGGAAACTCAGAACAAACGTCACATCAGGCAGTGCAGTGATGGCCACAGCAGAGAGGAACGATCCTTCACCTGAAAGCTGGTGGTCATGTCTTGAGCCTGTTTGAGGGTTTTGAAATGAAGAAATGACCTACATTGTTTTTTAATTTTAGCCTGTAAAAACTTAATCGTGGCCTGGACACTTACAGTTCAGCCTCAGATAACAAGTCCTGGTATCCTGCATAAATATTTTAAACCAAGTTGTCAGTGCTTCTAGAAACTTAGTTTTATGCTATGGTTGTTTGTTCCTATTATTGTTTGTACTATTTTGGAGTTGCAAATCTAAAAACCTGTGGCATGTGAGTCTACTTAATTCAAATAATGCTTTTCAATGAACTTAACAGAATCTTTGGCAATATTTTCTTAACTGCACTAATTGCATTGTGAAAATACAACATTTGAAAAAGCAAAGATCGTTTGAATACTTAATGTAAAAAAGCAAGTGGTAGTTTAACTGAGCTTCTTCCACTTGTATTAGAGTAATACTTGACCAGAATAATCTAAACCAGTGGTTCTCATGTCCAGTCCTCGAGGCCCACCTGATTCAAATGATCAGCTCGTTATCAAACTCTGTAATGGCTTAATAACGAGCTGATCATTTGAATCAGGTGTGTTGGAGCAGGGAAACATCCCAAACATGCAGGACAGTGGGCCTCGAGGACTGGACTTGAGAACCACTGCTCTAAACTATGACTCAGGTGTGTTGGTTGTAAATCACTGGTAGTTTAACAACAAACAGCTGAAGTGAAAGAGACTCTTCTTTTCCTTGTGGTCAAAGTTGAAGTATCTATTTATATGGCTTAGTCATCTTTTCAGTGCTGCTGCATTTATGACACAGACATGGCAGTGTGGGCCGTTGATTGACCTTGTTTTTATTTTGATCTAAACAGGTCTTATGGCTTGATTAGCCACGTAGCTGCAGTCAAGTACTGATAAAAGCATGAGCTGTCACAAAGGGAGGCTGATTTGAAAGTTTCTGAGTGATTCCCTTTCTCTGAAGCTCTTTGTGACCCAGATTAGAAACACACACAACAACACATGTGTGACCACACTTAAAAATGAACACTTTCTTAATAGAAAAATAACTAAAATGTTCCAGCCCCTCAAATTGCAGTGATTGGGGATTCCCTGTCTCTTTCTGTGTTGTATGAAATGTATTAAAATATTATATAAAATTGATTTATATGAATTATGGTATAATAATTGGTAACACCAGGTCACATGGCTTACTGTGTGTTCATCTATATTGTTGTCTGTGTATCCAAATGATTGATTTGCATACTGCTCGTCTCCCACTCTCTATCTGTGGCCATGGCTTTGGTCTTACAGGCAATAGTGGGTAATCCTCTGGTAATCTCTTTCACCTGGACCATCTGCATGTGCAGACATGAAGAGAGGTGCAAAGGAGGACACAGAGAGAGACAATGGAAGATTTTCATTACACCAACTTATGCTTCTTCACGTCCTCTCTCCTCCCGTGACCCGAAAATCGTTTCCCAAATCTTCAAGCCCCTTAAATTCACCTCCTGGATTCACCTCCTGAAAGAGCTTAGAGGGAAGAAACAAAGATGCATCCTTCCAAGAGGTCTCTGGTGTATCCATGCCTCCACAACAAACACTGTTTATAGACAAAGCTTCCTGTTTAGGGGCCACTATATAAAAGCAGAACATGAAAAAGTACTGATATCTTTGAGGGCAGTTGTAATATTCTCGTGTCCGTCATATGGACCTTTATAGTTTTATTGCAGCCTCCATCTGTAAAATTTGTGCTTTCAGTGACCCTGTCTTGAACAACATTTACCTCTGTGTTACACCTGTCTACCTGGTACCAGACTTCCACATAGATTTGTCTGTCTTTGCTCTAAAATATTCCCAAACTTCTCCACTATTTACCGAAAGGAAAAGGGTGAACTATTTCAGATGAACAGGAAGAGAGAAGGTACAAGGAAGCACAAACTACTGCAATGACGAGCAGCCAGAGAGAGAGAAAACCAGTAAGTCAGTTTTATCAGATCATAAAAGTCGATCCCTTTAACAAATATGAGGTCTGATGAAGAGAACAGTTCAGATGTGTGTCTGATGTAAAATAAACATTTCCTGGAACAGCTTTTTAAAGGAAAAGCCTTCAATAAAAAAAAAAGGACAACAGAAATCTCAACAGAACAGCTCCTCTGGGACCAGTGCTGAAAATAACAGCAAATGACCCTCCGATGACCAAACCTCCCTCCATCCCATATGCTCTGCTTTTCCAAAGCAAAAAGACTGTAAATGGCTGCAGCAGTCAGTGAAACATGTGATTAGTGCAGCAGCTCTGTTATTAAGGAAAGACAGTGTGTGAGTCACAGAGCTGGACGGCTGCACGGACGCAGACAGACCGTGAGTTCAGCTGAGTCAGAGGTCAGGTCGAGTACAGCTCTGGGGACTGTGATCCATCTTAAGTGTTTCTTTTAGATTCAGGTTATGGGTCTTTATGTTTGAGCTGTTTGACACCAGTAACTTAGAGGAAAGTGCATCAAAAGGAATGCAGGGGCTGTTAAAGTGTGCCTTCACTAAAGTCATATTTTAAAGCTTTATGTGCAATTCATGCCTCTAAAATCAGAACAACTTGAATGTTACTTCAATTATCTTCAGGCTGATGTGTTTTTCCTTTAATTTCAAATCAAAACTAGCAGGACTTTCTCCGAAAAAGTCTCCTGCATGATTTGTAAAAAACTTTTTATATTGCATCTATCAGAACATGACGGGGGATGTAAAATATAAGGTCTGATTAATTATCAGCCAATAGTGGTCATGTATTATATTGTTTACTATTTTCGTTATTCATTTTAATCAGATAAAAACATCTAACATACTTTCATTTAGTTATTGATTCAGTTCAGGTAGCCCGATCTAGTTAAGTCTGCAGCTTTTTACAAATAAGTTGATGATTCGCGATCCACCTGTGTAGATTTTTTTGGCATTTCAAAGGAGGATAACTCACTTCAATTTGCAAAACAAAAGTCTGCTAGTTAATATAATGATTCTTGAAAGTCATTAGAAAAGCTGCCATCACCATGAAGCAGGAACACTTGCCTGTTTAGTAACGACTGTCATGAAGGTCATGGGAAAGACTGAAAATGTCCTCCCCAGTCAGCCTTTACAGCATCCCAAAATTTTGGGGCTTTTCAATATTGTTTGATTTATTGGGGAGGCAGTTGAGTATGTTTACTGCTGACTTTGTAAGTAACAATTGTGGCTGTTTTTTTATGTGTGTGTTGATATAGTATTAGTTCAAATCCATCATTGCTCACTAAACCTTAGCTTTCTTTATTACGAGGCTTACAGAAACTACACATTACAAACTTTTTTGTAGATTCAAAACCCTGAAAAAGAATGGCAGCAATCTTATAGGTATAAACCATTTAGGGCATTAGTTATCCATATTAACTGGAGAAAAAAAATCACGTAGTGTATTTGTAATAATGACATCATCAACAAAGGAAGTCTGAAAGGATAAGAAAGATGGCAGTCTTGTGCTGCGTTCGAGTTACCTTGGAAGTCAGATGTCGGAGCTGAAAATGACATTACACCCGAGTTACCAGCGTTTCAGTTACCAAGTCAGAAAAAAGCAAAATCGGAGGTGGAAACAAGACGGCTACATCTACGAAAGTTATTGCCTTGTCCGAATATAACAAGGTCAAGGGAAGTGCTAAAATGACTTTCATAGGTGTAGCCATCTTTTTTCCGCCTCTGATTTCGCTTTTTTTCGACTTGGTAACTGAAACGCTGGTATCTTGGGTGTGATGTCATTTTCAACTCTGACATCTGACTTCCGAGGTTACTCGAACACAGCATAAGTCATCCACTATATTGAAGACAAAGAGGTTGTAGCCATTCAAGTTCTTGTATTAGATCAATTTCAACAGATCAGACAATAATCACAGCCGCTCATATAGGTCCACATCAAAAGGCAAAAACACTGGGTTAAATGGTACTTTGAAGTTGGTAAATTACGTAAAACCTGAAGTTGTTTTATGGAAACTTTAATGGAGCACACATGTCTACAGTTCAGCAGGTCATAGCAGTTAAGCAGTTTCCTTCATTCACGTCCTGGCTGTTTGCGTTTGACTTTAAATTGTTAGGTGTTGAAACGACTGCTGCCTCTGGAGTTTCTGATTGACACACAAAAAAAACAAGTGAGCAAATTTTTTTCAAACACCTGAAAAACGGAGAGGATATTTCAACAGGTTCTACAACATCCTCACAGAGCAGTGACATACTTCACATACACGCTCAGTGTTAAGTACAGGTCTAGAAGAGACAGCTGCTTTATTTACACCTGCAACTAGTTAAAAGCTTCCTTTATCACTAAACCTCAAAACTACTCCTGTCTGAAACTGAGTGCCAGTATTCTCACGTTTGACTTACACTGTATCATTAAACATCTTTATTTTCCAGAGTAGCCTCAGGAACTGTTTAAAACTGTTCCTGACCGCGCTGTTCTGTGAAAGCAAACCATTAGTGGGTCAAAGTCTTTAGAGTCCAGCCTGTGTGTATTTGTGCAGGTCTACATTAGTGTGTATATATATCCGAGTTTTAGAGTTTGTGCGGTAATTGGCTGTTTGTCCAGTTCTTCAAGGAAGTCTACTCCACCAGAGGAAATCATTATCTTCAAACAACTGCGTGTGCGTGTGTGAGAGAGTGAGAGGGGCAGGGGCCTAAGGCTGTTCAAAAAACGCACAGTAAACCATGTCGGGTGGCTTTCAGGGCCTCACAGATGCTTTTAACTACGGTGCTTAAGTTTCACCGCTGACCCCTCTCTTTACTATCTGCTGTAGGATTATGGACATCATTTATGAAGAGCAGAGCAAAACTCAAAGACAAAATGACAAGTTTGAACTGCTGCATACAAGGGCTGATGCAAGAGAGAACAGACGTGACTCTAAACTTGACAAACTGAGCCCCAAAATCAACTTTAAGCATTTTATATACTGGATGGGTTCTTAGCTTCTCAACCAAGTCAGCAGCTTCTCCTAAAAGAAATTAGGTTTTCTAAGATGGTTTTCAGCAAAGCTTTGGTACTAGCTTTTTGAGCTTCTGCTGATCTAAGCTTGTTTTTTCTTCCTTGCACCAAAACATCCAGACTATTGGATGTATGATGTATCAAAGCTCCTTGATTGCTGCATATTGTGAGATGTGAGGCCAAAATACCACCTAAGTACTGACATACTGCACAGGTGCAGCTGATTCTATACGTTTTCCACTAACAAAGACATGAATTTAACTCACTAATACATCATCAACAAAATCTCCCAGGACAGTACTGCCCACAGCAGAACAGATTCTTGTTTAGTTTGAAGCTGACATTCACCTGTGTCTATGCAAAGTTCGCCTGCTCTTGTGTTTGTGATAGTTTTGTTTTCCGCCTCCCTAGCTAATGCTGCAGGAGCCCACATTTGTCAACAGAGCTGTCAATCATCTTTAAAAATCTGACAGCGGAGCTAGCACCCCCGGCACTGAGTACCTGTTGCAGGTTGATGTTTCCACCTCTGCTGATTATGCATTGCTCAAATGGTAATAACCCCGTTTAAAGCTATAGTGCATAACTTCTATCACCCCCTAGAAGATTTCTGTGTAATTACAAAGATACGGCCGGCACCTCAATATGACGTATGGCCCGGTGTAACCAGTACACGGGGTAACACTCCATTCATTGCATACTGCTCTTCACGGTAGACAGACTGTAACTGTCTACACAACATGTAGGCTACTAAAGATATTCCTCACAGCACACAGCCCCTCGTAGTAAGTTACAAACAGCAACCTTGTTACACAATGTGGCGAACACCAGGCTGCTAACAATACATTACATTAACAGCCCCATTTCCAAAAAAATAATAAAGTACTCAGTCCAGTACATGTAACAGCAACACATCCTGCTTGTAACGAACAGAGTCACTTACTTATCCAGCAGTATGAAGGCAACATTGGTGTCAGACCTCAGTCCAATCTCCATTGAGGAAAAGCGACACCGAAACAAATCTGTTCTATTCTTCTCTGTTTGTCACTCCCAAACGGTATGGCTTTTTCTTTTTAGTGGGATCAACTTCTGAATCTCTTGGTTGCTTCTTTGGGTTCACCGCCATGTTGCTTTTAGCAGCACTCTCCTCTCCCCTCCCTTCTTGTTGTCAGGTAAAACCAAATAGAACACATCAATTCCTGTGCGCTAGCGCTGGGATGTCGCCAAAGACACCAAATACAAGAAAATCAAATACTAAAAAATACCCTGAGGTGTTAGAGGAGCCAAATGGCTTAATCAGCGTTGTATCATCTCCTCTTGTCGTGGCTTGGGTGAAACAGATATTTACAGATGCGTAGAAGTCACGCACTATAGCTTTAACGGGCATGGTTCAAAATACTGCCAAACTTCACGATGCTATCCATCATGTGTTCTTGTTTAGATCCAAGTGTTCAATGGGAGCTGTCATCAAACCAGTGTATCAACCCCATGTGACCATCTTTTCCAGCCTACAGTTCTTTTGTCTTAAACTGATACAGTAAAATGATGCATCTTAACTTCTTTCTTCACCAGTTATTTTACTGGATATTACAATAGCACTAATGCCAAAAAGACACTTTCAAATTAGCAATGAGCAACTGCATCAACACAGATATGACCGAAATGTTCTGATCGGATGGTGGACAAAAATGTTGAATGAAATGAGAGTCGGATGAGTGAGAGCAGTGTCTGTCCTCCGCTCTGTATCTGTTTCATGCAGCTTGTTAGCACAGGCCTGATTATTAGCTGAATTAGGTCTTCTAACAGTGAGAGCCCTGCAGGGCCACAAAGGACTCACTGTTCAACTCCCTCTGAGAGAGTAACACAGGCACAGTGTGTTTGCGGTTGGTGGGAGCGTTCCCAGACTCAGCCTGAACGAGATTGTTTTTGTCACCTATTACGGCAACATTTGGAGACCACGGCCTCGACCCCACTTGGAGCAAAATCAAACAGCTCTGTTTGTTAGTTGAACTGCAGGCTGAGTACTACTACAGTATGCGCTGTATTTCACAGCTATGACAGGAATGTTGTCACAGGAGACAGAGAGCTTGTCTGTTTGCATAATAAATGGATGAGGTAGTTAAATTACTGTCTTTCAATTATCAGCCAGTCAATACATTGTTTATATAAGATAGGGACAGTTTCTTCAATGTCCTTCACAAAATAACAGATTTGAAGAGAGGGAAATTAACAGCTAATAAAATCTGTCAGCCAAAAAAAAAATAAATAAATAAAATTACTCAAGTTCATTGTCATTTTTTTCTGCTTAACTTTTCCCCCGCATATTTCATAACTTATGGTTTGAAAAAAAAAAGAAGCCCAAAGTAAAAGAGGATCCTCCCTTTGTTGCTTGGATGAGTTTCACTGTGGGATCACTCAGAATAATTTGCATATTCACCAGACTAGATGTGGCTAAAATCAAACAGCTCTAAGGTCAGGGTTCATGACAAACCAGAGACACTTTCTCAAATGCTGATCAGGTCTTAGTTGGGCACACTCTCAGCCACTTGCTCTCAGCTGCAGAGCACCTGTCTATCCATGCCTGTGCAGTGAGTAGTTGCTGCACTGTATCCAGCAAATCAGATGTCAGCTGTAATCTAACAAAGCACCAGGTCTGACACCAAACAGAGTGACCGAGCTTTGAGTTTTAACATCACAAACAGGTCTACAGGACACTGGAAGAACTTCATGTAATTTTGTAAAAATTCTGATTAGGCTTTGTTTGTAAAAAAACGAAAATAAGTGAACAACTACACTTATTGTCTGACTGGAGGTCCAATTAACTTTTGCTGATGCAATGCCACTTGCCCACTTCCCCTTTAAACCATGCATACACGTGCATTGTGGGCAAGAGTCAAGTGTTTTTATCTTGTTGTTTGTTTCACTTTGTAGATGTAGAATGTGCTGTTAAAAATTGAGTACACACACAGGGTTTTACACAGTAGTTTTCCCGCATATAGGGGAGAGTGGGGTAAGATCAGCCATTTTTCATATTTCAGATCACTACATCAAGGCAATCATAGTTTTGTCTCTAATCTGCATATTTCAAGATTTTGTGCATTCATGCAGCCCAACAGAATGAGTGTAAACAGAACTGTCTTGATAATATAGCATGAAAAAAAAGCATGCAAAAAAAGTGGTCTCCTATGGTCAACTTACCCCGTGTATGGGATAAGTTGACCATAGAAGCGGGTAAGTCGAGCGGTTTCCCCACTCTCCTTCCCAGTCCTCTCTCACCTTCTCTCGCTCTAAATAACAGTCACTTCTTCATATTCATGTGTATTTTTATCTATTGTATGCTATCCAACAGGTACAATAATTCTAAAAGTCATTTTAACATGAGAATGCCTTTTAAGTCATTCAGAACATTCACAGCTGTATTTTTGAAAAGAAAAAGTAACACATTTCAACAATCTGAACTGAAACTCTGATCCTCTCATCAGACTCCTTTACTTTCTCAGTTGAACCACTGACTCAACTTACCCCAGAACTACTATGATGACTTAATTAGTCCTCTACGCTAAAATGGTGGACTTTTATGCTAGGTTTTTGACCTCATGTTGTAGCTCATAGATACCACAATTGAGGCATAAAACAAATTTAAAATGATCTTTTTGGGTCTGAAAAAAATTCTAATAAAACGTACGACAAACTAAATTCACTTTCAATTGTGAAAAATGTTTTTGGGAAATAAATGTCTAACCCCTTCATCCATGTTCTTCTAACCTTCACAGACTCCATGAATTGATGCCCATCTCCTAAATATTTGGTCACATGATCAATTTCTTTTACCATTTCCAAGCAACAGGGGGGTTGAACCAACTTACCCTTTGGCGCAACTTACCCCACTCTCCCCTACTTATGAATAAAAATGCTATAAAATGTAACATCAAAATGGTGCATTTAAAACCAACAACCAGGTGAAGTTGTCACACACGTGAACGAACTGGCACGCACACAAATCACAGCATCCATTACATGACTACATCTTATTATAATATTTAAAGCGCATTAGCACCAGAGACAAATATTCAGCTCAATTTAGGTGACCAAACCGGTCATTAGGTTACCGCTTGAGAACAGATATTTAAGACTCAACCCTGATGATTTGCGGGTTTCTGGTGAACACAATTCAGCAGACAACATTAGTTTTAAAGGCAAACTTTGCGCAACTTAATGTTGTCCCGGTGCTGAGCAGCACCCAGTGTTACTTGAAGTCATCCTGGAAAAGCACTGCGGAGAGTCCTGCACCAAACAAACCAACGAGGAGAGATTTCACTGAAGCCACAGACCGAAGCTGGAGCTCTTAGACTACAAGTTCAGCTGAATTTCAGGATTTTTAAACTCAGGGTTTGTTCTCTATACAGAAGAGAGAGGGACGTGTCGGTGTGACAGGAGCAGACTAGAGCAGACAGGAGAGCAGGGAGAGAAAAGCTGCTCATGTCACAGTGAAGATGTCCTGCGCTAATGTGAGCCAAGTCCCCGACCAAGACAGGAGACAAACTAGAACAGATAAATCATGTGAAGAGACACAGCTGGTTTGATAAAAGACACAGACTTCGACATGAGAGCATTTAAATCAACGTACATGTTTGCTGCGATGATCCTTCCTCCCTCTCTCTCTGAGGTGACACAAATCTGTTCTCCGTCCAAATAAAGAAAGCACCAGAAACAAAAAGAGGTCAAAATTATCCTGAGCGCGTTTCTTCTCTTAGTCCATGAGGGTCGGTGTTTCTAAAGCGTCTAATTTCGTGGAAAGAAATCCGCTACATTACTTCAGCAGACAGCGTTCGTCCACGCAGCGAGACAGCAATGCAGAGCACACTTTACTAGGGTCAAGAGCTATGAACTTACACTACACACTTCCGGTTGCTCTTACAAATTAAGATAATGTGGTGCTATACAACTGCAAAGACATTTTTCTACATCCGGCCGAAACTTGTTTACAGAGGTCCCTAAAGTCATCTGCACAAATATTTCAGGACTGAAAAAATATTTCACTACATACACAAATGTTTCAACAAATTCAAGATTAAACTGTCGAAGTTTCCTCTGAATCCCAAAAATTAGAACAATTTTGTAATGCACAAAATTGTTCTACAAAATGTGAAATTTCAGAATAAAATCTCAAGCAACAAAGGGTTGAATAACCATGACCTGGATGAACGAGGACCTACACAAACATATTCAGAATAAAAATTGTATCTTTAAAATGTACATTTTTTTTTTATTTTATATATTGCTTTTTTTTCTTGGTAAAGATATTCATATTTGATCATATGATTCAAAGTTTAGAGGCAGTTTTATCATTTTCATAGATGTTTTCACGTTCTGAGGAAGTTTTTGCATTTGATATTATACTTTTAATTTTGAAGACATTTTATATTTTTTGTTACCCTTTTTTCCATTTTGTTTTATGGGTTTGTGTTTAATAAAATACTTTTGCATTTTGTGAAATGTTTTTAAGTATTCTGTGAGTTCTTTTTTTTTGTCACAAAATGATTATGAGGTTTACCTTCAATATCAGTAAAGTTGTGCTTTGAAGATTAAGCTTCATGGAAATCAACCAAAAGCACAGTTAACACTTAAGTAAAAGAGTGTTTTATTTCAACACTTAAACTTGACTTTAGAAAATCTTGTCTCTCAGCAGTACCAAATAAAAACAAGACTAATGCAGGTCTGATGGCTCCTGTCAACATCTACAGTTGTTGCTCCCCACCCCTTAGATGCACAACAAAACCTGTTGACAACAGTGACTGATTAAAGGAATACCTGGTATTAATAACATTACAGACAATTTTGATTTTATTTTATTTTTTTATTTACTTTTTGCCATTTATTATTTTTCTGGCATTTTTTTGACATTTGATATTGATAAAATAATATATGATGGAATCTTTTTAGTTTTTATAAATATAACAATTACAAAATATTTTATGAATATTGAAACTATAGCTATCTTCTATTGCAATCTGAAAATATTATAAAAGGCAACTTCTGAAACAAAGCAATACGAAGAACTGATTTGATGACATTGTTGACGACATTGTTGATGACATGAACACATGTTGTCTTTCCAGAGGATACAACATGAGAGGGTGCAAGTTTGATTCTTCAGAAAGTCATTGTGTCGTTCAAGTGTGTTCAGTTGGTTCTATATTATCATTTACATTAAACTGTTGTAATCTAGAAAAACCATGTGAAGTATAACAGATCAAATTAGAATTTTGAGAAGGTTTTTTTTTATTATTTCAATATGTTTAGTAATTTGGTTTCTCTTACACAAAACCTACACCTCAAATTATCACATAAATATTTATCACAGGGAGGGGATTAAAGTGTTACATCCTCAAAATTTCCTAGATGAGAACCCCCAGACTTCACTCTTGTTACTTCTCGCTCAATATATGTTTCAATGAACCTTCCACTGTGGGTGTCAGGGGTTTGAAAAACTAATGTTATTATGTAACCTCCAGGCTGCCAACTGCCCAGGTTTGTTTACCTTGAAATTTCAAACATTTTCACAGTTACAGAATCCTATGGGGAAACAGAAAAGTGATAACTTTGAGTAGTCTCCAAAATGCTGCTAGAGACAGATCTTTATAAAGAATAACATCCAGGGCACTAGTGGTGGTGTTTGATATTTTTGGTCCCTGCCCTTCAAACAGCTTCAGCACATTACTGGAGACATGATAGCCTGACTTTGGTTGTTTATCCCAGGTTGGCCTCTGGAGGGAGACAGTCAGTCTGTAGTCAAGTTTATATACTGTATCTACTGCATTGCACTGACAGCAAGAGGATCTGTTTTGATGATACAAACAAAACAAAAAGGTTGGCCATGTCATAAGATATGGCCAGTTAGGTATCACAGAGACTTTGATTCCACTTTTTGAAAGTTTTCCCCTTCTGATAATAATACAAGTAGGAATAATACACAGGAGGTAATTTACTACCTTGTACAGTTTGTGAAGAAAAACACATGAAAAGACTGGGATGAAGGTAGAGGAGGTTCCCTGAATCAGCAAAGTTGACTTATGAAAATACAAGTCTGCTTGAACCCATGGCATTTTACTCAAAGGCAAAAAGGAGACCAAGTTGTGGAGGTGAACCAGATTCATTCACACAGTAATTAAACTTTGGATTTTTGTACACATCTAAATAGAAACAAATATATTTGAAAGTCAAACAAAAGCAAAAATAAAAAAGAACAACAACCACAGATTAGAAATGAGGGAAATCAAAATAAGTGAGTCACAGTTTTTCTGAACTCTGTAATATGTGCTTGTTTGGTGCTGTCCTTTGAAACCACAAATGCAATGCTTCAGTTATTATATGACCCAGTGCCTGCTAGTATGGTAGTTTTTACTGGCAAGGTCAATGAAAAAGGGTTTTTAATATTAAAAGAATAAATCAGACACATGTATTATGATAAAGAGAAAGTAATCAGCACCATGGACAGCGCTCTTATATTCAAAGCCATTTTTTGGGGAGGGGGCTGATGCTTTATCTTCTATCTGCTACTGTCATTTCTGCTGCATGCCTGTAAACACACTACTAAGGATAATAGTATCTGTTGTATTGTTGCAGCAGCAGGTCCCTGTGGTCTACAATTGTCTCCTTTGAGTGACAATGAAGTACCCTCCTCTGTAGACTTGCAGCCAAAACAGAACACACATTCTTCACTGCAATATCCACATATTCTGTCATACTTAAAACGTTCCCACACAGTCTTTGCAAGAATATCAACAAAGTTTTGTTTGTTTGCACAGTGCAATGAATTTACTGGAGCTGAAGCCTCATCACTTGCAACTGAGATGAGGTTAAAGAGGGGCAATTTGACCTGTGTAAGCACTAAACAAATCTCTGCCTCTTATGTTGGTTTGTTTTTGAGTTGTTCCTTCACATCAACAGCCATTTAATCACATACCTGTTAGACAGTATTACTGAATAATGACAGATCTTTATTTGCAGCCACACAGAGTGAAACTCTTCAACATAATTAACCCTAATGCTGGTTACATACATAAGAGATATAAGTATTTCTTGGTAGATGCAGGGTAAGAGACGAGCCAACATGGATTGACTGCATCTGACATCGATTAGAAAGCTGAGGAAAAAGAGTTACCCTAGATTGTTGTTGCATTATCCATGTTTTACTGTAATGTCAGGGTAGAACAAGGTGTGAGGCCAGTAAAACGGAAGACCCATTGGGGTTTTTTTGCATTATCCATGTGATACTTGGATCACTTTGAGAGGATGGGTGCCAGAAGATCTTGAAAAGTTACACTGTGTCCTGCCAATAAAGTTACCCCTGATTTAGTTTTTTGTTACACTTGTGAAATGAATATTTATTTGGTAGAAACATGGTGCTAGAAATTCTAACAGAGCTCTTATTGCATTATACCTACGACCTACAAACGGAACAGGGTTCAAGACTAATATATAAAGTAATCCTAGATTCTTTCACACTTTCATAAAGGAGTTCAGACCCAACCACAAATTTTTGTTATAATCGTTGGAAGGAACAGGGTGTGACCCTGTGGACATAGTTATCCCTGCTTTTCATTGTTATGCACCTATGATTGGTGGACTTGTTCAGTCTGTGTAAAACCCTTGAACAAAGTTACCTCAATTCTTGTTGTGCAAAAGCTCTTAAACTAAGATTTGTAAAAATCCTCTCACTCTCCACACCTTCTTACACACCTATTGTCATTACACAACTCTTTCTCTACCACTTTTACCAGTGGATTTTTTTGTTCATGATAGATTTTTATTCATTTATTTATTTATTTATTACAAGTTTTCCATTTATCTCAACCTGACATATCCCTCTTTTTTGTGTTTTAAGGGCCCTCTTGCAACTATGTTTCAAAGGATGAGGGAAAGCACTGACAAAACTTCCAAGATTATAAGAAAACAAAAATCCATCACAGTTTCCATCAGAATTGTCAAAGTTATGTTCATCTGTGTTGAATTTTCCTCTGGGGTTTGTTTTCTCCCTAATAACAAGAATAGTAGACAGCTTTTCATTAAATTCAGTTCAATTCAAACAACCTTATTTTTACCTGAAGGGTAATTCCAGCCTACCCACAACAACAACATTCGACAGGCAACACAGTAAACTGCAAAACTCAAACGTCAACACATGGTTTTTGTCCAGCAGATGGTATTACCTCATCCCTAAATGTCAGTGTCTGATGTGGGATGTACTGTGGTAGTGTGCATCATTAGGGCCTGTGCACCAAGGGTGTGAGAGTCCTGTTGGAATGCAAGGAATTATTATTCTTTCTGCATAATAATTGAGTGAGGCCATAGCAGGTTTTCAAAGTCTCACTCCTCAAAAACAAATATTTTTTTCCAGTTATGTTTTGTGTCATTTTTCTGTCAATTCCATGTTTTATTTTTTAACTAAATGTTGTACAGCCAAAGGAAAAATTATCCCCCTGAGTTTGTACAAAACATCGGTTAATGGGGTCATGGTAGCTTGTCAAAGTTCTTGACAAAGGGCACAGGCCATCCTCAAATGGCTGGAAAAAGCATTTCAGTTAATCCAGATACATCTCTTGACAAAGATACTGAAATAAGTGGAGTTGTGTGTTGACCTACTTCGAGTGGTGTTATGGACCCAGACACAGCATTTATTATTGATCAGTGTCTGGGACAGTCATACTCATTTGATATGATGAACCAACGCCCTGGAGTCAATAACACGGATCTTAAATTTTCCATCAGCAAGACAGTCAAGAGTAAAAACAGCTCCAGCTTGATCTTGAATATTAAATCACCTCAATACAGAACAATAGTTTATTTGAGA